CTTTCCTCCCGCTGCCTCGTCGGATAGGGGTAACCCACCCCTGTCCCGCAAGCGATCCTCGGAGTCGCTTGAAGAGTCTGTTGACTCAGATGAGGAAGACAAGCTCCATTCCGTACTGGTGTCGGAGCTTGCGGACCTCTACCGGTACACGTCGAGGGCCCGTCGGATCCTCCATTACAGGGAGGTTTCCGAGGAAAGTAGGAATTACTACCTTGGGCTTCTCTCTAGGTATGAGAAGTCCGAGGATGCGATTCATCAGACTCTGCGGCAACTTGAGTCTGATATCAAATTCCGGGAGTTCTGTCGGACAGCGCGTAAAGTGTGTCGCCGTAGCTAGTACATTTGCACTGAGACAGAAATAAAGAAAAAAATTAAACAGCAAAAAAAAGATCTGAAACCTTAAAAAAATGAACTGAAAAAATTCACACGCTTGTCCTCTTTTTAAAAAAGAGAGGGTGTGAATTCTCTGTTTGCAACTTCTTCCTGACCAACTTCTCTTTCTTCTTCCATCACCTCGTCCTCCATCTCTGCTCCTTCTATCGCTGGTCTGTTCATCGCTGCTACTGTCGCAATATTCATTATCCCTCCAAAGATTAGCTCCTCTCCTTCCACTCGGATGTGTGGTGGATAGTTCCATTCCTGCAGAAACTTTTGAACATTGTTGTCATCATTGTCCTCATCCTCACTGTCGTCGTCAGCAACCTCTCCACTCTTCTGTCGCTCTCGCTCGACCTGATCCTTATAGTGCGCTCTTTCCCACTCCAGTTTGATGCGGTATCGCAGCGCTGCTATGGCTTTAGCCTTGAGGACGCCTTCTGGCACTGTTTCCTTGTCTCCCAACTTGCAGTAAGTCTTGAAAATCACTTGCGTGACAGTTGCATGTATGTGAATGACAACTGCAGGCAGCGACTTGACCTCGGGCCAGCATAGTTGGTCTTGTGCAGCATTATCACGAAGATCTAGCTCAGGCACTAATTCCTTTATCCATCCTCGACATGCGTTCCACAACTCTAGCACTTCTGGACAGTCATGAAAGGCATGCCCTCGAGACTCAAAGGCTGCTGGTGCTCCATCTGTTCCACATCGTCGACAATCTGGAGAGACCGGGGTGTTGTACTTGTACTTGCTCTTGATTCCATTCGTCTGGTAGACATGGTGTGCAACCAGGTACAGGTGGTGTCGCTCATTTGTATATCTGTGTTTGCTGTGCAACCGATCAGAGAAAAAGCGATCCCACTGTTTGTCAGGAATAGGAGTGTGCTGGATATTCGGCCATGGTTTGCGGTCCATGAACCTGATGTGCTTGTAGATTGGCGGGCGAAGGTAAATGCTACGAGAGACAGGCTTAGCTATCCAAGCTTTCAGCGCATTGCATTCAATATACTTACGAGCCTTCTTGACCGTGAATAGAGCCATGGGGACATCTTTGCCAAAGACTGTCGTCAGTCCTCGAGCTTGAGCAAGTGCAGGAGGCACACGATCAGCAGGAGTGACCTTTCTTTTGACGTCCAGCTGTGCAAAAGCCTTGACAGCCTCAAAGACCGAGGTTCTTGCGCGTTGGATTGCAGTTCTATGGCGGATGTCAGTCGAGGCAAGAGGAGGAGCTTCCAAAAATTGTTCTGTCTGTTGGACAGAGGTCTTTCTGTAGTACGATTGGGCCATGTCTGTGAATATAGGCTTCCATCGTGCATCCTGTAGCTGCCATCGAGCCATCCATTTAGCCATGAGTGCCTGGCACTGGGTCCTAGGGTCAATTAGGTTCCAGCCTCCCTTGTTCTTGGGTCGGCGATACCATGCCAGCGAGACTCGAGAAACTTGATCATTCCACAAAATCTTCTTTGTCAACCTGTCAATCGACTTGAAGAAGTTTGGAGAAAAGGAGTAGAAAGGAGCAACGTGCCAAAGCTTGGAAAGAAAGTAAGTGTTGGCAACCGTCACTCGTCCTTGAAAGGAGAGACGTCGAAAGCGCCAGGTGCTAACCGTCGTCTGCATTGTTTGTAGGAGAGCTCGCTCAATGACTGGCAAGTCGCGACCTTTAGCTTGGATAACCACGCCGAGATGAACAAAAGGTTCATTAAAGGGACGAGCAATGAAGCCATTAAGGTGGATCACCATCGTAGCATTCGCCGTGAACGGGATCAGAGCCGTCTTTTGTCTGTTCACCTTGGCACCAGACGCATACTCATGCAGCTCGATAGCACGCAACACATGCTGTTCGTCTCCTGGAGCAACACCAAGCGTCGTATCATCAGCAAAAGCAGCCACTTTAAAAGGAATACCAACAGTAGGAATGCCCGTCGCGTGATGCTCATAGTACAGAAGAAAAGGTTCCAAGACAAAGTTGAACAGGAGCGGAGCCAGAGGATCACCTTGACGCAAGCCTCTGCGTGCCTGATACGGATTCGATTGGTTTCTGTTCATGACAATGGTGGCAGAGAGATCAGAGTAGCAGCTTCGCACCCAGGAACGAATGCGAGGGCCAAAGCCAAAGGCCTCTAGGACTCGATGCATATATGACCACTCGACACGATCGTACGCTTTTTCTTGATCAAGGGAGAGGATAGCAGCATCTCCTTTATCTCCAGACTGAAGAGAGAGAGCCACTAGTTCTAGCAACCTGACATTGTCATGACCTTGTCGTCCTGGAATAAAGCCAGTTTGCCATTCACCTATAACCTGTTTAGCTGCAGGATTGATGCGATTAGTCAGAGCCTTGGTGAAGATCTTGTAATCACATTGAGTCAGAGAGATGGGACGATAGTTTTGCATCAGTTCATTGTCACCCTTCTTGAAGATCAACGTTGTCAAGGCTTTCCGGTGAGAGACTGGGAGGTCACCACCTTCGACATCAACACTGTTAACGACTTCGAGCAATATAGGAGCCAATTCTCTCTTGAAGGTCTTGTAGAATTCGTAAGGAAGACCATCGGAACCAGGCGAGGATCTATCAGCCATCGAGTCTATAGAGGCTTCAATCTCCTGAAGAGAGATATCAGCATCAAGACTAGTGGTGAGAGCGGGAGGAATCCTGTCGGTGATTTCAGCCAACAAGAGATCCTGGGCGGCCTCGTCAGTGTGTCCAGAGGTGTATAGCTTCTCGTAGAAGGAGCGAGCTATTTCCTCCATTCCTTGTTGCAGAGTTGTGCGGTTGCCGGAACTGTCCTTGAGCGACAAGATAGAGCGCTTTGCATAGCCTTTCTTGAGCTTTTTGGTAAATTGCGGCGAGGCTCGTTCACCTTCTTCAATCCATTCGATCTTGGACAGAGTGATGTCTCGTTCCATGCGATACGCTTCATGTTTCCGTAGTTGCTCCCTCGCTTCGAAAAGATTGCTTATGGCGTCAGGGTCGTTTGGCTGGTTATCAAGGGCAAGATCAGCCTCTTTCAGAGTCTTTTGGAGGTCGATTCTTTCCCTAGTGTCATTGAAGCGCTTCTTTTTGCGATATCGTAGTCCTGCAAACAAGCACTTTTTCTTACAGTCATCCCAAAACTCTCCAGCGGACTGAAAAAGAGTAGGATGAGAGGCGCGTTTCCTCAGACAGCGAGATATAAGGGAGCGGATCTCGGTTTGGAAAGCAGGGTCGCGTAAGATTCGAGTGTCAAGGATGAGGACTGGCTTTGTGATCACTGCCGGATTCCGTGCTGTTGCTGCTGTTGGCTCATCATCATCGTCGTTACCAGTAGGCAGGGCAGGCATGGGTCGAGGCGGAGGGTTTGGACGTTTGGAGGTGTTTATCACAACTTCAACGATCCTGTGATCAGTCTTGATAATCGGCATAGTAGAGACCTTGTAACTAGAAACAGTGGGCAAGAGAGCATGAGAGACCATAATATAGTCAATCCTTGTCATGGTGCACCATCTAAGTCTCGAAACATGAGTGAAGTGGGTCTCGACAATATCTCCAGCGGGATCTCTAGAAGGAGGAGGAGCAACATCGATCACACCTAGTCTTGTAAAGAGTGGACCAAGGCGAGGCCAGCGGGTGGCTCTAACATCGTTGGTGGGAGGGTTGCGGTCTAGTGTAGTGCTGGTGACAGAGTTGAAGTCACCAAGGGCAACGAGAGGGTAGTCATCTTGCGTAAGGAGTTCATCAGGAAATTCTTCAATAAACTCTGAAAGGGAGACATCCGAAACATATGAACTCGGGACATAAATGTTGATCATGCGAAGACGTTCATCCATGTTGTCATCGACATACAGATCGATCGCTAAAATACGTCCATTGAGAAAGTCTTGTTTTAGAGTGTAGAAGAGACGAGGGTTGTTGATGAGGATCGCACAATGCTTTGTAAACACTGCTTTTCCTGCACCCCATTCTCTTGTCCACTGATTATTTTTGACTGTTGTCCATTGCGGATGCTGGGTATCTGTTTCCTGCAAAGCAATGACATCGTATGGCTGAGTCTTGAGCCATTGGAAGAGCGTCCTTCGTTTTTCTTGGTTGAAAATTGAACAGACGTTGAGTGTGCATACTTTTAGATTTTCAAAATCAATCATTGATTAAAAAAATAGTGAAAGCATACGGTTCTTGTGAGGGGAGCAAGGCACGCAAGGGGAGTTTGAGTCTTTTTTTTTTTTTTTTTTTTTTTTTGTTAAAGACTGCATAACTAAGACGACGACGGTTCAAGTGTTTGGTAATGATCTTATCTTTTGTACATGTACTCATTAATGTTCGCCTTCGGTACTAACCTTTGTGGAACATTGAATTAACAGGTCACCAGCTATCAGTTTATGCCATGAAGTACAAGGAAGGGCTGTATTATTGGTCAGCCATAGTGACTTCCTGACCCCGCTCAGAGATAATTATCTCGTAGCTTTGTTACTTGCGCTTTGTGCATCGCGCAAGGGATCAATGTTAGTTTCTTGCGAGTAGCCTTTGCCAAAGACGCTGCGGTCAGCTTTTAGGCTCCTCGCCCGGATGGAGGGAGCTTCTTTCCTGTCTCCTGCTGGCTCCTTAGATCAATGTAATCAACAAGAGCAAAGGTGAATCTAGAGGAAGTCTGAGGATGTTTATTATCTAAAGTCTCCTAAGTTGCTACGATGGTGCTAGCTATTTATACTAGTTGGCAGCGACGTGAGAGCAGGTACTAAAATGAGTAATGTATAATGAGTATACAGCAAGCAATGTGAAGAAGTCGTACGACTCCTCTTTGATCCCTTTTCCCTCTTGGTTGAGGTGACAGTTGTCCATTCCTCCTTGTCGAGGGATGGGATGTCCTTGTTGACCTTGGGACCCTTGGTAACCTTGGGAGCTTGAGGGACCGCAGGAGGGCCCTTGCGGGCGCGTTCGCAGGCAAGAACGCGCGAGCCATAATGACTCTTTTAGGGGCCGAGAGGAGGTCGAACTCGGGTGGTTGGGGGCAGGACTGCTTGACGTGGTTCTCCTCACCACACTTGTAGCAGTACTGGGGCCCATACCAGTGGAAAAGCGTGTTAATGCCCTCAGCTTGGGCCACGCGGGGGATAAGGAGGTCTCGAGGGGAGTCCCCAGAGAGCTCTAACACAAATTCGAAGGAAGGGAGCAAAAGAGTCTCCGATCCCTTGACGTAATGGAACTTGGTGTGGATTACACGGCCAAATTTACCAAAGATATTTTTGATATACTCCAGACGATCCTCCGGAGTAGAGAGGGTGATTCGGTCAACCCGAATCCTGAGTCGGCTTCCTGTGGAATGGACCGTATGATATGCTCTGACAGGAGCAGGATTGCAGGGGAGAGGAGGAGACGCAATGGCCTCGTCCACCTCTTTTTGTGTCCTCACGAGAACCACTACGACCCCTGGGACAACAGGGTCAAGACCAACTGCCTTGGGGAAAGCCAGGCGAATGGCCTCCACCACGTCAGAGACGAGGTGAGTCTTCCTGTCATACTTGACAGCGAAGGTGGTGGGAGCGTGGTGTGGGGTGAAAAACACAGAGTGCTCCTCAACCTCTGTGCTGAACGCACGGACAACTGCGTTCTTACGAAGTGCATTCCAACTGGTCTGCACTTCTTTCTTGGATAAGCTTTTGCGGGCCATCTCCGCAAAGCTCAGGGACTGCTTAATTTTATTGTTTTTTACTACATCCCCTGCCTGAGCCAGGGGATCGTGTCCCTCATCTACCTCATTCGAGGAAGACGGAGGGGGAGATGGCGGTGGAAGTCGATCCGCCATTAGATGAAGGGGAAGGGGGAGATAAAAGTAAGAGAATAGGCCTATCCGTTGGACTGACCGTTGCGAATTGGCTGAGTAAATTAAGTATTTCTTTAATTGCAAAAGGCGACCACGAATTTTATGGTGTGAAGGGGAAAGTGAGCTAAACGAGCCATTTCTGAAAATGATATTTTTTTTGTTATGATATTGTTGGTTAGGTATGATAGGAGATTTTGGGTCGTTTCGATGGGTTGTGAAGTCGGCCACTTCCAGCTACAGATAGATGAAATAACTCACTAACACAATAAAAAACAACACACTACTCAAAGATTGAACGAGAACAGTCAGTACTCAAATAGCTCTTGTGTAAAAGAAGGAACCTTTTATGATCTATAACTGCTAGCGATGAACGTTACGAAGGGCTCTTTACCTGAACGAGAACAGTCAGTACTCAAATGGCTCTTGTGTAAAAGAAGGAACAAGGAGCCAGATTTTCCAGAGATGTTGCTCGTTAAATAGTTGGTGGCGAACCTTCTCCACGTGACTAAAGCTAAAACCAATAGGTGTATCTTTGCTTAAGGGGCAAAAAGATAGAGAAAAGACAGGACAAAGAGTGTCAACAAGAATAACAAGAGGAAATAGAGGCAAATAGCCTTGACGACAAACAGCGCCATAGGATGCCAAAAGGGAAGATGGGAGCTTTATAGGTGAACTCACAAACTGAGTTACCGGAAGACAAATGCTTATTGTGAAAAGGGGAAAAAGAGAAATGGCAAGATAAACTGCAGGTCAAGAACAAGACAGATGGGGAAACTTAAGACTTATGGGTAAACTGAAGACTTTATTGAGAAAGAAGTTCTTTGGCTTTATAACTTAGCCTACAGGCCTGACTGTGGTGCTTTCTAGGTGAGGTGGACTCACCCATAACTTATAAGGCTTTGTACAAATATTCTTTTAACTGTGGATCGACGGAATGTCCCGATTAGTAGATGCAAAATAAAAATAAAAATAAAGGGTGAATCTATTTGACAACCCGGGTTGTCAAATAGATTAATTCAAAAATAAAATAGTTATTAATGACCTGCCACAACACGGATTGATCACGTGGTAATCGTTTCTGTTTCACGCGATTTGGAAGGGGCGACATGAGAAATGTATACTTGTCTTCATTCTTAAAATAAGCATGATGCTTAATCGGACGGGAATCGCCTTTGCTTCATTACAAGTAGGGGGTCTTAGTTTTTCAGCAAGAGCGACGAGAACGAGTGCTATAAATAGCAACATGACGGCTACCTTGCCGCTGTTCCAGAGGAACCGTTTATTTTCCTCGACTAGAACTATCGCTGGAGAGCAACAACTTGCTCGTGAGCCTCGTCCCATCCCACTGGATATTGGTAATGGACCATCTGTATCAACAGCGCCATCAGCAGGACCATCCTTACAGGCTTCAGGAGCAGAAGCAGCACTAGAATCAAATGTGGCACGTAGAACGTATCGAAGCTCTTACAGCAATGGCTCCTTCCTAGATCGCTTTGGGGGGCCTATCTTCAGTGTCCTTGTTTACTCTACTGCAGCCACTCTGGTAATGCATAATATGTACCATCATCTAGCTCTGGAAGAATACAGGATCGCATCCTCCCGGAAAGTCGCCGAGCTGGAGGCGGAAATAGCAGAGATCAAAGCCCAGCAATCGTCCAACACTGTCCAACATTCATTAGGGGGTCGTCACGAGTTTATCTAATGGTACAAACAGTAGATGCTTTGGTACACAAGTCCGTCTGGCGCGTATATGCCTTATTATATCGCAACTTCATGGAAGCACCTCCGAATTCGCACCCAGTGCTTGGCTCTTGTTTGTCTTGTCCATTGTACCAGCTGACATATATAGTCAATTTTCAAAAGTTTTCAACCCTTACTCTTAAAATTGTATTCAGATCTGTGTCATTATCACCTTAGCCGTATACAGTCAATACTCTGTTATCTTTTAGCATAAGCATATGGTCTGTCTTATTAAAGAAAACAATATACATTGCTAAAGTGAATATTACTACAGTCTACAAACCAAAAGTTCTGAGGTTCCCAGAAGATGACACTGCTGATAGTTTCGTTGTGCTCCTGTACCTGCACGGCCACCATTTGATCGTCAAGCCAAGTGAAAGATCAGAAAATTAAACCCTGGGATGCTTCAAACTCTATAATTGCGCTCAAATTGAGGATGCTATGCTATTACGGCCTCGGAAGGGATCTTGTCTTTCATTTAGAGATGAAGTGTATTATCAAACATTGGCGAGATTCTTCTAACTACTGTTTATTCTTATAGTGCTGTTGACCAATAGAGACAATATTTTTGAATCATACTTCATGCACCGCCGCAACTTTGGATAAAACAATTTTTGTCATTTTTCATATTTCTCGCTTTGTCTCTTTTTTCACCTACTTTCTCACGCAATAAAAGACCGATATAAAGGCTTTTCGAATGTTACCCGAACTTCCCACAGAGATTTTGGATGACATATTTTCATATCTCGGACAAGGAACACTTCGTTTCGCAGTGTCCTTGGCCTGTCGTCGCTGGTACCAAATTGCACAAGCTCATATCAGAAAAACAGTCTATATCTCCATCGCCGAGCTTAGCTATAGTCATGGACAGGGAGGTCCACTCGAAAGCCCATTTGGGAGAATGAAGAAACGACGCCACCTTAAACAATTTGCATGCAAATTAAAACAAAATCTACCGTCAGCATACTCCCTTGTCTACAGTTCGGGTTTATCACCAAAATTTGGTGCTGAATATTTGTACCCTGGAAAAGAAAAAGAGATTTGGCCCATCCTTGAGGATGCTTTAGCCGCTGCAACCTCATCACTTTCAGTATCATCTTTAGTAGCAGCTTCAAACAATAATAACAGCCTAGCCGATGATTTTAACAATAGTGGTGGTCTCAGGATTCGGAAGCTTGTCCTTGATGCAGATATGGATCAAAGTATATGGTCAAGATTGATGTCTCTTCTGAGCATGCTCGGTCTTGGGCTCCTTAGCCTACGGATAGAAAGCATCCCACTTAGGAGCATTGTCCCTATCCATGAGATCCTCAGACCATGTCCAAACCTTCGGAGTCTACGTATTGCGTCATTAACACCTCCGACAATTGATCAGGTGTCCCGACTGCAAGAGGATCGCGAAGAAGGGTCGAATACTAGGACCACTAGCATCATAAGCATCATCAAGCCAGGTAATGCTCCAACCATTAACAACGTTGCCATTGGAGTCAAGCGTCAGTGGCCATTGCAATCTGCAACGTTCGATAATTTGGCGTTGCCTCTGACAGCACTCGAATCCTTTGTTCAGAGTTGTCCCGATCTCATAGAGCTTCGAATCATCTGTGTCCAAGCCATGACTGCAACCGAGGCTATTCCTGGCCATATTGGGAACTTTATATTTCATAAGGAAAGAAGGGACCAGTTTTTTCACCGACTGTCATCATCAACGCCACCGCCAGTACTGCATTCATCGTTGTCAGTATTACAACCTTCTCTCTACTTGCCGAAGCTTAAAAGCCTCTATGTATCTAGAACTGCGACTTCAGCATTCCATCTTATGGAAGAAGTCGTCCCGATCCCACAATTCCCAAAGGTCGAACATTGGGGATTTTCTACCATGTGCATGGCTTGGTTTTTCCGGGCTTCAGCCTGTATATTATTGGATCAGCACATACAACAATTCAATCGCCTAACTACCCTTGAGATCTCAGGGTGCCGGGACGTCTACAATGACCTAGTCGGCAATACGTTCGAAACTTGGTTGCATCGATTGTTATGTTCAAGTCCCCAATTGGAGCATTTCAAGGCTCACAAGGTCAATTTCCCATTCCGAATGCTTTATGTGACTAAAGAGTTAAGAATGAAGCCATGGAGCATGAGCCTAATTTTCCCGCATGATGAGCATTATCATTATCAAGAACCTGAGAAAGTGTGGGCCTGCCATAAACTTAAGACTTTGCATATAACATTCGCAACCACGTACGATTCTCTCAAGGGATATGAGGAGATGGCACTTGTGGTTTTTGGATACATTAGTCGCGTCTGCCCTGAATTAGAGGATCTGTTGATTGATGAAGGTTTTTGTTTGAACCAGCATCCAGAATATCTCTGCCTCTTGTCAAGGTTGAGACGATTGAAGCGCTTGCAACTAACTGGTTTTGAACGTTCGACAGAGATGCAGCTCGATTGGATCAAGCGCTATTATCATTATATCCCACGGGAACAAATCAGATTCTACTGGGAACATGAACCTAACCAACTACGACTTTCTACTTCTCCTCCCTCCTCCCCGATAAGTACAAGGCCGTTGCAGAGACTTTGGAGGGTTATACAGCTACTCAACTCAATGTTTAGCAGCAATGACAGTATCAGTATGTCAGAACATATAGTTTTTCGAGCCTTTGCCGTGGAGGAGGAGGAAAGGGCCATGGAGAAGAAAAAGAAGAATAAAGAAGAAGCAGAGGAAGATGGGGAAGATGGAGAAGAAAGTGATGGAAAGGAGGTTATTGATGGTGTGGATATGACATATCTAGGTAAACTACAGGATTTGGTCAACTACTTCCAGGAGCGCCGCTCAAATAGAGATGAGTATTTGTGGCCAGAGTTAGAGACTATCAGTTTCTGCCTTCGTATGGATTATGGACAAGGCTACAGCAGTCGACAAACTAGCAACCTATACAGCATCATTAAGAAGTATAGGTCAGAAGTTAAAGTCATATTTACCTCAGCTAAAGCGCTCCAGAAGAATTATTTATTAGAGGAATAAAAAGCGATTTACAATGGTTAGTACTGTGCATGCATAGCTGGAAACTAAGTTTGCAATGGTAAGCAATGGTATTGTAAGAAGAATGGTTATATTAAACTTCTCTTGGTTCTCCTTGCCAAGTAATCCACTTTAGCAAATAAGATTCCAGGTAATTTTACGAATTAATTTTGCCTTGATGCACATATGCGATTTATGGACATGGTATTGCAAACCCATGCTCTTCTTCCTGTGAGGATCAGCATTCAGTCATGAAAGTGCTACAAATATAATTAATCTTTTCATCTTTGTATCTTTTTGTCCAAACTTTGTAGTGTCCATTTTTATAAGTAAAACTCTCCCAATTTATTAACGAGGACGTTGTTGTTGAAAAGCTCGCTGACTTGATGGATACTATTGTTGCTGCTGCTGCTGTTGTTGTGATGATGGTGGTGGCGGCTGTTGAATATTTCCACGTACAGCAAGACCACGAACATTATTAACAAAATGCCCAACAATCTCCATGAAGCGATCAGGTTGACGTCCATTGCTGTTTATCCGGATCTCACGTTGGCGTGCCAACTCTTCAGGATGTACAAATTCAATTTCAAGTTCATGCGTCATGTCCGGATTATTGTTGATCTTGTTTGGATTGAAATTAGTCGGACGCATCTGACTATAATTATGAGGTTGGTTACGATTATGACCATTAGCTGAATTTACAGTTTTGACTTGTGTCAAATCAATTTTGAAGTTGTTATGTCGATAGGATATCCTATCCTTATGGCGCTCAAGATGTGAAACTCCTTGAGGCGCCGGCACTTGAGATAAAATAAATAAATAAAAATAGAATAAAAAGGTTAAGTGATCGACCTAAAAGGATGGCCTCTTCGATAGTCTTTAAAAGAAGAATAAGCAAAGGAGGGCTATTCCTACCTGGCACTTCAACATTTACTGATATACGGAAATCAAAAGGGTTTCTTGGAGAAAATACATCAAGGTCTGCAATTCTATCCTTCTTGATAATGCCATTGGGTATGATTTTGTTCGTTTTTTGATCTACAGTGACTCTAGTCTTTCCATTTGGTGTTGTGTAAAGCTGGTCAATTTCATGTGTGTGCTGGTATCTAATTTGGCGTTCCTAAGGAAAAAGAAAAGAGAAAAGAAAATGTCAAATATGCCTTCTAGTTGCAATGTTGGATTCGCTACTACAGCCAGTACATTTCAGTATCTCTTATTACCGGCGGTTCTGTTCGCCGTGTTTGTTCCAATCTCCAGTTCAAAGTTTTGTTGAAATGAGCATGCTGCGCCTATATCAACCATTCAAGTTAAGAAACAAGGTTATAGATACAAAGGCTATCACCTACTTCCAAAGACTGCTTGATTTTTTTTTAACTTTGTGTTACCAATGTCATATCAGAAGAGAACTGGTACCAAGGAGGACGACCCTGTGGCACTAGCACTACCTCGCTTCTGACTGGGAGATCAATTCGTCTGCCTGTATTCTTATCAATCAGCACACCTAATTTTGCTTCAATCTTTTTTAGAAGACACGTTATTCGTTTTATTTAGTATTGAGGCGCCAACTAATTGAATAGAAAGATAAACAAATCTCACGCCTTTTTTTACCTCGACGTTAGCATGATGGCAATGCTCATATAAGAATTCACCGATTGTTCGGACTACATCGTCCATGACGTCTGTGCCAAAGAAGGCGTGATCGTTACGAGGCGGTCGTTGTGGCTGTGATTGTTGCCGAGCAGGTTGCTGCTGACGGGATTCATTAGCTGATGGTTTGTTTTCTCCAGAAGACCCATCAGCACTACTTGAGGCAGTTGTTGTTGCAGAGTTGACAACTGTAGCAGTAGTGGTCGCGTCTCCTACAATTTTTTCACCCGAACGCGCTTTCTTGGAAAGATGGCTGTTTTCATTCTTCACATCAGGAGTTGAAGTATCAGCATTATTGAATTGACCTTGTTGTTCCTCTTCTTCCTCCAAATGTCTTTTCCTGGTGACTTCCTGAGTTGACATTTCTGCGTTGGAATGAAAGACAAAGTAATAAAGATGATCTTTTTTTCTATTTCCTTTTTTATTTCCTTCGCCCAGTGATCTAAGCTGGAAGCGAAGCAGCAGCGATTTTTGAGAACAAGCACGTGCTGGTTAATTTTTTCAGCATGCTGGTTCGTTTTTCCAGCATGCTGGTTCGCATACTTGTTAAAATTTATTAAAATTTTTAACTTGCTTAACCAAGTGCTCCTCCATGTACTGCTACCTCAGACATCATTCGCATTTATTTTAGAATCTCGAGCATCAATAAAAGCTTGATTACTCACAGCTACAGAATGGATAATCCTCATTCAAACATTTGTCAGTTTTGTATATGCACATGCCTAAAAAAAGATGTCAGCCATAGTTTGGCATCTGTTTTAGAAATTAAGCGTTGCCATAGAAGTCCTTTATTTTAATAAAAAAGTTAGCTGCTACTGCTACAACTCTGTAATTTTTTTCAGGGCAGAGACAAAGCTATGATAAAATATGATGTTACGGAAGTTTTGATTGGTCATTCGGTTTCTGCGTGCAGACAGGATCCATCCGGCTCTGCTGAATAACCTTTCAGAATCATTGGAAGTAGCCTGGACAGAAAGGTATGCTCGTGCAAATGGAGCAATATAATCCATTCCTCTTAATCCCTTGTCCTTTTGCTCCTTCCAGTAAAGCTCAGGAGTAAAAGCAAAACGCGCGATGTCCATCATCGGCGTTCTTGAAATAGACGCATCATAATATACCATATCGACACTAACTATCGAATGGTAATATTCTTGTTCCAAAAGAGGAAGTTGATCCCAACATGCTCCATCTTGGGTGGCGGCAAACTTTTTTGCTGCATCTCTGGTCACCTCTAGAGCTTTCTTCCTGAGAGAGTCACCATTGGTTGTCATTATGTCTTTAATGATACTCAAGGTCACCGGGTTCAGGAATAGCGATATGAGCATAACATCGGGAATGTCATCCACGGCCCACATCGTATTGATAAGCCTGTTAAGGTTTCTCCAGAGCTCCTGTGCCGTCTCGGTGTCGTATGTGCGAGAGTCCGGTAGCAACTCTTTCAACTTCACATACATTTGTGACAGTTTTGGATGGTCGGTACTGCCCACCCATTCAGTGAATTTGACTGCATCTGTCATCATATGAATGATTTCACGGAGAGCTTTGACCTCATCACGATCGAGTAGGTTTGGCTCTAATTCCTTTGCTTTCAACCTTATCTCCCTTTTTCGGAGGATTCCATGCGATGGTAGGTGCGAGAAATTGCTTGAGAGTAAAGTAGCACTCTATTTGCCATCTTGTACTGGGAGTTCCATCTTGTAATGTTCCTCGACAGCAACTTGGCACCCTTGCCTTCCTGTTCTTCCACTAAGATAGACATCGCCGCGGCATTGCCTCTGAAAAAAACTGAAATATCTTGGCACTTGTCCAATAACTTCTTAGCGGGCTCGCATAGCTCCAAAGACTTATTGATGCAAAGCTGGATCTTATGTGAGGCGCATGCCAACCAGTGCACCCCCTTGTGATCTTCTTGGTAGAGAGCTATCGCTTTTTTTATATTAGCACCTTGGTCTGTTGTTACGCAAATGAGTCTTTCGCTCATATCCATGCTATCAATAGCCTCAGCTGGTAAATGAATCAAAAGACCACAAAAAAAAAAAAAAAAAAAAAAAAAAAAACGTTAAGAACGTTGCAATACTTATGAAAATATAAAGATAAGGGGCAGATGTATCAGCATTTCACTTACCAAACTTCCGGTGAATATTTTGGGATGTTTGCACCCCATAGACTTGTTCCATCCCTATTGCAATAGATACTGGCTCGAAATTTGGCGTGAAAAAATGCATTGTAGTCCCCAAGAACTTCCTGTGATCGACGCTTGTCCAGCAATCTGTCGTGACGGCAGCGTAAAGCTTATAATAGGTAATGTACTCTTTGATTTCGCGTCTCATCTCTCGAACTCGTCGATCCATCCTGTCTTGCATAGCCATTGTGGTAGGGATATTGAAATAAGGATTGGTCATTTCAATGATTGATCTGAAGATCGTCGAATTAACTGCATCGAATGCCACTCCATTGGAGGCTATGTGCAGTAAAAGCGTATCCTCGAATGCTTCTTGTTCATGAGGGAGCGGCTTCTTGAGGCTCTCATTAACAATCTCATCTCGTGCGATGTCGAATTTTGCCTTTCTTGGTGGAGCCACGTCAACTTCTTCCGGATCAGGTGGCAGCATGATACCTTTAACCCTGCTCTGGTAATTGCGAAATTCTTGGAGGGCACTATATAAATCGCCATGGCACTGAGTTAAGTGAACAGATCTTGAATATCCACTCCCAGTTTTCTTGTATGTAGTACCACAGATTACTCCATCTTTCAGGACCAGACACTGGAATTCTTCCTTGCTTGATTTGAAAAAATGACCAATCACGCTGTTTTTGCGAAAGGATTTTTGATTTGGAATCAGGGCTAATGCTTTTTGAGAGGGAGGGGCGTCAGAGAATTGTTCTGGCGTAGGAATGGTACCAAAATCCAGTAACTCGTACAAATCATACCATCCGTTTGATGCAAAATGACTATCCCTCAGCTCTCTCCGCCGGTTGGCCAATGCTTCAGCATCAATGGCACGTGTAAAGTCAAAAGAGGGAAGATTAATAGATCTTGAACGCGTAAAGTTAATATTGCGCAGTTGCGTGGAGCTCAATGTAGAAATCGAGGAGACTGAAGATGGGCCTGGTTTTGACTCCCGATATTGGGAGAAGCTGTTGGATGAACGGAGAGATGACAGTGGGGCTTGCTGTGCAGCAAGTAGCGTATGATTATAACGTGATGTAGGCAAAGCTGTTGATGATTGAGAACGTCCAAACGTCCTTGGTCTGGCATGATGAACCGATTGCGCAAATCCACCGGGAGGAGAAGAAGTTTTGATGAACCTCCTCTTTTCGCGACCATTGCTTACCATGGGTCTCATCGTCTGGGATGAAGACGAGATTGGGTTCGCACCAAGATAGGAGTCTAGTACCTCAAGCTCATCACACGGCATATCTTGCGTCTCGAACGATTCGCCATTGTAGGCTGCATCACTAGTTTGGGGAGAATCGATTCTATTTGCTGGAAGACTTTTCTGGAGTTGCATTCTTCGTTCGATTTGATTTCGGCGAGGTATAAGGGTCTCTTCCTCGTCCTCGTCCTCGTCCTCGTCACTGGTGTGCTCCTCCTGATACTCATTCCCCTCCTCGTGTCCATCCTCATACTCATCCTCATCTTCATCCTCATCTTCATACCCCTGTTCTCCATTCTCATCCTGGTGAAGAGGATCATGTGTATGATTTGCCATTATTTCTTAAAGATTTTGTGTGAAAGTAAAACGGGTAACAATGGAAAGAAGATAAAGAAGATAAAGAAGATAAAGAAGGAAAAGAAGATAAAGAAGATAAAGGCAACGTTGTAGCATTCAATTGGTGTTTGGTTTTGTGTAGCATGAAAACCTTTCTGTTCCACCAGCTGCAGTTAGCACGCCATTTTTGTTTTTTTGTGAAGAGGCAATGAAGGGTGACTATGGCTGACATCTTTTTTTAGGCATGTGCATATACAAAACTGACAAATGTTTGAATGAGGATTATCCATTCTGTAGCTGTGAGTAATCAAGCTTTTATTGATGCTCGAGATTCTAAAATAAATGCGAATGATGTCTGAGGTAGCAGTGCATGGAGGAGCACTTGGTTAAGCAAGTTAAAAATTTTAATAAATTTTAACAAGTATGCGAACCAGCATGCTGGAAAAACGAACCAGCATGCTGAAAAAATTAACCAGCACGTGTTTGTTCTCAAAAATCGCTGCTGCTTCGCTTCCAGCTTAGATCACTGCTTGAAGTTCGCCTTGATCGCCTTAAGGGGATCATATGCCTAAACTTCTAAAGCCAAAAGCAAGAGTAACAAGATCTTTTTCCATTGATCTACAATCAAAAGCAAAAATCAACTCAACATGGCAAATCCATGCAAGGGCTTATTGAGACAAAGAAGCAATACAATAACGGGATCAGCATGGAGCATCGTATCTTCATATGGCATTTGTTTATCCCGGACTCCTGCTTCTGTCCGATATCTCACTGCTTATGCTGCTAATTTAAGGAATGGACCTTCTGGCCTATGGAATAAGAAGGATAGTGACAACAATGGCGATAAGGATCCTTTTGACAAGCTTGGAGGCGAAAGTGCTCGTCCTATTAGGTTTAAGGAGAGGGAATACAACCGAGATAATAGTAGTAGTAGTGATAGAGACTCTGGAAAGTTTGGTCGACCATCCTTTGGCCAACGTGACTTCCGTAACAGATCTTCAGCAAATTCCAATTTTTTTGAACGAGAGAATAGAGGTAGAGACAGAAATAATGTAAGAGATAGAGATCAAGACAGATATGGAGATAGCAGTAGTAACAGCAGTTACAGCAAGAGGAATAATGATACCAGCTCATTTAAACCACGTGAATCATCATCGTCATCAGCGCCAAACGACTCAGGCATTCCTAGAGGTAGTAGCAGCCCAAGAAGTAAAATATCAAAGGACAATGATTATCTCTATTCGCCCAATGTCGTCTTACCAGCTCTGATGAATAATTATCGAAAGTCATATACATTATACTATTCGAAAATACTGGAACAGAAAAGGAAAAAGTAAGTCCAGTACTTCACTCCTTTGCCACAGTATTCTTTTATTTCCTGCACGGACTGCAAGTATAGAAAGATATCAAGTAAATTAACCTTTTTTTTTTTTTTTTTAAAAAAAAAAAAAAAAAAAAAAGATTGAGAGAAGACCCTGTAGCAGATTGTATTGCGGCAGCCATGGATAAGCACGTTAGAGTGGTCAAGACAACCAAACATGACCTTAATGAAATGGCTGAGCAGCGTCCTCATCAAGTAATGAACGTTTTCTTTCCTTTTCTTTCCTTTTCTTTCTCTTTTTTTTTTTTTTTTTTCAAAATGATCCCTCATCAGCAACTATATCTTCTATCGTCTCTGACTTTTTTTTTTTTTTTTTTTTTTTTTTTTTAGGGCGTGGTTTTGGAAGCTTCAAAAATGCCTATGATCAATGTCGTCGGACTAGGTCCGGTCTCCACTTTGAATGAATATCAACTCGTGGGTAAAAAAGCAAATGAAGTAACGGACTTTCAAAGGCGAGAAGATGAGCCTCCAGTTTGGATTGCGCTCGATGAAGTCGTTGATCCACAGAATCTAGGTGCCATCATGCGCACAGCCTTCTTTTTGGGTGTCGACGGCGTTGTTGTCTGCGAGAAAAATAGTGCTCCACTTTCTGCGGTTGTTGCAAAAGCCAGTGCCGGCGCCTTGGAAGTGAGGCCTACTTATGCTGTCTCTAGTTTGATGAAGTTTATTCAGGTGGGTTTATAATCAAAAAGGAGCAAAAGACAAAAAAAAGAGGAGAAAAATATGAAACTAATGCTATTAATTTTATTTTAACTATTGATTTGATTAGAATTCACAAAAGAATGGATGGCATGTTGCAGGTGCTCATGTTACTTATGGCTCCAAGCGAAATCGTCCTATATATACCTGGCCCGAAACAGGCGTAGATCAACCCACGATTTTAGTCTTGGGAAATGAAGGCAATGGTCTTCGGAAACAGATTGCTAATCAGTGTGATTCATTTATTCAGATCCCAACGTTAAGTCCTTTTGCCTCTGGAGTCGACTCTTTGAACGTCAGTGTTGCAGCAGGCATCATCCTCTCAAAATTGATGGGCGGGCGGTTTTCACACTTGCCAAAGAACCTGAAAAAGTTCCCACATCGTGACCGATCACAAATGAAAGGCGCAGGCGGCATAAACAAAGATGAAAATGAGGATGAGGGATATGGGGACGACAACGATGACGATGGTAATGACGATAACGACGATAATTATGATGATGATGATGACGACGATGATGATGATGATGACAACGAGGATGAAGGCAGGGAGGAAAGTGCTCAAGCCGCAAAGGTGATCAAGAATCACAAAGGCGATCATCTTCCGTTCTAAGAAGCCATAAAAATAAACTACTTTTTCTTACTATTTTTTTTTTTTTTTTTTTTATTTATTTATTTATTCTCAATTGTAAACTTTTTTCTATTAAAAAGCGGATACGCTCGAGACGGAGGTTGGATAAATTAACTCTACATGATGAGTCTCTAGAAGTGCACGTATTTGTTCTTGTCGTTTGTAGAGCATTTCATCCTTGGTGTTCGAGAACGCAGATGACCAAAGTGGTAAAGATGATTTCAAGATCGTGTCCTTGTCGCAGTGAAGCTTCCGAAGAGTTGGCATATGAGTCAACAGTTCAGCAAGTTCATCAGGAGCCCAAGTACGTCCCTGTTGATTCAGGAGAGCCAATGATTTCAGTTGAACTTTGGGTCCAAATCCCTTCTTGATCAAATGCTCGATCCCTTTCGCAGGGATACCCAAATGAGTCAGTCGAGGTAAGGTCTCAAGCTGAGCCTTTAATTCTTTGAGAGGGTCACTGAAACGATGACATCGCCGAAGATGGTACATAGGATAACCATGATGGTGCATGACAGAATAAGGGTCTTGAATAATACCAGAAAATGATTGGTTGCTATTGCTGCTACTGTTGCCGTTGCTGATAGTGCTGGTTCCAGCGATACCAATGGAGGTAGTGGTGCTACTGATACTACTGCCATTAGTGACCTGAGGTGTGCTCCCGTTCCGAATATGATGAGGGTTAGGCGACATGTGATGATAAAGCTGTGGTTGTAAATGCTCATTGCTGACACGAATACTATCTATAAACATATGTCCTCCGATCTCTAATCTTGCTAATGTCTGAGAACATGCCCAAAGCCTTTTGTTGCTGCTGCTGTTACTGTCACTACCATTGAGACTGTCATCATTAGTTGTGTTCGGCCTCGGAGAAAGCTCTTGAAAGATGTTAAGAGTTGGTTTCGAAAGACAGAGGCTGAGATCTTCTAGTTTCTCACAAGACTCGAAAATAGGTAGAATGCCTTCATCTGTGATATGTGGACACCACTGTAAAGACAGTTTGACAAGACTAGGGCCTTGATGAGCCGCTAAAGTTTTCATAACAACGTCCTCTAACTGTCGCATGTAAGCAAGTCGAACACTCTTGAGACGGAGTCCATATTTAACGGGATTTCCTTTCTTTGACATTGCTGCTGCTGCTGCTGCTGCTGCTGCTGATGATGATGATGATGAGGATGAGGATGTCACAAGAGCATCAAAGGGAACAGGAAGGTGAGCTCCATCCATAGTAGTGAATAGCTGCTCAAGGCTCTGAGAGTGAAGGTGAGGGACTGAGCTCAGAGACAAAGATTCTAAGTGAGGTGTAAGAGTGAGAATGGATTGCACGATCTGACGCCTCAACTTTGGACAATCATGTAGATTCAGCTCTAGTAATCCAGGCATATGCTGCAAGAGCGTAGCGCACTCTCGATCTGCGATTGCGCAAGAGTGTAAAGTCAAAGATTCAAGGACTGGATGTGTGATGCTTCCGGTCTTGCCTTTAGGAGAAAGAGGATCAGAATCACTAGATAATGATGATGTAGATGATGCTGCCGAGTTGGAATAAGTTGAGGAAATTGATGAGGATGATGAGGATGATGAGGATGATGACGAAAGTGTTGTTCCTGAGGTGGATAGCATTGTCGTAGATTGTTGAGGTTGAAGTCGAGGCTGATCCTCTTGAGGTTGCCAAGCCTGGAGATTTGCCAACAATGCGTCGATCTCGGCCTGAAAGGACGCATCATAATCCCGACGTATATCTCTCTGCAAGATTTCTGCTCTCGTTAACGAGAGGACCTTCAATGTCGCCCCACAGCAAGCAAATAACTCCTCAAAAGCTGAAAGCATTACGGTGCCTGTCACTGCAAAGGATAGATCTAATCTTTCAAGCTGCCGATTTGAAAATCTCCTTGCAACGACTTTGATAACCTCTGTTTCTAATCCTTCAAGACTAGTTCTTTTTGGTTTCTTGAGCAAGAGATTGGATTGGTGCTGTTGCATATATCCACGGCTAAGTATGTTTGATCCATGAAAATAGTGTCCATGAAGGCCTGTACCCGATGATGATGATGACGACGATGATGATGCGACCATTGGACTAAGTTTTTTGTTGATAACTTCAAACTTGAAGATCTTAAGCATCGGTAAAGCACAAAGTAGATCGTCCAGGCGTTCAAGACTCATTACTGTCTTTGAAATACTCAGATGTGTTAGGTTCAAGCTGGTGCACATCTGGATTTGGATCAGATGATCTTGAACTGGCGGCCCTGTTACTGTCGAGGACAATGGTGATATCGTCGCTGTTGTACATGGAGAGTGATAGTGGGCAACCACTAGATTTGACAAATCCATGGACTTTATGTAAGGACCAAATTTGTTCAAGTTCAAGAATGGTACAGCCTTTTGGTGTTGATGTTGCTGTTGTTGTTGTTGTTGTTGTCGTTTTTGTTGGGTATTCCGAAGCTCAGACTCTACGAAGCACAAACTATGGGAATATTGGTAGTGATATTGGTAATGATGGTACCGTACGGCATAGTAGAGGAAAGGAGTCCATGCCTCGTACCAGTTCTTGCACACCCGCGACGCAAGCGCTAGATCCTGTTGCTGTAGATGTTGCTGAATCAGGAATGCTATCTCTGGTATGAGGACTGCCTTCTGCCGTGGACTTCGACTGGGCGTCGAAGAAGTCATCGTATCCAACGACAAGTCAATAGCGACGCCCATTATTATTAAAGGAGAAGGAGGAGAGGAAGAAGATATGGAATGAAAGAAGGTGGATGAAAAATGAGGGAAAAGGAGAAGGAAGGAGTGAGGGGAGTGGATTGAGAAACGATTGTGGAGAAAGTTGAGGGGGAGGGGAACATTTTTTTGTTTTATCCCAATTAAAAACAAAAACAGTCCAGGCCTTTTTAGTGGCCTCGTGCTCGTAGTGATGAATAAATAAAGGAGAGAATGGGAGGACGAGGAACAAGGGTAGATGCGGGACAAAGGCAAGACTCACAAATAAAGGAGATATTGGATGAGAAGCCTTGAGCACTCGAACGATATTATACTTGATATCTGACTATGTTGTGCTTATAAAGACCTCTATTAGTTTTACCTTTATATCCATGCCCATGGCAAATGCATTCATGCTACCTCTACATGGCGCTCAAAGGCCAAGTACAATATCAAGGACGAAACGTCGGATTGTGTGCTTCGTTTTCCTCATGCTCGCTCTTGAAGAAAATTGAGCCTAAGGCTTGACCAAACGAAAAAAATAAAAATAAAAATAAGGCCAAGTCTATAATGTCTGTCTTTGAATGTGTCTGAGGGAAGGTGCCGTGTATAATGGGATGACGAATAACCGACCTTCAAGGTCAAGAACTGTTCATGCTTTTCACTCTCGAAATAATAATGAAAAAAAAAGTAAGGGTTGGCAGGGGTATAGAAATAGAATTGAACCAACAAGAGTAGAGTTCATGCGTGTTTAGCTTGTTTGATGGAGTTCGTCATGGGAAAGCGAACACAACACGTTTATATTTTGTTGTTTACTTCTATCAGTCGTAGATGCAGTCAATGTCTGCCTCGCGTATGAGAACTTACACTCGGATGGACAAGTTTGATGCTTTTTATTTACCTCCTCGTTCACGATATGCCCTCATGCTCTCCTTCTTCAACCCTCGCTTATTTTGTCTGCTCCTCTTTCACTTTTTCTCTCCCCTTATTGCTCAACCGGAGCTCTATCTGTAATAGGCTTCAAATAGCTGTAGGTATTTATATGTACTTGACAGTCTTTACTTCCTCAACCCATCCACCATTCTCAATCTTTTAATATTACCGATTGTTATGGTGTAATGACAAAAATAGCTGCAGTATCCTATTCCAGTGTCTCTTGCCTCGCTGTCCAACGGATGAATTGGAAAAAGAGAGACAACCGAAGTCACTGTCAGGTTTGAGGTCTATCGAAGTCATTTTCTCGGAGCAATATCCAGACATTTAAGCAAAAACATTGCACCAAGCAAATTTCATTCATTTATAACTTTCCAGAACACATCTTACCATCACGTGGGATGTAGAGATCGGCCCAGCAAGACACAGCGCTTCGAGGGTATCCTGAGCAGCCTTTCCAATTTGATGGTTGTCTACAGCTTCATATTTCAAAATTATGGAATTGGCAGGTGGCCTTGATGAAGTTGACTTGTATCACAGCACTGCACCTCAATGTTTAATCTTATGAAAACTGAAATTGCCGGTTTTACTGTCCACACCAAGGTTAACCAATTCTTTCGCATGTGAAGCCATGGCAAAAACTCAGGTACGTTGATTAGATACAAGGTTGGGCGTTGGTAACTATAGGAAGCCGTGTGATTTGAACGGAGTCAGGCTTGGATAAGCTGACTGATCTGAATCACCTAAGATACTTGTGGTTCAGTGGCGAGTGCCAGTGGATGGGACCAGAAGAAGCGATCTGAATGGTAAAGAACTGATCATGCTCGAAGGAAGTAACCAGCTCCATGTACAAGGATCCAGCCATCACCCAATCAACCTATGAGATCTTTCATAAGAATGATATGTTAGTCATCCTAGATGAACATGTCGAAGGAGTAAACTAAGGAATTTTTGAGGTGCCAAACAAAAAAAGCTGTTTGACATTATCACGTTGTTTTCATCGCTTAGCAAGGACATATATCGATGATTATCAACAATTATGTATATTCCATAGCCCTGGTAGAAGAGCCTTCTTCCCTTTATCGCTTTTTCACTATCGCCTGCATCTTTGCCATGGAGACCGTAGTTGTTCTAGTTACTATACTTACATATGTGTATATGTAAACAACTTTTTCCCATTATCTCTGCTGATCAACCAAGGTTTGTGTTTCCTTTTTTTGGATGCCATGAAGTTGACTGATAAGGAAAACTGTCTAAATGAGCATTGCTCAAAAAGCACGTTCCATCTCGGCTCTAACATGTTACTCTCAATGCGTCTGGGCAGTTGTCGTGGTTTTTAAGTACGCGCATCGCCCCTAGATGTATTGTTAAAAGGAGAAGGTAGCCACTTAGACCACAAATATAACGATTTAGTTTTAGATCCCTTTGTGAGCCGACGTTATTAAACCTGTGGATGTAGCGTATTGAATGTAAGGCTTGCTGACCCAGAGGTGGACACGATAACGGGATAACGGCGGATAGTCGAGAGACGTAAAAAAAAAAGAAGAGCAAATGGATAGGATACGGAGTAATGTTTTTTAGGGCGTTATTTACCATTTATCGTCCCGTGCAGATTGCTTCGTATACTCTCGCTTGCATACTGATCAAATGAAACTTAATTAGCAATGTATACATTAGTAATATCCTTTATTAGGATATGAATACTGGGTTCAAATCAGTAATGTTTAAATGTCAAGATGGAGACCATTGTTTAACATTTTAAACAGAAAGAGAAAAAAGAACATGGATATTTCTTAACTCGGTGTTGTATTCAATTAAGTCATAGGAGCGAGAAGGTGATGGCGTAAGTTCAGGGCTATTAATACGGTGCAACCATTTTATCGTTGGCCATGATCAGTTTTATCAAGCCAATCCTTTTTATTTCTGGTTGTTTTTGTTTTTCTTTTTTAATGTGTTTATCGCATATGTACGATGTACGACATATTCAACGGGCGTTCTCCTTCTCCCTTTTCCTCTGCTGATAATCGTGTTCTGTGGAAAGTTTCTTACGAAGCTGCATGAATAATGGGCAAGGGAATTTTTCTTTAATCCGTGCCCCTCCGCTAAAAATACGATTTAATAGACTGGCAATGGTGTGACAACAAAGGACAGAGAGATATAAATAATTTTTTTTCACTTGACCCATGTTTCGCCTATGCCGGACAAGGAAATTGAACACAAACAGAAAATGCTTGTTAAAAATAATATTTGTTCGCTTGTATTCCTTCCTCTCCTTGACGGATGTAGGTCGTCAAGGCTTTTCTCTCATCCTCACTCTCATTCTCATCACTAACAACAACAGCAGTAGCATCACCGTCCTTACATTATAGCATATTCACTATAGCCAAACCAATCGGTCACCTACCGATCAACATCATTTCCTCATGATATTTTACTTTATTTTATATGTATAGCACAAATTGAACAGGTTTATTTTACTTGTGTTTTTTATCTTTTTATTTAATTGGGCTACCGATTCCTTTATTTTTTGTCTCGTCATCTGGCGTATTTCCCTTTTCATATAAAAACGCCAACAGATTCCCCCCAAAACGCTCTCTTCTTCCCGTCTTTTCTTTACATCTTTACATCTTTATATCCTTCCTACTTCCTCATCCTTCCTTCCTTTACAGAGCTTGAGCCATATTCCCCCCCTCCTGCAATTATCTCATCCTTTTTACCTTCCATTTGCTCGCATCACATTGACTCGACATTTTGCTCACACTCTCTTCCAGGTACATATCAACTTTTATATACTTTTTTCTCCTGATAAAGCAGCATACACAGATACACACTCGATTCCTCAGTTCATTCATTTCCTGTCGTATGACTTGCATGGAACACTGAAGAGCTGAAGAATGATAAGGAAGGAAAAAAAAGGGGAGAATAAGCCTTGGATTTCTCAGCACCACAACAGCACTAGTTCCTTTTTTTTATCATCTTAAAGTGTTTCCAGGATGCTGTGGACAGGAGCACCTTATTGTCACACTTTGGAAACCACTAGAGGATGTGGACCTGTGGTTGCTTCATTTCACTTGGAACCACTAAGGAAAAAAAGAGCAAAAAAAAGAGCAAAAAAAACACTTCATGCAAAAAGTCTTCATTTACCAATCAATCAGCCAACCCCATAACGGTCCAATATACATCAACATTATATGTTATATCTATATCATACCATCAATATCTGATCCATCATCGAATCTAAAAAAAAATTATTAACGGAAAACTAATTTCTGATTATGTTTTTTTTACACAAAATTTAATGATATTTCGCAGTTTTAATTATTACAAGACAAGATGCGTTTTATTACAATCTCGTTGGCTGCTGCTGCCGTGTCGGCTCTTCTGCTTGGTGGTGTTGAGGCCGAGTCATGTGATGCTGCCCAATGTGTCTTCCCTGCCTGTGTTTGCCCCTCAGCTGACCCTCCCAAGGGTATGGATCCCAAGACTGTTCCCCAGTTCTTCACTTTGACTTTTGATGATGCTATCCAAGCACAGACTGTGCCTGTGGCTGCCAAGTTGATGGAGAATCACAGAAACCCTAATGGATGCCCTATCAAGGCCACCTGGTTCACCCAGACCCTCTATTCTGATTACTCTTTGATTCAACAGTGGCATGCTGCAGGAAATGAGGTTGCTGGCCACACCATGAACCACATTGGAATTCCTCCAGCTGGTAAGTTTCCTTTCCTCCCCCCTACGCTCCCTTCTCCTCTTTTCCTTTTCCAAAATCCTAAATAGCATGGTTCCTTTTTTTTTTTTTTTTTTTTTTTTTTTTTTTAATGGAATGAATCCCTTTACTGATCTATTTATTTATTTTGAATGTATAAAAATAGAGGAAATCACTGGTAACCGCATGTCCATCAATGCATTTGCTGGTGTTCCTTTCGCAAAGTTGAACGGATTCCGTGCTCCATTCCTCAACTACTCAAAGGCAACGTTCGATATTCTCGCTCAAGAGAAATTCCTTTACGATTCTTCAGTCTCGGCTTTGCCCACGACTGCTTTCTGGCCCTACACTCTCGATTATGGTCTTGCAAACGATTGCTGGAACGGTATCTGTGAACAGGGAGTCAAGTTGCCCGGCATGTGGGAAATCCCAATGCATGCTATCATGGACGGCAGTACACCCCCAAAGCCCTATAGCATGGATCCTCAGTTGGCTGGAACCTCGGCTCAAGTCGCACAGTGGCTCAAGGATAACTTCAATACTCATTACACAGGAAAGCGCTCACCCTTTGGTATTTACCTTCACCCTATCCAGGTTGGCGAGTCTGTAAGCATGTTCAAGGAGTTCTTTAACTGGGCTGGAGCTCAGAAGGATGTCTGGTTCGTCACCAACCAGCAGATGTTGGAGTGGATGAAGAACCCGGTCCCGGCCTCTCAATTGGCAGATCAGCCCTACATGAAGTGCAACCAGCCTGCAGTCGGAAAGGAGATCTGTAACGGATTGGATGATACCAAGGCTGGATCGATCGATAAGGGAATTTTGGAGGTGTGCAACTTTGCATCAGGACCTTGGTCAACCTGCTATGGATGCCCAAAGGCTGAGCCTTCAGTAACAACGCCCGTTCCTGAACGTGTCGTCGCTGCAGGTCAGACAGGTTACCGCACCCCCGTCCCTGCTAACTGTGCAATGGAATGGTGGGACCCTGTTGCAGCTCAGTGCTTGTGTGCTAGCTCCAACTGCACATTCACTGACATCTCTGTGAAACCCACTGGCACTCCTTCTGGTTCCTCCCCATCACCTTCTTCCACCGGTGGAGCAAAGCCTGACACCAAGCCCAGCGGTGCTGCTGCTCAGTTCTCGACTGCAACTTGGGCCAATGCTGGATTGATTGTTGTTGCTGCTGCTGTAGGCCTTGTTCAGATGCTTTAAAAAAGACCAAAAACCAAAAAACCAAAAAAGCATAGTTTGATTTATTCTGTCATTTACATGTATTATCACTAATAAAAATAAAGACCACCCTTTGAGTGGCATTGTTTGCATATCAAAAAAAAGTCTTTTCATTTGCTTTGTTGGACGCGTCTGAGGTGTGTGTCCGTATGTACAAGAGAAAAAAAAAAAGAGCTTCTTTCTTTTTCTTTTCTTTTTTTTTTTTTTTTTTTTTTACATTCACATTCCTCACTCTCATTTCCTCACAACAACAACAGACATGAATTTCATTGCCATTCGTCGTCTGGCTGCCATCACCAACCAGATTCGTCCCATGTCCACAGCAACTGTCAACAAGATTGTGAGCACTTCTACTGCACCTGCTGCCATCGGTCCCTACTGTAAAGATTTTTTTTTTTAATTGCACTTTTTCCCACGAATCATTAAATTTCATTAAATCACGCCTCGTCCTTAATTCTCCCTTTCTTTTTTTTTTTATAGCACAAGCTATTGTTGCCAACGGCTTCGTCTTTTGCTCAGGTTGCATTCCTGTCAACCCCGCCAATGGCGAAGTGATTCCTGGAGGCGTAAAGGAACAGACTGTAAGAAGTCTTTTTTTTTTAGTCCCCAACAAAAAAAAATACTGGCGTTCAATGGAGATTTTTTTTTTTTTACTCGGATCTTCTCGGAGAAGGAAGGAGCGGGCGAAGAGAGAATACTTCGACGTGTTCCCCCCCCTCTCTCTCCTTCCTCCTCCAATCCCCGTTCTCATTGCCGTTACCATTACCATCGCCATTGCCATTAAATTAATAACGGAAACAAGGTAGTTATTTTATTAGCTAACTAACTAGCTAAACTCAATCTTCTTTTGCTCATATTTGCTAGGAACAAGTCTTGACCAACATGGGCGAAGTCCTCAAGGCTTCCGATTCTTCATTCGGTCAGATCGTCAAGTCTACTGTCTTTTTGAAAAGCATGAATGACTTTACTATTGTCAATGAAGTCTATAGCAAGGTATATGTTATTAAAAAAATAAAAAACGGAAATAAAAAATAAAAAAAATTGCCCTTTAAACTTATTTCTTTCTTTTCTCATTCTTTTTTTTATCCGTTGTAGCGTCTCGGTGGAGCTCTCCCTGCACGTTCCTGTGTGGAAGTGGCGCGTCTTCCTAAGGACGTCCTAGTTGAGATTGAATGTATCGCCACTGTTTCCAAGTAGAGTTACAAATAAAATAAAAAAAATCCCATTTCTGATCCCTTTTACTCATAGAAATGAAGGACAAGCCCTCAATACAAACACTTTGACTTCATTCATCATACATGCCTCATCATGTCATGAACTTTTTTTTATTTTTTTTTATTATTATTATTATTATAATTGAGCTTGCACGCTGAAAAAGCATTTTGTCGTTTTTTTTTTTTTTTTCCCTTTTCCCTATTGATTTCCATAACATTAACGTGTAACATCTGGACAAACAAAACAAAAGATTGGCATGAACTTCAACTACCAGCTTCCTGTAATAACAATGTGTGTGTGTGTTTTTTTTCTAGTTAAAAGAAATGGTGTTTCTGTTACGCCAGATCGACACGCTCTGCCTCTCAGTATGAAGCCTCTTTTCTTTTAACTAGCATAGCGCTTCGCCCAATCTTTTGCAATGCGATCATGCTCTTCTCTATCATTCAGATATTGATGAGCAATGCTTGCAACCAGAGGATCATCTTTGTAGAAATAAGGAAAAGAAAGAAAAGGTTTATCAATATACAAAAAGAATCATTGCTCTTTTTAAGAAGGAAAAAAAAAAAATACTCCGTAGGCTTTAATGCATGTTATTCCTTACGTGGATTGGCATCTGTCAAAAGAGAACAGATAGATAGGAGAACTTTCGAGATGGTTAAAGCAGGCGACCAGTTTTCTTTCAGGATATCTAAACAGATTTGGCCTTGAGCATTGATATTGCAGTGGTAGATACGAGTACGGAAAACAATCTACATTTAAATGAAGATTAGCGGTTAACGATAAAAAAAGACATAATTACAAGGAACAATCCCAAATTGTTCATAGTTGAAGTATTTTAAAAAAGTAACAGTCGAGAGGAAGGGAAGAGAACAGAAAAAAAAAGACAATAATGCAGTTTTGTCACAAAGCTACAAAAATGCCGTATGCCATACTTTTGGTGGCCTGAAGGGATACTCTTGAGGAAAGTGAATATCCAGAAAGTAGATGCCCGAAGCATATGGCGAGCCACTAGGGCCCATAATTGTCGACACCCACTCGTACAAATTGTCTCCCTTTGGTCCAGCACTATTTCGATGTTTATTTATTTATTTGTTTTTTTAAAAAAGAATAAAACATTAGCACACAGGAATAAAAAGGGCCTCTCAACATGAAAAGGGCGAATTCGTACACAATGGACGAAATAGAGCAAAAGTATGTTGATTGATTTTTGATTATTGTAGTAAGCATTGAATAGTGAGCAAAGAAGAGGAAAAAAAAAAAAAATGTAAATTTTGGTGGCAAAATTTCATTGTCGTACCTGCAGTTACATGGAGGATCCAAATTGATTTCTGCCAATTCCTTCTGAATGCTATACATGTTAAAAAAAAACATGTTAGTTCCCGGGTCGAGAAGGTACTCGCACTTTTTTTTTTTTTTTTTAAAAAAAGATTATCAAGTCCTGCGCATCGCATTTCTTTATAGGTTGTTGCACACAAACAACAGTGGCTGAGGAGAGAGAAGGGGTAAGGGAGATGAGAAAAATGTTTGTTCATTTTGAGAATTCAGTTCTAGAGATTTTATTTTTTTTTGCTACGCTCGTAAGGCAAGCCATGTTGAAAAACGAGATAAAAAAAAAGTAAATGTGATATGGAAGCAAGAATGAAGAAAAGACAAAACTGAAGGGAATAAAAAAAAGAAGAGTTTATTTAATGACATACCGCTTCGTGCTGCTGCTTACAGCGCTGGCGGCAGTCTTCTTCTTCTGGACAGTAGCGCGTGCTTCGGAAGAGCTCATGTTTTTGTTTATTAGTTTGTTTTTTATAATGGAAAGCCTGATAAAAGAATATATGAATAATGGATGGAAATGAAATGGGTGGATAGAATATGACCACTGGAATGAAGGTTGTACACAAATTAGTGTGGATTAAGGGTTCGTTGTATGTGATGGTTGTAATGGAAGAGAGGAGAGAAGGCGATTGAAGAAAGAGGAAAAGGAAAAAGGGAAATAAAAATGTTTTTCTTTTTCTTTCCAGAGAAAAAAAAAAAAGGTTCCTTTGCTTCCTTCGCTCAACGAGGCACGTGATCTGCATCTAACATCATTTCAATTCGCCCATCCGAAGTGAACGACAATGAGAGTGGCGCAATGGCGTAATAATAATAACAATCATAGGCTATCCCAAATACGAGAACACATCCAAGAATAATGGCAACAACAAAAAAAAAAAACTACAACAAATAATATGGACCTATGTTGCAAGATCGTCGATTTATTTGAATAGAGGTGAGGTAGAAGGAGGGTTCGTTTTTATTTGGTTCTAAGCCTTGTGGAGGGAAGAAGCACGACGCTTCTTGATCTCCTGACGCTTCTCGGCAGCCTCCTTGACACGCTTGGCGAGAAGAGCCTTGTACTCAGCCTCGGCCTCCTTGGCGTTCTCAGCACGGCGCTTCTTGAGAGCCAAACGGTGACGCTTGCGCTGAAGAACAATAGGAGTGACAAGACGCTGGATCTTGGGAGCCTTAGTGTAAGGCTTCTTCTCAGGGTTCTTGGGCTGCACCTCGCGACGGATAACGAACTTGCGAACATCATCCTCCTTGGTCAAGTTCTACAATGGTTAAATGTATATACATAAAAGCAAATGGATTGGTATTAGCATCTTGAGAAATAAACACATTATTTGCCTGTAAAGCATCTTGATGTATGCCGCTCCAATCATAAATTTAAATCCAACTTCTTCCTCAAGAAGGATTTGTGAATTCTATGCCAATCTTTCTATGTTGTCCACTGAATTATCTCGAGTTGTTGGGGAAACGAATAAGAAACTGTTGTCTATTGGTCCCGTAGAGTGTTAAATCAGATGTCTTGAACGTCGATCAGACTCTTTTTTTCCTTTTTTTTTGTTCCCGAGTAATTGATGATCTTCTGTTGATAAATAAAATAGGCTCCTGACACTCACAAGTCATCGCAATCACAAAAAAAAAAAAAAAAAAAAAAAGTTTACGTACGAAGAACTTGCGGATCTTGTTAGCACGCTTGGGTCCGAGACGTTTGGGGATAGTGGTGTCAGTAAGGCCAGGAAGCTCCTGCTCACCCTGCTTGACAATGCTGACAGAGAGGACAGACATGTCGGAGCCAACAATGCATCCACGGACGGACTTGCGCTTGCGCTCACCAGTGCGGCGAGGGCGGTAGCAAGAGTGGCCCTTGGACAACAAGAGGCGGACACGCGAGGGGAGGAGAACTCCCTGCTTCATGGGGAAACCCTGCTTGTCGTTGCCTCCAGTGATGCGGAAGACATAGCCCTTGAATTCATCGCCGAGGGAATCGACGGCGACCTCAGCAGAGATACGCTTGTCGTAGAAAATGCGACTATAGAAAGTATAAAAGCAATCAGAGATAAAAGTATTGAAGAAGAGTCAATAAGCCTATTTGCCTCCTTCATTTAGGATATAGGATATAGGATATATAACCGCAGGTTGGTGATAAAAGGTTGATCCTGCAACAATAAAAATAAATAAATATAATAAAAAGCTAAAGCCGTGACTTTTGTTGAATATTGAAAATAAGATGCTACCAGTAACGGTATAAGCAACATAGTGCGACACTGTACACCAGTCGATTGTCTGATTGCTGGGAGAGGGAGGGGGTTTTTTTTGAAAGTAGTATTCTCCTTCCAATGTCGCCAATTCCAAATTGTTTGGGGAAAAAAAATAGCCTTACGTCTTGCGCTCATCATCAAATTCGATGGTCTTCTGGCAGCCAGTGGCTGGGTTGGCAATGTTCAACTAGATAAAAAAGAAGAAAAAACATGAGTACTCAGTCATCCCAAAAAAGTGATTTCTTTTGATGAATTGTCTCCAGAAAGATAAGAATGAGTGATAGAGAATTTCCTGATTCCTGAGAAATCATCTCGAAAGAGTGAAAGTTGATCAGATCTTATTAGATCTGATAGATTAGATGAAATCATGTTCCTTGGCTTTTTAGTGAGAGTTTGGATCAGTCGAGATACAGAGTCCCCTCTTCCTTGTAAAGTCTCTGCAATAGCCACTAGCTGCCTAGCATCATCCCTTGAGCGCCGCTAAATATCAATCTCCATTGAAAGAAAAAAAAGCGATAGAATACTGACAATTGTTGAACAGAGGCTCTACATGCCATTCATCTGATGTTCGTATGATTGGTTTTTCTGAATTCTTCATTTTAGATACTGTAAGTGATGATAAGAGCTGAAGATAGACGGTGACGACGAGTAGTTTTGGGCAGATGGATCGATGGTTTGTTGAGCATATTGTTGCATCCATCCATGATAGGGGGAGGTTTCTCTGTTTCGCCTCAAGTCCTGAAGTAGGAGTGGGTTTTCCATGGGTCTAGCACGGAAAGACATTCACACGTGACTAAGGCGGAAAAAATTTATAGGTCACATAATATGCGCACCTTCATATTGAGAGGCCAGCAAAAAGAAAGATCAAACTTGGGACACACCGTTGCTGAAATTTAATACGAAATGTAAAATCGAGGAGCCAAGCCACAAAGTATCTTTTTCCATTTTGGTGGCACAGATTGAACGCGACTTAATTAAAACCTATTTGATCTATCATTAGTATAGGCGGATTCGAAACACTCATTCTGGTGTGTCAAGTGTATGAATAAATATACATATATAGAGCTTGACCACTCATTCATTAATATTTATAAAGAAGGAAACAGAAAAGAAGTTTAAAGACTTGGTAAAGAACAAGTACCTCCAAAGTGAGGAAGGTAACTCTTTGCAGTAAACATTACGTGCAGAAAAGACGTGTTAATGGGAGATCTGGTAATAGTGAGCGAAACATCGAGCCACCGTCATAGTAATTGCGGTTTTTAGATCCAAATGCTTCAACAACAGGCATTTGAACGTAATGAGTGAATATGTTGTTCTTTCCGAGAACCACAATATCAATAAATTTCTTGATCCAAAAAAAACATTGATCGTTCCACGAGTGCACGGACATCTTACACATGCCATTTTTTTGTGACGGCCCTTTTTTTCTTTTTATCACCTTTACTTTTTTTTCTGTCACAATTCCTTCATCCTTTTTCTTCTACTTACCTCTTCTTTTGCTGCATTGCTAACTTTTATTTGTATTATCTTCCGTCATAGCCATTGGCATTGTCATTATCATCCTTGATCCCCCTTGCTCCTTCTCTCTTTCTTTTACTAAAACAAGCCCTGTTCCCAAATCATGAACCCTCAAGCTGATTTCGGCACAGATTGCCTTAATTATGTCACACCCTTATCTTCGTCCTCCACTTCCTCTTCATCATTATTTTCTTCATCCCCTTCGCTTCCCCTTTCCTCTTCTACTTCCTCCATCCCCACCTCTTCCCCTTCTCCTCCTTCTTCTTCATCTGCTGTTACTATCAAATCAAAAGGCATCGTACCTTTTGTCTCATTCCGATGTGAACCCACTTTATCCACGCTCCCTCCAGAAATCCTCTCCAGGATTGCCTGTGACTTGGCTTTGCACGAATACTCATATCTTGCGCGCACTTGTTCCCGCCTGCATCGATATCTCTTCCATCCAGCGGAAATAGTTCATTTTTTAAAAGCCAGGTACCGCCTATCAGTGGAATCGGGGTCCATCATCATTTTTGCATATCTGGCCAACATGCAGATCAGAGCCCCATTGTTGTTGGAACGAATTTTTGAAGATTTTTTTGCGGATTCTCCGTTGAGGCTTCAAAAGGAGAAAGAAGAAGAAGGGGAAGAAGAGAAGCGAAAACATCAACAACGACAACAACATCAGAAGCCACTTTTGCGACAGAATACATTTCATCTCAATCAGAACAAAACGATCACGGCCAATGGAGATCAAAACAATTCTACCAGTGTAGATATCCAGCGCTTGGAAAGCCTTCAACACCATAAAGCAGTAGAAAAGGCACGACGACAAGCTAAGGGAGACGCTGTTCGTATGTTAGGTGTCCTCTACGCTCTGGATAAAACCCACGTTGGAGTAAGTTTGGGCGTTTTTTTTTTTTTTTTTTTTTTTTTTTTTTTTTAGTTTAGCTTGGGTTGCATCTGGAGTTCTTTTTTTTTTTTTTTTTTTTTTTTATAGCATCTGCAGGGTAAATGGCAGGAATAGAAAAAACACCAGGATGAAGGGGAATGACAAAAAAAGAAGGGCAGGGGGTTCGATCATTACTATTATGATATACCATGCACCCTAAAAAAAAAAGCTCTTCTAACTTTCGTTTGACTTTTTTTATTTATTTTGGGGGATTTATTATTAAGTCATCTAGTTCTTCAACGAACGCTTTGGTCCTAAGTGGAGCAAGTGACATTGCAGATCAACAATCCGTACCACCGGTGGCCCAAAATACATCAGAACCCCTGTTGAATCCAACCCAAGCGCAGACATATGATGAGTCGATGGAGCCTGTCTCAACAACTGCTGACGATGTCAAGAATATGAAGACCTGTAATAGTAACAGCAACAGTTTAGAAGGTTCAGACACTTCAGTACAATTAAATTGCCAGCCAGGTTTCCCTGTTCAACGACCATCCAGGAGGTCAATCTCATATGATGGACAGGTGCCTAGTGCCATCCATCACGATGCTTGTCAGCAACAACAGCAGCAGCAGCAACGTCAACAGTTGTGTGTTTCACACAAGCGGAATCGTCTGAACCGCCACTCTCCTTTAACCGGAAATATTCTCAAGGACAGTTCTCTTGATAAAGGAACACAAACCATAAATGCTAGTCGCAGATGTCGTTCTTTGAGCCGTTCTCACGAGCTTAGTTGGATGATTGGATTGCCTATATCACAATTGCCATCACCGTCTATATCATCCTTGCCATCAGCGCCATCCCCACGACTACCGTTTCCTTATATAACGCCTATTCCTGATCTACAACCTTCTGTATTGTCTTTCTCCCCATCCTCATCTCGTATGCAGTTACTTCCTACCACAGCAACGGCTGCTTTCTGTCACAAAGCTAAGAGGTCTGAGCAGTTCCATAAGATGAAAGGTTGTTGCAGTTGGTCGTCATTACAGGAAAGGGATACTCAAGCCGATAGCGAAGGAACCATTTCCAAGAAAGTTACAATGCATGAGCAAGGACAGTTTTCGGACGATCAGGGCATTGACTGCAATGATGATGTTGAAGAAGAAGAAAAAGAAGAAGAAGAAGAGGGAGGAATAGAAGGTGGAGATAGTAATGCTTTTGGATTGTCTAATGATCACCAGGTCCCTGCAAGCTCATTGTCACACCGATGTGCATTTTCAGGGCAACAGAGCTGTGACCATCATAGTGGCCATGGACATTTAGTACCAAATTACATTAGGGATTTGACGCGGTCTTCAATGGTATCAGATATGAGGAACAAAGGCATTGCTAGTGCCTGTACTGGAGTTGTCGCCAGTATCACATCGTACAAGATAAAAGAAGAGAGAGGATGGTATAGTCCAGTTCGGTGTGAATCAGGTGAGGGTCAAATCGGATGCAACAGTAGAAGCAACAGTAATAGCGGCGTCAGTAATGATGGATTACCTAGTAATTCTGTTATTTCTACACAGGATCCCTTGCTATTGCCACCATTACATGATGGCGCACAAAGAGGATCAATGAATGATTCGGGTACTTGTAGACAACCACAAGAAGCAAAGAAGCTAGAAGAGCAAGAACGAGAAGAACAACAACAGCAGCAGCAGCAGCAGCAGCAGCAACAACACCAAGGGCTGCAGAATGAATCAAAACAAGCACTGCCATTACAATCACCGCGGCCGATTTTGAATCGTACAGACAAGATTGCGTTTTTGACAAAGTATACAGATCGGATGCATCGCCGACTACAAGCTTTAGGGATCAAGGATTGGGGCCAACAAGATATTCAACGCAAGAAAACCTATCAGTTGATGATCCAGCATAATGATAGGACAGGAGAAAAGGACTTGGTGGCATTTTATTTGGGTCGATATGGTGGTAGTGGAGGATCAGCAGCATATCTGCCAGATGAACCACTGGAGCAGGCTCAGATTGATCAACAGCCACAGCAGACAATGGCGGCTATGGGCACAGCAAGCCCTGTAGTGACCTAAAAGAAAGAAAGTTGGGAGGAAAAAAAAAAATAATTGATGGCGTTATTTAATAGAAGAAAGTTTAGAGAAAAGAGGGAAAAAAGGATTTTTGTTGGTGAGGAAAGTTTGTTGGTGAGGAAAGCAAAAAAAATGGACTTTGTACTCACAGCCCAGAAGAACACAGCCTGATGTCATTCTAAATTTACTTTTTGTTTATTATGACCATGCCAAATAAAATGATGCACAAACACTACGTCAATAGGATCAATGAAAGATAACTAGAATCACTAGAGCAACGACCAACGGAGAGAGAGAGAAATAGAGAGAGACGAAAAGGGAAAGTAGGAAAGAGAATACGAGAAAAGAGAAAGAGAGAATAGAAAATGAAAGAGACAGCAGGAGTCTTTTCGCCCAGGAACAAGTTTCTGTGGCACCATCCCAACTTGGACCGCTGCGTTGTCTGTGGCCTGTAGCCTACAGCCTGCTACTTACCTGTCCTTTTCACCCGTTTGGCAGGTTCTTTTTTTTCTTTTCTTCTTTCTTTTCTTTCATTCCTCGTCATTCATTTCCATCGTCACTCCTCATCACTTTTTTTTTATTACTTTTTCTTTGACTATTTCTTCCAGACTATCCCATTCTTATTACTCCTTGCATATTAATACATTGTAAACTTACGCGCACCTTTAATATCGCATTATCATTTACTCCTTCAACCTATCGCTCATCAAGTACAAGTAATTAAAAGAGAGGAAAAAGAAAGACATCCAATGGCGCCTGTTCAGAGCTCTGGCAATTCTGGGCATATTCTGGAGCCTACGAAGGAGCAGGTTACTACCCTCTGGATTATGTAAGAGGCAACAATAATGGCAATGACAATGGCAATGATAATGATGATGATAATGATGATAATGATGATAATAATAATAGTAATCATCATCATCATCATCATCATATAGAGAGTGATCTAAAGAACGGGCCAACAACTCACACGAAGTAACTTTTATTTTTATTTTTTTATTTTTTAATAATAATAGTGGAGGATATATGGTTGGCATTTTACTTTTATGGCAAATGCCGATCTTGAAGCACCTTCTATACCCGTTCAAGGTGAGGCAGACAAAGACAAAGGAAAAAAGTTTTTTTAAAAAAAAAAAGAGAATGGGCAGTTAGTCACTTGATTGCTCTGTTCAAATCGCCTCTCTCCAACCTCCCTATCTCACCCCCTATTAAGTACGTGACAACACACATGGACAACAGCAATAGTGATAATATTATTATTAATATATAAGCTCGTTACAGGAACAAAAGCTACAGCCTAAACCTTCCTCGAGGTTTGGGCTAGAGTTCTGATCACTGATTCAACCCATCTCCGCACTCCATTTTTTTTTTTTTTTGTTTTTTGCTTTTCTTATTTTTCTTCTACTTTTTGGTCTGGGATCTTTAATCATATTTGTGCCTGGAAATGAATCCAATAAGGATCAAACTTATTTCTTTTTATTTCATTGGAGAACAAATAAGCTAAACACAATTTTAATCTTTTAATTTATTTTTCTTTCTGAAATAGTTGGTGACGATCGGACTACATGAATTCGGACACGCGTGTATGGCCTGTGTCAGCGGAGGAAAAGTCAAGTCGATCACAGTGGATCCTAATCTGGGAGGGTTGACAACGTATGTGGGCAACAGGAGGACACAATGTTTAGCATTGCCTGCGGGTTATTTAGGAAGTTCGCTATTGGGAGGGATCTTGGTGTTCTGTGGATTCAATGTGACGGCCTCTAAAGGTGCAGCGATCATGTTGATTGTCTGTTTGGTCTTGACGATGTTCTGGGCAAGGAACCTGTTGGCCTTTGGAATCAGTCTATTCTTTGCAGGCATCGTGGGATTCTTGTGGTGGTTGGATGGTGGAAGATATCTAAAGTATTTCACACTTTTCCTTGGGTAAGCCATTTTGCTGTTCTGACTGTTAAAACTGAAATATGGACTATTGCCATTATTGTTGTTGTTATTCAGGGCTAAAGGAAATGGATGAGATGTTGACCTTTTTTTTCTTTTATATATATATATATATATATATATATATAGGGTTATGAGCTGCATTTACAGTATACTGGAGATCTTGGATATGCTAGTGTTGAGAAAGTCGAATGGATCGGATGCAGAGCAGTTTGCAGAAAAGTACGGGATCTTTCCTGCACAGGGATGGGGTTTTATTTGGTTGCTGATCTCGCTGATCTTCCTCGTGGGTGCAGTCCTTGCAGGTCTAGCAGCATTCAAGGATGATGGCACAGGAGGCACCTCGGGCGGTGCTTCAAACTCCGGAACAAACTAAAAAATTGAGACTATCAAGACCCTTTTCTTACTATTGTATACTTTCTATACCTTCTTGCGAGTGTCTTTTTTATTTTGTAGATATTTATATACAGTAAATACACATGCAACCAAGAACGAAATAAAAAAAAAAAGAATAAACAGATGAATATTTATAATACGCACACACACAGACACACAGACACACGTATATATTATAAATATATATATATGAATGTATTTGTCACTATGACATATGATAAAAAGAATGCCAGGGTTATAGTTAAAACCATTACCAATCCTCCTCTAGTCTCCCTTGCAGTAGCTATATATTGTATAATATATTTATATGTGCATTGATCTGTATATTTGTGTCTTGGGTATATAATCTCACATGATTACATTAACAATAACGACAAGACGCTTTGTGCTTTATTGTTTTCTAAAAAAGTAAATAAAAAGTGATAATCCCACTTTTTTATTTTATTTTGTTTGTTCTTTGATCAAAACGTTTTAAAAGAAGGGGGAACAGGTAGGGGACTATAAGACAGGGGATGGAGGGGGGGAAAGGAAAAGGAAAGAGAGACAGAGAGAGAGAGAGAGAGAGAGAGAGAGAGAGAGAGAGAGACGCGAATCCAAAACTGAACGCGTCAACACAGCAGAGAAAAAGAAAAAGAAAAATACGCAAACAAAAAAGGAAACAAATGAAACACGTCAGTAACGTTATGAAGAAGAAATAGGGAATAGAAAGAAAGAAGAAGAGGAAGAAGAGGAAGAAGAGGAAGAAGTAAGGGGGGCAGGAAAGAGAAAACAGAGGCTAATGTGTCGAATCAAAAAGCTTGTATCAAAGCCCAGAGGGTTGGATCAGGATACTTTAACATAGCTCTTTACGTGTATGTATATAAATATGAATGATTAGAGCGAGGCGTGTGGTGATGTGGAGAAAACGGGATAGGAGGGAGGCGAACGAGGAGGGGGCGAAGGGCGGCGGCGAACGAACAGACGTCAAAAAAAGAATAATGAAAGGTGAGGGCTGGACAGGGCTCTTGCATGATTTTTCTTTCTTACAAGGCTAACGATTTTTTTTTTTTTTTTTTTATTTTTCATTCATTCTCTCTGTTTAATCCGATCAAAAAATCGATCAATGAAAAAACTTGTTTGTTGTTGTTGCAGGCAGTTGCGGTTGTGTTTCAATGCTTTTCTTTGTTTCTTCCTTCTTCTCCTTTGTATGTATTATATATATGGATATATATATATATGTGTGTGTGTATATGTGTTTTTCTTTATTGCTTCTCTCTTTTGATGATCCTAAAAGAAGAAGAAGAGGAGGAAGAAAATGGTCAGTCAACAAAATACATGAGTTGTGTGCTCCATGTCGGTTTATTATTGTTATTGCATGTTAATGTTATTTACCTCTTTCGGTACAATATCCGCGCACGCAGCGTGCTTTGCCTGTTGTCTCTAATTAAATGTGCATATTAAAAAAAATGTGAGAATGTGAGGATGTGAGGATGTGATAATGTGAAAATGAGTTTATGGCTCTTTATCATATTAAAGTGCCCTTCTCTCTCTTATATTCTTCTCTTTCTCATATCCTTCTCTCTTGCAATCTCTCTTTTCTTGATTTCGTTTAAACTTTCATTTCTTCATGCTCTATGCCGTTGGGGGGTTTTTTTTATTTTTTTTTTTATGATTGTCGCCCTATTTGCTTGCTTACTTGCGTTTTTTTTTGTCGCACAGGTCGAACCATAGACCAAAAAAAAAAAAAAAAAAAAAAAACATCTCATTTCTGGTGCACGCCTTGGTGCAGCATGGCCTTGCACATGTTTACAGTAATGGAGAGATCAGAGGCTTAAAAATTATATACATATACAATCGACTCTGTCCAAGTGCTAACTGCAACGACCCCTTCTACCCGCATTATATTTATGTATATATTATTTAGCGCATAAATTGAATACAATCAAGAATCAAGAAAAAAAAAGCTTATCAAGTGCGGACTGATGAAGGCATTTCTGTATATCCCATGCAGACGGCAATGCTTTATTTGATCAACAAGCAAACATCTTTGTGTCTTGATCCTGGAATTGCTAGAGCAGAACATCACCGCTGATCAATTTTAGGATTGACTGAGATCATGGATATGAAGGCTTTGATGCTTAAACGTTTTCGGACTCACTAACCTACTCACATAACTACTGAAAGTTCATATTAGGATTTTCTTGATATTTCTTGCAGAGATTAAAGCTGTGTGCCTTTGCCAAGGCGCCAGGGTACTGGAGAGGGGTTGCGAAGCATTGATGCTTCATGAATGTGAGATAAAAGAAATAAAATAAAATATGAGTTTAAATGGAATGACCACTTCAAGTAAAAAACCTCATAACTGCTACCCTGTCTACGTGCAACGCAAAAGGCCCGTCTAAGACTTTGCACTTAGCGAGAGCAAACTATATTTTAATTCATTTACACTTGGAGTAACGAATCGTTACTCTGGCGTAGCCACTTTATTTTAGTTGGAGTAACGATTCGTTACTCCAGCATAATAACCTCTCTATTTCGTGGAGTGACGATTCGTTACTCCAGCTTAGACACCTTCTCATTCAGCGTAGACACCTTTCTTTTAGTTGGAGTAACGATTCGTTACTCCAGCATAATAACCTCTCTATTTCGTGGAGTGACGATTCGTTACTCCAGCTTAGACACCTTCTCATTCAGCGTAGACACCTTTCTTTTAGTTGGAGTAACGATTCGTTACTCCAGCATAATAACCTCTCTATTTCGTGGAGTGACGATTCGTTACTCCAGCTTAGACACCTTCTCATTCAGCGTAGACACCTTTCTTTTAGTTGGAGTAACGATTCGTTACTCCAGCATAATAACCTCTCTATTTCGTGGAGTGACGATTCGTTACTCCAGCTTAGACACCTTCTCATTCAGCGTAGACACCTTTCTTTTAGTTGGAGTAACGATTCGTTACTCCAGCATAATAACCTCTCTATTTCGTGGAGTGACGATTCGTTACTCCAGCTTAGACACCTTCTCATTCAGCGTAGACACCTTTCTTTTAGTTGGAGTAACGATTCGTTATCACAGGCAATTTGATCTGAAAATGAATTTCAACATAATCGCGGCCTACATATTTTACTTTTCAAGTTTGCATGTGGCATTCATTTTTTTTTTTTAATCCATTCTGTGTGGTCTTTATTTTATATATTTCTCTCTCTTTACCTCTCTTTCCCTCTCTTTGTCTTTAAGCTCTTTAGCTCTCTATTCATCAATTACATTGTGATTGCCCATTTATTTTCGCTTTTTGGATCCTTATTTATTTGTTTGGTCAATTTAATATTGCTACCTTTGTATTCTAAGCTTGCTTGCTTCAAGGTCGTTTCTTTTGACTTCCTTTGTCTTTCCCTGTGTTTTTGTACTCTTTTTCTTGTCATCTCCTACTTTGTTATTGCTTTTTCTTGTCCTATCCTGCTAAATTCTTGCTTTTTGCCCATCTCCCTGCCTTTTCATGGAATTTCTACTCTTTTTCTTGTCTTTTCGTTTCTTTAATGCTTCGATGAAAGAAAAGTAGTCTGTATATACACATGAGGACTTTGATATATGTTGAGCTAGATGTGTCGAACTAAGCTTCATAAGGTTGAAGGAGTGGAGCGCAGATTGAACCTTGTCTAGGATTAGCGCGAGAAGTCTAAAGCTCCGGAAGTTGAAGTCGTAATGCTTAGACCACGTGAGCTTGGATACTCTCTTTTCTGGTTAGAAAAACTGAAGGAGGTCTAGAGAAATGAATGCTTGTTCTCTTTCGACTTTTGTTTTCCGTGTGTCCAAACCTTGCATCCATCTTAACTTTATTTTCATTCCGCTCATCTTTTCAATCATCCTCTGTCAAGATATAATTTATTTCTTTTGAGCAACGAGCCTTTACTATCAGGTTCGGCATCTACGTAGGTTCTTCTAGTATCATACGGATCCGCTTTTCAACCGCTTTAGTCACCTTGCCCCTGTTCACATCAGAGATCTCACTTTGCAACCTTCCGGCAATCTCTGTAAGACACTTGCTAACGTCCTTGGAAACCGGGACCTTCTCCTCATCTACCATCACTGCAAGCATCCGATTAACAGCGTCAAGGATCTCACAACCTCTGTCGTTATGAGCAAAAGCATCGGCAACACATCTCTCCACTTCGGTCTTAACAAGCTTATGGTTGGTATACAGTTGATAAAACACGAAAGCGGCAGCCTTGACGCCAGACCATACCCCGTTGATCTTGTATTCCCACAGTGTCTTCAAAGTGGCAGGCATAGTCTTGTAGAAGTTGAACTCTACGCAGGCAGCAGCATAGGTCTCGAATGTTGACTGCACGTGAAACTTGGATCGTGTCTGCCGCTCCAGGTTGTTGAAGGAGTCTTCACTTCCATTCTTTCGGACCCAAACGTGCGAGCTTCGGTGAGGATAGAAATCTGGGTTGTGGGGACCCACAACAACCTTACCGTTTGTCAAGATAACAGCCAGTGTCACCAAGGCGTTCCATCCGAGCGTCCCAATCATAACCTTGTCCGCGTTGTCGTGCCGCGAGTTGACCACGCTGAACGGATTACGCCCTGGCAGGGCAACATCTTGGCCCTGTGCATCCTGACTCGGAAGGCGACCGTACACCTCAACCTTGAGAGCAAGAAGCACCGCGTCGCCTGACTGGATCAAGAGACCAGCAAGCGTCCTTGCAAGAGACTTACCGTTGCTACCAAAAGGCATACGCCAAATACCATCGCCACTCTCGGCTGCCTTAAAATCTTCACCATTGACCAGACCGCCATAACGATGCGCTTTTAGCGCAACCTCCAGCTCAACGTCCTTGACCTCGGACTCACACCGTCGCTTGAGGGGCCGTACATAAGCTACTGAGCCGCTCTGTAGCCGCTTGGTCCCACTCGTCAAGAGGAGAGCGAATGCCCTGCTACCGTCCTCAAGTCTTAGCTCAGCCGGCTCAAATATTTCCTGACTGCATCGAGCAGTCGCAGCGTGCTTGGTAATATCGACGAGTTCTTTTTCAAACTCGACCAGGGCCTGCTCTTCACTGTCTGAATCCTGCTTCCACGACAGACAATCGCATGAATGTGCGCACATCTGCTTTACCGAAGCGCACTCGTGGCCGCAGTGTGGACATGGGAGTGGGTACGACAACTCACTCAGCCCCGTACAACGCCCTAGATGCTTAGATAGTCCAGGACGCGACCCAAAAGACGACGGGCACCATGAGCACTTGAGGGGATGTATTCTATTTTTTGAACCGTCGTGGCTCTCATGCTTGTGTTTTCGGAGACTGCCCAAGCTCTTCATCACTTTTCCACAAAGAAGGCAAACATGCTTGTCGCCTTCCGTAGTGTCAAGGACGCCCTGACTGCCATCGACGACATTACTAATGGGTAGATTGTCAGACATTGTGAGAATGAAGAGTGAATGCAAAATACAGAATACAAATGATTCCCAAGTAACACTTTATCCTCTACAGTGCAAACGTGCCGGGAATAATTCCGTCCCACTCTTCCGTCCCGCTCTTTCGTCCCACTCTTCCGTCCCGCTCTTTCGTCCCGCTCTTTCGTCCCGCTCTCCCGTCCCTCCCAATGCGCTCTATCCACTCTTGACTCATGCATTGTCGCTCAAAGGGCACACCCCTTTCTTTCCATGAAAGTATCTTTACTCGAGTATGACGCCTTGTTTCCTTGGACCCATGATTCCACTGTAGAGGATAAAGTGTTACTTGGGAATCATTTGTATTCTGTATTTTGCATTCACTCTTCATTCTCACAATGTCTGACAATCTACCCATTAGTAATGTCGTCGATGGCAGTCAGGGCGTCCTTGACACTACGGAAGGCGACAAGCATGTTTGCCTTCTTTGTGGAAAAGTGATGAAGAGCTTGGGCAGTCTCCGAAAACACAAGCATGAGAGCCACGACGGTTCAAAAAATAGAATACATCCCCTCAAGTGCTCATGGTGCCCGTCGTCTTTTGGGTCGCGTCCTGGACTATCTAAGCATCTAGGGCGTTGTACGGGGCTGAGTGAGTTGTCGTACCCACTCCCATGTCCACACTGCGGCCACGAGTGCGCTTCGGTAAAGCAGATGTGCGCACATTCATGCGATTGTCTGTCGTGGAAGCAGGATTCAGACAGTGAAGAGCAGGCCCTGGTCGAGTTTGAAAAAGAACTCGTCGATATTACCAAGCACGCTGCGACTGCTCGATGCAGTCAGGAAATATTTGAGCCGGCTGAGCTAAGACTTGAGGACGGTAGCAGGGCATTCGCTCTCCTCTTGACGAGTGGGACCAAGCGGCTACAGAGCGGCTCAGTAGCTTATGTACGGCCCCTCAAGCGACGGTGTGAGTCCGAGGTCAAGGACGTTGAGCTGGAGGTTGCGCTAAAAGCGCATCGTTATGGCGGTCTGGTCAATGGTGAAGATTTTAAGGTAGCCGAGAGTGGCGATGTGCAAAAGTCAAGGTAGTGTTCTAGGGGGATCTAAGGGTGCAATAAAGGTATCTTTATTCAGGGGGAACTATGCTACAGAACTAGATAGAAAAGTAGACCTATTTATACTAGTTAATATCCTGTTGCAAGGAATGCTCTAGAAATATGGGCGAAATACTATGTTGCACAAAATTATTATAGTGATTTCGCTTGCATCCTTCCCGTCATGAAGAAACCTATTATCTTGTTTTTCTTGAAGCCTCAAAGACGGCAAGCGCCTCTTTAGCGTTTGCGAGCGAAGATTTTGTTTCCCAAGTGGCTTCATCTAATGGATAGCCTTTCCAAAGAACGAGCCACTTAGGAGTTTTGCCAAACATTTTGAAGTCAATGATTTTGTCGACTTCATACTCCTCTTCTCCATCTACAAGCTCGGGGGCAGGGCGTGGTGGTAAGCGGTCGCCGAATTCACGAGGTGACTCAATATAGGGGCGAAGCAGATCGGCATTAAAGACTGGATGCTGATGCATGTCAGGCGGTAGTTCCAGCTTGTAGGCATTTTCATTGACCTTCGAAATGATCTTGTAAGGGCCTATGTACTCAGGTTCTAGTTTCTGCGACGGCCTATTTTTATGTCCCGCGACAGAGATGTTTTCCGAGCTTAAGAGCACCATGTCACCCACAGCAAACGTAGCAGGCCTGCGAGTTTTGTCCGTTTGGGCCTTTTGCCTATTCTGCGCTTCGATGATGGCATCCTGAGCTAGCGCCAAATTCATCGACTGGGTTCGAACAAAATCACTGACAGCCGGAACATTGGTATCAGGTGGCTTTAAAAGAGATCCAGGGACTAGTGGATGGTGACCATAGTTCAGAAAGAATGGGGAGAAGCCTGTCGTAGGATTGACAGAGTTGTTGTATGCGAACTCCATCATAGGCAGTAAAAGATCCCAGTCGTTTTGCTTGTACGATATGTAAGAGCGGAGCATTTCTTCTAATGTTCTGTTGGCGCGCTCTGTTTGTCCGTCTGATTGTGGATGGAAGGCAGTAGACATGTTAAGTTTGGTGCCCATGAGCTTCATCAACGTTGTCCAGAACTTGCCGGTGAAACGTGAATCTCTGTCTGACACAATTGTCCGAGGCATGCCGTGCAGTCTAAAAACATTGTCGAAAAAGAGTCGTGCAACATCAGAGGCAGTGTCGGTAGTTCGGCTAGCGCAGAAATGAACTTGCTTGGACAGTTTGTCCACAAAGACCGTAATCGCGTCAAAACCTCTGGCTGTCTTCGGAAGCTTGACAATGAAGTCCATTGTTACAGTATCCCATCGTTGGCTTGGAATTGCCAAAGGTTGGAAAAGCCCTGCAGGAGGCTTTAGTGAAGGCTTGTTACGCTGGCATTGCTCACAGGAAGCAATGTATTTTTTTATATCCCTCGCCATGCGTGGCCAAAAATATGTTCGTCGCATGCTACTGTACGTTTTATCGAATCCCAAGTGGCCTGATATAGGAGCGTCGTGAGCGTCATGCAAGAGTTGTGAACGGAGTCCGTCGTCCTTGGGTATGCAGAGGCGAGGGCCTTGTCCAGCGTTGATCCAGAGTAGACCATCCACCACGAAGTAACGATCCGAGGTAGAGGCATCCTTATACTGATGCACGAGGGGACCTAGAATTGGATCGTGTAGGTAGCAACTGGCTAGTTGTTTTCGAATGCCAGGGTCTAGATTGATATCCAAGGAGTTCAAAGTAGTAGGTGTAGCCTCCAAGTCCTTGAGGTCCGGTCTTCGTGAAAGAGCATCAGGGACGACGTTATCTTTACCAGGTTTATACCTGAATACGAAATCATACTCTTGAAGCAACTCCATCCATCTTGCTTGTCTGCGAGTCAAGTTCGGCTGGCTAGGAAAATGTTGTAGAGTGGCATGGTCGGTATAAACGACAAAGTGAGAACCATCAAGGTAGTATCGCCATGTCTTCAGAGCATGCACCACAGCCAGCAGTTCTTGTTCGTGTGTAGGATAGTTGCGTTCCGCTGGGTTGAGCTTACGTGAAGTAAAAGCTACTGGTCGTGATTCACCATTTTGGTCCGTCTGGAACAGGACAGCACCAATTGCAAAGCCTGAAGCGTCTGTTTCGACTGCTGTAGAGAGGGCAGGATCGAATATCCTAAGAACTGGTGCTGAGCTCACTGCTCTTTTCAAAGTCTCAAAGGCGTCTTGTTGAGATTTTCCCCAGTGGAATTCCTTATTGGAGCCTAACAATTGTGTGAGGGGAAGAGCAATATCAGCGTAATGAGAAATGTACTGATGGTAAAAATTAGTCAAACCAAGGAATTGCATCACATGTCGTTGGGTTGTTGGTACTGGCCATTCCCTTATTGCCTTGACAAGTCCGCCATTCGTCTTGAGTCCATCCTTGGATATGACATGGCCTAGGAACTCAGTCTCTTCCTGCATGAAGGAACACTTGGATAATTTACAATAAAGCCCAGCTTGACGCAAGAGGGAGAGTACTTGTCGGATGTGCTCTAAGTGATCTTTCTCGTTATCGGAGTAAATTAAAATATCATCGAGATACACAACAACACATTTATCAAGAAGTGGATCAAGTACGTTACGCATCATAGTCGAGAACGCTGCAGGTGCATTTGTAAGACCGAAAGGTACGACGTTAAACTCGTAGTGGCCATAGCGAGTTCGGAACGCGGTCTTGTGTTTATCATCAGGATGGACACGCATTTGATGATAGCCCGAGAGTAGATCCAGCTTGGTAAAACATTTAGCTGTTCTGAATCTGTCGATCAATTCATCGATCCGTGGTAAGGGGTACCTGTTTTTCTTTGTGATCTTGTTCAGGCCCCGATAATCAACACACATTCGAAGCGAGCCATCCTTTTTCTTCACAAAGAGGACTGGAGCACCGTATGGTGAGGTGCTCGGTGAGATTAATCCTTTTTGTAAAAGATCAGTTAGCTGCTTCTTCAGTTCATCAAGCTCAGCGATCGACAATCTGATGACAGGTCGGACAGGTGGGTCAGCATAAGGGTCAGTCTCTATACGCATGCTATCACCTCTGTCAGGGGGAAGGCCATCGGGAAGTGTTGTAGGAAAGACATCAGGGAATTCGACTTGAACGATTTGCTTGATAGAGTCCGGTAGTTCAGAACTACTGCTAGAGACAGGTACTGGAACTCGAACTTGGGCGAGGAATACAGAGGCATCAGGTTCCGAGGCAACGGTAAGGAAGTTAAGAGCAGATATGACGGAAGATCGCTGTCTAGGCTTCCTGTCGATGCCAGTGCAAGGCCACAAGACCGGGGTACCTTGGTATTCAAAATGCAGATCATTTGTTCGCCAATTGATGCGAGGGTTGATATCCGTCAGCCATGGTTTACCCAAAATTAGGTCGTATTTGGATAGAGGATAAACAATGGCGTTGATTTTATCCTGATACGCGTTGCGGGCGAGGGTGAACGTGGCTGTGTGCTGAGCAATTGTCTCGGTACCGTTGGGAAGAATGACAGGAATGGGTCTACCCTCAATTAGCGGAACATGTGTGTTCTCGCAGAAAGAGGAACTTATGACATTGCCTTCGGCCCCTCCATCTACAAGAATGCGCGCAGGTCGACCATTCACTGCTCCAATGAAAGTAAGGAGTCGGCGAGAGTTTTTATGTTTGTCATAGGTAAGGCTGAAGGATTGAAGGCGAATTTCGTTACGACAATGGGAGTGGCGATTGGATGAACTAGGGGTAGATGAATGAGTGGAAGTGAGTGAAGTGGAAACAGTGAAAGGATCAGTGGAGGGGAAAATAGGGTCGGAGAGGGGATTGTTTTTTAGCAATGAGGAATGAGTAGGGGAATGGGGATCAGGATGAGGTGAATACTTAGAGAGTAGATGTAAGGAAGTAGATGCAGTGGGAGCAATAGAGTGATCAGAAAGGGGCATGGATGTTATATTTGTGCACAAAGGATTTTTATTTGTAGTCATCAACTGTAACTGACCATGCCCTCTATTATCCAGGGCTTGAAGGCTGGGGCTAGAGGGGGCGAGGCAGGCCTGGTTTACTGCTCGCCCTCCTCTTTTCCCGACTCAGAAAGCGTATGGTCATTGTTTTCTATATTAAAGACAGAGGTGCGTTGGCATTGTTCGGCTCTATGACCTCGGTTCCGGCATCTGAAACAACGCCCCTCACGAACGCAACGTTCTCGTTCAGCTGCTGTGAGCTTGGGTAGCGAGCTTGGCTTGGAGTGGTTTCTGTTTGGTCGTTGCTGATGGAGAGAGGTGTACAGGTTGGCAACCAACATTCTCATGTTATCGAGATCCATTGGTGTAGGGCCAGAATTATTCTCATGATGGGGTGATAAGGCGTTCGGGGTAGCGGATACAGGGGTGGCATCGATGGGATGTAGAATACTGTGGACAATGGTCGCCTGCTCAATGGCATCGTCCAACGTCTCTGGCTGTCTAAGTCTTACCTGCTTGCTTGTTTCAGGCTCAAGGCCTAGCATGTATTTTTGCAAAGCAGAGTCTTTGTCGAGATTTGTAGCCAGACGTAGGTGGCTTCTAAACTTGCTCGTATATTCTGCCACACTCATCCTTCCCTGACGAAGTTTATCCAACGCTCGGCGAGCTGCATTCGCAGAATCTGGAGGGGTGAACTGACGGAGGAATGCTTTACGGAAGTCAGCCCAAGGTGTATCGAGATTCAACCCGGAATCTCTCCACCATGCCTTGGCTTCGCCATTGAGACTGAGGACAGCGTATCGAACCCATTTGGATGGCGTGAGTGTGACAATAGTGTAATACTCCTCCAGGCTGTCGACAAAGTTTAAGGCTGCAACAGCGTTAATAGCTCCTTCGTAAGGCGTAGGCTTCTGTGGCTTTAGGACCGTGGCGAGGGTTCTGGCTAGGTCATTCTCAGCGGCTTCGTTGGCTTTAGCAGTAGAGAGGGCCTGATTAAAAGCAGTAGCTATGGCTTCGCGAATGTTCAGAGGAAGATCGATGGACGAAAGGGCGTTATTCAAGTGTTCCATGGCGAGGGGTGAAATTCAATGGTAATTGTAGTTCTCTGGGTGTGGTCGTGGTTTCCTTTGCTACCAATGCAAAAGTCAAGGTAGTGTTCTAGGGGGATCTAAGGGTGCAATAAAGGTATCTTTATTCAGGGGGAACTATGCTACAGAACTAGATAGAAAAGTAGACCTATTTATACTAGTTAATATCCTGTTGCAAGGAATGCTCTAGAAATATGGGCGAAATACTATGTTGCACAAAATTATTATAGTGATTTCGCTTGCACGATGGTATTTGGCGTATGCCTTTTGGTAGCAACGGTAAGTCTCTTGCAAGGACGCTTGCTGGTCTCTTGATCCAGTCAGGCGACGCGGTGCTTCTTGCTCTCAAGGTTGAGGTGTACGGTCGCCTTCCGAGTCAGGATGCACATGGCCAAGATGTTGCCCTGCCAGGGCGTAATCCGTTCAGCGTGGTCAACTCGCGGCACGACAACGCGGACAAGGTTATGATTGGGACGCTCGGATGGAACGCCTTGGTGACACTGGCTGTTATCTTGACAAACGGTAAGGTTGTTGTGGGTCCCCACAACCCAGATTTCTATCCTCACCGAAGCTCGCACGTTTGGGTCCGAAAGAATGGAAGTGAAGACTCCTTCAACAACCTGGAGCGGCAGACACGATCCAAGTTTCACGTGCAGTCAACATTCGAGACCTATGCTGCTGCCTGCGTAGAGTTCAACTTCTACAAGACTATGCCTGCCACTTTGAAGACACTGTGGGAATACAAGATCAACGGGGTATGGTCTGGCGTCAAGGCTGCCGCTTTCGTGTTTTATCAACTGTATACCAACCATAAGCTTGTTAAGACCGAAGTGGAGAGATGTGTTGCCGATGCTTTTGCTCATAACGACAGAGGTTGTGAGATCCTTGACGCTGTTAATCGGATGCTTGCAGTGATGGTAGATGAGGAGAAGGTCCCGGTTTCCAAGGACGTTAGCAAGTGTCTTACAGAGATTGCCGGAAGGTTGCAAAGTGAGATCTCTGATGTGAACAGGGGCAAGGTGACTAAAGCGGTTGAAAAGCGGATCCGTATGATACTAGAAGAACCTACGTAGATGCCGAACCTGATAGTAAAGGCTCGTTGCTCAAAAGAAATAAATTATATCTTGACAGAGGATGATTGAAAAGATGAGCGGAATGAAAATAAAGTTAAGATGGATGCAAGGTTTGGACACACGGAAAACAAAAGTCGAAAGAGAACAAGCATTCATTTCTCTAGACCTCCTTCAGTTTTTCTAACCAGAAAAGAGAGTATCCAAGCTCACGTGGTCTAAGCATTACGACTTCAACTTCCGGAGCTTTAGACTTCTCGCGCTAATCCTAGACAAGGTTCAATCTGCGCTCCACTCCTTCAACCTTATGAAGCTTAGTTCGACACATCTAGCTCAACATATATCAAAGTCCTCATGTGTATATACAGACTACTTTTCTTTCATCGAAGCATTAAAGAAACGAAAAGACAAGAAAAAGAGTAGAAATTCCATGAAAAGGCAGGGAGATGGGCAAAAAGCAAGAATTTAGCAGGATAGGACAAGAAAAAGCAATAACAAAGTAGGAGATGACAAGAAAAAGAGTACAAAAACACAGGGAAAGACAAAGGAAGTCAAAAGAAACGACCTTGAAGCAAGCAAGCTTAGAATACAAAGGTAGCAATATTAAATTGACCAAACAAATAAATAAGGATCCAAAAAGCGAAAATAAATGGGCAATCACAATGTAATTGATGAATAGAGAGCTAAAGAGCTTAAAGACAAAGAGAGGGAAAGAGAGGTAAAGAGAGAGAAATATATAAAATAAAGACCACACAGAATGGATTAAAAAAAAAAAATGAATGCCACATGCAAACTTGAAAAGTAAAATATGTAGGCCGCGATTATGTTGAAATTCATTTTCAGATCAAATTGCCTGTGATAACGAATCGTTACTCCAACTAAAAGAAAGGTGTCTACGCTGAATGAGAAGGTGTCTAAGCTGGAGTAACGAATCGTCACTCCACGAAATAGAGAGGTTATTATGCTGGAGTAACGAATCGTTACTCCAACTAAAAGAAAGGTGTCTACGCTGAATGAGAAGGTGTCTAAGCTGGAGTAACGAATCGTCACTCCACGAAATAGAGAGGTTATTATGCTGGAGTAACGAATCGTTACTCCAACTAAAAGAAAGGTGTCTACGCTGAATGAGAAGGTGTCTAAGCTGGAGTAACGAATCGTCACTCCACGAAATAGAGAGGTTATTATGCTGGAGTAACGAATCGTTACTCCAACTAAAAGAAAGGTGTCTACGCTGAATGAGAAGGTGTCTAAGCTGGAGTAACGAATCGTCACTCCACGAAATAGAGAGGTTATTATGCTGGAGTAACGAATCGTTACTCCAACTAAAAGAAAGGTGTCTACGCTGAATGAGAAGGTGTCTAAGCTGGAGTAACGAATCGTCACTCCACGAAATAGAGAGGTTATTATGCTGGAGTAACGAATCGTTACTCCAACTAAAAGAAAGGTGTCTACGCTGAATGAGAAGGTGTCTAAGCTGGAGTAACGAATCGTCACTCCACGAAATAGAGAGGTTATTATGCTGGAGTAACGAATCGTTACTCCAACTAAAAGAAAGGTGTCTACGCTGAATGAGAAGGTGTCTAAGCTGGAGTAACGAATCGTCACTCCACGAAATAGAGAGGTTATTATGCTGGAGTAACGAATCGTTACTCCAACTAAAAGAAAGGTGTCTACGCTGAATGAGAAGGTGTCTAAGCTGGAGTAACGAATCGTCACTCCACGAAATAGAGAGGTTATTATGCTGGAGTAACGAATCGTTACTCCAACTAAAATAAAGTGGCTACGCCAGAGTAACGATTCGTTACTCCAAGTGTAAATGAATTAAAATATAGTTTGCTCTCGCTAAGTGCAAAGTCTTAGACGGGCCTTTTGCGTTGCACGTAGACAGGGTAGCAGTTATGAGGTTTTTTACTTGAAGTGGTCATTCCATTTAAACTCATATTTTATTTTATTTCTTTTATCTCACATTCATGAAGCATCAATGCTTCGCAACCCCTCTCCAGTACCCTGGCGCCTTGGCAAAGGCACACAGCTTTAATCTCTGCAAGAAATATCAAGAAAATCCTAATATGAACTTTCAGTAGTTATGTGAGTAGGTTAGTGAGTCCGAAAACGTTTAAGCATCAAAGCCTTCATATCCATGATCTCAGTCAATCCTAAAATTGATCAGCGGTGATGTTCTGCTCTAGCAATTCCAGGATCAAGACACAAAGATGTTTGCTTGTTGATCAAATAAAGCATTGCCGTCTGCATGGGATATACAGAAATGCCTTCATCAGTCCGCACTTGATAAGCTTTTTTTTTCTTGATTCTTGATTGTATTCAATTTATGCGCTAAATAATATATACATAAATATAATGCGGGTAGAAGGGGTCGTTGCAGTTAGCACTTGGACAGAGTCGATTGTATATGTATATAATTTTTAAGCCTCTGATCTCTCCATTACTGTAAACATGTGCAAGGCCATGCTGCACCAAGGCGTGCACCAGAAATGAGATGTTTTTTTTTTTTTTTTTTTTTTTGGTCTATGGTTCGACCTGTGCGACAAAAAAAAACGCAAGTAAGCAAGCAAATAGGGCGACAATCATAAAAAAAAAAATAAAAAAAACCCCCCAACGGCATAGAGCATGAAGAAATGAAAGTTTAAACGAAATCAAGAAAAGAGAGATTGCAAGAGAGAAGGATATGAGAAAGAGAAGAATATAAGAGAGAGAAGGGCACTTTAATATGATAAAGAGCCATAAACTCATTTTCACATTATCACATCCTCACATCCTCACATTCTCACATTTTTTTTAATATGCACATTTAATTAGAGACAACAGGCAAAGCACGCTGCGTGCGCGGATATTGTACCGAAAGAGGTAAATAACATTAACATGCAATAACAATAATAAACCGACATGGAGCACACAACTCATGTATTTTGTTGACTGACCATTTTCTTCCTCCTCTTCTTCTTCTTTTAGGATCATCAAAAGAGAGAAGCAATAAAGAATAACACATATACACACACATATATATATATATATATATCCATATATATAATACATACAAAGGAGAAGAAGGAAGAAACAAAGAAAAGCATTGAAACACAACCGCAACTGCCTGCAACAACAACAAACAAGTTTTTTCATTGATCGATTTTTGATCGGATTAAACAGAGAGAATGAATGAAAAATAAAAAAAAAAAAAAAAAATCGTTAGCCTTGTAAGAAAGAAAAATCATGCAAGAGCCCTGTCCAGCCCTCACCTTTCATTATTCTTTTTTTGACGTCTGTTCGTTCGCCGCCGCCCTTCGCCCCCTCCTCGTTCGCCTCCCTCCTATCCCGTTTTCTCCACATCACCACACGCCTCGCTCTAATCATTCATATTTATATACATACACGTAAAGAGCTATGCTAAAGTATCCTGATCCAACCCCCTGGGCTTTGATACAAGCTTTTTGATTCGACACATTAGCCTCTGCTTTCTCTTTCCTGCCCCCCTTACTTCTTCCTCTTCTTCCTCTTCTTCCTCTTCTTCTTTCTTTCTATTCCCTATTTCTTCTTCATAACGTTACTGACGTGTTTCATTTGTTTCCTTTTTTGTTTGCGTATTTTTCTTTTTCTTTTTCTCTGCTGTGTTGACGCGTTCAGTTTTGGATTCGCGTCTCTCTCTCTCTCTCTCTCTCTCTCTCTCTCTCTCTCTCTCTGTCTCTCTTTCCTTTTCCTTTCCCCCCCTCCATCCCCTGTCTTATAGTCCCCTACCTGTTCCCCCTTCTTTTAAAACGTTTTGATCAAAGAACAAACAAAATAAAATAAAAAAGTGGGATTATCACTTTTTATTTACTTTTTTAGAAAACAATAAAGCACAAAGCGTCTTGTCGTTATTGTTAATGTAATCATGTGAGATTATATACCCAAGACACAAATATACAGATCAATGCACATATAAATATATTATACAATATATAGCTACTGCAAGGGAGACTAGAGGAGGATTGGTAATGGTTTTAACTATAACCCTGGCATTCTTTTTATCATATGTCATAGTGACAAATACATTCATATATATATATTTATAATATATACGTGTGTCTGTGTGTCTGTGTGTGTGCGTATTATAAATATTCATCTGTTTATTCTTTTTTTTTTTATTTCGTTCTTGGTTGCATGTGTATTTACTGTATATAAATATCTACAAAATAAAAAAGACACTCGCAAGAAGGTATAGAAAGTATACAATAGTAAGAAAAGGGTCTTGATAGTCTCAATTTTTTAGTTTGTTCCGGAGTTTGAAGCACCGCCCGAGGTGCCTCCTGTGCCATCATCCTTGAATGCTGCTAGACCTGCAAGGACTGCACCCACGAGGAAGATCAGCGAGATCAGCAACCAAATAAAACCCCATCCCTGTGCAGGAAAGATCCCGTACTTTTCTGCAAACTGCTCTGCATCCGATCCATTCGACTTTCTCAACACTAGCATATCCAAGATCTCCAGTATACTGTAAATGCAGCTCATAACCCTATATATATATATATATATATATATATATATAAAAGAAAAAAAAAGGTCAACATCTCATCCATTTCCTTTAGCCCTGAATAACAACAACAATAATGGCAATAGTCCATATTTCAGTTTTAACAGTCAGAACAGCAAAATGGCTTACCCAAGGAAAAGTGTGAAATACTTTAGATATCTTCCACCATCCAACCACCACAAGAATCCCACGATGCCTGCAAAGAATAGACTGATTCCAAAGGCCAACAGGTTCCTTGCCCAGAACATCGTCAAGACCAAACAGACAATCAACATGATCGCTGCACCTTTAGAGGCCGTCACATTGAATCCACAGAACACCAAGATCCCTCCCAATAGCGAACTTCCTAAATAACCCGCAGGCAATGCTAAACATTGTGTCCTCCTGTTGCCCACATACGTTGTCAACCCTCCCAGATTAGGATCCACTGTGATCGACTTGACTTTTCCTCCGCTGACACAGGCCATACACGCGTGTCCGAATTCATGTAGTCCGATCGTCACCAACTATTTCAGAAAGAAAAATAAATTAAAAGATTAAAATTGTGTTTAGCTTATTTGTTCTCCAATGAAATAAAAAGAAATAAGTTTGATCCTTATTGGATTCATTTCCAGGCACAAATATGATTAAAGATCCCAGACCAAAAAGTAGAAGAAAAATAAGAAAAGCAAAAAACAAAAAAAAAAAAAAATGGAGTGCGGAGATGGGTTGAATCAGTGATCAGAACTCTAGCCCAAACCTCGAGGAAGGTTTAGGCTGTAGCTTTTGTTCCTGTAACGAGCTTATATATTAATAATAATATTATCACTATTGCTGTTGTCCATGTGTGTTGTCACGTACTTAATAGGGGGTGAGATAGGGAGGTTGGAGAGAGGCGATTTGAACAGAGCAATCAAGTGACTAACTGCCCATTCTCTTTTTTTTTTTAAAAAAACTTTTTTCCTTTGTCTTTGTCTGCCTCACCTTGAACGGGTATAGAAGGTGCTTCAAGATCGGCATTTGCCATAAAAGTAAAATGCCAACCATATATCCTCCACTATTATTATTAAAAAATAAAAAAATAAAAATAAAAGTTACTTCGTGTGAGTTGTTGGCCCGTTCTTTAGATCACTCTCTATATGATGATGATGATGATGATGATTACTATTATTATTATCATCATTATCATCATTATCATCATCATTATCATTGCCATTGTCATTGCCATTATTGTTGCCTCTTACATAATCCAGAGGGTAGTAACCTGCTCCTTCGTAGGCTCCAGAATATGCCCAGAATTGCCAGAGCTCTGAACAGGCGCCATTGGATGTCTTTCTTTTTCCTCTCTTTTAATTACTTGTACTTGATGAGCGATAGGTTGAAGGAGTAAATGATAATGCGATATTAAAGGTGCGCGTAAGTTTACAATGTATTAATATGCAAGGAGTAATAAGAATGGGATAGTCTGGAAGAAATAGTCAAAGAAAAAGTAATAAAAAAAAAAGTGATGAGGGTGCTTGCTGGTCTCTTGATCCAGTCAGGTGACGCGGTGCTTCTTGCTCTCAAAGTCGAGGTGCACGGTCGTCTTCCGAGTCAGGATGCACATGGCCAAGATGTTGCCCTGTCAGGGCGTAATTCATTCAGCGTGGTCAACTGGGGGCACGACAACACGGACAAGGTTATGATTGGGACGCTCGGTTGGGACGCCTTGGTGACGCTGGCTGTTGTCTTGAGAAGCGGCAAGGTTGCTGTGGGTCCCCACAACGCAGATTTCTATCCTCACCGAAGCTCGCACGTCTGGGTTCAAAAGAATGGAAGTGAAGACTTTTTCAAAAACCTGGAGCGGCAGACACGATCCAAGTTTCACGTGCAGTCAACATTCAAGATCTATGCTGCTGCCTGCGTAGGGTTCAATGTAATAGGTAGTAAAGCCAAAAGGTGGTTTTATTAATTATTACACTAACATGCAAACTAAGATCAATAGTTCATTCCATCGTTACATTTCTTTTTTTTTTTTTTTTCATTCCTAGGAACCGTATATTTATATTAAAACAATACTCGTACCTTATCCTATTAAAGCTCTCGTGTATATATATATATATATATATATGATATGTGATATTTATATAATATGGCACAAATATGTATTAAATGATCATTGGGCAAATGCCTCAAGCAATAGTGTAATGATGTATAGCATAGCATAGCATTTTGTATTTTTTCAATATTCCAAAGTCTTTATGTTGATAAAGGTACCACCATCAAAGTGTAATGAAAAATGGCAAAAAGATTTGAAATTGTTGGAAACAAATTCTGGCGAAGAACAAAAAAAAAAAGTGGATATTCTTCCCTTCCTTTCTCTATGAAGCAAGGCTTAATAAAACAAGCCTCCATTACAACAACCATTCGTATACATCTTATTCAAATCCACGCCGTATTACACACACACACAGACACACACATTATATATATATATATAATAGATTACAAAAGGGAAAGGAAAATGAAAAAGTCGTGACCATGGGCCTAAACTTATGCATGGGATCATGGATCGTGATCATATTTGGTTTTTTTTTTTTTTTTTCTTCTCCCTGTTCATATAACGTGTCCATGTTCGTCAGCAACATTCCGTCAGCTTTTTATTTTATTTTATTTTATTTTGTTATATTTTTTTAATTTTTCATGCGTACATGTTCTCTATTGTATATTATATATAAATTTATATGTGATTATATATGTGTTTATATATAACTGTTATTGTATATATAACTGTAATTGTAATCGTGATTGTAATTGTGATTGTAATTGTAATCTCAAAGTGGGTCAGTGCTGAGCTTGGACACATATGATGATAGTGGAGTCAAAAAAGGCGGAATGGGATAGACTAAGCTTTGGAGGGAAGAAGAATAACAAGAAAAAGCGTTTTTGGGCGAGAGCCCTCCAGATCAAAACAATCCTCAAAAGGCGAAGGCGTAACCGACGCACGCATTTTTTTTTTTTTTTTTTTTTTTTTTTTTTTTCGTCTCCTGTCATGATTTTTGTTTCTTACAATCCCTCTTTTCTCTCTTTCTCTCTCTCTCTCTCTCCCCCTTTGTTGTCTTTAGAGATGGTGCATGTAATGTTATGAATGATTTGTCTGTTTGTTTTCCGTGTGTACATGTACATGAAATGTTGTGATGAACCATGAATAAAAAGTCAATCAATATGCACGTTTGTTTGCCGTTGTGAGAAAAATAAAAGAAACTCGTAGCCCGTGACCTGATCAATCAAATGCAATGCAAATGGACGACATTTTGCTTATTTAGCCCTGCACCATTTTTCAAAGAAATTGTTAAAGGCAGGGGATGAATGACAAAAAAAAAAAAAAAAAAAAAAACGCAAGGTATATATATATATATATATATATATATATATATGTATATAGTCTTTTAGAGGAACGGGAAACCAGATCTTTTTTTTTTTTTTTTTTTTTTTTTTTGCAAGTGTGCGTGATGTGATCCAGAGGGAAATTACGTGTGTAGATCTATATGAATGTCTATTTGTGGTCGAGACCAGAAAGAATATTTAAAAGAATATGATTTGTATCTATATCAAATCCTATAGCAAGGAAGTAACAAAGAGAGGTACACGCCGGAAAGCTTCTTTTTCATAAACGAACGCGATCAAGAAGGAGGAAAAAAAGATGTAAGCATAGAAGGTTATTCAAGATGGATGAGATCAGTTTATATTCTTTCTTTTTCATTCATTCCTCCATTCATTTCATCGATCTTTCTTGAACGATAACAATATACTCAGTATATATACTGTAGATAGATAGATATGGTAATGTGTTTTTTTTTTTTTTTTTTTTTTTTTTTTTTTTTTTTTTTCCTTCTTATGATATGTGCTGATCAGCTTCGCTTGGATGGTTGGATGGACAAATGTTTTATTTAATTTATTTTTGAATGTGTGTGTCTAAATGTTGATGAGACTCACATGATGGACAAACATGTTTAATAAGAGCCATGGGTCCAATTTTTTCATTGTTTGACTCTGTAGTTCCATTACACACACTCTGTTAGTCTGTCTATCTCAATTCATTCTTTCTTTATGGCAATAAGAATAAAAGTTGATCGGATGCAAGGGAGCATATAATGAGAGTAATACATGTAGTAAGAGTAAAGAGTAAAGAGCAAAGAGAAAAGAGTAAAGAGTAAAGAGTAAAGAGCAAGAGCAACAGAGAGAGAAAATGCATATACAAATACAGCGTGAATGGAGAGAGAAAGAGAAAAGCAAAAGTCGTGAGCATAAGACATAACAATAAGAGTGATTTTCATTTACATAAATATTACATTTGCAATTACATATATATATAAAGTATAGATGAATAGAATCAATAATCAATACAAATATGAACGGAATAGTGTGATAAATGTACCTGTGCAAGTATATAAATATGCAAATAGATTAGTGGATTGAATTAAAAGTGTCAGCAGATCCAAGGCTCATGATTCGAATGACAATTATCGCCATTGATTCGATTGAATGGCCTATTGTATCAAATAGCATATTATATATATATATAGTATGGTGTATTGTATATAAATATATAATATACAGCATATATATATATATATAATTTCTTAAATCTTTAAATTCAAACATGTTTAGGAATCGACCACTCAACTGCCAGACTTTCATGGGTACAATAAAAAGACCATGACAAACGGATCTCGGGGGCTTTTGGTCTATGCCGCCATTGGAAAGAAAAGGGTCAAAGTTTAAAAAAGAAAAAGGCGATCAACAGTCGAATGGAAAAGGGAAAAGAAAAAAAAAAAAAAAAAAAAGGAAGGGGGTCGGAGACAAGAGAGACAGACATTTATACAGAATTATACAGACTTGGATGACGATGATGATGAACCTCCTTTGCTGCCCCCATTAACTTTTTTTTTTTTTTTTATTTTATTTAAACGTTGATTCAATCTGGGATGTGGTTCAACCGTAGTTTCTGCCAAGACCCTGTTGTCTGATCTGTCGCTTTTGCTTTTGTATTTGTATTTGTATTTGTATTTGTATTTGCAACACATTGCTTGATAGGATGATGACGATGATGACAATGATATATACCTTTTCCTTTTTCTTTTTTCTTTTTTCTTTCTGATCTGCACGAACAAGCATTTGTTTTAAATTGTCAAATAAAAATAAAAAGGGACCCGCAGCGGGAAAGATGACTCCACAGAGCTGGGGCCCTTTAAACTTGTCTTTCTCTATCCCTCCTTTCCTCCTTTCCCCAATGCATGTCTTCATGTATTCATGTATTGTATATAAATATATATATATATTTTTTCATTCAACCTACATTGACTCTATATCTCTTTCTGATCAAAAAAGAAAAAGAAAAAGTAAAGGTAAAAAGAAAAAAAAAAAAAAAAAGTCGGTAGAGTGAGCATTTTACGAATTGCGGAATGTAATAATATAAAAAAAAAAAAAAAAAAAAAAAACCTGTGCTGATGAAGAGGTTGATCAGGGTTTTTGAAAAGCTTCCCATATCCATTTCATTTCACTACTGTACATGTACATGTTACATGTAGAACAAGAACAAGAACAAGAACAAGAACGAAAGAAAAGAAAAAGAAACTCATGATCTGGACGAATCTGCTGGATCGATTCAACAACAAAAAAAAACAATCAAAAAGCCGACTTTAGTTTACCCTTTGATCTGTTCTCTCCCCTCACTTTTTCTTTTTATTGTTACGCCAGCTTCAACCCATTTAAACCATTTCAAAACCTGCTTTGTCTTGTGGAAATTCGCTCTTCTTTTCTTCTTTATTCCTTCCTTTGATTCCTCTCCTTTCCCCTTCCTTCTTCCCCTGCCACCTTTTTATTTTTTTTTATTCTTTTTTTTATTTTTTTTTATTCTTTTATAAACCCCCTTACCCCAAGCTCTTTATAAATATATATAAATATATATATATTTTATTGTTTTATAATATTTTCTCAGCCATCCGTTCGTGATCTCACTCTCTTTCATCATCACGCAACCCTTCCCCCCCTTCTTCTCTCTCTTTTCTTTTCTTTTCTTTTCTTTTTTCTTTTTATTCTCACACAACTCTTTTCTTTTTTCTTCTTTCACAAGCACCGTTAGCAGACAGCGTTGTTCTTTTTATCTACTCTACTGCCACGCTGCTCATACTTCTTGCTATCCTCGGTTGCGTGTTTTATTTTATTCCTTCTCCTCACTCTCACAGTTATCCTTTTTAAATCCTTTTTCTTTCTTTCTTTTTTCTTCACTTTGAGCAGATCTTGGTAAGTTTTTTCTGTCCGTCTGCTGATCTTTTTTATCTTTTTTTTTTTTTTTTTAAAAAAAAAAAAAAAAAAAAAGACAACAGCCATTCCCTACTCTCCTTTACTCTATCGATACTATTACTCTTACAGTTCCCCCTTTCAAAGTACGTGTTCAACATAACAAGAGTTGCAACCACGTCTCACACCTCAGACCTCACACCTCCCGCAGAAGCAGTCAACAACAGTCCCTGGTCATCGACTCTTAAACTCTCTTTTTTTTTTTTTTTTTTTTTTTTTTTTTTTAACTGCTTCGCCATCTGTGTGAACAACAAGTCATTCTCACTCCTTGCCACCAAAAACAAAAAGAAAAAAGACATGCATAATATTCTTTATACACATGAACAATGAAGAATGGAGAATGGCGGATGAAAAGAAACCAAAAAAAAGAGAGCCTACATCATCATTTATTATGCAGAATGAATCAAACATTAGTTCTTTGTAACATCAGTTTTTTTTTTTTTTTTTTTTTTTTTCTCCCTTAGTCTATATGTTTTATTAAAGTATTCAGCAGTCCCTTTGTCGTTTTTTTTTTTTATTTTTTTTTTTAATATGTGCCTGAAGTGTGTATTTAGAAGAGTGATCAGTCAAGTTGAATACCTTCTTTTTCCTTTCACACAGACCATTGACGCATTTTTACGGATTCAGCAATGTCATATTGATTTGTGCGATCACTCCGCCGCAGCTCATCCTGTTGACTGCTTTTTTTGATTTTAAATTTAATTTGAATTTGAATTTGGATTTGGATTTGGATTTGAAAAGAGATTGGCCACTCCTTTTAATCACGCTTTTTTCTTTTTTTTTTTTTTTTTTTTTTTTGATTAGAGAGAACCCAAAAGTAAAATTGTTCTTGATCAACTTTGATAGTTTGTATCTCCCTTTTCGATCTCTCTCTCTCTCTCTCTCTCTCTCTCTCTCTCTCTCTCTCATATCCTTTTCTATCCTTCACCTATTTTTGTTTTTATTTCTATTTCTATTTCTATTTCTATTTCTACATTGTCTTCATCTCTATTTCGATATTGTTATTATTGTTATTGTTATAATTTCTTCTTCTTTTTTCATTGTTTTTGTATTGTATCATACTGCACTTGTACATGTTTGTGATGGTGTGATTGGTCTTGGCTATTGTATGTAAAAATACAATAATGGCTCTTTTTGTTTTTATTTTATTTTATATTGAATTGAATTCATTTTAGTTTAAAAAAAAGAAAAAGAAAAAAGAGTCGAATATTGTTTGCTCCTCCCATGGTGTTTGAAGGACGAGAACCTGTATAAGTGTTGATGAATGATTGTAAAATGATTGTTTATTTTATTTTATTTTTTTCCCTTGTATATTATATGTATATATATTTACACATCATATCTCATATCCCAAATGCAACAATGGATGATAATGGAGACATGTTTTTGTCCATTTGTGGATGTCCATTTGATGGACATGTCTCTGTGATTGTCTAAATGCTTTGTGGGCTGTGCCTTTTAAGAGAATTTTGCCTGTCAAAGAATTGAGATTTGAGGAAATATACGAATCAAATCAAATCAAATCAAATCAAATCGAATCGAGATTGAGAGTTAGAAACAGAAAAGAGAATCTGGATAGGAAACCATGAAAGGGACAGCCTTTTTTTTTCCTTTTCCTTTTCCTTTTCCTTTTCCTTTTCCTTTTCCTTTTCCTTTTCCTTTTTTGTTATATGTGATGCGTGTGTGTGGATGGATGAATGTGAAGATGTGAAGGTGTGAAGGTGTGAAGGTGTGAAGGCGTGAAGGCGTGCCCTTTTTTGGTGGCAGTACGATCATCATCTACATCATCCTTCTCGTCTCTCATTAAATGTTTCTCCTCTTTCTTCTGGTGTCTTTTTATTTTTTATTTTTTATTTTTTATTTTTTTCCTTCTTTTGCATAAGCAAAAAGTAAAACCTGAAGAGTATTTTTATTTATTTCCACCTTTATCCCCCTTCCATCCCCTCCTCTCTTTTTCCCTCTTTTTCTTTCTCCTCTCTCTCTCTCTCTCTTTTTTTATACTTTTGATTGTCTTCTATCCCACTGCTAACCTTTTGCTTTCTAATCATTTCTTTTTTTATTGAATGTAGGCTTTGTTGTCGTTCATCGTCGTTCAACCTTTTTTAAATTGTCCGCGCGATCTTATCCCTCCCCTGATCTGTTTTCAGCGTCCGCCGCCCTTTTTTTTTATTTTATTTCTATTACTACAGCAAACTATTATATATACAACTATAACAACTATAACAACTATAACAACCATAACAACAAACAACAAAACGATTACTACAACGAACGACTACGGAATCCTAGCATCGGACGGACCTATCCGTTTCAGCCCATCGGTTGGCTCATTTTTAGTATTCGACAGAAAATCTCCCTCAACTGTGTTTCCTTTCTTATTTCTTTGTGTAATATTACAGAATCATATTCCTAAAACCAAAAGGTAAGACAAAAAAAAGAAAGAAAGAAAGAAAAAAAAAAAAAAAAAAAAAAAAAGACGCGCCTTTCCTTGACTGACTCCTCAAATCAGATGGGAAAAACAAGAATAGTTTGTAAAGGAAATTCAAATGAGAACCTATTGGCACAATCAACTGAATTTGGTTGGGGAGTGCATAAGAATGGAGTGGGAAATGGGACCGAGAATGAATACAATGCTTCTTTATAAAGACTATTTATTATACGAAGGGAAAAAAGAAAAGTAGAAATAATAAGCATAAAGATCGAGAATCATCAAATGCCCCAGGCGCATGACGCTATCCATCATGCCACGAGAACCCAAGTAGCACGTCAAACAAAAAAAAAAAAAAAAAAAAAAAAAAAAGAGAGAGACAAAAAAGGGGGGTTGGTAGTGGTTAACCTGCACAGAGGAGAAAAAAAAAAAAAAACGGCAGACATACTTTCCTTTCAATCAATGTCTTTTTGTGTCCAGCCCTGATCTGTCTTGTTGATCAGCTAAACAACAATAACAACAACAAATGCAACTCGGAAAGAGAGCAATGCAACAAAGAACTAAAAGTATTTGTGTGTGTATGTCAAGGAGTTGTTAGTGAACATTTTGGACATTTGGGCAATGGCCAATCTTTTTTTTTTTTTTTTTTTTTGTTGTTAAAAGAGTATCAGGCCCAGTCTGTTATTTCTCTCTTTTCTTTTCTTTTTTCTTTTTTTTGCGACATTCTACCATAATACTGATCATCTTTACTCTTTCTCTTCTCTTTTCTTTCCTTCCCTTCTCTTCCCTTCCCTTTCCTTCCCTTCCCTTCCCTTCCTTCTTTCCCTTCATTCCTTCCTTTCTGCCCTTCCTTCCCGTCCTTTTTCCTTGCTTCATATCCATTTCCGTTTCCATCTCCATCTCCATTTCCATTTCCACTATATTCTTTTTCCTTTCCTTCTCCTTCGACTCCCTTTCTTCTGATTGTTTCTGATCTCCCTCTTCCAAATCCAGCAAACCATCTCGTCTTTTTGGTTTCTTCCATCCAACCATTCAGATAGCACATCCATCCCACGACCCACACATGTCCAATACAAATCTTGCAGTGCCCCCCATGGTCCCTGCGGCATCCACCCATCACAACGCACCTTCCCGGCGGATGCGCTTTAGTCTAAGCTCACTACAGAGCCCTTCCTCTGATGGCAGCGCTCACTTGACACAACGAGACATCGAGGCCCTACAACGAAAAGGTCTCCTCCGCACTACTGCCATCGCTTCCACCCTCGTCGCTACAACAGATTCCGTTACTGCATCTCCATCATCAATATCCACCTCCAAGCACACACAGGCCCTTGAAAAGTCAAGTCCCACATCAGGCGCCCCGTCCGCTTCCTCAAACACAACAAGGACCCCAACGATCTCCGAACAGCTCTTCTGCCCCAAACCTCCCCTCCCCATCGCTGCAAGGGTCGCTCCCCTGGCCGCCTCCCTCAAATCAAAGCAGGCCCGGACCTCCTCCAAACAAAAAGTCTCCAAGGATGAGGACCCAGCCATGATCATCCATCTCAAAGAACGCCCTCTTCCTGCATACCACCATGGCATCATCGAAGACACCTGCTCACATCTACACGTCAATAACCCAAACATTCGACGGCATTCAGACTCCTCCACTCCCTTGGTCTCCTCCACAAACTCCTCTACCAGCACCAGTCCCTTACCGGAGGATACCCTGGCTCTCGACCACATCCGCCGTGCCTCCATCGCCACTGCCTCCCCCGTCGTCCCCTCGCCCCTGGGCGGCCGAACAGTTCTCTACAAGGCCTCCTATGCCCACACCTTACTCTCCCTACCCTCCAAGACTGCCTATCCTTCAACAGCCCAGGACGACCTCAGTACCGGTCCCACTGCCGAGATGAACAGCTTCAAGTTCCCTGCAGAGGAGACCCGGTCCAAGACCCCGACGTCCCCTGCTCTGACGCCCTCTACCGCAGCCCTCTCCCCAACGATGCTCTACCGATCCAAGCGCAAGAGCAGTATCCCCATGCGATCTCCTAGCTGGAGCGACACGCAGGACGCGTCGCCTGGCGTCGTCTTCCGTCTCCCCTTCGGTACACCCCCTTTACCCTCTGCTCCCTTCCGCAAGGCCACCACGCCCTCAGCACAGACATCCTCCAGCTCAAACCCGTTGGAGGACTCAAACCATGGCGGAACTCCCCCTACAAGCTATCCCTCTCCAGCAACCTCCAGTCGGGCTGCCTCCGCATCCGGGCCTTCGGAGGCCCAGGAATCTCAAGATCTGCCAGCTATCCGCTTCGACACCCCGCCCTCACCCGCTAACCGATCTGGCTTGGGTATTCAGGTCCAAGATTCATTTTCAGAGCCAGGGGCCACCCATCCCTTAGAATCATCATCCTCTCTCATCTCTGCAACCATCCGTACCGCAACTTCTTCGTCTTCATCATCATCTCAACGCCCGATCACCTTTAGAGAGGAGGACTCGAGCATGTCCATTGGTGATCTCATCGTTGCAGAACAGATCTCGGCTGCAAGCAGGTTCGAGGATCGATCGACAACAGGATTAGCAGGCATGGACCACCTTCCTTCTCAACATAACAGCATCTCCATGCCCACCCCACCTTTGACATCCAAAGTATTGCCTATGAGGACCATGGAGGTCAACTCGGATCGTTCATCTAGTCCTAGAACCAATCCAAACGAAGGCACCAATTTGAACTCTCCACCAACCCCGTTCACTCCCGGTCCAGGGTTCACTGCTAGGTAAGGTTATGAGGAAGAGAAGAGGAGGGACATGTGCCATGTGCCCATGTGCCATGTGCCATGTGTGTGTATATACATATTATCCTATGGTCAATTATGTGGTTTTTCTTTTTTATTATTTTATTATTTTATTACTTTATTACCTTATTGTTATTATTATTATTATTATTATTATTATTATTATTATTATTATTATTATTATTATTATTATTATTATTTTCTTCCCTTCCTCCTCTTCATCTCTGCTTTGCTCAAAATAGAATGTAACATCCATCTCTGTTTCTTCTTTTTTATTTTATATAGCCGAGGAGCTATTGCGAGCAGCTCACAAAACCCCTTCGACATTGTCCGTGCTAGTATGGAGCAAGCAGTAGAGAAAGCTCAGGAAACAAATTCGACCACAGAAACGGCAATGGAGCTAGATCAGGAAGACCGTGGCTCACGAGAGAACTCGGTTCGGTCTGATTCTGTCCCTGAAAAGGATGAAGATCAGGATCATAAAGAAGGAGACTCGCTTTTGCTCCCTCTCTGGGCTCAACGTCAGAACCACATCCGCCGTCAGTCTTTGATCCCCCGTCCTGAGCTAGATTTTGTCAAGGGATCGGGCATTCTTCCTCCTGCCAACAAAAGCTTGGTCACACCAGGAGGCGCCAAGATCTTGAGCTATCCTGTCTTAATTTCTGATATGGTCCACGTTGCCTTGGATGAGTTGCAGGCCAAAGGTGGTATTTTAGATGGAAGTGATGTCTCAGAAGAGTCGGACGAAGATCCTGAACAACAGCACCAACAACAACAACAACAACAACAACAACAACAACAACAGCAGCAGCAACAGCAGCAGCAACAGCACCTTGCTGGAAAGGGTGCTGGAAAGGTTGGTACACGAGCAGCCAAGGCTGCAGCAGCAAAGTCGACGACCTCAAAGCGTAAAAGAAATGCGCTTGGTAAGAGACGCGGTTCGGCTACGGGCACCAAGGCTCAATCACATGCTGGCGACGACGACTATCGTAGCGGAGATGATTATGTGGATGAGCAGGAGGGGCTCGAAGTGAATGAACAACAGGGTTACATGACACAACACAAGCGACGTCGTATGAACAGCGCCAAACAACACGCCCCGGCGAATGATGCTTCAACGATGGCACCCACCCGATTGATCCCAGAACGCCAGGGACATTCGATCTACCGACGACGGGGCAGTAATACCGCAGGACGTTCAATCTCGCCATCAAATTCCCCTCGGATGGCTAGTAATACATCTTCATCTTTGCGCAAGGGTCTTGGATCACCTGTTGATCTTGATCGGACTTGTTATATCTACGAGGAGGATATTGAGGAGGAAGGTGATGAAGATGTGATGATGAATGAGGATGTTGTCAATGTCGATGATGAAGATGAGGTCCATCGTCAACATCATTATTATCATAATCAATCTCAACAACAGACTCATGGCACCCCCAAGAACCAACGTCGGGATGCTCATGGTCGTCATCCTTCGCAAGTTCCGGAGCATTTGCGGATCCCCGCTTCGGAGGTTGAGATTGCAGTGCAGCTGACTAGAGAGATTATGGAGTTGTCCAAGAAGCGAACGCAGAGGAAGGAGAGATCCAAAGGTCATCAGGGCCAGTATCAGCGTGTTCATGGACACGGGGATGGTAATGATGGCAACACCCGTCGACCATCGCTCAAGACCTTGAAGCCACTGTTGGATGCCACAATGAAGGATGAGAATCATGTTCATCATGATGTTGAGCACGAGGATGAGGTGGATAAGCGTCGTCCCTATCATTATCATCATTACCAGCAGCAGCAGCATCAACATCAACAGGAGAATGTGGTAGTTCATAAAGGAGTATCCAATTATGCTTCGTCTTCATCAGGATCAACGACGACCATTTCCAAGAAAGCTTCTAAGGCAGCAGCAGCAGCAGCAGCAGCAGCAGCAGCAGCAACGGCGGCGGCGTCGACATCTGGATCAACAGAGTCGTCGTCCACACCAAAGAAAGCCTCGAAACCCAAAGAGGGCAAGTTCACGACGAAGAAATGCGAGGCTTGTGGAGCTAGTGAGACGCCATGTTGGCGCCCGGGATACACTCCAAACTCTGCATTGTGCAATTCATGTGGGCTTCGATACAAGAAATCGAATGTGTACTGTGCCAAGATGGGATGCAAGTACATTCCACTCAAGACAGAGTATGCAGCTATGGAAGCTGAGCGGGCCAGGGCTGGACGCCTCCATCTATTGTGCCATAAGTGCAAGGGACCTGTTGCGCTTCCTGTTCCAAAGGATTAAAAAAAAAAAAAAAAAAAAAAAAAAAAAAAAACGAGGAACCCTTTTTACAACGACATTTGTTTTACTACCCACTACCTACTTTATTATTACTACATTATTGCTACTATTGCTACCATTGCTACCATTGCTATTGTTATTATTACTATTGCTACCACTATTCATTGCTGTAATTGTTATCTGTATTCAACTTGCTATTTCCCATTCCACACATATGTTTATCATTATTAAAGAATATTTATTTCCCTTTCCTTTCCCTTTCTTTATTTCGTTCCTCTCCCTTTCCTCTTTTTTTTTTATTTTATGAGAAAAAAAATAAATAAATAAATAAAAATAATAAATATGTAAGAACGAAGAATTTGCTAAGCAAATCAGTTTGCGGAAGTGGCGGATGAAATTAAGAAACTCCCGAGGAGAGAGAAAGAAGGGAAAAAAAAAAAAACAAATAAAGCGTACACAAATGATGCTGATGTGATAAAAAAAGACCATGTTTCCAAACTCTTGGCTATTCCAAAAAAAAAAAAAAAAAAAAAAAAAAAAAGCATTGTTGCACAAAAAAAAAAAAAAAACATGCATGCATGTTATTGTATTGTCTGCCCTTCCCTTCCCTTCCCTTCCCTTTCCTACCCAACCATGGATCATGGATGTCCCCCCCCTTTTCATGCAAGATTGGACTGACAGTTTAGACTAAGTTTTTTTAGTTTAACGCGTTGTGCAAGTTGGTTTCTGAATTACGCCTAAATCTTGTTTCCCCTTGCATAAAGCAAACGACTGTTTTTTTTTTTTTTTTTTTTTTTTTTATATATATTTTATATTTCCTATCCTTCGTGTAGATAAATATGAAAAAAAAAAAAAAAAAAAAAAAATGGCAATTATTTTGTGATGTAGGTAGAATGGGATACTGATGCTGACCACCGATCCGTTTTTCTGGAATGTAGTCTTTTTCCCCAAGTTTTTATTTTTATTTTTTATTTTTCGGATTGATGGATAAATAAATAAATAAATAAATAGTAATAATAAGAAAGAAAGTATGCACATGAGCATATCTCTAAGTTTTTTTTTTTTTTTTTTTTTTTTTTCATGTTAATTTTTATTAATGCTATAATATTACAATGCTTTTTTTTTTTTTTAAAGAAAATATGAATGGATGAACGAAATGCTAGGAATGATAAAATAAAAAAAAAGTAGGATCTATCGCCCCGAAGAGATGAAAGAAAGAGACAGGAAGAGGAAAGAGAATGGGAAGGGTAGAAAGGTTGGGGAGGAGGGTGGGGGAGGGATATTTTTTCCTCTGCAAAACTCTTTCTCCAAACCCTTTTATGATATCACTTTCTTTTCACTCTTTTCACTTTTCAATTGGCTAAGGAAAAGAAAAAAAAAAAAAAAAAACTTATATTTAAAAACGACCCAGGCTTGTCTGCGCTGGATGGAATTGATTAGGAAAAGTACCGTTGTTGTTTGCGGATGGATCGACCGTGGGTGCTTTGCTGCTGCTGATACTTGCTGTTGCAGCATAAGGGGTGCAAGCACCGGTGGCTGCACTTTCCATCTGCTTCACTTTGGCACAAGCATCCCAATCTAACCAGGTCGTGCAAAGGGAGCAACGGACTGCGTCCATTGGGATCTTCTTTAAACAGTAATCGCATTCCTTTTCAGTCTCCTCCGTCGTTGAATTACGGGCCATTTGGTAGACTTTTTTTTTTTTTTTTTTTTTTTTTTTTTGTTAATAAATAAAATTAATAAATAAATTAATTAATAAATAAATAAATAAACGGAGATAATTAGTTGTTGGATCCAAAATAATTTTAAAAAACTGACGCGTTCATTGATTTTTACCTTTCACAAGAATGAAGACGCAGGCAGAGATGATAAAGAAGTTGAGGACAGTCTGGATGAAGTTACCCCAGTTCCATGTGATATTCCCAGCAGCTTTTGCCTGATCTCTAGTTGCCCACTATATAAATATACGTATACATAAGTTAAGAACAAAATGATAATAATAATAACAATAATAGTAATAATAATAGTCAGGTTCATTCCTCCCCACTTACGTCGCTCTCAGTGGAGTCCTCGTTGCGACGCAAGATGAGGAAATTCTCCTCCAAGTTCTTGCCAGAGGTCATGGCAAGGAGAGGGGTAATGATGTCGTTGACCAAACTGGTGACAATCTACAAATAGAGAGGGGGGGGGGATTTATTAAGTTAAAAAAATTAAACACATCCACATTCATTAATGTTTCAATTAATGAAACGGAGGACAAGTTAACTTTATAAAAAAAAAACTTACAGCAGTGAAGGCAGCACCGATGACAACGGCTACAGCCAGGTCAATGACGTTGCCACGATCCAGGAAGTTCCGGTAGTCATTAAAGAATGACACACCATGCTTCACACCAGGAACTTTGTTTAATCGTTTGCCCACGTGGCTGACACCCTTTTCGACTATGAGATTTTTGAATGTTCAATTACGAAGGGAGAGAAAGCGAAAGAAAGAAAGAAAAAAAAAAAAAAAAAAAAAAAAGTAGATCAGTAAGCTTGTTTTTGTTTTATCTGTTTGTTTGTTTGTTCGTTTTTTAAAGAAAAGGAAAGGATTCTTTTTACCGTGTGAGATGCCACCAGCGACACCATGGGTGATATTCTTGACAGGGTTGAAGCCACGCTTCTTCAGCTTCTCCTCCTGAATAGAATCATCGACCACATAAACAGGATCTACGGCGTTGTTGGGACTCATTATTATACTTTTGTGTGTGAAAAAAAGAAAGAACGGGAGGAAGAAAGTAATCTGTGATAGAGGCTAAAAGAGACCAAGAAAGTAGGGAAGCGATGGAATGATGGAGATAGAGAGATAGAGAGAGAGAGAGAAAGAGAAGGAAAAAGTTGATGATAGAGAAAAAGTGCAAGTATGAACCAATGCTGAAAGAAAAAAAAAAAAAAAAAAAAAAAAAAGAGAGAGAGAGAGAATATACGTGTATTTAAGGTGGATCTGAATGGATGTTTTTTTTTTTTTTTTTTTTTTTTTTCAGGTCCAAAGAAGCAAGAAGCGGAGGTAAATGATATGAAACTAAAAAAAAACCCTCAGGTAAAACTAGCATTGGAGAAGAGATTCTTTAACTGCTCAACTTGCATTTTAACGGTCAAATTGCAAAAGTTGTTTCTCTTTTTGGTCGATCACTTTCTGTCATTTTAAGTAATATGCATCTGCAGTTTGTCAGGAATATATAAAAAAATAAAATAAAAAAAGACAGGATACAAATACACACATGTTTATTTTATGCTACATATTTATTCTCGACTTTCTTTTACTCTCTTTACCTTTTTCAATGCCCGAATAACTGCGCCCATGTGCTCAACTATGTAGAGAACTTGAGTTCCAACTAGAGTCTACGTGCAGATTTTATCGATCGACCCCATGGCTCTCATTGGCTTGTGTTTGGTATAAAACCCATACCGAACGAAACGCGTCAAATGCACTCATTTCGGATCTAATTCATTTATTCTCACCCACCTTCAATTAAAAGAGAGAAAGAGGGTTCTCAAGATAACCTCTTTTTTTTTTTTTTTTTTTTTTTTTCTTAATGACATCTTTTGTTCTACCCCGAGTAATGATTATTTTTTATTTTGGAGGTTATTTGAAATCTCACGCCCGATTTTCTGTTTGGACAAGTTTCGGCAGGAACATAAAAAAACGTCGATCCAAGTCAAACTCGTTCAGCTACATTAGAAATTAAATAAAAAGGGCGATTGAAGATGGGAGGTACGGTGAATAGGCATGTTATATTTATACATATTTTTATTTTTTTAGTTTTATTTTTTATTTTTTTTTTGTTTAAAGAGTTTTTTGAAATCAGGTACTTAATGCTCGTGGGTCAAGGTTTATTCTCTACGTCTACATTTCCTACGTTCGACAGTGCAAATATATATAATGCAGTGAGACAACTCAGTAGGAGGAGAAGAAGGGAGGCGAGACGGGTAGCCCATTGGCGTCTCGGTCATTGCATTGTCATTGTCGCCGCCTATAATGAAGCAACTGCAAATAGAAAAAAAAGTAACGCAACATTTGCCATTGTTCAATAAACTGGAGAAACTGGACCCATAGTCTTTACGCAATATTTCATACGAACGTACCAAGTTCATATTCGAATACGGAAAAATAAAGATCTTTTCCGTCGCTCTTTTCCCTCCTGCTGAAAGAATATCCAAAGAACATGCACGTACACTAGGATGTATGGTCCAAGATGGGTTTCAAGTCAATAAGGATAAACCTAGGTTAAATCATCAAGTTCATTGTCATTGTTTATTATCATTATCACCATTATTAGCATCAGAAGCGCAAGTGTCAAGAGTGTTGCGACACATTCAAGACTTCTGGTACTCCATCCATCAAAATAGTGAACAACAATTCTTGAAACAAGGACTATCATGTCAAACTATAGTTACCTTGCATCCACTCAAGATCACGGTTACAGTGAGTAGGATCTACTCGGAGCAAACTATGTTAGCCATCTATCTTGCGCTAGTAGGAAATAAAAATGAATCTCTCTCTTTTCCTCTCTCTCTCTCTTCTCTTACAGTCGTCTTTTCATAAGCCTGATATGAGCAAAGAATTCATCAACTAGCAAGTGTCAACACTCAAGACATTTGTCTGATCAGTTGTGGTGGCTGATTTGTTGAGGCTGTGCTGAAAGAGCCCTTCTTCAATAGCGTGGCAAAAAAAAAAAAAAAAAAAAAAACCGTCGCACTGACATTGGACAAGTAATAAAAACAAAAACGCGCATGCTCAACTTCGCCCCCATCCCTCTTTCAATCATTCCATTACTCGCAAATGCGACTCCATCCATTTGACATTCCTGAAGTGCTTGACAAAATAGTTGCGTGCCTTGACACAGGTGATATCAAGTCATGCATCTATGTTTCCAAGGCTTTTCATGAGGCTTTTATACGGTTCCTATGGAAAACTATCAATGTCGACACCCCAAACTGGAGCGCCGTTGACGGCCAGACACTTGAGAAGCATAAACACTACATCGAAGAGATTTATTTTACTTACCGCTATGCAGAGCACATCTTATTATTACGTGGGTGCAGCCGTCTCCGGAAACTGGTATCTCGGCGCGACAAGTCACAACGCTTTGAGGATCTTCTGTATCGTCTTTCCAATTTGATGATTGCCAATAACTTTAAGCTTCAAGAGTGTGAAATTAACTGGGCTCATGAGAAAGGTACCTGGACCTATAGGGCTAAAGACTTTTACAATGCTGTGCTTCAGTGTCCACATCTCCGGGAACTTAAACTCCACGACTTCATTATCCACGCTGAGGAGATTGATCTGTTTTTTCGGATGTGTAGTCAACTTGAGATCTTGGAGTTGACACGTGTAGACATTCCTCAGTGGGCAGTTGGGAAACTGATAGGCAACCTTGGTGCCGACGTCGGGACTGCAGCTGGTGCGTTCGCTTTTGGATACCTCCTCGAATTGACATTGTGTGAGACTAAGGTTATTGGACCTCATCCAATCTCTGAAGCTCACAGCTTGGTAACATTTATCCAAAGTTGCCCAAACCTGAGATCACTTACTTTTTACGATGGCGCTACGGAGGACATGGTCGATTTCTGTAGAACATTGGCACCGGCTCTTGAGTCATTGCCGCATCTCGAATCCTTGATCATTCCGGAGGCTGAATTGAACGACAAGAAGTTGGCGGCTTTTCTTGGAAAGATGAATCGGCTCCGGAAGTTGCATGCATGGCAATCTGATTTTGGGCCCCTCTGTCTCGCAGAGTTACTCAAGCCAAGGGGACCATTGAATGGGGGGACAAGGTTCTGTGATATGATTGAGGACTTGTCAGCCCCCACATTTGATTTTACAGACAGAGTAATTCCGGTACTCCTGTCCAGCTGTAGGAACCTCACCTTGCTTGAAACAAGCGTGGCTAGAATTACAGATATTATTACAGGACAGGAATGGGTCTGTTCTAAGTTACAGAGACTAGAGCTCAGTCTCGTGCTTGATGTTTATAATGATGAGGAGAGAAAGGCAAAGCAACGAATCCTGTTTGAGCGTCTGGGCAAGTTAACAAAGCTCCAAGAACTTCATATAACTACTGGATACAGCTTGACATTAGATGCAGGCCTGGACAAGTTGATTAATTTGAAGCGCCTGAGATACTTGGCATTCCACCATGGAGCCCATTTCATAGGACCAGATGAAGCAGTCTGGATGGTGGAAAACTGGCCGTGTTTGGAGGAGGTTATCGGGCTCAAAGACAAGGATCCAGCCGCCGTTGGGTCAATTGCTGGTATCTTTAACCGCCGTGGAATTATTTATCATTAGGTAGCTTACTAATTCTTCATTAAAAAAAATAAAAAACAAAGGGAAAAAGTTACTGCTTTTGCGCTCAAAACCTTTTTTTTTTTTTTAAAATATCATTCAGCGCAGCACCTCGGTAGCCTATTGCAATTTGTTCAGCAAGTGGGCTCTGTCAATTTGGTTGTGTGTTAAAGCCTGCAAATATTCCTTTCCGGAAAATCCGACTCTTGGCCCCTTGCCTTGATGCAAAAGCATTAAGTTTGAGGAGAAAATACAACTAATTACCGGGATGGATCAGATCAATCCTTTGGACAAAAAATTGCTGCGCTGACACAAGGGTTAGGCTTTCTCCTACCCTATGACCGACAGCCGTGAGAAAAAATGTTTCACTTGAATAAATCAAAGTATAAAAAGCTCAACAATAACCTCAAAAAAAGACCATTCCCCACTCTCTTTCTTCCGGCTATAGTAAATACTAAAAATGATTCTCCCCAAAGAAATTTCCTATGAAGTCAAGAAGGAGTCAACCAAGTTTCAAGTCTTTTATTTCTCATTCCACGGTCTGGGTGCCTGTCCTCGCGCATTACTCTGCTTTGGAGGTGAAGGGATCCAATGGGAAAACAAGCTTACGACCATGGAGAAATGGCCTCAGGACAAGACAACGACCCCCACAGGGTACGTGCCTGTCTTGATTGAGACCGATCTCAAGACCAACACCACAATCGAGATCCCAGAATCGTTAGCGATGGAACGGTATCTGGCTGCGAAGTTTGGTCTGTTGGGCGATAATGCTCGTGAGCAGACTCTGAACGACATCTTTTATGCTCAGGCTGTGATGTTGAATACAAAGTTTGTTGACAAGGTTTTTTGGACCTTTGAGGAAGTTCGCGTCAAGAGTTTGAACCAACTCTTGGAGTCTACTCTTCCCGACTGGGTCAAGCTCTGTGAAAAACATTTGATGGAGAATGGCAATACGGGACACTTTGTTGACAATAAGGTATGAACATTAACTGTCCGAGCATCTGTCTGTACAAACACACGAAGACAAAGACAAAGACAAAGGCAAAGACAAAGACAACTATTAAATAATCCTTGTAGAGCTGCATAATCTTCAACGATCTGACCAATACTTTTTCTTTCTTTTCTATCTTCCTTCTACTGCGTCTTTATTTTTTTATTTTTATTTTTTATTTTTTTTTTTAGTTCACATTAGCCGATATTAAGACTGCGGTGGTCTTGGACACATTCTTGGGTTTAGACTCTGAGAAGGTCCTTGGCCCCATTAGTAGCCCTGGACTTTGGAAGCTCAAGGAGACTGTTGATACTCACCCAGTCTATGCTGCATGGCGTAAGTCTGAGGAGTACAAGATTTTCGATAGCGAAACTCAGGCTAGTGTTGGTACTTTGATGTCATTTAACTTGTCCAAGTCGCATATCTTTACTTGAAAGCAGGATAAGGAAGATCTATCAATTCTGCATCACACACACACACACATTAACAAGTTCATAAAAAGAAATAAAAGAAATGCAGTTGTAAATGTTATTAATGTTAAAAGTGCTACATATCTTTCTATAATATGACATGATAAGTTATTCCCCTCCTTTTACTATTTATTATTGAGCGGCTTCTGCTTCGTCCTTCGCAGCCTTCTCAGCCTCATCTTGCTGTTGCAGATTCACAAAGACTTCTTCCAATGTAGTTAATGAAAGACCCACGCTCTTGACACCCAATCGATTCGCTGCAATTTCTTGATCCAGATGTTCAAACAATCCGGGCAAAGCTGCTTTCTTATCTCTAATATACTCTTGAGCCGTACGTCCACTCCGTTGCTCCATTGTGCCGGTAGTCGGGAGCACGTAAACAATATCCGTCGATGTGTTGACATCAATTGTAGCGTCTGGGAAATGCTTCTTTACGATTTCTGTGGTCTTTGCCTCATCGAAAAGAATTGTTTGGCCCTGCTCATCAATATTTTCACTGTTATTTCCATGCCATTGGGATGAAGGTTTGGTAGGCACCTGTTGCTCTCCGTAGCCCTTAGGATGAATGTCATCACGGTCCTGATCACTCAACATCACACGTCGCTTCTCCAGACTCAAGCGGTACCCTACTCCGAATCGGTTTTTAAGGAACAGGGAGCTACCCAGGGTCTGAAGTTTTCCATGAGACAAGATCGCAATTCTGTCACTCAACGCATCTGCTTCTTCCATCGAATGGGTCGTCAATAAGATTGTCCTTCCTGCTTTAGAATCCTGCATCAATTGCCAAATACTCTTCTTTGTGTACTCATCCATGCCTGTAGTTGGTTCATCCAACAACACGACTTTGGGGTCACCCAAAAACGCCAAAGCGACCGACAGTTTACGTTTCATGCCTCCAGAGAATGTGACGACACGTTCATGTTTCTTCTCACGAAGGTAGACATCTTCCAGTAAGTGGGCCAGGTATTCATCCAGTATACTCTTTTCGATGTCTGAAGATGAAGAAGTACCATTGCTGTCTGCATTCCCATCTAGCCTTGCCCTTGTTTCAGCTGGTGTAGACTTCCGACTCACCACTCTGACTCCTTTGATCGCAGCGTACAGCTGAATGGTCTCCCATGCAGTCAACGTATCAAAGAGCACATCGTGCTGTGGACATACTCCCATTTGTTTTTGAACCTCAGCCAGTGTTCTCAGGTCCATCTCCCTACGCTTGATACCTTCACTTCCAGGCATCAAATGCCCATTGACGACGATAGTTCCTGCAGTCGGGTTTAAGGCGCCCATGATCATAGAGAGAGAAGTTGTCTTGCCAGCGCCGTTATGGCCCAGGAATCCAAAGATCTCATTCCGATGGATCTCAAGATCCACTCCACTGACGACTTCCTTCTTCTGAATACCTGCCAAAGGTCCAGATGTTTTGGTGGATTTTGAAGGCGGATAAAAGATCTGGAGAAAGAGCCCAATGATAGGTAAATAATAGGCATATCCTGGAGGGGATGTAAAACTTTTTCGAAGGTTGGTGACTTGGATGACTCCGCGATCCTCAACAGGCACTCGAGTGATATCAAAGTCTTCAAACATGTCAGCATGCGCCTCATGTCCACCTTGATGCTGCTGTTGTTGAAGAGCATTTTGGCGAGCAGATGGGGCTCGAGGCATAACCACATTCGGTTTGTCGGCTGCACGTTCGTATTGACCAATCCCCCAGTAGCTGCGCCTTAAAAAGAAGTCAAATGGGAGAGCACTTCCATACTCTCCTGGGAAGACAGCGTCCATATACCAGGCCAAGAAGTAGAACAAAACACAATCCAGAGCCATCATCCACAATGCTTTGCCACATGGTCCAGAAGCCAGATTGTCGAATGTGACGCCTCCTAATGCTGCCTCTACGCCTGTGATGTAGTTGATGGCTCGCCCAAGGGCCACAGAAGGGATCAAGAAGATCAAAGTTTCAGTTGTGGGATCTACAGCTCCTCGACCATAGACAAGTGCACTACATATACCATAAGACCCCACTGTGAGCCCGAGAAGCAAAAAATTGACCGTGTTGGTTTTTTTGGGGTCTTGAACGAGGACTGAGGCAATGGTGCCTATTGCGGTTACATTGAAGGAGAAGAGGATGAGGAGCAAGTAGACTATGAAGGCGTTGGTGCGGGTGAAAATTCGGCCGACAAAGAGGATGAAGAGCATTAATGCGCAAGTGACCAAGTTCTGGATGCTAATTATATAGGAGAGGCAATATACAACCGAGCTCTTTAGACCTCTCATTCTCATATTCAGGATGAGGACATTCAATAATAGCGATGAAAAGAATAGAATAGAAAAGAAAAGAAAAGAAAAAAAAAAGACGATTCATGGGGGGTATCACTTACTTTTGCATGAGCCAAATGGAAGCAAGATATGCATTGGAATTAAGACCCATCATAGACATGGTGGATCTGATACGCTTACTCTTCTCTACCACAAGGATATCAAGGACACCAAGCCAGACAGCCTGAAAACAAAAGATGACATAAAATGCATTTAGAGCAGAGTTGATCGAGGTACCCAGTCCCACAAAGTTGGCGTACGAAATGAATGTGCGCCCTGCGCCTGTTATGCCTATGCCTGGGTCGCCTGCACTTTTCAAAGGGAGAGGAGAAGATAGTGGGGGTTTATTGTTGGCTTTGCGATGCAAGTTGATTGCAGCACGTTCGATATAGGCCTGTGCTGTGGCAAAGCGGGAGCTGACATACTCATGCTTAGCATGAGCAGTGTGATTGGCCATGATTGTGTAGCGGTAGGTGAAAGTGGGATCATTTGTCCCTGAAGAAGGAGGCGGTGCTACTGTTGTCAAGTTAGTGGATGGTGTCACAAAGATAACGCCAACAACAAAGTTGACTGGAGAGACATCATAGGCAGTACTCATGGCCTGCTCGCTCTCGAAATACTTTGGTACAACCGATTGGGGTTCCGAAGCAGCGAAGAAGCTAGAGAGCTCGGTGATGATGGGATCTGTGCTAGGGACGCCAGTATATCCAAAATAGGTGCAGTCTGTTGTAGACTTGCAAGTGTCATGAGAGAGGTACGGGAGAGCCTTAACAGCCATATCTGGAGAAGGTTGAGCAAATAGATTAAGAGTATGTAGTGTGCTCAACATGTGTAAGTATAGAGATCAACATTTTCGTTGGAACGTACAGCAAGGAGGATTTTTTCTGCTCTTTGTAGTGATAAGCATATGGGTGAATGATCAAGTAGATGAGGTGATTAAGGGAAAACATATGGAGGTACTCACGATTTGAAGCATCTTTAGCAGAGAGGTGCAGGAAAACAAGGACGAGCATCATCCAAACCGGCTGGAAGACTGCATTACTACAAAGATAAAAAAAAAAAAGGGGGAGATGAGGCAGTGCACAGATTTTGTGAATTAGGAACCAAAGCATTTAGCCACACTTTAATTTTGACATTCTCCCTTCTGTGAAGAGTGAGCCATACATTGTTTGTGCAAGATCCCTGATTCTGACTTTGAAGTTCTTGACGGTCAGAGCACGGAGCTGCTTTAAGCTAGATGGTTCTGAGAGAACATTGAATTCCATTTGTGCGGTTGAACGAGAGGTTCCACCTAACCCCGCTGCAACCACTTTTGCATTTTTTGTTGTGGATGAAGACATAGGGCCACTAGTGCTGCTTGTATTGTGATGTTGATAAACATTACCCATCAATGGGTGCACAGCCTCGTTCTGTGACGGAGAGTAGAGTTCCTTTAGAGAATGAGTTTCCGAATTGTTGGAGGACGATGCTGAGCGACGGAAGACGTCCATGCAATTAAGAGTTATTGTTCAATGTATCCCTCAATACAAAAAAAAAAAAGTGTAACGAAAGAAGAGTGGAAAAGTAAAATGAAAGATGAAACAAGAATAAGGCAGATCAGAAGCAAGGATAAAGGTGAGACGGAAAAAAGAGAGGAGAGCGGAGAAGAGAGAAGAGAAGAGGTAAGAAATGTTGGTTTCGCGCTTATTTGAGATAGAGCCGCTTGTTTGTTTATACTTTGTCCGAGAGAGAGGGAGGGAAGGATGGTGGGGGGGAATGAGAATTACTTGCTCCTATTTATACAAACAAAGTAAGCTTTGCGTTGGTATGCCCCAATTGCATTATTTCGAAAAGAGACGCCGTATTCGTTCCAACAAGGACAAGAGCATCAAAATCAATAGCCAATCTTGATTATCTCTCAGCCTCACAGTACAAAAAAAACTCAGTCCTCCGAATGTTAGTAGTCTCCGAGGGAGTATCAAATGAATGATGACAATATTCGTTCCTAGTCCAAAGTCGCCATCTTCGCCAAGCAAAAAAGATCTCAACGGCTAAAAAGGGAAATGGCTTTTGTGTCTGTTCTTTTTTGGATCGACGCTCATAGCAGAAGCTGGGCTGAAGTCACAAGTCGAAAGTCGACACACGTATACACTCGGATGCTCACATAATATACGTTCTACAGACATATACCGTACTTAAAAAATGAAGACGTGAAAAGAGACGTAGGTTGGAACACATCTAGGAACAACGTCAACACAAAGCGGCGCTGTTATACTAGTATGGCATCAGAAAAATACAGAAGCTGAAAAAAGACGCCACGCAAAAGTCGAAGATGGCCAATATGGGAAGTGTTTGTTTATGTGGAATCCTTGAATTAAGAGAAGGGCTCTTTACTACAGATGAAATCTGCGTTCAATGTGCCTTCAAAAGATTAGCATTAGGTGAAGTCGTTTACAGAAGAAGCTATGTTGCGTTCAGTTGGTGTTGGCCCAGGCTCGGCTACCCGCTTTCTTGCAACAAAGAATCTTGCAAGAGCCATTAAATTATTACGGCTTCCAGACCTTCCTTTACTCAGTATCGTAGATTGTGTTCCAACCAGGACAAACAAGCCCGATTCCTCTGATCTGCTCGGTCACTTCCTCGGTGATATCAATTCCTTACAGTTGCTTCTTTGATTTTAAGCCCAGAGCTCTGGGCGACCAATAAACACCTTCCCTTATTTCCTTCAGCCAATCAATTACCACTGACGTATAAAAGTGATCCTATATTGCCGTATTTGTCTAACTTTCTTGCCCTTGCTTGTCCTGCTGCAGAGATTAGAAACAAACAGCTCTGCTTCTACAATCAAACCCATTTCCTCGACTATAGACAATCACCATGGCTGACGGTAAGCAAACCATTGCTATAATTTCTATAATGTCATCATACAAATTCATTCCAATCTAACAATTAGCACTATTTTAAACAAAATCTTTTCACTCTCATTCTTAAAAAAAAAAAAAAAAAAAAAAAAAAGCAGACATTAGCGCACAGATCAAGGCAGAGAAAGAGAAGAGAGACAAGTCAACACAGCGTGAGGACACACGCGTGTCGCTAACTGGTGGTGTTGGATATGATCAGGATATTTACGACGCGGGTGATAAATTTGCGGGCTATTCAACTGAGTTGCCTATGGATGAAGAAGAGGAAGAGGATGAGCTTTCAAAAAGGATGGCGCAGCAGAATAGCAAGAAACTCTCTTCATACTCAGCGCCCAAGGAGGCTTTTGCACATCTTGCCTCTGTAGACGATGATGATACGGACCCATTTGCTGGGAGGAAAGAATCACAACGGATTATTGACAGGGAGGGCGATTATCACAAGAGACGTCTGAACAGAGTGCTCTCACCGTCTAGACAGGATCCCTTCAGTAATAAGGATAGTGATGCTAATGGATCAGAGGCTAGATCATATGCTGAGATTATGAAAGAGACAGAACTGGAAAAGGAACAACAGCGGGTCATGCATCTTATCGCGGAAAAAAAGAAGGAGGCACAAAAAGCGACCGGACTGGAAGCTCCACCTCCACCTACACCCACTGGACGGAAAAGACGTTGGGATGTTGCTACTCCTGTTGTAGCGCCTGCCGCTACCAAATCGTCGTGGGATGAGCCTGATGACCATGTAGCTGTACCGTCAAATCGATGGGAGGAAACTCCCAAGGTTGAAGGCAAGAAACGCAATCGTTGGGATGAGACTCCTGTTGTTAACGCCGGTGCATCATGGGATGCAACGCCAAAGGTATCTGGAGCCGCTGAAACACCTGTGGCTAAGCGATCCAGATGGGACGAAACACCTGTAGCACCTTCAGGGATGTTTAGTGCAACACCTATGGCGGGCGGGCTTGGCATGGTCACACCTAACATTACAGTTCCAATGACGCCCGAAGCAATGAACGCACAGCGCTGGGAACATGAAATTGATATGCGCAATCGACCTTTATCGGATGAGGAGCTGGATGCCATGTTCCCTACTACTGGGTACAAGATCCTTGAGCCGCCAGCAAACTATCAGCCCATCCGTACGCCTGCCCGCAAGCTCATGGCGACACCTACACCATATGCAGGCGGGTTCATGATGCAGGACGAGAACATGAAGCAAAACTATGGTATTTCGCCCGCAGAAATTGAGGTCCCAGGAGGCAGTAACCTGCCATTCTTTAAACAGGAAGATATGCAACACTTTGGGAAACTGTTGGACGAGAAGGATGAGTCCTCCATGTCGGCTGAGGATATCAAGGAGCGCAAGATTATGCGACTTTTGCTCAAGATTAAGAACGGAACACCACCCATGCGTAAAGCAGCCCTCAGAACCATCACGGATAAGGCACGCGATTTTGGTGCAGGACCACTTTTCAACCAGATCTTGCCTTTGCTCATGTCACCTACGTTGGAAGATCAGGAGCGCCATTTGCTGGTAAAGGTTATTGATAGGATTTTGTACAAATTGGATGATCTTGTTCGTCCATTTGTGCATAAGATCTTGGTTGTGATTGAGCCCTTGTTGATTGATGAAGATTACTATGCTCGTGTTGAGGGTCGAGAGATTATCAGCAACTTGAGTAAGGCAGCAGGATTAACAACTATGATTGCCACCATGCGCCCTGATATCGATCATGCGGATGAATATGTTCGAAATACAACAGCACGTGCATTTTCAGTGGTTGCATCAGCTCTCGGTATCCCAACGCTTCTTCCTTTCTTGAAGGCTGTCTGTAACAGCAAGAAATCATGGCAAGCTCGACACACAGGTATCAAAATTGTACAGCAGATTGCTATCCTGCTTGGATGTGCCATTCTCCCTCATCTCAAGAATTTAGTCGATACCATAGCCAAGGGTTTGGAGGTAAAAAAAAAAAAAAAAAGGTGTGATATTGGAATATTGCAAGATTTGTATAGCAGGGTTATTAACTTTATTTATCATTTCTTATTTTTTATTTATTTTGATATATCGTAGGATGAACAACAAAAAGTTAGGACTATTACATCGCTTGCTATTGCAGCATTAGCAGAAGCGGCACATCCCTATGGTATTGAATCGTTTGACTCTGTACTGGCGCCCCTTTGGTCTGGTACACGCAAGCACAGAGGCAAGGGTCTCGCTGCATTTCTAAAAGCGATTGGTTATATCATTCCGTTGATGGACGTTGAGTATGCCAACTACCATACCAAGGAGGTTATGCCTATTCTGATTAGAGAGTTCCAGTCACCGGATGAGGAAATGAAGAAGATTGTACTGAAGGTTGTTAAACAATGTGCGGGCACAGACGGAGTTACTCCTCAGTATATTAAAGAGGAGATCTTGCCAGAGTTCTTCAAGAACTTTTGGGTGCGCCGTATGGCCCTGGATCGCAGGAACTACAAGCAGCTGGTTGAGACAACCGTTGAGTTGGCACAGAAAGTTGGTGTGACAGAGATTGTTTCCAGGATTGTGGACGACTTGAAAGATGAATCGGAGCCCTATCGTAAGATGGTCATGGAGACAATCGAAAAGGTTATCTCACAGTTGGGCGCTGCGGATATTGATGGACGTCTTGAAGAGACTTTGATTGATGGTATCCTGTATGCATTCCAGGAGCAGACGGTGGAGGATATTGTGATGTTGAATGGCTTTGGAACCGTTGTCAATGCACTGGGATATCGCAGCAAGGCTTATCTTCCTCAGATCACATCCACAATTCTTTGGCGCTTGAATAACAAATCAGCTAAGGTCCGTCAACAAGCCGCTGATTTGATCTCACGTATTGCAGTGGTGATGAAGACTTGTGGAGAGGAGAAGCTGATGGGACATCTGGGCTTGGTGCTGTTTGAATATCTTGGAGAGGAATACCCAGAGGTTTTGGGATCAATTTTGGGAGCACTGAAGGCGATCGTAAACGTGATTGGTATGAGTAGTATGACACCACCGATTAAGGACTTGCTGCCGCGCCTGACACCCATTCTGAAGAACAGACACGAAAAAGTGCAGGAGAACAATATTGACTTGGTGGGTCGTATTGCAGATCGTGGAGCAGAGTATGTGAGTGCAAGAGAATGGATGCGTGTATGCTTTGAGCTACTGGATATGTTGAAGGCGCACAAGAAAGGTATTCGTCGTGCAGCAGTCAACACATTCGGTTATATCGCCAAGGCAATTGGACCACAGGATGTGTTGGCAACACTTCTTAACAATTTGAAAGTGCAAGAGCGCCAAAACCGTGTCTGTACGACTGTTGCGATTGCCATTGTTGCAGAGACATGTGCACCCTTTACAGTCCTGCCTGCGCTCATGAATGAATATCGTGTACCCGAACTCAATGTCCAGAACGGTGTTTTGAAGGTAAAAAAAAGACCCCTATTCTGACAACATTTATCCTATTGTTGTAACTAATGACCTTCATAGAGTGACAAACTAATTTTTTTATTTTTTTATTTTTTTTTTCAATTTGGGTAGTCATTGGCATGGGTGTTTGAATATATAGGAGAGATGGGAAAGGACTATATTTACGCAGTTACACCATTGCTAGAGGATGCACTCATGGATCGTGACCTCGTGCATCGTCAAACGGCTTGTACTACAGTCAAACGTAAGGATGAGACAACAAACTTTGTTTTTTTACTCCAAGATGTTTTTCTTAATTTTTATTAACTTTTTATTTGTAACTGTTTTTCTAGATATGTCACTGGGAGTTGTTGGTCTAGGATGTGAGGATGCATTACTGCATCTGTTGAACTATGTTTGGCCAAACATTTTTGAGACGTCGCCACATGTGATCAATGCTGTAATGGATGCGATTGAGGGTCTAACAGTAGCTTTGGGGCCAGGTACAATTTTACAATATGTTGTTCAAGGACTTTTCCACCCAGCAAGGAAAGTAAGGGAGATCTACTGGAAGATTTACAACAACATGTATATCCTAGCACAGGATGGTATGATCCCGTCATATCCATCGATCGATAACGATGCCACCAACAAATATGAGCGTACGGAGCTGTATTATGTCGTATAATGGTGTTAATAAATATCCAAGAAACAAAGCATAAAAAAGTATAAATAAATAATATAGACAAAAGCATCAAAGGTATCAAAAGTATATGTCAGTTATTTTGCATTGTTGTTGTACATCTTCATCCAATTGGAGCAGAGTGGCCTAGTTTTGAATGCTGTGAATGAACTTCAGTCGTTATTCGAGAAGAATAAGCCATGGGCCATGTGAAAATATACGAGTACAGGAGACTGTGGAGTGTGGAGTGTGGAGTGTAGAGTGTATGTGTAAGAGAGGAGGATATCCAAAAATCCAAACAAAGTGGCACTGCGCATGGTCTGGATGAATGATGTATTTTAGGAAAAGCGTTAGGGCGAGGGATCTAATAAACTCTCAAACTCTTTTATTTTTTTCTCGCTTCGTCAGCTTTTTCACTCTTTTACTCATGTATTAACACTTGACGACAACAGACTTTCACTTTCACTTTTCTTCATTGCCAATTGACAATTGCATCCCTTATTTTATTTTATTTTTTTGTAATCATTCAATAACCAACAATGCCAACTGATCCACCCTCAGTCCCAGCAGGTCCTACAGCTGCAGAAGGTGTAGCAGCCATGATTCCTGTGGCTAATATTACACTTGAAGATGCATTGCTCGACAACCCCAACTTCAGGGCCAATATCAAACTGTTTGAAGGCCAAGTCTACTTCATTGAGTCCTGGCTTACAGCAATGGTATATTAACGCGTGTATTAAAGGACTCTGTTGGAGAGAGGGTCTAATTTTTCTTTGTCACACATAACGGCTATAGAAACTGAAGAGACTTTTCCCTTTTATTATTTCTTTTCTACAATACAATGCAACACAGCAAAAGACAATGGCCCAGTTTACAGAAGAATGGAAACGTAAGTTTATCGTGTAGGGATGATATCCATGTTCTTTTTTTTTTTTACCTTTTGGAATATAAAACTAACCTTCAGACAAACCCTCCAAAAAAAAATGTCTTGAACTCTCTGCTTGGAAATGCCATAATGATGACATGAAATCATTTTCTTTTTTTTTTTTTTTTTTTTTAAAAAAAAAAAAAAAAAAAACAGGACTGAATGAAGTCACCTCTATCCTCAACAAGCGGGCCGAAATCCCGTTACTCTCCCAGAGCATGCTAAGTAAGGATTACATATCATAGTTACTATTATATTTTATCTGCATTGCATGCTTTGCAAATTGATCTGCACATCCTGCTGTTACTATTGTTATTCTTGGTTAGTGGTGGTGATAAAATAGGTGGGATCACACGAGCTTGTCAAGTGGTAAATTATTTTCCACGCGTCCTTGTAAAATAATAAATAATTAAAATAAAAGAATACAATCCACCGAATCATTATCTCCGCATCCACCCCTAAACGCATCAGTTGATCGCTGGACGTGAACAAAGAAAAGAAAGAAAGAGTGTGAGAGAGAGAAAGAACTCTGTCAGGACATCGATATACAACAACACCTGCTTTCCTTCTTATCCTCGTGTCTATTGTTTATGTGGTCAAAGTCATTGATATCCTAAATGGTCTTTTAGCCAACATACATAATATAATAGTAATAAAATAAATCCTCTAACAATCCCTTATCATTGGCTAGGCTCCCAATACACCATTCCAGCTATGAAACTAACTGGTGAAGCATTTCGGACAACACTGGCACTCAAGCACCAATATATCACAGAGGTGAATGAAAAAGTTCTCAAGCCGTTGGATGATTTCCTAAAGACGGATCTCAAGGATTTCAAGGATGCAAAAAAGGTCTTTGACAAGACTCTAGAAAAGTACGAGAGTAGTTTGGCAAAATATAACGGTCAAAGTCGACAGAAAGAACCCAGTGCGCTCAGAGAGGAGGCTTTTCAGCTCTATGATACACGCAAAGCCTATATCCAGGCTGCCATGGCTTGCTCAATGCTCTGTATCAAGTTTCAAGACTCTTTGGATCAACTTGTGCTCGGGGTGGTAATTTTTTATTTTTATTTTTATTTATTTATTAAAAAAAGGGGGAGAAGGAAAGTTTTCTACAGATGCCTTATCGTTTTCATTTTTTATTTTTCCTCTAGTTTCTGGATCTTATGGCTACTCAACACGACTACTTCTCAGGAAATGCTGACCACTTGGGAAGCATGGGCCTACAGGTCCTTCAGCTCAAAACCTACATGAAGGAGCATAAAGAAGCAAGTAAAGTAATGATTCAGGAACTAGAACAGACAAAGGAACGATACACAGCTGATGCTATCGAATATTGGAAACCAAGTCGATCACTTAAATGTTATTCCAATAACGCTCCTCCTCCACCTCAAAAATTGGTATCGACAATCGGACATGCTGCATTGGGCCCTACATTTGCTGCACAAATGGCAGGACAAGTTCCATTCAATGCACTCCTGCCAAGGCCTGCAACAATATCTCATCCTGGGACAGGTAATAGTCGGCAACCTATACCGATACAGCAGTTTCAGTCACTCTCACAGTCTTCGCCTACCCTTACCGGTAACCATGCTGCATCTACAGAGAATTCAACGTCCACAGATACTCTTGCTGTCAACACCAACGCATTAACCAGATCAAATAACAACATCAACACATCAACTCTCTCACTACCCACCTCATCCAGCAACTCGTCCATATCCACATCAAATTCGATCACGCCATATTCCGCTACCTTCAATCAATCAGGTGTAACTTTGAATGAAATCATTCCAACAACCAAACAAGGTTACCTTAATATTCGAATTCCTCAACCCAAAAATCGAGCCCCTGTTTGGCAACGCAAATACTTCTTTATCCAAGAAGGCGAGTTTGGGTTTGAGAGTGTTGTTTCAAACCCAACAGTAGGATCACAAGTAGTTCAAAGTGAACGAATTCAAGTGTTACTTTGTGAGGTTCGGTATGGGTCCACTTCGAATTCTCAAGTCACATTGAACGGAGGTGGGAACCCCGCCTCTGGAAGCCAAGGGCTTGCTATGGTTCAGATGGAGCGGCGTTTCTGCTTTGAGGTCATTTGCGCTACACAGTAAGCTAATTTCTAATCCTTATTGCATTAAATACCATTTTAATTCTATTCGCATCACTTTCCTGACTTTTTTTTTTTTGTGGGTTTCAGTAGTGGTTACCCTTCTGCAGCCAGATCATACCTACTCCAAGCAGAGTCAGAAGATGATTTGATGAGCTGGGTCAACACATTCGAAGCGGCTAAGCGGGATATGCTTATGCAACAGAGTATACCTCGGTCTCCAGAACCAGATGAGCCCTATTCACCCATGCCTGATTCTGGCAATCCAACGTTTTCATTTTCAGCGGATGACCTACTTGAAGCTCACACAAGGGCTAACAACGCCAATAATAATACAGAGGAGGCCGAGGAGTCAAAGTCGACATCGCTAGGACCTTTAGGATGGGCTGCTAATGTGCCTGGTGTCAGTTTATTATTGAGTTCGGTCGCTGGAAAGTTAGACTCATCATCCGACTCCATAGATAAACCCGCAGGTCAGATGGACCCTTCGTCAACGGAAGCAACACAAATGAAAGGCGCTGCAGGGTTACCAGCATCGGATGTTTCGCAGGCTCCAACGTCAGTACCGCCATTATCACTTCAATTATCGGACCGATCTCCACAAGACCTTGATGCAGATGCGTCATCAGCTCACGAGAGGTCTCGGTTAATAGGAGATAATTCTGCTACTTCTGCTACCACCACGACTATTATTGAGTCACAGCGCTCTGGTCACATTCATCAGCAATCTGAAATTGAGAAACTGATGACTAGCTCCCTTCATCTGATCCCTAAGGTTGTGCCCCCCACCGCTTCTGAGTAAGTTTATAAAGTTTCACTAAGAGCGTTGTATTTTTGTTATTTTTGGGGAAACAATACATTAAAAGGTTAATATATCTGTGCCTTTTTTTTTTTTTAAAAAAAAAAAAAAAAAAAAAAAAAAAAGAATTCCTCACTATCCTATGGAGCTGGTTGTGCGGAACCGGGAGTTGCATATGCGGTTTCATGGAACAAAAGTGCATTCAAAAGAATATGTGCTTCATTCATGGACCAGTGGATACAGAGATAATTCTCGGCCAGACCATCCAATCATGGTCTATGGTCGGATATTTTTAACCCAATCAGGCATGTATTTTTATGCCCGTGGACTGAGTGTGGAGACTAAACGGATGTATCGGTTCTCATCAATCCGGGGGATTGAATGTGAGCAAAAAGATATATCGACTGAATGGCGGATTGAGACCATGGATGGAGTTCAACATATCTTTCAGCAGTTCACGCTTAAGGATACGGAATACCAGGTTTTGCATCTGATTTGGACGAATGCTCATCAAGGGGAGAAGAAGGGTCGCTTACCGGTCAAGGAATTGTTCAGAAGAATCATGTCGATTACAAACAAACCGAAGGGCAGTGCAGGGTCGGGGTCTTTAGCAGAGACAGAATCAGGTCATTTAGCATCACGCGAGGGAGCCACGCATTCCCCTACATCAACAGCAAGTGGTGATAAGCCTGGAGAGGATAATGTGGCATGGAAGGATGAAGGCGAAGGTAATTTTACCCTTTTTATGTTGGTTTGATTTTGCTTTGACCTTGTTTAAATCGTTGACGCCACCCAAGGGAAAAAAAAATCTCAGAAGCGCGTATATTAATGAGTTATCTTACAAATCACTTTAAAGACCTTCCTACAGGGTTCGAGGTCCCATCAGAGCCAGTATCCTGTAATTGTCCTGGACACCTGGAGAAGAATGAATTGGATCAAACGTTTGATGTTTCGGCTAAGACAATGAGTCAATGGTTGTTTGGTAAGGATAGTCCAATCTGGAAGGAGTTCCATGAACGTCGAAGCAACACAGGTAAATTAAAGGATCGAAAGAATGCTCAGGCCGATTCTATGGGAACAAAGAGAAGTTTTCCTTACGCCCTATTTTTTTTTTTTTCTATCATGATAGTTCAGAGCGTTGAAGAATGGACGACAAATGGGACAGCAAAATCACGAGTGGTGAAATACTTGATGGTGGTCAATAATCCGCTTGTGAAGCTGAATCAAACCGATTGTGTAGAAAACCAGACCTGTGATGTTGAGGATGAGTATCTTCGCTACTCCTATGTGGTTAAATCTAATGTCCTGGCAATGCCTTACAGTGATGCCTTCACCCCTGTTCTCCGATACTGTATCACATTTGTCTCTAAGACTTCTTGCAAGCTGACCTGCTCTAGTGGGATTGAGTGGCACAAAAACCCTATGGTCAAGGCTATGATCAAGGGAGCGATCATCAAGGGTACAGCTGAAACTGTGAAAGACCTTGTTGAAATCATTCAATCCCACATACGACGTTGCAAAGCGGGACTCAATAATTCAGGAGCAACGACTGGATCGACAGGTAATAGTGGAGAAGATGCTAGCCACCAAAGAAGTGATTCTGCCGCAAACATCACAATTTCGCTTCATGGACCAGACGATGATGCACAAAGTGTTATTTTGAGCCCACAAGATGCAAATGGTCCAAGTAGAAAGAACCTGGCAGTAATGCGTGGCTCAAGGGATGCTCGAGGAAGGCGCCATACTGTCAGTACAGATACATCAGGGCCCGGTGCTGTAACACATTTAGGTCCGCGAGTCAAGGGTCATTGGCCCACCGGTTCAAATCCATCCTTTGTGCCCATTGGGTCCAAAGCTAGCCGAACACGGCTGTTAGGTAAACCTAGCAAAAGTACACTGAATGATCTGTATAATGAAAACAAGACCAAGACCAAAGCCAAGGACGTGGATGGGACAGCAATGCATAGAATCATGGACTGGCTCAAAGGATTAACGAATTGTAAAGATGAAAAACAACGACGCTCTTTTTCAACACGCCTGCTTTATTTGGTTCTCCTGACCTCATCTCTGATCAATATCTGGGCAGCCTATAACAGTCAAAGGATGCTGACCTCTACATGGAAGCTGAAACAGGATGAACCGCTCAGTACCAAAGGTCCAACGCTGTTGAGAGGATACCAAGAGCCATTTTACCGCATTTTCAGCACTGGCCATGGATATACTGAGAGCGAGCATGCTTTTAAGAACGTACGAGTGGCTGCCAGGGCAGTGTATCTGAAGGACTTGGAGGAGCAGATGCAAAGTGGGGAACTGGAAGGATTTGGTGATGGACGAACAATCAACCAAAAATGTTTCGAGATCTTCCTAGAAGTCCGAGACTCATTTCGTCCTCAACTTCAGCAGCAAAGGCCTCGAGAGGAACCAACGTCATTGGCACCCCCGAATCCAACAGCAGCAGCAACAGCAACTTCGTCAGGTTCGCCAACATCATCAAATCCATTTGAAAATTATTCGAAGGCTATAGTGCCAACACCTTATCCATGGCTATCATTACATCATCGTCAATGGGCTACTAAGCTTATCTACCAAAGAGATCGGGTTGGGATTCTGAGGCATGATTTGTTGTTGACTTTCGATACGCTGAAGCAGCTGGAGCGGCGATTGTTGGAGACGGAGTATATCAATTGGATCATGGATGAACGGAGCCGTTGTCGTCTCTGGGAGAGAAGAAGACGGGTTTCGGCACAATTGACTGAAACAGACGATAAAAAGAAGACAGTAGCAAAAGTTATGGATAAGAAGAGTGGTGAAGATTCGTTACCATCAGATATGGGTACAGAGTATTTGGTGGACATTGAGCCCCACTCTGGGACACAGGACGAGATTCAAGAACGGATTGCTCGGTCAAAGTTAAACCATTCGAATACTCCTTCATCTTCAAGAGGTCATCCACCTTCGTCCTTGAATGGTGCTGGGGATGATAATGCAGCAGAACATGAAGCACACGATGATTTTAATGATGACATCGATGATGATAGTCATACTGGGGAGACTCGTCAAAAGCGGCTGCGTAAGATGGAGATAGCACAAGAGTTCTGTAAGACACTGGAACACCAGATCGAACTGCTCATGCTTGACAAGTAACAGCCTGCACAAAAGTGAGAAACAAAAAATAAAATAAAATAAAATAAAATAAAATAAAATAAAATAAAATAAAATAAAATAAAATAAAATAAAATAAAATAAAATAAAATAAAATAAAATAAAATAAAATAAAATAAAATAAAATAAAATAAAATAAAATAAAATAAAATAAAATAAAATAAAATAAAATAAAATAAATAAAATAAAATAAAATAAAATAAAATAAAATAAAATAAAATAAAATAAAATAAAATAAAATAAAATAAAATAAAATAAAATAAAATAAAATAAAATAAAATAAAATAAAATAAAATAAAATAAAATAAATAAAATAAAATAAAATAAAATAAAATAAAATAAAATAAAATAAAATAAAATAAAATAAAATAAAATAAAATAAAATAAAATAAAATAAAATAAATAAAATAAAATAAAATAAAATAAAATAAAATAAAATAAAATAAAATAAAATAAAATAAAATAAAATAAAAACAAAGACCCTCTTTGCTCAAAGGATAAAGTATCATTACCCACATCCAATTTTATTATATTTTCTTTGGAAGCAAATACTGACTATCTCCATCGTCGTTTAGTTGACAGTATTTGGCTGGGAAAAACACAACCTTGATTTCAGGTCTATACTTCTTAATAAGGCTATAAACATGACGCATGCATGCTTCGTAGGACAATATTGAGGACAGTGTGCAGGGGATACCAATAGTCTCCAGGTCAGGCCATAGACATTGATCTCTGTTTGCACGTCGTTCTTGGAAATTGTTCACCACATCCTGCAGTTCACCAAGATGGGTCATGTCCCTCTCGCTCCTCTTTGTCGTCCCTAGCTTTACCATTGGTGTTATTTGTATCGTTCTGTCCTCCCTGTTGCCCGTAAGCCTCTCGGAGAAGAAAGTGTTCCGTTAAGCTGATACTATCGGTGCTATCATCGAGTGATGAGTTGCGCAGCCGCCGATCCTGCCAAAGCCATTGAAATGGCCTCATGATTGTTGAGGCAAAAGAATGCCTGCTGTTTTGTGCAAGTTCCCATAGCGACTTGGTCTGGTACTGTCTATCGTAATAATAATATCGTTTGGTCCAATCAATATCAGTTTCTTTCATCCAAATTATACCACCTACTTGTAAGGCCCTCAGCCTTCTCAATCGTGATAAGAGACATAGGGAAGCAGTAAGCAGTCGCTTTGGACCCATAGGTCCTCATTTTCTGGGCAGACACGAGTAACATAGCCAGGAAGTACGCATGCCATCATATCATCGTCCATAATGAGGTATCTGTGAACGTCAAGTGCAAGGTCTTGAGTTTACGACAGACCCATACTTTTTGCAGAATAGGATAGGCAAATGGTTCTCGATGAGGGGAATTGATCCCTCTTTGAGGTATTGTTCTCAGCTTCTTTGTCACATACAACATTCGAATAGGAAAACTGACCACAGAGGCCTTGAAATGTTGCAGCTGAGGGTTGGAGCATAAAAAACTATGTACCCATTCTGTAAATTGTCCGGGCATCGGTTCATAATCAATTTGGTGTAAAGCTCCTGAAGGTCTAGAGTAGCCCAAAATTTCGACAGATGTCAGATAATTGAGCTGTTGTATGTGTCGATCTAACAATGCACAGGCTGAGAAAGGAAAGTCCACTCTTATGCTCATCGTAGAAAACCCCCATTGCTCAACCATCGGGAACTGCCTGATTGGCACTACTTCGTCATGGGTTGGGTTTATTGAATAATCAGGGTTGTAGTCTTTGGATACATGGAGGCTTTTGAGCTTTGGCAAATAGAGAGACAGATTTGATGATGACGACGATAGTGATGCTAGTGGTGGCGACGATAGACGATGAAAGAACTGTTTCCTTGCTTCCTTATCAAATAAAAAGTTCATAATCTGATCAGGAATAGTGTTAGTGGCGGGCATGGCCTGAATACGAATCATCCGAAGCTCTGTGAGGTTGGGACAACTCCGGACAAAGGATTCGAGCGCTGTCAGTGATAGTGCCATATTGTCAAATGTAGCTGATTGTAATGGCCACTGGCGGTTGACTTTAGTGGCGGTGCCAATAGTAGTAGGTACTGTATGGGATATTTTCTAGTCGCAAACTGATGAGTCGGGGGCCGAGGATGCTCAGAAGCGGTATCAACCTTGGCCAGGTACCTTGGTATATGTCCGCATTAAGAACCAATTGACGGATTTTAAGTTGGTCACTACTGACACTGCCACCAGAATAACTGCAATCATTCTTATTTTTCCTGAAGGATGCCGCTGAAAATGATAGTGATTCTGGCGATGATGGTAATAGTGACGGCGATGGCGACGTTGCGGCGGTTAAAGCGTCCAGGAGAACGGCCCAAACCTCCTCTTCATCCCCAGGAAACAGTTTTTTAAAATAATCTGGTGATTGCCCCGTGCTATGAACGAGAGTGTATGCTGATAGTATTCTTTTTCTCAAGTTGTGTGCTAGTTGTTTGAGAGCACAGCTTCTTTTCATTCTCGCTAATGGTATTTTGGATGGTCCCCCACAGCCGCTTCCGTAGTCGAGTTGTGCAATGGAGATGCAAATTGTTTTCCTGATATGCGCCTGTGCAAGCCAGTGCCATTGACGACAGACCAAGGATATTGTAAAACGAAGGATTCCTTGTCCAAGGAATGAGAGGATACGACTCCAGGTCTTTGTTGGGAGTACAGATAGCATTGTACAGATTTTTGAGGGACGCTTTCCGGTTGTAGAAGCAGTCTTGGTGAATGAAAGTGAAGTATAAGGTAAGCAAGAGCCAAGAAAGAGGGAGGAAGTGAGGAATCGAAGGAAGAGAAAGTGAGAGATCGATGGAGGCTCAGCAGTTTGTGAAACAATGCAGTTGGAACAACTTTGGTCAACAAACATAACATGAGCATTTCACCTATTAAGTCTTTATATATTAAGATTACCAATCTTTCTTCTCCTCCATCACCCTCCTCCCTTCACTCGCTATGCTATACAGTCTCGCCACGACAAATAACCTCAATCTCCGGTCGATACTTGTTAATATGACTTCGTAATAGGCGTATGCATGGGTCAAAGAACTTGGGTGTTATAATATCATCAATATCATATCGGATATGGATCGCCTCCATGTTCGGCCAGAGACAGACGTGTCTGTTGGCGTGCCGTTCTTGAAAATAATCAGCTATATCCTGACGTTGTCCAAGATGGGTCATGTCAACGCCACCAATTATCTCTCTTGTATCTTTTTCCCCATGGCCCTCCGGGTTATGTATCTCATGCTTATTTCTAAGATTGGTTCTGATGGCTGTGATATCCGCAACAGGGTCATCAGCAATACTTGGAGCATTGAAACACCGCTCTGCCAAGCACATATTATGGCCCTTGTTGATAGGACTGCTACTTCTCCATTGATCAGGCGTCCATTTCATCCACAATGATTTGACCCAGGCTGGTGTTAATGAAAATTCATCTGCATCGTAGTAATGATACCACTTCATCCAGTCAATTTGACTGTAGTCCAAAAAATATATGTATCTCAACTGCAAAATCCTTAGGCGCTTCAATCGCGGCAGCAAACATAGGCTGATGGGTGAGCGTCGGATCAAATTGGTACTATGAATAGACAGCTCCTCCAGCTCCGGACAAACACGGCTGATATATCCAAACACCACTCGAGTCTGCTCCTCATAATCCTGCATGTGCTCATCATGGGATTCCTCGATTCGGATATGTAGCGTCCTGAGTCTTCGACAAGCCCATACGCGCTGGACAACTGGGTACTCATAGTCGCCTTCCCCGTACTCGACAATAGTTCGCTTCGGTTTCACAGACAGCTCCTTAGTCACGTAGAGTAGTCGTAGTGGGAACCGAATCTCCTTTGCTTTGAAATGCTCCAACAGTGGGCTTTGACATAGCAGCTCCTCGAACCATTTGGCATTGTCGTTAATGCGGTAAGACGCGGTGCCTTTACAGAACCCTTCAATTTCAACTGAAGTCAATTTGTGCTCTATCCTGTGGCGCTCCAGGAGGATACTAGTAGGAGAAGTTGGTACCCTGAGCATGCTCATTGTCGAAACTCCCCAGTGCTCCACGTTAGGGAGTTGTGAAATCGGCGCAACCATATCACCTCTCCCTTCGTACCATACATCGAGTGCCTCTGCGGCATCGAGTGCTTCTGCAACATGGAGTGCTATTAGTTTGGGACAATAGAATGCTACATCTTCAAAGAATTTCTGTCTTCTTTGCTCGATAAAGAGGAAACTTCCGATAGATTCAGCGTGGATACTGCTGAAGGCAGAGATTGGCTGAAAGCGGATGAGTCGGAGCTTCACCAGGTGTGGACAGCTCCTGATAAATGACTCGAGTGCAGTCTGGGTCAGCGCTAAGTTGTCGAATGTGACGGACCGTAGTGGCCAATAATTTCCAGGATGCATTCTATTACCATTAGCGGCAATGGGGGTGGTCGAGCCACCTGTAACAATGCTGCGCTCACTATCCTCCTTTAGCCTTGCTGGCTCCTTTCCGAAACGAGGGGTATTTGATGCTATGCGTAAATCCTGTAGATTTGGACAAAGCTCCATGATCCTGTTGATGGGCACAAGGACACCACAAAGGATATTGTCCAGATGAAAACTGACAAGCCCAGAGCCAAGAAATTCGAGAAGCGGTATCAATCGTGACCAAATGAGGGCCAACTGCTCGACGTCCAGAACAAGCTGTCGAATCAGCGTTATCAGCGATATTGTTAAGGATGCATTGAGATATGATGGAATCGCGAAGGATAGACCAAGCTGCCTCTTCCTGTCCAGGCCACAGCCCCGATGCATTGGACTTTGGTGAGAGTCCTGCTTCGTAAACGAGTGTGCAGGCCGACTGCAACTTGTAAGTCAAAGTCTGCACCTAATGCTTATAGAGACTCTTTCTTTTGAATTTTTTCTTCCAAAATGAAAGCTCCCGGATGAAATGGTTAATCGAAACATGAACAGTTCTCCTGATAAGAGATCGAGCAGCATGGTACCATTGACGACAAACCAAGGAAACATAGAACCGGAGGACGCCTTGACTTAAATACGAAAATATGCGCTCAATAACCTCAGGAGGCAGCCGTGTGGAAACACTCTGACCAACTGAGATACAATCTGCTCCTGTGCTTTCTCTGCCTTCTTTCTTCATCCGTGTAAACAACATTCTGGTGGTATAGTGATGGGGAAATCATGCCAAAAGATGTAGGAATGGTTAATTGTAAACGTTTATTGATCTGTTTCCCATGTGGCAATGTTAATTAGCAAAATCTGAACAGCTTTGTTTGTCTGTGCCACACATGCATGCAAACAGTCGATAATCGATGATCAACCTACTCCATTCTACAGCAGTAACAAAAAGTAATATTTATCTATTCCCAGGATCAGTGGATTCAGATTATACCTTGCTCGGGTAACATCCCAACGTTAACCACATTAATCTCAGGTCGAAATTTCTTGATCATACTTCGCGCTTGACGTGTGAAATATCCATAGCCTCTCCACATCCCATCAATAAGGGCATGACTAGCGAAGTAGTAGATGAATATGGTCTCCAGTTCGGGCCATAGACTTTCATCGCGGTTAGCACGTCGATAATGAAAGTAATTTACTATATCCTGCAGTTCACCAAGGTGAGTCATATCTACCCCATCAATCACATCACTCTGCGTTTTTGATTCTTTTTCCACTCCTGAAGGCATAGTTTCCTTATCTACCGAAACTCCAAGACTCTGCTCCGCCATACTTGAACTTTCACCAGCACAAAAAGGTGCGTTCATGATACGCAGAGTTCTCCATCGCCTTACCATCGACTTGACCATGGAGTGTCGTTTATCTTTCTTCAGCTCCCATTCCAGCCTTAGCTTCAACTGTTCCTGTATGTCATAATAATACTGTTCCTTTATCCAATCCAAATCCTTCTCACACATATACGGGACTTCCACAAGCCTCAATTTCTTCAGTCGCTTTAGCCTAGATAATAAACACATGCTGACAGGAGATTGAAGCCGATCCTTGATCCCGTTCCCCCTAATGAGCAGATCTTCTAAATCCGGGCAAACACGACTAACATATCCATAGAGTACACGCGCCTGCTCGTCTAGGCTTTGTGTGCTACATGCTTCGTCGAATCTGACATGGAGCGTCCTGAGCCTTCGACACGCCCAGATTTGTTGAGGGACAGACCTAGTAATTCGATCTTGACCATGTTCGTAGGCATAATACGGTTTGTTGCACAACGCATTGGTTACGTAAAGCATTTGGAGAGGGAGAGATGTCTGGTGCTTTGAGGTGCTCTAGTAAAGGGCTCTCACATAGGAGCTGATGGATCCATCTACCAGTTTGATACCCAAACATGATAACATTGCTAGATCTCGCTATAAGGATTTCAATACTGGTCAATCGATTTTTCATCATGTGTTTATCCAAAAGCATTTTGACGGAGCGTGGTGGCATCCTGTTCATGCTTAATGTCGAAAATCCCCACTGCTCAACTAAAGGAAACTGAGGAATCGGCACTACTTCGTCAAATCCGCCACACCTCCCGTCTAAAGCTTCTGAGACGTGAAGGCTCGCAAGTTTTGGACAATATAGTGCGAGCCTGCCAAAGAACCGCTCTCTTTCTACCTGGTTGAAGAGAAAGTTCTCTAGTCTGGCAGATGACACATCTCCAGATATGCAAGGCTGAAAGCGAACGATCCTTAGCTCTGTCAAGTCGGGACATCTCTGTAGCAATGGCTCCAATGCGGTTTGCGTCAAATTGAGGCTATCGAGTGTGATAGATTGTAATGGCCAATTGAATGTATTGGCTTCCTTGTCTGAATTATCCATTTCTTCTAGCTTGGAAACATCGCTTCCAGACTCATACCCACCACGCCTTGCTAAAAAGAGGTGCTTGAGATTCGAGCAACACTCCATAATCAAGGCAATGGGGATAATCGTTTTGGCCGGGAAATTCTCTAGATGCAAATGAACGAGACTGTGGCCAACAAGCGTCAAGAGGGGCTGCAAGCGGTCCCAAACCCAGGATGCGAACCCAGCATCAAGGATAAGTTGATGAATCATGAGATCCTGAGGGCGAGATATTGACAATGAGGCTAAAGTGGCATTGAGAATGGACCAAGCTCTTTTTTCCACAGCGGCTGATATTCTACACAGGCCGAAATAGGGTAATGCTCCTGATACTCCTGCTTCGTATACGAGAGTGTGGGCCAGTCTTAATTGGTGCGTCAGCTCCAGCTTCTTTATCGCCATATGCTCCTCCGTAGTAATCTTCATTTTTTGCTTCTGCTGTCTAGTCAATGCACGACCAAATCGGATGGCAGAGACGCGGACGCATCTTTTGAGGAGCGGTTGGGCGATATCGTGCCATTGGCGACAAACCAAAGGAACCGTTAGACGAAGTGTAGTAAGCCCAACATATAGCAGAATGCGCTCGATAATTTTTGGAGGGAAAATAGGGATTGTGTTGGGAAGAGAACGCTTGGCATAGACAGGCTTGGTTTTTGTTGGAGTCAAAACAATCATTCCAATAGGTTGATAGTCACTATTGCTTGGCTGAGAGCGATTGATGTGTCGATGAAAGAAAGTGATGTTAATGAAGGAAATGAATTTAACAAAGAGAAAGATTTAAAAGTGTTATCCATTCATCTTTGTGAATCAAGCCGCGTTAAAAATATCCCCACTGTGCAGCGTGTCCATTCTTCGACTCAACACGTCAAAGGCTCTAGGACCGCTTGGCCCCAAACATACATTTACGCTTCTCAAAAAATCTCTATAATGAAGTTGAAATAGATATCCCCTCACGGCAACAAAGATTCATGATCAATGCAAGGAAAGTATTTGAATATTTTTAAAACCTTTTTTTACAAATGGATTGGAACCATGTACTCTTTTAACTGAATGATACTGAGCTCCTTTGCATAGAACAACCATTGAAAACTAAGAGTAAAAGCTAGCTGTGTCAGTTGTATTACAAAAACCCTATTTTTATGACAAACTATAGGATGTAAAAGATCACGCAACACCAAAAACATTGGAACATGTCCATGTGCAAACATTGAAATGTAGTTGGATTCAAGAGCGGGTTGGCGAGCCTCGATATCATCGAGGCCATTGCTGGATACCTGTATTACCTATGTTGCTGTATTCTCCAGAATTTACTAATATCCCTACTTGTCCTTTTCAAGCTACTTCTACGCTATATGAAAGAGCTAATAATAACAAAGCAGCGACGAAGCACAGCTTCCTCGACGTCTATCAAGATGCGCTCAATGATTCTTGGACGGTTGGAAATGTCAAAGAACTGGGAATAAAGAGAAGAACAAGATTTGTATATCTGTTTTTTGCTGTGCCGCTTCATTCGAGGGGCAAAAGGCCACAGCACCAATCAAATATAACAGACAGCCTCACAAATGAGCATAATAATAATATTCTGGTGGTCCTCATAGGAACGTGCGTGGGATCCCTGTAGCTCATTCTACTGTACTTTATCCTATACATGTATACATGCCTCAATAACATGACGCTGGATGGCAGAGGACAGTCTGCTGCACGCCCGGATTCAGGGGTCCATACTTGAAACAAAGCTCGGAGTAATAGAAATAAATGATGGTATTAAATAAAAGTGCTGTGTCTGTATCTGTCATGTTTTCAGATAAGAACACTCGTTTTCCTCTAATATCTTTATTTCAATCCCGCGGACTTGACAGGGGTTTCTTTAGCTAATGAGGCACAAAAACAAGTTCGAGTGAGCATCTACTCTAGTCTAATCGTTGAATATGGTTGTCGTTGCCCCGCCTCCCATTCTCTGTAAACCCATCTGTGCTCACATTTCTTTCTTTCTTTCTTTCTTTGATCTTCCTTTCTTGCTTCTTCCTCCTTCTCCCTCTCTAATCTTCCCATCCTACTTCGCTATCCTCCCGGATCCTCTCTGACCTTTTCAGTACTTCCTTCTCCGCCTCAGTACTTGGCACGCTTTGGTCAATTGCCGCTGATATATACAACATTTCCCTCAGCTTGCACATATTCTCAACGGCGTTCATTCATCCTGCTAAACTCAGGAGAGATGGGAGACTGCATTGTAAATATTTCAACAGAGAAAGCCGTTGATGCAATCAATAACCAGACCATCACTTCCAACATAGTCACTAATGGGCTTAAAGATACGAAGCAAATGCCACCAGGCAATGCTATCACTGACCGAGAACCAGGTAGCTCAATTTTGATCCATCAACCATAATTTTGTATTTAACAAGAACCTTGAATAGCAATCTAATATGGACCAATGGATGTACACAAAAACCAAAAAAAAAAAAAAAAAAAAAAAAATTGCTGGCTATTCAAAGACTTCAAGTGGTATTTCATCGAAAATAAGGAGATCAAGGATGATTCTGACAATTTCCACCTCAGATGCACTCCAGAGTAAGCAGCTATTATGATCGCTCTAGTATTGGCCACTGAATAGACGAAGGCTCATTAGTCTCTGACCAAATCGATTTCCGTGAATCTGTATAACCCACTCGTACACAGGGAACAACCATCTGTAGAAGTGCCAGCCTCCAGACAATTCATTAGCGTAGGTTTCCGGCCGTTTGGTGCTAGAGATTTCATTTCTCAAGCCAGCAAAACTAACACATTACAATATAGTGGATAGGAGGACATCCTGATATGAGTGGTCTATACAATGTCATCCTAGGTCTCTCCCTTAAAAAACTGAACATGGAGTGTGTTGAGTCGATTGCTTTTCAACTTGGATATATAGCTTTTAGTGAGCTAGGCCCTATCGAGGTATCATATTTAGTGAAAAGCGACTATGTATTGCGTAAAATAAGGCTCCACCAACATATTGACAACCCATTCTTGTTCCTTTACATCCTAGCAATTAACAAAACGCGATCTCACAGACTTAGGTAACCCACAGCATACTGCAACTACTTTTTTATCGTGGAGTAAAATACTAATCCCCTCTCCTTCACGACCGTCCGATAGTGAACTCTGGGACAGGGATATTAAGATTAAAACTGCATCAACAGACTCATGGATACCAGAAAGATGTCAAATGCTGGATGAGCGTGAAATTGTCACAGGGCTCCACACCATGCGATCCTGGAGCTATCGAGCTTCACTACATTGAGTTGGACTCTCTCCAGTCAACTATTAATGGTAGGCAAGCCCATTCACTTATATATATTCATAGTAAAGATAAGTGGCCGAAGAGACTGATAGGCTCCTCTTCTATTCAATATCATAGCAGCACATACATATATCCATCGTCCTTACATCTGGTCCATCGACGTTGGGATCCAAGATGAATCCACAAACATATCAGGACCCCCACAGCAGGCTACCATTCTAGATTACGCAGTCTCTGGAGATGGTAACTACATCGGCACCTTATCAGCAGTGGAGATGTGCATTCAATTAGATCTTTGGGCCATCAAGTACGAAGCCCCTCTTGCTGTCACGATTGATGAGATGCATTTAAAGAATTACAGCAACAGCTCTAAGACTGAGATGGAGCACTGCGGTCGTGTTCAGCTACCATTAAAAACGTCATCGAGTGAATATTATTCACGATGCAGGCTGTGTACTCTCTCACTCTCCTGGAATGCTTCAATGATTGCTCTAGTCCTACAAAATCATTATAGTATAACAGACAATTTATCGGTCTTTAGATACGACCCAAATCGTCAAGTACCCCTAAGCGAGAAGGCAACTATAGCTTCTAAATCACGGCACCTTGAAAGACTAGAGCTTGCTGAATCTGTTGCAGCGAAGGATTGCGAATCAGGAAAGTTCCATATTACTGATACGAAAGCCCAAGACGAAAGAGACGAACTATATATTTCTTGCAAAAAGAACACAGTAGACATTTATGCAGTGTATGGGCGATGGAGGCATATTCGATCAATCCGGATTTACGACATCGGCGCATGGGCGGTGTGGAGCCCAGATCAAGTACTTCGCTCGATTCGTGGTAGATATATGTCCTGGATGAATGACAATGACAGGGTACTGACCTGTGACTTGAAAACAGGAGCTCTCGTCTCCCACGATTTTCGGGACAGAACAGTATCGCTGCAACGGACAGCAGATATCGGTTTCTCCAGCGATGGGTGCACGTGGGCAATTCATGATACTTTTAATAAAAATCTTTATTTGTGTAGGAAAGGATCGAAGACAAGACTGGGATTTCTTGGTAACATAGACAGCATGGATTTAACCAGTAACTATCATATATTGACTACAAAGCAGCTGTCTGGTACGGGACATGGCTGTGGTCGCCAAACGGTCGGACTTCTCTTGGATTCTACCAACCTATCCATCCTCAAGCGTTTCTCCGCTCGATTCATGATAGGAGCTCCACAGCCATCTATCAACAATGAAGATTGGAAGTTGCTCTACTCTGTTCATGGATCGAAATTGGATCTGGTGACAGAAGAGGATGTCAGAACTGAACTAGAATGCACCTGTAACGGATTATGTGAGGATGAGGTGTCGCAAGCACGGGTAGTTGACTGGGAGTCTATGGAATCAGGCATCAAGAGCTTCGTTTTGCCCTCGCTTCTGAAATTTTCACTCGAAATTCAAGGAGACGTCGACAAGAACTCGTGCATCATCTCAATATCTGATGAGCGCCAACGACAGCGAGTGGCGCTTACCATCCCTCCTGCAACGATTCCTGGTGTGGTGTTTATGAGTCCTTACAGAGTTGTATTCCAGACGGACGCTCGACGGATGATTGTATGCACAAGCACCTTTGTCATGATTTGGGGTCTTCCGGAGACATTTGATGATGACTTGGAGCTATTGCTGGCGTGGTGGGTGCCTCTGTTCCCTTGCATAATGGACAACTGCATGATACTGTTGAACGTGTTCACCGATGTCTTGCAGTGTAAACATGGAGAAGTGTTTGCCAAGGCGGGCCCACGCCAAGAAGATCCTACGCATTGTCTTCAGCCACGTGCAGAAGATACGTTCGCCTCAAACAAGTCTTTACATTTCCTGGAAGGACTCAAGGTCTTGTTTGCAATGTTTCCCGAAGGCAATGAGACTGTCCAACGAGCCATTATTCGCTATGTAAGGCGGTATATCAATCACCACCCAGATCCTGAGGATCTCTCTAAGAATGTCATGTATTACATATGCCAAAATGTCGCAGCAGAAGATATCGAACAGCGCGCCCGCTTCATGCGTGTGTTACTTGAACTCAACCATAGCTCCTGGGTCCCAAGGCCTGATCTGGATGTTACTACAAGTCCTGTAGCGATTTTGCTCCAGCATTCAGAGCTAGAACCTCGAATGACCATTCTTGCTGAGATTATTATCGACTACTGTATTTCTCGAGCCAAGGAGGAAAAGGATGTCATTTTCCTTAAGCCGGTAACATGTACCCTCAAGGCGCTCTTCGGGAGCCGCCAACACAGCAGGCTTGCTCTTCGCACCTTGAATGCCTTAACATTTGTCCCTATTCAAGACCGCGAGTTCCTCATTAACCATCACGTCATTGCGCCTCCTCCTGCGTTCCGATGGCGATTTTGGGCGAACTCCACTAAGACACTATTCGAGTATGAGAACCCAGTGATGAAGCTAAACCACAGCACAGATGTAGTGTTGTCTGAAAACCCCAAAGACTGCTCGCGTGATATTTTTGTTGCTTTGTTTGACATGCTATGGACCGTACAAAAGCCAGCGTCATTGGTCCAATCAGAATCTTCTCGGAAGCAGACCCTACATCTCGGCCTCCCATCATGGACTCAGACACTGATTCAGCTTATCAAGCTTAAGCTAGTGCCCAACCCTAATAAGGCCGTCGAGTGTCACAACTTCCCACTTGAGGCTCTAGATAACCCAGTTCTTTCTGCCTTGGTCGAATACAAATGGTAGATGGCGCTCTTCAGGATGGATACGGGCCTTTATCAGTTCTGTGTACTCATTATTGTTTTTATTTTCTGTCACTTCCTTAGGAATACTATCGGCTTCAAGTACTGGCTAATGCGTTTCATATGGCAGTGTATATACTACCTGCTAATACTGACAACTATGTTCATGCAAGTCTACAGCCCTGAACCGAGCCTACTCTTGGGACTGTTCGCTGTTATTTCAGGCTTTGCTGTTGTTTTTCTGTTGCTCGAACTGATCCAGTGTTTACACGATCCACAGCGATATCTCACGTAAGTCCATACCATCTTTATGGCGGGCATTAAGCGCCAGTGATATCCATTCCTGATTCTGATGTACTCTTTACTCTTTGTTTTTTTTTTTTTTTTTTTTTTTTTTTTTTTTTGGTTCAGGTCACCATATAACTATGTCGATCTGCTTGCATTCACCTTGCCGCTTGTAGGAAGCATCCTACAGATTGTAAACATTATCCAGGAGGATCGCGAGGGGAATACGTCTTTACTCAGCTTTTCAGTGCTCCTTATTTGTCTTCACTTTGTAAGTCGTGGTTCATGAAATCATTGCGGTCCATATTATTCTGATACGCTTTATCACTTTATGCTGTCTTTAGAGCTGATTTTTTTTTCTTTTTCTTCCTGGCTATCGTACACCTTCATCTGCATTGAAAATAGCTGTTCGAGCTCAGAGTCAACGAAAGAGTGTGTCATTTCGTCACAATTGTTGTCCAAATTTTAGGTCGCATTCGCGTTTTCTTCATGTTCTTTGCTGTAGGAATCTTTGCCTTTGCAACTGCAATCCTGCACTTATATTGGGCATGTCCATATGACAATTGCGAAGACTTGAAAGAGGATGTCAGCTTCCCGAAGCACTTCCTTCATGCATTCTTTTCGACATATTTCTTTTTGGTGAGTTAATCCTTTGATATCAGTAGCATGCACCTATTAGACATCTTGTTATAAATAGAGACTACCCATAGGTGTATAGAGTTACTAAGGCCCTCTTTATTTATGTGCAATTAGGGTGGCGTGTGGGACCCGGTCAGCAACACTTTTGGCGAAAGAAACTGGGCATTTCAGTTCATGATGTTCATATACTTTTTCTTTACAACTATCTTGCTGCTCAACGTCCTCATTGGTAAGTTAGGATGACTTGTATCTTGTATTCCCAGGACTGAAATAGTGTTAAAAAAAAAAAAATCTCACCATCCATTTTTTTTCTAGCATTGATGAATGTGGCCTTCAATGTCGGTGATGAAACGTGGCGATTGGTTTGGACAGAGAACAGACTGAGATATGTGGAAAGTGCAGAGAACCTGCTATATCATGATCCAGGTGAGGCCTGAACCCTCTATGAGATGATTATGTGACTCCATTTTACTTCTTTATATTGCCGACAACTTACTGAACCTATGCTGTATGTGATGGCGCCTTATAGCTTTTCTGGATTATTTTCAGGTACGGAGTTTGTTTCCAGAGCGGATCTATTACATGGCAACGCCACAAGAACAAAAAGACTTTTATGCCAAGGCCGGTGACATAATCAAAGAAGAGACAGGAGGAGTCGTAAACCAAGCACAGACTAACGAAGGTGATAAGAAAGTTGAAGCAAGTCAAGTGCTACAGCTCCAAGGAAAGCAGTGTCAGGAACAGAAGGAGATTATTTCGGACCTTCGTGAAGAACTTATTAAGCTATTGACCCATATGAGTGAGATGCAACAGCAAATGATGGATCAGCAGAGGAGGTTTGACGAGCGTATGGAGGAACAACGAGCACAGCTGTGTGTCGTGCAAGAGCAGATCCGTGATTTTGTGCCTCCCCAAGGCAAAATACCATAGACTTTTAATAGGATTTGTATGCAAATGAAAAAAAAAAAAAAAAAAAAAAAAAAAAAGGTGTATTGGAATGGCTAAAACATTTTTTCGTCCATCAGTTGTCAACGGTGGCTACAAATGCCTTTTTAAGTCATTGCGGCATTCTTCTCGTATTAATATATATAACGCGATAATTCTAATTGATCAATCACTCTTCTGATACAACTCTTTGACCAACGCGTCTTTGACACCCACTCTTGTGGTGGGCATTGTTGTGTACGTGAATACGTTTTTGATCGGGGAACACCACGTACCCTGTCCAGTAATTTTTTTTTTTTTTTGATGCACATGAGTAGAGTTGATGTCATTTCTTGGGACGTACAAGAAGAGTGCACATTTTAAGTGTGCAGAGTGCAGCTCAGCTCTATTTTTACACGTACACACTTGGAGGTATTAGAAAATATCTGGGACCCGTTCTCACTTCTTTTTTCTCTTCATCCCCATCCTGATCCTCGTCCAAAACTTCATTCACAATGGCAACTAATCTTCCCAGAGGTAATAACGAAAGGATTTTTGTTTGATAAGCATGTTTTCCCCAATATGTAACGATACTTTGTCAACTCGTAACTGCAGTAATTACGGGATGGTGTTTGAGCGCGTAAAAACGCTCGATAAATGTCTACCTCGTATTACCGTGAGAATTGGATATAGAGCAGTTGTTTAATCTGTTCATGTCTTGCTAATCATCACTTATTATGAACTTTTATCAACTCTCAAGTTTACTTCGATATCACCAAGGACGATAAACCTCTTGGCGTATGTACCCACGATTGATTACCTAGTTTTGTTCAAGTTTTAAATGAACGATTATCTAACTTTGAATCAATGCAATAGAGAATCGTCATGGAGCTCCGTCCCGATGTCGCTCCCAGAACTGCTGAGAACTTCCGCGCTCTCTGCACTGGTGAGAAAGGATTCGGCTATGCTGGCTCTAGCTTCCACCGTATCATTCCCCAGTTCATGCTCCAGGGAGGTGACTTCACCCGTGGCAACGGTACTGGTGGCAAGTCCATCTATGGTGAAAAGTAAGTGCTGCTGCATTGTATCTTAATGTGTTTTATCGTCATTTTTTATTTGGTTTTATTAAGTCTGGTTTTGGCACTTTTTTCTTTCTTTTTTGACGACAGATTTGCCGATGAGAATTTCGATTTGAAGCACACTGGTCCCGGTACTCTCTCCATGGCCAATGCTGGTCCTAACACCAACGGCTCCCAGTTCTTCATCTGCACTGTCAAGACCGCCTGGTTGGATGGCAAGCATGTAGTCTTTGGCAAAGTCGCAGACGATGACTCTTTGGAAGTTGTCAAGGCTATCGAGAGGGAGGGTACTCCACAAGGTCCCCCCAAGAGCAAGATTACCATCGCACAGTGTGGTCAGCTTTGAGCAAATAGCCATGAATATGCCATCTTAATTGTACAGTTTCAATTTGAACAGCAATAAATCTTTCATGCTTGACAAAAGTCAGCAACAATCTTCTAAAAGTTAATCAAAAAGATTGAGTGTGTGACGTTTTGCGAGGGAACCAGGTCGTCACATGCTGCGTCACAATTTGAGTGATTTTTAAATTACCTCATGTCTTTTGAATACATCAACTCTTGACAACGACTAACAATTACTAGATCTGTTTCATTCACGGCATCAAAGGACAGCCAACAGACTAAGGAAGCTAGAGTGAACAACGCTTGGATCAGTTTGCGGATTTGCCAACATGTATGTGAAGGGATTTCCATGGTTCATTACCTATTTTACCAACATTCACTGTCGATTGCGCATTTTGCACTGCTGACTTCACTAACACTGAGCAACTCTTTTAAAGAGTCAACGTTGAAGGAGAATAGAAGTATATAGCAATCTTGAGCTGTTTGCTATTTGGTTGACTTGAATACCATAAGAATTTGGCCAAGGTAAACATTCGAAAAAAGAGGATAATTGATACCCTGGATCCCAGATATTATTGACATCTGATTCTCATGACCTTTTATGTTTTTCTAGAAACATAATTTTGGCCAAAGATGTCCAACAGACAGAAACCCACATCATCCAAACTCAATAGTTTCTTTAAATTCTGTTTAACGCCCAAAGAAACGTCACTCCATGAGATCCTACGACTGGACGCTGCGAAACCCTCTGACCCAATCGATGCAAATGAGGTCGTACAATTACTTCTACCTGGTATCAACTCATTGCAATCGCGCCTGAGGACACTGGAGGAATTGAGCCAAATTATTTTGAACTACCCATTTCAGCATACCAGCGAGCTCTGGGTTGCAGTGTCAGACCTTTTAGAGGCTGGGGTCCCACACAATGCTCGTAAGACTGCGTGGAACTTTATGATTGCCTGCATACAAGGGCAGTTTGAAGACCTTGGGATGTTGCGAGCTATTTTCTACCAGACCATTAACAGTCATGAAATTTGGGAGGATTTTGACGATAAACTTCAAGCCCTCAAAGAGTTAACTAATAACGGCCGTGATGTATATGGATTTGAGAAGAACATTGTCAGGCTTCTGGCCCACTGGATCAGCTCAAGCTTTGAGCAGGCTAAAGTGACTCAACATATGAGTCAGCAGCGGGTGGGCATGCAGAAATCAACGACCTCATTAGCGACACTTAGTAGTACACCTCAGTCAATACTTCTTCAAAAACCAATTCCTCACTTTAATACCACCATGGCCCTCCTCGTTAACGTCGTTCGATTTAATTTTGTATTCTTTGACGAACTTGAGATCGCAAGCCTACTAGACCTGTTGCACACAATATGTATCAATGCACCAGAAGACACATCACATACTCTCGGATTTCTGGATGTTATTGTTCGATATGGGTTTGTACCATCCGAGGGACTTCCAACATTCTTGAAGATCTTGTGTCTTACAGCCCTCTCCGATCTTTATAAGGACCAGGCGTGGACTATCACTAGCAATCTAATGAAAAGCCACAGCGCGCACAGCTCAATTCGACTTTTGTGCTTAAACTTGCGATCAAAGAACGAGTCAACTCTCACATTATCTCAAACGAAGGTTGTGCAGGGATCCATCCAGTTGCTGCAGCGCTCAGTCTGGAGTAATAATCCAATTGATACCCTCACCGTGTCCAACTCTACAATACTGTGGTCACTCAAAAGTGCTATTGATTTTAAATCAAAGGAGATTGATCAAGACATTATTCGCAGTCTACATGTATTATTGGAGGGACCTAAATCTTTGGAGCTTGGTGATCTTGAATACGAAATTATATTGGACATCCTGGAACGACTATCAAAACTTGTTAACGAGAAGCCATTAGATGAAGCACCAGCTACAAAGCCATTTATTTTCCGACTAGGATATAATTCTGCTGCACAAAACCACCAACAACAGCCTATCAATAGCCTTCGTGACGCTTATGGTAGTCTATTATTTAATTTTATTCGTCTCTACGGCGAAAAGCGGATTCCAGGAATCGCTGGGCGACTCATGAGCCTGTTGGCATTGTTGCAGGACCACCTTCCAGAAGATACCATGTTGCTGCTGCTTGACTATTATTTCTCGGAGCATCAGTTCTATCCATATACCCCTAATTGGTTAGACAGACTTCATGCCCTAGTCCGGGTCTCTGTAATTGAAGAAAAGCGTCCCAAGGTTCGAGCAAGAGCATTTGCGATCGCTCTAGATGTATATGAATCGTCATTAGATTTTTTTCATAACGAGATTGTGACAACCGTGTTTATGGGACTATTCGATCAACTTGAGTTGGAAACAGACGAAACATTAGCTTCGCGGGTTTGTACACTGTTGATTAGTGCCACTATGATTGCATCGGAGGACCTGTTCCCCAAGCTGCTGGACCGCATTTTCCACTGTATTCGCTGCACTTGCCATATCCCTAAACCATCACCATCAGCACCAACACTACAACCATCTTTAGCCTCGAGGCTCGGTATGGCATCATCCCTGTCATCATCACTTAGCAGCAACCATCACCTCTCCCAACCTCCTAGTCCACGGATCGCTTGTCAATCATTGCCTGCTTCTATTGGAATTATCGACTTATTTCAGCATGCGTTGTACGATCCGAACGGGGCTTCCAGAGTTGATACTTTTTTCAGTCTGTTAGTTAGGCTAGCTGTCAACCAGAGCGTTCATAAAGCTAGCAGATTGGTCCTTCTTGACTTTTTGCTCTGTCTCCGCGTAGACTTGGATCACAGGATCTATTGCTCTAGCGCTAGCACGATAGAGAGTATGACTGCTGCTACCGAACAGCTACTTAGCGAAGAGACGAGGCAGGACAGAAGTGAACGACCTGTAGCTAATCTTGGCAACAATCATATGAGGCTGAGTACGACGGCGCCACATGCGTCAGCTGGAAGGCAGCACTCAGAACCATCGTCAGCACACCCATCACTCAATTGGAAGCCGCTCATGCAAGGCAGGACTATGCAGGCGAGTCCATATGTCATCTCGTACCTCGAGATTGCCTCAACGACAGCGGAATCTTTGAACACCGAAACGTTGCCAGCACCTATGGTGGGGTGTGCCAAAGTCATCCTTAATATTCCACTGTACATGACAGGGGTACTGTCAATTTTGGGGCAAGAAAAGGATTTTGAGATTTATTCATTTGTTATTCAGCGGCTACCATCGCAGCTTTTTAACAAACATTTATTCTGTAACAGTACTAAGCAAATCACAGAGCTCAACAGCGTTTTGGTGGATATGACACTTAGAGATAAGATCCCTGATTCGCTGCGCAACTTGCCACTCAGTGCGAAGCGTCATAACATCCATATACTTGCCTACAAAGTTCTTGTCGTCTTGCTCTGTTATCACAGTAAGTTCAACACCAAAGATCTGCATGATCTTGTGCATGCCTTCGTATTCGGTCTCTCTCGTCAAGCGACATGCGCCAAGATTTGCATTCATGCGTTGGTTGTATGCTGCTACGAGCTTCCGCAATCGATGACGAAGCACCTTTCGGGAACCGTCTTGAAGCTCTCTCAGATCATGTCAACAGCAACCATCAGCGTCCATATTCTCGAGTTCTTATCAACTGTCGCCAGGTTACCAAATCTTTATTCTAATTTTGTTGAGAGTGACTACAAGCGTGTTTTTGGCATTGCTCTTAAGTATATCCAGTATACCCACAGCGTTGCAGGTAGTATTCATGCACCACCTACATCATCGACGTCAACTTCAACTTCCTCTCCAACTTCATCTGTATCTCAGAATCAGCAATCAGCTGGAGCAAGAGCTCTTCCGCAGTATGTATTGATCCTGGCATATCAGGTTATCGATGTTTGGTTCATACTTCAAAGGTTACCGGAGCGCAGAAAATACGTGCCATATATTCTCCGAAACCTTCTTATGGCAAATGAAACAGGAAAAAGACTGGACGAACAAACAGAGACATGCATGGACATGCTTGCCCGGTATTCTTATGCGAACTGTGAGCCCAAGCCTAAGCCATCATTGATCCAGCAACTTTTAGTAGGATCAACAAAGAAGGCTGGAAAGGCTATCACGAAGACTTGGATTCAAGGAAATGCATTCATCACTGTACAAACAGCTCAAAACATTGGATGGGCTGAGATCACAGTTCGCAGAGCGTCTGGTACAGCGTCATTTTTGCTCAAAATTGAGAACGAAACTTTTTTGCATTCCACAGATGAACTTGATTTCACTGCTCTACCAGGATTGATGAGACTACAGGACGATGCATTAGCTATTGATGTGGTAGCCCAGCAATCGACAGAGACATCCGTTACAGCTGGTGATACAGCTACTGATAGCGAGCAAATATCTGATCCAACACTGGATACTGAAGGTCGACAGGGTGAAGAATCTCAACAGACGGCATCCATTTCTGGACTATCACAAAGGTTGACCGAAGCACGGCCATCGTGGTTATCGCCACGATCAACACCACAACATACGCCTCTTCACACACCACTCCACACACCTCGCCATACACCTCATCATACTCCCAAGGCGTCTCCCCTTCCATCTGGTGACAATACGCCTTCCAGTTCGCCGCCTGCACGCTCTTTCCTGAACGCTACGGCATCCAAACTGGCATTTGAAGGTGGGCATCACCGTGTGCAAACAGCCCCTGTGGAGCATGTAGCCGTATTTTCATCGCCATCGCTTCATCCGCTTCAAGAATCCGGCTTACCAATGCATAGCCAAGATGATGGATCCGGGGATTTGGATAGCAAACTTAATCATGCGTCGGTCTCACATTTGGACCCGACTCAGCTCCACAGTGCACTCCCAGGCCCAGTAGCATCAGGGTTATCCTCAGCTACCGCAGCAAATATAATGTCAAACCTGGGAAGATCTAAATCTGCCTCAGAGCATGCTGGACCATCGAACAAAGCAAACGCTAAGCATGCGGAGCTGAGCCGCGGTCCTCTAGGAGGCGCTTTGGAACAGACCAAATCGCTTTTATCACATCCAGTGGGGAGTATTAAACGCGACGATATACGTAGGTCCATCTCAATTGCAGCTTCACGCAATAATAGTATCACCGTTGGAATGGGTCGATCCAGTCGGTATGCACTTGGACACGATGATCATCGACCTCCAGTTTTAATGGAGAGCAACACTGGGTACTACGATCGCGAAAGTAGTACGGAGGGAGTACGGTCCCTTACTAGAGGAAAGCCGGAGACATTTGTGGATCCGAGTTTCCTGTTTATGCAACTGACATCCTACCCTGACTTGATGGCACGTGAAACTCCGATTCTGCTGGCAGATGATGGTGCAACGAATCGAGCCATTGGTGTGCTGGATAGGACTCCTGTAGTGGATTTCCACAAAATTGGAGTTTTATATGTTGGTAAAGGACAGAGTAAGGAAAGTGAAATTTTGGGTAATACTCATGGATCATCAGAGTATACAAAGTTCCTCACAGGACTAGGATCGCTAGTTCGTCTCAAGAATGCCAAGATCTATACAGGTGGTCTTGATTTAGAAATGGATCTTGACGGTGAATATGCTTATTCGCATCAGGACGAAATTACACAGATGATCTTCCACGTGGCAACGATGATGCCCAATCACCCACACGATGTCAACTTTGATTTCAAAAAGCGACACATCGGCAACGACTGGGTGACAATTGTTTTTAATGATTCAGGAGCTGAGTATGATTTTGGCACGATCTCTGGCCAATTCAACTTTATTACGTTAGTAGTAACACCCGTTTCGATGGCATCAGTCACTTATACTGAGGCTGCAAGTAGGATCAGTCACCAACACCATCAGCAGCAGCAGAATGTTGGAGACATCAGTGATTCTCAAGGTCAAGACAGAGGAACACAAGATACCGCAATAACGTTTGCGCTTACAGGTTCGACTGCGACTGGATCTATTCCAGGAATTGTCCAGTCTTTTAAAAATGTATGGTTCAAGGTTGTGATGCTTAGACGGTCAGATATGCCTGAAATCGGACCCTTGGCGTCACCCAAGATCATTAGTGCTTCAGAACTACCTCGATTTACGCGGCAGATGGCTCTCCATGCCAACATTTATGCACAGGTTTATTATCAGCACCTTCAGAACTCCGTAGAATACGTGTCAAACTGGCAAGAGCGACTGCGGCAGATCAAACGCGTTAAAGAAAGATTGGCTGCTGGTGCATCAACAGGAGGATCTGGAGGCGGAAGTAGTGTAAATACGAGTAGTTCGGCAGGAAATGTAGCAGGGACATCTGGCGGAGGGTCAATATTGAACACAACTGCCACCGCTGGAGGACGAGGAGCTAATGGACTTAGTACTGGCGGAAGTGCTTCAGCAATAAGCTCAGGTACAACTGGAACAAATGGAGGAAATCAAGGAAGTGGAGGTAATAGCTCAAGTATCGGCTTAGGGCTTGGACTGGGTCTCGGAGCAAGCATTGGTCTTGGATCCTCGTCCTCTTCTGCGTCAGGAGCAAACACTTCGAGTGCGGGGGGGCAGCAAGGCCAACAGGCGAGCATCCTTAATCTGGAGCAAGTTGTCGACTTTACGCGATATGCTTAACTGCTTTCTTCTTTGTTAATATAATTTGTTTAGAATTTCCTTGTCGCAAACAATAAATAAAAGAGTTTGCGCAACAACGCGCTCATCGTAACGTTTTATTTCATTTCATTCACGATTAAAATAATGATGCTTTCACATTGCCCAATAACTCAATATAACACATTGTAGTATACAGAGCTCCTCCGATACTGCAGTACATGTGTCAACAAGGCCTGCTAATGTCTGCTCGAGTCATTGCTGCTTCATCGTGCAATACACAAAGCTCAATTTATCAGCCTATTAACCCCCTTTCATTCTTAAAGATGATTTGGACCGCTATGGGGGGAAGGCTGTATGGCTCCATCACTGTATTGGAGCTCTCGGCACTTTGTATTGAATTTGGAGACTAGTGGAGGAGTGAGCCTTGAGCAGACATAATCGTCGCCACGTTCGTACATCCTATCAGCACTCTTTTTATTGACATTGGGCTTGGCTCTGGGATACCTAGAAACACTAAGGCACTTTATGGTATTCAATGAAAGGATGCCATAGCGTAGGGCAAATCGAATATGGATTTTTAGCATAGGAATGAACTGGCTCAGTAACATTCTGCTCGTGTTATCAATTCTGGAACTTTTGGTTTTACCTTATTTATTTGAATAGAAATAGATGCTTTTCCCCATTTTTTGATAATTGTCATATCCAGGAACAATGGCGTGGCCCATGATAAGCTTTGTTATGATACATCGCCTTCACTTCCACTTGGGGTTGTCGGGATAGTGCTTGCTTCATTACATATCCCTCTTTATATGCTACCAATGGCGTTGTATTGATCATTTTCTGCTCCAAACGGTCCCTCCCACAGAAACCTGCATCAGCATATTCTCTTGGTTATGAGGCAGGTCGCGGCTAAACGAGGCACGTTACATATAAACATTGATGTATATATGCCATTGGGATGTACCTGGAAATCTCATCCTCTGTGGCCACAACCCTTCTATGTCTTAGCTTGTGCAGCTACTTTGCATGATTTGGCTAGACGAATGCTCAAGGTATGTCAGAACGCGTCAATATCTCATCGCTCTCGCAAACTCTCACTGTCATCCATAAAAAAGATCCTTAGTTTCCATCTCACATCACTGTTGTGCACATTTTTTTCTCTCTTCGTGAGTTGCATTTGCGGCTCTGCATGTAATCGGTTCACGTCCAAAAGGTAAACAACGCCGCCCATATGAAATAACTATTTTTTATCCATCACCCCGTATTGATTGCTATCGACCCGCTTATTTTTGGTTGGGCAGTTTACTGGGTGTTGTTAGTACTATGAAGCGTCAGCTTGGTCCTAGTCGTGCATTATCTTTTCAACGGCCTTCTCTACAGAGCAATGGAGAACCATAGCTCTCGGCTTCCTCTTCTCTGTTTGGCTCCATCACTCCAATATGTCCTCCTTGGCCTCTTCCAGAGTTTAAATAAATCAAAGTTATTATCTTTATTCACAGTCATTCAAAATCATAAAAATGAACAGTGTTACTCACCTATCATAAAGTGCTTTGCCCACCGAGTTGCACAAAAAAACGGGCTCATGAGTTATTGAGCATTGGCAACCACGAAAGAGGGTCTGGATCTCACGCGGCGATTAGGAGACTATCTTTCTTCACCGTGGACTTGCGTATTGCAGGCTTACGAGACATGTTTACGTTGTTCCCACGTTGCTTCCAAAAACATTCATACCTTTTTGCTTGCAGCTCCCCTATTCTCTCTCTCCCCCATTCCTCTCCATAAACCTCTACCCAATACATACGCAACATACTCATCTCTTTGATCATGCCCATTAACAAAGAACGCTCTTATGAGCTTCATTATTTTCCTATTCATGCACTAGGTGCCACGTCACGTGCCATTCTCGCAATATCAGGCGCAAGCTGGAGCGAGCGCATTCAATCTTTTGAGGTGTGTGATAAAAATATGCAAGATTTTTTCTTCCAGATGCCCTGAAAATACAAAATCTTTTGTTTACTCGGATATCTTCATATAGACATGGAAAGAGGATAAATCTTTGACTATGTTTGGCTCTCTGCCAATCCTCACAGTTCGCGATACTCGCCAGGACGACAGTACAGAAACCATCCTAACCATTCCTGAGGCAGATGTGATTGAACGATATTTGGCTAAAGAATTTGGACTCTTTGGTTCGACACCAGAGGAAGAACTTCAAATAGCGATTTTCCTCTCTCAAACTACCACAATTCATAATGTCTGGGTTTTTCGAGTGGTTCCAGTATCAGAACCCGTGAGGGATCAAGTCATGAAGGCTTTTCTAGAAATCTCACTCAAGAACTGGATTTGGAACTGTGAAAAGTATTTAGCATCGAACGGATCGAATGGACATTTTGTAAGAGATAAGTTCTCGTTGGCGGATATCAAGACTGCAGTGTTGTTGGATATGTTTATGGCTGTAGATACGGAGAGCGAATACCTGAGTGCAGAAAAAAGTCCAGGGTTGTGGAAGGTGAAGGAGCTGGTGGACACGCATCCTCGCTATGCCGCCTATCGAAAATCTGAAGCGTTTAAGAGGCAGGATGAATTGACAAGAACCAAGGTTGTGCCGAACATTGCAAGATTTGACATGACAAGGGCACATGTCTTTGGATGAACGGGAAGGGATCTTACATTTATGTGCAAACACTCTGTAGCATAGTAGCATAGGTTTGCATGATCTTTTTTTTTTATGTACGCAAATTACTCAATTGTACACATGGTGACAAAAAAAATCAGTCTCTAGCTTAAGTTTGATCTTTGCTTTTTGAAAATAAAAAATTATGACCACATGTTCATGTTCAAGATATCCTCCCATATTCTTTACCTCATACTCTCCAAGATCTTCTGTATTGAGCATGGCAAGCAGGAAATGATTTTCTTTTTGTGTCCTAGGCAAAGCAGGGCGAGTTGAAGCGGGGATAAGAAGGTGGAGATGTGCTAGGAGGAAAGGAGGGTGCCAACAATAGTGGCGCTTGTATTCCAAGGTGGATCCCTATCTTGAACCCTTGATTCTTTGTAAGGCTCTCAACCGGCATCTCTTTGTATTTGCTGTTGATCCTTCCTTGTTATGAATTAATATGGCATACGTGTACACTCATGTATATCCATAGACTAAAAATGTAATTTTGTTCTTTCAAGAGTTGAAGAGTTGTAATCAACGTTTCTCTGATCCTCGCTTTCGTTTTAAAATTATGCGAATTGCGAATGTGTCCCACTTTCCTGCAAAAACCAAAACTCGATCTTCAACTGTAATCCGCTATTATTTTTTTGTAATTATTCGCTGTACTTTGCTTAGCATGTTCTCATGGTACATGTACATGAATATAGATATCCTGTTTTATTTTAATCTGGATAACAAAATAAATTTTATTTTTTCTTATCTGCGGTGTTTGTTCATTCATGTACGACCATTTGAGCCATCGTGCCATTGGGAGTACAAATCAAGCAAACAATCTCTTTTTTGAGCTTGACAGCTTATCTCGAGGAACAATTTCAAACTGGCATGCAAAAAAAAAGGAGGTGCACAGGATAAGATGGTTAGATTTGCGTTTGGATGTTGATGGCAACGATAGAAGGAACGGTTGATTGGGAAGATTGGGATAGGGAGCGCGGGGAGGATCACTCGACCCCGCATCTCGTCTTGTTTCGCTCAAGCTGACATGATGACTGATAAGACAAAAGACAAAAGCAGCTAACAGCAGAGATAGTCCTTCTCGAAGAGACCTATTTCTACTTCTCTCTCCTCCAACTTTTTTTTTTTTTTTTTTTTTTTTTTTCTCTGCCTCCTTTATCGCTCATCCTCAATAAACTCTTAAACACTGTCTTCAATTTTGCATTCCTGACGACTTTTGTGCGCTATCCACATTGATTCCTCGAAATTTCTTCCCTAGACACAACTTTTATACACCATTGCAATGGAGATGGAGCCCTCATTCATACTTCCTTTGACTCCCATGTCAACCAAACAGCTAAGCTCATCTTTAAGCAGCCTGCCTAACTCTCAGCCCCGGTCACCGTTCATGCTTCCAGAACTGGACCGTCTTATTGCCAGTCACCTCGACCAAATCACTTTAGCCAATGCCTCGCGTGTATGCAGGCTCTGGCACTCCATTTTCAATCCAATACTCTGGAAACAGCTCACATTGCAGCATGTCACTGCAGATGATGACTATGACGAGGACTTTAACTTTATCCCGCGTGCTTCACCACCTTCATTCCTACATTCCCTCCCTTCCTCATGTTCGTCAACGTGGTCTACAATGTCCATGTCATCCTCATCGAATATCCCATCAGATTCACCTCCTTCACCCGTAACTGTTCCAACTCCTTATTATCACAACCTAACTTTACTCCAGCAGGCATTCATTCACTCGAGCCGTAACAAGGTCTTGAAGGGTCTGATTCGACATGGTCATTTGGTCCAAGAGCTTAAGGCCACAGGTTTAACAGACCAGGAAATGGCAGTTGTTGCTGTCCTGTGTCCTAATCTTCGTGTTCTGGAGCTCATCGGCGGTCGATATAATGCTGATGATCTTACGAACTTGTTCCAAAAGCGCCAAGATTCGATCCAAGTCGTTCGGTTTCGATCTTGTGTTCAGCTCCGAGATATCTTCCAGCCTTTGAGATATCTATCCAACTTGCACGAGTTTGGACTGTATGGATCGTTTGTGGGCAACACCATCACGTCACCCTACTTTTTCGAGCGCGATTTGTTCCCAGTTCTGAATAGTTGCCCTCAGCTTCGTTCTGTCTTAATTGAGCAGGTGTACATCATTGACCAAGAGGTCAATCAAGGAAGGTGCGAGGGAGAATGGGATACCGGCGGAGGGGATCATGTCAACTTCCTTCTTCAAGATGACAGCGACTATAGTAGCAGTGTATCATCAACATTGCCAGTTCAGCCGTTGGTGATTTCGCCGACAAACTCCTTGGCACCATCCGGCTCAATTTTGTCTGCCCAATTGAGATCGTCCTCCTTCTTGCATGGCTCGTCTGTGCGCAGCTCCGCCACTCAGATATACCCGACCTCTTTGCTCAAGTCACTCACCCTTGATTGTGGAGACATTCCTGATGCAGTCATCATGGCATTGCTTTCACGTTGCCCAATGCTTGAACAGCTCTCCCTTGATTGGAGTCGCAACCTCTCGGATTCCTCTATTCTGAGACTTCAACACATCTGCTCCCAGGTTACAAAAATTTCACTTGCTCGATGTGAAGCACTCACAGAGGATGGATTCAAAGCTTTGTTTAAAGGATATCCAAACCTGCTCTCCGTTAATCTTAATGGAAATGTTCTTTCCGATAGTGTGCTTGAGGACCTGTCATTGTCGTGCCGCTTCCTTGAAGAGTTGAGCATTAACTCTTGCCAGAACGTGTCTGATTTAGGAATTCAATCCGTGTTATTGAATTGCGCATATCTCTCATATTTCAGTCTTCGCTTTGTGCCGGGCTTATCCTATCTGTTGTTTGACGACATTGTGACGACGACAGCATCAAACGCGAATGCGTCTAGTTCTAGCGTACCACTTCAATCGGGCATGCTATCCACTAGTCCGCAATTCAACTTTGCAGATTATATGCATGTGCCTATACCCACATCTGCGCCCTTACCCTCATCTACATTGACAATCGGCCGTCGTCTTCGACTCAGACCTTGGGCTTGTCGCAGGACTCTCGGATCGTTCCATCTGCCAGACCTTGTTCAACCTAATAAGGCTGTCCTGGAGAAATGGAGGCGTCAAGAAATGGTTTTATCATCCGACAGTAACAGCGGCTTTGCATCTGCAGAGCTGGTGGGCGATCAATTGATCCAGTGGCGTCTGCAGCAAATAACACAATTAGAACATCTCACGATCGGTGGAAATAACTTGGAGATGTTGGTTATTCTTGAGGGACTACAAACCCCACGGGAGTTCAAATCGTTGAGGATCACGAAGCTAAAGCGGACCTTGACACTGACAGACGTTCAGTGGTTGATTGAGCAGGCAGCACCCAATCTGCAGAGGTTGGCGCTGCCTGTATTTGGAAATAGAGGTGCTATCGAGTGGATTGAAGAGCAACGACCAGGCCTCATGTCTTTCGAGAAATAATTATTAGACCCATGTCAAACAAACATTAAACTGTTGTAAATTGATATCGCATCTGTAGACACTAATTTTGTGCGTTTGCTTGTCTATTTGTTGGAAGAACTTTTTTTAAAGCCATGGATTTCACAGAACCATACCGGCATTCACAATTTCTGACAATCTACTCTCCCAATGGAAAATATCTTGCCTCTTATCATCTTGTTCAGGAAGGATTTACGCGACTTCATCCTTCGGCACCGATTCAACTGCATGAGGATGGAGGTCGAGGGGCTATAATGTTTCGATTCGCAGCGACCATGCAGATCATGCGTTCGATTGAGATTCGACTTTTTCGAGATTCACTCCCGACGATTAGTGAGATTGGTTGGTCACCAGATTCGACCATGTTGTTGGCTGCCTGCCCTGCGACAGGGACTGTGCTCGTCTACTCTGTCGAAGACGAAGACTTTAAAGCAACCATCACCGTTCCAGGGATCAATCCGGAATCCGGCTCTGGATTCAGCGATGTCTATTACAGCAATACTAGTCATAGTAATAGCAACAATAGCAGCGGTGTGAAAAATGGAAAAGGCAATAATGCTACATCAAGGAAGAATAGCGAGGCGATCAATAATAAGCAAATACAGGCACTCAAGGCCATGGGATACACCCCTCCAGGAGCTGAGTTCCTTCGTGGAGCACGCTTCAGTGCAGACTCGCGACATATTCTCATCTGGGAGGAGCATCTGCTCCGAGTTAGCATCTGGTCTCTAGACGGGACAACGTCCTTTCCTTCTTCTCATCTTTCTAATATTGAGGCTTCAACTGTTCCAAGTTTGGGACCATTGCCTCCTATTCAACAGCAACAACAACAACTACAAAAACAACAATATCCAGCACAGCAGTCAGTAGTTCTATCAATTCCATATCCAAAAGCCATGACCAAATCCGCAATCACATCGTTCTCAGTTCCTCCATACAGTACCTTTGGCACGACCGCTACCACGTCTGCTGCAGGCTCCGGATCTCAATTTGTGTACAGTGTTCGAGGGGATTTGCAGTATGTGGCGATTGTAGAACGGAATGGACGAGAATGTCGGGACTACGTCTCAATCTACGCGACCGAAAACTATTGGACTCGGCCACCGATTCATACATTTGTAGTAGGGGGTAGCAGTGGCAGTGATGGAGGAGGAACTCAAGGAGGAATTAAGGATGTGGATGGTATTGTGTGGAGTCCTGATGGACGATACTTAGCCGTATGGGAGAATCCGATTCTGGATTTTAAGGTGGCAGTATATTCAATGGATGGAAGATGTGTAGGGTTGTATGCTCTTCAGGACAGTAGTAATAATGTGATGGGGCCTGGAGTGAGTAATACAACTGGAGGAGGTGGTATGGGCGTCAAGTCTGTGTGCTGGCATCCTGGCTCAAAATTCCTGGCACTCGGAGGATATGACCAGAAAGTAATGCCTCCACAATCCTACTATTGCATTTAAAGTTTTTTTTTTTTTTTTTTTTTTTTTTTTGCACTTCCTAATACTTTTATATGCTTTCATTTATTCCGCAACTAGATCCGCTTCCTTAATTATCTGACTTGGAAGTCAGTCCTTGAGTTTCAACATACTGCGCACATCAAGTATGGACATGGCACTGTTCTCTGGCGAGAATCTGAATCAACTATCACTGTAGCAGAGTCTGTTCGGATCCAGGGTGGTGTTGAATGTAAGTAATCACAGCAAAGGGATGTGTCTATAAAGGATATTACTAAATAGCTTTTTCTTATTTTGCCACTCTTTTCGACAGACACAATTGCAGAACAACCTACTTGGGTTCCCACAGTCCGTATTGATACTCAAAAGCCAAATGCTAAAATTGGGGTTGGCTGGTGTGATTTTAATAGCGATGGTACTTTACTGGCGTCACGGAACGGTAAGGTGTCCATGACCCATATCATCATCATTACCACTCTTGTTTCGCTTTCGTTTATCCTTTTAATAATTTTTTATGAGTTCATGAATAGACAATATGCCAAATGTACTATGGATATGGTCGATGCGTGAATTGAAGCCGATTGTGATTATTCAACAACAATCGCCAATTCGAGTCTGCCGATGGGATCCCACTTATCCATTCCGTATTGTATGGTGCTGTGTTGGATCTGGCTATGTCTATAGCTGGAGGAATCCTTCAGCAGAACTAGTTGGCGGTGGAATAGTTGAGGCGATAGAGGTACCAGTTGAAAACTTTGAAGTGTCATCGTTAAAGTGGTGTCCAGAAGGCAAAGGGTTGTTATTATTAGACAAGGATATGTTTTGTTTGGCTTTTCCAATCGAGGGAGATGATGATGGGCAATACGATCCATGAAAATACTGCATCAATATTCTCGCGGCTGTGAACAAAAAAAAGTCTGTACAAACTTGTATAATAGATTTTAAAATATATATACACCATGCTTTAGCAAATTACAATGTGTTCTTGTTGAGAGAGTGAACATTTAAAGAACGGCTCCAGCGTTGGCGCACATCAACTTCAGATCTGGTCGTCGCTGCTTGAACCACTTCCAATGATCCGTATTGCCCAATAGCCAAAAGTCGTCGATGGTTTGGCCGCCCGTATCGTTTAATGTTAGCTCGACTTGGTTCAACCGTGGCCATTCTTTCACAATGAACTCATATTCTTCCTGCCCTACACCATGCCAGACGCTAATTGGGACTTTGAGGCGTCTTAACTTCTTGAGTCCGATGAGATGTCTCAGTGCCAAATCTTTAGTCAGTTTTGAGGAGAGGATCCTGCACTGCAGCGCCTCCTCCTTAGTCGACGTAAAATCAATACTCAACTCCACTAGCTCTGTTAAACTCCCAATCCTGCCATAAATGATCCAGTTTCACCTCCATATTCCATGAGATCATCCTCATTAACAGAGTCACTTATCCGTAGATAAAGAAACTGGTGATTCCTGCAGACCCATTCTGGACTACCAATAATATCTCGGAAAGTGATATTAGGTCGGCTTTTGTTGTATGACCATGTAGAGAGATGCCGTAAAGAGACACATGTAGTCAATACCCGCTGAAATTGTTGACTAGATACTTGCTGATCCATAAAGATGACATCCTCTAATGTCTCATGACTTTCCAATAACGCATCCATCAAGCTGTCCTGAAAATTCATCGTGTGAAAGGTTTTAAGCCCTTTATGTGATGACTGTTGCTGGGCCATATGAACTGCTGTAGATGGTTTGCATGCGTCTAGAAAGCCTTCGAGAACATGGTACTGTTCTTCTGAAAAGATGTGAATATACTCTGATAAGAGACGTTGAATATTTGGACAATAGTCACGAATTGTCTGAGCAACCCTCATGTCAAGTGGCGTAGTGATGACGAAATGTGCCAAGCTGGGACCACAGTGCTGAAGGACCGCCACCTGTGCGGCCGTGGGGAGTTTTCGAAGCAATCGTAAAAATTTAATCCTGCTGTCACTACCTTGGTATAGGTCAATTTTCAAAAGATCGCCTCCTCGCGGAGTATTTGTGAATGCAAAAAATCAAATTTCTCCAGTGAAGGCATGGTTGTACAAGTGCTAATTATAGGAACAGCAGCGCTGATAGGAAGTATTCCACCACCTCCAATAGTTAATACTCTGAGATGCGGTAATCTTGTCTCGAGAACCTTTAAGAACCTTGTAATAAATGCGGCTGATGAGGTCAATAGAGATGATGGAATCAAGAGCTCCACAAGATCTGGATTATGTTCCAGGAGAGTCAGGAATTTGTCTTCGCCGAGTCTTTCTATAGTATGCACCTTGATTCTGGTCAGTCGTGTGCATGTTACCACTTTCTTTTTTTTCACTTCTTCATTTCCCTTCTCCTCCCCTTTTTCCTTTTCCTCCTCGCCGTTGTGCTCAGCCTCCATCACAATCGTTTCCAGGGCTTCGGTAACATGAGAGTACAGTTCTAATTCCTGAATGTTGTGTAAATGGCGCCTCAAAGCCTGAGCAAGGATATTTCCCTTGGTGGTTAGGCTCTTGATATGTTGATCCAATATGTAGCCTGTATCCTTTGGCTTTAGGCCAGGTTTGGGAAACATAACTCGACGGAGCAACATCGGCTCGAAATGATAATAAAAACTTTTGCTGACTCGTAATCATTTTGCGATGGTTGGTGGCGCCATGAACTCGGCTATTATCTCTACAAGCTCTGGGATATAAAATGGAGAGGAGACCATAGCGTAAATCAAGGTGAGAAAAAGGTGTAAATAGTATATATTCAAATAAATATGTGCTTTGAGGTTGAAAAGAGGATTGGAACAGAGAAAAAGAGAAACTTTTTTTTTTTTTTGATTGTGCCACTTGAATCGAGGGGCAAAAGATTCCAATGTGTGAATGAGGTGAGTCCCAGGGCCATAGTACTAATCTTATATAACAGACACATAGCCCCGTAAGCGTAATAGCGGTAATAGTATTCTCGTGGCCCTCATAGGAACGTGCGTGGGATCCCTGTAGCTCATTCTACTGTACTTTATCCTATACATGTATACATGCCTCAATAACATGACGCTGGATGGCAGAGGACAGTCTGCTGCACGCCCGGATTCAGGGGTCCATACTTGAAACAAAGCTCGGAGTAATAGAAATAAATGATGGTATTAAATAAAAGTGCTGTGTCTGTATCTGTCATGTTTTCAGATAAGAACACTCGTTTTCCTCTAATATCTTTATTTCAATCCCGCGGACTTGACAGGGGTTTCTTTAGCTAATGAGGCACAAAAACAAGTTCGAGTGAGCATCTACTCTAGTCTAATCGTTGAATATGGTTGTCGTTGCCCCGCCTCCCATTCTCTGTAAACCCATCTGTGCTCACATTTCTTTCTTTCTTTCTTTCTTTGATCTTCCTTTCTTGCTTCTTCCTCCTTCTCCCTCTCTAATCTTCCCATCCTACTTCGCTATCCTCCCGGATCCTCTCTGACCTTTTCAGTACTTCCTTCTCCGCCTCAGTACTTGGCACGCTTTGGTCAATTGCCGCTGATATATACAACATTTCCCTCAGCTTGCACATATTCTCAACGGCGTTCATTCATCCTGCTAAACTCAGGAGAGATGGGAGACTGCATTGTAAATATTTCAACAGAGAAAGCCGTTGATGCAATCAATAACCAGACCATCACTTCCAACATAGTCACTAATGGGCTTAAAGATACGAAGCAAATGCCACCAGGCAATGCTATCACTGACCGAGAACCAGGTAGCTCAATTTTGATCCATCAACCATAATTTTGTATTTAACAAGAACCTTGAATAGCAATCTAATATGGACCAATGGATGTACACAAAAACCAAAAAAAAAAAAAAAAAAAAAAAAATTGCTGGCTATTCAAAGACTTCAAGTGGTATTTCATCGAAAATAAGGAGATCAAGGATGATTCTGACAATTTCCACCTCAGATGCACTCCAGAGTAAGCAGCTATTATGATCGCTCTAGTATTGGCCACTGAATAGACGAAGGCTCATTAGTCTCTGACCAAATCGATTTCCGTGAATCTGTATAACCCACTCGTACACAGGGAACAACCATCTGTAGAAGTGCCAGCCTCCAGACAATTCATTAGCGTAGGTTTCCGGCCGTTTGGTGCTAGAGATTTCATTTCTCAAGCCAGCAAAACTAACACATTACAATATAGTGGATAGGAGGACATCCTGATATGAGTGGTCTATACAATGTCATCCTAGGTCTCTCCCTTAAAAAACTGAACATGGAGTGTGTTGAGTCGATTGCTTTTCAACTTGGATATATAGCTTTTAGTGAGCTAGGCCCTATCGAGGTATCATATTTAGTGAAAAGCGACTATGTATTGCGTAAAATAAGGCTCCACCAACATATTGACAACCCATTCTTGTTCCTTTACATCCTAGCAATTAACAAAACGCGATCTCACAGACTTAGGTAACCCACAGCATACTGCAACTACTTTTTTATCGTGGAGTAAAATACTAATCCCCTCTCCTTCACGACCGTCCGATAGTGAACTCTGGGACAGGGATATTAAGATTAAAACTGCATCAACAGACTCATGGATACCAGAAAGATGTCAAATGCTGGATGAGCGTGAAATTGTCACAGGGCTCCACACCATGCGATCCTGGAGCTATCGAGCTTCACTACATTGAGTTGGACTCTCTCCAGTCAACTATTAATGGTAGGCAAGCCCATTCACTTATATATATTCATAGTAAAGATAAGTGGCCGAAGAGACTGATAGGCTCCTCTTCTATTCAATATCATAGCAGCACATACATATATCCATCGTCCTTACATCTGGTCCATCGACGTTGGGATCCAAGATGAATCCACAAACATATCAGGACCCCCACAGCAGGCTACCATTCTAGATTACGCAGTCTCTGGAGATGGTAACTACATCGGCACCTTATCAGCAGTGGAGATGTGCATTCAATTAGATCTTTGGGCCATCAAGTACGAAGCCCCTCTTGCTGTCACGCTTGATGAGATGCATTTAAAGAATTACAATAACAGCCCTAAGACAGAGACGAGGCATTGTGGTCGTGTTCAATTACCTTTAACAAGATCATCGCATGAATACTATGCGCGCGGCAGGCTTTGTACAATCTCACTCTCCTGGAATGCCTCAATGGTTGCTCTGGTGCTATCTGATTATTACTGCATAACGAACGGTTTATCGGTTTTCAAACACGATCTAGTTCATCAGGTGCCCCTAAGCGAGAAGGCAACTATAGCTTCTAAATTACGGTGCCTTGAAAAACTAGAATTCAATGAATCTGTTGCAGCGAAGAATTGCAAAGTAGGCAAGTTCCATATCATTGACACAAAGGCTCAAGATGAAAGAGATGAGCTCTATATATCTTGTGAGACGAGGACGGTGGAGATTTATGCAGTGCATGGATCATGGTCTCATATTCGATCAATTCGGCTTTATGGCATCGATGAAAGGCTCCCATGGCTGTGGGAATCATATCTGGTCCTCCAATCAATTCAAGGTAGATACATGTCCTGGCTGAGCACCTGTGATAGGCTATTGACTTGTGACTTGAAGACAGGGGCTCTCGTTTCCCATGCTTTCCGGAGAAGATCAACGATGGCAGATTTCTGTCTCTCCAGCGATTGGCATGTATGGGCAAGTCATGAGTATTTCAATCAAACCATTGTATTGCGCAGAAGATGGTCAGAAACGCATCTAGCATCCCTTGGCAATATAAATGATGTGTTCTTGACCAATGACTCTCATATATTGGCCTTAAGGCAGTTGTCTGGTACAGGACATGACTGTGGTCGCCAAACGGTCGGACTTCTCTTGGATTCTACCAACCTATCCATCCTCAAGCGTTTCTCCGCTCGATTCATGATAGGAGCTCCACAGCCATCTATCAACAATGAAGATTGGAAGTTGCTCTACTCTGTTCATGGATCGAAATTGGATCTGGTGACAGAAGAGGATGTCAGAACTGAACTAGAATGCACCTGTAACGGATTATGTGAGGATGAGGTGTCGCAAGCACGGGTAGTTGACTGGGAGTCTATGGAATCAGGCATCAAGAGCTTCGTTTTGCCCTCGCTTCTGAAATTTTCACTCGAAATTCAAGGAGACGTCGACAAGAACTCGTGCATCATCTCAATATCTGATGAGCGCCAACGACAGCGAGTGGCGCTTACCATCCCTCCTGCAACGATTCCTGGTGTGGTGTTTATGAGTCCTTACAGAGTTGTATTCCAGACGGACGCTCGACGGATGATTGTATGCACAAGCACCTTTGTCATGATTTGGGGTCTTCCGGAGACATTTGATGATGACTTGGAGCTATTGCTGGCGTGGTGGGTGCCTCTGTTCCCTTGCATAATGGACAACTGCATGATACTGTTGAACGTGTTCACCGATGTCTTGCAGTGTAAACATGGAGAAGTGTTTGCCAAGGCGGGCCCACGCCAAGAAGATCCTACGCATTGTCTTCAGCCACGTGCAGAAGATACGTTCGCCTCAAACAAGTCTTTACATTTCCTGGAAGGACTCAAGGTCTTGTTTGCAATGTTTCCCGAAGGCAATGAGACTGTCCAACGAGCCATTATTCGCTATGTAAGGCGGTATATCAATCACCACCCAGATCCTGAGGATCTCTCTAAGAATGTCATGTATTACATATGCCAAAATGTCGCAGCAGAAGATATCGAACAGCGCGCCCGCTTCATGCGTGTGTTACTTGAACTCAACCATAGCTCCTGGGTCCCAAGGCCTGATCTGGATGTTACTACAAGTCCTGTAGCGATTTTGCTCCAGCATTCAGAGCTAGAACCTCGAATGACCATTCTTGCTGAGATTATTATCGACTACTGTATTTCTCGAGCCAAGGAGGAAAAGGATGTCATTTTCCTTAAGCCGGTAACATGTACCCTCAAGGCGCTCTTCGGGAGCCGCCAACACAGCAGGCTTGCTCTTCGCACCTTGAATGCCTTAACATTTGTCCCTATTCAAGACCGCGAGTTCCTCATTAACCATCACGTCATTGCGCCTCCTCCTGCGTTCCGATGGCGATTTTGGGCGAACTCCACTAAGACACTATTCGAGTATGAGAACCCAGTGATGAAGCTAAACCACAGCACAGATGTAGTGTTGTCTGAAAACCCCAAAGACTGCTCGCGTGATATTTTTGTTGCTTTGTTTGACATGCTATGGACCGTACAAAAGCCAGCGTCATTGGTCCAATCAGAATCTTCTCGGAAGCAGACCCTACATCTCGGCCTCCCATCATGGACTCAGACACTGATTCAGCTTATCAAGCTTAAGCTAGTGCCCAACCCTAATAAGGCCGTCGAGTGTCACAACTTCCCACTTGAGGCTCTAGATAACCCAGTTCTTTCTGCCTTGGTCGAATACAAATGGTAGATGGCGCTCTTCAGGATGGATACGGGCCTTTATCAGTTCTGTGTACTCATTATTGTTTTTATTTTCTGTCACTTCCTTAGGAATACTATCGGCTTCAAGTACTGGCTAATGCGTTTCATATGGCAGTGTATATACTACCTGCTAATACTGACAACTATGTTCATGCAAGTCTACAGCCCTGAACCGAGCCTACTCTTGGGACTGTTCGCTGTTATTTCAGGCTTTGCTGTTGTTTTTCTGTTGCTCGAACTGATCCAGTGTTTACACGATCCACAGCGATATCTCACGTAAGTCCATACCATCTTTATGGCGGGCATTAAGCGCCAGTGATATCCATTCCTGATTCTGATGTACTCTTTACTCTTTGTTTTTTTTTTTTTTTTTTTTTTTTTTTTTTTTTTTGGTTCAGGTCACCATATAACTATGTCGATCTGCTTGCATTCACCTTGCCGCTTGTAGGAAGCATCCTACAGATTGTAAACATTATCCAGGAGGATCGCGAGGGGAATACGTCTTTACTCAGCTTTTCAGTGCTCCTTATTTGTCTTCACTTTGTAAGTCGTGGTTCATGAAATCATTGCGGTCCATATTATTCTGATACGCTTTATCACTTTATGCTGTCTTTAGAGCTGATTTTTTTTTCTTTTTCTTCCTGGCTATCGTACACCTTCATCTGCATTGAAAATAGCTGTTCGAGCTCAGAGTCAACGAAAGAGTGTGTCATTTCGTCACAATTGTTGTCCAAATTTTAGGTCGCATTCGCGTTTTCTTCATGTTCTTTGCTGTAGGAATCTTTGCCTTTGCAACTGCAATCCTGCACTTATATTGGGCATGTCCATATGACAATTGCGAAGACTTGAAAGAGGATGTCAGCTTCCCGAAGCACTTCCTTCATGCATTCTTTTCGACATATTTCTTTTTGGTGAGTTAATCCTTTGATATCAGTAGCATGCACCTATTAGACATCTTGTTATAAATAGAGACTACCCATAGGTGTATAGAGTTACTAAGGCCCTCTTTATTTATGTGCAATTAGGGTGGCGTGTGGGACCCGGTCAGCAACACTTTTGGCGAAAGAAACTGGGCATTTCAGTTCATGATGTTCATATACTTTTTCTTTACAACTATCTTGCTGCTCAACGTCCTCATTGGTAAGTTAGGATGACTTGTATCTTGTATTCCCAGGACTGAAATAGTGTTAAAAAAAAAAAAATCTCACCATCCATTTTTTTTCTAGCATTGATGAATGTGGCCTTCAATGTCGGTGATGAAACGTGGCGATTGGTTTGGACAGAGAACAGACTGAGATATGTGGAAAGTGCAGAGAACCTGCTATATCATGATCCAGGTGAGGCCTGAACCCTCTATGAGATGATTATGTGACTCCATTTTACTTCTTTATATTGCCGACAACTTACTGAACCTATGCTGTATGTGATGGCGCCTTATAGCTTTTCTGGATTATTTTCAGGTACGGAGTTTGTTTCCAGAGCGGATCTATTACATGGCAACGCCACAAGAACAAAAAGACTTTTATGCCAAGGCCGGTGACATAATCAAAGAAGAGACAGGAGGAGTCGTAAACCAAGCACAGACTAACGAAGGTGATAAGAAAGTTGAAGCAAGTCAAGTGCTACAGCTCCAAGGAAAGCAGTGTCAGGAACAGAAGGAGATTATTTCGGACCTTCGTGGAGAACTTATTAAGCTATTGACCCATATGAGTGAGATGCAACAGCAAATGATGGATCAGCAGAGGAGGTTTGACGAGCGTATGGAGGAACAACGAGCACAGCTGTGTGTCGTGCAAGAACATATCCATAATTTTGCATCTCGCCGAGACGATAAGCCATAGATTTATTATTGATTATACCACTCATATTTCATTACTACAACAGAGAATGCACAGAACACAAAAAATAACAAGATAATTTCCGCTTATGTATTTAAAGAACATGTTAAGTTCAGTCATCAATGTGAGTTGAGGCCACGGTTCTAGTGATATAAATAGAAAGTATTATAGTAAGAAGCAGCGGTAAAAGAATGATATGCTGGTAGATCCCATCGGTTACAAATGAATCAAGTTGGAACCATCCCATTGATGGGAACTAAAAGAGGATCCTTAAAGATCACACATTGTACATTCATCCGTGGCGAACCGTTTGAAGTGTCGTAACAATGAAGTCCAATTCCATGCGCATATTCAGTTAACATAGCCTATAGACCGTGAGTAGGGACAATCCCCAATGGTATCGTGCCATGAATATATGTGGCGTTGTTTCAAGTCGATCGAGAATGGCAAGATAGGAGTAGCAGAAATGCTGAGAGAGCGGCAAAGTGTTGGTGAGAAAGCGCCCAGGACCAAGGCTGATAGTGATGGAGGATATCGCTTTTGACAGCTGGGTCGCATCAAGAAAGATGATCTTCGTAGTCAACAAGCCCAGTAGGGAGCAGGGTTCGCCATAACTTCTATAGAATCCAAAGCTTCCACTAATGGTGTTCTGATAACACTACAATGATCTTCCGAACTGATTTTATAACGCTTTTATTGAAGAAAAAGAAAAAGAAAAAACAAGATACATACTTCTGCAAAGATCCTCATCGAGCGACCCAAGCAGAAGATAGGCAATCATTCGAAAAAAGAATGCGGCTTGTGTGGATTGAACACACGACCTTCAGATCTTCAGTCTGACGCTCTCCCAACTGAGCTAAAGCCGCTCCTGATATGAAAGCTGAAAAAATCACTGTCTTAAGAACCGGGGGGTTATACTGAGATGCCCTTAAAAACCGCAACGAGACGCAAATACATAGAACACACTGAAGTGTTGTACCAAGATAAAGGTAAGCCCAATGGCTGAGTAGTATACTCGTCAGGGCACCCCCCTGTCTAGCCCAGGGGCCGGGTTCGAGTCCTGGTTAAGGCACATAAAGTGAAGCAAACATGTGCCAGGTCAGGGATTTGCTTGAGTTTTTATACTTTCTCTCCGAGACAGCCTAGTGTTCTCCGCTAAGGCTAAGATCGTGGGTGCACTACCCTAAGTCGCCTGGCTGGCCACATGTCTTAGGTATATATTCCACCCCCCAGCCGAACCAGCGGTACATCTGGCAGCACATCCCCCCATCCACCCACTTGACTAGGACAGCGATGATCACAAAGTTTGACGGAGTCCAAAGTAGAAATTTTCAGACCAATCCCGCAAGATTTGGGTCCACATGCCAGTGGATTTGATCGAATAGAAAAAATTAAAAAGTCGTCCTTAGCTAGAGTCGGCACGCCAGCCTCCGCGGCTTTTCACGGGCGCAACAGGCCACATCGGAAGGATGGACTTCGAGTACCGATCACGGTGTACATTGGTAGAGAAAAACATGGATACGAATTGGCTCTTCACAGCCATCCCGTGCGAACTTTGAGAGTTTCGCTTGTTTCATAGTTGAGGGCGATATCATTACTTTAGAGCGAGATTATGAAATAAAATTCCTCACCTCTGTGGGTTCTTGTTAACAGGAAAAAAAAAAAAAAAAAAAAAAAAAAAAAAAAAATTGGTTTTTTTTTTTTTATTTTTTTTTTATTTTTTTTTATTTTTTTTTTATTTTTTTTTTATTTTTTTTTTATTTTTTTTTTATTACTACCATCTTACATCTGTAGGATGTAAGTGAACAATGAGGCAATATCATTTTATTTTGATCGATAGCCCTGAGTAAGCCGCATGAAGAGGGCTAGAGAGAGAGATTGAGAGTTGTAGCGAGAAAAAAATAAAGAATATTTATTCAGCGTGGTGGGCAGGGAACTCAAATACAACTTCCTTTCCAGTCAAACGCTTGTAGACTGCGCAGAAAGTATCAAGCTTGTACTCCAAGGAAGTAGAGTCCTTGGCATCAAGGAAACTAAAGAATACAAAATAACCGTTCGAAGTAAATGAATGATAATGGAAGTAAAATAATTATAAAAGTAAAGAGGGAAAAAAAAATATTAGTATATATATATATATATATATAAACGTAGAGAGCTATAGTCAAGCAAATTTCCGGGTGTAATGATAAACAAATGCAATTAAAAAATGATGAAACACGTACACCTTGATGATGCGGCGTTGATCAGTCTGGACACGGGTGCGCTTGCCAGTGATCTCAGTGGGGTAGACCAAGTCCTCCAAAAGCTTCTCATGAACCGAGGTAAGAGTGCGGGAGCGAGGACGCTGCTGCTTGGCACGAGATTTGCGGGTGGGCTTGGCCATGATGCGGCGTTGAGCAACAAAGACGACGTGGCGGTCAGAGAATTTCTTCTCAAGCTCACGAGTGAGTCTGTGTTGTTTTGAATAAAAAAATAAAAGTTCAGGGAAAGGTATCAGAATGTCGTTGTATAGCTCTTGTTGTTGTCTTTTTTTCCCCCTCCATTGCATGCTCAAAAAGCTCTAGTATGTCAAGTCCATCCATACCTCTGTTGGACCTTGTGGAAAGCCTTCAACTGAGGAACGGGGACGAAGACAACGATGGCCTTCTTGCCGTTACCGGTCTCAATCTGAAAGTTTGAAGATTGAAGACAAATGGGTCAGATCAGATATACAATACTCCAACAGTACAAAACGTAAGCGCTTCATGGCTTCCTTTTTTTATCTGGTTTGTTGTAACGCGACATTCAGAGCTATTACGACGTCTAGAAAGAGTGCACATTTGTCGCTATGTTGCCATGTATCTTATACACAAAAATCTACATTCGCTGATCCTGATAGTAGATGTCCTCTTGTTTTAATGCTGTCCTTTTGTATATGGCGTAAGCAGACAATAATAGTCAGATGCGATTTCCGAGTGAAAGAGACTAAAAGCAGACTGACTGAAGTGAGAAGTATTATTTGTTGCAGTTTTATGCAAGTACGAGACTTGCATGAAGTCTGATGCTATACTTTCCCGACCCATCCTTAGTTGATTCTTTCCTGTGTATGAATCCAGACTATTAACTCCTAATTCCTGAAAGCGTTCCTCAAGCCTTCATCTCTCTCTCTCTCTTTTTTTTTTTTTTTTTTTTTTGCTGCACTAAGAGGTCGAGCAAGGAGCAGTGACTCACCTCCTTAGCGCTAGAGATCTGAAGAGGCTTAAGGTCCTTCTTCAAATCAGCAACGTTGTTCTCCAAGTCGAAGAGAGCTTGAGCGACAGAGAGCTCAATCTCATCAGCAGGGCCGTTCTTGGCGATCTTGTGGCTGGCCATTATGTCTGTTGTTATTTTCCATCAGTTCCAGTGTTAGTTTTTCCGGTTAAATCAATCCGAAGAGCAAAAGAGTTTTTTTTTTTTGATTGATTTGTTCCGCCCAATAAAATCATTATTTCATCATGTAATCGCCCAAATTGAGTGTCGAAAATAAACATTGATTCCAGATTCCATAAAGTTGAGTATCGAAGGTTCGCCAACAAAGTTGGTTTATAAGGTGTTTTCAATCAAAGTATAGGAAAAGTTGTCCATGTTGATTATGGCAGATAGAGATGCACACAACGTGTTTAGTCATATAGAACAAAGATGTTAAATACGAATGGTTAGTTTGATCGATAGATGGATGACCATGAACGCCATGGATACATCAATGGATGCCTTGATTGCAGTAAAAATCTGATAGTCCAATTGCCCTTACAAGTGAGAAGTGAAAGAGGGAACTATTTGCTGCAGCTTCTCATTGGATATTTCTGTCGCACAAATTCTATTCAAAATCCTGCATCACGCCCCTTAACCTTAGTGTTGGACGCGCGCTTTTTTCACGTCCACGAGCAGAGACGATCACCATCATTCCCAGTCCAGGGCTAGCCGCCTGGAATAACTTTTCTTTCATGAGTCAGTGTTGGGGTTCGCTACGAAGTAGATCCAGCACTCGGGCGGCTACAGGAAAAGAAGAGGGAAGAGACAACAATTGACGTGTCCGCGAGTTCTGAGGCATCTTGATCGGTGAATCTCACTATCCTACATTATATTATACCCCAAGATAAACATGCTTGGTATATGGCATTCGGCAAAGGTTCATACATATCAGGAGCCAACTTCAGCATCAGTTTCTTGATCTCTTATTTTATGTTCTCCACAGGTCAATCGCACATGAAAACCATTAATTTTTTTGGGGTAAAAATTAAGCTTGTGCATGCCTGCCCGCCTAAAATGCGCGCCAATTAAAGTCAAAGAGAGCTTTATCCTCTTTTCTCTCTCTTCAACCTTTCATCAAGTCCATTTCTACACCATGTCTGCTACTATTGAAAAGAGAAAGCCTGTCCGCATCTGGGTCGATGGATGCTTTGACCTCATGCACTTTGGTCAGTCTTTTTTTTTAAATCTTACTGTCTAATGGGAAGATTGAATTTCTATGTAAAAACCATTTTACTCATCATCTCGCCTTGGGTCGTCCTGGGAATTTTTTATTTTCTTCCACAATAACTTTGTTTTTGTAATAACTATTAGGTCATTTCAATGCTCTTCGTCAAGCCAAGGCTATGGGAGATTACTTGGTTGTCGGTGTCCACTCGGACGCTGAAATTGAAAAGAACAAAGGCCCCACTGTCATGAAGGAAGATGAGAGGTAAAGCTTTCTTTGCCCAGAAAAAAAAAAAAAAAAAAAAGACAAAGACAAAAACAAAGACTAGAATGCTGGTCATCCACAATCCTTCACAAGCGACTGGGATGTATATATTTCCAGAAAGCAAATCATGGAGAGCATCAGATCAGATCATAACTAAGCTGCTGAGCCTTAGTTTGTTTCTGCCCCTCTCAGAATGGTTGACAGCGCTACAAAAAAGAATTCTATAGACCTTTCAATCAATTTATAAGGTAGTTGAGCCATCAATTGACGTTCCATTTTTCATTCTTTTTTATTCAGATATGCTGCTGTCGCCGCCTGCAAGTGGGTCGATGAGGTCGTCCCTAATGCCCCTTACCTGACATCGCTGGAGTGGATGGATAGATACAACTGCGACTTCTGCGTTCATGGTGATGATATCACAACTATGGCCGATGGCACTGATTGTTACCAGGTCGTCAAGGATGCAGGTCGTTACAGGTAAAAAATATAAAGATTTATCTTCGGGATCACCAGCTGTTCTCGAAAATGTTTCATAATGAACTTATATAATTCCCTCGTCCTTGTTATCATTGTTTCCCATTCATTCAGAGAATGCAAGCGTACTCAGGACATTTCAACTACAGAACTGGTCGGACGCATGTTGCTGATGACCAAGGATCATCACAAGCGTCGTGGCTCTGTCACCGCCTCGTCGATCTCGTCCGTGAACACTGCTGAGTTGGGAACCTTCTCCACCGGAGGTTCCAAAACTAAACCCGATACCAAGATCTCACACTTCTTGCCTACTTCTCGCAAGATTGTTCAGTTCTCAGAGGGTCGTGAGCCTCAACCTGGCGACAAAGTTGTCTATGTTGATGGCACCTTTGATTTGTTCCACACTGGTATGCCAAAATGTCTTTTCCTACATTGGTTTGGAGGTTTTATAGAATAGATCTCTTAATGTAGGACTCTACCTTTTTTTTTTTTTTTTTTTTTGCGTATCAGGTCATATCGAGTTCTTGAAGCGTGCCAAGCAGATGGGTGATTACCTCTTGGTTGGTATCCATGATGATCAGACTGTGAATGCCATCAAGGGAGTCAACTATCCTCTTATGAATCTCCATGAGCGTGTACTCAGTGTCCTTGCTTGCCGTGTAAGTTTTTTTTTTTTTTTTTTTTTTTTTTTTTGCTTTTTTATGAACAACATATTATGGAATCAAGCCTACCTATGTCTACATACTCTTATTAATCCTTATTTCATACGTATAATTGAATCATGTAGTATGTCGATGAAGTTGTCATTGGCGCTCCTTACAGTGTCAGCGATCAGGTATTGGAAAAGGTCTATAAGGTTGACTTGGTTGTTCACGGAAACACTCCTTCGCTGAACGACACCAATGGTGAGGACCCCTATAAAATTGCAAAGGAAAGAAACATCTATGTTGAGATTGATAACCCTCAAAACTCTGTGACCACTGAGTCTATCATTGAGCGTATCATCACTCACCGCAAGATCTTCGAGGAGCGTCAGCGCAGAAAGGCTGAGAAGGCTATTCTTGAGAGAGAGGCAGAGTTGGCTGAGAAGGCTGCTGCTGCTGCTGCTGCTTCTGCCCAGCAATAATTTATGCTGGTCAGAGTTGTATTTTTAAAAGAATAAAAAAAAAAAAAAAAGCGAAAGCGAAATAAAATAAAATAAAAAAAGAGATACGCATACACCACATTGTTATCCTCACATCAGCCCATACAAAAAATAATGAGCATTTATATTATTGTGGCTCTACTATACACAATGACATGTTGTAAATCACTGGAAGGCACTCTTGCCATGTGCGAATTTAGAACCCAAATCTGTTGCTTGCTTTTCCAACTCTTCCCGCCGACGATGATCGATACGGCGACCTCCCAAAACATCTTTCTCGCGATCAAAGGGACGAGCAGAAGGATTATCGTCTCCATCTTTTTGCCATGCTTTGCTCTTAATGTATTTAGTCTTGTGAGCCTCCAGCAGAGTCTCTGATCGATGTTCGGCCTAAAAAAATAAGAATAGTAGCAAAAAAAAAAAAAAAAAAAAAAAAAAAAAAAAAAATTAATAAAGATAATAACCACCAATAGGATTATTAAAAAAAAAAAAAAAGACTAAAGTAGGGTTTGGTTGTTGCTTTACATTGTACTTCCGGATCTTCTCCTCACGTTCGATATCTGCTTTGGATGGCTGGTGAGGCTCATCATCACGATCCCGTCGCCTAGACCGTTTGCGCCTCTCATCATCATCATCGCCGTCTCTATCAGTAGGCTCGCCTCGTAGTCTTTTTTCGCGGTCTGCAGGGGTCTCTGTCCAAAGCGATGAGTCTTGAGGTTTTTGTTCCCTCTTCTGAAATGTTCTGGCAGTGACCTTGAGAGGATCATCTGGAAAATCAAAAAAAGAAAAAAAAAATGTTAGTAAAGCTCTTCATTTGCAACTCCTATAGTAAAAGTATTCAATAATAATAACAAATGTTTTGGATAAATATTCTTACTCCCAAAGACTCGTGATTCGGGTGGGACCATCATCCATTCTTCTCTTGATATCTTTGTATCCTTCGCGACATGTTCATTCTCGTTAGCTTCCTCCTGTCATCAAAAGGAAAAAAAAAAAAAAAAAAAAAAAACAGGTCAATTACGGATACCTCGTTTTTCTTACGAGGAAGAAAAGCTTGGGAAAATCTTTATATAATTCAAAACATACTCCTGCAAGTTTCTTCCGCATCCTTTCTGCACGTTCTTCAAATTCCTGAATCTTGCTCTGTTTCGCTAGGGCTTCCCGATCCAAGTCTTTGGGTAGTACGGGCCCGACAATGTCGTCATCACTATCACTCTGATCGTCATGATGGCTCGCACCAGAATTCAACATAGATGGTGGCAAGGACGGACCAAGCACGCGCTTTGATGTTGCATTAGCCTTCTCTTTTGCTAACCGTCTCGCCTCTAGCAACTCTGGTGGTAGGGCAGGAGCAAAGTCATCAGGGGTAGCTGTTTCCTCTTCATCATCGTCCTGTACTGGCGGCTGGCTAGGACCAATACTCGGCCCTATACTTGGCCCTATACTTGGCCCTATACTTGGTCCTATGCCTGGCCCGATGCTATCACTGTCATCGTCGCTTTCATTATGTGTAACTGCAGCAGTAGCACGGCTCTTCTGTAAGTGCGGCGGTAGTTCTGGTCCAATACCCATGGTTTCGAGTGAATTGAATGAATGAGATTAACATTGGAAACAAACATGCATGTCCATGTTTCTTGAAGTTATCGTGGCTTTTCTCTTTTTTCGTCTGTGCTCTCTTGAAATATGATAGGCTGTCATTTGGAGTTGAGGGAACATTTTCCGACGGTTGGACATGACCTAATTAAGGTCAATTAATGAATGCTTCGTTCATTCTTTCTCTTTTCTCTTTTCTCTTGTCCTCTCTTCTCTTCACCATTCCTCCTTTCACTTCATTTAGCATGCCGCCATTGACAAGGCCAATGCTGAGAACTTCGCTTATCAGAACACCCTTGCGCCAGAGCACAGCCCGTCTTCTCCTGCGTCAACCCCACAAGTCTTTCACTAATACTTCTCTCTCTACCACAACCTATACAAATGTTTACACTCACTCAACCGCCTTCAATACAATAAATCGGTCTTTCGCTTCTTCTTCTTTGAAGACCACTACTTCACCTCCACCAACCCCGCCCTTAAATCATCGCCGTCGGTTTCCTTTGAAGCTCACTCTGCCGTTGATGGCCCTGACAGCAGGAACAGCACTCTACAGTACCAGCGATTCATTCAAGCACCACACCTTAGCTTTTCGGCGTATGATGTTGGCAGCCGAAGCGGTCGTCGTGACTGGTTATGACTACAAGTTCTCGCTTGGCTATGGCAACCGAGATCTTAAACCGGGCGATCCGGAGGATGAAAAGGAACGTCGGGTGCGCAAGAGTAGGCTGCATAAGCGCAGTGCTGAGAGAGTCATGAGGATGATGCGCGAGAATGGAGGGATTTATATCAAGTTGGTAATGATGTGTTTGATCTTTATATGTGTTTTGCTGATGTCTTCTGTATTGGATCTGTCTACTTTCCTTATTGATCTTGCATAAAATTTTATTAGATTTTCAATAGTTTCCTTTTTTGAATAACTTTCTCATTTTTCATTACCATTGTTTGAACTTTCTTTTTGACTTCTTCATGATAGGGCCAACATCTAGCAAGTCTAAAATACTTGCTACCGGAGGAATGGACGCGGACGATGGAGCCTCTTCAGGATCGTTGCATACCTTCATCTATCGAATCGATCCAAGGTCTTTTCCTCTCCGATTTAGGAAAACCACTTTCAGAGATTTTTTCCTCTTTTGATTTAAACCCGATCGGAGTAGCCTCGTTAGCTCAAGTCCATCGGGCTACGCTAAGGAGTAACGGTCAAGAGGTCGCTGTTAAGATTCAGCATCCTGCCTTGAGTGAATTCTCAGCGATTGATATGCGAACTATTGCTGCACTTACAGAGTTTATCGCCTATGCTTTTCCAGAATTTGAATTCTTTTGGTTGAGTGAGGAGATTCAGGCAAATTTACCAAAGGAGTTGGATTTCAGATACGAAGCGAAAAACAGTGCCAGGACTGCAACTAATTTTGACAGAGCTCGTGAACAAGGTTCGCCATCAACAGTCAAGGTGCCTATTGTGTATTGGGCACAGAAACGGGTCATGGCTATGGAATGTAGGTCTTTACATACGATTTCATCCTCCTTTTTAAACAAAACAAAACAAAACAAAAAAAAAAAAAAAAAAGACTGATATTTCTAATATGTTCATCATTTTCTCCTCTTTCTTCTTCTTTCTTTTCATTATATATAGTCATGAATGGCTCACGCATTGACGATGTCGAATATCTTAACGCTAACAACATCAAGGTCGCAGATGTCTCTAAGGAGATGGCCCGCACATTTTCACAAATGATCTACAAGGACGGTTTCCTTCATTGCGATCCACACCCAGGCAATGTGATGATTCGGCCTAAACCCGTAGGATCGCCTTCACATTGCAACTTTGAAATCATATTACTGGATCATGGGCTTTATCGTGAATTGTCTCCTGAGTTCCGTCTAGATTATGCCCGACTTTGGACGGCGGTCATGGCATCGGACCAAGAGGAGATCAAAAAACGGGCCTTGAAACTTGGTGGTATTGATGCTTATGAGTTGTTTGCATGTATTCTTACGGGTCGCGATTGGGACGTAATTCAGGATGCGCAGTTGACAAAAAAGGTCAGGAACAAAGAGGAGACATCCAAGATTTCACATGATGCAGGCAATTGGTTGGTCGAGATTGCAGATATCTTGGCAAAAGTGCCTCGAGATCTGTTGTTATTGTTCAAAACGAACGATCTACTTAGAGCATTAGACGAGGATTTAGGAGCAGATGATGGTGCTCAGATGAGGACGTTTGCAGTGATGGGTCAATACTGTGCACAGGTTATTTTTGAAGCCGAAAAGAAGGATATTCAGCACAACTTGGTCGTGGCGGCAGCGAACAGCAGTACGTCTGTTGTATCCATGTCAGTGTTGGTCAGGAACGTTGCTGCATGGATTAAGGCATATTGGCGCTGTGTCAGTAAACAAGTTTCACTTGATCTATTCATATGGTGGATCGATCAGACTCAGGCCAATACTGTCCTATATCGCATCTTGTCCATGCTCGGTTTGTCCCCATTATGAGTAAAAGAGACAAAAAAATAGAAAATTTAGCACATTGCATATTATACCATTCCTAGACGCATTAAATAGAATATCACGAGACTTATAATTGAGTTTATTTTTTACTTTGAAGCAGTCACAAAAAAAAAAAAAAAAAAAAAAAACAAGGCTAACGTTCACAACCTCACAACTTCCATCTCTTCTTTACCCATTTTTCCCCTCTTTTTCACAAATACATTTCAATGCCCTCCCTTAAAGAAGACAGTCCAGAATTACACATGACACTCCGGAATGCCGACGCCGCTGCTATTGCCAAAGCGGAGGCGAAAGAAAAGAAGGAGAGAAAGGAGAAGAAGGAAAAGAAGGAAAAGAAAGAGAAGAAGGACAAAAAAGAGAAGAAGAAAGATAAGAAGGACAAGGAGAAGAAAGAGAAAAAGAGGTCTCGCAAGTCAGATTCTTCAGCGTCTTCTTCCTCAGATAATGATGATGACGAGTCCAACAATAAGAAAAGGAGCAGGAAGAACGATGACGTACAGAAACCTCCTCTTAAAAAACCTCGTCACCTTGAAGACCTTTCCATTTCATCTCCTTCACCTGCAGAGACACCTCGTGATTCCACTCCAGAGCCCGGTGCTGAAGCAGTGAAAACAGAGCATGATGAGATCCCCGAAAACTTGCGCTTGAGTTCATACAGGATTTCTGCGCCGACTATTGCAGCACTCAAAGCTCGTGGGATCAATGCCCTTTTCCCAATTCAGGCCGAGACGTTTGATCATATTTATAATGGGAATGATGTTCTTGGACGGGCTAGGACTGGAACTGGAAAGACGCTCGCCTTCTCCTTACCCATGGCAGAGATTTTGTTGAAAGACAAAGTTCCTTCTGAGCGTGGCCGTTCCCCACGAGTTCTCGTCCTTGGTAAGGAATTTATCTTTTTTGTTCAAAAGTTTCTTTGTCACCCACAATGATTGCTGGTTATAGAGGCAACTAATGCTTTTTTTATTTTATTATTTTATAGCTCCAACTCGTGACTTGGCTATCCAAGTATCAAACGAATTCTCCGGTATTGCACCTTCACTCAAGTGTATCTGTCTCTATGGCGGCACACCCATGCAGGAACAAACAGCCCATCTGCGGAACGGGGTTGATGTTGTGATTGGTACACCAGGCCGTGTACTCGATCATGTTAACCGCAACAACTTAAGACTTGACAACCTGCGATTTGTTTGTTTAGATGAAGCGGATCAAATGTTGGATATTGGGTTTGCTGATGATATGGAGCAGACACTTCAACATGTCCAGACTCAAAAGCAAGCCCGTGGTGATTCTGCCCCTAAACATCAAACCCTGTTGTTCTCGGCTACAGCACCTGAATGGATCAAGCAGACTGTGAAGAAATATCTGGATCCCAAGTATATCCATGTGGATCTCGTAGGCAACTCAAAGGTCAAGACCAACGAGAACATCCGTCATTATGCAATCCCATCTACATGGCAATCCCGCAAGGATGTGATTGGAGATGTGGTCGCAGTCTATGGTGGCAACCGCGGTCTGACTGTCATCTTTGCTAATACTAAAGCTGAAGCTGATGAATTGGGCCTGACACCAAAACTCAAAGCGGATGCCAAGGTCCTTCACGGTGATATCCCTCAAGCTCAACGTGAATTAACCCTTCAAGGCTTCCGTGAGGCCAAAGTCAGATGCATTATCTGTACAGACGTCTTGGCTCGTGGAATCGATATCCCTATGGTTGATTTGGTCATCAACTGTCAACCTCCCAAGGACGTGGAGACATATGTACATCGCTCCGGTCGTACGGGCCGTGCAGGCCGTAAGGGTGTCTGCGTGACATTCTACAAGGCTCAGGAAGAATATATGATTCATAACATTCAACGTCGGGCCGGTATGGAAATGATCAAAGTAGGCCCTCCACAACCTGAGGATATTATCAAGGCCACAGCTCAGGATGCTGCAGATGTGGTTTCAAAGGTCGTCAAGAATGTCATCCCGATGTTTAAGCCCATTGCAGAATCCATGATCCAAGAAAACTTTCAGGGCAATGCCACGGATGCATTAGCAGCTGCGTTGGCTCAGATCTCCGGTTATGGTGGAGGTGTGAAGCCTCGTTCACTCATGTCTGCTGCAGAAGGATTCACGACCATGATATTCCGTCTCACACACGAGATTCAGCATCCTGGTTATGTCCGCAACATTCTGAACCGTAACTTCCCCAAGCTAGGCTATGAAGATGTCAAGGGCATGAGGATGACCAAGGATATGATGGGTGTTGTTTTTGATGTCAACTCTGACAAGGTAGAAGTCGATGAGAATAACACCATCTTTTTGGGCGGGAGCAAATGGATCGATTTGGCCAACATTTCACTCGAGGTTGCAAAGACCTTACCAGAGCTCGAGCAGCGTCAGGATGATCGTCGTGGTGGCAGTGGTGGGTATGGTGGTAGTGGTGGGCGTAGTGGATTCGGTGGTGGACGTGGCGGTTTCCGTGGTGGTCGTGGAGGTGGAGGCGGAGGCGGTTTCCGTGGCGGCCGAGGTGGACGTCGTTAAAGGGGAGATGGCATGTTATATCTATTGTATCATCTTTTCTTAATCGCATATACACACGCACTCTTCTCTCAATGTACCATATGTTCTTTTTATATTTCACTTACTTTTAGCATTTTATCTTTGACCTGCACCATGAACAGAGAAATATTGAAATAAATATGTATCTTCATGCTGTTACTAAAGGATATTTATTATTATTTTTTTATTTTTTATTTTTATTACGATGATGCCGATAGTTATTCATCTCCTCGAGCTCACATCATATATTTATTTATTTTTTTTAATGTTTACTTTTTTTTTTTTTTTTTTTTTTTTTTGTCTGTTGATTTTACTACCGAAGTTATCCAATCCATTGACAGACTGCAGTGACAGTCTGCCCTAAAACCAAAGCTTCTGCGCGAACTTCTGTCTCTCCGAAATGCATCTTGACTTCCACTAGTACCTCGGCTCCAGGCATCATACCAGGGATATCTGGCATTGGGATCTGGAAATCTCCCAGTTTCTTAACCGATGGCTCATCTACATAACGAGGCTCTTGTTCAGAGTCTGAGACATACAATGGGCAGTCCAGTGGGCGAGGATAACACCAGGTCATGTACTTTTTGGTCACACACTCGCCCAAAGCAACAGACTGACCCGGTGTGATGTAGACCGAGAACCGATCCTTGCAGCGAACTGTGCCATCGCGTGAAAGTGTCTTCTTCTCTTCTGGATCCACGCCAGGAACGAAATCCATTGCAGAATCGACTCCATACCAACGACGTGCTACACGTGAAATAATCGAGCCCTGATGCAAACCATACGTGACTGCCCCGCGGACCACTGCCAGTTCCGCACGAGGTGGTACCCGAACCTGGCGACCTGCTGTGGCAAACTTGGCCGTGACCCTGTCAAACAAGTACCGTGAGGATCCAAAGCCTCCAACCATGAAAATAGCCTCGCAGTGTGTCTGCGACAGTTGATATTCAATCAGATCCAAGACATCCTTCACCACTGGGTCAAAGACACGCTCATGCAGCTCTGAGACCATTAGTTTGAGCATTCCGTCTTCCAGTCCAATATCCAAATCGTTCGCATCTGGCAAGTTGGGGATATTGGGGACCTGTAAATACATTTCAGGGTCTGTTCCTGGGAAAATAGGCTTCGTCTGGTTCACGAATGTGTCCATGATTGTACCCCAACCCATTGGTGTAAGAGGATATTTTTGGAATTTCTCTCTTAAAAGCTTCTCCATATTTGCATCCAAAAACGCAGAGCCACAAGAGGCGCCATGACCCCGGGTGACTTCCCGAAGACTACGAATACCCGTTTCCGGATTCACATCCACGACTTCAAAGACAATCAGATCGACCGTTCCGCCACCAGCATCGCAGATCAAAAACCGATCATGCTTCTGAAGGTTGAATTGATCTCCTTTGGATTGACAGTACATAGCGGCGGCTTCAGGCTCTGATACGATGATCAATCGATGGGCCGGATCGTCCTCTTTAATCAATCCTGCGCGTATTGCTGCTTGACGCATGACATGTTTCGCTCGATCTGACCACATGGCTGGAACTGTCAGACAGTACTGAATATGAGATTGGTCGTAGGTAGATCCAAAATTCTTCATAGCCTCCTTGACAACGTGACTGTGGAACTTGCCCAGATAGTCTGAAATGGCGTCCAATGGTCTGATGCCCAATGGTAATGGTTCAATATTTTCCTGTTGGTCATCCAGCTGCAGTTTGAACTTGCTCAACAGGAGATGCTTCTTGGCATTGGGGGTCATCATCACTGCACGTGCTGGGTACCCCCAGTCCAAAAATTCTGGCGAATCTACTTTGTACAAGCTAATGGTTGGGACTTTGGGATATTGATATGCCTGTTTAGGCCTATGTATGCATGCATCAGAAAAATGATATATTACAGATAATAAAAAAGAATAAAAGAATAAAATAAAAAAAAAATAATAAAATTAGTCAGTTTGTTTTATGACGACGTAGAAACAAAGAGCAGCCGTTTTGTCCATCCTGGAGTCAAAGAAAAGCGCAAATTTTTCAATTTGTTTGTACAACACCCAGAAATATATGAGGTTTTTTGTATTGCAATTGATTGAGCAATAACTTTTCCCTCTGTTCTGAGAATAGAGGGTTGAGGATAATCCACACCCAGCCCCCATTCAGCCCAAATTGGGCACGCTAGAGATATTCATGCATTTGTTTCTGTTGTTCTCGATAAATACATGTAGTATATTAGAATATATTCTTTCTGCCTCCAAACGACCATATATGTATCTCTTATAGATGACTAGTCCATGTTGATTCTGCACCACAGATGGTCCCTGATCTGGCACCTGAAACAAACCTCCGTGTTGCGGCAAATGAATACGCTCTTATAATACTGTTTGTTTCTTGCATACTTTACTGGAAAACTGAATCCTGGAACGAAGCTCCTGCTTTTACTTTTATTGTACACATTGTCCATGATATTAAAGCTGTTCATCCATCGCTTTTTTTTTTTTTTTTTTTTTTTTTTTTTGCTGCCGTTATCATTCAGCAATGATTGCTGACAAAGCCAGAAAAAAAAAATAAAAATAAAAAATAAAAAATAAAAAATAAAAATAAATATATAAAAATATATCAGCTTACCAAGTGATGATCTCTTGAATCTCTGGGTCTTTCCTGAATGCAAAAGCACATCCTGTGAATGTAGTTCCGAAATCGATCGCCATCACAATAGGATAGTCTTCTTTGGGATCTCCTGTCAGACGACTGCCATTTGCACGCACGCCATGCTGTTGTTGGCTTGGTTGATGTAGTCCGCCAAATGGTTGTTGCTGTTGTTGTTGATGATTCGATACCGCAGCTCCACTACCGGGGGCATAGTTTGGATTGTAGGGTTGACTCTGGTATGTATTAGAGGATGGAGGAGGGATAGGGCGTACTGGTGGGTACATTGGGTTTGATGAGGGCGGGGGGACAATACCGCCTGGTGGGCCGTGAACATGAGGCTGTGGCATTCCTGGGTATGGTTGGTGTTGGTTATAGCTGTAGCCCGAACCAGGGGTGCTGACGGGTGGGTATCCTCCACCACCTCCACCGTATCCATTGGTGCCGTTGAGATGACTATGATGTGGCTGCGGGGGCATTCCTCCTCCTTGTGAAGTTGCAGGTGGGCCTGCACTTGCCAGGGAGGTGAAGACCATGGCAGTTGGGGCGGGTTGAGCAGCTGCTCCACCCGAGGCTGATGGTGGTTGACCATTAGTTGGACGTTGTTGATGATGGGATGGTGATTGAACCTGAGCATGAGCAGGTGTAGGTGGAGTGGACGAGCCAGCAGGCTTCTTGTCCTTTGAAGATTTGCCACCAAAGAGTTTTTTCATGGCCGAGAGATGGTTTTTTTTTTTTTTTTGGGTGCTAAGAAGAGGAGTAGATGAGATTGATGAAACAGACGTGATAAATGAAGAATGAACTCAAAGAAATAGAAATAGAATAAATAAAATATAAAATATAAAGTATAAAAAAAAGAGCGTGTGTGTAGTGAGAAATGATCACAAGAGATGGCAACGGAAAAAGGAGGGAAAGAAGGAAGGAAGGAAGGAGGAAAGAGATGAGAGTGGCGAAGTGGAGGAAAGGAACGGACACAAAAGACGGAGAAGAGACAAAGGGCAGAGAGCAGAGAGAGAGAGAGAAAGAGAGAGAAAGAGAGAGAAAGAGAGAAAAAGAGAGAGAGGGTGGATGGGTTGGGGAGTTGGCACGAAATTTAAAAATAAGAACAACAGGTACACTCTGATAAAAAAGAAGCTTAAAAAAAAGCCGATGAACTCTCTTACTCTCACTCCCACTCTCACTTTCACTTTCACTTTCACTTTCACTTTTTGGCAGATACAAATGAAAAAAGAAAAAAAAAAAAAAAAAAAAAAAAAAAAAGGATGCAACAAGAGGCTTATGAAGAGTCCATTTGAATGAATGGTGAATTCCCATTGTCTTTTGATTCAAATTTGTTTTCACTTGGCTCTCCATGTGCATCTGCAGATAATATAATCTTAATACTCGCTAGAGCTCATTATGATTTTGCTCTTTATTTATGTATGTTTGTTCATATTCATGTTCATATTCATGTCCATATTCATATAAATTTATATGGACATATTTGTATTTGTCTGTATGTGGCAAAAAAAAAAAAGCTTAACAGATTTTTTTTAGAGGTATTTTTTTTTATCTTTTAAAACGTGAATCAAGATTGGCTCGTTGTCTTTAAATCCTTTCTATTCGTCAATTTTGTCACGTTATGCAGCCTACGAGAAAAAGCGCGTGGACTATATTAACGACGCATTGATCTGTAGAAGGCGCGTCATGCACGCGTCTACCCCCTTGTATTTTTTTTTTCCCTTTTTTTTCTCTCTTTTTTTTTTTTTTTTTTTTTTTTTTACAAAGCTTCCATGTTATCCAACAACAACAATCCTGCTCAGCTACATCAGGACGCAGTTTAGACAGTCGTATCGTATCAAAAACATGAAAAAGCTGAAGATTTAATCAGACTAGACTCACAATAGCCCAATGTTCAAAACTTGTAGGCTTTCCTCATAGACAACGAGCTCTTTCTTCCTCCATCACTGCCTAGGGTGGAAGGCAAAAGTGAGTATTGTGTCTGTCTCCTAACGTTATTGTTACCAGTGCCACGAATGGGATAAGGGCCTTGGCAGAAGTGATACCGTGATGACATTGTAAGACATGTTGAGGTTAGGTCTTTTAAACCTGCATAAATCCCTGTTACCTTGCATTGAGGAAACAAAACCTTTGTGAAAATGCTTACATACTACAATCTTCGTTAATAAAGGTATCGCATAATCGATCTCTGCCCGAAAATGAAACAGCAATGTCCCCAGACCTTTCTCCCAATGATGGTAAACGATGCTTACACCGTTTCCACATCAAAATAAATGCCTGGGCAAATGTATAAAAGCCCTTCTTGCTTTATGGTATTTTTCCCTGCTTATTAATCCTATCCCATCTTCCCGTTCATCTTCAGCTTCACACCTCCACCCGCCCGTTGAGTCGATTAATTAGGTGATTTTTATTTTTTATTTTCTTTGATGTCTGTATTGAGCATTTGTAACAATTTGCTCTCGATAATTACGTGTAGCCATGTAACTCACACTATCCCTGTATTCAATATTTCCCAATGAAGAAAAAAAAAAAATGGCAACACTACTTGTCTTGTATAAAGCCCAAGAATACATCACCAGCTACTGGAACGAGTCGTTGGGAGACATGTTGGAACACTACCGAGAGCTTTTGACGGAAGAACAATGTCGAAAGGGACAAATATCCTATAATAACAGTAAATGGAGGATAATTGTCCGGTGTGACGGACCCATCCCGTATGAAGATGCATTGACCCTCTTATCAATGCTGACAGATCAAGTGCAAGCGTTCAGGCAGTCCAAATTCATCCATTATCGAGCGTGCCACTTCTTCTCCATGACTAATGACGGTCGACAGTTAATTCACTCCGTTGAGCTGAACAACTGTAAAATGGAGCTATGGGAGGCGAGCCGCTCGTCACCAAGGTTCTTAAAAAAGTGTGTGAGCCAAGACTATAACTTTCATAAGACTGAATGGGACGATTGGAGTAAAATAGCAAAGATAAGATAAAGTAAAATAAAAAGCAAGACTTTTCAGTCGTTTGTTTTCCTTTTACGCTCAGCTATCTACAGCTAGTGTCTCAACGGTCCAGCAGCACAATTTTGGGCAGCGGTGGCATAAGGTTTGTTTATACACGGCCTCGGACCACATTGTCAGGCATCCATCTTCAGGGGGACTCTTGGCGCGTAAACAGTTTCAGATGCATGGGCTTACCATTCCTTATTGCTGTGAATCTACATAGTTCACATGCATTGAACTTTTTTTTTTTTTTTTTTTTTTTTTTTTTTTCCAACAGATGGGCAGTACCTAGACAGAAAAATGTATCGGGATACATTTCTGAGCGGAGGAACTTTACTTTAATACATGTATTGGGTATCTAAAGAGGGGTGATGATCGAGGACGAGAAAGCTCGGCAATGGCGAGGACGAAAAAACGACGAGTAAGGTTTGTGTTTGATTATTTGATAATTTAATATTTGAGTGTAGTCAAATGGGTTGATGAAGGCGAGGCAGACATTACGCCACCATTGGTTGGAATGGACGGTTCGGGAGCTCTATAAAATGGCAATTTCTTCTCTTCTCTTCTTCAGACTTAAAAAGCATCGGCTCCTTCTCCATTTCACAAACCAGTTGGATACAACCTACATTTTCACGAATTGCATCTATAAGCTTGCACAAAGCGCTCTACGAAATTTACGATACATTCCCCCCATCCCTTCTATTTCATTCCCCATTATAGCATAGTAAGCACATTCATCCATTTATTCAGCATCCTTTTTTCTCTTTTTTTTTTTATTTTTATTTTTATTTTTATTTTTTTTAGCCAGCTAGGAAACATTGTTGTTTCGATACTTAATGTCCCCCTTTTCGCCAAAGGGTCCTTCCCTTACGCCCAAACTTTACTAGATTCTCTTCTCAAGGCTCACCATGCTCGGGCATCCTACATTCTTAACGGACGTAAGGACAGGCGCAATGGCGGGTGCGAAGTTAGGTCTTTTTGTAATGGAGTCGGCCTTCATACATATGTGCCATGGGCTCGATAATACGCTGGGGAAAGTGCTCGAGGAATATCGAGTGGCACTGACACCTGAGCGATGCGCTACAAGGAGGATATCGTACCGTAACAGCCGATGGGGGATCACCGTTCGTTGCGACCTCAACGATACTTTCGTTCTTGAGCATGATGATGCTCTCCAGGCTTTAATAAGGCTGACAAGAGAAGTTAGAGATATTCATGATAACAGGCTGATACACTTCACTTCGTCAATGGCCGAAAGGTCAATACTCGCGAAACGTCTCATTCGTACGGTCCCTTTTACAGGCTCCCCAGCAACGATGGAGCTGTGGGAATACAATCAACCATCCAGACCTCGCGTGACCAGGTGTCTACAGCTTCTCCAGGCCCCACAGGAGCCCCCTCCTCCTGGCTCTCCCCACACTCTGCAGCAGGCCCCACAGGAGCCCCCTTCTCTTGGCTCTCCTCAGGCCCTGCAGCAGGCCCTTCCCCCTAACACTCTTAATTCGTCGCAGCATATACCTTCATCCACCTCTTCTCATTCCTCGCAGCATGCCCTCCCCTCTATCCCTCTTATTTCCGCCGAGCCGATATCATTTTAAAGTCTTTTATATTTTTTTATGATTACGACTGAAAGAATGCATACTTTACGATTAAAGAAAAAACTTTATAATCTACTGCGCCTTCTATTGCGCCTTGAGAGACGCACGTGATGAAAAAGATATCATTCATTGTTAAAGACAGTTTGATGCTGTTGAACAAGTTCTTGTTCTTATTGAACAACTCTACAAAAATAAAATAAAATAAAATTCTTACATTTGATTGACCACGGAAGGCCAAACATTGAAGCACAACTACCTAGCTCCTAGTAGTCGCAAATGTGAAAAAACAAAAAAAAAAAACTTTGTTTTGATAAATTGTTATTAGTATTGTACTGAATGGAGACTGATTTTTTCAGGCACGTTGTGGAGATTACAAGATGATGAGTGTCATTTATATTTTGCTTGCAGACAAAAAGAAAAAAGAAAAAAGAAAAAAAAAAACGCGAAGTCTTCCAATGTCCGAAATTGATGGTTCAGCTGATTCTTTTTACTGTTGTTTGTGTTCATAGGACTTTTCATTGCTGTGTCAAGCAAAGAGATAAAGAAATAATTTCTCTCTTCTCCGCATGGCATGCATGGTATACACAGTATAGTATTTCTGTTTTCATTGATAAATTATAAATTATTAATGATCACCCCTCTTTCACCTTTAAAAAAAATAAAGAAGGGGAGCAAAAGTTGTAAAGGAAAAAAAAAAAAAAAAAAAAAAAAAAAAAAAAGATGAAGAGGTCTGATTGAACTATTGGATGTTAGATTCCTTTTGACGACTTTTTTTTTTTTTTTTTTTTTGTTTTGATGCTCTTCTACTTTCTCCCTGACCCCTATGTCTGCATCTGTGTTCTGTGTCCTATTAGCCATGTGCAGTAAACTCATTTGTACCATTGTACAACTGCATCTCTTTTTTTTTTTTTTCCTCCTTCCTTGCCTCTTTTTCGTTTCTTTCTTTGTTCCTTTGACCTTTGTATTCTTCACCTTCCATTACAATCGTTCCTGTTCTCGCTCGAAAACGTATTTGTTACTTAATCCGCTGTGCTCAACTAACGAATACAAAAGAAAAGAGAATACCATAACTAATTACAATAATAATAATAAAAATAAAAAAAATGTCTACATCATTGAAATATGCAGAGGTTTGTCAAAAAAATTGGGCGTTTCACCTTAACTTTGGCTTGGAGCTAAATAGTCACATGAACTTCAAGCATAAAGTAATGTGAATGTGAATGTCTGAATGTGAGTGTAAAACAGGAATGCTGATTCAACTTTTTATTACCATCGTTATTGTTACCACCAGGACCAAGATGGAGTATATGTGGCCATTCCACCTTCACTGGTTCCGCCATTAGTACGGCAATTGGCCTCATCGAACCATGATATCAGAAGTGAAAGTGTCCATCATCTGCCCACGCCTGCACCCTCAACCAATAATTCGTCTACCTCTCAGGCGTCCACACATTGGGCATTCCTAGATAATCAATACCGACGAGGAGTTGGTCCACTTGATGGTGGCGCCGAGAACAATGGTAATATTTTTGAGCCAGGGGTTGAATCTGGATCTGAACCAGGATCTGATTCGAGGGGCCATGCCAATTCAGAGGGGGCCCCTGTTGCTGCTGCTGTTAGCCCTGGGATGCTCCCTCCGGCGTCTACTCTACCAGTACAGTTGCTGAATCGATTATATTCTTTTACGACCATGACCAATACACAAAACCCGACCGATGTTACGAGTACAAGCAACATTGATAACACTAGTAACAATACATCCTCAATAACGCCATCATTGCAGCGACGGGCTTCTAGTAATGAAGCAAGTATACGAGCAATAACAGCAGCGAGCCGGGCTCACTCTAATAACGCCAGTAATTACAACTATACGCGTTCAATTATGCAATATCCCGGGTTGAGCCAAACCTCTGACTTTTCTCGCACCGGGACTGGCGCTGCCCCAATTGCGTCGACTACTACAGAATCGACGCGTTTGGCTGCAGCGGCTGCGCTCGTCAGCTCATTTAGTCGTCAAGGCTCCGTAAACATTAGTACGAATGAAATCGGGATTGGAGCTGATGGCTTCGCGACCGTTGGCACTAACAACACAGAAGGGGCTGGTCGACGAGCATCCCTTCGTGGTGAAAGTGCCTATATCCCGTCCTCTTTATCTATGCTCTTTTCAGATCCTGAGGTTATGCAGGCTCAAAGTGAGGTAACAGAACGCGCACTGCTCCATCAACACGAACAGCAATTACGGCAGCGCTATAGGGATTCCCGTCGATCGTTTTCCTTCTCAGGTGTCGCCACAGGTAATGAAGGAGCAAATCCCGGTATAGGATCAAACCCATTTGGGCCTCCAGGACGTCGACGGAGACGGACTTTTGCAGGAGAGGATGTGGAAGAGGAGGAGGAGGAGGAAGAAGGTGGCAATAACGGTGGCAATGGCGATCAACGACCCCTTTTACGGAGATCACAATCTGAATTTCACTCTAATCAGAGCCAGTCTCAAAACCAGGGTCAGAGCCAAGGCCATCACCTCAATGTCGTCGAAGGATATGGATACGAAGTCGTTGGGGGACAGACCACTCCGCTGATATTAGCAGGAATGGTTGGTGATGAAGATTATGAAGATGGAGATTATCATCCGTACGCGACTATCATGTCTCGGAGCGATTTTCTTGCTCCACATCAACCGTCGTCCTCAAGTCCATTATTTCCGTCTCCACTCACAACCCTTGGGGTGTTAAATGATCCATTAGAAGGTAAAAGAAAAAAAAAAAAATGTGCAAAAAGTATATACCCTCGTGTTTGTACCTTTATTAAATTCTGTAACTGTTTCACAGGCATAAAGTGTAAATACTTTTATCCCTAATGCTTTTTTTTTTTTTTTTTTTTTTTTTTAGAACAACAGTCGTATGCTGCTGGCGGCGTATGGCAAGATTATAACAATATGGATCATTTGCGACGTATTGGACAGCCCAATAGCTCCACACCCCTGAATCAAAGTCATGCTACTTATTATCATTCGGTGTCCAATTATCACTATTCTTCGCATGGAAATGGAGATGGAATCGAGACAGAATCTCGGGTGGAGACTACAAATGGCAATAATAGTAACACAGTCGCTCCCTGTCAGCCAGGCAATTCACCATGGAGGAGACTTCACACCCGAGGCTTGAGTTATCAATCATACATGACTTCCACTACTACAAGTGATAATAACAACAACAACAGCAACAACAATCGTAGTAGTAATAACAATGAGATGCGAAAACATTGGTTTCGACGCTGTCAAGTCAGCAGGGAACACATTAGGGAGCATTGGCTCTGTGGCCCGTAAGTCTTTTTTTTTTTTTTTTTTTTTTTTTTTTGGAATGCTGGGTTAATGGTGATATATTTATATAAAGAAAGGATGTTCTGGTTTATTAACGTTCAGTTATTTCGGACTACAACTTTGTTAGACTGCTATCTGTGGTTGGTTCTTGGGGCTGTTGTCTATGATCTTACGATCATGCCTGCTGTTTTCGGAAGCGGAAAAATAATAAAAAAGAAAAAGAAGTGTTTTCTAAACCCTACTTCATTTTCATTCTTGATGCAGTGACAGCTGAGGCGGTGCTCGTTTTTTTTTTTTTAAAAAAAAAAAAAATCCCTCATGTTGATCATTGTATAAATATATATTATGCATGCACACATGGCTAAAGTTTAAGCAGCATCCGATTGAGAATCTCTTCCCCTTTTTATTTCCTCTCACACAAGAATAAATCTTCGGAAAACGCTGCTAGTCTTTAGTATTACATTGGATGCAGTTTCGCCTATCTTTTTTTATTTGTTTTTTTTTGCACAAAGACTTCTATTGACTGACTGGTGCAACCATAACATCAAACACTTGTCCACGGCGTAAAACTCGATGAAAGCATAGAAACGATCCATCATTACACAAGGCGGCAATCGTCGCAAAAAAAAAGAAGAAAAAGTAGTTGTCACTCCCCTCGAGACAATCAAGATCTTGATAGAGTAGTAATGGAGAATAGTGGGCATTGACATTAATACCTTTTTATTTTTTTTTATTTTTGTTTTTATTTTTTTTTTTTGGCGCTCTCAAGAAGTTATCCGTATTGACTCTGGGCTTGAGTAAGCCATGTCTGTGTGTGGTCAATACAGATGTACAATGATGCAGCTGGATGGACAAGAATTCATGGAACGTGCTGGCATGATTTTTTCCTTCCCTTCATCGCGTAAGATCAAAATAGACATCAAGCATTTTGAGCGCTTGACCTATTCGACCATTCCAGTTCCTTCTCCTCGGAACTGTTCCAAAAGAAAAAACAATTTTGGTCTTCCGCCCAAATGGCCCTTATGATGAGGGCGCGTCCAGTTCGTGTTCGTTCCAAGGCTCTATTCCCGTCGACGGATTGAGGCTGAGAAGAAAATAAAAAAAAAAAAAAAAAAAAAAAAAAAGTCTTTTCATTTTGATTTACCGTCTTTTTCTTTCTTTCACTTCTTCTCTTCTCACCCTCTCTTTCCTCATCCATCCTCAACTTCTCCTAAGCAGCCAAACATGTCCAACCCCACCTACGGCGCCACCAACCACCAACAGATTCGTCGTGATGAAGAGAGCCAGGTCCTCTTGAACGGTGTTCCTGTCTCGGTCACAGAGACCAACGATACTTTCTACGGCCGTACCTTCCGCCATGTTCACCATCACCGTAAGAGATACTTCTTCTTGTGGCTCCTTGCTGCTATCTCAGCCATCTCCATTGTCCTGGGTCTGTACTACTTCCAGAAGAACAGACATGAGGGCGACAAAAGCCCTGCCCCTGGCGATGGTAACTTCCTCGGCAAGAAGGGCGATGATGTTTGCCAGTCTGACCGCTCTTATCCTATTGCCATCCTCTTGTCTATTTTCTTTGGTTATATTGGGTAAGTTGATAAAGAAAAAAAAAAAAAAAAAAAAAAAAAAAAAAGTGATGACGCTAAAACATGCAATAATAATAAAGCTAAACTTCTTTTTTTTTTTTTTTTTTTTTTTTTTCTTCATTGACTAATAGAGTTGATCGTTTCTACCTTGGATACATCATTACTGCTTTGTTGAAGCTCATCACTGCTGGTGGACTTGGTATCTGGTACATTATCGATATTGTGCTCATCATCGTCGGAGGTCTTCCCGACCACAACGGCTGCACCCTTATCCCTTAAAGAAAGTTTTTTTCTTCTTCTCAGGATTGAAGGATACTTTTTTCTCTGACTTGACTTTGTACATACAGGAGAGAGTGGCGGGCAGAAAAAAAAAAAAAAAAAAAAAACTTCAATAAATAAATAAATTAAAATTGGAGACAATACTCTTTTTTTTTTTTTTTTTTTCTTTGTGTTTGTCCAGGTTATGAATATTCCCGCGGTCAAAGCAATCATTTTCTTTTTTTTTTTTTTTTTTTTTTTTTTTTTGCATAATTTACCGTTTCTGTGTTTTGAATCGGTGGCAGATCAAGATCATGTAAATGTAGTAGAGGAAATTCGAGACAATATCAAGAAAAAAAAAAAAAAAGCTTATTCACTAAAAACTGATCTTCATTGTTCTGGCGAGTTCTCGAGCCAAGGATCCTAAAGTTAACAAGCGTTTTCAATTTCTATGTGGTTGGTCTTGCACCTGTGGAATTGAAAATTCAGCCACATCCACATCCTTGTTAAAAATTATGCATTTTGTTCAACTGTTGTGGATATTGCGACAGTGTCTTGGCGAATTTTTTTTTTTTTTTTTTTATTGCATTTACGATGGCTTAGTGACTATTCCTAGCCTTAGTAAAGCGGTGTTGCAGGATAGCGCAGTTTAGCAATTGGCTCATATATATATAAATGAATAAATCTAACTAACATGTGTACTTGCTTTAATGCTATGCTTCTTTTGCTCCTATGGAGATATGGATGAATATTGTGAATAAAATATCTATCTACCTCAAAAATATTTGTTTCTGGCAGAGAACACCCTTGCGGTTATAGATTGGTGTTCCTGGCTAAGAGAGGTGATGGACGCGTGCTTTTATTTAAAAAGATTTTATATCTTTCCCCCCTCCAAGCTCTTTAAAAGGTTTCAGAGACAGAGCCTAAAGTGATTACAATGCTCGTTGGAAGCATATTTTGAAGCCATGTCTCTATGATTTGATCAATGAGCTTAACGAATAGCCAGACGTTATTGACATTTCAGGACATGTCAGTCAGCAGATCAAGTTGTTTCAAAATCTTTCTTTTTTTGCAGATCTTAATTCAGTAGTTCCGAACGGAGAATCGTGACCAAGACCAAAAAGACAAAGACTTTTTTGTGTTCCACCAAGACCACAAGATGGAGCATGATGCTGTTTGATCGTTTTCAGTTTTTTTGTGTTTGTGTTTCCCGTGAAGATAGGACCCAACCTTATTGATATTTAGACAGAGATACATTTTGATGATGCAGATGACGACGTGGATACAGGCAACTCAGGCAGGCTCATTCCTATATTTTTGGCAATAGACCGGGGCACTAAAAATCTATCCAAGTATAGCTGATAAGATCCCACCTATCTACATATTATACTCCCTATCTAAGAGACGGCTGGATACCCTCTCCATCTCTCTCTCTCTCTCTTTCTCTCCGCTCTTTCTTTTCTCCCTTGGCCTCCAGATCAACTGTGTTACTCTTCTCTTTTTCCTTCCCCTCTCCCTCCACCTTCTCTCCACAGTTTTCTCCAAAATTTCATTATTACGAATCCATTCCGTCTTGCCTGTCCTTTCTGTCATTATATCACATCTTGCCCTTGTCCCCCCCACCCATCCAATGTTGCTAGTCTTCATATCATCTTTAGTCCCCTAAGTGTCCTTTCTTCGATTTTCTCAAAAGCCAAGCAATGAATTTTTTGTTTGCCACTGATACTCCTGCACAGTCAACTGTTGGCGTCAATCACAATAATTCCATGTCTGCTCCTGCAGCAGCAACTCAAACTCCAGCCTCGAACCAGGACATTGAGCTCGTCATCGACATTGAATCCTCATTCCATGGAGTCCTTGTCGGTTTACCCGAGGAATCCACTGGAGCAGTTTTGAATGCAACAGCCATTCTCCATGTCCGAAAAAAACCTATTCGTGCTACAAAACTCATGGCCACCTTTGATGGCAGAATCAAAGTGCAATGCAGTGATGGTGCCACTTTTGGCCCAGAACGTAGGTTCCAGTCGGTTGTCTTGAACTGACGTCCGATCCTTATCACGTTGTTGTTGCTTTTTCATGTGTATAACAAGCTTGCTAAAAAAAAAAAAAAAAAAAAAAAAAAAAAAACTTTAAAGACACAAACGCAATTCATTATCACTAAACTATCTTTTTCTTTCTGTTTATTTCCATTGCTCCTGATCAATGTCTATTATAAAACAGAGTATCGTGAGCGAGTTTTAGCTCATAAAGACTGGATCCTCTGGGAAGCAGGCGGCAGCAACACTCATACAGAGTCAGGATCAAAGAATCACATCCCCATCGGTACCCATTACTATCCAATTTCAATTCAACTGGATGGAGCATTGCCTCCAACTTTTAGTGGCAAACATGGTTCTATTCGATACATTCTATCCTCATCACTTCTTCGCCCGTTGTTCTACAGCGATATTAATTCAGTCCAAGAAATTGAGATCAAGCGCTGTCTTGTTGGAGAAGCCCCAAGAAACGAGGGGCACTTGGCTCAGCATACAGGTCATTTGGATCTTGGATCATTGCTCGTCAATCAACTCTCTCGGGCGGGAATCTCTGGCGCATTGAACGAGCACGGGCAAGGGCTCGCCGCTCAAGCCTCTAATCTTCCCCTTGGTCCAACAACTATTACACATCACAAAACACACAAAGAGCTACTCCGTTACACTGCATCATCACCTCCAATTGCTCATTTGGAAGGAGGACTCATCCAGGTTGACTTGACCTTAGAACCACTGCCTCCAGGATCCTACATCTATTCAATCGCTTATGGACTTAAAGAAGTAATTTATTACCGCTCTTCAGCCACAGGCAACCAAGCTGATAACAAATCAGAAATCGTATACCCCATCGGACAGCAGACAGTCATTATTCCACGGGACTTGGAGCGGGAACGGGCCATGTCCAGTGCTGGTGCTGGTGCATCAACGCGACAGCTACTGGAGCTTCGACCATGCCCACTTTTGACAAATGTCGATATTATAACGCCGCTCATCGAGGTTCAACATCGTATTGTTTGCAATGTAGTCATTGTGTTGCCAGAAACAATTCGTCGTCGCAACACACTGTCTGGCAGCCAAAACGAGCAAAACGGTGCATCAACTAGTGGCGCAGGCAGCATCCTTCGAAGGCTCAATCTTGCACCACAGCCCTCGTCGCCTAGTTTAAACTTGGTTGATTCCAATGGAACTGATGTTCTCAATAATGCTGTCTTCTTGGGTGAGCCTACTCACTCAATTATTGAACCGGCACGTGCGCCCGCAACCATTGAGCTTAACGATAGTCCTCCACCTCCACCTTCCTCCCAATTGGAGAGTACGCTTCTAGAATTCCCCATCATCCTCACATCTCGTTACCCCTCATCCTCACGTGTTCAGCATCAAATGTTGGCTCAACCCATCGTGTGTTCAGATAGTGCACAGAGTCAAAGAATTGTTGATGGGAACCCATATCAGCCATTACCCAATAGTAGTTTTTCCGAATCACTCAATTCACGTTCCATAGCTATATCTGCACCACACGATGAACAGCAACCGGTCACATTGGCACCCCAGCAATTTGTCCACAACCAGGAAATCCCACCAACGATTATCCCTACAACTGGGACGACCGTCCAAACCGGCGTAGGGCCGACATTGGCTCTAACAATGTCAGAATCGCCTTCTTCCTCACTCTCGTCCATGTCCTCATCTAATTTGGCGGATGAAACTCAAAACAACTCCTCTTCTTCATCCCAGGCATCTCCATTTTTGGGAAACACCAGCCAGGATACATTCACCAGTGGGCAAAGATTTTCCGACCACACGTCATCTATGGATACAGTCACCAGATCTTTGAATGACATGCGTTTCTCCGCTAGAGCCCCTACCCAAAGTGGTATCAGTGCTGGTCTTCGAGCCGCTGCTAATACACCCTTTGATCCTCAGACTGGTCATCAGCCAGAGCCATCATCTCGACCTCCCTCATATGGGCGACAAGTCCCTCAATCTTCACAATCTGGACAAACCTCACAAGAAGAACCTCCAAAATATGAGGATCTCATCGATATTTCAGAGACGCCCGAGACAGGACTTGGGATTACGCTATCACATACTATGCCAGTCTCCATGCCAATGCAAGTCCCACGCCGTGGATACCAAGTGCCTAACGACCTACAATCTATGAATCCTTATTCATTTGGACTAGCGCAATCCCCATTACTGAGCCAGACTGTGAACTCATCATATCCAAGGAATCACGTACTTTCCTCTTCGTTTTCCTCAAGTCCCATATCTTCTCCTAATGAAAACGGTGGATTCATGGCAAGGCGAGACAGCCAGGGATCGAGTCCTCAGGCCATGTTTGGCAGAAGTTTCCGTAATCAGACAGGATCTACGATACTATCGACATCGCTGAGCAGAAGTCCGGAACACTCTTATACGATGCCCGCAACAACGTTCATGCCGATGACTCCTGTTCAGCCTACAGCTATGCAATCCCAGGCCTGTGGACCAACCTCAATACACCGGCAAGCCAGCTTAGGCCACCGGCGCCAGCGCAGCGTTGGCACAGCCACGATCATCGGATCCCTCGGACGTAATGGCGGATATCTGTCGCAACAGCCTATACCATTGTCGATGACTGACATACCGGTCGCCGCTCCTGTGCCTGGTTTGGGGGAGAGGAATATTTCTCCACCTGCCTATGCAGATGTATAATAGCTAGTATCAGTCAATTTGTACACTATCTTAAAATGTATTCATTCATAAAGAGGTGCTGTGTATTACTTACTTGTCATCACACCCTCATTATCAATAAAGCGGTAATGAAGTCAAAGTTAAAGAAGCGTTCAGAGTGCGTCTGTCTGAAATGAACAAAAAATCTGACAAGCCACTTTGAAGTCGTTAAAGTTGCATCGTGTCTTTCGCCCAGAGAGCATGTATTTTCATTCATCTACTCAACCTTTCCATTCTTATACGCATTGATGGCGAAGTGAGACCCTCTTTTTCGCCCATTTTCTTTTTCTACCCTTTCCCTATCTTTGTCTTTTTTTTTTTTTTTTTTTTCTTTCTTTCTTTCTTCAGTATTACTGTGATGAGTATATTCGACACTCACAGAAATACTGTTCTATCTGAGCTGTCAGAGCCCCTCACAACCGCGGCGACTACAGACGCCACTAACACCTATTTTAATACCCGTAGTATCCGTGAAACAACACACCAACCTTCATCCTCACAATCATCATCGCGGATGATCAATACCACTAATAATAATAACAACAGTAATAATAATAATAATGATAATTATATCAGTAACTCAAGCAGTATTGGATCAGCGGCTGAACAGTTCACAAGTGATGGTCTGTCAACTTTAAACAAAATAAAAGAAAAATTACCTGCCAATGTCCAGCCATGGTTTTGGTTAGGGCTCTGGTTTGGATTTGTAGTCTTGATCCTTGTACTCTTTACGGTATATCGTTCAAAGATCTTTGGATTCTTGGAAGCCCTGGCAAATTTCATTCGAAATCTTGGACCATTGTAATGTGGGACACATCTAATTTTTTTTTTTTTTTTTTTTTATGTCTCGAAAAGATTGGGGGAAGGGATGAAATATTATCCGCTAAGATCTTTTTTTTTTTTTTTGCTTCTTTTGCATTGTGAATAGTGGGCCACCCATAATCATGTTGTGCATGTTTGCAACGTCCTTTCCACCCGTGATCGGATACTCATCCATTATCACTATGTCTGGTAATAACTATAAACGGGAAAAAAAAAAAAAAAAAAAAAATACCAACCATATATTTCACTTACCACTGAATTAATATTGTTGTCGTTTTTTTTTTTTTTTTTTTTTTTTTTTGTTGCGTGTTTTCATCAATCAGGTTATGTGTACGGATTTGTGTTTGGCTTCGTGATTGCATTCTCGGGAGCATTGGCTGGTGGGATCGTTTGCTTCTACTTTTGTCGAAGGTGGTTCAAACCGCAAGTAAGGAAGCTCATGGCCAAGAACAAGAGTCTTAAGAGCGTTGTTAGGACTGTTGAAAATAAAGGATTTCGGGTAAGGAATGCGAAAAGTTTCTTCTTAAAAAGTAATAATAATGATAATAATAGCAATTATAAAAAAGCTGATTTCTCTTTTCTACTTGAGGTAGTTATTGGTCCTGATCCGATTAGCGCCATACCCTTTTAATGTCATGAATGCCCTATTGTCCGCCACACATATCCCGTTACACACATACACTTTAGCAACCGCAATCTCACTTGTAAAATTGACATTACATGTTTATATTGGATCAACGCTTTCGTCCCTTACCGAAGGAGATGATGATGAAAAGAATCCGGATGGTACTCCCAAGGACCCTAGTAGTGGACATGGGAAGAAGCTCAAGGTTATTATCATGATATTTGGCATCATCCTAGGTATTGGTGTAGGTGCATATGTTTGGCTGGTTGCAAAGCGCGAGATTGCGATGTCGGAGGCCACTAGGGCAGAGAGACGACGACGAAGGAGACGGCAACAACGACAACAGGGTCAGAGGCGCATAAACGTTAACGATGATAATAACAATCGCGGTGGAATTGAACTGAGTGAGCATAATCGGCTTCCTAATATTGATTTGACGAACGGAAACGCACCGACCAACACTTCTGATTTCGTTGGAGGCCTTCACGGCAGTTCTAGGTATGCTGACGAAGATGAAGATGGACATGAGGATCAGTTTTTGTTTGGCGGTAGCGGAGGAAGGGGTCTCGGACTAGGAATAAGGCCGGCTCATACACCAAGAGAGGATTGGCGAAACAGTACGAATGAAAATTCTTCTACGGATTCGGAGGACGATGATCGTTTTGACTTTTTGGACGATTCAGATGATTCAGATGAGGATCAGGACCTGTATGATGCGGAAAGAGGCTATGGCTATTCTAATATTAGTGAGGATATTGAGGGGGACCATGAGGAGCCGGCGCTTGATTTTTCAGCACATCATGATGGCCATATTGAGTCACCATGGCAAGAAGACGGTGAAGAAGACGGGGCTAGCCCAGTAGGGTTTCTATCGTTGTCAAGCTCGATAAGTAAAGGGTTGAGTGAGCGGTAGTGGACTCCGAAGATAGATTAGAATTCTTGTCAAGACCTGGAATCATGATAATGATAAAAATAATGATGATTACAAGAAAAAGAATGAAAGGAAGAAAGAATGGAAGAAAGAGAAATGGAAATTGATTTAACTTGGTCTGATATGATGAGCAGTATCCGGATTGTTGGCGGCATGTTTACGACCCAAATATTATTGTACCAAAGTGCCCTTGGAAATAAAAATAAAAGGCAGACGGAATGTCTAGTCCGAAGGAAGACCATTAAAGGGTTCATTGTTATTTTCTGGGCTCAATGGCGCGGGCGGTAAAGGATATCCAAGAAGAAGAAGAAGAAGAAGAAGAAGAAGGAAGGAGAGGAGAAAGAGGAATGACAATACTTTGTAAGAGTGATAGAGCTTAACTTTGATGTTAAAGTAGTGTCACGAATTTCGCATTATGTCAAAGGATCAGAGTCAAAAATAGAAACACATCTTGTTATGCAAAAAAAAAAAAAAAAAAAAAAAAAAACAAATAATCCAAATAAAAAGAACTAATGTTGGTGATAATAATAATAATAATAATAATAATAATAATAATAATAATAATAATAACAATGAAGAGCGTGTAAGTGTTTTTGTTGTTGTTGTTATTCTAATAGTGATCGAATGGACAAAGGGGAGGGGCAATTGAATTTAATGCATGCAAGTCTAGGTGTCGATGGTCTTTTGGTGCTGTTCATGAGTATGTAAGATAGTTGATAGAAAGGGTCTGCACGTTATATCGAGATGCTTGAATATTTAGTCCAAAGTTTCCGCCTCCCTGTTTGGCTTTCTTTTGGTTATGTGTACTCTTTATTTTATTTTTTTTTAGATCCAAGCCTGTTATTGTTAGGAGAAAGATGCATAAGAACATGTAAAGCAATGCTGAGTACCCCTGGTACTACTAGGAAAGTAGCTCCAATAAGGTATAAGTATAAGGATGTATGGTATAATATATATATAACAATGCAATGATCAGTATGCATTGTGGTTGTTTGTTGAGCAGCAGCAGCAGCAGATCTAAGCTACACAACGCGTCGCCTCACTGTCAAAAGAAAAGAGGAAAAAAGCCTTTTGTGTGCATCCTTTTTTTAGAACGCGTCCGCAAGAACATTTACGTTTAATAAAGGAAAATAGAAAAAAGAAAAAGGAAAAGAAAAAAAAAAAAAAAAAAAAAAAAAAAAGGCTGGTCCAGGTTTCCGCTAAAAAGAAAAGAGTTACATGCATAAAAGGATCCATCCAGACTCAATGATGCTAAACTATTATTAATAATAAAGGGTGGTGTTGTTACGTGTTTTTTTTTATATTTATTTATACATTGTAAATGAATGTTTTCATTGAAGAGAGAAAGAATAAGTGGCGTGGTTGTAACGGATAAAGGAAGTGTCTCATCATGATTAAAAAGAAAAGGGTTATTAGATAAAATATATACATTTTTTTTTTTTCTAAACAAAAATGAAATGAAAATGGATTACAAACACGAATTTGAATTTTATTTTGAATGAAGGAAAAGTTATGCAGTATTATCAAACCATTAGAGGAAAAGAAGGTGTAAAGAGAAAGTTACATCTATCCCTTTTTCTTTCCCTTACTGGCATTTGTTCTGTAATGTTGGGCAGTGAAGTTTCAACGAGGGCGCATTAGTGAGCCTTCCATTAGAGACAAAATGTGTAAACAACAGCATGAGAAACGCGACCACTTGTTTTTTTTTTGGACAAATGCAGGTTTGCAGGTAAACAAAAAAAACTCTTTTTTTGGTCTTTGTGTGTCACAAACACATAACGGTGCATGCAATGATGACAATCACATCTTGGTCGGACCCCCTTTTGTTTCAGGATTTTGGTTTTGAGTTTTTTTTTTTAGTAACACCAAGTCTATTGAATTTAATTCCTAATTCCTAAATTCTAATTTCTAATTCCTAATTGCATTTTAAAAAAATGTAAACACTGCATGCTTTTGTATATATATATATATTTTTTTTATTTTTTATGTGAGCACCAGAAATTTAGGAGGATGACATGTTTTGTGTGGAGGATGGATTACATGCAGCTTGTTTGCTTATTTAGACATGATCAACCCAGGGAACTTTTTTTTTTTTTTTTTTTTTTTTTTTTTTTTTCTGTACAACAACAAGTTTTATCTATTAATAAACTTTGATCATGGCAACTTTTTTTTATATTATTATTATTATTATCGTTATAATTATTATTCCCTTCACACCCACTTTATTTTTGAATAAAGTATAAGGAGGAATAGATAGTCGACGCACAGTGGCGAGGTAGTTGTTAGACATTAAAGTACGATGCAATAACACTGTAGGTCTTGAATACTTTTTATTTACTGAGCTAAAGATATCGTTTGTGATCAAAAAGGAAAAGCTCCAATGCGCACAACTAAAAAAAGAAAAAAAAGTTTGCAGAAAAGTAAGATAGCATGGGAAAAAAAAAAAATAAAATAAAAAAATAAAAATAAAAATAAAAAAGTGCAGTGTATCTGCACAACAGTCAGAAACAAGAACAAGTGGAGAAAAATGTTATGAACTCGTTTAGAGACATTAGAAACCTTCGGTAGCGAACAAAGCACCCAGTAGATTTGTTCCTTAGGTATGGTCAGTGGGGCATGTCTTGATCTGTTGCTGCTCACTTTTGGAGGTTGCTTTGACCTCTTGTTTTTCAAGAGCATTATTTTTACACTTTGAAAGCACTGCATGAGAAGCATCATAGAGATATGATACGAGGGGACATTCTTACCAACCGAGCACAGTGCTCACTTGCATCCGAATTTTTTTTTTTTTTGCTTTGTTGTCATGTGGCCCATGAGCAGTAACAAACAAATTTATGTGACATCAAAAAAAAAAAAAATTATCAAACAGATGCAACGTGGAGAACTCTAATCTGTGACAAATTCCTTTGTAACAAGGAGTGACAGGGAGGAAGAAATTAAATATGAACAATGGGCGATCGCAATGTTTGATGTTTTATTTTGCGTCCATCCCATGAAATCATGAAATTCTCCTCAAACCCCTAAATAAAAAATCAAATTAATAAAACAAATCCCCTGAAAACTTCATCTTTCCTTTTGTTTCATCTTTCTTTATTATTTTTTTTTTATTTATTTATTTTTTTTATTTGTTTTCACTGCTGCACACAAGAAAAAAAAATTTTTTTTTTTTCCTTTTCTTTCTTCCCGTGTGCAACAAGGCAACAAAACAAATAAAAAAAGTTCAGTCTGAATACAAACATATTCAGTATATTTATACTACATATGTCATACATCTCCTTTTTTTTTTACCAACCCTTGCATGCGCATCTTTCGTCATAGGGAATGTATCTTTTTTTTTTTCCTTCTTTCTTTCTTTGGTTTGTTTAAACTAAAGGAACGAAATAAAATACATAGCAATGAAAGTAATGAAAATATCAAGGACAAAAGGCATGTTATTGTAATACGGCATGCATAGCCATTATGCAGTGGAGCAGCGGGCAAAATAAAATTGGTTTGTTCAATTGACCCAACGCGTCGGACGCGCAACCCTAGTCCCTTCTGTCTTTTTTTTTTTTTTTTTTTTTTTTTTGTCATCTTCGGCAACGAAAAAGAAAGTAAAAAAAAAAAAAAAAAAAAAAGTGTCATCAAAAGTATAGTCATTCAACCCCGTTTGCCCTAATTCTAACCAGGTTGGATGGGGATCTCTTTATCTCTCTATCTCTTACATACACACACCCACACACCTTAAAGTTACTGCCGTTTTTCCACTACAATAAAAAAAAGAGTTTGTCGTGGGTACTACTTTGACATATACAGTTAACGATGTTTTTTCCTTTCTCTGTTGTTACAGGTGGAACATTAACAGAAAGGTTCTTTGTTCTCCCGAAAGTTCACATCCGATACTGTTTAAAGAAACACTAATTCTCATCAATCGCACACTGTACGGTACGTACACTCCTCTTTTCTTCTAAAATAGATAAGCTGTGGTGCTCATACTTTCTTTAGCTCGTTCAACGTCCAGTGAACGCTCTTCTAGTAATTTACACTTTTTTGTAGAAAATAAAAAAAAATCGGGGTATCGGGTGTCGTATCAGCGACTCTGTAGATTACCACTCACCTGTCGTCTTCCTTGAACAGGTCGCTAGCAATCAATTGCTTCCAATGAAACGAAAGGAAAAAATAAAAAATAAAAAAGAAAGGTGGAGGTTGTTCTATTTTTACCAACAACTCTACTCTCGAAAACGCTTTGGCATTTGGCATTTACGGCCTATGAAAAAAAAAAAAAAAAAAAAAAAAAAAGATAATCGGCAACAACAAATAACAACAAACAGTTTAGTATATATCGTTTTTATATATATAATACAATAAATTTCTTTAGCTTAGACTAATGGTTTTAAATTTATTCAATACAAATCAATTTTAATCTCTTACAAGTTAGGGTGCTGTGCAAATAAAAAAAAATATAATAAAGAAAAAATATATAATTAAAATGCCACATTTACACATACTCTGTCAAGCAATCAAGCAAGCAAGTAAGCAAGCAAGACTAAAATGAAAAATAGAAAAACGCACCAGGCAGGTGTATATATATATTATATATATATAATATTGTATTGTTTTATTATATATATATTATAATGCACGTACGAGAATAGATAGGAGTCTGATTAAAGAAAGGAACAAGAACGTGAAGCCTAGTACGACAATGTCAACAAAAAGAACAATGAACAATGCAATGGACAAAGAGATGTTAGTATGTTTTTTGCTGTACCATTGGCTGTATGTAACATTTCCGCTTTGTGTTGCAACTTTTTTTTATTTTTTATTTTTTATTTTTTATTTTTTGTTCTGATCAAATGTATACATGGATTAGAGGATCTAAACCGATTGACATGAGGGAAGAAGTAAAAAAAAACAAAAAATTAAACATGCTTTGATGGACTTGCAGCTGAAGTAAAAAAGGATAGGGTTATTTCCGAGAAAATGATTGTCAAATGTCCTCCACCCCTCTTCGCTCGAGAGAGAGATGAACGCAAGGCCGAAAGTGATGAAGCCATACGTATTGTTGTGGGATGTAGCTGCAAGAACAGAAAAAAAAAAATTTTTTTTTTCTCATTGTCAACTGACTAAGGGGGTGGTGGGAAGAACGAAAACGGCTAGGTTAGGTTCACAGGGAGAAAGTAGACTAGAATGGTATTTTTTTTTGTTGTCCTGGGAGGGCGAGGAATAAGGGCGACCCAAGCGCACAACAAGATTTTTTTTTTTTTGTGAGCACTCGCTGCATTTTTCTTGTCCCGCTTTGTATTCTCCTGTGCTTGATAAACAAGCCTACGTATCATGACTGTGCTATTGTCAAGTGAACAGTAGACAAAGAACAAAGGAACCAATGTAGGAAAAAAGGTTGCAGTCAATTAAACTCCTCTGGCAAGTAAGAGCAGGGGTTAATGGAGAATCTAATTGAATGGGAGGACTTTGGTTGGCTGCTTTTGTTGTTTGTGCACTTTTTTCTTCTTCTTTTCTTTCTTTCACAACAAAAAAAAAAAAAAAAAAAAAAACATGGGTAAACGGAGTGGACGAAATAGAAGCCCATCGATTATTGGAAGGCTCAAGTAGAAACTAAACCACTCTTTTACTTTTTCTTTTTTTTTTTTTTTTTTTTTTTTAAAAAAAAAAAAAAAAAAAAAGAGTGTATTGTTAGTCAGTCACCAACCAGGTTAAACAAGCAGTCTAGCTCGTGTACTTTTACATGTACCTGCCACAGCACTCGAAGCTTTTGCAGTTGAACAAAAAAGTTTTCTTGTGTAGCGTTCATAAGAAGGAAAAAAAAAAAAAAAAAAAAAAAGATATCCCAATTCAATCGATATTATAATTCTTATACCCCTGCATGTTCACATTCCACTCAATCCTCCATCTCTTTTTTTTTTTTTTTTTTTTTTTTGTTTTATGGCTCTCATTTTTCTTTGTTTTGCTGTTTCGTCCATCCGAGTCTGGGTGGTTCTGAGCACAACATTGAACACAAACAAAAGTTGCAACAACATCAACAAAAAAAAATCCGCCCATCGTTTTTTTTTTTTTATTTGACAAAAGTAAAAAATTATTATAAAATGTAAAATGTAAAATGTAAAATGTAAAATGTAAAATGTAATCAATAAAATCCAATCAATAAAGTAAAGTAAAATAGAATATGTAACAAATAAATCAAGGCACATGCACACACTAGGTACATGTAAGAAGTAAAAAAGAGAATAATCAATATTTTATTTCGTATTATATTATACAATTATATTATACAATATTTTAGCATTGCACGAGTTGGACCGTGATCATCGGCCAATCGATGCACATCTTGCATAGACTGAGTAAAATAAGAAAGAGCTCAAGCCAGGTTATGTGTGTTATGTGCTTGTCTTATGTGTTTGAATACTTTATTTTATTCTCCTGCCGCACCGTCCTCTAATGGTTGTATAAATATGCACCCTTGTAGGCCAAAGATCCCACTTATTTTCTTCTTTTCTCTCACTTTTCTCCTCACTGCCTCTGCTTCTCCATTCTTTCATTGTCTTTCTAGTATTTTTATTTTCTTTGCTTGTCTTTTCATTGTTCATCTAGCATTACGATTTTTTTTTTCTTTTTCTTTTTTTCTTGTACCTACTATTCTTTGTTATATATAAATCTTGCACTATTCTTTTTTTGTTCAATATACTTACGACTCAAACTCCACACTCTTTTTTTTTTTTTTTTCTTTTTTCCTCTTTTTCTTTTATCTCGAATAACCACGTTTTCTCTTACATATTTTCTACATTCCTCTCTTGATTTTTACATATCCACGCTACATCCATCACGCATCTTTTTTTTCTTTTTTCTATACATATTGTATTCTTTTTATCCATCATGACTTTGACTTGGATCCCTAGCAACGCTGCTCCCTCAACTTTCACAATGATCCCTGCTCACATGCCATCATCAAAACTCTTTACTGCTCCTTCTGCAACCGAGCAAATCCTCACAGCACCAGAATTGCGCTCCATGGGCGGAAATGATCTTGAAAACAATGCCGTTGCAGGTTGCTTCTCCACAGGTGTTCTCCTCCACACATCTAATGATTATAGCAATAACTACATGCAACGCGATGCACAATATCATATCACAGCTCCTCATCCCCATATGCAATATACTCAAAATCAATACTACCGTCACTCCTACCAGGCCACCACGCCCCACCAGCAAGGACTCGATGCCTCTCGCTACATGTATATGACTAATGAGCTGGACCAGGTGATCAATTCCGCCATCGAAATGTCGGCCTCTGCTCGCGGCATCCCCCCTCCTTTCCGGACGAGGAGGACTCTGAGCATGGAAGTGCCTTCAACCGCCTCCATGTCTATGAGCGAATCATACTCCTATGGTAGTTTCTACGGCAATGGTGAGATCTCTGCTCACTCCTTGCCTTGCAGTCCCTCTCCATCATCCCTCGATGCCTCCCCAGTCTGCCAAGCGACCGAGCCAGAGTCCATGCCTAGTTTGATGGTCGATGGTCACCCTCATCCATTCTTCGTACCCATGCATGCCTCGGCCATGGCATCCTCTCCCATCATCAAGACTGAGAATGTTAGCGTAAACAGCTCCCCATCACTCTCGGCTTCCTCCACACCTTCGCCTTCAATGGCTTTCTCTGCATCGTTCTCATCTACGTTCTCATCCCCCTCGTTCTCTCCCGCTTCCGATTGCACCTCGCCCTCCATGCCCTCCAACACAATGAAGGCCCAAAAGATCAAACGTAAGCGTTTCTCGACCGATAGCGTAGCTTCGTGCTCCTCAGTCGAAAGCCAGCAAGAAGTCTCTTCACCAAAGGCCAAGACCGGTTCTTCAGGCATAATCAAAAAGCCCAAACAGCGCTATGTTTGCCACGTTCCCAACTGCAACCGCACCTTCAGCCGTCCTTATAACCTAAAGTCCCATGGTCTCACACACGATGCACACCGTCCACATGCCTGTGCGAAATGTTCAAAGACGTTTGCGCGCATTCACGATCGTGACCGCCACATGAACAGCCACATGACCGAGAAGCCCCACGAATGTATTGTGTGCTTGGGCCGATTTGGTCGACAAGATGCAGTGATCCGACACTTGAAGTTGTCGAACGAGACTAACGCTTGTTCATGGATCCTGAAGGCACACAATATCTCCTTCAGAGATGCAGCTGCCGGTCGTGTCACTCGCGAGGCTTTGGGTGAGGAGAGCAAGATTCGAGAGACACTTGAAGCTTTGGAGGAACATGCACGAAAGGCGAGAGCTACAAGGACATTGGAGTTGATGAGCGCCGCCCTACCTGCCACCTTCTTTCCCACTCCTACCACTCCTCCTGTTTTCAATATGGAGCGTAGCTAAAAAAAAACAAAAAAAAAACCAAGCAAGTTTTGAAGTCAAAAAAAAAAAAGTGAAAAATAATATTTTAGAAAAAAAAAATCAATATTTAGTGTAAATATAATACCCCATAGTAATTCAAAATAACTAAAGACCATTTTAAATACATGCGTATAATTTTGTTTAATTGTTGACTGATATTTTTTAAAAAAAAATCGGGTGTTCAATAATAATTGTTGAGGGATATAAAAAAAAACTCGTGTGTGTTCACAGAGACAACCCCCTTTCTCACAGGGGTCTCAAAAGGTCTCACAGTGACTGGTGAATTATTTCGTAAGCCACATTTTATTAGCCCAAGCTGAAAAAATAAAAATAAAATAAAATGTCCCAGAGTAGTCTTGAGTGGATGCATTCTTTTTTCTCTTCCAACTAAAAAAAAAAAAAACATACAAACGTATTTACAATGGAGGACGATTACGAAGGAGAGGATTACAATGATGGATACCCGTACGTTTATCATGAAGGAGAGATGGGGAGAAAAATTCCTAGTTGGTTTGAATGACTGGAGCATAGTGATGTTGACTCTGACTCACTAATTATTGACTTTTTTTTTTTTTTTTTTTTTTTCCTGTTTAGCATGGAGCCTGAGGAGGAAGAACCTGAAGAGATGGAGCCAGAGCTCATGGAAGAAGAGTTTGATGCAAATGTATGTATTTAACGTTTCTTTTTTTTTTTTTTTTTTTTTTTTTTTTTCCTCTCTTCGTACTACTGAAGCGCAGCAGTTAACAAAAAGATTCTAACTTCAATTGTTTTACTTGTTCTAAATGTTTTACAGGGTAATGTTATTCCAAGGAAAGATAAAGTTGACATCGGAAAACCCACAAACTTTGCACTGCCTCCAAAGGCTGTTGCCAAAGAAGATCGTACCACTACTCCTTACATGACCAAGTATGAACGAGCAAGAGTTTTAGGTGCTCGTGCACTTCAGATCAGGTAATAATAATAATAATAAAAAAGAAAAGAAGCATAATAAAGACGAAAGCACATTGATATATCAATGATTAGTATTTATATTTTTTAATTTAACTCTTTTTTTTTTTTTTTCTTTTTTGCCTTGTTTAGTATGAATGCACCAGTCCTTGTAGATCTGGAGGGCGAAACTGACTCGCTCAACATTGCTATGAAGGAGCTCAACAACAAGATGATCCCTTTGGTCGTTAGAAGATACCTGCCTGACAACACATACGAGGATTGGGAAGTCTCTGAAATGATTTTGCCATAAAAAAAAATCGAAGGAAGGGAGAGTCAAACAAGACAGATATTACTACCGTTTTTTTTTTTTTCTTTTGCGCACTATTATAAACTACATCTACAAAATAAAAACTATTAAAAAAAAGCAAAAAAAAAAAAAAAAAAAACTGAGCTTGATTCTCCAAGTGGAGGCGAATTGCGCGGTAGAAATCTTTGGTCATGTGACTTTAACTACTACTAGAGTCCTTGTCAGTGATGCTCTTTCATTATTGTCTTTTTCATTTCATTTGTTGTAATACGCCACCACATTTTATTCAAAAAAAAAGACATCATTGAAGTATGAGCTTAACATGGGAAGCAGGGGAGGCTGTCTCAATACAGGCGCCGGCTCAATTTAAGAAGCGACCTGGAACACTCTACCTGACCAACCGACGATTGGTATGGGTTCCTCAAGGCGGATTAGCTCCAACAGTGTCTGTAAAGCACGATGATATCAAAGGTGCGAGGAGAATAAAAGAAAAGAGAACAATAAAAAGCGTTAGTACTTCCACAACACCATGCTAAAGTAATCAACTGGAAGAGCTGTCAAAAATTTAGTTTACGACTATGGTTTCATGTAACTTTTTTTTTTTTTTTTCTTTTTTTTAAAAATGTAGGGTTATATGTAAATGCGGAAGGTTCTCAGAAAGTCATGGTTAAAATTGTGGAGATGAGGCCCGACACTAGCCATGGCTTTGTATTTACATCTGGAAACGCTATGAAGGAGCGTAATGATTTTAAAGAGGGCATTTCTGCTGTTCTTGCAGAACGGCAACTTCGCGCCAATGCTAGCGCCGCAGGAACACCAGCAGCTACGGCAGTATCTTCTCCAGCAGCAGGATCGCCTTCCATCTCGGATTCTGGCAGTGCTCCCGGAACGCCCAAGCCATCCGCACAATCACGGATTGGTTCAAGTGGTGGGCCAGTTCGGAAAGGTCTGAATGGGTCAGGTCCGACAGCAGAGCTCAAAATTCGATTTGAATTGCTCAAACAAAATAAAGATTTGGCGAACTTGCATAGGGAGCTAGTGATGGGTAAACATGTATCAGAGGAAGAATTTTGGGAGAGCCGTAAACATTTACTAAGGAATAAGGCAGTGATGGATCAGCAACAGAAAGGTCAATCTTCCGCATGGTTAGACCTGAAACCTGAAACTGGAGAGAGCAATGCCAAGTACATCATGACCCCACAAGTCATCCATTCAGTGTGTCAACAATACCCTTCTAGTAAGTCTTTGCTTTGTGCTGTACTTTGAATACCGTTACAATACTTTAGACATATCTGGATCGCAATGTATTTAACGCAAATATATGTCTGAAAAAAAAAAAAAAAAAAAAAAAAAAAGTCAAACGTGCCTATGACACCTATGTACCAGATAAACTATCAGAAACGGAATTCTGGACACGCTACTTTCAGTCCCGGTTTTTCCACCGTAGTCGTTCAGGACGTGGAGCGAATGAGCCAGATGACGATATTTTCGATAAAGCACTCGAGGAAGATGAAGAAGAAACTAAGAATGCACCAAAGCGGATCAAATTAGACCATATCAATCGACTTGTAGATCTGAGTATGACGGAAGAAGATCATTTTGAATCGTATACGAGTCCAGATAATACAATGGCTGCTGGGAAGACAAAGGAATCAAAAGAAGCCATGCCTCTGATCAGACGCTTCAATCGATATGCACAACGGGTCCTCAATTCGACCGTGGGGCCAAAGAAAACACCAGCAACATCGGAGCCGCTCAATGTATGCCGTGTTGTTGAATGTCCTTTGGCCTTCTATATTAGCCTTATGGTCATTAGGGGCTTTTTTTTAATGTTAAATCTATTGGTACTGTTATCCTGATTTTCCTCTAGATGAGCGGCGTCGAACGAGCCATTGTGTTAGAGGACCTACAAGAACAAAAAGAGGCGTCACGGATAGTACTCGATATTCAGGACACACGACGCTATTTTGAAAGTCAGGGAGGAGATTTGAAAGGCTCTGAAATCGCAGAAGGACAAGATCCTGCTGATATCATTAAAAGGTGCTATGAAGATTTCGTTAATAATGGAATTGAGCTCAACAAGGTACAAATCATATGCAAAGTTGTTCCATCTACCTCTTGAGCTCGTATAGTTTAGGAATGTCGAGATTTTTATGTCAGAGAGTTAACAATGAGGTCTACGATCGGATTACAGCCTTTTCAAATCCCAGAATCAACGTTCGATACTCTTATGAAAAGCGTCAAAGCCAATCGTGCCAAGATGATGCCTCCAAAGGATGGGTGTAAGTGTACCAGATGTTGATAGTGTTGGCTGTATTTTTCCTTCATATGCTTTAACTTTTATTTTTATTTTTTATTTTTATATATATATATATTATTTAGCGCAATTATTGCCCTCACAACTGTACCAAGAAGCTTTATCGTGTCATGCTGCAGGAAACGAAATTTTACGTCATTTTTGGGCATCTACCGGACCGGAAAAGGCAGCAAAACACTCTCGAATGGTCGAGTCACTGAAGAAAATAAGGGATGAGAATATCAAATCACTCATGATCCAAGCTAGTTCACTTGGTGTCGAGTGTTTAGATGCCATGAAGATGGTAAGCTTCAGAGCCTCTGTTGTTTCAAACAATAGCTAGCATTTGTCTACAATGTTTTCTGACACATATATTTTTCAATCCTTCCTTTTCTTCAAATAGATGTTGAAGCCGATGCAGAATGCCATCCAAAAGGCACTCAAGCATGCTGAGATGACGCGTCCGAAACCTGCAGCAACACGAAAGCTAGCATATACACCATAAGCTTTTGGAATCCGATAAAAATTATAAATGTACAATACAATAAACAATAAATAAAGTTTCGTTTGTTTTCTATGATTGTTTAGTTTTTATGCAGTGTCTGGCTTTTAGTAAAGTTTAAGCTTCCCTGTCACACTATTGACGCGACTGACGGGGCCTGGGCCGATTGCGAGTACGGTCATTGATCCAGCCGCGATCTGCGTCCTTCCAGCATCTCGAATACAATTTGCAGCCAATCCAATACTCCGTGCTTGAGCCCGAAGCTGCACCATCTCCTCCTCACTGTCAATCTTGAGGGTGACCTTTGCCTGCCCGCGTGCCTCCCAAGCCCTCAATGTCATGGGGCTCGTCCTTAGCAGATCTTTATAATTGGCAAGCGTGGCATGACAGCATTGTGCGGCAGCCTTGCCTTTACCCATGCCCAAATCTGATCTTATAACCAAAACCATCTTATACTCTTCCCTCGTGTCAAAGTCGATAAGATAGCTCTTATCGTCGTCTTCGTCTTCGTCTTCCTCGTCGTATTCCGAAGAGTCGTCATCATCCTCGTCCTCGACCTCATCCTCATCCTCATCCTTATCCCCGATCTCATTCACTTTAGAGGCCTCATTGAGAAGTCCTGATTGTTTCTTCTTTTCCTTGCCTTTGACAGAGGTGTCGGGGGATTTACTTCGTTTTTTCTAAATTGTTGTACATTATATCAATGTATCATGGATCATGCAACCTGGTGTTGAGCAACTTGGAAAGAATAAAAATAATTTCAGGTACAAACTTTCTTTTTTTAAATGAATTACTAAATATTCTCTTACGAATGCAGTTTGAGAAATTAAGAAGCCTGTCAAGAGGCTAATGGCGCCAGTAGAGAGGACCTGTCCGAGAGTGAAGGTCTTTTCCATGAGATCTGAGGAAAGAGAGAGAAGAAAGAGAGACAAAGACAGAGTGAGGTTTCAATGGGCCAGTCTTTCCCCGGCCCGCAGCAATGCCATAACAAGCCACACGACCCATTTTTTTTATGATACTGAGACTAGTAGGGCATTAGTTGGAGTTGAACCACACAAAACACGCACAGTCCAAAAAAAAAAAAAAGGCAAAAGAGACCCCTCCTTTTTTTTTTTCATTCGATCTCTCTCATCACCACCACACAGCAGACTCATCAGAAATAAAAATAAAAAACTCTATTACAACAGAGTAACACTTTTGGGGAAGAAAGGAAAAAAAAAAAAAAACAAAGACAACCAACACAAAACGTTCATCTCTTTTAACAGCCACCATCTTTATGAGTAGCGCAGCGAACGCCAAGGTAATTTTCTAATGGCTTATTTAATGCCTCAAAAGATGTATTGTTATATCGGCTTTTTCTTCTGTCTCTTTACTCATTGTATGAAAGGAAGAAAAGAGGAATAGAGCATGAAGATGTCCTCGTAACACTGAATGCTGATCATGTAGCATTGTGTGAAGACAAGATGAGTTTATTGAAGGAAAAAAAAAAAAAAAAAAAAAAAAAAAGCCATCGTTTGCAAACATCAACAAGATCGCGACTTGGAGTGTCGATATAATCGGCTTAGAAGCAAAGAGCTTGTATCGTATACTCCATTTAAGGTCGTCAAGTACATGCGCGTGACATTTTTTTGTATTACCATTTCCTGATTTCCTTTTTCACAGTGTATCTTCTGTTCTTGATATAATTCCTCTGTGTTGCATCATCCTTGGTTATCTGTTAAGCTACCAAGTCTGTTCATGTGCTCGGGCCTTTGCGTTCTATTTTTTTTTTCCTCTCACTCTTGTCTTGAAATGCTGTTGGTTGCGCGTGTGTACTTTGTGTGAACAAATTGTGTGCTCAGTGTTATACGTACTGTACTGAACATGGTCCAATTACTCTTGGATTGGAAGAGAGAGGCCAATTTATCATTATCATCATTATTATTGCGATAGTTGAGAATGAAATCGACTAACTTTTTTACTTTTTCTTTTTTTTTTTATAAAAATTCTAGCCCGTCCTTCAAGGTGTCAAGATCAGACCTCGCAAGGTAACAATGACCTACCTAAAGCCATGATCTTAATTAGCGCATTTTATGGATTTGTCCTATGCGATTAGTGTGCTACACGAATTTTGTTATATTAGGCCTTGATACTCACGCAACATTTGTTCTTGACTTTACACATTCTAGGGTGTTCAAAAGGCCACAGCCAAATTCGAGCCCACTGGTAAGTGAGATTAGAAAAATAGCAGAAAGAAAGGGATACAGGTGTTGGATACCCATATATCCTAGACCAATGATAAGTCTAGACGACGATGCCCGCAACAAAGTAGACTGGATGAAGAAAATACCACTAATCAGATGCCTCTCCTTCTGCAAATCTTGACATTCAATTGACGTACAAATCCTATAGTTTTCCGTGACGCATTCATTAGCGTTATCTCGTCCGCTACTCCAGGCAACCTTGACGATCTCTCTACAAAATTGGATGCTGCTGGCAACAATCTTGAGTATAGACGCTACGCTGAGACTCTTTTTGAACTCTTAATCACCGGCCGTCTCCTCGGTAAAATTTTTTTTTTCTTCATTTCATTTATCGAACTCGTCATTTGTGTAGTGTAACTTTTAGAGCTGATCTGTTTACTAATGTTTTGTTTGTTTACTTTAATAATAAACATAACAGCTCCCGGTGGAACTTTTCTCGAGGATGGAACTCCCGCTAGCCCATTCAGCATCTTCCAGGCTCAAGATGATCTTGCTAGCATCAGAAAATACGTGGATGTTTTCCACAAGCTCATGCGCCGCTACAAGTATTTGCAGCGCGGTTTTGAGGATACCTTGACGAACTTGCTCCAATACATCAACAAGTTTTCCCCTGAGGATACCAACAAACTTGCCATGGCCACTGGACTCTTCTGCGCTTCAGGACTTGCCTCTCTGACTGTCTTGACGGTTTTATTCAAGGAGCACTTGGTTAAAGAGGGTAAGCATCATTCATGAATTTACCAAAGCTGTAACCTACTGATCGCTCTACTATTATTTAGAGTCTAATATCCCACATTCAACGTTTTTTTTTTTTTTTTTTTAATAAAAAAAAAGGCCTTTCCCTTCAGTTTGTCACAACTGTCTTCAAGATTTATTTGATCGACCAATCTGTTGATCAGTTTGGTCTCAATCTTTATAAGGTTGGAATGAGCGATCGTCTTTTGGACTTCTTCCCTCCTAATAAGCGTGACGAGGACAGCTTCGCTCGTCATTTTGAGGCCGAGGATATGAAGCAACTCGTTGTCTACCAAAACAAGAAGCAGCTCGTCTTGCGCAAAGAGAGCATCATCGAGAATGTCAAGACTTTCCTGGAAGAGGGCAAGACTGCGGAGGTATTTATACCTTTCTCTTTTTCCCATCAGCACCTATTTTACAGCAGATTAGCACTATTATGAGTTCTAAACTGTTTACCTTTTGTTTATATCAAAAATAGTGCATGACTTTCCTCAAGGCTCAAAGCAAAGAAAGTGGCTTGTCTGAGCCTGAGTTCATCCCCTTGATCTGGACTGGTATTATGGCTTCAGTCGATTGGGGAACGCGTATGGATCAAATCGATGGTCAGATTGTGAAGCAGGTGCAGCAGTATAGCAAATTATTGGGAGCTTTCTGCACCTCACCCAAGACTGAGATTGCATTGTTGCAACATATCCAGGTGAACTTTTACGAAGATGCTCGTTTTATTAAGCAGTTCCGCGCTGTGACTCAGCGTTTGTACAACAATGACGTTCTCTCAGAGAGCGCGATCTTGTACTGGGCGGAGAAGGGAGTTAAGCCTCAAGGAAAAACTGTTTTTATGAAGCAGATGGAGCCCTTCATCCACTGGCTCAAGAATGCAAGTGATGAAGAGGACTCTGAGGAGGAAGAGTAAAACAAAAACAAAAAAAGGGTTTTTTTGACACAGATGCATCCAAACCACATATTCACGGACACACAGGCGCACATTAGTGCGAATATCTTATTTTGAAAAAAAGAAACTAAAATAAAAGAGGGTTCGTTTTGTAACATATTCTTACATACAGACTACACTTTTGAGTTGATGCATAATAAAACTAAAGAGCACACACATTTATATCTATTCTGAATGGTCCCTGGACTTCGATAAACTTGGTAAAGTATCAATTATCAACTGCCAAATGAGAACTGTATGCAAAACATCTTGACCGAAATGTCGGGTTGATCTACTGGCTAGATTTTCGTGATGATGATGGTGCTCGTGCGTCAAGAAGGAGAAATATGATCGAGAAATTTTTTTTAAACTGGCAGTGGTGGCCTTGTTCTACAGATTGCAAGGGGTTCCTCCAAAAAAACTCCAGCTCAACTGCTGTGTCCATCTGTTTTATTGGAACTGTAACATTAAAGGCAACTAGGGCTTGATTTCCGTCCATGTTGCATGAAAAAAATTAGGGTCTAATTGGCCGTTTTTTTAATTTTTGTGGACATGAACATGCCCAACGCTGCATGCTGCATCAACTTTGTTCTCTGTGCTCAAAAAAAAAAAAAAAAGCCCAGAAATGTTTTCTCTGCTTTCTTTGTTTTCTGTGACCAATAAAGTGCCCATGCATGCATGCACTTAAACAATTTTGCAGCCCTACATGTCACATCGAGGGTCGTCATCAATCAGCATTTTTTTAATTATTTGCCCTCATTTTTTTTATTCCTCTCTCTTATCTTCCCATTTTTATTTTATTTTATTTTTTTTATTTTTTTTATTTTTTTTTCTTCCTTCGCAAATGGCAGCATAGAGCTTGTCTTTAATTCTTCCTTTTGTCTTCCCTATCATCATTTTTTTTTTTTTTTTTTTTTTTTTGTCGTCCATTCTTCGATCCTGCCGCCCAAACTTTAAGATCGAAGCTGTATATACTCACTCATCCTTTCGAGAAAAAAAAAATAATAAAATAAAAAAGACATTGACGCTATACTTGACATATATCAACAGCTTCATCGCGTTCATTGTATTCTATTTCCTATTTTTCCTTCCTTTCTTAATTCAAAAAAAAAAAAAAAAAAAAAAAAAAAAAAAAATCATGCCCCGGAGAAACTCCATTACGGCCTCTCTGGACTCTACACAATCGAGGCCAATGCCAGCTATCAAACTGATTCCCGACCTCGAGCTCAGCATTGGTCATAATGTCTCTATCATGTTCTTCAACTGTTGCAAATTCGTCTGGACCTGTATAACGTTTACAATCTCTGTGGAGCTGATCAAGTCCTTAACTTCCCGTCGAATTATACACCAGTCCGGCTTGATAGATGCATTGATGCTTCTGTTGGGGGTCCAGAGTTTTTGTATTCTGGTGTTTATCATTTGGGGTCCATGTTATCTATATCTGGGTCATTTAAAGGACGTGGGTTCAACCCTCAAGATGCCATTACTCACTTTTCGATATGTCCAAGAAGCGAAGAGTAGACATGGATTGACAACTTTGATTGAAAAGAACAACAAGGACAAAGCAGAGGATGAGAATAAAGACAGGGCCAGGAACAGAAACAAGGTGGAGACGAGAGCGGGGGATTGGGATAACGAGGCAATCGAGCTGTTCCAATGTAAAGCTTCAGATAGAGTACGTAATTCAGCCAAGAAAAGAGAAGAGAAGAGAGAAGGAGATAAAGGTACCAACCATACTGCACAAGAGACCGCAGCCAGCTCACACAATGTCGTTGTCTTCCAGGACCAAGTCATGAGATCCATTGCGCAACAAGCACATCTGACGAATTTGAAGTACCCAAATGTAGTGACTGAGGTTACTTTGGCAGTTTTTGTTCATTTGGTGGCAATGGCGTTTTTTTCAATATTCCCTATCAGTAGTATTCATTCATTTCAGCGAGGAGTCGAGGTTTTAAATGAAATGATCTTGGCCAATAGCACGAGCTATAAGAATCATTTGCCGCTGCAGACATTCTCGGATATATGGGATTGCAAAAATATCAAGTCATTGCCCACGGAGATGACGGACATACTGGCAAACACTTCAGTGTGGATCAAGGGCGATAATGCATGTAGACTTCACCGATTAGCTGTAGGACTCGGTATCGTAGATCTGCTAATGATCACAATTGAAAGCATTGTCTGTCTTTCATGCCTCGTGGTGTTGATTTGGTATAACCCACGGATTGTGGCCTGGCGTGCAAAGCGAATTAGGAAACAGGCTCGAAAAACGTGCTCAGATGAGGAAGTGGACGCAGCGCCGGCAACAACGATGGAAGATGCGAGCGACAATGGCGTCGGTATTGGCGCTAGTGTTGACAGGCGATATTAAGGCCCATCGCTTAGAGAATATTGATGTTGTATAATAAGATTGATAGATGAAAATTATAATAACAATAACAACAACAACTCAACAATTCGACAACCCCTCTGTCATCAGCAAAAACAGAAATCATCGTGTAGCTCTAGGTTTACCAGAACATATACCTCAGCAGCACCAAGTGTTATTCCAACCACCTTTGTGATCAGCTACCTGGATATCCTACTTCTGCTTCTTACTCCGCTGGTTCTCAGCCTACTGATGATCAACAAGAGTAGCGGTGGTATTAAGTATTGTAGCGATTGTAGCCGCCTTTGTAAAATTAGATATAATATATAGACTATAAAACATAATCACATATACATAGCAATAAAGTGTATATTCTGAGCTGAGGTAGAAGCAGTAGGGATAGACAACCCGACACCTTGAAGGCTGTAAAGGAAATTGCTTGATGGACGCTTAATATACAATAGTTTGAAGCTTCTCATCGACAGAATATGGCTGAAGAAACTTCGTGCTCAAACATGCTGATTACAACCTTACACGATAAATAAATGGCACGTTAAAGAAGTTGAAAAGTGTTGTTACTTCGTTCTTCATTATGAGATCAAATTCATTTGAGGAGTAACTGTCTCGCGCACTATTTTATTGGTGACACCTTTAAGCTCACTCGTCATTATGGTCCCTATGGAGAAGATGGAATGCTTCTTTATCTCCGCAATGCATTGTGTAGACCCTTTTGCTCCCTTCGTAATGTTTCTTGTCTGAGGCATCCATGAAGGTTGACGTTTTCATCTGTCCCTGTCTCCTTTTGGCTTTGTAAAGCCTTAAGTTATTTGCACTTCCGCCAAGTAGCTGTTAACCATGAGTCCTTTATTAGGCATGGGCTAAACACCTTCGACATCTTGTTGAGGTATCAAGTCTACATGGCTCTTTTTTTTTTTTTTTTTTTTTTTTTTAGTACTACGATCTTATAAGCGCCTTGTCTGCAACATAAAAAGGGGTCAATAAAGGCAATAGGATTGGCTTAAACGCATTGGAGAGAACGAGGTGAAGGTAAAAAGGAGTATGATGGAGGAAGAGAGATATTATTGTGGAGAGAAAAGGTTTGTAGCCTTCAATGAGCTCGGTATCACAGTGGCTGTCACGAATATTAGCTAAAGGTTTACCTTTTATAGATTCTTTCGCTTTTTTTTTTTTTTTTCTTCTCTGCTGGACATGGCTACTGATTGGGATCCTTCATGCGATTATGACTCGCAAACGTTTTCAGAAGATTACAATTTACATGGTGCTTCTGCAAGATCATTAGATCATCCCAGTGTAACTCGCGATGAAATCTATTACGGCCGCTTGAATCTAAAGGATGGTCATAATAACCGAGACGACCTCGACGACACCAGTAGTAGCATCGATAATGCGGACTTGGACTTGATCGCAGATATTGTTGATGGCAAGCCTCCACACCAGAATAACACAGATAAAAGACAGCTGAGGTCTCTGGCTGCCGGTAGTACCACGGGAGTCGTTCATCAAACTGATGATAATTCAGGTACTCCATAGTTTTTTTTTTTTTTTTTTTTTTTTTTTTTTTATCTCAATGGGCGATCGATGGCATTGTATTGAGCTTAGTACCTGAACCCAATTCATATTAGTCGCTTCCATTATGAGATACCTACATGAAGGGTCTCAAGAGGCTATAGGATATCAAGAATCACCCAACTTTGTCCCCGCTCGGTACCGTCATTCAATGTTGGATCAACAAACAGGATTTATGGGCGATGTCAATGAAGACCATTTTGGAGAGTGGCCAAACAGGAACGCTCCAGCGCATCAGCAGGTCAAGCATGCTGTAGGTGTTCTTTCTTTGCTTGTCGACGTTGTTTGTTTCTGTGACATAGGCAATGTAGCCACAACAGCACTGGCACTGAGGTATCTCTCGTTTCAATTATCAGAGTCAAAAAGCCATGCCAAAGCTATCACCCATGCTCAAGCGAACACTGATCCCTATGCGGCAGCCTTCTGAAGGTATGCCGAACCAACCAAAAACTACAAAAACTGTTTCAATGCAAGGTGAGTTTTGATTTATCATCTTGTGTACTTTACTAGAAAAGGCGGAGATCCTTATTTCTCATGTGATATTTGGTATTTGATTTTTGTATCCCCAGAGGCCGTTAAAGCCAGAGTGTCAAGGATCGTCCCCCCAATGAAGAGAGGATCAGCGTCAACATTAACATCAATACCATTACCACAATTGAATCCATCAAAGATAAAAAGTACATCCACTACAGTCACAGAGACAACACCTCCATTGAAACCGATCTTTCGATCAGCAATGAAGGCTTCAAATAACGCCCACAATGTCCATGGCGACCAACCTGCAAGGAGCAAATTGGGCCGACATATCCAATTGCCGACTGAGACCCTTAGTGACAATGATGATCATAGCGATAAAGATCAGGACGAATCGGAGCGGGAAGCTGAAATAGAACAATCTGATCCTGAACATGATAGCAATAGTGACAGCGAAAACCATTCATTCGAGCAGCGTCAGGAGCAAGAGCAGGAGCAGGAGCAGGAGCAGGAGCAGGAGCAGGAGCAGATTGAGAATGAACGTGCTGTACATCTACAAGAAGCAGAAGAGCCAAAAGCGGCGGAGCAATTACAAACCAATAATGATCCTGTTTCAGTGGTTCGGTCCGTCCCTGGACCATCGAGGTTTACGCGCATAACAAAGACTAATTCACCGGTTAAAAAGCAGCATGCCACTATACCCACTCCACAAGACGAAAAAACTGAGGTGGAAAATGTTCAAATAAGAGGGGCAAATTGTCATGAATCTCCTTATTGCTTGAGGTCCTGTAAGTCTATCCATTAACTTTTTTTTCTTTTCTTTTCTTTTCTTTTCTTTTCTTTTCTTTTCTTTTCTTTTCTTTTCTTTTCTTTACAGAAAATTCAAAATACCGTCAAAGAATTGAAGGAAATGCTTAAGAGAGTCGGATTGATGCCGCTTACTTCAACATTAGAGACATCCCTTGATGAGCTTGATGCTAAGCAAATGGAAAGAGGAGGGCTTTGTGAGGCCCTGAACTTGCTGTTGAAATTGGGGCACATGCATGAGAAACAGAAAGAGGTGATTGATCAATTGACGGATCAGATTATTACGGGCGAGTCGGCGCAGCAGCCAGGAGATCCAGATGCCGAGGAGTATATGCAAAACATGGCGCGCGAACTTGAAGATATCAAGGTATTTAGGGGATGACAAGGCTTTTTTTTTTTTTATTTCGTACTATATTTAAAAATTCCAGTGATTACTGGCAGAACTTGGGTTCACGTATTTCTCTGACATTTACATGTAATGATAGTCCGAATTGCGTGAGGCTCAAGAGAGAAATAGAAAGCTTGAGTCTAATACAAAAGAGATGAGCATTGAACTAGAACACTTTCGAAAAGCCAAAGAAGAGAGTATCAGGCAAGCGGCGGTACCAGTACCACAAGCCAAAGCCAAGACAACTGTTGTGGATGCAGAGAGTCAAGTTAGTGGAAATTGGGGTAGCATAGAGGAGCTCTTGTCCCAGCGAGTCATGAGGCACAAGAGCAGCCGCGTCGAGGAGGCAGCGCAGCAGCAGCAGCAACAAGGGCATCGACATTCATCATATATCTTGAGCTCAGCGAAATGGAAAGATCATATTCAGAAAATAGAGCAAGAATTGCAAGCGCTAAAGGCGATTTTAGATCGCCAATCAGAATTAGCTGCCTCATCTGAATCGGAGGCCTTGGAGCAGAAGCTGGATGAGGTACTTTTGGAAAATGTTCGGCTGAAACAAAAGAACAAGGCTCTGATGAAAGACTTTCTTAGTGTTCAGGAAGGAGACTCTGGTAAACAAAAAAAAAAAAAAAAAAAAAGAGGATCCAAGGCTGATATCTTTTTAATATATTAAATGATATTTTACTTTTTTGTCCACGATAGCAGAACATAGAATTCAAGATTCGGGCTACACATCACTTTTGAAGAACATCATGTTAAATTTGGGTGTGGAAAGTCATCAAGACATATTGCCAGCTTTAAGCGAAGTTAAGAGGATTGTGAGGGACCTTCCGAACTTACACCAATTTATTTCTAAAGTTGAGAGGATTATCTGGGAACATGAAATCATGGAGGGAATGGTTAAAATACAAAAGCACCCACGCAGCAATGTAGATGATGCAAATGGGCATTTTGACGCAGAAAAAGGCGGTAGCGGTGAAACAGGAAGGAAAAAAGAACGAGTAAGAGATTGGAAGCCAAAAATCAAGGTTGGAAGGACATGTTCTCAGAGCTACGAAGAAACCTTACAGCGCTTAAAGGAATGGAGCGAACTGTTGGATGTGTTAAATCACGTCGAGTTCGCTGATGGTTCAGATGATACACCTACAACTATACGTCCACCGTCTCGAGGGGAGTAAGCTGTTATGTAAACTAGACTCATTGCAATTCTAGACTATGTAAAACTACTATTTCCTTTTTATTTTATTTTATTTTATTTTTTACCAACAATGTTAATACACAGGATTTTTAAATTTATTGTATTGCAGTGTACATTTTATGTTTATGGTTATGACCAGTTTTCTCCATCGAATCCAGTAAAGCCCTATCAGGGTCAACGAGAATTAGATGTGCAAAAAGAAGTTAGCATTAAAAAGCAATGTCATGTCTCCTATCTACAAACTTTCGTTTTACGGAACAAGGCACTTACTGTAAGCAAAAAAATAGGGAAGAAAGGCTTCTTTTCGATCTGTGAACACCAATTCCATGCAGATGTCAGTCTACCATCGATACAAGATCCTACAGGGTGTAAATATAAAAAGTAAGGTAAACATGTATACAAAAGAAAAGAAAAAAAGAGTGGAATAATCGCACAAAGAAAGGAATAATAAATATATGTGTTCCAATAGATACCTGCAGAGAAAAAGTTATCTGCGCCTGAGCCATCAAAGGCATGACGGAAAAAGTCGCAGACGATGGTCTTTCGGAGATGTGCCACGCCTCCAAAGGTATCGCGGATATAGGTGTAAATCCCTTCATCCTTGGCGATCTCATCAATCTTCTCCAAAGTAAGGATAATGGGGTTCAATATCCTGGCCACCTGGTTGTACTTGTCAATGAACATGAACGCGTTTGGTACATTACTATCACCCAGATGGATTACAGAACTGCCAACCCAGTAACCTGTCTTCTGTTGCGCCTTATGCAGGATAGTATGCATTGCTTTGGAAACTGATGGGCAGCTTTGAAGTCTCTGCAGTCCCTGACCAGTGTCGCGAAGACGGTAGTCATTTTCCAGCATGTCTTTATCAGATAACATCCAAAGATAGAACATTTCATGAGCAATCTCTCGCCATAAATTGAGTGTTTGATTAATGTACCAATACTGTGTCTCATGGTTATGGGTCAATCGAGCACCTTGACGGCCTGATTGGATAGCAAGCGAGAAACCATCCTCAATCGAGGTTGGCTGGAAAAATTGAGTCAAATATTTCAACATCTTATCACAAGGATCGCTATCAGATAATTTAGACGTGAGATGAAGTTAGTGACTAGAGAAGCAAATCATAAAAAAAAAAAATTCCTTTGCTAATATAGTAAATTTACCGGTTGGTCCTCAAGAAGCTGTGATTATCGCCAATGGAGTATAAACAGACTTTAATCTCGTCGGGAGTTAGGTTCTCATTTGCATACTTCCTGCTGAGCGCCTCAATAGCCCGCTCCTTCTTCCTGATTTCCAGTTGGATCTGCTGACGCGACTTACCGTCAGCAATAATTTCCTTAGTGGCATCTGCAACAAGGTCATTCTTCAACAAGTCTAATCCATCTCTCTGCTTTAGATAAGAGTAAACAGTCTTGATGGGAATCACACAGCTGAAGCCAAGAGTGGATTCAATCTCATCCATAGTCGAGTCCATCAATAAATACATAAGCTTTCCGTAAGCGTTACGCATCTTTTCTGGGTTCATGATTTTATGACGACGGCCAATTTCGAAAATGACTTGAAAGAATTCTTCATTCTCTTCAAAGCTCTTATCTGCAAACAGTTCCTGTCCTCTGCGGTAGTCGTTAGCGACTAGTATATTCATGAAGTACAGTCCAGGAATAGAGTGCATGTTACTTGATGTTAATAATAGTATTTATACAGCATCCCGAGATCCATCCATGAATAAGGTTAGTCCTCCTTGACATATCTCCTCTCTTACTCACCGACAAGTCCAGAGATGATAGCACACAAGTCCTTGATCTGATGAATGATACGCTTAGCTTTACTTGTATAAGAAAGGATGTCGACTTTGTCTGTATATTCGCTCACATTCAGGGCAGCCTCAAGTCTAAAGTTTCATTACAATTTGATTAGTTTTGGATCAAGCAGATACGAAAGATGAAATTAAATGGGATGGAACCAAAATTCACAGGAGGAACACAGATGCAACATGGGAAGAATGTTCCGCGACGGAAAATAATAAAAATATCCAAAGTGATCGAATTAACTACGGAATTGTACCGCACTTACAAGCGCAAAAGCTTTCGTTCTGTCAAATCAAGACGCATGGGGATATATTTGGAACGTTCAATAATCCAGTCACCGAATGTGGAGGATCCGCTTGACACAATAACCTTAGATTCTGGTAACTCCAGCAAGGTCTCGTCACTCAAAGAACTACCCTTTGAATTTGAGGTTGACATGCCATTGATTGAAGTGGCAGGTGTAGCAGCGGCCTTGTTGTCGGGTTTAAAGATCTCTTTCTTGATATGGCGAACACGGTTCCCCGTACGGTGAAGCATAGCTGTGTAATTTTTTTAAAAAATCGTTGTGAACGCACGGTTGTATGTTGCATTGTTAACTAAATGAGATCCGAGATGCTCAGAAAATAATTTTCGAATGGTTTAAAAAGTGGCATGGAGCTAATCAGTCGCACAAATGCTTACCATAGCAGACCTCACAAAATTCCTCTGCGCATTGTTCGCATGAGTAAAATGACTCTTGATCCTTGCATTCGACACAGAAGCCCTCGGCAGTAGCCTGAGCTGCAGCCAAGTCCTCATCTATCATCTCCTTTTCTGCTGCGATCGCATCGATTTCTGGCAAGTTGTCATGGCTGTCGAGGTTGTCCTCACGTTGGAGGATCTCCTCAAGACGATGCTTTCGATCTGTCTCGTTGCCCATGAATGTCTATGCGGTGTTAATGTGTTGGGAATATGGGGATAATGCTGAGAGAAAGAGAGAGGAGAGTTTGAATTGAAGGAACAAGGCAAAAGAGGGGTCAATAGCTGAGGGTCTAAGAGTCTGAGACAACATATCTTGCCCCTTAACAATCGATCCAATTAAAATCTATGCACCAAACCTGACGCGTGGCCTACGGATTTTTTTTTATTAGAAGCACACATTCGTATTTATGCCTGTGATGTTCTTTCTTCTTACCTTTTGCAGTCGACTCAGCCCTTTGTATTCAGCTGTAAACAGCTTTCTCCCATGAAACCAAGCTTTTTTCGTTGTCAAACTCACTATCTACACCTATATCCCATTTTCACCATCATCGACTAGAGAAATTCTTCTCGGTAACTCTAACCCATGGAGCATCCTCAGTCCAATTGGATTCCTGTTGACCGCAAGCTGCAGCAAGGGGAGGTACACGGTCAGAAGAGACAGGATCAATCAAGGTAAGCGTTAGATATTTCTTTTTTCCTCTACTATTGATATTAATATATTATTGGAGCACCGACAACCGTCGGACGTGATGTGTATCAGTCCTTGATGCAGGTTGCATTTGTCAAATGTATTGATAGGCCATATTTAACAACTCCGTATCCGCCTTTGAGGCCAATACTAGAGTTCTCAAACAACAATTCAGAGGGACTGAACTACGCGCTCCGAGCAATTTATATCCACTTATATCAAAAGCATTATCTCGATCGCCTTACTCATGCGCTCTACACATGCAAGGGCAATAGTCTCAGCAAGGCTCAGCATGAGATGACCAAAGAGGAACGGGATGATATAGCTTTCAGTAAGAGATATATATAATTGTTTCAATTGAGGAGTTTATTTTATTAGAGGATGTGCAAAAAAAGTGTTCATTCTCCGCTGCTATCACTTGAGGATGATGGAAATATTGAACCATCAGTCCACTTTTCGCTGGGCTATCATTCGTGCAAGCATCATACCCTCATAGTCTTTTTTTTTTTTTTTTTTTTTTTTTTAATACCAATTTACAGCGCGTATGATACGTGTCGCCTTCCCGCATCAAACCGAACTCCAACAGATAATCAGACAAGTGCGAAGCAGCCCAACGGATCTATCACTCATGCTTACTTTCTTAACCGATCCCATGCTGCGGTTTCGGATCTGCATCATTGCACATCTACTGGAAGCTGCTGTATCCATCACTGACGACTCTTGGTATGGAGTCCATCCACGTTCGCTCGGTGAAGAGGAAATGAACTACGTTATGGAAAAACTACGTGACCTTTTCAGAGAATTGTTCCAGCAGCCGCTTGCCCAAACTAGCCTGAGACGTTTCCTCACAGCTGTATTAGAATGGAGTGAAAAGAGGTCGATGAATGATACAGATCAGGAGTCTGGGAACCCTGATCTTCCAGAGATCGTTAAAAGAGTTATTCCTTGTCACGATATTTTGTCGATTGAGTACCGAAACCTGGTCGATGCAAGTAAACGCGACGAGGGCCTCATCTCCGTGGCTAAAAGGTTATACAAGTTCATGATGCTCTCTTTGAGAAATAAGGCTTTTGTAGATGCACCTGACTGGCCCACTGAAGGTAGAATTGTCATTGATAACCTACGGGTCAGGCTTCGTATGGCTCGATACCATGGCCCCTCCCAGCGCCTCATTCGTAATCTGGTGAGCATGGTTCATCAGTTTTGGGAGAGTGGAGGCGCCACTGATACAAGTCTTGCGATCAAACGTACCATAGCCACAGCGATCAGAAAAGCGGTTCGTAGTTCTGGTATTGATTCTGGCGGAAACATTGGAGTGAGCCTGGGAGGATGGGATGTAATGAGCGAGATTGAGCGCCTGATACGGATGATAGGCAAGGATATTGCTTCTATTCCACTTCCTAGCCTGCTTTGGTGCTGTGATGGCTCTGAAGTCTACCTTGACGGGATGGTAATCCAATTCCCACACTTGATGCCAAGCAACATTCATCTTGGCTCATCTATGGAGTTTGACAGGAGAAAAAACAACCTATATCATCAATGGAATTTAAGAATGCAAGTCTCTCTTGCTTAACTGAGCGAATGTCTCCACAATCAAGGATGGTTAGATGATGTAGACTAATACAATTTAAGTTTATTGTTTCTTTTTATTTAATGCTAGCTCTGGTCTTGAAGTTGAAACAAATCGAGTTGCATACTACAGCATCACGAAGACTTCATTCCATAAACGCCTTGCCGATGTTGGTGAGATCAGCTTTATAATCCCTCCAGACAGCCTCGATATTGACCTCAAATTCACATTGGCCCTCCCAGAGATCCAACGAATGGCCACTTCTGCGTATCCCACTACAAGCAAAGGCACTAACAATGCGTCCACCATTAGCAGCGGCATCACATCCAGCCAAAGAACAATGATTAGCGTTAGTACTGCTGACCAACGAGCGCTTAACGCCCAGCTCGGTAGAGGGTCTTCGGAACCTGTCCTTAGGACATTTGAAACTGGACGAGCAACAGCTAGGACAGATACACAAACCAGGGGTGAGGCTGTACAAGGCGTCGCAAACGATGCTAAGACCGTTACTCAAACCATCAAGGATATTCTGTATCCAAACCAGGTATCCTGTGGCCGATTGCGTACAATTGCCAGGAGCTCATATAGGGCCTTTAGTCAGCCAGATCGAGTAGGGATAAACTGGGGCCTTTCAAACGATCATGTCGCATGGGCTCGTCAGCAACGTGCACAGAGCACTGGGGATAGAGCTAGCCCTGTGGCTGTGCAACAGCCCTTAGTAATGCCTGAATATATCTTCACTCCTGCACCAGGCTCTGACAGAGAGAACGAAAGGGAGCGCTACCAGCTCATGAGAGTCAGAGAGTGTAATGTTCATCTGCATCAACTTCACAGTCAGATCCATGAGACAAAGAACCCTCTCCTTCATACATTAGCACATGGGATTGTTGTACGCCAGCTTCGAAAAGCCTTTGAGCAGGCGGTGTGCGAAGCTATTTTTAAGCTAGTTGATGTGATCAACGCTGGTGTTGAGGAGATTATCCAGGTGTCTGAGGAGGAGATCAAGAATCTTCATAATACTCCCACTAATATGGTCCCTGGACACTCAGGAGCAACTCAGATATTCCAAGACAATGAACAACAATCTTCGCATCGTTACCTATCACCACAGCATCAGCCTGCGTCTACCAAAGACACTCCTATCTTTGCAGCTATGCCGCTGATGTCCGGCACCTTTTAAGGTTAATAGACATTTTTTCTGTAACCATTTGATATATCATAGTTTACAATCCAGATTTCATATCGTACATTCTCTTTGTTTTGAGCCTGCCAATGTGAACGTGAATGTTGGTTTGATTATATATTTTACAGGACATGCTATTTAATCTTTGTATGTGTGACTGCTGCTACTTTTTCGAACTGCTACTACTATGAGTTTTTGCATAAATATCACGCTTCGCCCAAAACGTAGGCATCGCAATGGCACGACCATTAGGATACACGCACTTGTCAATGAAGAATCCCCGCAATTTAGATGTAATTAGATCTGTTACTTTGGGTACATCCTCTAGTTTTGTCCTTGCGCCTAACAGGGACTGTACGCCAAACTCTAGATCAAAATCTGGCAGGGTCGATATTGAAATATGCTGCTGTCCATCAATAGTGTTAAACTGCATTGTTATCTGCGGTTGAAAAACAGTGGGCATTAAGATTAATTGGATATTTTTATTTTTATTTTTTTTTATTTTTTATAATTCATTGGATAGTCTTATAATAAAATTAAGTTGCCTTACCGTTGCTTGGAATTTTACAACCGAGAGAACAAGCGATACTGGCAAGGCTGCTATCCTCGGCCGAGGCCAATTGATCAACACAGATGTTTCAATACCCAGCATAATCTGGTCATTAAAATCAATGTCAATTTCTGCTCTCTATTCGAAATGTTCATGAGGAGTGCTTCAATTTAGTCAGATGATGGTTGAGGAATCAAAGAGAAACAAGTAAAAGAAAAAAACATTCAGACTTTGCTATCATCTCTTCGAAACTCTACTATACCACACTGCCCGCTGGTTGATCTGCTGGTCGAATTCTGGCCCTGCTCAAGACAGGAAAGTCTTCGCCCAGGTTTAACTCTGTCACGCGAATGTGCCCCTAATTTGTTTTTTTGTACGAAAAAAAAAAAAAAAAAAAAAAAAAAAAAAAACGTCAATGAGGTTCACAAAGGCACAAAGAACACATAGTAACGGGATAAAAAAGTGTTGCCTTACCACCCAGTCTGGTCGAACTCCCCCATTCAAGGCTTCTGCTAGCGCTTTGATCAGTCTGTTGTTGACTTTAGAGTCATCTCTGTATTGAGCAATCGCCTGTGCTAGTAAAACGCTCATCCAGTCCAATGATTCAGGAGGGTGATCATAAATATCATAAAGAGTTTTATTTAAGATTGTTGTAGTCGACGGCAGTGATGGCTTTGTTGGCGGTGCTGGGATAGACACACCTCTGTTCGAGAATGAGCGAGGCTAAATAATAATGATAATGAAAATAAAAAGAGGTTTGAATTTGGCTGTATACAAATATATTTTCTTATGATTTTGTTTTTGCATTGAATATCAATTGTACCTTGCGCCCATATCGGACATCTTCCAGTAAAAGATATTTGAAACAAACAATGACAAGCAGGACAACGCTCAGTTGTCCAAGGAGTAGTCCTGTTGTAAAGGACATACCTGACGAATTATAGTGCTGTGCTGCAGAAACTCTGTCAAAGTGCTTGGCAATCTCGATCAGATAGTCCTGACCGTCAGGTGCCAACACCTGGACATGCTTGGCCATGGCAGAGTGATCAAGAATCCTGATTTCCTAGTTATTTATTCTCGATCCGTCAAAAGACAAATGAATGATGTAGCAAGTCAAGTGAAAAGGAATGGAGGAGGAGGGAATCTATTTGTTAACAATAATGTCTATATTAAATATCGAGTCCAAACTAAATGAAACTGTTCTAAAAAGGCAACTCCATGTGGCTTGCCTGCATTCGCCCCAAATGTCACATGGAAAACGCGTCAAAAAAGTCTTCTCAGACAACATTCCTTTTTCTTTTTCTCATCAAAGCCGATTCAATTATTCACATTACACTTCTATTAACATTCATCAACAAACTCTAATATCATGTCTGGTCGTGGAAAAGGTGGAAAGGGTCTCGGAAAGGGAGGTGCTAAGCGCCATCGCAAGATTCTTCGTGACAACATCCAGGGCATCACCAAGCCTGCCATCCGTCGTCTTGCCCGTCGTGGTGGTGTGAAGCGTATCTCTGGTCTCATCTACGAGGAGACCCGCTCTGTCTTGAAAGTTTTCCTTGAGAATGTCATCCGCGATGCTGTCACTTACACTGAGCATGCCAAGCGCAAGACTGTTACCTCTCTTGACGTTGTCTATGCTCTGAAGCGCCAGGGTCGCACTCTCTATGGTTTCGGTGGATAAATTCACACACACTCTCTTCGTTCCCCCTTCCTCCCGGGACGTTGTTCCATCAACTCTATCTCATTAGCAATTTCATTTTGTTACACCACTCTTGAAATTTATTCACAAGAACAACAGTGCAGAGTTGCATTGAGAAACCATCAGTTTGTTTGTGTCCTTTGATAGTTCTTACGTCTAGTGTTCAATCCGGAAAAAAAAATAAAATTCAATTATACTCCGATTTGATTATCTGTCATTCATAAGCCTTGGTGGCGAAATAGGCGATGGAATGAACGAATCTAGACTTTATATCCTTTGTTCAGGCACGTCCAGAGGGCTCATAAGCTCTAACACTGCTCCTCTCTTGCGGCGACGAGCCGGTCTAATACATCTGATGCATGGGCGGTAGTAGTGTAGCAGGGCAATCAGGCATATGGATTCAATGGTGTAGCATGACACTACGGCTTTTTTTTTTTTTGGTTGGGTTCTTGATCAAAAACCTTTGATTGATGTGATCGTATTCCCGCATTCATTAGTTTGTTTTTACATAGTTTACGAGTGTTATCGAGCAGGCATGCTGACTAGCAAACATCTTTCTTTAACATTCCATAAATAAGGCTTGGGCAATATCATGCTCACTCCAAATATCACTCAATAAAGAATCAAAGCGTGACTTTATCCCGCATCCCGATAAACTGATATTGGCTGCACCAAACATGTACTCTAGCCACCATTAGAATACCAGCGAAGCACTCGAGCATTTTTTTTTTCCTCTGAAGATTTTGTCTGCCCCTGCACACAGTAATGCTCTCACCTCGTGGAACCGCTTTAAAGGTAAGCACACTAGTGCAAAAATGCACTGTGGCGCGGAGCCGTGTCACATGACTCGGAGGATCGAAAGGGAATTTCTCCGCACAAAACAAACTCGAAAAAAGACATTCTTCTACTCTCCATCCCATTTTCCACAATCGTAATGGCCACTCTTGCCGCTAGACTAGCTTCCGCCAGCATCAATCGTTCAGCTCGTGTCGCTGCTGCTCGCAACGTCCTCGGTATGTCTCTATCGTTCAACCTACAGTATTTTTCTTATTCATCTATTGATTTTTTTTTGTCTTTCGGAAAGTCACCTTCGGAAATTCGACCGATATTTTTATTTCCTGTTATGATGATGCATGGAGGCATGCATCGCCAAACTTGCTAAGGGTTATACAGCAATCATTCGGAGAGCAAACTAAATTTTCTCTCTTTTATTTCTCTACTCCACAAAATGATTCATATTCTTGAGAGTCATTTCCAAAGACAGGGGAATGGATCATCAGGACTGTCGTAGCACACATTTGGAGCGTGGGCGAAAGGAACAATTTTGTTAATTGGAAACGTCTACTTTTCAACATTGGACAGCTATGCCATTGATAGGAAGTACGCGCTTCGACCCTTATAGTACTCGTGGAGGAGTTGTACTGGAGTGATTCGATATTCAGTTGTCAATAGATCGCAGTATATGTATAACAGGGAAATACCATCATTTATTTTGGAGGTGAAGTCTAACTCTTCTCTTGGAACTTTTTGCTTGCATATTCATAAATAAAACAGCTCCTGCTGGACTTGTTGCTCAGGTTCGCTTTAACCACAGCTCCGCTCGTGATACCACTCAGATCCCAAGTTTTGACAAGTACAAGAGCGGATCAGGTGATGCCTCCAACCGTGCTTTCTCTTACTTCATGGTCGGGACCACTGGAGCCTTGTCCTTTCTAGGAGCCAAAACTACCGTGGCAGACTTTTTGGCCAACATGTCTGCTTCTGCTGATGTTCTGGCTCTGGCTAAGGTTGAGGTTGATTTGAGCACCATTCCTGAGGGTCGCAATGTTACTATTAAGTGGCGTGGCAAGCCCGTCTTCATCAGACATCGTACTGCTGATGAGATTGAGGAAGCTAACTCTGTCAACATTAAGGATCTTCGCGACCCACAGACCGATGCCGAACGTGCTTCGAAACCCGAGTGGTTGGTCATGCTGGGTATGTGTCATGATATCTATTATTGCTTTCAATGAATGTGGATTTATGCTATATCATGAATACTAACTCTTTATTTTACATTTGCAAAGGTGTCTGCACCCATTTGGGATGTGTCCCAATTGGTGAGGCTGGTGACTATGGTGGCTGGTACTGCCCCTGCCACGGATCTCACTACGATATCTCCGGTCGTATTCGCAAAGGGCCTGCACCACTCAACTTGGAAATCCCTGTCCACTCCTTTGAGGAAGGCAATAAGCTCGTCATTGGATAGAATCTCTCACCCTTAGACTTTTATACTTCATAGTTTTCTTCCGATCCAAAATGTTACACTTGTCGACAGCAGCATCACTCTTTCACTACTTCACCAATCACCCTATCGCGCGCCATATACAACACTCTCGCCTGTTCCATGATAGAATGCCATAAGATGGCTAACGAAAAATATAATTATTCTAAACTTTTTTTTTTTTTTTTTTTTTTTCTGTGTTTGCAATATGCAATATTATTTTAACGTTGAACTGCTTAAAAAAAAATAATACACGCGAATTCCGATGGTTGTCAGAAAACCAGACAAAAATTAGGAAAAAAATGTTGCTCGTTAGATTTTCATGGTGCACTTTTTTTCGTACACGTTACTGCCTCGTAGAGACATATTATGTTCGCAATGTCAGACATGAGATCTTGTAATCGCAAAAAAACGACGTGATGAAAATGACATCAAATTATGGTGTACTGTCTTTAACTACTGGATGAGGGACTGAGGGGCTCTCTATCATTGCAGAGCGAAGACGGTGAAGGAAGTTTTACGCTCATAGTTGCTCGGAGTAAACCTTTCGTGCTCGCTTCATTGACAGATATTCCCTTTTGGATGAAACAATATCAGCACGTAGCAGCAATCTTTTATATTTTTTAAAACAGCGAGGCGGGACGAAGGTTAAAATTGATAAATGCTCAATTGAATGAGCTGAGTATAGTATATTTGTTTACGGTCACATAACTTCCCAAGTGCTACGCCAACATTCACAAGGAAGTAAGGCCATCTTTATCATCAACCACTTTTGTTTCATCAAAAAACTTTGTTACCATCACCGACAGAAAGGGAAAATAATAATAATATATTAAAAAAAAGTACTCATTCTTGAAAGACCATGGAGAATCCTAACGAGTTACCCACCATGTCCATGACAGAGTACAAGAGTAAGAGGGACTCATGTCGGCAAAAGATTGCCTCTAAATACGACATCCTTGGCTTTATCAGTTCAGGAACATATGGTCGCGTCTATAAAGCCAAATCTAAAAACAAGTAAGGGCAGACGGGGCAGAGCAGGCAGACAAACCCAAGAGCCAGACAGTCCAATGACTCTTCCGTCCTTTCCCTCTATCTATCTGTAAATTGACATGGAAGCCTTTTTAACACATTGTAAGCATTTCTCTAACTTTTATCATTGCTGTTGTTATTTTTTTTTTTTTTTTTTTTTTTTTTTTTTTTTTTGGATATGGCACAAATGGCAGGGATGATGGCAAAGAATATGCAATTAAAAAGTTCAAACCAGACAAGGAGGGAGAGGCAGCGACATACATTGGAATTTCACAATCAGCCTGCAGAGAGATCGCTGTAAGGATCGTACACGGAAATTGGGCAGATTCCCCGATGGATCTTTTTCTGTTTATTATCTTTCATGCGTAACCTGAGATTATTATTATTATTATTATTATTATTTTTTTTACATTATTTTTCATAGTTGTGTCGTGAGTTACATCATGAAAACATTGTAGGATTACAGGAAGTACTTCTTGAGGACAAGTCGATTCATATGGTGTTTGAATATGCTGAACATGATCTACTTGTAGGTTTTACATTTCTTTCTATCAAAGTGTTGAATATATATATATTGCCATATTGACATTATGTATTCTATCGCATCCGTAGCAAATCATCGGATTTCACAGCCACCCAGAGCGAAAGTACATGTCAGAGTACACAATCAAGTCATTTTTGTGGCAATTATTGAACGGAGTCGCATATCTTCACGCCAATTGGGTTATGCATCGTGATCTCAAACCCGCCAACATCCTCGTCACTGCTAACGGAGTTGTCAAAGTTGGTATGTTAATATACACTCACCATTCCTCTCCATCCTATGAAAGAATGAAAGGGAGAGGGGGAAGATATTGCTATGAAACTCGTTAATTTAAATCCTCTATGATATGTTTTTTTTTTTTTTTTTTTTTTTTTAAAAAAAAAAAAAAAAAAAAAAAAAAAAAAAAATTAGGCGATCTGGGTCTAGCACGCCTGTTTTATAAACCTCTACAGCCACTGTTCCATGGCGATAAAGTTGTGGTCACGATCTGGTATCGTGCACCTGAATTGTTGTTAGGGTCGCGACACTACACTAAGGCGATTGATATCTGGGCGATCGGTTGTATATTTGCAGAGCTAATCACCCTTCGTCCCATTTTTAAGGGTGAAGAGGCTAAAGTAGAGAACAAGAAAACAGTACCCTTTCAAAAAAATCAACTACAAAAGATTTTTGATATTCTTGGCAACCCAACAAGTAAGGCCTTTTTTTTTCTTTTTTTGTAAAACAAGAGTGAGAAAAAAAAACAACAATTACTGATATATATTATTGCTATTATTGTTATTATATCTATTTATTGCTCCAGAGGAGCGATGGCCTACTATTGACCAACAACCAGAATACCCTAACCTAGCAAGCTTTCGACAGTAAGTTTGAGTCGTAATCAAATAATATTATTCATATCCATTATGATATTAACTCCATGATTTTTTTTTCTTCCCTTTCCCATGTATACCAGGACGCCGAATGTGTTACGATCAATGTATCAAACATGGCCTATTAAGAGTGAGCAAGGTTGTAATCTTTTGGCAGCTATGCTTGAATACGATCCTCTGAAGCGGATCACAGCGGAGGAGGCTCTCAACCACCCTTATTTCCAAGAGGATCCGAAGCCCGGCATGGAGTAAGTTTCAGTCAAGTTATTTATATTTTATTCGTTCGACTATGCGTGTCCGCTTAAAAAAAAAAAAAGAAAGACAAAGGCTAATGTCTTTTTTATATTCAACTTCATTCCCCCCTGCTGTAAATGCTATATAGTTCATTTGCTGGTCAGCCCGTCGAATTCCCTCTTCGTAGGATCACAAACGAAGACAAGGATATGAGAGCTACAGCACCTGTACAAAAGACACATCCGGTGCCACCAGTAAAGGATGATCGGAATACAAAGCGATTACGCGTAGAATAATAATCATGAAGAGTGAAAAATGTCATCCAATCTTTTAACGATTAAAAATTTCCTATAGTACATGTTCTATTTACTTCATTTGATTTATTTATTTGCTTTTTTCCCTGTCCTTTAAGTTGTGGCGGATGAGGGTAGCATTGGCCATGTTGGTCTTACGGGCGTTGATGTGGGTCTCTGCGTTTGATCATCTGGTAGAGCGGCCAAGACACCTACATTTGTTCTTGGAGATGAGTCCAGCACTCTAGGTGAGGCTGAAGAAACAATCCCAGCCACAGCAGAATTGCGGCGTATGTTAAGTGATGCAAGATCTAATCCCGGTCCTGCTCCAGCTCTACTATCCATCAATATCCTCTTTTGATGGCTTGCTGTGGTTGAAAGGCTTGTCCCAGATGCGGAAGAAGACCGCGAAAGAAGAGACAATGGCCGTGTCGATGGGCTGCTGCCTGAGTTTATGCTAGTGGGATTAGGATTGTTGGCTAACGATGAGCTCGAATATGGACTGGAGCCTGATTGGAGGAGTGGCCGCTGACTAACAATAGGTGAACGTCCATCCTTACTCGAAGCATGATTAAAGCTATGGTTGTTGTTTTCTGTGGTTGTTGTTACTGTCGAAGCTGCTCCATCCTGTACATTTGACATGTTGGCATTCCTCCGCTTTTTGGCCGACTCTTTCAGATCTTCCCAACGCTGCTTATATTTCCTCATCAGAGAGTTTAGCTTGGAGTTCTCCAATTGTAATTTCTGGACTTCCGCTTCCAGTTCTTGAATCCTTGCCTGCATCGTGAGCGGGTTTGTGCTGATCTGCGAAGCACTCGGTGTTGAAGGTTGTGATCCAGTTATATTGTTAGCAGTAGTATTGGAATTAACCGCAGCCTGTGCTCGTTGTAACAGCGACCCACTTTTGTCTATTGAGGGTTCCCAGCGAATAAAAAGATTGCGTTGTTATTAAACTTTTTTTTTTTTTTTTTTTTTTTTCCGGATTTTGAGTAATACAAAGGAAAAACAATGAAGGAAACACTCACCAGCAGCAGCAAGGTCATGGATAGATTGTTTAACTGGGCGAAGCAAATCTTGACTCTTTATTAACTGTAAGGCGGACTTTCGTATATCGTTAGTCCAGACACTCATCTGCATAGCTCCTTCAAAATGCTTTTCCAACTTGTAGTTCTTCCTTGAAAGCTTATTCAGAGCTAGTTTGAGTTCTTGATTTTCGAGTGCGTATTCTTCTAATGTCTTTGAAGGAATCACCGGCTCTGTTACAAAGCCTAATTTCTTCCGTGACGATGATCTAGGAGGATTATCAGAACCGCCACCACTACTGACAGAGTTCGAATCTACAGATGAGACAGAGGTATTTCGCGAATGACCCCTGATGCTGGAATGATTCGTGGACGGTGAATCGACAATGTAAAACGATTCTTGCATAAAAATGGGATCAACGTGGCTCTTAGAGGAAGAAGGAGCAGCCAAAAGGCAGTGGTTTGCTGAGGACATTTTCATGTCATTGTTGCTATTCATGACCATCGCTATTTGCTGCGCTTCAGCACCGTCAGCACCTTGAGCTGCAAATGGCATATTGAGAGGAGAGGTGAGTGATGTATGATCTTCCGGTACTGGCGAATTGAGAGTGGTTGGTTCATCAACGTCGAGTGGTATTGTCGTAAAGGCGACAGGGCTTGAGAGCTTCAGAATAAGGTTTTCTACTTCCTCCCAAAATTTGTTGAACGGATCAGATTCATCTTTCTAAATAATATGTCAGGAAAAAGAGACAGCCGCAGCATAAGCATTTGCAATAACGATCACATTCATTATCATTATGAATAACATTGATTTTTTTTTTTTTTTTTTTTTTTTTTAACAACAAAAGCTGTGCAAGATGACAAAAGAAAAAGAAAAAAAAACTGAGCTGCTTATCTACCACATGTTCCTTGACGAGCGTGAATGACTCTTCAATTGCAGTTGAGGACGGGTTACTGAATGATGTTGATCTTTCACGATATGAGCCGTGGCTACCGCTTGGACTTTTATCTTTTGCACCCCCACTATGAGCTACCATGGATTCATGTCTGATATCCCCTGCTGCCTGCTTAGAGATTATAGCATTGGCATGGCGCCGTCCAATACCATTGCTATTACCTTGCTGCTGTTGCTGCTGATGATGTCCAGGGCTTCCATGCCGCCATCCAGCGGATGGATTTGTTGGCAACTCTGTGTCTTCTCCTGACGTTGATGATACAGAAGTTGTGCCTAAAGAAGTCGCATGTGTGAAATATTCGTCTATACCTTCCTCTGTTGTCACCTCAGCACCTGATTGTTTTGGTGACGCTGAAACCACGGCTGTCTTGGCAATCCTCCGTTGAAGGTCCTTTGCCTGACGAATATGGTTAGCATTCATGAGTTTGAGAGTACGAATAATCTCTTGGTTATGAGTGTCCTGAGTTGCTAATAAGAATTGATCTAGAAGACAAAAGCCAAGTTGATGTAAAATCGACGTTAAGTAAATCAAGTCAGCAGTTGGCAAGAGCACAGGAAGGTCTATACTCCAAGTTTTAATTTCTGCAACTGCGTAGTAAATAATATCGACGGCGGGGCAAGTTCCTTACCGGCCGCTTTGAGGTGCATATCGGCAGCCTCAGCCAGATGGTTTCGTTCCTGGAACCCTTCGGCTGCGCTCGCATAACGATGGGCCTAGATTGAATGGGTGGTAAGTAGATGCATCTTTTCATTACTATTCGAAGGTTGATGTCAACGTTATCTTACTTCAAATCGTAATGCGTATTTACCAAGTTGATTGCAGTCCCTTCCATGGTAGTTCGCTCCGTATTATGGTGCTTTGTTGGTGTCTTCCGTTCAAATGTGCAAGTTTATGGGCGGAGCAAGTGAAGAAAAACCAAATGATAATTGACATTCGACTCCTTTCATTATGCACACAACACAAAGTAACTGTGGCCACACGTGTGCGGATTGTGATACAATGTGGACGAACACTTTTTTTTTTAATTCACTATGTTAAGAGCTACTGCGCTACAGATGTTGCAATTATGGATGTAAAGTAGTATTTTCTTTTGAAGGATCAGGGTAAATGACTTCGCCTGAGGATTTGACTACACGAGCAAAGTATTGGGGCATAATAACCCCATTGCCATCTTGGCCGTCAGAGAGGATCACGTTATTTGCGGTCCTATAAAACTTAATTCCATCTGTAGGAGGAAAATGTGGTTTAATAAAACGCGTTTGACTATTCGATTATCACATTAACGTCATTTAAGGACTTGTTCTGGAAAAACTCTCTTTTACTATACCTCGGAGGGCCTTGGTAATATCGATGTAAATGTACAGATCAGATCCTTGGCGCATACCACTGATCACACCATCCTCGCCGGGAAGTCCAACTGCTAGATGGATATGGTTTCTATTCATTCGAGATAGCCCCTTTGACTCTATTTCACATTTACACACCAACATATACAGATTACCTATTAGCTTTCGTGTAGCGACTCTACTTTCTTTCTTTTTCTTAAAAAAAAGACAAAGGAGTTGTATCCATACTGATCAATTCCCACTTGGAGGACGACGTTCCGTGGACAGCAACAGGGAGCTGAGATGCATCTGTAATTTCTTCGTGGTCGAGCTCTGCTACCTGCGGTACACGCAACAATTAAATTTGTCAGTATTCAGGTTATCAACACGATTTTATAAATATGAATCATTTTTCATGTTTGAATAATAATAGCGATAAAAACCTTTGGAATGCTATGCCCTTGGACAGCACGGATATATTTCTTGTTTTCTTCATAGTCCTCAAGGATCTGAAATCGCTTCTTGTCGTTCGTATTCACGACCTCGACAATGTCGTCAAATGTATAGCCCTTGAACTTGGGATGCTTGAGCACATCCTCAATCTTGACATATCCATCAGGACGGATCGCCACACCTTGCGCCTCAGCGTTGTGCCGCAGCAGCCAAGCCAGAGCTTTTGAAAGTCGGACAGTAGGCAAGTTATTATCACGAAGGTCTTTGTTTCTATTGCTTCTGCTACTATTACTATTGTTATTTCTTGTTCTCTCAAAGGATGGTCGTGAAATTGGGGTGGATTCTTCGGTGGAGCGTGTAGTCGCTTGAGCAGACATAAGCATAGAAATAAGGCAGGAAAGAAGTGGGTGAAGAAATTTATTTTGGATATTTAAGGTTATTTCTTGGTACCAGGCGTTTCGAAAGAAAAAGAAAAGAGAAAAAAAGAAAAAAAAGGCCACCATTCATGGTAGACGATCTAGAAAGGTGGCTTTGCCCATCTGGAAGGCACACTTTTATGTCTCTAGGGCAACACAAAAGTGAATATTTTATTCACTTTTGCTCGGCATTTCTCTCCTACTCCAGTTTCGTCTTCATTACTCTTGCTCGGCACTGACATTCACACACACACACACATAAATAAAAGTAAATCCGACCTACAAAAAAAAAAAATAATAATAACAAGGTAGCTTTTCTCATGGATTTACTTGCAGCCGCTCTTGAAAAGAAGCGCTCCGCTCTGGAATCCACAGCAGGTGGGGCCAAAAAGAAGTACATTCGTCGAGGCGATTTGGAAAGACAACGGGAGCAAGAGTACTTGGCAGAACAGGAGCGTGAACGTAAAGAAAAAGAGGTAAATGAAAAAGAATTGCCGTTCAGCTCGCTGAAGTGTCGTTCTCTCTCTATTTCCAGACCCCTATCAGTATAGCAGCGCTTTTGTAGACGTTTAGAAACAAGGATAAGAAGCTCATCTTTCTTTTTTCTTTTTCTTTTAATATGTGATAAACAGGAGAAGGCACGGAAACTAGCTGAGGAGAAAGAAGTTAATCGTAAAAAAGAACAGGCTGCAAGGTTATCATCGCCATCACCATCACAAACGGAATCTCCCTCAGATTCTACATCATCTCCTACAGCAACACCCGCAGACGGATCATCAGGCTCTGCAGAAGCAATAGCCAGTGGAGAGCTAGCTGCTTCTTCTGCAACCTTCAATATCCCACCTGAAGAAGTCGTTCGTCGCCTCCGCGCACGTGGTCAACCTATTCGCCTTTTCGCAGAAACAGATCAACAACGCAAGATTCGTCTCCGCGCCCTAGAACTCATGGAAGATCGTTCAGAAGGACAGCGGAACGATTTCATGAGGGCATTGGAGAATGCAGAGGCTGGTTTGCATATGGAAGCCCTTGGAAAACAAAGCGGCAAGGATTCAGAAAAGAAGAAACCAAAAGTGGATCCCACTAAAGATTTGGTAAGGTCAAATCCTTTGGGCAAAAAAAAAAAAAAAAAAAAAAAAGACATTTGGTATATTGAGGCACTATGAGGGCAAAGCCAATTATATTTCTTAATGAGTATTTTTTTATTTTTACTTTTCTATTGAAGGATACAAGCGAAATTTCAACCGATTTGATTCAGAAGGATCAGGATAAACTTTACGTTTTGATTTATACATATTTCAAACGTCTTCTACGGGAATGGGAATATGATCTTGACCAGCGCCCAGGTAAAAAAAAAAAAAAAAAAAAAAGTTTTTTGCAACATGAAAATATCTTGGTTTATACGAGTCAATATTCTGTCCAAAGTTCAATTCATTTAAAACATTCAAGCATTTTGTATGCATTAATCATTAGATGAAATCAAGAGAAGCACAGCAGGGAAGTTGGCAACAGCAACACAAGCGCAGACTGCAGAGTATCTTCGACCGTTTTTCAAGCAACTACGTCAAAAGTCATTGGAACCAGATGTTTTGATGCGGATCACAGAAATTGCGGAACTCATGAATAAGCGAGAACACATGGCAGCCAATGATGCTTACTTGAAGCTTTCTATTGGAAACGCACCATGGCCCATTGGAGTCACTATGGTTGGGTAGGTTTTTGTTTATTTCTAATTTTATTTTATTTTTTGTTTAACTTTTCTTTATTTCTTTATTATTTTTATTTTATTTATCTATTTCTATTTTTATTTTATTTTATTTATTTTTTTATTTTTTTATTTATTTTTTGGACATTGACAGTATCCACGAGCGTTCTGGACGTGAAAAGATTTTCTCTGCGCAAGTAGCCCATGTGCTCAATGATGAGACTTCACGGAAGTGGATTCAAAGTATTAAGCGCATCATGACCTTTGCAGAGAAAAAATACCCGCGCCTTTAGTCACTTTTTCCCCTCCAAGATCTCTTTACATCCAAATCATCTGATTTCGTGGGCAAAGTTGTGCAGAATTAATAAATTTCTCACAAATGCTCAAGAATGATGGATAGAAAATAAATGTCCATGTCTTTAATTTGTACAAAAACGAGGAAAAAAATACGAACTGTGTATTGACTGATGGGGTTCAGACTAATGGCGGGTACCGAGCTGGGAGTTAAACACATTACGCTGTTTTCCCAACCAAGAAGTGGGAGCAACCTTCCGATGATATGTCAAAATGTTGTCCCGGAGACTCTTCTTTTGTTGGTCGTGCCATGCTGAAGTCATCAGCAGCTGTTCCCTGCGGCTCTGCTTCTGCATCTCAAGCATTTGACGCTAGAATAGTAATGATTATAAAACGACATCGATAACAGCTAATATCAGTAAAAAAAAAATAATATAAAAAAAAAAAGAAAAAAAGGCAGGGCCATGATTTTTCTTTTTCTATTACCTTGAGTGACTCCACTTCCTCTTCTTTGGCTGCAAGCTCACTCTTCAACGAAATGACTGCTTCATTGTATCCATCAGAATTTAAAGTTGGCTTGCTGAGCTCCTTGATACGATTATCCTGGTAAGTAATGAGCTAGATTAGAATATTAATTGATGTCACTAAGATGTTAATACATGTATATAAAAATAAAGAAACGAAATAAAAAATTAAAACATTTATAAATAGCATACCTCTTTCGCACGCTCGAGTTTGGTGTCCCTCTCTTCAAGCTTCTCTTCAAGATACTTATTCTTGAGTTCCAGCTGCTCTTTAATATGGGCTTCCACTTCAGTCAGTGCCTTCTTGGTATCTGCGAGTTCCTTCTCGCAAGCGTTGAATGAGGCTCGAAGAGCAATCATGACCTCACTTTCATCTCCTTTACCAGCACGGATACGATCAAGTTCTCCTTGAAGCGCAATCTTATCCTGATGTTCTTTTAAATAGTCTTGCTCATACTTGGATTTGATCCTGTTAGCATCATCTAGTAAGTGCTGCAATACCGTTACCTTCGACCCACCCTCATCCTGTTTCTCTTCCTTGAGTGTCTGGAGCTCTCGTTCTAGTCTTGAAATTTCGAGCTTAAGTTCTGTAGTTTGAGATGTCCGTTGGCCCAATAATGAGCTTTCCATGTCATCAGTCTCCATATTCTGAAGATCATTCGAGAGAGGTACACCTTGACCACCAGAGAATTCAAGCTCGCGCACCTTGTCCTCTAACAGTTGCATCTGCTCTCCATCACGCAACCGATCTGCCTCTAGCTGCTGCAGCCGCTGGTCCTGCTGCATGGCCTCATATTCGAGCCTATTCTTCTCCTTAGCAAGCGTACTGTTCTTGGATTCCAGTGCTAGAATCTGCTCCTTATAGGATTCCATCAACGACTTGAAGGCGAGGACTTTACGGTATTCTTCTTCAATCTCGCGATTCCGTTCAAGAAGTTCCTGGTTCTGGTCCTCCACAACCTTCATTTGACGACGAAGGTCTGCTCCTTCCTCAAGCTTCTTCTTATATTTTTCAATGACGTTTTCTGTCTTCTGAAGCTTATCAATTGCATGCTTATATTCGTCCAGCTTGTCTTTTAGACGCACTGCTTCATCAGCCTTTAGGCTTAGTTCTGCTTCCTGTATGAATAAAAAATCAAAGGTATTTCTATAAATGAAATCTCCTCCAGCCTTTATGAAAAAGTCTACCAATGAGGTATTCGACTTACTGCTCTTGATAAGTCTGCGATGGCTTTCAGTTGATTGTTGATCACATTCTCTTGTTCCAGCCTGCGCTCTTCACTCTTTTGCCTAACGTGAAGATGAATAGACAATAGTCAAGCATGTTGACTTTTATGCGTAATTACAACAACAGCAGCAGCAGCAAAAAAAAAAAAAAAAAAAAAAAAAAAAAAACGATTAAATAAGGCACTTGAATAACTTACAAATCCTGACGAAGGTGATCAATCTCTGTGCGCATTAAGAAATCTGATTTGCCGCTCTGTGATGCCTGCGCAGAGGCCTTTTCTAAATCACGTATCCTTTGTCTCAAATCCTCTCTCTCTGTAAGTAATTCTTCCTACATTATCGAGATAATTACACCATGTTAAGCTACAGATCACATAAGATACCATATTATATATTTATATACATTTATAAAAGTCTTACATATTTATGTTTCATATTTTGTAATTCAGACATGAGGTGCTGATTTCCACGCTCAAGCTCTTCGCGTTCCTGGTGCAATTGAGCCAACTCTTGATCCATACTACTTTCCTCTCTAGAAATAGGAGTAGCGGAAACAAAAAAGAATTTCGTCAGCAATTAATTCTTTCTCCACCCTTTCTTTTTTGTCAGTTGATCGTCAGACGCACATATCTGAGTCTCTTGTTGAACCACTGTTAAGAGCCTCGATAATCTGCATGGACAGAAAAGGACCAAAGAAAAAATAAAAAAAGAAATCATTAGCTCAAAGCATCATTATCATGCGTACTCTTCTCACGCGCCAACAGAAATACAAACACAGAAAGAGTGCATCATTGTCTTTACAAAAAAAAAGTCACACGCACCTGTTCTAATGAATGCATGAGTGCACGTTGCGTGGAGTGCGGCAAAGTCTGGATCTTCAGAATGTAATGCTGGTTCCTATCACACTGAACTGCAACAGTAATCACTAGTTCACAAAGCTTGAGAACCTCTACAGGGTCACCACTCTTTGCAATCGCATTTAAATTTGGAGGATCAAGTTTGGCCAGCGATTGGCCGAGTTTTTCCTCAAGGTACCGGGTCACAAGCTTATGTAGCTTCTTGAGGTTGTTATACTTGTGTACCCAGTTATCACCCATATCAGCGGATCGAATAAGCTTGAACCATTTTGGATCACTGTCAGTCGTGGTAGTGGTTATAAGAACAGAAGGACAAGAATTAGATCGTGAATGTCATTTGCCCATGCAAAGATAAAGTAATTGGGGAATACAAGCGTGGGATAACGAGAGAAAGGAAAATATGTCGGTAAATAAGCAAGAGCGCGAAGTATTTGAGGCAAACACTTCAATTCTTCGTCTGCGTATTTTCTGCAAGGTATACACTTACATATCCGCTGCTACCTCAAAAAGAATGATACCATCCGAAAGGTCAGATATGTGTCTGCATGGACGTGAGATATTATCAAAAGTGTTGACCTATATGACATTTCGTTCATCATGAGCAAAAAAAAAAAAAAAAAAAAAGGTCCATGTCGGTGTTTTATGAGTGAATGAGGCTTCTTGTGGGTTGTTTTCCAGTTCGCAAAGCTTTTACAATGTCGAGAAATGTTTCTCTTTTTATCGCTTTGGAGAGAAGCTTGGCATTACCCATTGCTCAAAGGCATTGGCGAGTGTGGCAATGTCCATTGGGTCCATCGTGGCCACAGTTCTTGCAAAATTGAAGTTGCGAGGGAGATATCACCAAGAATGTCACGGTAAAAAGATAAAAAAAAAAAAAAAGAGAGAGAGAGAGAGAGAGAGACAGAAAGAGAGCTTTATCAACCCTAGCAACAACAAAAGCAATGGTCAACGATGAAAATGAAGTGCAACAGATGGATAGATGGGTTGGGAGGGCGCCCATCTGTGTTTAATGTTTGACTTGTGCCTGACTAACGATGTAAATTAAATTTAAGGGGCGTCATTCGATCTTGGACTAGATTGTCTAAATTATAAAATAAAGCTGTCTTTTAAATTCGAGCGCGTGTCGGATTGACGAGCCGGCGTGGTGTAGGAGGCAGATCTGCTGTTGGATCTCCAATCTTCATCATGCCCTCAATCAGTGACATACCCAACAGACGGTACTGTTCCCACTCTCCAGGATAGGCTTCTTTATGACCCATCTTGGCAAACAGCACAGTAGGGACAATAGTTTTGCCCTTAGGATGTTTCGCTACCATTCTCGAATATGCAATGCAACACAGCTTGTCTGGGATCTCTACAATAGCATCGTTGGGATGGTTTCCAAAGTTTGCTGATTGTGATGAGGCAGTCAGTACTGGTTGACCACCAACGCCGTTGTTATCGTTGCTGATCTTGGGGGGCAGCTTAGTTTCAATTGGATCGATATCATCCTCATCCTCTTCTTCTACAACTACATCCTCATCTCTAATAGGCTCCTGTTGCTCGCCTTCATTTCCAGATTGAATTGCAGCATTAATAGTCTCCAAAGTCTGTCGTACGGGTTTAGTTATTCTTTTAATCGAGAAACGATGTTGCATCCAGATCCATTTGTCATCCCATGTAAAGATGCGACTGGTGATAGTGTACTTGCTAAAGCGTGGGACTTCTGCTTTGAAAAAGAGCACGGTCTGTGCGAGGCACATATCGAATTTGTGGGTGACTTGCCAGCCGGGGAAGAGTCGACAACAGAGATCAATCCGAGCAAAGTCCATCATTTTGTTATATGACGAGTTGTTAAGGTGGATATTGAGGTCAAGGTCATCGAACCAGACACGACTGTGGTACTTGCTTGCCTCGAGCAGTCCGATACTTGGTTCAGTCATGGTTCGAGCCTTAATGAAGTAAGAAAGTGAACGTAATGTGTAGACTCCAGGAAGACTCTTTATATGCATGAGCGCAATGAGCGCAAGAACAATCTTTGTTGCGTCGGACGGCATGACAGTTAACTGAACAGAAAGAAGATGAATAAGTGAGTGAAAAGGATGAGCGATTCAATAATAAGAAATGAAAATGGTAAGTAAAAGAGACAGAGAAATCAAGAATGCGGTTCGGAGGTGGAGTTTAACAGCATAATGTGAACCACCCTTTGCACGTGCTGAAGTCAAACTACCAATTATTTACTGGACATTGCCCGATTGGGGCAAAAAGTCGATCATTCTCAACACGCTTCTTCGTGTGAGGATTGAAGGACTCAGTTGCTGACACAACGGACCGCAATGACGCAAAATGCTCTTCCCATATGTTGCATTTAACTCTGATTCCAGCCAGATCACTTTAATATGCCCGGATACACTTAAAGGCAACGGTATGGTTGTATATATTGGGTAGCTCACTTTACGGGCTTTCGGTTGCCCCAGGTCGCCAACATCGATCGGCTGTAAAGTTAGTGACTGCTGGTATGATGTCATACCAACCAGCTGCAAGCTGGTTTTCACATTCCATTCATTCTTTTTTTTTTTTTTTATTTTTTCATCACAAAGAAATCATTCGTTTCTTCTCCACTTTCAACATCCCCACATTTTTGCACGGACGATTGTTACGATGAGTACAACTCTCGACCCCGCCATTCCTGTAGAAAAAATTGACCCCGCTGATGTGGAATCCGAAAAAACAAAACTCGCTCAGTTCACAAGACCTAACACAACCTATTTGGTGGAGCCTCTAGGAACTAATAAAGAGATCTGTAGAATTGAGCCCAATGGTCAAAAAACCTGTGTCAAGTTCCTTACGCTCGAGGCCAAGCAGATGTTCACATTTATGCAAGATCAGGGATTTTTTTGCACTATGAGTTTGGATCCCACACAAACTGCACTCGAATGCAAGCGTGTATAAGATGGTTGGAGGATGTATATATGGGAGGAAGAGCATTCGAAAAAAAAAAAAAAAAAAAAAAAAAAAAAAAAAAAAAAAACAGAAAAAAGAGACAAGGAGGACCTGAAAACAACAAGAGATCAAGGACTGAGAGGATTGCAAGGGAAGACAATGCCCACACATGTCAATGGATCGAAATATCTGGACGTGATCAATAGAAATAAAATAAAAATACACGAACTTAAGAAAGGCTCCATTTAGAACAATTGCATGGATTTTCAATGATGGTCCTGCTATGGCCTTGTGTAAATCTTTACTCCTCCAATTTGTTGCACTGGCCAGGGAACCATGAAAGGTTTGTCAGTCTAAAGTTGGATTAGTGGCAATATCACGTGCAGGCTCTGAACCAGGCGGTATTGCCACTCTTCTTTTCCAATATGAATGATGCTTGAACGCTGCTCTGACATGTATTTTGATCGACGAAAATATGCTTCATGACGCGAATTATGGGTTTCTTCCAATATTAAGACATGAATACCGACACGACCTAGTATAGAAAGTCGAAAGCTTTGCTTTAGGGTGCCTGTCAGTTGATGGTTGGTCCGGGACAGTGCGCTGCGAAATTTCTGTCAACTCGAAGTTGGATCGCTCTTTTTATTTTTTGAGAATTCATTCTTTCATCTATCTTTTCATCTTTACATCTATTATCCAAGGCATTGTTTAGCAATTTCCTATCTGCCTTCGATTCAGTCATTCCTTGACTTTTATACTCTTTCTCTTACAGTCGCGCGCTCTCAGGAACAAAGGACACAGTCGAAACAGACACGGTCCAGACAATTCACCTGCTCATGGTCTCGAGCTCAAACACCGATACCGGTAGCCATGTCGAGGTCACTCTTTCTCATGGAACAACGACTGACAACCATGCAGGAATGACATCCTCGTCTACCATAAAGGATACATCCAATGCGAACACTGACTCTAATGAAACAGAGGATGTCAACCCACAGTTTCGTCCTTCACCTAACGCAGAGGAGGATTTTGAAGGTAACGAATAATTCCGAACATAAGAGAACTTTCAGTACTTGGGTTCAATCTGCACCCTCTGTCAAAGTTCAAATATTACAAGGGTCACCTAAACCTTTGACAGCCAAGGAGCAATAATTTCCAAACCTTTTTCATCACACTGCTGTTAAAATACATCAATTAACATGCCCATTCTGGTTTACGGTTTCTTTCTTTCCCTGATATTTTACAAAAATCGCATTAGATATCAATATTTTTCAGGCTGCTCAAATGGGCAAACTTGCTATTGCTGCAAGACTTGTCGAAGCAGATCCAGCGTTAGTTAAGAGCAGAGATTTTCAAGACGTCACTGCATTGCATTGGGCAGCCATCAACAATCAAATTCCCGTCGCCAAATACCTTCTGGATCATGGTGCAGAGGTAGATGCTGTCGGGGGAGAGCTAGTGGCCACACCATTGCATTGGTGCACAAGGTGAGTGAAGTAACTTTTTTTTTTTTTATGTTTTACATTTTCATTCTGACTTTTTTTTCTTTTCTTTTTATGCGGGGTGGGGAAAATTTGAACAGAAACGGACATTTGAACATGGCAAAGCTCTTGCTTAAATATGGTGCTGACCCCCTTGCACAGGATTCACAAGGATTCAACGCACTTCATTTAGCTACACATTCATCAAACGCAATGTTGATACTGTATTTGATTATGGCAGGAGAAATGCCTGTGGATATCCCTGACACACTGGGACATACCTGCTTAATGTGGGCTGCATATCAATGTGACAGTCTTAGTGTTGATATCTTGTTGAAGCAAGGGGCTCGAGTTGATACAAAAGACCGAGAAGGGTTCACGCCATTGCATTGGGCCGTTGTCAAAGGGAACCGAGATTGTCTATCTAAAATCTTGAAGGCGGGTGCAGATGTCAAGGCGGGAGACAAGTCGGGAAAGACCCCAATGGATATGATCAAAGAGCTTAAGGAATCCGTCATCTGGGAGAAAGCACTCAGTGATGCCAAATTGGCTAGCGATGGTCGGACGCGAAGATCATTGTTTGATAAGGTATAGCCACGACACATGCTTTCATGGAAAGGAAATTCTAGAGTAGCGGAAAGGATACAAGTCTAAGCGCTTTTTATTTATATTTTACATAGAAAACCACCAATACGATTATTTATTTCATCCCTTATGTGACACTGTTCCTTACATTGGAGCTAATGACCCTGTTTTCGTGGTACATTGCCATGCCAGTTGCAATCGTCCAATTTTTGATTGGGCATGTCGGATCAGTCAAAATCCTACTAAGGACAAGGACACCAAATGACATGTTACAGACCCCATACTACACTGCTGTCTTTCAGTCTACAGCCTTTTGGGTAGGATTCGTATGGCTGCGCTACATTTTATTCAGTAAGTAGATTCATCCTCTATCTTTTTTTTTTTTAATATTTATTATATATGCATTGGGGATCTTATCTAATGATACGAGATTTCGGCTTTAGACACTTCACATCTATTCTGGCTTAACCTTGCATTCATTGTGGACTATGTCTCTGCGCTATACTTCTTTTATGGCTCTGTAATGGCAGATCCTGGCTGGACGAAACCCAATACATCGATCGAGTCTCAACGAGAAGCTGTTATACAAATGGCCGATCGAGGTTTGTTAGATGCACGACACTTCTGTGTGACATGTGTGAGCCAAAGACCCATGAGGTCCAAGCATTGCAAGGTCTGCAATCGATGTGTAGCCAAGTTTGATCACCATTGCCCTTGGATCTATAATTGTATTGGCGCCAAGAATCATAGGTCTTTTATCATTTTCCTGGCACTATTCCTCTCTACAGTACCCATGTACGCATATCTTTCATTTGAATGTAAGTATCTGTAATATCATGTCTTGAAAATGAATACGATATATATGTTAATGTCTATAGTCTTTTTTTTACATTCCTAATGCAATATTACATTTTCATGCTTCCACTAGACCTTGCGGTGATGTCGCCCAAGTATGATCCCAAATCACCCAACCCATGTCTCCTTGGGCCTAGTCTATGTAGTTATTTTCAATATGATGCGTTTACAACAACGCTTGCGTTCTGGTCTATCTTCCAAATGACATGGCCTGGACTCCTTTTCATTGTACAGCTGTATCAAATTGGACAAGCCAAGACAACAAACGAAGCCTTGAATCATCATCGACACAGCTATCTAGGAAGATCCAACAATATCCGCCAGCGTGTTCTCCGATCTCTTGCTGAGATTGATTCTGAGATGGCTGGTGTTGGCCATCCACTCCAAGAAGAAAGTATTAATTTACTAGAGGCGGGGACAGGAGCAGGAGTTGAAGAAGATGACACTACATTAATGACGAGAGAAGAGGAATCTAAGCCAATTGGGATTGGTGATCATTCGGACCATAATGGTCATCGGCACAACCACAGAGGAAGAGGAGGAGGCATGTGGAATTTGCTTGTAGGGACTGCAAGGAGGCGCAAGCATCATGGCGATGGAAATGAAGAGTCCAACCCATTTGACTTTGGACTGTGGCAGAACTGTGTGGGGTTCTTTTCAGAAGACCGGCGAGGACCCTTGCGAGGGATCAACTGGTATACGTTTTATGAAGTAGAGTCAACGCGATCAAACCTTTTGAATCCTTCAATGGCAACAACCAGGAGGCTGTAATTTGTTAAGCATAGGAATTAAATTAAAAGACTTATAATAAACATAATTCCCAGTTTAATAATCATTGAAGAACAAGATGACCAACGGGCAATTATCCAAGAGATTTAATAACCATACTTGATTAATAATGTGTCAGGGACAGAAAACTATTATGAACGATTGTATATTCATGCTGCTTTTGATAATAGAGAAACGATACTACCAAGCAAGAAAAATAGTGCATGGTGAAAAAGGATTTGCTTCTCCTCTGACAAATAATATAGGTGACCCCAAACATTTGCCCATATTCGCATATTAACTTGCAGTAGAAAGTGCGATTACCATCTTTTTTTGATTACGTCAATGGATGTGCCTCTTTCTCAACATGACAATCTTTCCATATAACAGCCCTTTTAATATCTTCTTTCTTTTCCTTTGCCTTTCCTATCCGTTTTTACTTTAATACTCCATCAACAGCAAGTAAAAGACAAAAAAACAAAAACAAACAAAAAAAAACAAAAAAAAAAATCAATACATGGCGCACAACCTGGAGACAAAGTCGGAAGTGAGACTCATCGCTGGGTCCACTACAATCGCTAAGGCCTCTAGTAGCCGCAGCGTTGCCAGTGGTAGCACTGCCATTGTCGAACATGCCGAAAAAATACCCAAGATCACGACCAAGGTCGACTATTCAGTTCTATACGAGCCATGGTCCATCCATAACTTTTATAAAAAAGTGAATTGGATGCTTGTGGGTTCATTGCTATTGATGCCTAGCTATGGATTTTATATGGCATTGACATCCGTGCCATTGCAGCAAAAGACGGCCATTTTTGCTTTTGCATATTTTCTCCTCACAATATTCGGAATCACTGCAGGTACTTTTTTTTTTTTTTTTTTTTTTTGGAAAATATCGCTCTCGTGGCTTCTTGGAATTTGGATGGCAACACAGTGTAGGATCATTGAAAGTAAAGAGAGCTAGAGAAAAGAAGTAGCATCCCCGCATTTTACTGCATCTCTTTTTATCACGAAGAACCATAGAATCACTTTACTGTGCCTTTTCAAAACCACAAGCTCCTCTGTTGTTCTCGTACCCAGTGAAATAAGACTATAGAGAATTGGAAAAGCCAAAAAATGGCTAAAGGAGATTGAAAGCAAAAACAGCACAAAGCTTAGAAAATTAGCCTTTGCCATTGTGATGCTAGCAATAGTCCACTCACTACTCTTTGTTTTACTATAGGATATCATCGTTTATGGTCCCATCGCTCCTACGTTGCTTCACCCTTGCTTCAAGTTATCCTCATGATCGGGGGTACAGGAGCTATGCAAGGCACCATCCTTTGGTGGGCTCGTAACCATCGTGCACACCACCGGTACACCGACACGGACAAGGTATGCAGCGCTGTTAAATGAAGGTCTAACATCATCTTTTAATCCTCTTGTCATGCCTGTTCCTATCTGACTAAACTTCTGATCACATCTGATCCCATCCTCGATTAGGATCCCTATGGAGCGCATAAGGGTCTACTCTGGTCGCATATTCTATGGTTGTTAATTCACCAGGATCCTGCTGCTGTGGGGTGGGCAGATACCTCCGACCTGGAGACTAACAAATTGGTCATGTTCCAGGAGAAACACGAAGTTTGGATTGTGCCGACGGTCTCCTTGGTTGCTCCAGCTGTGATTGCTGGATTAGGATGGGGTGATTACTGGGGTGGTTTTATCTATGGTGGCATCATACGCCAATTCATAGTTCATCAAAGCATCTTCTATGTCAACTCGGTCGCCCACTGGCTCGGTGACAGGCCGTTTGATGACCGTCATTCTCCATGTGACCACTTCGTTACAGCATTGTTAACAATGGGTGAAGGCTACCATAACTACCATCATGAGTTCCCTCAGGATTATAGATGTGCTATCAAGATCTATCAGTACGATCCTACAAAGTGGCTAATCGCCTTTTGCTCATTCATTGGTCTTGCTCGGGACTTGAAACGCTTCCCTTCTAATGAGATCAAGAAAGGTCAACTCAAAATGCAGCAAAAGAAGCTCGACAAGGTGAAATCGACATTGATCTGGGGTACACCGATTGATCAGCTTCCTATCTTCTCGTTTGACGAGTTCCATGACATGGCTAACAAAGAAGGTCGGGCTGTCACCTTGATCGAGGGCATCATCTATGATATCTCGAGCTTCATAGACGAACATCCAGGTGGGCGAAGCTTGATCCGTAGTGCCATTGGTAAGGATGCTACAACATCATTCAATGGCGGTGTATACGATCATTCAAGCGCAGCACGACATTTGTTGGAGCGGATGCGGGTAGGTGTAGTTGCTGGTGGTGGTTATGTAGAGCATCGACGCAAAGGCACGACTATTTTGAATCGTTAATAAATCCTGAGTGATTACCATAAGCAAATGAGGGAAATCATATACCTAGAAGTCGACAGGTGACCAAAAAGTGATGCTTTCTTGGCTATTGCTATAGGAATGATAACCCAATGAAACTGGGCCCAATTTTGTATAACCAGGCCTTGAAATAAAGCTGCTACTGTTTGTAATGCGACCTATAGGAAGGGATGATATATGAGAGTATAATGGACTATTTAACATTAGAAGCGAGAGATTAAAATGTGAGGCCCTTTGACAAAAAGGGAACTATACACTATAGATGAGTGTCAGCTCCTTTTTAAGCCTTTCAGCAAGCGTGTTTGTCGCTATTGCTAGGCACAATAACCTATAGTTTCTATTATATACAATAATATACAATAATATATCCTCATTCTTTTGCTAGACCTTGCGGTGATGTGGCCCAAGTATGATCCCAAATCACCCAACCCATGTCTCCTTGGGCCTAGTCTATGTAGTTATTTTCAATATGATGCGTTTACAACAACGCTTGCATTCTGGTCTATCTTCCAAATGACATGGCCTGGACTCCTTCTCATTGTACAGCTGTATCAAATTGGGCGAGTCAAGACAACAAACGAAACCCTGAATCACTAGTGACACAGCTATCTAGGAAGATCCAACAATATCCGCCTGTGTGTTTTCCGGTCTTTCACTGATTGATTCTGAAATGGTGCGTGTCTGAGATGTTTTTCAGATATTAGAAGTCAAGGAGATCAAAAGTTGTTTTTATTATTGTCAAACGAGAGCCTTTTATCAAGGACTCTCTATGACCGTCACATGATATTCTGACCTTATGAATAAAAATGGAAGTGCACCTGAGGTGCACTCCCAAGCCTCGGTACGTAACAGTGTCGACCATCCACTCCGAGGAGAGACCAATCTATTCGCTAGAAGGCAGGAGTAGGAGTTGAAGAGAGTGAAACTACATTAATGACGAGAGAAGAGGAATCTAAGCCAATTGGAATTGGTGATCATTCGGACCATAGAGGAAGAGGAGGAGGCATGTGGAGTTTGCTTGTAGGGACTGCAAGGAGGCGCAGGCATCATGGCGATGGAAATGAAGAGTCCAACCCATTTGACTTTGGACTGTGGCAGAACTGTGTGGGGTTCTTTTTCAGATGATCGACGAGGACCTTTGCGCGGGCCAACTGGTGCATACGTTACATGAGGTGGAGCCAACGCGATTGGGTCTTTTGAATCCTCAACGGCAACAAAAATATGACATATTTCAGTCTCTTAATAAGTATGATCGGTAGGAAATTATCCAATGGATATTTAGTAACCTTATCTGATTAACATGCACAAGAGCAAATCATTGTCTATGATGTTCGCATGCCATGCATAAAGAAGGAAAAGAAAAAACAATGCCAAGCCATAAATAATTTCCAGGGTCCTTCACAGACTAGCAAGATAAAAAAAAAAAAAAGTGCGCTTCATTGACTGGCTTGATATTCGGATGACAACACGAGAGGGCCGCATTGACATCCCGCCTATTTAATATTATAAATATATTTTAAACATCAAACATCAAACATCAGTCCACTGTCTTCCATGCGAATGAGGCTGTTTCTTGGAGGAACAGCAGTAATAGAAATCTTTTTTTTTTTTTTTACTGTAGATGTGGTAAATGTATTGGAATGCATGGGTCTTCTTCCTCAATAAGGTATATACAAGCCTTTTCTCCGTCGGACGGACCTTTTACTCTCTTCTTCGCTTACTGATCCTTTCTTTCTTCTTTTTCTTTTTCTTTGTCTCACTTTGCCATTCTTGTCCGCTTTCAGCTCTTATTCCATCTGTTCCGTTCCTAGTTAGTACTTCTTCAACCACACAGTAAAAGAAAAAAAAAAAGAATATAGAGAAAATAAAGACGAAAGGAAGAGCGTATGTCATCGATAACAGAAGCCACTAAGCGCACAACCCGGACAGCATTCATGAAAGACACAAATTCAGAAATGGAGTCCGTTACCGAAGCCACTACCACTACTAAAATCCCTAGAAGCCGCATCGATTTTAGCGATAAGGCCAACACTATCAAGCATATTGAAGAGATACCCAAGATCAATACCAAGGCCGACTTTTCAGTACTATATGAGCCATGGTCCATCCATAACTTTTATAAAAAAATAGATTGGGTTCATGTGCTGCCGTTAATATTCATGCCAATCTATGGGTTCTATACGGCATTGACGTCCGTACCATTGCAGCAAAAGACGGCCATCTTTGCTGTTGGTTATTTCGTATTCACAGGCTTGGGAATAACTGCAGGTACTTTTTTTTTTTTTTTTTTTTTTTTTTGCAGGAATATGGTTTGAGGACTTCTTGTTTTGTTTGACTTTTTTTGGAAAGCAAGAAAGAAAGGAAACAAAAAAAAAGGGGGGGGAGGAACAAAAAAAGGGAACGGCAACATCGCACATGTCGTACCACTTTTTTGTTTACTGAATAGAAAGCCAAGAGAAAAAAAAAAAAAAAAAAAAAACTGGCACAAGGCATTAGTCTTTGCTATTGCGGTGCAAGCAACGGTCCACTCACTACTCTTTGTTTTACTATAGGATATCATCGTTTATGGTCCCATCGCTCCTACGCTGCTTCACCCTTGCTACAATTTACTCTTATGATTGCGTCCACAGGAGCTATGCAAGGCTCCATCCTTTGGTGGTGTCGTAACCATCGTGCACATCATCGATATACAGATACGGACAAGGTATGCAAAGTTGTTAAATGAAGGTCTAGCATCATCTTTCAATCCCCTTGCCATTTCTGTTCCCATCTGACTAAACTTCTGATTATATTTGGCTCCATACTCATTTAGGATCCCTATGGAGTGAAGAAGGGTTTAATCTGGTCACATATTATATGGATGTTGATTTATCAGGATCCTGCTGCTGTGGGATGGGCAGATATCTCCGATCTGAAGGCTGATAAGTTGGTCATGTTCCAGCACAATCACTTCCCCTGGCTCGCGCCAATGATTTCCTTGGGTGTCCCAACCGTGGTTGCTGGATTAGGATGGGGTGATTACTGGGGTGGTTTTATCTATGGTGGCATTATACGCCAATTCATAGTCCATCAAAGCACCTTCTGTGTCAACTCGCTCGCTCATTGGCTCGGCGACATGCCATTTGATGATCGCCGTACTCCACGCGACCACCTGTTTACAGCATTGTTAACACTGGGTGAAGGCTACCATAACTTTCATCATGAGTTCCCTCAGGATTATAGAAATGCTATCAAGATCTATCAGTACGATCCTACAAAGTGGCTAATCGCCTTTTGCTCATTCATTGGTCTTGCTCGGGACTTGAAACGCTTCCCTTCTAATGAGATCAAGAAAGGTCAACTCAAAATGCAGCAAAAGAAGCTCGACAAGGTGAAATCGACATTGATCTGGGGTACACCGATTGATCAGCTTCCTATCTTCTCGTTTGACGAGTTCCATGACATGGCTAACAAAGAAGGTCGGGCTGTCACCTTGATCGAGGGCATCATCTATGATATCTCGAGCTTCATAGACGAACATCCAGGTGGGCGAAGCTTGATCCGTAGTGCCATTGGTAAGGATGCTACAACATCATTCAATGGCGGTGTATACGATCATTCAAGCGCAGCACGACATTTGTTGGAGCGGATGCGGGTAGGTGTAGTTGCTGGTGGTGGTTATGTAGAGCATCGATGCAAAGGCACGATTATTTCTCATGCATTAAAGCAATAAATAAATAAAGATCCCACGCATCTATTGTCAGTTGTTGCCAAATGTGGAATATATGCTTATTATTTTTGTTTACAAAGCCCAATTACCATTTTAGTGAAGCATTTTAAATATTCCAGTAGACCTGTGTTTTGCCATGTTCCTTGCCCCAGGCCCAGGGCGCTGTCTGTATATCTTTTATTCAGATCCAAGGTTGTTCCGTCTTTCTTTCCTTGCCTCTCCATTTCTCACTCTTCTTGAATAGAAACTCAGCATTATGACCAACATCTCTACTCGCAAGTCCTTTCTAAGAGTACCTGCTCCCACAAAGGCGAACGCTCATCCTATTCCTCCTTTCGGCTACCTACTGATCGCCCTAGTAGCCATTCAGTGGTTCCGTGCCACGTCCTTACCAGTCAAACTTCAGAGTGTAGGTGGAGCAGCAGCTTTCAGTGTCACAGGTAAGGCAGTTATTCTTTGTGCTACCGATTTTTGCATTCGTGCTAATAACGTGTCCCGCTAATTGTTGATACTCTTCGGTTCAAATAGAATATTTGTTCCATATGATGACAGTCCAATTGCCTGATGGCACGGTTTGTATTAAGCCATTTTCACGTCCTGGAAGCACTGTATGGTTACTCTACACAGTTTATGTGCCTTTTATTGTTCAAAGGAATGGTATATTAGACGTAGAGATGCTACAGTCCTCGACTATTTTGTATCCTAACTCCCCTCTGATCTATTCAACGTAATACTAGACTGTGCACCAATTCATCATGAATATCTTTTATATCCCAATCTTCATTAATGCCTACCATGCACTGACTGGCTCAATGCTTCAGCGTATTTTGTTTACCCCAATCAACGTCTGGGCTCTGGAACTCATTCAAGGGTAAGTGTAAACACGAGCATGGACATGGTCCTGATCCGTGCTAAATGTTGAATAAAGGGCCTTGATTGATCAGTTTGTTTGTATTTATCTTCACCAGAAACACTATGATCTATTTGATCGGATACAATCCTGCATGGTCCTATCAAGGTATGTGAACGACTTATCAGATGTCAATTATGAACAACATCACTATGCAGAGATATTAGGATATATCCCATGTTTGCTTAAACGTGCTCTGTTGTATATAATTATTAGGATATGATGCCTTCTGCCATGGCACGATCAAACTGTGGTTTGTCCATTACTGGCTGGCCATGGGAGTTTTGTATGAACTGGTCGTCTTGCGATACTTGATTCCCTTCTCCCACACAATTGTTGGATACGTTTCATAGATCTAAAGCTTAGACACAGATTTGCTTGTGAGACAGATTTTTGTATCATGAATTAAAAATTGGATTCAAACGTGGCAAGAACCTGTTGCCCTCATGTATCTCTCTCTGTCTGTCTCTCTCTTTTTCTTAATGTTTTCCTCCTTCCTATGTGGATTGAGAGTCGATGATTGGTTAGGCAAGATCGATAGGATCAATAAGATCAGATCATGCGGAAAGATTTGTAATGTCAGAAACCAATCAGGATGAAGACCAGATGCAATGAGAAAAGCAATGAGAGTAATAACGTAGACTCAGCGCGTAGCAAGCCCTTACAGAAAAGGATGACTCTATTGTTAGACGTATACAAGTGCTTTGCGCCAGCTAAGCGTCTACACGTTCAAGAGGATGTAGCGAGTCAGGCGATTCATCTCGCGTGGCAAGAATAAAAAATTCTCAGTGTTGAGTGCGCGAGACGTACCACCAGTTCGTGATGCAGGTTGATCGGGATGTTCAGATAGCGAGATGGTCATTTCACTGTTGACAGTCATGGTGAAGGCTCTCAGGTTAGATCTCATGACCACTAAACTCCAGGTTCTCAAACAAGAACTTTTGTAAGCGATCAAATCCATTTCTGATTTTACAAAGATCTTGGGAGGGCTTATTAGTCCTCACATTCCACGAGAGGTCATCTTCGCTGATGGTCCCATGCCTCATCGACGTGTAGTAGGCCCTATGCGCCGCTCACGAACCCACGTACATGAAAGGTTCAGTCCAAGAGCAAACCACAAAGCGAGGAGACCAAGTCGAAACCTCTCCATGACTGCCAACAATGTGACAAGAATTATTCTCGCACTACCGAGGGGCACAAGCAATGCTCGAAATATAGCTTTCTGGACACAGAGCGTCTGAATGTATCAGAAACGTCAGCCAATCTGGTAAGAATAATATCAGATTGAATGACAATTCCATCGCAATCAAATCGTCTCCACTGTCAATGCACAGGTTCTAACCGGCTCAAACAGTCGTTAACCATAGTCGATATCAGTTAAATAATAACGTCAATAAACCTAAAAGCATACTAGCCTTGTCTAAATATGCCAAGTCCTATTCTGATCCATCTCTTGGATCAACTTATGATGCTCTTTGGTAGCCAGTCTAGGATAGCTATGACAGTAGTCAATACTAAAGAACTACTATGGCATGGTTAATGCATCACTGCTACATTGCCCTATCGTATAAAAGTCTCATCTCTATCCATGTCGACTGCTACTTCTAAAGATGACGCCCATATCTCACCCAAACTTCGTCTTAACCATGACAGGGCTGACAAAAGGATCATTGTTTCTGTAAATTTGGAAGGAGAAAAAAGTATGGCAGACACAGGTGGAGTGTTACCATGATATATTATTGCATATTTGTTAAGAATTCGTGTTCGTTTTTTAATTGAGAAACGTGGTCTGTGCCCTACGACATGCTTGAGATTTTATACACGTTCGTTTTTTTTTTTTTTTTTTTTTTTTTATTTCTATCAAGGCCATCCCTACTTCCCTTTGCCCCTTCGTCCTTTATACTTTTACATTTTTTCATTTTTACTCAGATCGTCACCATGAAGCGCCAGCTCAGATCAAACTTTAAGCTGACGGGACTGGAGTTCTGAAAGAGAACCAAAGTCCTACTTCTCAGATTCCATCTCAAACGTCCACTATCCTTCTACATTTACCCTTTCCTTCCAAAGAAATAACCGCCAAATATGATTTTTTCGCAAATATACGTGCAACATTGTGTAGATACCATTACGTAGGCGTTGTTGAATCGCTCTCTCTGTCATTTCCTGCATTTTTTTTTTTTTTTTTTTTTTTTTATGAGAAGATTGGTATCGCTCGAGCGTATGGAAACTATGCTTGTTTCACTTACAAATTTACGGAGGGAGAATCGATGCCCCAATCATTGTTGCCTCAAGCGCTTAGCAGTGCTGATAAGGAAGCCCCTCGCAGTCTTCGCTGCTGTGATAGTGGGTCTAAACTCCTCGGGACACATTTGAGACAACATATGCGCGAGGCACATCCTACTAATATTTCAGTACCAATCGCATCACGATCATATGCACCAGGCATCTATGGCAGTATTTTAACCGTGATAGGACTGATTCCAGGAAACTGGCGCGATTGGTACGGTGGCAACGCGCACTGATGGAATACTTATGAATGCCAACAGCTCTATATCTTTGCAATTTGAGCCTGCAATGAATATTTTTAAAAGAGGTCTTAAATGGCAACTGTTTTTTAGATCAGTATGGAGGCTGACACCACAGCGTACCTCTAGCAAAAAAGTCGGGAAGGGAGTAGAAAATAATAGAGGTAGACGCTTGATGTTTTGTTTATCTTTAGGCTGGGAATAGAGGGGGCGAAAAATGGTAGATGTGCAGAGAAGTGGAGGTAATTAAAAGATGAATGTAGGTACATCATGATGATATAGCTGATATCTTGATACATGATTTTTTGAGTAAATAAAAAATGCACCGAGTAGGTTGGGACACCAGTATTGCTTTTATGCGCCATAATTGCAGCTTCGTATGAGCGACAAGAAACCGAATGTTCTCTGCTAGTAGGAAGCACAGAGGACCGGATCTGGCCAACCCATGAGCAGATGAAAGCTAAATGGGTAAATTTGCCTGTTTTACGATGCAAGGGATACACTAATGATTAAGCCCAAGATCTTTTGAATATGCCCCTATCACCACGGCTACCTTGGTCTTTGCGCCACCAACGCGTGTTTCTTACTTTTTTTTTTTTTTTTTGGGACGTAGATGGATTGGGGCCATGGATATTTTAGAAGAAACTCATCAATTATATCGTATATATGAGCTCCGACTAAGAGCTTGTCGTGTAAGACGACACGTTCGATAACTTGATAATGGATGTAACAGACATGGGAAAGGAAAGAAAATTAAAAAGCCACGTAACTGAAACTTTAAAGCGTGCCAATTGATTATTCGCCTGTCCTTTTTGGCATCTGCATCATCTGAGCATTGCATTCTTGCATTCCATCCAAATCCATTTTTTTTTTTTTTTTTTTATCTCGTCCTTCATTTTTCTACTCCCTTTATTCTTTTTCCTCTTCTGAACGTGCCCTCGACAGAGTCACCGCGTCTGCTCCTTTCTCCTTTCATCTGAATTTGATCATCTTCCTGCAATCAATATCTAACAGCCCAACCAGTATAGAAAACACCTCAGAAGGACACGCGTTTTTGTCATCATGGTAAAGATGCAGCCGAGCCTCAATATCTAATAATGAGAAGAAAACCTAGACATGATGACAATTTCAAGGAGCCGTCATGGATTCCCTTAACAATGTTTTATTTTACGATACTTACACCGTCATTCTTTTTTCTTTTTTCTTTTTTTTTTTTTTTTTTCTGACGATTTCAGGGCATGAAACTTGAGATCAAAGTATGATAAGAGTAATTCAATCAAGCATCTGCTAGCACTTTCCTTGAAACAGCTTGCCTGTCTCCTAGGGCGAACTTTTTCGTTCTTCCTTTTATACCTTTTTTTGACGTGTATTGTCCTATAATGCTGCTCACAATTATGGAGCTCCCCCTTTCAACGACTTTTTTCTTTTTAATCGTGGATTTAGAAAAAATTGATGGCACGCTCTGAGCGTGTCAAGTCCATGGACTTCCATCCGACAGAGCCATGGATCCTCGCCAGTTTGTACGATGGACATGCCTATATCTGGAATTATGAGACACAGGTATGCATCGATGTAGCTATTGTATTGTCTGTCTTAACTTGGTCGATAATTCATTATTGTAACCAATTGAGATTCTCTCTGGTTCAACTGTAATCTTTTAGGCGTTGGTCAAGACCTTTGAAGTCACAGATCAACCAGGTAAAAAAAAAGCGTGGAGAATATTGCGTGTTTTATAAATACTGATGAGGAGACAAGGAGACGTTAATGAATATATGCTATTCATGGATATACCCTCTTGTATTAGTCCGTGCCGCAAAGTTCATTGCTCGAAAGAACTACGTGATTACAGGATCGGATGACATGCAACTCCGCGTCTTCAACTACAACACACACGAGAAGATTCACAGCTGGGACGCCCATAGTGACTATATTCGTTGCATTGCTGTCCATCCTACTCTACCCTATGTTCTTTCTGGTTCGGATGATATGACGATCCGGCTGTGGGATTGGGACAAGAACTGGAAGTGCATGCAAGTATGTCAGAATGTTCTTTTTAGTTATGCTTGGCTTAATTAGTTTCATGGAAACATGTATATGATATGATAGGATAGGATAGGATAGGATAGCAACGTGTTCATTCATTTTCTCACACAACTTTTTTCTCTTTTTCTTTTTCCTTTATTTCACTCCTCTATATCGACCACCACGTAGACTTTTGAAGGCCATACGCATTTCATCATGACTGTTACTATTAATCCCAAGGACACCAACACTTTTGCCTCCGCTTGTGTGGATCGCACTGTGAAAGTCTGGTCTCTTGGATCCAGCGTTGCCAACTTCACATTGGAAGGACATGAGAAGGGCGTTAACTGGGTTGATTACTACTATGGAGGAGAGAAGCCTTACCTTGTGACAGCTGGCGATGACCAGCTTGTAAAGATTTGGGACTACCAGAACAAGACTTGTGTCCAAACACTGGAAGGGCATTCTCAGAATGTGACATTCGCGGTTTTTCATCCTGATCTCCCCATTATTATTTCAGGAAGCGAGGATGGAAGTGTCAAGCTCTGGCATTCCAACACATATCGTCTGGAAAACACTCTCAACTATGGCTTGAATCGCGCCTGGGCAATTGCCTACCGCCGGTCAACGAACGATGTTGGTCTAGGTTATGATCTTGGTTCGGTTGTTATCAAAGTAAGTCGACTTTTGCATTACTTTGCTTAACCTTTTTCTATTAATTTCATTGTTTTTACTATTTTACAAGGTTTATTCAACTATTTTGATGGCCGCATGGCAAGTTGGCAACTGTGATTAAATGGAAATATAATTAACATTCAAATGCATTCATAAAAAATCACAGCTGGGTCGTGAGGAGCCCACAGTCAGTATGGATAGTGGCGGAAAGATTATCTGGGCAAAGCATAACGACATTCAGACTGCCAATATCAAGGCTAGCATGGGTGACGATACTAAGGACGGTGAGCGTATTGTTTACGCTGCTAAGGACCTTGGTAACTGCGAAGTTTATCCTCAGATGCTCCAGCACAGTCCCAATGGTCGCTTCGTTGTCGTCTGCGGTGATGGAGAATACATTATTTACACTGCCTTGGCCTGGAGAAACAAGAGCTTTGGTAGTGGCCTGGAGTTTGTATGGGCACTGGATTCCAACTTGTGAGTATTGAATATCAAATGCATGTGCATTTGTTAAGAGACATATGTTTTTTTGAATATCCATTGTTAGAATAGCATTTGCTGATATGAGTGTTGTTGTTGTTTTTTTTTTTTTTTTTTTTCCTTCTTTTTCTGGTTCCAGGTATGCTGTCCGCGAATCGACTTCAAAGGTCAAGGTCTTCAAGAACTTTAAGGAGAAGCCTAACCATATCAGAGTCAACTACTCTGCTGAGGGTATTTTTGGGGGCACGCTTCTTGGAGTGAAGAGCGCAAGCTTCTTAAATTTATATGACTGGGAGACAGGCCTTACTGTCCGTCGGATTGATTGTAATCCCAAGAATGTAAGTGGTATATCCATTCATGCTTCTTTTTTGCCGGCTGTCAATTCACATCAAGATGCAGGTGACTTATTGCTTCCCTTGATGTATATCTGTCATGTGTATGGTATTGATTGAATAGGTGTATTGGTCAGAGACTGGAGATTTGATGACAATCGCCTGTGATGACTCGTTCTACGTCCTACGCTACAACCGCAATGCATACTCTCAGTTTGTTGAGAGTGGAGGCCAGGTTGGAGAGGAAGGTGTTGAAGAGGCTTTGGAGTTTGTTACAGAGATCGCTGAAAAGTAAGTCAATAATGCATATTTACTGTCATTTGTCAAGATGATGAATATATACCCTGTCAAAAGTAAAGTTTAGGTTTCTAATTCCAATTTGACTATTCAAAGTGTTCAAACTGGCTGCTGGGTCGGCGATTGCTTTATCTACACCAATACTTCCAATCGTCTTAATTACTTGGTTGGCGAACAAACACAGACGATTGCGCACTTTGATAATGCTCATTACCTTCTTGGTTACATTCCTCGTGACAACCGTCTCTACCTGGTGGACAAGGACGTCAATGTTGTCAGCTATGCCATTTCACTTACAGTGATCGAATATCAGACAGCAGTCTTGCGCGGTGACATGGAGACGGCAGAAACTTTGCTGCCTCGCATCCCTCATGAGCAATTAAATAAGATTGCAAGGTTCTTGGAAGGTCAGGACCATAAGGAACTTGCTCTACAAGTTTCTACGGACCAGGAACACAAGTTTGATCTGGCAATTCAACTTGAACGATTGGACATTGCTGTTGAAATTGCTCGTGTATCGGACTCTGAGCCCAAGTGGAAGACACTCGGTGATTGTGCTATGACCAAATGGAAAATCAATCTAGCGGAAGAATGCTTTATTCATGCCAAGGATTTGAGTGGATTGCTGCTTATCTACACATCTAGCGGCAATGCTGAGGGCATGCGACGATTAGCGACAATGGCCAAGGAAGCTGGAAAGAGCAACATTGCGTTTGCATGTTTCCTTTCTCTTGGCCAGGCAGAGGATTGTATCGACATCCTTGTGGAAACAGATCGTATCCCCGAGGCCGCCATAATGGCCAGAACATATCTCCCAAGGTACTGATGAAGATATATGATATGTCGTACTCGTGTTTTTTTTATTTTTTTTATTTTTTTTTTAGGCGAGAGTCAATACTTATGTCCTACGTTTTTATCTTTAAATAACTATTATAGTGCTGTGCCTCGCGTCCTCAAACTTTGGAAAGAATCACTTGTTGCAGCCAACAAGGAAAAGACTGCTCAGGCACTCGCTGATCCTACAGAATATGAGGATTTGTTCCCTGACTTTCAGTACGGACTTGCAGCTGAGGAGGCTGTAAAGGCCACACGATCAACACCAGTCCCCGCTACAGCCTACTATCAGTGGAAGGCGAGCCTTGGTCGAGATATTATTGCCGGTATATTATGCAAACCAAGCTGATGTCGGATATGCTTTTTGACCATATCAAGGATGATTCTTATGTGCTGATGCCTTTTTCCCTTTTTTTCCTCTAACCCGCTCTATCTTTTTCTTTCTCTTTCTTCCTTTTTTTCGATAGACATCAAATCGAATCAGGGTCTCCCAGATTTGCTGGCTCAGAATGCTGAGAACGGAGACCAGAGCGAGCATATTCAGGAGCAATATGATGAGGCCCCGTTGATCGATGTTAATGGCGATAGCACAAGTCACTTGCAACAATATCCTGCGTTGATGCAGGAGCGGGCAGATTCCACCATCAGTGATAACATGAGTCATTTGTCATTGGAGGTCAACACCACAGGCACTGGATCTGTGATGGACTATGAGAGTTCCGACCAGGAGCCTGTTGTGCAAGACGATGCCTTCGATAATTTGATATAATAGATGTACCAGACATGATAAATGAAAAAAGAAATGGGTATAATAAAAAATTTAAAAGCCACGCACGTAATTGAAACTTTAAGAAAGCGAGTTTTTTTTTTTTTTTTTTTTTTTTGCAAAAAACTAAGATGCCTGAGAACAATAATGTTAGCATGGAGACAATGGAGAAGCAACCATCTTTACGAGAACTCCTAAAAGCCATACGAGGTCTTCCACAACTGTTACCTCAGGAGCGTCGCGTAGTGTAAAAAAAAAAAAAAAAAAAAAAAGAAAAAAAGAAAAAAAAAGGCCACGCAGTGCGTTAGAGCAGAAAAAAATCTCAAAGGTCCATTTCTCTTTTCTTTTTTTTTTTTTTTTTTTTTTTCCTTTTCCTCTACCTCTTTTTCTTTTTCAAGTCTCCGGGAGGTGGTCACATTTTGCGATGAAAGTGATATACAGGTGCTTCAACGATTGCTTGGACAGACGACGCAATCAGGATTTGATCTCGTGTCAGCATTGCCTGTAGAGATAGCTCGTCAGATCTTTTCGTACCTGGATGGAATGGATTTGGTACGGTGTCGAGCAGTTTGTCATCCTTGGAGAAGTATGATTCAGAGGGATACAGGACTATGGAAGGCTAAAGTTCGAGCGTGGAATCCAGCTGAGTGTTTATTGTTAAAGGATTATCAGTTCGGGGCTACAACGAGCGTAACGAGGGAAAAGAAGAAGAAACACTGGGATCCTGTTCCTCGCCTTGCTCATGCTAGCGAAGGAGGTGAAGGCATTAACGGACCAAGCAATGAAGAGGATATCTCATCTGGGACAACCACAACAGCGTCAGCAATAGGAGATAGTGATAAAGAAGGCGAAACTCTGTTGGATAGAATTGGACAAGAAATCGGGTTCGCAGGATGGGAAGATGTATTGATCCAGGAATTGGCATTGAAACAGAATTGGCGACAAGGAAGGTATGTCTATGAGATGAGTGTGACGCTGGGAAGGAACATTAAACCCAGTTTGTTGGCATGGCCGTTTTTGTTCCTTGTGGATGATTGGCCAAGGCTTTATAAGATTAGTTTAGATCGAGTTCGGGAGGATGGATTCAAAGTGGTCCCTGTAGGGAATGAAAAGTATGCAAAGGCACTGGAACTTCAGGGCCATGGTGCAGTTAGCTGCATGGCTTGGGATCAGACACAGACACAGATGCGGACACAGACATCTATAAGACAGCTATCGTCGGCAGGAGGCGAGGCTGCAGTTACAGGTACGGATATAGCAATAGTAGAGACGCTATCATTGCCTATGCCACTGGCGATAGGAGGATTTTTAAGGCAAGTATTTTTATCTTTATTTTTATTTTTTGTGTTTAGATATCACCTAAAGCTGACATTGCGATTCATAATTTCCATTCGATCTATAATAGATCTGTGCGGGTGTGCAATCCGGATTCAGGGGTGGGTTTTATGTTACCTGATGTGCAACATGGGTTCCCATTGCATGTTTGTTTCTTACGAAAGCAGGTCCTTTCTGTGACATTGGATGGGCAGATTACATTTTTCCAAAAAGGAGGAGACTATCGACCAATTCGATCATGTACTGTTGGGACCAAAGTCCTTCAGATCACACCTCTGCGCTTTAATTGTAGTAGAAGTAGTAGTAGTAGAGGTAGTAGTAATAGTTATGTTAGTGGTGATGGTGGCGATGGTCCTTACTTGAACAGCAAAAGTTCAAACCGAAGTCGGTTGCGATCACGACGCCAACGACGGCGACCATCAGCCTTTAAACGGGAACACAACGGTCATTTGATCTCTTGGAGTGAAGTGATCTGCCTGGCACACGAGGATGGAATCATTGTCAAAGATGAGCATTCGTACACACTATGCAATATTAACTTGGAGTTAGGATCCAAGCTGCTGCAGTTTTCAGTCATTGCTGACGATGTAACATTCAGAGACGCAGATAGTGACACAGATGCGGATACAGAGACTGGAATTGAGGCAGATACTGGTACAGATACGGATGCGAATACAGAAGCGGATACAGATACAGATGTGGGCACAAATGTTGAGGCCAATGCTTGGACGGATTCTGCATCCAGTCACATAAACATCGTCTCTAGTCATGTCAACAACACTCCACATCATCATCGGACAGATGACTTTCCTCGAAACGAACTAATGCTTTTATTTGAAGACCCTAATACGCGACAACGTCGAGTGATGCGTGTGAAGATGTCTGCGGGCTTCCAATACGAGATATCGCGTCAGATCCTGACGCCTAGTTTTTCGTTGGGCCGAGGAGGAGATGCTCGAGATTCGATGACGATGTATCGAGATCGAATTGCGATTGTTAGTCATAGGCATTGTTCTTCAGACTTGGGGCATTATTGTGTACTTCGACTGATGGACCTGAAGGAAGATTTTGCTGCCACTACAGAATATACGGAGCAGGTAGTAGACGACGAAGGAGATGATGAATATGTTGGCGAAGATGTCGATGGTGATAGCAATAGCAAGGAGATTGTTTTCGAAGTAGGGGGAGGAGGCAGGCAGAAACAAGAACAAGAGGAAAAGAGGGATGTTGGCTCTTTCAGAAGTAGGAAGCATCCAAGGATTCAACGGCCAGGAAAGCCGATTCATTTGAATGACTTTGCAGGGCATAAAGCGGCATGTCGGATCCTAGCGATGGATCATGCGCGGATTGTGCTCGGGATGGGACCGAGGATTGTCAAGGTCCTATATCTGGTCTAGTAAGAAGAAAGAGGAAGAAATTAAAAATAACTGTCTGCCCCTAGTCAAGGCATTCTCGAGTCTTTTTTACACTTGCGTGTATGGGTGTGCATGTACGACATAAAAGGGATGCCAGAGTGATTCTCCACATGCCAACTGTGGCTGGTTCGAGATAAGAAAAGGGCCGAAAAACCTTTTTCTTTCTTGGTTTTTGCATGTGTTTCTGTTTACACCATTGGTTTTTATTCATTCACATTCACTCTTCTTTTTTCACGTCAAACATAAATAACATACGAATAATAACAATTCTAATCATAATTAAACTCATACTAATACTAAACTGATACGATTAATAATAATAATAACAATAGTAATAATATCTTTTAAAGAAAGACTCAGCCTGTTCGATTTTCTGCCTATCACTTTACCTTTAACGACAACAAAAAAAGATTCCCAACCATAAAAGCAAATTAAAGTATAAACCCCAGACGGAGTTTGGAGGCAAAAGGAACCTGGATAAACACAGTCTTCTGTGTCTCCCACAGTCACTCACATTCAGGTAACGAGCTTTTTTTTTTTATGAATTTCATAATTACCTGTAATCTCTGAAAAATGGGGTACAAGTTGTCATTACTTGCCAAAGTACTCAATTTCATCTCCTTGCACCTCCAAGCACAACAACTAAATCCAACCCGAACATCCTTATAACAAAGGGAGAAAAAAACAAACAAACACTTGACCACAGACAGGAAAGAACGAAATAATATAAAATAAACAACCGACCGACCAACCGACCGACTGACGACCATGCCAGTAGACAGCAGTCAGCACTGCCAGCATGCAACAACTCTAGCAGGCCGACCGAATCCATTGGCAAAGATAGACTCGTCTAGTTTCAAGGCAAGTCCTCTCTCTCTTTTTTTTTTTTTTTTTTTTTTTAAAGACTCCGCTACCCACCGAGTAATACTTTATCTGGACGCGCATTGACACCTAAAAAAGCAATACCGACCTTATTTAATTCAATAATGCCAGTCCTGGAAAAGAAAAAAAGAAAAGAAAAAGGGGGAAGGAAAGGAAGGAAAAGGATAAACAAGTAAAGCTGAATTTGTAGAGTCAATTCACCACTCTTCCTTTTTTTACAATTTTGACTCCACATTTGTCGTGGTGCAACGGCAGTAAGAGCGTTATTTGACTACTCAAGTCCTTTACCCTCCATCAACATGTGTCCCCACATTCTTTCGATCCCATCATCAGTAGAAGCAGAATGTATCACATCCAGTGTTATTACTATGAAAATGTATTATTACCGAAAATGATATAAAAAAAAACTTTTCAATACCAAGGATGTTGCTATTCATGAACAAAAGGGATAAAAGAATCACAAACACCTTTTAAACTTCCCCCATTACGCATGACCTTTTTGAAGCAAATTGTTTGGAAATATAACGAAAAAAGACATTTGAGGGATGAAATTGTCCAGAAAAGCGTCTTTATTCTTATGCATTCAATAAAACTCACATTCATTGTCCTTTTTTTCAAAAAAAAAAAAAAAAAAAAAAAAAAAAAAAACAGAAAAATCTATCGATGGCAAATTTGAAATGCGATGGATGCGAAGTAGGAGTTCCACGCCTTTGGATCTGTTTAGAGGTCAGTAAGCTTAATTGGAAATGATATCATGTCACGCTTGATGAATCGAATAAAGTTGAAAAAAAAGTTGGCCTCTCTTTCACTCATTTGTCATCCGGTTTGTGTGCCTTCTTCTTGATGTAGCCAACGTGTCGCACAATAGTCTGCACAACATCGCATGTCTCCCACATGAAGGAGCACTACACCTCACTTCACAAAGTAAGAAAAAAAAGAGAGCCATCAAAATGGCTGTTAAAGTTCAAGGGTATGGATAAAGTTTACTTAAACCTTAATTATCACTTCATAGGAATCAGTCAAAGACGCATGCCATTGTGTTTTCATGAATCCAAGGTGTGTTTTTATTTAATTTATCATTTCCCACACATGAAGAGGTTGGCCTTTCCCGAAGGCTCCTTCAAGGATATTGATGTTGCCTTGGACGCCTTTGAAATGCATTTTATTAGAACATTGACAATTTACTGCTACCGGTGCGAATGTGAGCTGAATCCATTCATTGATGGCGACTTGATATCGGCCAGCGGCAAAGCATTCTTAAAGAGAATAGTCCGGTCCATGGTAAGGTTACTTCTCCTTCTTGTTGTTGTGCATTTTGAACAATTTGGACACCCAGAAAAACAAAACAAATACTCCATAACACGGATAATTCTTTACAACTTAAAATGACTTTGTTTTCCCCTATTATCCCACTAGCAATGGAAGAAAAGCAAGCAGGATGGCGACGGGGCAGTCCAGGACTTGGATCTCCCGGGGTTGGTTGGCCTCAAGAACCTCGGCAATACTTGCTACATGAATGCAGCCCTCCAAGCACTTTCTCACACGTAAGGATTGACATGGATATAGGCTTTTTTTTTTTTATCTTTGTATCACTTCAACCAATGATTGTTAGATCAACTTCTCATCAATAAGTGCCTTATATGGGATTATGTTGATTCTCAACATAAAATTAGTCCTGCATTGGTGAGCTACTTCAAAACTTGCGAGGCTTTTATTCCGGAGGCAAGAGGGATAGAATACGCACGACAAAAGAATCATATGCTTGTTGATAGCTTCTATCACTTTGTGCATACCATGTGGAGTGGAAGAAGGTAGGTCCAAAGTAAAAATCCATGCTTGGCAAAATGTGTTCAAAAACTGGCATCTAAAACATATTTTCTTTTTCTTTTTCTTTTTCTTTTTTTTTTCTTTCTTTTTTTTTTTTTTTTTTTTTGTACATCTGGGGACGGAGTCAGCGCGGTTTTCTCTCCGAGTCATTTTGTGTCTGATGTGAAAAAGTACAACGACATCTTTGAGGGAACAGCGCAACAGGACTCACAAGAGTTTTTACGATGCATCATGGATAAACTACATGAAGAGCTGACATATCCAAGAACATCTCCAGATCCTAACTCGAAGCTCCTTTATAATGATAATAATATACCCATCTTGGATGACAAACCAGAAAGATCAAAGAACATTCAATTATCCCTGCAACAACAATCGCTAGTCCAACCGCCAAAGCAACGACGACCATCGGCAGCAACTATCGGTAGCATGAGCATCAAGGCAACTAGCACTACCAAGCCAAGATCAAAGAGCTTTGGGAGCCCTTCCAAGGAAATCAGCAAGGCGGAGAAGGCGGCAGCTGCACGAAACAAAAAGCGTACCACTAGTAGTACCTCGTACGCATCCTCTCGATCTTCTGTTTCGTCACGGTCAGCAATCTCCTCCGGGAATTCATCTATGTCTGAAAACGTAGAGATCACGCCGGCAAGAGCCACAGCGCCCAGTATTATTAGTGATATCTTTGAAGGAACCTTGGAGAGTCGTGTGAGATGTCTAAGTTGCCATAAGGAGTATATTAAGGAGGACAAGTTCTTTGATTTATCGATCCCCATTGACAAGAAGACAAAGATTACTGATGATATTGGAGTTGATAGGGGCGACAATGGGAGTAGCAAGAATAGAGATGGAGGGACTATGCTTGGCTCGTTTGTGGAATCCATAGGAAGCTGGTTGAAGTAGGAGCCAACGTGGATTTTATTGCAAAGGCATTTTATTTTTCTGGGCACGGCTATAGCCTCGTTCCTTTGCATTGACTATTTTCATATCATTGTCTTACATCATTCACTAGCATGGGGAACAAAAATATCAAGCTGCAGGATTGTTTAAATTCATTCTGTGCAACTGAAGTGTTGACGGGAGAGGACCGATACCGATGCACTCAATGTGAAGCGTTGAACGACTGTCGGAAGGCATTCCGGATCACTGTCCTACCAGAAACACTATGCATCCACCTGAAGCGCTTTCGTTATGACACCTACTCGTCCAAGATCAATACCTATGTCCAGTTTCCACTTGATGATTTAGATATGGCGCCTTATTTCAAGTCATCGGATCCGAATGAGCTTCAGCATACCAAATATGAACTCTATGCCATGATCCGACATCGAGGAGTCGTCGGAGGTATGCCATTTTATCACTCAAAAAAAAAAAAAAAAAAAAAAAAAAAAAATCAAATACTGTGTTGTTGCTGCAAATATCAAAAATAACTATTTCATATTCGATTAGGCGGACATTACATTGGCTATGCCAAGCATTCCATCGATAATCTATGGTATGAGTTTGATGATACAGTAAGTGTACCTCAATTCGTTTCAACTTTCGATATTTTTTTGTTATCTTCGAATATACTAACTTGGATTAATGGGAAACGTTGAAATTTTCATGAGTAGCATATTACCAGAAAAGCAGCGGCAGATGTTGCCAAGATGGAGGCATACATCTTGTTCTATCGCAGGAAAGCACCGCACCGTGAGGAAGATCGAGCTAGGATAGCCAAGTATATGACGAAACCGAAGATGCAGATTTATGACAAGGATTTGATGGTCTATATCTCACGGCTATGGTTCTGTCGCTGGTCCCACTTGATGAACGTAAGTGAAAAGAAGGAATTCAACTATGATATACCATTACATTTGTCCCTGTTGGCAATTTGTATCGACTATGGTTATTTGTTTATTTTTAACTTTTTTTTTTTTTTTTTTTTTTTTTTTTGCAACGCCTATTTTTTTAATTAGCCTGGCCCGATCAGTAATCACGATTTTTTGTGTCCTCATGGCGGTAAGATTGGTTTAAGTTTCCTTAATTAAAATTGTTTAATTTACTTATATTTTTTTATTCAAATGATATCTAACACCATCGTTCGTCCGTTGTTTGGACTATATGTCTGTTTTTTTTTTTTTTTTTTTTTTTTTTTAAAAAAAAAGGCATCAATGTGGCAACGACGCGCAATGTGATGGATATGGTGATGCCGATTCCAAGGATAGCATGGGACGCTTTGGTTGAAATGTACGGTACCGATGGAAGTCCAATTGTGAATATAAGTGCTCTTGAATCTGAAAAAGAGATGGCATGTGCCATCTGTGAAGTAAGTCATTGTTTAAGATGTTATATTTTTTTTTTTTAAAAAAAAAAAAAAAAAGCTCAACGACCAGTGAATTGACAAACACTTTTATAAACACCTTTTTATATCTCCTTAACTTTTAGGAAGAAGAGCTAAAGTTGAATGAGAGACGAAAGCGCGAGGATGAAGACGTGTCAAAGCTAGATTCCAAGGCTATTGAAGAAGGGCAGCTTTGGTATCTTATTGGTGCTGATTGGCTTCGGGAGTGGCACGCATTCAAGGCAGGAGGTAAAAAAAAAAAAAAAAAAAAAAAAAAGGCGCCTTGTTAAATTTCAGAATAGTTGATTCGATCTTCATCAACAAAGCATTGGTAGATGACTATTTCATGAATGTATTTTATTATTCTAGACAAGCCTCCAGGGCCTATTCGTAACTCTCAATTCCTAAAGGATAATGGACAGCCAAGAGCTGGCATGATACGAGGTAACTATTAAAAAGAAGGAAAAAAAGAAAAAAAAAGTTACTGTACAGCAATTCCTATGTTGAGCATGGCGTCTGAATTGTCTTTTATTTCTTCTCTTGATCCAGGCCAAGACTATCGTGGCATTAATGCAAATGTATGGAACTATTTGCATGGAATATATGGAGGAGGACCAGTGTTTGTTCGTGGTATGTCTAAAGCCGCTCCTTGTCATTGTTGCTACTGCTGCTATTGTCATCGTTGCTCAAATAGTTATTCATCCATTCGTTTTCCTATGATTTTATTTACTTTATATTTATTTCTATTTTTTTAATGGACGGACATTTTAGCTACGCTTGATCTGTATGCGCCAGATCCCAAGACGCTGTCGCTCAGTTCACCCCGCAATAACTTTTATTCTCAACAACAACATCAACAGCATCATCATTATTATCAGCAGTATCAACATCAGCATCAGCATCAGCATCAGCACCAGAATTCAGCCAATGGGCATCGCCACCTTCATATGTATTTGCATCAACAGCAAAGCCAATACCAGAGCCATCAGCATCAGTCTCTACAACAGCAATATAATTATCAGAATATGTATCAGAATGGCAATGTGAAGAAGCATCGAAATTCAGGATCTACCTCCATTGTCATTCCGAAACCCGTCATCGTCTAAAAGATCAAACAAATAATAGTAGTATATAATAAGATGCTTTACTTGGTCATTTGTATATATGTATAATATGTTGCATGTTATCTACATGTATCATTTAATAATATTTTTTATCTGAACATCGGTACATTGGATGAATGTAATCTAATATGTTAATGTTCTAAAAACTGAATGTGGCTGTAGGAAGAATGGTTGTTACACAAATGTTGGACGCATTATGATGTGATAAAAATGCCTATTAAAAAAGGGGAAGAGGAAAGGTCATTCTCACTCCTTGGGTTACTTCATTGGCATTGGCTTTTTTTCCAGGAACAATTTTTTTTTTTTTTTTTTTTTTTTTTTTTTCCAAAGTCAGGAACAACAAATCATATCAAGGAGAATACACTTTACACCTTCACCTCGTCTTCATTGTTTTATTCATTAATTAAGAAAGGAAACTACGAATTCATAAAAAAAAGAAAGTCATGCAATTCACAGGCAGTCGCTACATTGTTGCAGGAGTATCATTGCTAATTGCCTACATTGCCATCTCGAGTCAAGTGTTTGTCTTCATTCCATGGCTTTATTCTATATCGTTACAAAGAGCACTCCAGGTCCTGATACCGTTTAACCTAGGAGTTTTCTTTATCGGTTGGAACTATTACCTTGCCTGTACTACTGATCCAGGAACAACACCGCCTGGATGGGGCGTAGGTTTTTTTTTTTTTTTTTTTTTTTTTTTGGTATAAAGGGACGCCAACTATAGCTCTTTTTTATAACAAATCTTTTTTTTTTTTTTTTTTTTTTTGTAGATACCAGAAGCTGCGGAAAAGAAATCAAAAGGACTAATCAATGGGGTCAAATCTGCAGGACCAACTGAGACTTTATCAGAATCAAGAGCTGAAGGTCATTCTACAGCCATTCATCATCAACTCCAACAGAAAGTCAAGGAGAATGATGGTAGGAGCCATGACAATGACGACGGCAATGACGACAACGACAACGGCAATGGCAATGGCAATGATAATGATAATGATAACGACAATGATGATAGTACATTGGTTCAGAAAACAAAGTCGAAAAAGAAAAAGAATCCTTTGCCACGATACTGTCGAACCTGTGAGGCGTTCAAACCACCACGATCTCATCACTGTCGAATTTGTAAGCGATGTGTTCTCAAGATGGATCATCACTGTCCCTGGATCAATAATTGTGTGGGCTATCACAATTATGGACATTTCATCCGCTTCATCACTTGGGTCACATTGACAACGGGCATGTGTATGGTCCTATTGGTCTGGAGGATAGTAGATGCTATCCAGAATGAAATATACTATCTTGTAAGTGAAATGAGAAAGAATATTAATGAAAAAAATTATTGTGGTTTCAAACCACTGGCACCGTAATCTAATTTTTATTTTTATTTTTATTTTTTTTTTTTAAAAAAAAAAAAAAAAAAAAAAAAAAACCAAGTATACGGGCACAGGACCGACAAAGACGCAGATTATTTTCATGGCAATTAACATTGCAGTAGATGGAGGTGTACTTTTGGCAGTAGGGATTTTGACCATCTATCATCTCTGGAGTATGATCACGAATACTTCGACAATTGAGGTCTGGGAACAAGAAAAAGTACAGGCCATGATCAAGAAAGGCAAATTACGCATGGTAATAAAACTACAACAACAACAATAACAAAAAAAAAAAAAAAAAAAAAAGCTGTCTTTGTTCCCACAGTGCCCTCTTTAATATAATTTTTTTTTTTTTTTTTTTAATAGACCAAATTCCCATACGATGTTGGTTGCTATCGCAACTATCGTCAGGTGCTAGGTCCTCGTATGTGGCTCTGGCTTTGGCCTCAAAAGATGCTTGGATCTGGAACAGAGTTTGATGTTATGGACGATAAGGATGCAGCCATGATCTGGCCTCCGCGCGAATACCAAACTTCCAAGAAACAAAATCAAGCATTTGTCTCAGAGTACACCACTTCATCCATTCGACAACGAAGAAAGAGGAACTTGAGCTCTTTAGGAACACCCCTCAGTCCTTCAGATGATATAAATAATGACAATTTCATCACCCAGACGACAACATCTACTGCTATCAGCACAATTACTAAGAAGCGTCGAAGCGAAGGAGGAGGAGGAGGACATAAAAGACGTCCTTCAAAAAGCCTAGCCGCACATCCTCAATACCCAACACATGTTCGTCGTGGGAGTGAGGGTTGGATCGTTCAGGATTTGACACTGCAGCAGCGTGCAGAATTATTTGATCGTCAACTGCAGTATCAGCGCGAACATGGTGACGATCTTCAAAATGGAGGTGAAGAGGATGAAGGAGAGAACGAAGAAGCAGAGTATCAGGAAGGTCTATCCGATATCGAAGGTAACACATATGGTGGACTGCCTGGTGGAATGCAGGGCAACCCTGACGATTACAATTATTATGAAGGTTACGATGTTGCGGACGAGGATGAGGCACTACAACAACATGTTTCAAGCTCTGAAGAAGACGATGATTTACCATACGATGTGATCAGTGACGAGTATGACGATGATGGATATAATGATGAAACATATTATCGTGGTCATGATGATTTGGATCATGATGATTTAGACGAACATAATCCCTATCTTGCCTATGCAGATGAGGATAATGAGGAGCAGGATGAAGGGATCACAGCAGATATTGAGGACGAAGTGACCCTTAACGGTCGAGATCGACACAAGATCGGGCGCTTCTTTGAAAATATGAACCCTACCTCTATCCACAACCAAGTCGGGAGCGAGGATGAGGAAATTGATGAGTGGTCAGAAGGAGAAGGGTTGGATGTAGGTTGTCGTCCTCCTACTACTGGGATATCAGGATTAGGCCGTGTGAATGGTGAACCCAGTGTACGATATGATCCTACAAAAAAGACATTTTTTACCATGCTGGTGGAGCGAGAGGAAGCATTGAAGCGGCAACAAAAGATTGCAAAGACTGGCAAGCGTTAATAGAAAATAATAATGATAATAGCATAAAAGTGGGAAAAAAAAAAAAAAAAAAAAAAAAAGACTTCTTTACCTTATTCGTAGCACATGACATGGTCCGATTGATTACTATTATCCTCAATGTTATAATTTATTACTATTGACATGGCGGAATGTTCTACTTGTTGTTGGTTAAAATGTACTGAAGTCGATGATGTTTTTTTTTTTTTTTTTTTTTTATTTTTTTTTATTTTTATATTTTTTATATATTTATTTATTTTATTTTATTTTATTTTATTTTATTTTATTTTATTTTATTTTATTTTATTTTATTTTTTTTTTTTTTCAAACGTTGTGGATTATTAGGACTGAGAAAGGATCAAGCAATGTTGGACGCTCGAAGATTATTAACGATACTGTCTGATTCTTCCAGCTTGTCGAATCCTTTACAATGTTTCACAACTATCTTCTTATTAGTCTCCTGCGCATGTCCTCCTAGCAACATCTCGTCCATAACTTGATATGCCTATCAAAAAAAAAAAAAAAAAAAAAAAAAAAGGAGGGGAGGGGGCATCAGAACAACAAAAGTAAGTATTTTGTTCGCATTAGGAAGAGAGTGAAAGAAGATAAAAGTGGAAGGGGAAAAGAATTTGAAAAAGAAAACATACTGCAGAGTAATTGTAAATGATATCGAGTTCACAAACGTTTCCGAAATATTGATCTAGGCATTCGACATATTTGTGAAGTACTTCCAGCCCTGAGAGTTCATTGTCATTCCAATCGATTCCAAAACAAAAGAACAGCGATGCGTATCTAAAAAAAAAAAAAAAAAAAAAAAAAAAAAAGAAAAAAGGTAGTGTTTTACAATATGAGAATACACGTTAGTCAAGCTGAAATATATAAAAAAAAAAAAGCTCACTTGATCCAAACTCGTTTGTTACATGATTTTATCCTAGAAGATAATAGACCGCCTTTTTTTTTTAATTTTTTTTTTATACCTTTTATAGATACATTTGCCTCGTGCCTCACGTCTTCCTTCGAGCTCAAGAATATTACACATGCCTCGTTTTCTTGCCAGGATCTGTGTCACAACATCCTGACTGAGCGATGCTTTTTGTTTGTCTGTCATGTATTGATACCATCTTGTGAGACGAATCTTGCCCTGTCTATTGAAGATGAGAATGAAGTTGATCTAGATGAGAAAAAAAAAAAAAAAAAAAAGGGAGTGTGAGAGTGAGTAACTTCCTTGGACTATCCAATTTACTAAAGGTAAAAATAAAAAAAAGACGCGCAAGATGATGATAGTCAAACGAAAAAAAAAAAAAAAAAAAAAAAAAAAAAAAGGCGTATTTCTTTCATTTTCTTGAGGCTACTTTGACCTCTGAATTCAGGAACAAAAAGACTTTACCATCGCGTCGGGTCCTAGAGATCTGATGGGCGTGTCGAGTATTTTATTTATTACTGCTGTAGTTGTTGTTACTGTTCCTTGATGAGTTTATCCGTAATAGGTATTGTTATTATTTAACTCCAGGTCTTAAAAGTCGATTGAAGGTGATGAGTCCCGATGGTGCCGCTGTTGAAACAGATGAAAGATGTTGGAGAGAGAGTCTGGAGGAGACTGCATTTCCTGTACTGGCTTTAACAGTCACATTGGAGGGCAAAGCAGATAAAGGGTCGCAAGAAGAAGTTAAAGGAGAACCGCGTGATTAGAGTGTACATGTATAGCATGTATAGTATACACGAAAAGAAGGGAGAGATACTCTACTGGAGGATTATGAGCTTGAGTAGGGCACTAAGATGTGGTATATGTCTATGTAAACTATTTGCCTCCTCAGAGTTGCTCTTAAAAAAAATCGTCATTTGTAAGAAAGAGAGTTACTAAGTTAGACTTTAGTACTTAATCTTTAGTAGAAGTGGCAGGACCACAGTTTCATAAGCTGCAATGAACTGTATATTTTTGGCGGAAAAATAAATGCTTCTGTGATATCTACAGGAATACAGGTTCAAGAAGTAAAAGAGATCTTTAACAAAGAATATAATGTGGTACATGTGTAATAAGTGAAGCTGTTTGTGATGAAAAGCAGAAGTAGTTTACTTTCTTGTTCTTGAGAGCCAACTCTTCAGTTTTTGAACCCAAAATTAGAACAAGAAAGTAGAATGGGATGATGCAAAAAAAAAAAAAAAAAAAAAAAAAGATCGCTCAGAAGCAGGCAAGTTGTTCAAACAAGATGGCTCGGTGACAAGGAGAAAAGAAAGAGAGACAAAGGTAGAGAGAAAGAGAGAGAGATGACAGGTTGTCTACTAGTGTTCTTGGCAGGGCGCCTTTGGTAATCATCCAAAAGCTAGCTGGCGCCGGAGTAAAATTGGTCTCCCAGAGCTTAAAAAAAAAAAAATTGGCAGTTACATAAAATGAAAGAGAGACACAACAAATGACAACAAGAGAATGTCCTTTGTCACACAATTTAGAAAATGAGATTTGGATGAGTGTAAACAACTTTGTAACGGCAAATGTTCACTGGGCTATTCTATTGACAAAAAAAAAAGAAAAAGCTCTCTCTCTCTATCTCTCCTATTGTCTCTCCTCTCCTCTTTTGGCTCTTATTATTATTATTCCCTTGTCCTTCTCTTCCTTTCCTCTCTCTTTTCCTTTCTTTTCTTTTTCTTTTTTTTTTTTTTTGTCTCATCATTCTCTGCTCCACCTTCATCTCATTTGTCCTTCTACTACATACTACAGCTGCACCTGCACGTTACACCCTCTTGTAGCCTCTCCCTTGAAATTAACTGTCTGAGCTAAATTTTTTTTTTTTATTTTTTTTTTTTTTTTCCTTTTCTTTACTCTTCCATCATCTGGCTCCTCATTCTTGTTTTCTTTGTCAATCATTTGCTCAAACACCTCATCCTAATCTCACATAATGTCTTGCGACTTGACTGATCCCGCCATTCTCGAGGCTTACAACGACATCGTCTCAGGCACACCCACCAACTGGTAGGTCATCTTTATTATAAGTCCAACCTCTTGACAATCCAGACTCTTTTTTCTTTTCTTTCCTTTTGTTTTTTCTAACCTTTCTTTATCTGCTGAACTGTCTGGCATAGGCTCATCCTTGGTTACCATGATACGCGCGACAAAATCTCGCTCTACTCCAAAGGCACTGGTGGTCTCGAAGAATTGACCGCTAATCTCACGGAGGAGGTGCTCTATGGATTTGTCAGGATTGAAGATCGCTTTGCCCTTTTGGCATATGTCTCGGAACAAGTCAGGTAAAAAAGAAAACAAAAAACACGAAATGAAGAAAAGCTTCTGCTGCTTGCCCTTTTTTATCGTTTCAAACAGTTTGAGCGGGATTGCCAATTAGTTTCACAAATTATTGTCTAATCGAGTCTGTGCAACAATGAAAAAAAAAAAAAAAAAAAAAAAAATCACTTAATGAAATGCTTTTTTATTTTAATCTTTATATTTTTCATCGGGTCCCGCTCTCTCTCCATCTGCTCTCTTTCTTCTCAGTGGCCTTCGTCGTGGTAAGGAAATCCAGTTCATGCTATCTCTCTTCTATCTGTACCCATCTGTATCAGAGAATTTGCACCAATGAAATGAAATCTTCCGTGCTAATGCTCAAACTCTGCGTCCATTTTTATATAGCGCGTGCATTGGTCCACGGAAAGGCTGTTGGCGCCTTGTTTAAGGCCAGCAATGCCCAGATTAACACTTCGAGCCTTGCTGAGCTTACCGAGGATAGAGTTCGCGCCCGTCTTGGTCTGATTGAGGGACCCCCTACACCCGAGGCTGCCTCTCCTGTTCTCCCCCCCTCGTCACCAGCACCCGCTGCATCCCCAGTCCCAGCACCTCGTCCAGTGACCCCTGTTTCTCCCGCTCCCGCCCAACCTGCTCCATCTGGTATTGATACAGTCGTTCAACAAACTGATTCAGCGATCGCTAGCCCTGTCAGGACCGGTTCTCCACGCTCAGGATTGTCCACCCCTAGAACGGAGCGTCAATTGGAAATTGAGGCTGCTGAGCGCAAGGCTCGAGAGGAAATGGAACGCCAGCGTCGTGCTGAGGCCGCCAAGCGCCAGAGAGAGACTGAGGAGCGTGAGGCTCGTGAGCAGGAACTGTTTGCTCAAAAACAGGCGCTGGAGTTGGAGCGTAAGCACAAGGAAGAGAACGACCGTGTGGCACGTGAGGCGATGAAGAAACAGCTGATTGAGATGGAACGTCTTCGTGGCTTGGGACTTTCTGGTTACATTACTATTCAGAGTGCTGGCTCACCCTTCTGGAAGCGCCGTTTCTATGTGATGCGTGGACAGGTTTTGGCTTTCTTCAGAGATGAGAATGACCGTGCTCCTGTCTCACAAATGAACCTCGGTGGTCAGGTTGCATATATTGAAGATGCCTCGCTAGAGGTACTGATCCCAAATAGCTTCCGTGTTGATCTCAAGAATGGCGATACCCACTACTTCTTCAGTGACACGACCAAAGATAAAGAGATGGCTATTGCTGGATTCATGAAGTGCAATGAGTCTGCATAGATCTGAAGTTACACACATCTTTTTTCTAAATTCATGTTACCCGTCTATACAAAAAAAAAAAAAAAAAAAAAGTATCGAATTTTGATCACAGACCATCAACCACTCTGCACTCAGTTGCAACATCATAAGCTTGCTTTTTCCAATCAAGAAAATCAGACACTTAAAAATACATTTCAATAAAACACTTAATGCACAAAGGATTAAAAATGAAATACTCTCAAAAAAGAACTCTTGATTCCTGAATGTGTCTCTTGGTTTGTAAGGCCCCAAAGTTTGCTCAATGGTTCATGAGTTTGAGCTTTTTGAGTTCCTTTGGAAAGAGAACCTGCCATGCCTACATGGCGTCATTCAAAGGATGTTTTTTTTTATATTCTGGGCTTGAGATCGTAAGAGTCGCGTTTACGCATGATAGGGAAGAGACGCGATAATTGATTCCTCGTGTGTCCCGATAGTCCCTAGGACTGAGAAAGATATCTTTTTGCTCCTTCCATTCCAGTAATGCATGTTAAACTTTTTAATACTTTCTGCTTCCAGTTCTCTTCTTAATACTCTATCGATTAAAGTCATTCTTTATGTTCAGACTTATACTGTTTTTCCTATATTTGTTGCTTCCTTATCTTTTTTTTTTTTTTTTTTTTTTTTTTTGTAGTGATTAGTAATAGCAAAAGAAACATATTGAACAAATGGAGGGTAATTGGGGTAATTGCGGAAACGCGTATTTGCGTCCGGAGGAATTATTCATTCGACAAGAATATTCCGCACGTACCTCATTTACCACATCAAGTGATGTAAGTTTGAAGAGAGAGAGTAGGTGAGTGAGATTTAAATGACACAACTACTGAAACAGAACGTCAGGACGAGATAGGAAGGACCCCTAAGAACATTGGGACGGATGAGATAAAGTAAAAAGAACAAAAGCCCTGAACGTTTTTCGCAGGTTTGCACACACATGTAATAGAAGATCTTTTTACTCTTCTAGCGCTTTTAATTCTTTAATTATTTTTGTTTTCTATGGTAAATATTCACTTGATCAGTAACAACGTCAGTAAACAATAGCAGTAACCCAATGCCAGTAACAGCACCAGTACTTATGCCAGCGTCAGAATCAGCAACAGAATCAGTGTCATAATCAGTGTCAGTCTCAGAATCAGTATGAGTCCTGACTTTTTTTTACCCTTTTTTCCCTTTCTTTTCCATTCTGGTATATGTTTTTTTTATTACTTATTTCATTTTCCTTGCTCATACCCATCCACGGATACACCTACTTGAGTATCCTTTGTCAAAAAACATCTATTTATTCACTTCCTGTGGTTCTTCTTCCTCCTGGCAACTATCTCTCACCCTTTTTTTCTTCTTCAACGACTCCCTTTAATTGTTGAAAAAGGCTTTTTTTTAATTTATTTTTTTTACCACCAAATTAAAACTTTGGTTTTTGGATATTTGAACTGACTTGCCGTGAATAGGATTCTGGTTTGGTGGATCTTTTTTTTATTCTAAACAAAGGTAGTGTTCATTATTAACACAGATGTATAATTTAAGTATCACATTCCACATCACATCACCTTCTCCCTTTCCTCTTTCTTTTACTTCTCTAATCTCTCTCTCTCTCTCTTTTTTTTTTTTTTGCTCTCTTCTTTTCCCTCTCTCTCTCTCTCTCTTCCTTTCTTTACGTCCTTTTGCTCATTTACTTACTTTTCTTAATCAACCTTCTTCCGATACTTAGCCTTACTTAATTTCATCTCTTTCTGATCTCTCTCCTTCACAATATGTCGGCCTATTTTGAACATAAAGATCAAAAGTCACTTTGGAGGTAAAAGAAGATAAATATGCTTGTAAAATCCCCCAATCATAATCTCTTCACTATCATCATCAGCATCATCTATCATCCTATCCTGCCCGATCAACATGGAGAGCTATTTAAAAAAAAAAAAAAAAAAAAAAGATATCACCACTACCATCTCTATACTATAATAAGGGCGATACATGAGTACTGCTGGTAATACATCATTCACAAATAAAAAAATGTATGACCTGTATGCCCTCTAATGTGTTCCATTGATTTGGGTTGGATCCTTTTGTTGGACAGGTCCTGAGAAAGACAGTAATAATTGGCCTAATCATGGCACAAATGGTGTGGTACGAATGGCATAAAGAGCCTTGTGGTACAAAACAACAATAACGCAACACAGACAGAACACACAGACAATGATCAAAGGAGACTTGTAATAAAAGCATTTCAAGTGTCTCCATTATTTCTTACTGACGTCAAAGTGAAAAAAAATTTCCCCACAGTGTAGTACTATTCCAAACAATGTTTGCAGTAATCATTGTGTATCTTTTGCATTTCATTTCTCACATGCCCTCTCTCTCTCTCTGCCTTGATCTGACCACTATTGTTAAAATGCAACTATAGCTATACTACACCAACTTCATCGAATCCCTCGATGTCAGTCCTTGGACCTCTCAGGAAACGAGAATACCAAACACGACAACAACAAATCAGGTTCGGGACACCCCGCAGGATCGGATGCGCACCTAAACGTCAGGAGGAGCATCTTAATTCAGAACAAGCTCCGTTGGATACATCTAAAAAGTCAGATATCCTTAAGAATAGCCACAGCAGTACCCATTCTACCCCCAATGACAACTCTAGGACAAACCTCACCTCAGTCTCTGGAGTAGCAATGTCAAGAAGCGATTCTGCGCCAAATTCACGTTCAAACGCTACTCACCAGGAAGGAGAGTCGGATATGGTTATGGACTGGACAAACACTACAGACTCCTCGATATCACAGTCAGCTTCCTTACCTCTGTCTTCTTCATCCCCCGCAGCATCCTCTCTAGGCTCAACTTACAACAAGGGGTTGGCATTGATGAGCATAGCTATGGGGTTCGGTAACTCTTCATCCCCCTCTGGTTCTTCTACTTGTGCACATGGATCCAACAACCTGAGAAACTCACATCTTTCCGCTGCACAGCTCGGAGGGGCAGGTAGACGCAGGTCTTCTCCTTCTTTCTCAACAACATCCCAGACGCTGCCGCCTCACCAGTCCTCGTCATCATCCTCATCTTCATCAACGTCCGCTGGAAGCGCGTCCACAATATCACGTTTGAATCCTGCAGCAATATCTAGCGCCCATACTTGGGTGTCATCTTTTTCTTCTTCTTCCTCCTCCTTAACCGGTACTGCGAATGATTCAAATAAACACTTCAAAATTGGGGATTGCAATAGCATTCACCACCAACAACAACAGCAACGGACCATTGGTACCAACTACTACTCTTCAATATCAGACAATGGCATGGATTTGGTGAGCTCGACTATCCCGACCATCATCAGCGAGCGTGAGTTCATCATGGAGAACTTTGATAAAATCTTTGCAGTAGCATGGGTCACAGATGAAGAAGTCCTTTTAGGGACTAAATGTAATAAGGTATGAATGGTTCAATAGAGGAAGAGCCATCAAATGTGGTCTCTAGAGATCCTGCAAGTAAAGTTATCCTAATTTTTTTTTTTTTTTTTTTTTTTTGACTGACCATTCTAGATCCTACTATTGAACACGCGAACAAACAGGCGTATATACGTTGGACGATTGGATGAGTGCTTGCTGGAAAATACTGAGAATGAAATTGCTCGTATAAAGACCTTAGCAGCTGATTGGAATCAGGACTCACCTTCTCAGTCACCCAATGGGACCATTACGCAAACAGCGGCCACAGCCAGAGCGAGAACTAGCAGCAATTCAAGCTTTGGCATCTTCAGTAGTTTGGAGAGAGGGCTGAACATCTTTAACCTTGGCCGTCGTTCCTCTACATCACATTTACTTTCGACATCGTATCCTTCTGGCGACAACAATAGGAACTATGCTATAATCAATAATAGTTCAAATGGTGGCCATAGTTCTGCTGTTAATAGATCTTCAGGGGCCCCGCAGTATATGTGCACAGGTTCAGCATCAACAGGCATACGATCCTTGGCCATTAATCCCTCACGGACTCTGTTGGCGGTTGGATCAGGAGAACCTTTCCAAGTAACAGTCTATTCACTTCCGGAATTTGTACCCGTAGGCTCGATGTATGGACATACCGATCTTGTGTTTTCGTTGACCTGGGTATCAGATACAGTCCTAGTAACTGGCTCGAGAGATGGATCAATGAAAGTATGGACGATGAGATCGCCTGTGTTGACGACTTTGCCGACGATTAGCGGAGAAGTTGAAGTGCGGTTGTCAGATCTCACAAAATCAGAGGACAATACTAAAATCCGTGATCTGACATTTAACAGAAAAACTCAGGTGAGTCACTTTTTTTTTTTTTTTTTTTTTTTTTTTTAAAAAAAAAAAAAAAACTATGAATCATTAATTGTATTGCATTAACTAAATATCTACTTTTGCCTCTGGAATAGCAACTGATGACTTTGACAACAGAAGGGTTCGTCAAGCTTTGGGACTGTGGGAATTATGCTCATGTAAGCAGAGGTGTGCATTATATCGCCATAACTACAATAATAATAAAAAAAAACTAAATTGCTTATATTTATTTATTTTTTTCTTTCACTTAATAGTTGTCCAAGATCAAGCTCCCATATGCAAACGAAACCGTGTGCCTGAGCACCAACTCGGAGGCGAACCTATATGCAGTTGGTTCACAAACTCACATCTCGATCATTGATCCTCGCGTCGTCAATGTTGTCCATAACATAGAATCATGTGATGAAGGATGGGGAGTTCGTTCGCTCGATTTCAAGAGTCATATCGTTACTACAGGAGGAGGATATGGTCGGATCGGTTTTTATGATATGAGAGCACAACGGTATCTCAAAGGCTTTGATGACGGTAAAAATACAAGGTATTATCAAGATATCGGACGCGGTTGGCTGGTAGGTTAAAACTTTATGAACTTTCCAATTTTTGTCCTTGTAGACTCTGTTTTTTATTTACAGCTTTTATTGTGCTGGTCTCATCTAACTTGATTTTTTTTTTTTATATTTTTTTTTTTTTTTTAACTTTTTCCTTAGAACCGAGACACTGCATACGCAGCTACTATCTCTGGCTTATCGATTCGCAATGCTATTTATGCGATGGAGTATGATTCGACGGGGACTCGCCTCCTTGCTTCAGGTGGACCCCTCCAACTTGGTCTTTCTGGCGCTTATGTCGGATTGTGGGAATAAAGGGGATAACGGCTTGTCTCAAAAAGATAGACAAACTGCGATAACCAAAAAAAAAAAAAAAAAAAAAAAAATAGACAAGAAAAAGCTCCTTACTTTCACGCAGATTCAAAATAATTATTATACTTAATCACAAATAATACAGTCTTTTACAAAGAGAATACAAACTATCAAAATCTAAACAAGAATACTCTCGTACTGGGACTAAGTCGATTATTATTATTATTATTATTATTATTATTATTATTTGCTTAAGCGAAGGAGGTAATTTTTATTCAAACTGTTGGTATTGGGCGAAGCCAAGCCATTAAAGGCAAGATCAGATAAAAAAAGATTCAAAGATAGAATTCCACGTGACTATTATTAAGTAATAAGACTCAGGCATGCGCAATTCTTTCAACATCTTTCAACACCTAAATCAAAGTTGAACACAGAAGCATGTCCACGATTCAGCATTCAGAAGGGCAACCACCAGAACAACAGAAACGACAGGATGAACAGCAACAAGAACAGCAAGAACAGCAAGAACAGCAAGAACAACATGAAGGCATGTTTGTTGTTCCTGTGAAACGCATCAAGGACGAGTCAAAGGATCTTCCATTTTTTCAAACTTCTGAAGCATATGCTCGGATTATGTCTTACATTCTTGCGCTCAACACAGCTGTTTTGGACCGCAAAGTATCAGATCCCTTACCAGAGTCAGAGGTAACATTAAAAAAAAAAAAAAAAAAAAAAGGAGAAATTATTTATTTTTACTTTGTAGACAAAAACAATACATCATCAACTGAAGCATTTCGAGCGCGCGTACTTACTTGCCTTACGATTAATGTTTTTTTTATTATTATTATTTTTTTTATTTTTATTTTTATTTTTTAATGACCTTTAATTACGTCTTATCCTATCCTAACTCTATTTTATTTCATTTTATTTTATAACAACTATTAAATAATAGTCTATTCAAAAAATATTAACACTCTTGGAAACCTTGGACAGTTGGATCGCCCTCGTTCCTCTCAAATCAGATCCTCAACGGTTCGGAAACCTCGCGTTTCGGGATTATATCCGGATGGTGGAACAAAAGACCACATCACTTCTTGAGGAACTCTTGCCTCCTTCTTTACATCTCGCTGTCCCCGAAATCACTCCTTATCTGACTCAAAGTCTAGGTCATGGGACTCGAATCGATTATGGATCAGGACATGAGTTATCGTTCGTGGCCTGGTTATGCTGTTTAGAAATCATTGGCTTTCTTCATCAAAGGGACCATCCAGCGGTCGTCTTGCGGGTCTTTGTCCGTTATCTGGAATTGGTCCGCAAGTTACAACGAACCTATCAGTTGGAGCCCGCTGGTTCTCATGGTGTTTGGGGGTTGGATGATTATCAGTTCTTACCTTACCTCTGGGGGAGTTCCCAGCTGAGGGATCACCCTACTTTAAAACCTATTTCTATCATGAAAGTCGAAAACTTGAAGGCCTATGCTCCAGATTACTTGTACTTTAGAGCTATTCAGTTCATCCATGAGGTAAAGATTGAAAAAAGATAATTTTTTTTTTTTTTTTTGTATCGTCTTTTTGTCTCTTTACTGACTTTTTTTTTTTTTTTTTTTTTTTTCATCTCTTCAATAAAAGACCAAGCGAGGACCCTTTCATGAACACTCTTCGGTATTGTTCGAGATTTCGGGTGTGCCCCATTGGGCCAAAGTCAACTCAGGCATGATCAAGATGTACAAGGCTGAAGTTCTCAACAAATTCCCGGTCGTACAACATCTACTCTTTGGTGGCCTCTTGCCTTGGAGAGCTGCTGATTCACCTCCTGATGATCAGACTGCTTCAGCCACATCAACAACAGTACCTTCCTCAGTTCTTTCCACAGCACCCACTTCAACAACGCCTTATCTCATGTCATCACGTCCAAATATGCCACCGCCTTCTACAAGACCCTTGATGCCATCAGCAGTGCCTCGATGAGTTAGTGATAAGCAATAAAAAAAATAAAAAATAAAATAAAAATTAAAAATTGTGATAGCCTCATTTTTAATTATATTATTATGTATTACTATGAGATATATAAATAAATAGAATAAATGATGAAGCTTTTTTTTTTTTTTTTTTTTTTTTTTTTTTAGCCGAGACTATTTCTCTGTCAAAAGGATATTAGGAGACTTTATTTTTGTATAAGGATCAAATAATAAGGGTAGTAGTGAAGGAACGGAAGGGGGGAAAAAAATGAAACGGAGAAGAACTTGCATCCCGCGTTGACATCCAGCGTCTACTCGGACAAGTTCTCGGCACTGCGAGACAGCTTCTCGGTACGGTAGTTCTCATACAAGTAATCGTGAGTAATCTCCTTCAGATCCTGCAAGTGCGAACTATTGAATTTTAATCAAAAAGTCAATGAAGAAACATTATGTCAGCCATTTGTTCCAACGATAGAAAAAAAAAAAAAAAAAAAAAAAAAAAAAAAAAGCACGACAGAGAGGAATGTTTGTTTTTGACGTAGATGTCGTGATACGAACCTCAAAAGAGCAAAGCGCAACTTGGCAAAGTCACAGTGCTGGGTGTTATCAACTTCGACAATACCCCATGGGTACTGCCTACCGCGAACCTTACGACCGTTGACCATGATTTCCTCCTCGCATCCGATTAAAGCGAAAGGAAGAAGACTACGGAGCTCACTGTTCTCTTCGACAGTCTCCTCGTCATCTTCTTCGGGATCATATGGGAAGTTGTAGATGGGAATGTTGTGGTGTTCAATGTCCTCCATAACCTATTTTCAAAAAAAAAAAAAAAAAAAAAAAAAAAGTCAGAATGTGACATAAATATATATATATTTAATACATAAATATAACAAGATTGACAAGAACAAGAAATCTTACTCTTTTTTTGAAATCTGCCAATTCTACTGGAGTAAAAGTATCAGCCTTGCCGATGACAGGGATAACATTGATTCTGGGGCTGAGACGCTTCATCAACTCGATATCAATCTCTCTCAAGCTATTTCAATAAGGAAGAAGCGGGAAAAAAGGATGTCAGAAAAAATGTGCTCAACTTTTTGACTTTGTATTATTATTATTATTACAATATTATTTTACCTGTGACCAGTGGGGGTGATGAAATAGAGAAGAGCATGGACACGGTTGTCACGGAATCTGGGATTACGCTTAATCCTCGACTCTTCCGACAAAATGTCATCGTACTGTCGTTCCAAGTATCCAAGAATTTCTTGGAAGCTATAAACAAAAAAGAAAAGAAAGAATGTATAAGAGACATTTCAAAGGAAAGAAAGGAAGGAAAGGAGGGAAGAGGATATTGCTTTTTCTTTTTGACAATGCATGCTGCACTCCTGAAAGGAAGGCGGTGTAAACTAATAAGCAAGGGCAGGAACAGAACAGGGAGGCTCGTGCAAGAATTACGATGGAGAGGAATGAAGTAACTGATTCCATTCCAGAGAGGATATCCTTGGACTATACATCATTTCTGTATGCTTACCAGTACTCATTATCAATCATGTCTCCAAAACCTGGGGTATCAACGACTGTGAGCGAGATCTTGACACCATCCTCGTCAAGCTCTATAAAAAAAAAAAAAAAAAAAAAAAAAAAAAAAAGATTGTTGCGTTATTAATAAGAGTGGCAAGTATAGATTATGAATAGCAATAGAAAAAAGAGTGAGAGCACACAAAAGAAAAAATTCGGAGCCATCATGAAAATAGCCTTAACAGTAATAGAAAAAAAAAAAAAAAAACAAAACATGCATTCTCTTCTTACCAACAGTGTAAGGCTTGATCTTGATATTCTCCTCAACGTGAGCCATCTCTGGCTCGTCGCACTCACGCTTTGGGACAACATCAGCATCACAGAGCGTGTTAATGAAGGTTGTACGGCCAAGACCGGAGGCACCTATTGAAACATTAAGGATTGGTTGCAACGCGTTTTAGACAAGTTTATTCAGTACCGAGGTTCCTTTTGATGCGGTGCAATGGTGAGAAATAGAGAGGATCCTTACCGACAACCATCAGGGTGAACTGAAATCCTTTTTTGACATTCTTTCTGCGTCCAATGCGCTATCATGGTTTTTCGAAGAGGTTGGTTGTCAAGGTCAGTGTTGATGATCAGATTACGATGAAAGTTTCTGTTCTTTTTGTCAATTCCCCTGATGAATAATAATAATAATAATAATAAAAAAGAGGGACATTTGTCGAGACAAAGTAAAAAGAAAGAATGAAAGAGAGGAAGAAAGGAACGAAGAGAAAGAGAAAGAAAGAAAAAAAAAAAAAAAAAAAAAAAAGAAAAAGAGAAAGACAAGGGAATGAATCTCTTACGTGTGCCATGGTTGGTTATAGGGTAGAGATGAACTTGAAGAAAAGTAAATGAGATTAAAATGAGAAATTAAGATGTAGTGAATATGAGGTATAGATGAGAAGGATGGTAAGATGAGATGGAAGGAAAAGAGAGAAAGAAGAAAAGAGAGAGAGAGAAAGAGAGAGAAAGAGATGATGAGATGGGACGATGGAGGACAGTAACCAGACACCAGTGGGGACAAGGTTCATGAGAGAGCGAATAATAATTATTTGTTTATTCTTGCAACAGGACACTCTTTTTTATTTTATTTTGCTAATTGCATTTGCACACACAACTGAGCTGCTTTTGGCTAATTTGCCTGTTCTGCTTCTTCTGCTTCTTCTGCTTCTTCTGCTCGTCCCTCTGCCTGCCTGCCTGTTGTAGTTTCCTTTCATTTTTAGCACCCATTATAAATACACCACTACAACTGTAGACAGCATAAAATAGGCACCAATGCCTGTCCAAAAACAATCAGTCAAGTAGTGAGCATCCGAGAGCAATCTCTCTATCTCTTTTTTTTTTTCTTACTTCCTCTTTCTCTCTCTCTCTCTCTCTCTATCTCTCTCTCTCTTTTTTTTTTTCTTCTCTCCCTTTCAAACAAACTTATCCTTTTTTCTAGTGAGCCTGCTCTCTTCTTCTTCCATCTTTGTACTGACTGAATGCGTATGCAATCTCTACTATGGCCTACAACCAACCTATGCTGGAAACTAGTACATAGGAGTGAATCTGAACATTAGGAAACAATCCATTCACTTGTACAGGCTCCACTTATTCTCCCCAAGATCAGTGTTTCTCTCTCATACATTGCCCAATCTAAAAAAATCTTTTTTAAAATCTAAAAAAAATTGTCCGTGTAGGCGTGTTGTGCCTTGCCAATAATTACAAAATGCAGGGCAACCGTTAAGTTAAAGGGTTACTTTTTTTTTTTTTTTTTTTGTTTTATTTTAACTATATGCTTCATAACTAGGATTAATGGGTGTAGCCAGTACAAGTACAGAAAGGAAGTATGATACAAAAGAATTAGCACTGATCGTGAAGGAAAAAAAAAAAAAAAAAAAAAAAAAAAATAATGTAGTACTCATAAATAGTCATCGATGGCTAAGAGCAAAAGATAAATGTGCAATAAAAAAAATGGTAACAATGAAAATAATGGTAACAAAAAACGGTAAAAGTCAAAAAGAAAGTCAAAAAAAAAAAAAAAAAAAAAAAAAAAATAGTAATAATAATAATAAAGTAAAAAGAAAGAGAGAGACACAACTCACTCTATCCATCCATGGACCATAAACATGTTCAAAGATAAATCTCCTTCACGTCCTTGGCTCCAAAATTCTCTCGACACGTCGGACACTTGCGTTGTCGGTACTCCATTTGCTTATCCATGCAGCTCTTGCAAAACACATGCATACACCGCAGGATCACGTGTGACTTGAAGTTCACATCACAGGCTGGACATTTGAGCAGCTTAAGATACCGCGCCGCCTGTTTAACTGTCTCTGAATCACCTGCTCCCTCAGACTTCTTTGCATTCTCCTCAATCTTGCGCTTCATGCTCTCTGCCTCCTCCAGCAAATGCTTTCGAGCAGTCGATTCATTCTCATACGCATCCATCCGTCCCTTGAGTAACGCCTGCAATCCCGTCAGGCGCTCTTCTTGTTTTGTAAACTTTTCTTTAAAAGCAGAATTCAGCTGCGTATATTCCTGTAGCTTGATCTTATGCGTTATTGCCTCACTAGTCAGCACTGTCTGCTCCTTTTCAAGTGAAACCTAAGGGTTTAAAACAAATGATTTAGTCGTCAATCAAAATACCACTTAGCTTCTATCACAAGACATTAAATACAGTCAACTGATCTAAAATATAGCCATACCATCTGCTGATTTAAACTCTTTTCACGTTCCTCCAGTCGACGGATCTGATCCTGCTGCATTGTCGACTGGCGCTTCATCACTGCAGTCATATTAGCGCTCTGTTCCTTGGCTCGAACCAGGTTGCTACATTTAGACTCTTGCCTCGTCTTATCTGACAGCAACTTGAAAATTAGATCATCCTTTTGAGCAAGATCAATCGCCTTACGAGATGTAGCCTTCTCGAGTTGATCCCATGCATTCGCCACAGTATGAAGTTCGCTCAGCAGTGGCGCCTGCACTGCCTTGTGCGCTTTAATCTTCAGCTCCAGACGCTTAATAACCTCATCCTTCGCTTCAACAGTAGCCACAAGCGCCTTGACCTCGTCATCTGCCTCTGAACCAACAAGTCGATCAAGATTTGCTAATTTAGCTGTCAGTCCCTCTACATGCTCTTTCAGCTGTGCCTCCGAAGCATTGACACTCTCAAGGTCCCGACTCTGTTGCATTGCTTCCCTCGAAGACTCTAGCTCCATACCAAGTGTAGCTAATTGGTTTTCTGCCTCGCTGATTTTGGCACGAAGGTCCTGCAATGCCTCCTTGTCCTGAGGATCTTTCAAGTAAAACGCAAAAGACATCGGATCATCCGAAGCTGAAGTCAACATGGTCTGAAGGCGTAAAATTTCTGAGGAAAGAGCCGTGATACGATCCTACATTTCGATTTGTTATCGTTAATGGAAAGAGTAAAGGCCGCTGGATGTGTATATATTAATGCTATATATAATAGACATTATACATACCTTCCGTGTGTTGGCGATCTTTCGGATTTCCTGATTCTGTTGCATTTCATATTCGTCCTTGTTGCATCGACTCTCGTACATCTGCTGGAAACGATCACGACTATCTCTAACACGAATAATGTCGTTCTCTAGCTTTTTCACATCCGCCTCTAATGTCGCGCGTCTGTTCTTCTCTTCTGCCTCTAATGTGTCTACGAACCTGCGTCGACTAGCGTGCATATCATCCAACTCTGTTCTCAGTCTCTGAACTTCACTACGGTAGTGGTCAGCATCGTATCGTGCTGACTGGATCTGCACCAGAACGCTCTTGACATACTGAGAGTCCTGAATCTTCTCGTCGGACAAATGCATGAACTGTGCCCGAGTCTTATCCAGCTCCTCCTGCAACTGCGATCGCTGAGCTCTCATTTCTTCTAGCTCTGTTAGACGTGAAAGAGCCTGATGTCGGAAATACAACAGTTCTTCTCGGGAGGTCCCATTCAAGTCGCCTAACAATGATATAGTACTCATAGCCCCAGTCTGGCTAGAGAGTGCGCCAGCTTCTGACATCTTTTTTTCCCTTTCAATATTACTCTCTACCCTTCGCAGTCTCTCTTTCCACTCGTCGAGCTCCTCCTCTGTTTCACGAATCCGGTTTTTCGTCATTTCCAATTCATTTTTCAAGCGCAACACATGTTCTGTAAACTGATGATACTTTGCCTGGAGATGGTTAATTTCAGTTTGACCTTTCTTAAACTCCTGTGCGGTATTTTTGCATTCCTCTGATAACTGTTGCACTGTGCTGCTTTGCTGATCATTGGCTTTTTTTTTTGTGTGTGTGTGGCAAAGGAAAAAAATAAATAAATAAATAAAATACAATGTAAGAAAAATAATAATAATAATAACGATTGCTTGAAATAAGGTCGTATATTTCCTTGTTGTCTGTGCTTACCTGGCGAATCAACGCCAGCCCAAAAATCGCTACGCTGTTCTACCCAATTTTCGACTATACAAAGCAACTTCAGAACAATATCCTTCGAGCGAACGCTAGTCTCCTCTACTGAAGGCTTAATAGCATTCTCTGTAAGCTCTCGGATTTCCTGATCCTGTTCATGATCCTGGTCACTGCCTTGATTTCGGGAATCAGATTTTCGCAAGAGCATAGAGGCAAAACTACCTTCTTCTGTAGAAGAAAAGCCAAAAGTCATATGATAAGCCGAAAAAAAAATAAAAATAAAGAAAGAAAGAAAGAAAAAAAAAAAAAAAAAAAAAAACAATCGTTTGCATGTATTTCATGGTATTAATTATTTTAAAAGAATAATGTTGTTACCTTTCGAAATAGCATCGTTTCCATCTATTTGGATGCTGAAACGCGAAATTAGCGATTCCAAATCATCTAAAAGCTAATATGCAATGACGAAAAAAAAAAAAAAAAAAAGTATAAGAAAAAAGCTGGTAAAAAGCGACAGTTGTTAAATAATAAAAATCAAGGCATCCAGATCATCTACATACTTTATTCCAGTATAAATCCACGATTTGAATTTGAGAATCATGGTTGACCTGCTTGTTTTCCAGTCTAATGATACGATCTTCTGCCCTTGCGACCTCACGTTTATATTCCTGGATTTGTCTCCAAATAGCTTCTTTCCGGAAATTAAGCAGTACCCCCTAAAATTCAGGCAAAAATGTTTTTTTTTTTTTTTTTTTTTTTTTTTTTGTAGATGGTTATTAATCACTGTTGTTGATAAGAGTCTCTTTAGAGGTTGTGAAGGCCACTACTATAAGAATGATATCGCTATCATCAGATCATGCAACTTAAATATATTATTTTTTACCAGGAAATAATAAAATGAAAATAGCGCTTTTTTTTTTTTTTTTTTTTTTTTTTTTTTTCTCACCTCAGCAGCTGTCATATTTTCAGTATCCTCCCTGGAGTTCATCGGACTCGAGCTCCCACTTCCCGTAAACTGTCTCTTGTTGGATGGGGGAGTGAAAGGCGCAGGACTACCATTAGCGGCCGTAGAGGAGGCTACTGGTCCGGAGGTGACAGTGTCCTCGGCAAGTCTGCGCTTTCGGTTGCCTCTATCGTCCATAGAAGCAGCAGCACGGATATCTCTTACGGGACTTATGATGATAATATGCTATGGATGATGTAAGAGAAATGCGAACTGGCCTGGATAAAATAAAAAAAAATAAGCTTGTTAATGAACAGAAAGTTGAATTAATAATCAGCGAATTTAACCAATTTTTTATTAATTATATTTGTCATTAATTCACAATGATCAGTCGTGATAGTTGAAATTATGAGGAGGATAGTTACCTGGACTTGATGATGAAGGCAAGAGAATCCGCCAGAATGTTTATGATGAAGAGAGATGACCAGAGGCAATGCACGCGTTCATGCACCGACTGGCGATTGACGATTGGCAGGAGGAGAGGGATATATGGGTTACGCCGTAAACAAACAATCGTTGTGTGAGTGAGCAAGATTAAGTCAGACTTGGGTTCAATGGGCAACTCAGGCGATAAAAAGAAGATATATCATCATCACGTGCACAACCACGCGAGCAAACAAGTCCTGGCTCAAATGCTGTGCCACCAAAACTTGTAGCCTGTTCAAACAGCCACAAAGAGCATGTCGTGCAAGCAATTTTCCGGATTTTTCCGTGGTAATACAGCCTTGTAATGTGGTGGTAAATGTATATCAATACAGTAAACATAAATGAAGGACACAATACTCAAAAACATTCACTTGAGTTCAGTAAAAGGTAAGCAATTGGTTAAAGACAAAGATCATTGACTATCTACCTACCTCATGAAAGCGTGTGGTCAAGAAGGAAAAGTAATGGGATTTTTGTCATAGTTTTACCGCCGCACGCGTGTGCTCTCAACTATAGGTCATTGGAAGTATGTTTTTATGAAAGGAAAAAAATAAAAATTACAAAAACGTTGTGAGCTGCTCATCTTCCAATACTAAAAAGATGAAATGGAGAAGCCACGCTAGTTTTTCGCTCAATGGTTAGAAGTGGGGTTTAGGATAAACTTATAAACGACTTTATGGCCCTTTGAACATTTCTTGAAGTCATAACACTTCTTTTTTTTTTTTTTTTTTTTTTTTTTTCAAGCATCGGTTTGTTGAAAGGAGAAATAAAGTCTATTTGCAAAATATTTGTCATTTTCAATTTCAATTGCGGGACGAATGAGTGCACAGCATTTTACTTCTTTTTTAACATGGCTTTTAATTATTCGGGGAATGTGATACAACTGAGAAAACTATATTGTTAATTTTAGTTCATGCGCAGAAAAGGAGAGAAGCTGCCATGCGGAACATATACCTCTCCACAGAGAATGAGAAATACCGATTTGGTATGTATCTGTCTTGGTGTCTAAAAAGATTGAGCCCAATCTGGGAAGGAATCCTGGTCCTCAAAAGAATGAAGAAAAAAAAAAAAAAAAAAAAAAAAAAACTTTCAGTCACTTGGTTTTTGGGAAGAGGTTCGAGAATATCATTCAGTGAATATAATTTCTCTGGATGCAGCCCATAGTTTCTTTTTTTTTTCTTTTCTAACAATAGACATCCTGTTTGCTTCTTATTTCTTTGTTACCATATAATTGTTACTATCATTAGTGGATATACCACATCAATGTTGCTACTGATGTTCCTGCAGCATCATAAAGAAATTATTGATCAGGAAAAAAAAATGAATAAGAAAAAGAGAGCAACACACAAGAAATGATGAAGCCAGTCCATGTGGAAAACGAGAGCGAAGATTGGTCAGAAATGAACTTTTTGTTAGTTTTTAAAGACCATCCTTTCATTTCTTTGAGAGCTTTTGAGAGTCGTGGCGTCAAATTTGGGATAGAGCCAAAGGCTGCCCACCAGTCGGATTCATGTGTACATGTGTACACATGGATAGATCATGTCCCCTGGATCAAAATGAAGCCCTAATCTGCTTTTTATCTTTGGAACCTGTCCTCTGCTCCGTCCTTGTCCGCTCGGCGCCACTAACAATGTGTGAGAAGAGCTCTTTTTGTCATATTGAAAGTTGGGTTATTGTTGATATTGCTATCCTGTGCCACCACGCTTTGTCAGGCAGGAAAGGGTTCTCGACATGCCTATGCAAAGATGGGATTCTTTTCAAAAAAATGTAAACACGACCTCCACTTTCTTTCTTTACCCACCTGGGCTACATTGATCATGTATGTACATGTACTGTTTACACTTATTGAGCATTCCTTCACCTCAAAAGGACAAAAACACAAGAAAAAAAGTTGTAGAAAGTTCACAAAACAGGTTTGGGGTTGCATCAAAATGGGTGTTGGCTCTCCCTTGAACGATCGTTCCCACTAAGGTTTATTTATTACAAACAAAAAAAGAAAAGTTCTGCGAAGTAGAAAGAAGATCCAGGCACCAAAAGGAAACCAGTTCGAAAAGACATAAAAGGTATCCGTTACCCTCTTTTTTTTTATTTTTTCTTTTTTTCCTTGTTGTCTTACACCACTACACATCCCGTCCAAATACATCGGTCCTCCTCCAGTCCTTTTCAGGATCTACTCCCATTTCCTTTACCCTCCTTCCCTGCTTCCTCTTATTCACTCTTTTACTGCTCCTCCCTTCTTTTTCCATCCTTCGGCCATGAGAACATTCACTATCTCATGCCTTTTGGCGGCAGCCTCTGTCCAGGCAGCCTTCGCTCAAGTCCTCATCGCCCCTGAGCCTGACTTGAACTCTACGGAGGTCCCTGATTTGAATACCACACCCACTACTACTTCTGCTAGTGTCACCACCACTGTTGCCCCTAGTGCAACTATTGTCAACAGTGTTCATGCTTTGGTCGACAACAACCTCGAAGTAGATGGTGCCAACTTCCCTTTCCTCCTCTTGCCCGATCAACGCATCGCTGCCCGTAGTGCTCAGTCCTGTAGCAAGCTGGGAGAACTCCTTTTCTCGGCCCAAAGCCGTACCATATCATCTGTCCAGAAAATGTTGGCACAGGTTGCACCCAACATGACCGAATTCTGGATTGACACTGGCGCTAGCGACGATAAATATCTCACTAATTGTGAAACATTAGTCATGAACAATGGCCAGGCCACCATCAAGTCTGGTGTTTCGTGCTTAAAGCTGCTTCCATCCCTCTGCTCCAACGTCAATACTTCCGGTAAGATCACTGTCAACACTACTCTAGGTCGCGTCACTGGTGCACGCGACAAGATGGGCTTCCGCTTTCAAGGTATCCGCTATGCTAAGGCTCCTGTTGGTAGCCTTCGTTTTGCTGCCCCAGTTCCTATTACCACCCACTGGACAAACGCTGTTGACGCCACCGCTCCTGGTAATAAGTGCCCGCAAATGGGTGATCTCCCCGGTGGTGATGAAGACTGTCTATTCCTCAATGTCTTCACCCCAAAGTTGAATGCCGACAAAAAGAGCCTACTTCCTGTTATGTTCTAGTAAGTTATTTGGTTAACATCATAGATTCTGATCATTCCACCAACGCAACCCATTTTTTTGTGTTACATATGCAGTCTTAACTAATATGAAATTGTTCAAACTTAAACTTTCCTATTTTCAGTCTTCACGGTGGTTCCTTTACAACCGGCACTGGTTCCGACCCCGCTTTCAACCCCGCCAATATGGCTAGTCGCGGTCAAGTTGTTATCGTCACCATTAACTATCGTCTTGGTCTCCTCGGTTTCCTCGAGCGCGTCGATGCTGGCATCAGTCGTTCGACTCTCCCCGGTAACCAGGGTGTTCGTGATATGCTCGTTGCTCTCCAATGGGTCCAGAGCCACATCAACAGCTTTGGAGGTGATGCTTCCAAAGTCACCATTTTTGGCGAGTCTGCTGGCGGTCATGCTGTCCGCACTCTCTTATCTATGCCCGCTGCTACCAAAGATCTCTTCCATGCTGCCATTTCCCAATCTGACCCTATCGATTTGCCCTTCAACAGAGTCAAGACTGCCTCCACTGTTGTCAGTGGCGGCGCCATGGAGATCCTCGGATGCACTGACCTTGCTTGCATGCGCTCCAAGAGTGTCCAGGATATCCTCACTGCCCAGACTACCATCGTTGGCCAGGCTATCAACAAGGCTCCCGAGGAGTCTTTCCTTGAATTGATCAAGCCCTCCATTGACGGAATCCTTATCTTTGACAACTTTGATCAATTAATCGCTGGAAAGAACGGAGGCGTTAGCAAGGTTCCTCTTATCATCGGAACCATGAAGAATGAGGCCAATGGTTTCCTTCCTAGTTTGGGACAAGGAACTCCTATGCCTCCTGCCGTCTTTGGATTGACCCTTGGAACCATTCTGGGTTACCAGCGATCGATGATCACTATCGCTTATAATCTTTATGCTATCGATGGTACCAATCCCGATGGTGTCCGTGAAGCTGAAGGTCTCTTTGCCTCCGATTATCTCTGGCTCTGCCCCACTCAGTTCCTCGCCAAGGCATATGCTTCTGCTGCTGGCGTCCCTGTTTACCAATACCAATTCCAGAAGGGCTATAATCCTTCAACCCGCCCTGCTGATGACATCTGTGCCACCCATGTCTGCCACGGTGACGATGTTGCTCTTGTCTTTGCCAGCCCCGCTCTCATGAATAACGCCACAGCATACCCCTGGACTGCCCAGGATGCTGCTCTCTCTAGGACGGTTATGGACCGCTGGACTGCCTTTGCTACCTCTGGTAATCCCAACCCTACCGCTTATGGTGGTGACAATCTTCCTAACTGGCCCAAGTACGACAGCAGCACACAAAACATCTACTTGTTTGACACCACACCCTCTGTCCAGGCTGGCGGTCTTCGTCCTCAATTTTGTGGATTCCTCGACCAGGCAATTCACTACGACTTCCAGCTGTAAATGCCTCTAATCGTCTATAGCCCTTATTCACATTCTTATGTAGCTTATCCATATAATAATTTTAAACATTCATAAACAACTATTAAAGATCATTTGAAATAACAAAGTCAAGTCTTTCACAGAGCTATCGCTGTTACATACTTTGTCCAAACAAACAAATGTCTTTTTTTTTTTTTTTTTTTTTCTTTTTCTTTTTTAATGTAACAAATATATATAGTACATAAAAATTTATGACATGTCCTCGTCTTCAACCTCCTCAACACGAGTTTTACGATTGTTTTGTCTCGTTTCTCCTTCTTTCTGCATATTAAATTCTGGATCAGTGTTATTAGCCCTAGCACTAGAGGCAGAAATAGTTGTGTTTCCAGATCCTGCGTCATTTGTGTTTGCAGGTGCAAGTGTTGTTGATGATGACGTTGATGATCCTATGAATGATGAACTGCGTGTGGCTGAAAGCTCTGCTCGTACAGCATCTCGGATAGACCTTGCTGTCAAAGATTCTATGCCGCTTATATTTAACCCTAAAGGTGCCATCATTTGAGTAATTCGCCTTGTCAAGTTTTCTGATAACGTCTCTGCTTCCAAGGCTGTCGAATGTCCTGCGGTAATAGTGGGTCCAAGAGGGGCAGGAGGTGCTGTTGAGCCTAAAAGCGAGTGTGCCGCCGTGCAGCCCCTGGGACGAGAGGTATTTTGTCTGTCTGCAGTCGCCATTAGGGGCCATGCGCCTCCTACAAGCCCCCCTTGCTCTTCCCTGCGTCTAGGAACAATGTTGGCACAAAGAACATTCACTAGGGTATTGGTAGCTCGATTCGATAGCTCAACCCAGCGACGGCCATTAGCATGAATAGCGGAGCCTACGACGTGCGTTGCAATCCGTTGAGCCTCAGCTTGGTCCCGTTCTGGGAATAAGCCATAGAATGCCACTCTCCATGAACCGACCACATCTCTGATCCAGAGCACAACATCTCTTGCAAAAGTGGGCCAATTACTCTCTCTCCCTGTGGGTGCCGCAACAACAAGGTAAATCAGTCGTCTGAAGTGTTCACGAAGTACATCAAGCGAAATTCGACGAATATCTTCACTCGTGATTTGAATACTGGCAGGAGGACTTAATGTTTCCAAGATTTCGTCCACATGCACAGCATCCATGATAGCATGTGCAAACATAACAGCAACCGACTAATAATCAGTAAGTGATAGAGACCAGAGTTAGTCATATATTTAATTATCAACCTAGGGCAACACATGGAGTCAGAAAACTTTAAAAAAAAAGTCGAGCTTACGTCCAAATTACTCTCCGTCAACTGCTGTCCGTTTAAAGCGCGCTCACGGATAAAGGAGTTCAAGACAGGGTGAATATTGCGCAGTGGCGCAGGGTGACCCTCAACAATGGATCGAGTTTCTCTAACGGTAACAGACTCTGCAACATTCCTGACTAAATCCTGTAATGGTGTGCTAGGGGACTCTGGATCGTTGCAAATTACATCAGCTAATCTCCTGGGTGATCCATCCTCACGCGGTTGATCTACCATTCTCAGGATTGCAGAAATAAACACACCAATACGACCCAAGTTGTACGCAGGCGAGCCATTTGATGAATTGTTGTTGCTAGTAGTAGCGGATGGCGATGGTAAAGATGGACTACTTGGGGATGGACTTGAAGCAGTGGATGGTGAATCTGCTTGTGAGCGTCTAGCTTCATTAGATGAAGTTCGAGCAACGGCTGGACGCACAGTTGCTTGTGGTTGTGGAGAAACGGGTGAGGGGACAGTGGTAGCAGTGGTTGTTGTTGAGCGGGATGCAGGTCCCTGTGCTGATGATGCCGCTGGCAATGACGATGACGATCCTGGGATCAACGAATTTAACTGCTCCAACTCTTGCCTCACTCTGTTCTCATAATCTGTGAAGGATGGTTGCTGAGAGGTAAGGCGTCTTCTCGAAGTCGCTCTGCCATCATTAATGTCCGAAAAGTCATCTGGTCTCTCTCTACGTCTGGAAGATGCTCTAGAGTTAAGTGTTCGCTCCAGTTGCTCTGTTGCGTCATTAATAGCTCTCGATGCTGCGAGATTTGCTTCAAAGTCGGCTACTGTGGCAGCCAAAGTTGGTTCGCTTGTTCTTTGGGATGAGTTGGATGGTTCCATATTATCGAAAGATGAGTTGAGGTTTCGCATAAATTCCACAAACCCTCCACTTGACTGATCAACCACTGGAATCATAAGTCGAGTAAAATGCGATGCAAAAGGGCTAGTGGCAGCAGCAGCAGCAGCAGCATAAGGTGCAGGAACATTAGTGTTAGTCCTCCTTGAAGATCGCGTAGGACTTTGAATTGTATAAGATAGGCTATCATTAGGACCAAATATCATCCGACCAATGGGTCTTGCTCCGAGTTGAGACGATGTGCCGGAAGATGGTGTCGCTGAAGTGCTCGTCCCAAGAGGTTGTGCTGTTGCTGCCGTTGAGTTACTTGATGACGCTGACGCAGGCGTGGAGGCATTCTCAGGCCTGGTGGCTGTGTTGATTGTGGAAGAGAGGGCTGCATTCACATTTTGAGCAGAAGCCCTGGCATGGGCCATTATTGATGGTATCAGACCCAAAGGAGCGGGACGTCCTCCTGCTGCGCCACGTGAAAGAATGGAGAATGGAAAGTTGCTCAATGATCCACGCTGTGGAGCCGATGGCCTTGTTCCTGCACTTCCATTATTATTTGAACTCCCTTGGGGTTCTCGTAGTATGGTGTTCATTCTTGATGCTGGTTGGAAGCGATATGTTACTGCGCCTGGGGCATTTCCAACGAAGGTGGCATTGGCTAGCATCGGGAAAACAGTGTTCTGAACACTAGCCAACCTATACATGGCTCGAGCAGCCCTGAGGGACACTCGTTGTAGATGTAAACGCTCTGAAGGCTGCGCCAGGGACTGGCCATATTGATTTGAAAGTGTTTGCAAGTGGTTGGCCATCGAGCGGTTCGTTTCAGCGAGTTGCGTCAAAATGCTGACCATACGTGCCAAGTCCGTAGAATCACCATCGACATCTTCATCAACTGATTCTAACTCTGGGACATCAAGGGACTCCAGTTCAATGCCTTCAACTAGATTAAATTTAACAAAGCTAGAGAGATGAGTGCTTTGTTGTCAATTGTACAGAGATACAGTGGCCAGCCAATGACAAAGGTGGATGGGCAACTTACGTTGATCGGCTGGATGTGCCAAGATGGTTTGCACGTTTCTGAGTTGGGTCGATGCCCTTGTTAACTCAGCCTCGATAGTAGCGAGATGCTATTATAGCCAGAGCATTCAAATTATTTTTAGTTGGAAAGTATAGGTTTTTCACATGTATTGGTCTGTACCACGCCAATATTTTGAAAAATATACAGTGTGGAATCGGCTCGTGATAACCTAATCCTTACAGGCAAACTTGCTCCAAGTGGGACTGATCTGCTTGCTCTCGTCCTTGTCCTCGCGTGCTCTCCAACTCCCCCGGTTTGACTAGAATTATTTCCAAAAAGAGATCGGATAGTCTATGTGTACACATGGACAATTCATTAAAACAGGTTAGTTCACAATGGTGAAACAAAGAGAGCAATCCTTTGTTGCTTGTACATTGACGTTCTTACAGCTGGATCTCCATCGATATGGATCACCGTAGGATGCCCATCCATCTCCATTTCCATATCCGCAGGAAGAGTTCCAGCGAGCGCCTGCATGAGCTGGTAGTAAAAGTACAAAATAAGACAAGGGTCCTGTAGAATATATTGCAGGTCGCAATTCGACATTATCACGGAGCCTCAAGACTTACATTCTGAGCATCCATGTTATCATCTACACCGATGATGCTGAAAAGATATTCTGGTGTGTCAAATCGGAGAGGAGCACCGCTAGCAGTTGATCCAGTAGCTATTCGAGGAGCATCTAAGAGTAACACAATGAATATCATGCCTCTATTTAGTTCGATAGCGCCATCATGACTGAAGAAAACGTATTTATTTGCCAGAGTATGTTTGTTATTCATACCATTTTGCTGATTCTGTGGTGCATCAGCAGGTCGGGTAACAAGGTGGATTGTCTGTCCATCCTGCAGAGCTATTGATTAACATTAAAAATTAGAATTGTAACAGTAATCAGTAAACATTCTTTGCTTGTGTACAACAAATCCAAGCACTGTCAGGCATTAAACTAATGTCGGATCCAATGAAGCCGAGTTGAAAGAAAAAAAAAAAAAAAAAAAAAAAAAAAAAAAAAACATGAATAATTCTAAATGACAAAAAAAGAGCACAGAACAGGAACACGGATATTGAATGCCGAAAGAGATGAGCGGCATGGGTAGTACAAATAAATGCCTCTTCCCTCGCATTAGTGCATCACACGAGAAAGTCAAGGATAATAAAAGCCTTTCACATACAATATTCCGTCAAAGGCTTATCATCGACCATGACTCGGCCACGAAAGATCAGCCGCTGCCGAGGACTAGGCACCTGCAGCATCACGGCTAGTTTCTCTTTCAAGTCGAGAACGGTTTCGCTGACTAACACATTCACAGTATGAGTCTGAGACTCGATTGTCTTGACATGAAGCGTAATAGGTGCATCCAGCGACGAGGCTGCTTCAGTACTACCCATTGCGGCGTGAATGATAGAATTTTCAAAATTATTATTTGAAGAGACTGAGGAAATGGAAAATGTTGGCGAGGCGAAATGTGGTACTTCGTATTAAATAAAGCTTATTAATTGCAAATAAAATTGTGAGACAATTGAAAGTTGTCCAAGGGAAGAGGGAAAGAAGAGAATGCCAAGTTAAAGCTGCCAAACACAGTGATCAGTGAATGACAAGGAGAAGAAGGAGTGTGAATTCGGAAGAAGAAAAAGAGGGTAGAGGGAAAAAGGAGAGAAATGTGATGACAGATGAATTTGATGTGGAACATCGGTTCAAAGTGTAGCTTGTTGGCTTCGCAGTATCCATCAATCACGTGATAGTATCGGTCGATTCCTCTGCTGCCAACTGAATTCTGGTCTTGTCCATACATTTTTAATACTTATAACGTCCATGATCCCAGCAAAACGTTCATCACCTTTCGCTCGTGCTCGCTCATTCCCGAATAGTCAGGCACAAAGGGAATCCGGCAATAATGGAACTGATGGCACACCCTTGTCCAAGCGCTTGAGCTTTGCCAGGACAATGTCAACCCCTTTCCAAGTGTTGCACCCGTCCTTGAAGGCAACTAAAAACCCGTTTGAGAAGCTTGCTTCGGCTACACCGTCGCCAAGAGAGGCCCTCGACCCACTTATTACAGGAAGATCCACTATATGTGATACTGAACAAGAGGGAGAGGTATTGGGAGAAGAGCTATTCTGGTCGGGACACAAATGTTGGAGTCCTAAAAAACTGATTCAAACTAAAATATGGTTTGCTACCCATCTTTTAGGATGATGCTCTGGACCCCAACCGCACTTTGAGCTTATTTTCTTTTTCTCAATCAACCACAGGAAATTCGGGTAATCAAGGAAATGACCCAGGTGATTCAGAAGATGATAGCCCACAAGAGGAGCCGGATCAGGAATTTCTCGATCCTGCAGGGGATTCGCGATCTGAGCTTGACGTTCACAAGCTCTCGCTGCAGCCGAAGCCACGGTTACATGAAGCCTTGGCAAAGGCTAATGTAAGCATCGTTATAAGAATGGGATGAGAGAGCCTTGAAACCCTTCGATATCCTCATATCCTCATTCTCCTTCATTGTACTTTTAGATACAAAAGGGATTACAGGCTGATCAGGAGCTAAAAGGTACCATATATGGTAACTGTTGGTTGCAGTCATGTTGCCAAATTAGATGCCCTAACAGTTACGCTATTAATAATAATATCTTTTTATCTAGCGCCGAGTGTATCTAGTAACTCATCAAAGAAAATGGGATCTGGATTCACGGTATGACCTTTTTTTTTTTTTTTTTTTTTTTTTTTCTCACTGAAAACCCGCTATGAGCCATTCATTGATTATGTTCTTATGCTCCAGACTTCAACCATAGCGCCACTAGACTGGACACTAAAAACTTCGCTCTCGATAACATCACAGGACCCGTTAACTTGGTGTGACCATGGAGCAGCTACTGATGAAATTCAAGCAATGCAACTTTTCGTATCCTTGCCATCATCCTTCAGCTTTAATCAAGGGCCTAATGTCAAGTATAATCCATCAACATCTGCAAGGATACGATTGCTAGCGGCTTCCTATCACTGGATCTATCCAACTAATACTCCTACAATCCTTCAGGCACAAAGTATCAGTAAGATCTTGAAGAATATAGGAAATATGGCATCAAGCGAAAAAGCCAGTATTACAGAACTGTTTTCTAGATCTACGGAGTGGTACGTTACAGGATCATTACTCGGTTTCTGCTGAGGTAACATGTAGAGGATTCGATGGTAGACAGTAATCGCCACCAATCTTGTTATTTCAGGAAACAGGCATTCAAGACATTATATCAGTCCTGTCGCAATGGAACGTGCCTATGCTTTTATTATGTTGGAACCACATGGGCAATCTTATTCCAGCATGGGTCCGTCTCTCTGTCTGGTGATATAGAAGCAATCTTGACAAATTCAACGCCAGGATTGCGAAAGGTGCTGGAAGATGAAGGTTAGTTATATACAGCGGTTGCGGATTAAATGTTAATTATAAGCCCCAGCTGATTAGATTTTTTTTTTTTTTTTTTTTTAAGAAATCAAATTTGAAAGGTTGCCTAATGTTGCCCGTAAGACCACTATCCATCATTTCAGCGCAAAGCATGATTTGGATGACTCTAGTGATAACGAGGAGGATAGAACGTATGTCTTTGAATAGCAGCCTTTCTCTTTCTCATGCTAATCATATTCACACAAAGTTACCTGACTATGTTCTCTACGTCCTAAAGCAATCGTTTCAACGTTGCCAAAGCGCCATTAGTGCAGCCGGGAAGCCATAACCTGTCAGATACTCTTTTATTCAAGGGACAAGTTGATGTTCATGGCCTCTTCAGCCACTTATTAAATATGAAGACAACATACGAGGATGGCTTCCTTTACCAATCTCCCATGCTTATTGCCGATGTTCCTTTTCTTCATGCAGGTTTAAAACGAGCGATAGTAAGTTTACAGTATTCCAGTCCTTACAACGCGAGGCAATATATCGGAATAAAGTTACCGGCTGCCTTTGTTAATTTATTAACTGGATTTATGTACTGCACTCATAGAACTCAAAGTGCAGAATCGTAAGTAAGCATGTCGAAGGTACTGATAGAGTACAGAAAGAGTATAGGGTTGATATTCAAGGTTTACTGCTTCCGACGGCAACCAGAGAAATCTATAGTATTTTTGCACAAGAACAGCCAACAGGCTTCAACTCTTTTACTTCAAGCGATGCTCGATCGCTAGGACTTAATTTACGTCCATTGCTGTTAAAGGAAAAGCCTCAAGAAAAAGGAATCTTTGTCGGCGATAAATCCATGGATCAACTGCGATATGACAGTGCAGTAAAGCAGTTTGCTTGGTTAATGTGATGCACCAACGCATATGATTGTAGTGACCACACCTGTCCTCTTTCCTTTATTTTATTTTATTTTTTTACTTCGTCGGCATGTTTTACTCAAGTCTACCATGATTGAACTATGAAGACAGGGATATAGTCAACCATTACGAAATAAACAAAAAAGAAAGTAGACTACATGTCAACAACATAAACTCTTTTGGCGTGCAGGGCGACTCTTTTGCGATATCCTCCGCAAGGAGGAATCACCGTATTGAATCCCTGATCCTGGTCGTTCCGGATCCACTTGTCCTATAAATCATATGCGAAAAAAAAAAAAAAAAAAAAAAATCAATATTATGGCGAGGTAGTTTTGAACCATTTTAATTTTCAATTGAAAGGTGTTTTCCTACCTGTTTCAATTTTTGTCAATATTGCACGCCCACATTTGAGAAATATTTCTTCTACACCTTCTCCTGTCAAAGCACTTGTCTCTAGAAATGTCATCTCTATAATTGGGTGGCAAAAGTATATCGTCATGAATAATTTTTTAAAGATATAAAGTTGAACTTCATACAGGCCATAGTCAGCGAATTTACCATTCTCCTGTGCAAACCGGCTTGCTTCTAAATAAGAAACCTCGCGATCTTCCAAATCTATCTTGTTGCCCACCAACATGAGTGCAATATCAGCTCCTGCAAGCTTCCGTGCATCTGCGATCCATTTTGAGATACTTATGAACGTGTTTCGGCTAGGGCAAAATCAATGCATTGGCATATCGCAGAAAAATAAAATAAAAAATAAAGTTGATAAGAGTGATTTTGATCGATGAGATTTGTAATGGCATTAACTAATTTGATCCGAAAATCCTAGCCTATACTCAAAACTTACTTTGAAATATCATATACCAAAAGGGCTCCTGCAGCACCTCTGTAGTAGCTCCTTGTTACCGACCTTTTTTTTTTTTTAAAAAAAAAAAAAAAAAAACACACAGATTAATCCTTAAATTCTTGAGAATAGGTAAGTCCCAGATAACGGAATAATGGCTTAAATTGATCCTTTTGGACGTACCTGAAGCGCTCTTGCCCAGCACTATATTGTAATTTTTTCCACATTCCCGATACATCCAATAGAAAGCGAAAAATTAATGTTAATTTTTTTTTTTTTTTTTTTTTTTTTTTTAGCGATTGCTGTTGCTGCTGTTGTTGTTTTGATGTAGTCCAGATTAGTTGTTTGCATGTTTAAACTGTCTGACTCTTACGTGTCCCACTAAACCAATGAAAAGCAATATGGAGTTAGAATATATGATGTTTAAAATAAAGTAATAAAAAAAAATTAAAAAAAAAAAGCGACCAACGCTTAGAAACGAAAAAGGCGTACAATCTGGAGTTTGACCTGATTCTTTCCAATAGTAACAATACGGCTTCCGAATTCGACCCCGATGGTATGCGTTGCATTTTCTTTGACTGAGATAAAAGATTTAATTAGTTCGTTTTCGTACAAGTCTTGCAAAGATATTCCTCTCCACATGATCCAATTATTCACTCACACTTATTTTCGACAAATTGATGGAGTAAGCATGATCTATTTGAAGAAACAAAAAAAAAAAAAAAAAAAAAAAAAACATCCGTGGGCTCCATTTTGTTAATGCTTGTGGAACATTATTGAAAAACTTCCTTTCCTCCACAACCTGAAAAAAAAATAATTTATAATCTTGCTGAGAGGACAATAATCGAAGGATAAGAGAAAAGCTATTCACTCGCGAAATTAAGACCTGGACTTTATTATTCACGTACTTGCCAGTTCCGGAATCACCTGTGATAAGAAACTTCAACAAAAAGTCTAGAGTCAACATAAGAGTGAGGAGAGGTAAGTAAGGCTCAACCAGTATGAATCAAACAGAGCAGACGTAAGAAAAGTTTGTGCCAATGGTAACGAAAGCAGGCATGTCCATAATAATAACAAAAGTACAAGTCAATTACAGAGTTCGCATTTTTTTCCCTCCTTTTAAAGGTAAATATAACTATTGTAGTATACTTGTGTGCATGTCAAGAAAAGGAAAGAGCAGGCAGGACTGCAAGTTTAGAGCCAAGAAGTCGTTGTCTTGATGCCACTTGAAGAAATCAATTGTTGACATGCACCCTCATGTAAATGGATACAGCAAAGCATATCTGAATGAGAAAGATAATGATCAAGGGGGGAAGAAGGGGAGGGAGATCAAATGAAAAACGTGGAATAGCAAACACAAAAACAAAAAAAAAAAAGGTGGAGGTGAGAAGGCCTTTTGGCAACATCGATAAGGGGTTCTGTTCTTTTGAGCCATGCAACAAATTACAAGGCATTGAGTGAACAGCTGCTTTTTGCAGCTGCTTGAAGCTGTGTTATCACGCAGGCTAGCTGCTATTTTATTAGTCAAAACGCACAAAATAGACCTCAACAGCGAAGTCTGCTCGCTCTACAGCACAAGTTGTAAGATATAAAAACGTTGCTTGGATGGAAGAAAGTGAAAAAGAAATAGACTGTGAGGTTCTCCCTCTTTCGTTCTTTTTTAAGAAAAGTGTAATTTACCATAAGTTGCCATGTCTGATGAATAATGTGGGTATAATGGTACAAATATGTCGGGTAGAAGATAGATGGAGCGGATGAGATGAGGTCGATGGAAAAGAAGTGTGCCGGGGGATGGAGGAAGGAGCAATTCTTTAATTGAAGAGAGAAAAGGTGGAGTGACAAAGAGATCACAACTGGCCAACAGAGCACAGACTACAGAGATGTTACATGATCACATAGGCGGGCTATTATCCATTAAAAACAAACTGACCAAAACACGCGCTTCTCTGTCAGTCTGGCTGACTGACGAACCTGATTGTTTGTCTCGACATTATGCTTTGATGCATCGGGTCACGGTAACATGACATTGAACGGATGTAAATTCATAGGAACATTCACATACATACACACAAAGAAAATGTAATTGAACATTGTTTTTTTTTTTTTTTTTTTTTGCATCAATAGCTGCAAATTATTCATTTTGTCCTATAATACTTCAAATCAGTAGGACTTGCGATGCAATGCGGTGTGTGAGTTCAGATGTGAATGTATTTCTCTTCCTCCCCCCTTGCGTACTTGCATATGTCAAATGGGACAATACCCCATCTTGTGTGGCGGGACAAACGGAAAATGGACGTGTCTGCCTCGCCTGGCAAAGGTCACTCGGCTCTGGTTGGTCCACGGAACGCTTTTTTGCCTTCTTTTTTGCCCAACTTTTTCTCTTTTTTTCTTTTTGTTCACCATCTCTTTTTTTTCTTTCTTTTCTCTTCTATTTCTTAACCCTCTTCTTTCACAGCCCAAAAGTGCTCTTTCCTTCCCTCTCCCCTGTTCATCTTTGTCTTTTCATCTTTCAACAAACTCAGCCATGTCTCAACAACAGCCCCAGCAAGATGAGGATGATTTCGGTCCCTCCATCACCAACGGCTACAAGCCTGGACAGAAGAAGAGCATGAACGAATACCAGAAGCTTGATGCTGATGATGAAGCCTTACGCCGTTGGAAGGAGTCCCTTGGCGTTACCAACGCTGGTAAGCGTTCTTAATACTATCTCTCTCCTTTGAGAAAACTTGTGCACGTCACAACCGATCGCGTTTCTTTCTCTTCTCAGCACTTACAATGTTCGTTAAAATTCCTATTAAACTAATAATAGCTGCCGCTGGCGATGATCCTCATAACGTGGTGGTTCTCCAGCTTGCACTTGAGGTTGCAGGACGTCCTGATGTGATTCTGGATCTCACAAAATCTGGTAGGTCTTTTTTTTTTTTTTTTTTTTTTTCCTCTAGAGAAGCCGTCTTTGTGGTTATTAACAAAAGCTTTGATGTAAATATGTACTTATTATCCTGATAACGTTATTAACGAATTGACAATGGGATATAGTGGATGAACTCAAGAATCAATCCTTCACAATTAAGGAAGGTGTTGAGTACCGTACCAAGGTCCTCTTCAAGTAAGTAGTTCTAATACTCTACTTTATTTTTTCGTTCAGTATTTTTATATTGACTAAGAAATATTATATTTATCCTGTTGTGTATTATGATATTAGGGTTCAGCATTCCCTTGTCTCTGGCCTCAAATACATGCAGGTCGTCAAGCGTCACGGCGTTAAAGGTAAGCATCAAAACACAATGTACATGGGGATTTTCTGCGACAGGTTCATTCGTGTGCGTCCTTTTAAATTCATCTAACACCTACTTTTTGTCAACTCATATACTAGTCGACAAATCTGAAGAAATGATTGGAAGCTATGCCGCCAAACCCGACATCATTGAAAAGAAGGCAAGTATAGTTTTGAGAAAACACTTCTGACTAGATGTTTTTCCTTCATGCGCTAATACTTTTTTTTTTTTTTTTTTTTTTTTGAACGTAACACTTAGTTTGCTATTGAGGAAGCTCCAAGCGGTATGCTTGCTCGCGGACACTATGAAGTCAAGTCAAAGTTCGTTGATGATGACGGTACCGTTCATAAGGAGTGGAGCTGGGTAAGTTGTTAAAACTGCAGGGTGATGGAACAAAAAAAGAATCGTGGTTTGAATTTAACACAGAAAGACCGGCACTTCTAATATTATTTTTATTACTATTACTATTTGTATCATTGTCTCGACCTAGTCCTTCGACATCAAGAAGGATTGGTAAATGTAAAAATGTATGAAAGGATATAAAGAAAAAAGGAAAAAAAAAATAAAAAATGAAATAAACCAAATATCTCGATGATCCATCGAGGTGAAACTATTCATTAACAAACCTTAATATAAAAATGGTTATGGTGTTGTTATTGGGGTATTTATTTGTGTTTGATGCAGAGTAAAAGCAATATCGATGCCATTCTCACGGACCCAATAAACGACCATTCAAAGTTGTCGTAGCAGCCTAGTTATGCACTCTAGTTCAATGCATCAGATTCGTTTGCACTCCGTAAAAGGCATTTCCATTTTTAAAGATGCTTGGTTGGATCAAATGGAAATAGAAAGGGGTAGTGAAGAAACTCCATATTTTTAAATCCCCGTAAATCGACATCCTGTAAGACGCGCTGATTTGTAGAACCTGGCAGCCCCTCCGTGTAAGAAAAATGAGGACGCGCTAGCTGTCAAAGTAACTAGCTCTATATACTTATCATGGGGTTGTTTTCTCTCTCTAAAAGATGTTAATGCTTATGTTGATGATGTCGTATTTTTTCTTTTAAAATCATGCTGGCTCTTATAACCTTTTTTTTTTCTCGACATTGAATTCCTTGTACTACTGACTCTTCATTACGATCTTCAAGTTCCATATCAATCGATGCATCACTGCACCACAAATAGTTGACTGTTAGGACGTTCATTTATCTTTTTTTTCTTTAGAGATTTGTGTCTAATGAGGTGTTACAGCTGACCCTATCAAGGCTATGAGCCTTGGACGTGGCTGCTACCTTGATATAAACAGAGTGATGCATTAGTTCAAATTACTCTCGAGAGCGAGAGCAAAAACACTTTTCTTTTTCTTTTTTTTTTTTTTTTTTTTTTGATACAGGGAGCAGAGCCCCAGAGAGCACACGTTGATTCAATTCAATTTGAACGGGAAGAATGTTTTTTTTTTTTTTTTTTTTTTTTTCAGGACAAACCTTGTCAATTAGGCTCTCATTTTTTTTTTATTTGGATAAATGGTCCACCATTCTATTGATACGATTGTTTGTTATGCAAGCAAACCGGACCAAGGTGTTACAACTGAATTGATGTTTACAAACAACAATAAATAGGTTACATAGAGTGCAATAGCCCTCCACAGACTCTGCCGTTGAAAATAGTAAAATTGGTCTAAATGGGGGCCAAGCATGGCCATGGTATCTCTGCGAGATACTGAAGATTAGTCTGAAGACAAAGGTTATAAATTATATTCTCCATCCCATCCATGCTCAACAACCATTGCGGGACAAATAAGCTCGACCCAAGCAAAGAACTGCATTGTGTGTTCAGCAAAAAAAAAAAAAAAAAAATGAACTACTCGGCCCTAACCAACTTCTCTTCCTCTTCTCCTTCTTCCATCCTCCTTCCTCCCTTCCTCCATCCCTTCTTCCGCTTTTCCTTATACTCCTCACAAGCACCCTCACTTACCCTCATCCTTATTATTTTTCCCTGCCTATTTCTGTCATCCTTTCTTCCTCCCTCACCCTCTCCTCATCACTGCTCATTCTTCATTCTTTTCTCCTCATCTCACCAGCTTTCAAACTGTGGCCCCCCTTTTCAGTTAACATTGTTAACGTGACTAAAGAGCAAAGAGAATAGACGAACACACCGTTCACATTTCTACATGAACTTTTTTGTTCTTTACCCCTGAATACCCTTCCTTCACCCCTATCTAGTTGTTTGTTAATATAAAAGAAGACAAAAGAGTGTGAAATACCGATATCTTCAAGATACGAATGGCCTCCACTGTCACCATGCCTGAGTTGGATCCATCAGACCAGCAGTTACAGATTTCATCTATGTCAGAATCTATTCAGGAACCCGCATTGGCCAACCAGACTGTTGGAACAGACGCTGTTGTGCCTGAGGTCTCAAATGACAGTCTAACTTCCCTAAATGTGCAAAGCCTGAAGGCAGACTCTGTCAAGCAGGACGAAGACTCCCATAATTCGACCGCCGTCGCAGCCGTCGTCACTTCTTCTCCTTCACTTTCCCCCTCTACTTCACTCGATGTGGTTATGTCTCTCGACTCACCTTCTAATACAACTATCTCTCCGGCCGCATCACTGAGCTCCTCTCCCTCTTTCGATAGCAACCTCAATCTTGAACCGGCCATAGCATCTCAAATAACCCCAGAGTCATCAACAATACAAGCATCAAAGCCTGTAGTAACAGCGATCTCAACGCTCCAGCAATCTGCCTTACCTAGCTCGCCTACCTCTGAGGCTCCTGCATCCCCCTCCACCGAGGGTAACGTTACACCCTCCACAACAACAAAGTTTGGCCCAAAAAAGAGTCGTGTCAATCCAGGATCCAACATCAGCCGTCGTATCAACATGTTGGCCGAAGGAAAGAACGAGAATAATAGTGATCTCCATACAATCAGCCATGCCAGGGCGTCTTCAGCCAATGGCCGGTTGTCACCCGATCTTGAAGAATACAAAGATTATCCCGACTCGTTTTTCGAGGAAATTCTTCGAGAAGACCAAACAACAATCGCGCGGTCCTTCAGCACCATGCCTAAATCAAGCCCACGTCCCACTCATACCCTTGTCACAAAGAATTCTTCTCCAGCCCGGTTAAGCTCAAGCATGAAGAGTCCCTCTGCTTCCGGCGACTCTGTTGCATCCGAACCTGCTTTTGTTCGCTCAGATGATTTAGAAGAGGATCTTAAACGGTTGCAAACAGAGTTGATCAGAGCCAAGGAAACGAAGACCAAGGCCGAGGCAGATGCCAAGGACCAACGAGTGACAATCATGTCTTTGAAGACGGAGATTCAAATGGTGCGTAATGTGCTCAAAAGGAGAGAGACCGAACTCGGGGATGTCAAAGGTAAAGGGAAAAATAGATCAAACTGCCAGAATCGAAGGGGGAAATTTTACTCCTGATGTACTATTTTACCTTACATTTAAATTATATTATTCTTATTATTGTTATTATTATTGTTGCTGTTATTGTTATTGCCATTGTTATTTTTATTTTTTATTTTTATTTTTATTTTTACTTTCATAATACTATATTATTACCCTTGAATCTACTTATTAACATGATTTCTTTGTAAATGTACTCTTTCTTTTGATAGACATGTCAAATGCGTACGAAAGCGAACTCGCCGAGCTCCGACAAAAGTTAGAGAAATCAGAACGGCAGCTGAGTAGAGGTCAAGGAGAAATGGAAGCCAAGTTGAGGGCGCTCGAAAGAACAAGGTATATATCTGTTATTTGCTAATAGACTTTAAAATGCTATTTTTTGCTCCCTGCTTAAAATTTAAAAGAAAAATGCATTGCAATTAACCACATTGTTTGTTGTACACGTGTGTAACTGCAGAGACGAAAGTATTGCTCGCATCCAAACTTTGGATAAGGAGATCAAGAAACTCCGCGAACAGCTTCAAGAAGCGGAAAAAAAGAATGAGGAAGCCCAAGCAGAGATTCTTGACTTGCGAGAAGAATTAGAGGAACTCGCACCATTCCGTAATGCCGCCAATGAGCAGCGAGAATTGAGTGCCTCAGAACCTGCCAAAGTTAAGGAGCTGAGTCTTCAGATCACTGACCTTGAGGACACGCGTGACATGCAGGCTGCCCTCATTGAAGAGCTGGAAACCAAGATCTCGACTGTTGAGGCTAATGCCCTTGAGTTTAAGAGCAAGGTAAGATGACAGTTACATGGTTTTGGCTTTGAAGACTAAGTGACTAAGTTTCTATAAACTCTAACCTAACTCCCAACTGGCTTAATAGGCTGCTCAAGAATATGAGGCGCTTTCTGATGGCTTCAAGCTTTTGAAGAACAGGCGTTCTGAGGAAATCAAAGAGCTCAAGGCTGAACTAGAACAGCATAAACTGCAAGAGCAAATCATTGTGAAGCTTCAAGCTGATATCGACCAGCTCCAGGCTGCTCTCGCTTCTGTCGCGGACTCTCAATCAACTGAGAATGCTCGCATTAATCAAGTTACCGCCGAACTGAACGAGGCTTTGGCACTAAAGGACCAAGAAGTTATCCAAGTGCGCCAGAACATGACTGAATTTGAAGATTCTCACAATCGACTTGTCAGCTCTCTTCAAGCTACCTTGGCAACGATCAATGAGGAGGCTGATGCTGCAAGAAAGTCAAGAGATGAGGCTGTTGCTGCGTTGGAGTCCCTTCGAGAGGAGCTCGAGGCTTTGCGACATAGTCTTCCTATCAACAAGCACCAATCGTTGAGTCAGTGGTCAGCGGAGCAACAGCAGCTGCAGCAGGAGCAGCTCCAGGCAATCCGAGAGCTGGAAGAGAAGCTTGACGGACAAGTTGAGGGTGTGAAAGAGGAACAACAACGCGCCGGCATTTTGGAAGCCAACACGAAGAGAAGGAGCCAGCAACTCTCTTTGGATATGGCGCATCACCTGCATCTCAGTAGCGCCATGGTCAAGAAATCATCTCTGGCTGATTTGAGGGGCGAAAAGTCTTCGAAGCACGCAGAAAAGTCCTCGGAGACTCCAACTGATACCACGAGCAAGCGTGCGAGCACTATTATGGAATCAGGTACTGTGTCTGTGCGCACGATGCTTAAGTTCCTGTCACAGCTTCAGGGACGTTCTACTCATGAGCCATTTAAAGGGTCCCATGTGCGTGAGAGCACTGACGCAACAGTGATTGGTGAAAACGATATCAACTACGAGTCTGAGCTTCGAGCCTATCTGGTCGGCCTTAATGATGCCACTTTAATGGAGCCTTGGGCTAAGGAAAAGGAGCTAGAGGGCGAAATCACTCAGCTCGAGAAGAGGATTCAATCTCTACTTCAAGACCTGTCAGCAGCAAACAAGAAGAACTCAGAGGCCCAGAGTGTACTCAAGGCTGCTAAGGAGGAGTATGATGCACAACTACAAGAAGAACGTGAGCAGAGAGATGAACTCGAACGACTTGAAAGAGAAGAACGTGAAGATTTCGAGCGAAAGCGTGACGAAGAAATTCAACGGCAAGTACAATCTCTTGAGTTGAAGGAAAAAGAGCTTCTTCTCAAAGAGCAGTCTCTTCGCGAAAAAGAGATTGAGTTAAAAGACCACCAAGGGAGGGCTGGGTCGCTTCCTGTGTCCCCACCTATCACTCCATTTGGCTCCCCGGGCAATAGTGATCTTCTCCCTGGGATGATGGCCGCTCATCAGGATGAACTTGAGCGTCAGCATCAAGCGGAAATGGCAGCTCAACAAATTAAGCTTATCAAGTCCCTAGAAGAAAAGATCGCAGAACTTGAGAAGCGTGGTTCTTTGCCTAATACCCCGGGCTTGGATGAGCAATACCAGGCTTCGCATGCATTCCCATCTCCAACTTTGACAGCAACGCCACGATCCAGCGCGGCATTGTCGAGAATTGGGTCCCAGACGATGCGATCAAACCTCTTAAGCAATCCTCCAGATACACCTCCGCCCACAATTGCTCTTCCGCCTATTCCAACATCAACTGAGTCTAATGACCACGTTTCTCCCGGCCCACGGTCTTCATCGCCCGCATCAGAGGATGGCGCCTTGACTTCTCGAAAGAAGTCTACCATGGCTCACTCGGTGTCATCAGAATCTTTGGTCAATAAAACGGCCACTGAGGCCGCTGTTGCAGCTGCTGTGTTGAAGGCTCAAGAGAACCAAAAAGAATTGGCCACTAAATTAGAGACGTCTGAGGCGGAGCTTAAGAAATCACAGTCTAAGAATCGGGAGCTTGAGAAGGAGCTGGCAACTGTGGTGCAGAACTACAAGCAAGGCGGGCAATCCATAGAGTCAGAGATGCAAAAACTCAAGCAAGAAAACAATGAGCTCGCACAGGTCTTGGAAGAAATTCGAAAGAGCCTTGACCAGGCACAGAATCAAGTCCGTGGACTTGAAGCCCTGAAGTCACAGTTGGAGGCTCAAGTACAGACGGAAAGACAGGCCAAGGATGCTGCCATTCGGCAACAAGATCATCTGCAAGAACAGCTCGAGACAGAGAGACAGAAGAAGAAGGGCTTTTTGTGCTTTTAATGGCATGCGCTTGGTTTAAATGGATAGTGCACTTTTTATATTCCTATTATTTCAATTATGGATACCTTTTTTAAAAATTAGAATATTTAAAATATTAATTATATAAATTCAAGTTAATAATAAAAACCCTTAAGCTCCTAATCAATAAGATTCTGAGTGACTTTGGGATTGTAAATTTCCTCCTCTTCAGCTTCAACTATTCAGCACAATGTCTCGGTGCGTGACTGTTTATAATGTCTAATGTCCTTCAGCAGTGAGAGTGTAAATGGATGGATATGCTATGGGTACCCATTGATCGATCCATCCGTCAACCTATTCAGCATATACTGCAAAAAATTCTTTGAGTCAGTTTTTACTCGACATCTTGACAGGAAAATGGAGGAGAGAATTTTTTTTATTGATCGTTGATGAGATTCCGTACAAAAAAAAAGAAAAAGTGTTATGGGATAGGACCTTTACAATGCAATTATGAACAAGTGAGCAGGATTCATTGTAAAAAAAAAAAAAAAAAAAAAAAAAGAAGAGGCTATTACGTTGAGAAAGAGAGTACATCATCAACAATGCGAACAACAACCTCAGGCAACACATGTCCATCATCCTTTAAGAACATAGCCTATACCTATTAGGGGGAAAGAGGAAGCAACAGTTGAAGAAAGTCTTCTCGCCAATGAACAATGAGCTTTTTGCGTTTTGTGAAGAGTTGCAATATTGGGGTCTCAGGAATCAAAGCACCCTTTTTTTTTTTTTTATTGTTATTTGGTCAGCAGATTTGACACTACACTATCAGGACGTAGGCGGTTATAACTAAATCGATGGGCAAGCTGGATGTTCGACTATGGTCTGAATCCAGATTTAAAACTTCAAAGCGTGAGTGATGGCGAATTTTTGAAGGGATCAAGACTGAATCAGCAATCAGGAAAGAAAACACATCTGACTTTGAGAAGAAAGGCACAGCAGGAAAGAATGGATGGAACTACAAAAAAAAAGAGTACGCTTACACATACACACCATACAGCTTTTCTTCTATCATCTAACCGAAAACGGCGATTTATCATCACTCAAATTTATTTTAGTCTTTACGCCAAAGGTCGTGTTCTTGGTTTCAAGCGTGCTAAGCGCAACCAGCGCCCAGACATCTCGCTCATCCAGATCGAGGGTGTGAAGACCGCTGCCGATACCGATTTCTACCTTGGCAAGCGTGTTGCCTTCGTCTACCGTGCCAAGCGTGAGGTCAACGGCTCCAAGATCCGCTGCATCTGGGGACGTGTCACCCGTGCCCACGGTGGTTCCGGTGTTGTCAAGGCCCGCTTCCGCCACAATTTGCCCGCAAAGTCGTTCGGTGCCTCCGTCCGCGTTGTACGTTCTCATCAGATCTTTTATTGTATTTGTGATTACCAAAAAAAAGGAAAACTAATTGAAGGATATTAACAATTTTTTTTTCTTTTTTTTTTTTTTTTGCTTTCAGATGATGTACCCCTCCAGGTATGATATTCTTTCTGTTCTGGAATTACTTGATGGAGTTATATAATTGTGATAGTTACTAACTTTTCACTGTACTATTTTATCTTCCAATATGTTTTCTTAGAGTTTAAATTTATCGTTAAATAAATCTCGAAACGGATCATCCATGGACTTTCATACATTAAAGGAACAAAAAAAAAAAAAAAAAAAAGATTCGGGTGTATCGCCGTATTTTTATTTTCTCATGGAAACTATTGGAAACAATTTCTCTTTTTGTTTTGCTTTATTATAAATTCGATCTTTCGGCGGGTAACTCTGGAGAGATCATATGACAGGAAGAAACATCAAACAAAAAGGAAAAGAAAAGATCTGAAAGTCATGGAGTTTGGATAGGGCGAGGTGGATTAAATTACTTGTTTTTTAGTCGCTCTGATGGGATGATTATGGTGCAACTGTAGGATCCCATTCTGTAATAATCCACGCGGCGCACAGTATTCAAAAAGAAATACATAAATTAGTTTCAGAAGGCAACTTTTTTCTTCTTTAGTAACAAGCTACTTGCAAATGAGAAAGATGTGTTAATGCTTACCAGTCACGAAATTCTCATTCATCGAGTCCAGAACCGCCATATCTCCATCTGCGATATCAAAATCGAACACATCTGCATTCTGTTCGATTCTTTCCTTTTTAGCACTCTTGGGGATGACAATGAAGCCCTTTTGCAGACTCCATCGGATCAAAATTTGTGCGGGTGATTTAGAGTATTTAGTGGCTAACTTGGCGAGAGTGGGGTCTTGAAGTTTTACGGCCTGACACAATGGACTATAAGCCTCAACCGCAATATCCTGTGACTCGCAAAAAGAAATAATGTCTTGGCGAATGAGCCAAGGGTGAACTTCAATCTGGTTGACCACTGGACGAATTGTTGGATTGGAACCGAGGAGTTCTTTGAGATGATGTACGCCATAATTCGATACACCTGATTAATGACAAAATAAAAAAATTGGGTGGGCAAAATAGACACAATTCATGTGAGTAACAGAAACGTCATCACATCACAAAAGGAATAGATGTTTTGCGTCGTACGACACAACGAACGGAGAATAAGATAACGATTTTTTTTTTTTACCGATGCTCTTGGCCTTGCCCTGCTCGACTAATGTCTCTAAGGCCTTCCAAGACTTAGTCCGCAATTCAGACCCACATAATGGTGAATGGATCAGGTAAAGATCTGGGCAAAAAGTAAGAATATGTTCATTTAGGATTGATTATGAAAATTTCGTGAGAAAAAATGAACCTTATTTAAATGTTAATTCAGTAGTTCATTACCAACATAGTCCAGACCCATTTTTTCCAATGACAATTCCAAGGCTGCAATAGCAGATTCATATCCCTGATCATCTTCTGTCAGTTTGGTCGTTACAAAGATTTGTTCACGAGGAATACCGCTAATTGATACCAATAGAAAAAAAATATGGGGAACGCGACGAGAATCATTTTTAACAAATTAAAATGGACAAATTAAAGTGAAAAAAAAAAAAAAAAAAAAAAAGGGCTAGATACTAGATAAAAAGCATGTTACCTCTTGCGAATGGCATTACCAACACTAGCCTCGTTATCATATATGGTCGCAGTGTCAATATGGCGGTACCCCGCCTTGATATATCCAAAAAATAAAAGTGTAAAAAAAAAGAAGTAAAAAGTATGTCATTTAGAATAAGAAAAGACGAGAGATAACTGCATAGAAAAGTTTATAGAAAAAGAAAAGGGAAGAAAAAGAAGAGAGCTTGCCTGAAGTGCCCAGAGAACAGCATTCTCGGTTTCCTTGCCTGGTGCAGCCTGGTAAACACCCAAACCTAGACGTGGAATCTGACGCGCGTTACTCAACTGACAAAATGATTGTAAATTCTCAAGTTCGACCCGTTTCATGACTGATTTGAGAGTTGAGAAAAGAAATCTTTGAATTTTGAGAGAAAGTAAAAGAATGAGAAAGCTGAATGGAAATGAAAGAATGATGTAACAGACGAAGGGAAGTTTCCATGCTTTTTTGGGCGTAACGAACTTGCTTCGAAACAACGTCAAGAACACGTGCAATGTGTGTGAACAATGCATATTCAATAATTAGCCTCCTGAGAACTGTGCTTGACCTTTGAAAGGTTCTTTTTAATCTTTTCTTTTAATCTGTGTAGGGAAATGACTGTAAGTACGGGCCAGAAGCTGAAGCCTTGAAACATTACTTGTCAATGCTGATGGTTTCTTTGACCCAGAGATGAAGCGTTTATTAAGTATATTTTAGTCGACTCTGCCCCAGCTCCTGATGGTCAACCAATTCAAATGGATGATTGAGGTTCAAATGGTCCTGTTAGAGAGATTCTTTTTATTATCGTTTAAAGTCTCTCTAACGCCAAGTAAGTTGTAGCCATCCACCACTTATCCATCGTCAGCGAGTGAGTACAAAGAATAGTTATAAAGCTAGTTGGTCGTCAATGAAGTCTAAAACGATGGTTCAGGAAAAGGCTTCATTGATGAAGAACACTTGTCTAGGCATCCTCTATTGAAGATGTCTGGCACGCCCATCATCTAAACGTGGCTCCTATGAGGAGAGACACTCCACTCCTTCCATTTTTAAAATCTTACTCCCCTCTTTATAGAAGCATTGGAGATATATTAGATGTCATTACGTTGAATGAAGGAGTTAAAGAAAGAGATGGGTAATAAGTGAATAGTTAAAAGTAAAATAAGGAAGTATGACGCCGAGGGAGAACAAACGAAAGTAAGACAAGAAAGGGAATTGCTGAGAAGAAAGAAAAAAGCAAATGAAAGTCTAGTAAGAGAGAGAAGCACCGAGAGTGGACGAGCGAGAGCGAATTACCGACTGAATGGAATTGCAAGGAAGACATCTATAATCGAGCAGGTGCGCGTAATGCCGTCGCTGCCTCACTTTGTCCCTGGCCCACAATTATCAACAGAGAGACGAGAATAAGAATGTCTTTGAAGAATGTTAATACAATGTATTATAAAAAGGTAGGCAATGTTAACCAGACTATTTCTATTTCTTCGTTTCTAGCCAACTTGCTGATATTCATTTTTTACTTTACTTTACAACCAATATATGGATCTCTTATTTAATATCTGTATCTGAAAGAGGAAAAGTGGAGCGTACTTGATGTCTTTGATAGAGGATATGTAAGCAAGAGTGAGAAACAATACATGTTGTGATCTTAAATGTGTCGCGTTTCTGTGCTTGAGGGGAGAGGCGTATCAAGGCCGTAGAAAATACAGTTGAGGTGAACATCGCTCCATGCTCAGTTCCGAGCTGCTACCATGCAGACTGGGCGAGATCCATGCTATACTCAGTAATAATAAACAGTGGCCACTGACGTCTATCACGTTCGCCAACATGATCTTGCCTCAAACCGCACTGGAGGGACTGGTACAGAACTGTCCAGACTTGACAGAGTTTCGGATTATTCGCTGCGCTTATATAGTACCAAAAGGATTCATTCATGAGTGCCCCGAGAATTTTTTATATTTCAAGGAAAGAAGAGACATGTTCTTCACCAACCTTGCGTCTTATTGTCCAAAGCTCAAAAGTCTTCATATCGCAGTCGCTGCGGATTTATTATACGACGTTTTCGACGAAGTAGCGCCGATATCTCAATTTCCCTGGATCGAACACTGGGGTGTATCGACATTAAGTATGGTTGATGCGCCATCATTATCTGCTACAGTACTCTTGGATAAGCACAGGGTAGAGAATCGATTGACCAGCCTCGAGATCACATTGTCTTTGAATAGCTTGGCTCTTAGAGCGGCAAGCGTTGGTAAATGGATGCATCTGTTATTGTGTGAGAGCCCACTACTGGAACACTTTAAGGCACCAGAAGTCGATCTCCCGCTACATCTACTATACGTGACCAAAGCTTTATCCACCAAACCCTCCTTTAGCAGTCGTGAGGGAGACGATTTTCTTGTACCTCCAGTCCCTCGACAAGTATGGGGTTGCCGAAGGCTTAAAACACTGCATATCAGGGTCGATGAGTCGTTTAACTCTGGAATAAGTGATTTAGAGGAACAAATCCGCGTCTTCTATGGCTATATCAGTAGAGTCTGTCCATATTTGGAGGACCTTGCAATCAAGAGATTCCACAGTCTACCTCAACAAAACTTTGCTGTCAACATGTGCTTACTGTCGCGTCTGAAGCGTTTGCGAACGTTGCAGCTCGTAGGTATTTTGCATTTACGTGAGCAGGATATCGACTGGATCAAACAAACATATTATTATAGTACGAAGGAACAGATGAAATTGGAGCTTGGGTGGGAATTACAAAAAGATCAACGGCCTTCTTTTGCCAAATCTCTCGTAAAACAGTAAGGAATATCATGTATCCTCATTACTTGGGTCGACGTCAATGATAGTGCTAGTTTGGCGGAGAAGAGTCTTGGGATTCTGATTGATGATCATGATACTGCGGGCACTATTAAAAAAAACAACATCGTTACTGAGAGTGACTTGATACAAGGGCATAGACACGAGAAAGAAGAGAAGGAAGAGAAGGAATTGATTGACGGTGTAGATGTGACTCACCTTGGTCTACTTCAAGATGTGGTCAACTATTTCAAAGATCGGCGCCGCAATCGAGACAAAAGTTTATGGCCGGATTTGGAGACAATATCTGTTCGATCTGATCTTTCTCATTTTGAGAGGCGAAGCGATTTCCTTTATTTTCTGAATCGGTTTCGAGGTCTAATCAAAAAGTATCGGCCAGAGATCAAAGTTGTCTGGGTAGAGAGGAAGTATAGCGAGATATAAAATAATAATATGAACAAGATCTAAAAGAAATTTATTGGAAGGAACACATGTTAAAGCACAAAACTTTATAAACCTCAACTAAAGGAAAGGTCTTTGGATAGCGTAGCCTAATTTGATATCGGACTATCGATGGCCAGTCTGTTGCTGCTGCTGAGGCGCATAACCACTGCCGACTCTTGTGAATGGTAGTGAGCTGTAATGAGCCTGGTTCGAGTACTGTTGGTTTTGTACAAATGGACTTGGCGCATATGCAGGCTGCATATATGGAGTCTGTTGCTGTTGTTGAAGTGGCTGTTGTTGAAGCTGCTGTTGCTGTCCTATGGGTTGCTGTTGCTGTCCTATTGGTTGCTGTTGAGGCTGCTGCTGTAATGATTGCTGCTGCTGCTGCTGAACAGGCGTTTGCAGTGAATATTGCTGTTGTTGAGGGGTCTGAGCGTAGCTCTGACCTTGCATCGGCTGACCAGTCGCCTGTTGGAGCTGTCCTTGGCCATGGCCTTGAGTCTGATTAGCGAACTGCTGCTGCTGCTGCTGCTGCTGAGGCTGTTGTTGTTGCTGCTGAGGTGTAGAGTTGCTCGCATACTGTTGGTACTGTTGTTGAGACTGTGGTTGTATCTGTTGAATGTGGCTCTGATGCTGTTGTTGTTGCGCCTGAGCATGTGGTGGTTGCAGTTGTGGTTGCGGTTGAGGCTGTGGTTGCTGCTGTTGCGTTTGGGGCTGTGACGGTTGCTGTTGTGGCTGAGGCTGTGGTTGTTGCTGCTGCTGCTGTGTCGATTGCGGCTGCGACTGTTGGTGTGTGTGATATGGAGGGGTCCATAATTGAGAGTGGGCCTGTTGTTGCTGCAACTGGTTTACTGCATTTGACATGGAAGACTGCTGTGTCGCTTGATTTCTGGCAGGAGGTGAGAAAGTATTTTGATGCGATGATGCTTGGCTTGAGACACTTAGCTGCCTTGAGAGAAGGCTGCTCTTGTCAAGAAATTGATCTTTCGAAAGTTGTTGAATGATTCAAGGATAGATATTTCAGTATGATAGCTTATAAAGCTTTTTTTTTTTTTTTTTTTTTTTTTTTTTAAAAAAAAAATAAAAAAAACTTACCAAGAGATTCTGCTGAAAGAACAAGAGGCTTTGACTCTGCAGGCTTGGCCGCGCTGCCTGCAGCTTCATTTGTGGTCTTATCATTCACGCCCCCGATTCCAGGCACTGGTTTTGATGTTCCAGCTGAATCATTGACAGCACCAGGATGCTGTGAGTGGATCACTTTCAGGGCAGCCCCTATTTTGTGTTGAAGGTCGACCAATGCCGCAGTAACAGCTGCTAGAGTTTGTTGTTCATTCATACCCACGAGTTTCTGTGAGAAATGTTCGATCGGTGTCGACACAGGGTGTGTCACCTTGTCTACGTAGTGCCAAATGCAAGATATGGAAGTCAGTCGTTTGGAAATAGAGATTTGACAAAAGTTGATAATACGACACACTTCAAAGATTGTTTATCCTTGCCATTCACAGTAAGCTTGAGAAGATTTGACAGCGACAATGCGTGTGAGATATCTGCATCGTCTTGGATAGTAATCAAATCGCCATCTACAATGGAAATAGGCAAGCATTAATGTCGCTTAGTGAAAGGATTATGTGGAATAATTATGTCGGTTGAATATAATGACATCTTTCAGACTACGACATTATTTTGTTACCTTCGTCTTCATAGCGAAATACAAAGTTATCTAGGTCTGTTGAAAGCTCTGAACGAAAGAGCCTCTGGGCCATAAAGCAAAGTTCATTGTATGTTGGCACTTGTACAATTGGGACACGTAGGTTCGTTCCAGCACATTTGACTGTCAGAATGATGGAGACAAAAACCTAACAAGATTCAGTCGACATGGAGCTATAATGCCATCATAAACAAATTTAATGAGGTTATTAAAGTTTTAAGGAAACATTACATTTGATAATGACGGGTTTGTCGCCAAGAGTTAGCTTTCGAAGTTCTTTGTAAGATGTCATCATGGAGGAAAGTAAAAAAGAAGTAAAATAAATTGATTAAGAAAGAAATAAAAGGCTTCGCCTCAAACCCCTTGACTTTTTATTGCACGCGTATGCGTGAGATGGAGAAACAATGCGCACGCGCCACGTTGGATTTGCAACTCCACAGAGTCCCACAGTGCCAACTTTGTTTTTTAAGCCCCCGTCCACTTTGATTGCTCCAAAATCATTTACAGTAGTCTAAACAGCGTATTGATTTGTTAATTGTGTAAGACTAAAAACGCGTGTAGTCCCAAACCACATTTCACGCGTTTCGAAACAAACCACCATCATCAGGGGTCTCGGACGTCGGACGTTTGCGTTTATAAAAGTCAACCTTTAGCCTCGTTTCTGATTGTTGGTGGTCTACTTTGTGTAGCGCCTCGGACAGTGTTTTTTGTTCAGTCTCAATGCATTATAGACTTGCCGATCTTCCCATTAGAGCTACTTGTCATGTCTCCTACTTCTCCTATTGCCCTTCTGCTGCTCCTTGATGAGAGAGGCCTAGGCCCTTTTCCCTCTAATCTATACCTCATTCTGTAAGCCAGGGGTTATACACTTCTTTTTTTTTTTTTTTGAGAGCAACTTGTGTGTGATCATTGCATAAAAAGCTATTATGTGACATGTGCATCACAAACTAGGCACACATTGCTCATGGACGTCTTTGATCTAGTCGTCTTTAACCATTGCTCGAATTGTCCCTCATTAACATATGATACTGACAATTTAAATAACAGTAGGAAATATAAGCGACAGATATTCCATAAATAACCTTTATAAAGTCTTCTCTTCTTTGTCTCATTTTGCTATCTCTCTTTATTGCTTTACTATCCTATACTTCTTTTCATTATTAGTCGTCTTCAACATCGCTTGCCCTCAATCACTAATCACCATCTTGAATCACTTATTCACAATATTTATACCTAGGGACCAAGAAGAAGTGAGGGAATGCTTTTCATCATTACTTTTTGCATCTTCAAGTGAATACTCCAAAACATTGGGGATTTGTTCTTGAAAGACATTAAAAAAAAAAAAAAAAAAAAATGTTATAAAATTTTGAAAATTTTTCAAGCTACTTAAAGGCTGCTTCATTCCTTTCTCACACATTCAGAACTCATGTTATCAATAACTTATTCCAGAGACGATGATGCCCTTACTGGAAGCAAGGTGCCTTTGAAGAAGACGGAATTGTGGGCCTGGGTATGTATGTGCCATGTCAAAACTTTTTTTTTATAAACCAGAGAGATTGCAAGTACAGAGAGCCTGTTGAGCTCTGTTGAGCTAACAAATGGTGTATTTTACTGCACTTTTTTTTTTTTTTTTTTTTTTTAAAAAAAAAAAAAAAAAAGTACTTTCAAAATGCCACGTAAGGACTAAATAGAAGTCTTTACAATGGATTATGCATCTCTTTTTTGAGAACAAGGCATGGACTTACTGTTCTGATCCCTGCTCTACCCCACCTTTTTTTGTATTGGTACTTCTACAGCTACTGTGCATATGGCTGGCTGAGCGCGACGATGATAGTACCTTTACTTATCCAAGATATTGCAGCTAGTGGGGGAGTCGAGGCATCAGACCATTCCATCCCTTGCAACACCAATTTAGAAGGCTACAAATGTGTCAAAAGAGTCTTTGGAGAACACTATCTTGATCCGGGTACTATATCTCTCTACATCTCAAGTCTCTCTGCCATAGTGTCTTTCTTCGTGTCGCTGTCCATTGCTGCTGTTGCAGGCCATGGAGGTAAAGCATCAAAAATCTGCTTCTTACCATCGTTTTGCGTATCCAACTTCTTCACCCCTGTTTAACACTGCTTTTTTTATTTTTATTTTTTTTTTTATCAACACATTCAAGCTTACAAAAAAAAACTACTGTTCGTGTTTGCGCTCCTGGGCTGTATCATTTCGCTCACATTTTTTCTCGTTCGACCGTCCACTTTCTGGCTGGCTGCAGTTCTATCACCTTTGGGCTGGACCTGCTACAATGTCACGTCTGTCTTTTCCAATGCATTTTTGCCCATCTATGTCCGCGTCCATCCTTTGGTTCTCGAGGCGAATGAAAAAGCAGAAATCTCCAGAGCTCTACGTACCATCGAAGAGAAGAGCGCAGTCGCAAACGCGACTGCCGATACTACTGCCCATTACAGCAGCAACGATGTTAACACTACCGACATCGATGACCATAGTGGGGGAATCTCAAGTCCTCTTCCGAAAGACAATGTCTCCATCTTCTCAACCACAGAACAGCGAAAAGTGGAGGAGCAGGTTTCAAATGACCTGTCAGCATGGTGCATGGGCGCCGCTAATGTGGGCTCCGTTATCATCCATGGGGTATGCATCGGTATCTCGAGAGCCATGGGCAACTCTTTGTTGGCTCTTCAGGTCGTCATTGCGTTCACGGGCGTTTGGTGGCTGATGTGGACACTTGCAGTCATGCCCTGGCTAGATGCACGGCCGGGACCACCTTTACCAAAAGGCCAGAACTGGATAGTATACTCTTGGTCTCAGAGTAAGGATCATCTACATTTTTTTTTTTTTTTTTTTTTTTTGGATTTTTATACTATTACTATTATTATTCCAGTCGTGCGATCCGCGAGTATGATATCCAACCAATTTCGCCGTCTCTGCTTGTATAGATCTTAAGACATTCAAATCCATGCGCCAGCTTTCTCAAGTGACGAAATTCATTGTTGCATGGTTTATCCTTTCGGACGGGGTCAATACGGTGACAACACTTCTCTATGTAATCACGTATCAGGATCTTCATTTCTCACATACAAAATCGGTTGCTATGACTATTGTCGTATCGACGATGGCCTTTTTCGGTGGCTATGGCTTCTTATTTATTCGCCAGATCTGGAAATTATCCACAAAGTTTATGCTCATGTTAACCATTGGGCTTTACGCGATATTAACCAGTTATTTTGTTATTCCAACTTATTTTACAACCACATTTGGACTAAGGCACGAATGGGAAGTCTGGATTACTATCGTTTATTTGGGATTGATTATCAGTACTTTCTTTTGTGCATCACGTGTGATGATGGCGGAATTGTGCCCAGAGGGGGACGAGAGCGAATGGTTCAGTCTTTTCCAATTAGCAGATAAAGGTTCCTCCTGGTACGGAATCTCTTTTGTTGTTCATATTTGCTCATATTAAAAAAAGGTCGACATCTGCCTGTTTCTCGTTTTTTTTTGTTCTTTCTTATCGATTGCTTTTTTTTTTTTTTTTTTTTTTTTTAAATAGGATCGGGCCGTTTGTCACAGGTGCTATTGAATCTGCTACAGGCGAGTTCCGTACTGGATTTTGGTTCCCACTAGCGCTCTTCGCCGTGGGCGCTGCACTCCTCCTGAGTTTAGATGTGGACAAAGGCAAGGATGAGGCAATATCCTATAAGCAGCAGCATGCTAGTCATCAATTGTTTTCAGACACCGCAATACCACATCAGAATAACGTCGTAGAACTTACATCTGTATAGATTTCATGTCATTTGATAATATCTAAGATCTAATGTAACTTTTATCTCCATCCTAAGTATACTATTGAAGACAATTTGAATAGTGGTTTTGATACAATTTTTATTTCATGGTACGAGCAAGATAACTGTTATAAAAAAGAAATCCCCTCTAACAGGAACAACGGAGATTACGTCCTTTAGGCCATACCAGAAATTCGAGTATATCATTCTAATAGATGATGAGGCACACTCAGGTCAGCGTCATGATTTCCTTACTCATATCCACAAGCTTGTGTACAAACTTGTTGGCACTCGCTGTAAAAGACTCTACGGTGTCCAATGCTGAACAAACGAAAATGATACATTACAGGAAAAAAAGAAAGAAAGTTGATGAGTTGGGTATATTCATGACTAATATAGATCAATATTACCCTTCTTTCCACAGAAGGTAGAATTAGTACTTACTGTGCTGAGGGATAAAGACAACATTATCGACACCGATTCGTCGTAGTTGATCACGCCACGCAAGACGCCTTTTTTGTACAGCGGTCGAGGTCCGACCATGTTGTCCAGTCTTGAAGCATGCATAATAGTCCTCTGTAGAGTAGCCTTCATCTCGAGCTTCTTCTTCTAGGGATCCTCCATGAGTTTGTACATCAACACTGTTACAGAAATAATCCTCATCAAAATCGCTTGAAGGAATTACGATGGCCAAACCGCCCAATTGGATTGGGATCTTCTTCTCTTGCTCCTCCGTGACAGGTGCCACTGCCTTTTCAAGCCAGTTCAAAAACTTCTTAGTCCGCTTGCCATCGTCGTCACCAACACTAGCATGGATTAAGATTTGTCCCTGCAGAGATCTACGAACTTGGATCGAGGCCGGGTTTTCCATCAAGTCACCATCATCCAAAATGACCATAAAATCAGACTGTTGTGCAACCGTGTCCAGGTCTTTGACGTTTGTGGTGCGTCCATGAGTCATTATATGTAAGCGCGGAGTATGTGCAATGACATGCATACCTAGCGCCTGAGCCAAGATACCGGTCTGATGACCACAGACCTGATTGGACTCGATTCCCAAGATGCCCATGGTCTTGTTGCGAATCTCATGGCAGTTGGTGTGATCCTTGTTCCAGATGCCGCCGTGAGCTTGACGGTTACGATTTAAAAGCTGACGAGAAAGGATAATGGTCAAGGAGAGGCAAAGCTCACTAACAGCATAAGGGGAAGGAGTAGAGTCCAGGGTTAAGATAGGAATCTAAAAAAAAATAAAAAAATAAAAATCAAAGGGGTTTGTGTTGCGTCCATGTTTTTGCTGCATTTGGTCGCGTGGAAGGGAAGAGGTTTCATTTTTGAGATAAGCTTACATGCTTAATGGTCAGGGCCGAGGCAACACCACCCTCAAAGCAGGCAATAGCATGCAAACGTGAGGTAGGCCAGTACGAGAGGAGGTAGGAGATAATTTCAGCAGTTTTTCGGGAACGAATGGCAATGAGATTGCAGTAACTCATCCTGAGCTGAATCTCAGCAAATGAGGCCTTGTGAGCGTCCAGGAACTCAAGCTGGATTCCTCCAGAAGAGAGGATATTCTTGCAGGACTGAGGTAACTCATCAAGGATAAGCATGGTGGGGCGGGGGGTATCGCGAGAAGGCATATTGAAGAGCTGTTTCTTGTGGTTTTCTTATGATTAGGGTATATGTGTATATGTGGATGAGTGATGACAGTGGTTGATGGCAAATAGTGAGATGAGAGACCATTCAAGTGATGAGTAAATAGAAAAGTTAAATTTATTAAGGTTTTGGAATCTGTGTTCAGCAACAAAGATTAATAGACGAGAGTATAGGCCAACAGTCACGAGGGTCAGCCTCGATTAAATATTTCGCCATTCTGTCCGCTCCGTTCGTCACCTGCAACAAACAAAAGGGTTCGATTGACGCTTCTACTTCTTTTTTACTCTTTTTACTACCTCTTTTACTGTTTATTTCTACTTCTTTCTTACTTCATTCATCCACTCCTACGCTTTCTCCCCTCACTTTAGCCCTTCAACCTGGCTTACTTCACTCCTACCCGATTTAATACTCCTCCAATGTGTCGCATGCTTCTTTACAAGGGCAACCAGCCCATTCAATTGGCACATGTAATGTTCTCATCCAGTCTTTTTTATCATTCCATGGAAACTTTTATGATCACATGCATCAAATTGCTTAGTCTTACTCCTTTTTTTATTTTACTGCTTCTGTTTACTTGCTTCTCATTCAGCTATTGACCAAACCAGCGCATTCGATCATTAACCAATCTTTTGACTCAAGGTTACGTCTCGATACTAGAAGACCCATCAATGGTACATACTCAGAAGCTGCATTCTACTACAAAGTCAGTTCGAACATATTTAAAAAAGATATCAAGTTCTATTACTAACATGGCTTTCTCTCTTACCCATATAGGTGACGGCTTTGGAGTGGGTACGCTATGAAGAAATGAACCATTGTTCCATGCAACGCACAGCCTCCTTCGTTCTCAATATCAGCGCGCTTGGGCCTTTTCACATTTATTTTCATTGTTCATTCTGCAGACTGACATTTTTTTATTCCTTTAATGTTCATAGGATGGTATGAGTCAGAGCCTGATCCTGAGCTAGGTGCCGCTCCTTGCATTTTCACTTCAGTCACACCCGCTTGGAACAACATGAACTTGATTCGATTGGCAGAAAAAATTAAAAGTCCTTTGGTTTTTGCTCATGTAAGGGCATCTACAGCAGGATCAGTTTCGGAAAGCAATTGTAAGTTACGAAGAAAAAGAAAGCAAGTATACTGATTCCGAGGGCGATCGATCGGGTGTTTTGATGATCTTAATACGGATACACTTGTATGCTTAGGTCATCCATGGCAGTATGGACGGCTCATGTTCATGCACAATGGTAACATTGCCGATTTTCATTTGGTATGTGGGAACTTTTTTTCTTTCCTTTTTTCTCGTAGCATCCAATTAAGCGATAATATTTTTATACTTATCCAGAGGAACCTTCGTCAACTACACTCGTAGATCAAACGCAAAGTACAGGAATCGTTAAAGGATGAAATTTTTTTGACAGTCAACGGAAACACAGATTCTGAATGGGCTTTTGCTGTGTTTCTTAGCCAATTGAAGACACCATTGCAGACGGAGCCATTTTGCTATAGTGTCCTCAAAGAAGCCATGCTCAAAACGATTGCCAAGCTCAATGCATGGAGCAAGGATGCTGGGATCACAGAGGCCTCAATGATGAACTTTGCAGTGACAGATGGCGTCAGTGTAGTTTGCTCTCGATATATTAGTTCAAAGACATTGGAAGCAGCGAGCCTATACTTTTCATCAGGCACCAGATTCGAGAGTTATAAACCTGGACACTATCGAATGATCAAGGCGGATAAACGAGAAGATATTGTTGTGATTGCTTCAGAACCGCTGACGTTTGAAAAAGCAGATTGGCTGACGATCCCGACGAATACTTTGGTGGTGATTACCTCGAAGTTAAATGTGTTGATGTATCCTATTGTGGATGAATATCATAATCCATCGCCATTAGGCCGTGCGCCAGAGCAGTCAACAGTTGCAGTCGTCAAAGGCGAAGGTCGTGGTGATGGAGCACGTGACCCTAATCATCGAGAGGTTGTATTTGTAGAAGATAGGAGGACGCTTCCAGTTTTAAATTCGACTCGTTCATTAAACGGGGGTCCATCAGCGCCAGTAGCCAAAGTCGATTCACCAACGCCAGCGTCTGTACCGAATACACCGTCATTGAGGTCGAGTTTACCTCCTCAACCACAAGAGGCTAGTTCAACAAGTGCCTCTGGAGCATCTATGGTGGCAGTTTAGGCACAAACAAAAGACAGAAGAGTAATTGGTGCCAATAATAAATGTATTTTTAGACAATTTATTAATCTATTGATATTGTGCTGTATAGTGTTATCTATTTCTATTGTCGTTTAGTTTTTAACCTATAGGGAATGGGAATTAAAAATCAGCAGCCAAGATGCTCCTTCCGGACATACTCTCGCCAATGATACAAGAAGACAGTTTCACCGTCCTCGCGTCCCCACTGTTTAGCTTGACGGCAGTCAACCAAGCCCATCTTATCCATCCAGAAATCAAAATCGGCAATCACATCTGCATGTGTCTTTCGGATCGGGAACATGATATGGAAGGCAGGTCGTCGACGACTCAGAGGAATGGTTTTATCTTTTGATATCAGATTCCGTTTTAGATACTCGTCCACGACATGGGCCACTAATTCGGCATGTCCATGATCATAAACAACCTCAGCACCAAGGATCAAATCCATGCGATCCTTTTCTGGTATCTCATTGGTTGCGCTCGCTGTACTGTCTGTATTTGTAAATACACATCCAGTAGTCACTAGTGGATTTGGGACAACATTATCATATTCTGTTGATCGATGCTGGGTAAGTTTTGTGGCATTTTCCCCTTTGATGACTTGTCGACCTGAACCATTATTAGCCTTCTCGCTCTCCTTTTCCCCCCTGTCCTCCTCCTTGCCCTCCTTCTTCGTATTATCATCATCGCCATTATTATTATGATTGCATTGCCAGGAATCCAAACAACAACGTTTACGTTTTTGGAGGACATTACGCCAGTCCAGTAGTTGGATTTCACATCGTCCATCAAGATGGTTCAAAGTACTGTTGTAACGTAAAGTTGAGATCACATTGGGATGATAATCCGATAAGATGACTTTGGGTCCCCGTGGATTCGAAAATAAGGCTGCAGCAAATCCGACCAAACCAGTGCCACTGCCAAGTTCTAGTATTTTGGGTAGCGGAAGCGATGATGTTGATGATGTTGTTGCTGTCCATGGTTCGAGTTGAGGAATATCACCATGAGCAATATGTCTTGAATGGAGATTGTTATTGGATATTCAAAATAAAAATAAAAAATAAAAAAAAGTCCTAATTAACATGCATGTCATAATTAAAATAAACATGAATAAACAAAAAAGAATTTTTTTTTTTTTTTTTTTTTTTTTTTTGCACCTTACTTTGACAGAAGGTATGCGGAGCCAAAGGTTTTGAAGCCGACATCACCACCAATAAAACTTGGATCATGGATTTGAAGTGACTGTGGAGGATTCGTATTATAGCTCCATGTTCTAGTCATTGCTCCTGATGCAGCTCGTCCACAAAAGTGCGTCAAACAAGACGAAACCCTCTCGGTGAGGAGATGGTGTTGTAAACGGTATTCTGCCTCTTGCTCAGTCTCTTGTTTGTTGTTGCTTTTGATGCCAGTTTCGGTCTTTGTTGGTCTGCCTCTCTCATTGTCGTTATTAATTTCTGCTTGCCCTTCTTCGTCTTCTTCGGAAGGTGCACACTCTTCAAGTTTGACCAAAAGCTTCAATAACCATTGCATATTGATGTTGTATGTCTGATCATCTTCGCCTGCTCGAAACTGTTCCAGCATAGGATCCTCGATCTCGTTGCCATCTTGATCCAAGCCTTGATCTATTCGATCCTGTGAATACTTGTATACAATTCTGTCCTCTAGCTCCTTAAGTCGCTGCAGAGACGCCGCAGGAAGGATCATGGGTATCGTTGTTGACGCTGGCATTCTTGGAAATAAGTATAGCTATATTGAGTGAAGCAGAGAATGGTGGCCAGAAAGGGCTGATTAACAAAAGAGAGAGAACTTCTTTTTTATCTCAAAGGAAATAATTTGAATTACCGACTGTGGCTGATTTCCAATTATCCTCGGAGCAGTTGAATGAAGGTCAAGCTTGATGTCCTTATTTCTTTTGTAAAATCTCCAATTGGACTTATAGTTTCATCTTTGGGCGTTCAGCCTGTTTATACGGGGCTACCGTGTCCGAGAATTCATTTTTATGTCTTATTATCTGGTATAAGTAGATTGTGCGCGTCGTCTGCAGTTTATGTAACCTGTAGTCCATGTAAACAATCTTACGAGACAGAGTTGAGTGACTGTCACAGGGGTGGTTGACCTGACCAGCTGAGAAGGGAGAAGACGTGAACCCGTGTCGCCTATTGCAACAACTACATCCTTCGCTTCGCTTTCTCCTCTCTCAACGACAGCAACAACAGCAATAACAGCACCAACAATAATAACAACATCAGCGCGGATCCCCATTATCCAAGTCTAGCAGAGAGCAAGAAAGGGAATTGAAAAAGCTTGCAATTCAGGATTGCTACATTCTCTTTTAGAACGATACTTTTTTTCCCTCTTTTTTCTTTAGAACAGCAACACTTCCTATTCCCCATCTAATCCTTTCATACACATTTTATTCATCATGAAGCCCATGTTTTCTGCTGGCCAGGCCACCTGTTGCACTGTGTTGTCAGTGTTTGGTGTAATCTTCTTGGGCACGATGTCCTTTCTCTTCTCTCTACCAGCCGAATCACTGACACATACCATCAATGATCCCGATAATCCTGCAGAAGTCGCCAAGGCTTGCTTGACCGCAACGTTTTTTTACGCATTCATGATTCTATTCTGCGGATGCCAGGTAAACAACTGCATTTTTTTTTTTTTTTTTTTTTTTTTTTAGTGACGTCTTGGGCTTTTGTACTTGAATTCTGGAGCTTGGGACGTACAGGATGGGAGAAATATGTTAAATATGAACGTGACATACTTTGCAAAACTTGTCATCCCATAAATAACCAACAAGGCACATGAAGATATCCCTCATCATGGAAAAGCAACAGACAAAACTTCAGTTGATGACGTCGATCGGAATGGAGATCTTGGTACTAACCCTCGGCAATTGCAAAAAAAATAATCCAGGACCATTCGTTAGGAGGTTTTGAGTCTAGAGACCTTGACCAAATGAAATTTAACCTGTCTTTTTTTTTTGTTACCATTTGATATAGAGCTGGCTCAACAAGCGGGAGCAACGTGCACAGATTCAACTTCATTAGCGTTTTACGTAAAAAAAAAAAAAAAAAAAAAAAAAAAAAGCAGGAACGTTTAAGAATAAAAAAATGAAGATATAATCAACCAAAGCTCAAGGTTTTTATTGTAAACGACACCACTCCAGGTGCTAGGATCGTGGATAGTACTAAGAGTGCTAGGCATTATAATTTGAATTGCATTTAAAAACAAAAAACAAATATGTTCGGCCTTTTCTATTACTATTGTTGTTTTGACTAATTCAAAGTGCTCATGTCAAGCGTCATGTCACAGTAAATCGGCGATTCATGAATTTGGGGTTCAGATGTGGTATCCTGCGTTTTTTTTTTGCCTTCTGTAGTTGTGGTACGTAGTAAAAAAAAAAAAAAAAAAAAAAGGCGCTGCATGATGGAGCGTTTTAACGCGTGGATAGATGATTTGATGTCCTACCCCCTTTTTTTTTTATTTGTAATTCGACGCTGGAGCCTGAGGTGTGAACGTTGGTCATTCCAAGTGCTCGAACATTTGACAATGACTGCGTCTCAGAAGCACAATATGGGCTAAAAGGGTGGTAAAAAGACATCGGGCTCATTATTGCGCAAGATCTCAAGTAATACTGTCGCTAAAAATGAGCCTCCTCTCTCACTCTCTTGCCCTTTCACCACTGAAGCAATTGAATTTGAAGGGATGAAAAATAGAAATCTTGTCAGATCTGACAAATTGCAAAAATAAAATGCAAAGCAAAGTGAAGCAACAAAAGACTGCAATGCAAGTGAGCGTTTCTAATGAATGCCCAAATAGTTTGGAAATTTGCATTGCTTGATATGCGATCAAGTAGTCCAAGCCCTTTTTTACTTTTTCTTTAATCGATCTTCAAACATGGTATCTCGGGGAATCAGAATAGGAAGATAGTATGGGATAGAGCCTCTCTAGACTTTTTTTTTTTTTTTTTAAAAAAAAAAAAAAAAAAAAAAAAAAAAACAGTTCAAGCTCAACATCAGTTTAATAAATGCGCATTTATCCGGCGGGATACATCCAATGTATGGAGGAACGTTTTTAAAAAAGTCCAGATTACTGACTGTTGTCAAAGCACTCATTCTCGATCGCAGATTCGAGCATCGGACCCGATTTCAATATGCCTAACATACTTTCCAATACAATTGAGGACTAATGAAATGATTATTGGAACAAAAAAAAGCTCCTTTAATTGTAAAGGTAGCCATATCGCCTCCTGAAGCGTGCGCCCTGAACAATTGTTCAGTTCCCTGCTTTGCTCAGATTTTTTTTTAGTCTTTTTGTCACAGCAGCAACGGGTCCCTCTTTAGTACACATTTTCTCCGGAGATACCCATACACATTCACACCTCCTTTCCAGAACGAGTGACTCTTCGCACGGGTCGTTGAGATTCAAGGTAGCAATCTTTTCTAGATCCAGGATGTCTCTCTCTTTTGTTATATATTATGTTTTAACCGCATTAAATGCCAAAGATAGTCTTTCAATCCATCTCTCGATCAATCCACATCTTCCAAGGGATAAAACGGGATGGGATGGTACGGGATTAAAAAATGAAGAAGTAATCGCAATCAAGCTGGTTATTTTATTTTTATGCTGTCGTTTGTCTGTGATTGCCTGCCAATGGCTTTTTTGCTTAGTTGATGTTGTCCCCACCAACTTACTAACCAACTCAAAACAGAGCACATACCCCAGTTAAAAAGGGTGGTCATTGCTCTCTTTTTCTCTCTCTCTCTCTCTCTCTCTCTCTTATGTGGGAGACTCAATACGCGATTTCTTCATTTGTTCAACATCATCATTGTTCACATTCTCTTTACTCTCTTTCATCACCCGGAGCCTCATTACCTTTGCTCCTTTCTTTCTCCTTTCTTCCTCTTGCATACTCTCTCTCACACTCTTTCTCTTTTTCTTTTTCTTTTCCTTTTCTTTTCTTTTTTTTTTTTTTTTTTTTCTCTTTTACTCCTCTTCATCTTTTCTTTCTCTCTCTTCTCATTCCAACTTATTCCACCTGTTGTTACAATAATCTCCTCTTTTTTTATTCAGTATAAAGTTTATTCATAGACATTCATTCCTAATCTTTCGCGACTCTTTTCTCTCCACCGATCGTCTTACTCTACCTTCCTTGACCTCTTCAAGTTCGCTTTGCAGCCTTCTAAACTAACGATCGACCACAAATATTGTACTATTAATTATCATTTCTCACACTTAAGCATTCATTGACATACATACAGATATACCCATTCACATACGCAAACCTATACACTCTTCATTGCCATTAGACAGCAATTAGCATACCATTGATCATATATACCACAACAAAACTAAGTAGTTACAACTGCAAAAGAATAATCCACTACACCTTTCAAATTTTAATAATATTAAATGGCTGCACACCCTAGTGTAACAGGGATAGATGAAGCACAGCAGGATCAGTTCATTCAGGAAGAACTGGAGAAACAGCTCGATTTATCCCATCGTCGACCTTATTTTCTGCGAGCCAACACTTCACCTTCATCTTTATATTGGCGATCCCAATTTTCAGAACTAGACTTGTCATTAGAACCAGACACGCTTCTTTCTCCTGAACATCACACGACTCATTTATCTTCAATGTCAGCACCGACTTGTGCAACCAACTCGAGATCCACTGCATCCTCAAAAGACTACTTTCAGGAACACCAGGACGCGTCCTCAAGTGCTTCCTCGCAAGCGCAGGAACCTCCTAGACGGCATCCCCAATATAAAGAACAGTCACAACCAACCTCACCAGTGATATCTCTTGATATGAAGACCAACTCCTCAACTCAGCCCAAAAGTTTAATCACTGACACACAAAAAGAACATCGATGGTCCAAAGGATTGAAAATTAATTGGACACCATTCAGCAATGTTCGTTCTAGCTCGGGAACTGACTCTGTCAATGCTTCATCCTCAAGGTAAAGTCGTCTTTATTTTCCGTTTTGATCTGCATAGTGCCCAAAGCTCCCTTGTTTTGCTTTATGCTTCATTTGCATTTAAGTTGCATTTTATGTGTTCTCATTAATGCATGATGTTGATGGATGCTTCTGGACACTTATTACCGTGTGTTCTATTCCTACCATCGTTGGAAGAAGTGGGGGGGGGAAGAGAGGAGGCAAATGCATGTGCACGAGAGTATCGTGTCAATAGTGTGAATAATGCGTGAGGGATATAGTTTTAGTAAGCTCTGGGAATTGTCGCATCGAAGCAACCATGGAATGATAGGAAGAACAAGGGAAGTCAGGGAGAGAGAGAATGTCATCACTGTATCATGTACTTCCTCGGTAGTACGGTTGGTGTCCAGATCTCACCAGTCGGACATGACCAATGGTGTCACCATGGTGCAGCTCATTCGCGCATCCTAGCTCTCGTCGGTCATCAATAGCACTTTCCCATGGTTCTCCTTTGGAGTAGCACTCCATTTATTGTAGCTGCATAGCGAATCGTGCTTTTTTTTTCCTTGTACCATTTCATGTATTTCCTTTTCTCTTTCCCACAAACAACGTTGACGGGATCACAGGAACGAAAAGCATATTCTTTCAAGCAACAAAGGCACGGCCCCCAGATCCCCTTATTTTTGTGAACGAACGGCAGACACACACGTTTTTGTTCGTTACAAACTCTGTATTTATTCAACAAGTACTACACAGCCCACGTAAAACTTCCCAAGTTATTGGCATCCCATAATGGCCCATTGTCTTTCCTTTTATGAGCCTCTTCAATAGTAAACTTTGACTCTATTGGAATAGAATTCTCACTCAGCGAGACCTTGAAATAGGAAAAAGATGGGCCAAACAGAACAAGGAACACGAAGAAGAGAAGGGAGGAGATAAACATAGAAAGGCCTAAAAAAAAAAAAAAAAAAAAAAGGAGTGAATGAAGAGGGATGGTGTTACTGTCCCTGGATACAAGATTTAGAAGATCTTTGTTAGTCTTTATTTGGTGAGCAAAGGTAGAGAGCTAAACTTTGTCACATGGTTCTGAAACGTACCAATCATTGACAGGTGTGGAGAATGACAACTCTGAAACTGGCGGACGGGACAGAACCACCTACATGTTCGTCTGTATAACTCAGAAGGAGCATACTTTTGTTATTTTCTTTTCTTTCTAATGAGAGAGTTCCTTCATTAAGGGTCTAGTGTCTGTTCTAACAGATGTTAGTTGTATGCTTTCATGTGCGGAAAAGTAATTGACCTGTTCGGGTTTGAGCTTGGTTAACTATGTGCCGTTCCCTCAAGTTAAGAGTTACCTTGCAATCCTTTCTCTCTCTATGTGAATCCATCTCAACATTTTTATTTTTATTTTTCTTGATTCGGCATCCCCAGTATGATTGAGGGGCTTCTGGAATTAGAGGAATATTAGTCTGGCACCTTTTTCTGTGCACGAGGCTCTAACTATTGTTGACCATAACCCATATTACTATACCTAGAACTTCTACATTGCGCCCAAAATGTATCCAGAGGCGCAAGTCTGAAGGTACGGGTCTCCGGATATCAAAGACGGATCAAGGACCAGACTCTATAGCTGGAAGATTGACCTCGATCTCAACTGCTGGGAAGCCGTCTCCACGGGGTTACAAACCAGAGGTTGGGACGAGCGTAGGTCAACTCAAATCCCCCAGCCCAGGGCTCGTAGAACGAATTTCTGGAATTGCTCAAGTTGTTCGTGGCTTTGGCCGTTCCTCTTCCAATCCAGGGAACTGTTCCCCAACAATGACCTCCAACTCCACATGTTCAACACCAACCTCGTCAGCCTTCTCGCCTCAGTGCTCGATCGATCTTGGGCGGGGCAACGTCAGTATTAAATGTCACTCGCGCTCCATGTCAAAATGCTCCGCTGATCAGGAATACGAGTCCTGGGATGATTTTCTTTACCACTATCGTCAAGGACGTTTCCCAAGTGACTTCCCCACTTCACGACCAAAGGCCGTCACAGCATTCCCTCCCACCCCTCCTTACATTGGTCCTCCTGACCAGTACCTCCCTTATCTGGCCCCGCCCTTGCCTCTGAACGAGGAGAAACGTCTCCGTGCCCTTCACAGCTTCCAACTCTTGCGGACAGACCCCGATCCAAATTTTGAACATATTGTCCAATTGGTTGCAAATGTCATGGGTACCAAAGGGTGTGTCATCACTTTGGTGGATCATCTTCAAGTATCTACAAAAGCCCAATATCCTAATGCTTATACAGAAGCCCCACGCCAACATTCAATCTGTTCACACACCATTCTACGATCTTCAAAAGATCCGTTGGTTGTATTGGACACCTACGCTGATTGGCGCTTCAAGGGTTTACCTTCTGTTGAATCAGAGCCGCATATTAGGTTTTATGCTGGAGCACCATTAACAACTTCAGATAACCTGAATATTGGGGTACTATGCCTTTATGATTTTGAGCCACGAACATCTTTTTCGGAAAAGGATCGAAAGCTGCTGACTGACTTCGCTGCTGTAGTTATGAGAGAGATGGAATTGTGGAACGATCAGGTACAACTGTGCACAAGGAGTCGCATGATGCGCGATGTGACACGCTGGGTACGAGGGTGTTTAGACACTACCAAGCCGGAGTCACCACATGTGAATGATTTGGCTTCGCAGGGCGCTTCCAGGCAAAGGCAGCCTTATTCTACAAACACTCTGCAGGCGCCTCTTCCAACACCGTCTGACATTTTTGAATCAGTCCCGAAAACATTGGATAATGAATCAATGTATGCATCGACACCATTGGAGCCGGCCTTTCCTACACCTACAGGCTCTCCAACATTGCTCTCATGCGCGTTTGCGCCACCTTCATTGGGCTCATCAGAGTCGACGCCTGCAACTGGTGGGAACTCCTTGCAAGATAAAGCATTTCCCGCTGCATGTATCATGCTCCAAGCAACGCTCAATGTCGATGCAGTTTACCTCGTACAAGCTACAGACAATCAGTCCATTATCCCGCCTTCGGAATCTTCTGTCGTCTGGAATTACCTTGATAAAACAGGACGTCGGAAAGGGGCCGTTGGAGTGGTGAAAGGAGGTAAGGCTGCGAGTAGCACGCCCAACACATCGCTAGCTTGTCTAGCCTCATCCCAAAAGAACATCGACATTTATACCCGACCTATTTTTGATGAAAGGTCTCAGGATACGGCGAGGAAAGGGTCGGCATGGGTATGCACGGATGTGAGCTGTAGAAATCATCTCCTTGGCGATGCTTTACTGAACGCCAAAGAACCTGTTTGGGAGCGTGATCAACCGGTGATCAAGGAGATGTTGGCTTATGTACGGCAGGAGACATCAACACAACGCTCTATTACAGGTCAAGAAGGCTTGCCTTTATGCACTCCTGCGCAGGATGCAAACGAAAATGACTGGTTTGGTGCCCCCACGAATCCTGCTACGGTTAAGGACCCAAGCTGTCAGAAACAGCTATGCCATACCTTTGAGGGTACATTGCGGTTGCTTAAAACAGGGGCCACGACGCCTTATCGATCGGCCTTGATTGTCCCTATCTTGGGACCATCATCATCTTCAAATGAGATTACTATGGATAATGAACCATGGGCGTACTTTGTTATCCTTTCCTCTTCTCACACAAAACAGTTTTCATTTCATGAAAGGATCTACCTCAAAAACTTTGGATCTTGCCTTGTCACTGAGGTTATGAAGAAGCGAGTGGAAGCAGCCGATAAAGCCAAAGGCACTTTTATCAAGAGGTATGATTTTTTCTTTTAAGCTTTTTCGTTCAGTCTAATTTCATTTATTCAAGAACCAAAGCTCATTATTGCTACCACTATTGTTTTCCCTATAGCATCTCACATGAGCTTCGAACGCCGCTGCACATTATCCTTGGTATTCTCGAGCTACTTTATGCTAATCCGGAGGAGCCACTAAGTAATGCACAGATGGATATGATTGCCACGGCTGAGGCATCAGGCAAGAACTTAATTGACACAATCAACAACATCATCGAGCTCGCAAATCTTGACCCTGATAATGATATGGAGACTCGAGATAATAGCGGAGATCATAAAACGAAGCCCGCTCCTGAAGTTGAAGAGACTGTTATTGAGGACACAGATATTCGTGATTTGTGCCAGAGCGTCGCTGAGTCAATGGCAAAAGCTTGCACTGAAAAGAACGTGGTTGTACTGCCCTCTTGGACAAAGCACTCCCCTTCCTCACTGTCTTTATCAACCTCAAACTCGGCCACAGGATCGACAACGAATATTTCTACTTCATTTGTTGGTACAATACCGTTCAAACGAGGGAGCTTTAGCTCACATGAAGACTCTCATAGTGGCCATAATTCCTCATTTGACTCCGTCCACAGTCTTGCAGCACGCAGTTTAAAACCTGAGCGTAAAGCTGTTCTGGAGCTTCTAGTTGCTATGGATGAGCCGGAATGTGCTCCAGATCAAGGTGTTATATGGAACTACTCACTAGATGTGAAGTCTGTCACCCGCATTTTGACCCAGGTTTGTAAAATTAAATGCTTTTCTCCATTTCTATTAAAACGTCCTGAATAAATCTTATAGTTTTTTTTATTTTTTATTTTTTTTTTAGCTCGTTGAGAACGCCATTAAGTTCACTACAGCCGGGTTCGTAGAGGTTTCAGCAAAGCCCCTAATTAACAGCCCTATCCCTATAAAACAACCGTATCCAGGCGCCCAAGCTATTTTGTTCACAGTACGTGATACTGGGAAGGGTATTTCACCCGAATTTGTCCAATACCATCTTTTCAAGCGGTTCTCGCAAGAAGACCCGCTCCAGGTCGGTACAGGCCTTGGTATGGCGCTTGTCAAAGAGCTTGTTCGAAAACTTGGTGGATGGATGGAGGTTTGGAGCGAAGGGATTGAGGGAAGAGGCTGTGTGGTCAAGGTACTTCTTTGGGCGACTCCTGCCTCTCATCAGGTGAAATCTCTGAAGAAAATTAGCGGCCCCTGGCAAGAGGCTTCTTGTCGGTTCTATTCTGGAGAGCCTTCCGTTGGTGCAGACCGCTTGTTCGAGATTATGGGCAGGCGTTTGATGGGTCAACAACTCAACATGAACGTGGAGAAAGGTAATGAGGAAGATGCCAGTCCTGAAGATATGCTCAAGGATCTTTGTGACCAATCTCACTGTGACCTTCTGGTTATCAACGATGACCTCATTCGTCTCAAGGCATACTTATCGTATTGGATCGATTATCATCGTACAATCGAGGTGGGTGACATTAAAAACCCTGTTACGCCAACACCACTGTTGATGGTTACGTCGCCATCGAATGTGATGAACGTTCAGAGACTCGTTGACGAGTATTTGGAAACACCGATCGAGTCCGAGTCTATTGAACGCCCCGCAAGCATTGTGATCATGACCAAACCAATCGGGCCCATCAAGTTAGTGCAGTGTTTACGTGAGTGTTTCACCCCTGCTTTCTCTAGTCCTCACCTTGAAACCCCGCATGGATCGCCACGGCTCTCAGCCAGCTCAGAACCAATACAATTGCAGCCAATGCCTTTGCTTTGCTCTGCGACAGTGCCTTATATCATGGCAACCACCTCGGGTGTTCACGATACCCGTCTGTTGTCGGCGGGAACAATGATTAAGCAGTCGTTTACGTCCCCAATGACGCTTCAAGGCGGCCAACAACTATCAATAGTTGTCGCTCCTCACTCTCCTGGCGGACTTGTCCCTCCTCCATGGACGTTACCTGCAGGACCGAGTCCTGCCACAACGCCAGAGCGTGAGGTTTGCCTCCCTGGAAGCGCCACAACTCAAGCCGACGATCAGTACCAGCTAAATTGCCACCTTGCTACACCGCAGTATCTTCACCTTGCTCCAGTCCTTGACCCGAACCTAGAGGAATTCAGGGCTAATATCGATGTTACTGTGCCTAAGCTTCGACCCAGACGATCAATCTGGGATAATCAGGCCAAGAAGAAGCAACAGGGGTATGTTGCTGCTTCTTCTACTGCTGCCACCTCCACAGCTGGTGATACTGTTACTATCTCTTCTGCTCCAAAATCAACATCGACATCGGCATCGGCATCAGGAAGTAGTAATGAGGATGGTCCTACCAAAGATAACGAGACGTTGAAAAAGCCTGTTCCTCGCGTGTTGATTGTTGAGGACAATATCACCAACAGGATGATCTTGCGGACATTCCTGAAGAAACGTGGTGTAAGCGTGGTTGAAGCCGAGAATGGCAAGATTGGTGTGGAGCGATTTCAAGAAGAGGTTAAGCGCCGAGGCGGCAAAAGTGGTTTTGAGTTTGTATTGATGGATCTGCAGATGCCAGTGATGGACGGCAACATGGCCACGAAGCGAATCCGCGAGTTTGAGCAAGGTCTGATGGAGCAACAAAAGCTCTCGGATCTAGCAAAAACTCATAAAAGCAGTAGCGATTCAATATCGGAAGAGCAAGGATATTGCTCTACAATCATTTTTGCATTGACCGGCCTTGCAGGGGATGAGGACAAGCGCCTGGCGTTTGAGTGTGGGGTCGATGGATATATGACCAAGCCTGTGAGCCTGAAGGTAACAACTGTTGCAGTGCTTTCAATGCTATACATTAACAGTCCATATTGCAAGGCTTTTACTCAACATTTATTTCCCTTTATTACAAATAGGTACTGGGATCATTGATGTCAAGCTGCATGCCCTCGAATGAAGAGGATCTGGTCAGCCATGCCGGTTTAAAGTCACCCCAAGCGACAAAAGAGACGGCTGACCATATCTAAAGTGTTCATTGCCTCCGCTTTTTTTTACAATTGCTATAACTTGTAATATCCTCTATCGTGATGTATTTTCATTTCTTTTGTGATGAAATTCCTCCTTCTACACTACACTTACTGATGCCTACAAGAGAAAAAAAAAAAAATCCATCTTCACACAAGCCCACTCTTTTATGTAGTTTTTTCCTTTCCTTGACATCTGTTGTTATGCTAATGTTTTCATGAGTTACGACCCCCTTTTATTATTCCAAAAAAAATAAAAAAAAATAAAAATATGTGTTTATAAATTTTTGTATCTGCATGTCATGAAGTTGTAACAGCCGATGAAGAGAGAGGAGTGGAGCGAAGACCACCCCATAGACTCCAACGACTTTTCTTCTTATCAGATAGTTGTTCAGAAGATGTTATATTCTTTGGTGCTGCGCTATCCGTAGTCATAGCCGTGATAGTATGCACCGCCGCCTCAGAAATGGTAGGGGAGGCTGCAGTGGTGGATGAAGTGAACGAAAGAGGAGACGTTGGGGTAGTAGGGGATGAGGCCGAGGCCGAGACCACTGACAACGATCGTCCACGAGTTGTAGTTTTGATAAACGCTGTCTGTGGTGGTGGTGGCAGTGGCACAGTTCGTATGTCTGAGATGGAGGGTGTTGGCGTTGTTGTCGCTGATGGAGACGTCAATGATTGCCGAATAGAACTGTTACAAGAAGAAGGAGCCACGACTCCGGTGGTGGCTGCGGTGACAGAAGCCAATCCAGATGCGATGCTCGAGATGCTATATTGTGCTAGTGGTGACGAAGGCGAAACAAGTACAGAGGCGGATATTGAAGAGGTTGATGAAGATGCCGATAAGGATGATGACGTTATCCCGCTCTTAGTGCTTGGATTGGCATTAACATTAGACGAAGAAGATCCAAGAAGGGCTGTTTGGATAGCGGTCGTTAACCTCTTTGTCTTATCTTGAGGTTTCTTAGAGCCTCCGATCCCTCCAACTGTATTAGTGATGCTGTGAAGAGTCCCTTCAATGGCTCGGCCTGCGTTCTCGGCCGCACAGTATTGATCATATTTAGGTTTCCATATCCAAGAGTTGCCTAACTGGGAAGCACCCTGTGCAGCGGCCATTCGATAATATCTAGCGGATTCGTACATATCCTTTTCGATCCCAATCCCCTCATAATAGCATAAAGCTGTCTCGTTCTGGGAGTCGGCATCACCCTATGATAATTGTATGAAATAAAAAAAAGTGGTTAGCAATGAAGGGAAAAAAAAAAAAAAAAAAAAAAAAATCATTTGGCTCGAGGGGTTTTTTTTATTTTTTAATGGGACCTTACCAAATCTGCTGCAATTTTAAAGTAAGTGAATGCAACCTTTTTGTCCTTGTTGACACCCCAACCCTTGAGATAAGACATTCCTAGTTCATACAGAGCCATCACCAATTCCCTTCGAGCCATCGCTATTGCTTCCTTTCGATCCATGCTGCCCATACGACGCAATGTCTGTTGAGAAGCGCGAGGCTTTGCACTATCGTTGCTATCATTTTCGCTATAACGGTCCGAAAGAGCTGAAGAAGATTGTCGCTTTTCATCTACACTCAGTTCCTGAGGTGTAGTAGAAGTTGATGCTATTGGTATTCCCGTGCTTATTTGGGGAGAGGGCGTAATTGGATTGAGCTCATTCAATTCTCCCATTGCATACTCTGCCGCTCGTTGAAGGTACTTGATGGCCTCTGCAGGATTTGATTTGCATCCCTTTTTTTTTTTTTTTTTTTTTTTTTTTTGTGAAGGTCATTAATAACGGCGCAAAATTATCTGACATTAAAAGAAATTGAGTCGTAAAAATAAAAGGTTACGCCTTACCCAGCCATGTCTCAACGAGAGTCCATACATTAGTTGTCCTAGAGGATTCTCTGATTGAGCTGCAAGCGCAAAGTAGCGTGTTGCCTCTTCCAACTGGTTGTTTTCATGTAGCTCAATGGCCTTTTGAATATTTTCATCTGCCTCGACTTCACGTTGTTGAGCAGGGGTCAAAGCCTTGGGCGCTAATGGTTGAAATGCATTCTTGCTGCTATCCTTCCCGCGCATTTGGCTTCCGGCTCCCTTTTGTGGCTGCTGCGGCTTCTTATTTTTTATTTCTTCTACATTCTCCTCTCCTTGAGTGCGTTGCTGTCGCTTCTCCTCTTCACTATCACTATGCACCTCTAAAGCAATATCCTCATCAAAGAGAATCGAACGCGCCTTGTCACTCGTCGTACGAATAGTGGCTGTGATCGTAGTCATGGTCACAGAGCTCGTCGAGTTTGAAGAGTTTGATGAATTAGCCGTCGTCGTCATGGTAGGAGATGGCGACATTTTTACTACGCTCTTATGCTCATAAGCGTGATCAACCTCTCCTAGGTGTTCTGAGTGCTCTGGGTGCACCTTGTTGATCTCGTTCTTTTTTTGTCCGTTCAATTGCCTAAGAGTGTTGGCTCTAATGGTACGATTCTGCTCCTCTGAGATTAAAAGATCCTCGACTGTGACTTGGATCAAATCAGAACCAGAGCTCGGATTGTTTGCTCGAGAGTGGCCATTTCTTTGGACAGTCAAGAGCTCATCATCATTATGATGACTACTGTCTTTTTCTGAATCCAAAGTAGATTCTATTTTTTTGATGGATCGATCTGACCACAATCCTCCTTGCTCGACTCCTCCATCGTTTAGATGTGACACATCAATCTCACTGGATGTCAAGTTTGTAGGGTATGCGAATTCCTCTTTATCCACAAGGCTAAATAACAATGTATCAAACATAATATAGTTATATTGTTATTAGCGAGAAGACATAGCTCTCCAAAAGTGCCTCAGACCAAATGGAGGTACCCAGGACCTTTGTCGGTGAGAGGGCGCCACCAAGGCAAGTTCGGGGGAAATTAGAATAAGGTTGCCGCCAAAAAAAAATAAATATTGTGATCATCAATGTTGAAATTGTATAAATTGAAAAGAAAATCTAGATTTTTATGAAATAAACGCCATGAAGGAACAATGAAGAGGGAGAGCATGAAAAATGGGTTTGGTGCAATTTTTTTTTTTTTTACCTTAGTTCTTCAGAATCTCTTATAACTTTTCCTTTCTTTTGGATGGCTTCTTTGGCAGCAGTAGTAATAGAACCGGTAGTAGTAGAAATGACTACGTTGTTTTTAGATTCCAAGGATGTAGAACGGGACAGGAGGCTTCCTTCGTCGTCTGCATCAACTGTGTCAAACTCGATCATAACCTCTGGGATGATGGGGATATGTAAATCCTGATACTGTATAAAGATACTCATCTAACGCAGGAAACAATAAAATAAAGAGAGAAGGAGGAAGAGAGATACTCGTGGATATGAAATTGTAAAAGAATAGTGAAGTCGAGTCGTGTTTGGCAAATGTGAGTTTAGAGAGTGTTCAAAGAAAAAGAAAAAGAAAAATAAAATAGGGTAGTGGAATGAAATGTCAATGCAATACAAATGAATGGAGACCAAGTGAGTTGTGGACAATAAAAGGAAGAGAGAAATGAGGTTTTGGAAATGAAGTTTTTTTTTTTTTTTTTTTTTTTTTTCTTTTTGTTAATGCATCGTCTGAAACGATGTCAAACGCACGTAGAAATAATAAGTAACAGGGGAGCAACAATGGATAACAAAATGAAACGCGTTGTGAAAAGGTCGATTGAAGAAGAAAAGGAAGAAGAAAAATAAAGAGTCGAAGTAACTGTCAGTCTGCCCAAGCGAGTTTTTAGGGTGAGTGAGGATGACATAGCATGGCATGCTATGGCTATGGCATCCACCTCCTTTTGCCCCTTATTACAAAAGCATGTTATCAAGGCTGAGTAGATGCGTGTGCATTCGCTCAATGTGACACAGGCACCCCACATTCCCCCTGCTGATACATCCAATGACCACCTGTGCAGCCCCTCACTCTTATTTTTTTAAATGAAATATGAATGAAGCAACAAACACGCAACATTCAAGACCTCAGCCACAAGCATCATTTTTATCAAATAGCAAACCATCCCTCTCTCTTCTTCTTTCCCTTTAACAAAGTTTAAAGCCAGCTGTGCTTTGACAATAACGGCTTTCATGATCTACATCGCTTTCCATTTGAGTTTTAATGAAGTCAATTACTCTGGACTTGATCCAAAACTGTCTATGCGTAACGCATAGACCGTCGATTGTAGTATAGCAATTACAGCACATGTTTACAAGAAAGTGTTCAGAACGACAGTGGCAACAGATTTGCGTTTTTCCATATTTGAGAGAAAGCTCATGTAAGCATGCATTTTATACAAAAGGAAAAATTACTATTTGTGAATTATATCGAGATTTATATATATATAATAGTCATTGGGGCACGGCCACCAATCAGGTTTCTATACCTTTGTGAAGCATCTACTCCACAAGGGGCAATGATTCAGCTCATTGGCATCTGTCAAAGTTCTAAGAATATAAATACATATCCCATATTCACATACCACGCATGCAAGATTTACACTATTTTATGCGCACTGTCCACTCGCGGAGAGAAAAGAGAAAAAGACTAGACTACAGAGACACGGACGACGATGCATGAGTGGTACATGGATGATGCATCAGACCATGTATTTCTGCTGAATATGCAAACTAGACCTTTTTTTTTTTTAGGTTTGCACCAATTGGCGCCATGCGATGATTTGGTATCGAATGGTGATTGTTAAATATACACAATACGATGACAACAGGCGTCATGAGCAGTGGCATTGGCATTGGCACATCACCGTCCCTCTCTCTTCTCTCCGCCATCCTAGTTTTTTTTTTTTTTTTTGTTTGTTTTCCACCACACGACATTTCTCTCTCTCTTTCTTTTTTAATTCTTTTTTTTTTCCCTTTCGTTTCTATCCCTTCTTTCTCCCATCTCTCTTTTTCGTTTTACACAAAGACACAAATACGCTTTTCATTGATACACAAACATACACGTTATAAATATACACAGATAACATCTCCCATAATAGATTACTTTTTCCCTTTTCTCCATTTTGTTCACTATTACTCTTCTACAACTGCTACGACAACTACTAGGAACCACAATTACTGCCTCCACCGCCACCACTGTTATAATACATTCCATTCATTCTTTATCCTTGCTCTCTCATTTTTCTTTTTACTTCCCAAAGTTCTCTTTATTTATTTTAGTCTAAAACTCTACTGCCTGTTCTTTCTGACTTAAATCAGTTCTAGTCTATTACCCTCCATCACAATTCCGCTGGAATGCAGCTCCATTCATGCCCCTCTGACTCATCGCCATCCACTGCCTCATCTCTTCATAACGAGTCTCCTTGTCCTCAATCTACCACACCTGGCTCTGATAGCAGCCCTTCTCTTCTAGACCTTAGTTGCGAATTATCATCATTCCATCCGACCTTCCCACTCTTCGATACGTTGTTTCATCATCAATCCTCCAAAAGCAACCCTAATAACAACCACAACAATAATGATGCCATCAACGCCAATGGCCGCTCCTCTAATGGCATCAAAGATACCATTATCATCAATAGCCATAACGATAACAACAATGGTAACAGCGGCAACACAAGCTCCATCATTAATCTTGGTAAATGTATTATTCCAGGAGCCCCTTTCAAACCTGCCCTCCTAAATCACTCTGAACCCCTTGATCTATCAGCTACAGAGCCCTCGCCAACATTAGAGCAACGTCTTGTGCCCGTCTTGGAGTACCTCTCTCCTTCTTGCCCGGCAACAGAGGTAACACCTCAAGTTTCAAGTCCAGACTCGACTGACAACGCAGTCCCTTCTCAAGACACAGGCTCAGGCACGGCCCATAATGAGCACGACGAAAGAAAAGAACAGACAGGGGATGAAGCACTGTCGGAGCCGCAATTCCACAGGGGCAGCGATGTTGACGGCCTAGAGAGCCCACTCTTAACTCAACATTCACACATCATCTACTCAACAAGCACTTCTTCAGTTATGGCCACTGCTGCTTCTATATCAGAGGCACAGAACAATGCTGAAGCGATGGTGTCATCGGACAGTCCACTCGATCACAAACACGAACACAGACACGGACTTGATCACGAACAACACAATTGTCCCACTCAATCAGACAGCAACAACATCAACATAAACATGTTTAACGTCAATATCAGTAACAATAGCAGCGGCAGTGGCTCATGCGAGATTGTATTTTGTGAAGAAACAATTACCAGCAACTACATCATTACATCGTACTCTAACACAGCTGGATCGACTCTATCAAATCCTGTTACCACCCAAGAGCAGACATTCTCGGAAATAAAGTCTGGTGGTAAGCTATCAAGCATGGCAGTAAGGCAATATTACTCTGTCACGGAGGAGGAGGATGATGATTCAGGAGATGAGCTGGTGGAGTCTTTGGCCATTGGTGCTGAACGCAAAAAGCGGACAACGAGCGTTGAAAGTTGTGATTCATTCTCTAGTGCCAAGAAGAGAAGGAAGAGCAAATTGAGCCAACATGGTCTGGCAAGTCAATCAACAAAGAATGATTTTCAACGTTTTGTTAAAAAGGAGAATAACCAAGGCTTAATGGGTGCATCCAACAAGTTGACAGAGAAGAGCTTTGCTTTTGATGCATCAACACTTGTTCTCACGTGGTTTCAGCCTCAGCAGGGGCATGCAAACAGGAAATCAAGAAAACTACAGCGGCTACGTCGCTCGTTTCACTTTAGACACAGTGAATCTGATCATGATGACAGTAGGAACAGTGCCATTCTGACCTGCACGCATCGTCGTGATTACGTTGATAGCTGTCATTGTCGAAAGAGGCAATTCACAAACGCATTCGAGCTATTCCGACCTCTAAGTGTAGCGTCCCGAATGACAGACTATTATCCAGAGTGGATAAAATCAATTAAGAAACGCAAGATACATCAATTCCCAACCAAATGGACGTCTTCATTATCGCCCTCGCATTATGTGAAATTACTTACCCTGAAAGACTTTTGGGATGTAATGGACGCTCGACAAGCCGATTCTTTTTCGTCGTCTATCTATGATCTCTCAGCAGTTAGCAATCTTGATTCTCATGCAAATTCCATTGCGAGGGGAGCAAATGAATCTACTGAATGTATGACCAAAGCAGCGCTTGGACGGTCTCTGAGGAGAAAAAAGATCGTTCGACAATATCCATGCGCTTTAAGCTCTATAAAAGGTCTTTGGGAAGAGGAGCTACGGCAGCAGAGAGAGCGACAGATGATCCCAGATAGTATTCGGAGGCCACCAAGGAATAAAATCTTCAGTTCCAAGCCAATCCCCACCTCAAACACAAAGCCCGCTCTTCCGAGTTTATTTACATCCACGCAAGGGACATCCCTTGGGATGTCAGATTCGCCGAGGACCTCTACAAATGAAACTTCCACATCACCATCGGGCATGGAGGGGATTGGTATTACAGCGACCAACCAAAAGATACCACAGCCTACATTATCGGATTTGGAGCTATCTTTGAAGAAGAAACATCGAGCAGCAGCCATCATTCGATGTAAGTTTGAAAGACATTTTCTGGCCTATAATGATGATAAAATGCTACATATATCTCGAGTCTCGATTTCTCTCATTCGACTTACGCTCGCAATACTTGTTTATTTGAAACTAGCCCACGCGATAGCTGAGGGGTCAGATATGTCTGAATACAAACCATGGAAAGATGGTACAGTTACACCAAGCATGGGAACTCTTCAGGAGTTAAAGGCGTCTCGAAGCAATATCATGAATCCTTGGCCAATCGAAGAGTCAAAGGCAAGAGACGAATGCACACGAATCCTTCATCGAATGCGAGAGCAGCTTAATATCGTTATAAACCTACAGAGTAAGCTACAATTTTTTTTTTTTTTTCTTTTGCATAACAGGAAAATAATAACAATACTAACGTGGCACGTCATTTGTTCTTTACCAAAAAAAAAAAAAAAAAAAAAAAAAAAAGTTCACCTCCGCACAATGATCAAATCTGCACCAACACAATGGTCTTTCTTGCTCTCAATCCGCCATCCAGCGCAAGTTTCGATAGAGTTACTTCTAGCGCTTTATGGACCTCATTTCACACAAACGAGCAACTTCCGTGCCATCGAGCAACTCTTATGGGGAGCAGGTCCGGGCACTGGTATGGAAGCAAAAAGTCATTCTAGCAGCTGTCAGACATCATCATCTCAACTTCAAGTTGAAGCCTCATCCACTACAGAGACGATATTACAGGCTTGAAGTGCCTTCACGTTGCCATATTACACATAATTTTACTCTTCACTCGAGCATTTGAATTTTTGTAAATAAACCTATTTTATCAGTGTAGTGTCTATTTTCTAATCGAAATAGCGATGATTTAAAAGCGAACCGTTTTTGTTTTTTTCTTGAGATTACATGAACAATGATGCAAGTAAGAATAAGGACGCTTGTAATAAAGCTCAGTTTGAGTTCCAACGTGGCTTATAGGGGAGAGTTTTTTTTTTTTAAAAGGGTTCATCTGAAACATGGTTTTCTGGATATCTGATTGTTACCAGTCTATTGAATTGACCCTGGAATCCCAAAAAGATCACAAGCATCAAACTTTCCATTTTGAGACAAGTCTACTTTCCACCAGCGGACTTTCAAAAAAAAAAACGGCCAACTCGAGTGCATCTCTCCCTGTTTTCTCTCCGGGATACTTTATTACTTTATTGCTTTATTACCAAGGAAAGGAACAAAACGAAAAAATAAAGAAAAAAAAAAAAAAAAAAAAAAAAAAAAAAAGACTTGGGATGAGAGAGCAAAGAGGGGAAGATCAGGGAGAGGAAATAGTTTAGTAAAATAAAAAAAGTTTGTGTTTCAACTCTTGGTTCATTTCCGAAGTCTCCACTTTCAACCAATAAAAGTCAAAAGGCTCGTAAATCTCACAGGCACAAAAAACAATAGATCAGAATTCAAAGCATTCACCAATGACATGAATTGTGCAATCTCTGGATGAATGAGTGGATTTGATGGCTCTGAGTGGAAAAGGAGGGGGGCGTTGAAACTGAAATCCCTGGTTCCTATTCTTTTTGTTTGAATGGGTGACTAAGGATTGATAAAGATGGCTAAAATAAACAAACCAGTGCTAGGAACATTGGTAAAAAAGAAAAAAAAAATGCATATGGTCTGGGTAACGTATCATTTAGAATATGTTAATTTGTAAAAACGGAAACGAACAATACTTCCAAAGTAAGGAGATCGTGAGGGTTCAGATGACTTTTTGATAGTGCAATAATACACCAAAGTTGGATTACAAGTCTACATTTGGTAGATTCATAAAGCCTTATCTACCAATCTCTCTTTGTTTTTTTGGTCTAGTGATCCAAAGGGATATTAATTTGTGTAATGAAGACCTGAGGAGGATCGGAAACCTGGCTTATTCTTCGTAGAAGGAACACATGTAAGTTTGTCAGCAATCAATCTACAGGCATATTATAGTCTAGTATATAACATCGTAGCTAGCGTAGTCGATGGTCCATGACATTATTATTTTAGTATTGGTTCTTGATAGACTACCATGACGCTAAAGCATTAAGCTTTTTTTTATGTTCTTTTTATTCGATAAAAAAAAAAAAAAAAATTAAACGGGTCTGATTACGCTGAAGTATTCTATAGTCCAGAATCTAGAAATACACATCTCTTTCTCTTGCTAATGACATTTGTTCACATCTTCAATATTGTTTACTTGATGGAACAAAAGACGTCTTGGATATAGCTTGTGCAGCCCCAAGTGTTGAAAGAAAAGAGACTCTGTATGGCAATGAGTAAAAGGGAAGGCGAAGCATACAAGAGAAAGGCTTTGGCCACTCCACAGAAGAGACAGGAGGACGTAGAGGGGCGGAAGCGGTGATTGGCCAAGGATTGTTGAATTGGATGTGTGATGAACCAATGCATCAAAGCAATCTAATAATTAAGAATGACTATTGTTCCCGATAACAAATTACGATCAATAAACAAACCTGAAATAACCTAAACACATTTGTCCCTTATTCTTTGGTTTTTGTTCCTGGAATTGTATGAATGATATTGCAGTTTGTTGATTACTGAATTCAAATCGTGGCCGTATATTTAAAGACAAAGGATCTCTCTTACTTTCCCTTGTTCACCTTGCTTCCTTACTTTCCTTTCTTTCGTTTTCGTTCCTCTGTATATAGTAGCTTCTTTACCTCTTCTTGTCTTTCTCCTTCATACTGACAAAACTTTGTAGCAGCAACATCAACATCGGTGGTCTTTTTCCATTTCCCTGCCCCATCCTGCTCTCCATACACACTTACGCCCCTTGCTGCTCTCTTTCTTTCTCTTACCATTTCCCGTTCCCCATCTTCTGTCTGTTTTATTTATTATCAATCGTTTTTTTTTTTTTTTAACTTTTATAAATTTTATTTTTTACTTTTATTCATTTACCTATTTATTTATTCTTTATTTCGTGCTCTCATCCGTGCGACAAAAAGAAAATTGTCCAAATTCAACACTTACTTTACGCCACACTGGGATAGATTCAAGTGAACAATATCGATTCAACATCGCGATTTTCATCTTGCAGCTGGGGTTCGCGTGCCCTCCATTCTGTTTGGCACTCACTTGCCCATTTACTCAACCCCTTTTCCCCTGACTTCCGATTATCATAACAGCCCTGTTGACCTCAATACGCTGGAAATAAACGAAAAAAAGAAAAAAAAAACCATTACTTCATCACTTTGGCAACCAATATCTAGAGAATCACGACCAACATCACGCATTTTGAATAACCTACACCTGACATTGCTCATCTCCACGATTCACCTGTTACACCATCCTTATTTTTAGGATCATTCTTTATTACATCCCGTTTCAACATTTCGATTGTTTCCCATTTTTCTTTGTAGATCCCAACTCTTACGCCAAATTTCACTTTCACGCGATTAAAAAAAAAAAAAAAAAAAAAAACGACCAAAACAAACTGATAAACTTGTCTCTTTTAACGTTTCCGTCCAACGACTTCGCAGCCGTATCATTCTTGCCCTTTTTGTATTCAACCCAAGTTTATTTTTATTTCTCCGCGATTCTCTAAATTTTGACGCCCCTGCTTCTTTTCTTTTCCTTTTTTTTTTTTTTTTTTTTTTTTTTTTTGGACATTATGGCCTCTACTCCACTGCTTCATCAAAAACCTGGTTCCTCTATTCTGCCACAATTCTCTTCCGATACCTCTCGCCCTCTATACGATCATTTCCATAGCACATCTCTTATCTTCTCCACCTCATTTTCTACCGCGCCTACTGTAATGAAAAAGAGTCGCATTTCACAGGGTAGGATCATTTTAGTGATCTGCATCACGTTCATGGTGATGGCGATTGCCCATATCCACTACATCGGCGTCTATCACCGACAACGCGAAGCTCAAAAACATAACAATAACACTCCGAGCCTCCGACGGCCCATAACTGTGATAACAGATCCATCACTATCGACATCGACATCTGAATACAACACGACCGAAACAGAACTGACAAGCATTATTCATTACGCCAATGGCACGATAACAAAAGTATTCAAGCCTGCGTTTTATAAGGATACCCAAGCAGCCCGCAAAGAGATGGGTTCGTTCCTCGATACTCTAGCCAAACGCACATGGTGGAAACATGATGCTGACACCACCGCATCAACGACAACCTCAAAAAAGAACTCTTCCTTATCGCCGTCCCTGCCTTCTGATGCATTTTTCGGTTATTTACCAATGGGTGGGAGCAATAATCAGTTTACCTCGCTCCAGAGAGCTGCGGTTTTGGCAAAGGACCTCAACCGAACTTTGATCATCCCTCCTATCAGCCCTAACTCTCATATCAAGGTAAAACAAACAACGCCTTTTTTTTTTTTTTTTTTTTTTTTTTTTGATAAGTTACTGTTACTTGTTGGTCTGAAAGACAACCTGTAGTAACTGGTATAGATATTAAAGGCTGGTTCTTCATGGGTCTCAGTGGTTTTCACCTGAACCTTGCGCCTTGGTGTAAGATTTTTTTTCTTTTCGGAGCGGTGCACCACCAATCAGAAAATTCTCATCATCGGTGGTTTCTGGTTTGGTGAACCAAGGGCACGCCAGCATGTTTATGTATTAGGTTACATCATACTGCTATTGCTACTTGTAGATCAGCTATGCATCGCACCAGTCAAGCCGACCCATGAAAAAAAAAAAAAAAAAAAAAAAAATAGAGACACGACTGACAAATTTGAAACTGAGGTTTACTAAACTTAAACTATTCTTCTTCAACCGTTATCAGGTCTGGGCTGGCCCAAGGTACTCTGAATTTTATGACCTCGAATCATTTTCGGCACGGTCAGGCATTCCAGTCTTGGAATGGCACGATATCAAGCAGACGCCAGATAAGCCGCCCAAGGAGTTGACCCATCATTGGACCGATTTTGCGGAGGAGCTGCCTTGTATCCCCAATGGGGGAATTGGTGTGGATGACAAGAATCTGTATGACCATTTCCGACCCCAGTTCCTGATGAACTTCAAGGCAGCCGAGCCTGAGATCGGTCCCGACGAGATGGCGGGCAAGGCTACAGAATACCCCTATGTCCGTGATGTACTGTTGAAGGATAAGGACGATAACATCGATGGCAAGAATGGCCCCCGTCAGATGTGGAAATGCCTCTCGTGCCCTTACTTCCTTGGAGGTGTAGACCTTTCAGATCGAGCTTGGAAGGAAGTCGGGCTGCACATGCGATTCAATGACAAGATCGAGGCCATGGCTGATCAAATCTTGGATCAGCTTTTGCCAAAGCCAGCTAAGGACCTTCAAGCAAATACCGCTACTGGCACTGTAACACGCCGCCATCCAGAATTTATTATTATCCATTTACGACGTGGTGACATTGTGAACAAGTGCACTCCAGGCCAAGATGAAAAGGACTGTCTGGTCCAGATCGAGCAAATTGCTGAAAAAGTGAACGAGATTGAAAAGAATCGTCAGATCAAGGCCCTGGCGGCCTTGAAGGATAAGAAGGATGGGGAGGGTAACGGTGTCGTTTTGGAGAGACTTCCAGTGTTAGTAGCGACGAACGAGAAACGACCGGAGGAACTGGCCAAATTGGATAAGCTTGGCTGGACCATGCTTGATCATGGCGATATAGAGTATGATGAGGAGGGGAATGAGATCGTGTCCAAGACCAGGAGACTGGGGACGATGAACGCATTTGGACCGTTCTATCCACCGATGCTTGATGCAGTGTTGTTGACAAGAGGAGACTATTTGATTGGAATGTCCAATTCTAGAATGAGTCAACTGGCAACCCAGCGCGGGGCCGCTTGGTATGGTCATACTACCATGTTGATGTAGATAGTAAATAGGCATATAAACTTACATATAGATGTATTAAAGACTAAAGAAGCATTATATATATATATATATATATATCAACGCTAAAAACTAAAACTATTTATGTAACTTATTAGAAAAGGTTTTCAAAGTGATGGGATGATTGATATTGATTATCAAGCTTTTGTTTTCTTCTTTCTTTCTTTCTTTTTGTTCAGTGACCCCGACTTGAAACCAAAAAAAAAAAAAAAAAAAAAAAAGTTTCGCGTAATGATTCTCTCAGAATATGAGAACCCTTTTTTTTTTTTTTTTTTTTATAGTTTCCAAATGTTCCAAATTCTTATTAAGCGTGTGGGTGGGCCAAGAATAGGACCAAAAAAAGAAAACGTATGAGTATGGCGTGCACGAGCTGCTCACAAAACCTTGTTTCTGCGCCCAAATTTGAAGTATAATATACGTACAAATATATAATATCTGTACATACAACGAATTGGGGTGTTAGGGTGTAAAAAGAAGGAAAAGTAACCAAATCCTGCTTTGCGCCCAGCTCGCCTTCGCCCCCCCCTCCTTTCCCCAGGTGTTGATGAAGATTGTGGTGCTCCTTTGTTTATTTGGATAGCGACACTTGATCAAACAAGTAAATAAGTTTAAAAAAAAAAAACTTTTACTCGGGTTTTTTGCGTTAAAAAAAAGATGGCCAAAGCAGAATTTAGATAAATATATATTTATCCGTATGCAAAGAGAGGAGAGGACCTTTATGGAGAAAGAATTGTATCAATTTATTTTTATACGACTTTGAGCAACTATACAAATATCCTAATGTATCACCATGGTACAGTCGGAGGGAGAGGGGGAGGGTTTGAGCTTACAAACCCGTTTAGCACGAGCAATTTCCCTTTCTTCCTTTAACGTCCAAGACCCACTATGTACGCCCATCACGCGTCAAAAAAAATTTTTTTTGTGTGATACTATAATATACATGTATGACTATTATTGTGCTTTCTACTTCTTTACGTCTTACTACATGAACAAATAAGAATTCTGCTTTTTTTTTTATTTTATTTTATTTTTTTTTTAAGCAGTCATATTGCATACCCTCCCTCCTTTCCATCATGAAGCTCTTTTCTTGATTGAACCCCAAAAGTTGGAAAATAGAGATGAAATAAGTAAATAAATAAAGCAACGTTAAATTTAACATTAGCATTCAACTGTTTTGTTTCAAGCTTTTTAGAAAACTGGACCAACACATTGTTTAGTGCTGAAGTTGACACCAAGTCTTTTAATTTTTTTTTTTAAATTTTTATGTTTGTATTCATAATACGGATATATAAATGAATATCTTTTTTATATTATTATTATTATTATTATATTTTTTTTTTTCTATTAAAGTACAAGGACTTTGACGTTCCGTGAGAGTATGATATCATTGACGCTGGCCATAATATTCCTGAGCATATTTGTATTGGTCGCGTCAGTAAAGTGGACGTAGACCACTTTATGTTCACTCCGATTTAGACGCATAAACCGTACTTGGAAAAACTCTGTGGCATCGTGATAGTCTCCTTCTCGACCTAAAAGGAAAAAAAAAAATAAAAAAAATAAAGCTCATATTTAAATGAATATACATGTACGTTATTAATGCATGCATTAAACATGTAAGAGAGAGAGAGAGAGAGGAAAGGAAATTAAAGGGGGGAGGAAGGAAGGAAGGAAGGGCACCTTACCATTATAGTCTGGAAAATAAGTGCCGATTTTGGAGTACTTAATTTTCTCCCGAAAGATGTCTGTCTTATTCATAAACATGATCATGGACGTATCGATAAACCATTGTGAATTACAAATCTGGTCAAAAAGCATCATCGCCTCTTGCATTTGGTTCTAAACGTAAAAATAAGAAAAAAAAAACCAATGAGAATTGTTGCACCTTATTGACTTATTGGCTTCAACTAAAATATAGCCAAAAGCAAGCAAACAAGCAAGCAAACAAGCAAGCAGAGACACAAGAAATAAGAACATACCGCATCCTTATCCTCAACTAGACATTGATCATATCCACTAATCGCCACCAAGAACAATACTGCTGTGACACCTTCGAAACAATGGATCCACTTTTTACGCTCAGAACGCTGACCACCCACATCAAACATCCTGTATGTGAGACTTCCAATATGAAATGTCGTTTCAGTGATCCCTGTCGATTTGACTCGACACCGTAAGATATCGGCATCATCTGGGACATAATCTGGTTTGTAAAGCCGATCTACAGCATCAAAGAAGCTTTTTTTTTTTTTTTTTTTTTTTGTTTTGTTTTTGCAAAATTTGAAGTTAGTAATAAGTTCAAATGAACTGATAATCTTTTCACAGTGGCATAGTTTGACACGTACTATTTCACATTGTCTGCTAACGCAAAAGTGTGTCCGAGATTATAGGTCATCTGGACTGATGGGTCACTCCATAATGATTTGATTGCTTCTTGATATTCTGGTGGGTATGGAACGCCAGCAGCAACCCTTGGCATCTCTGCAAAGATGGATAGGTATTTCTAAATGTGGATGGGATTGATGTTAGCTGATTTACTTTATCTCTTCCTTTTAAACACAGAGATAAAAAATCATATGTATTTTTTTATTTTTTATTTTTTATCTTTTATTTTTATTATTATTTTTGATAGTGTCATTACCTCATTCTCATTGTTACTGAGGGCGATATGGTTATCGGCCATGGCTTGTAATATTGCCTGCATAGCACTGACCATGTTTGAGAAAACAAATACTCGGAATGCTTCACGCTCCGGTGCTGAGAACCCTGAAGCGTGCATGAGCTTCATCTGTTTAATCACTGTGGTCTTTCCTGCTTCTCCCGCTCCTAATTATCAATAAAAAGGTTCAAACCATATTTTAACCATATTTTGCGATATTAGCCACATCTGAGAATCGTTAACGCGAAAAAAAAAAAAATAGAGAAAGGGCTTTTCCAGAAGACCAAGGTTTCTAAAGCATAGACCATCATGTGAAATGTCCACGAATTTCTTCCTGCATCATTTTAAATGTGGTTGGCTCCAAAAAAAAAAATAAAAAAAATAAAAAAATAAAAAAATAAAAAAATAAAAAAAAACGCGAAACATGCATATACCATCTTACCCAGTAAAAGTAACTTGACTTCAAGCTTCCTCAGCTTGCCATCGGCCTTGAGCGCAACATCGATCTTTTTGCTCTCCGTATCTGCAGGGGTTGAAACGCAAGTTCCCTGATCACATAAAATAAAAGAAATAAAATAAAAAAAGGGATGATGATGATGACGATGAAGAAAACGTGCGTCAGCAGATGGATGTAGCAACAACATTTCGTTGGAGCGTATAAAATAATATTTTATCCTTTTGAACAACAAACAAACAAACAAAAAAAAAAAAAAAGGACGAACACAGCTTAGTCGCCTAGGTAGAAAAAAAAAATTGGTAGTCGAATCCGTATCCCATGCCTTCTACTCCGTTTGTAAACTTCCTCGCTCATACTTGAATATCTTCATTTCTCGCTAAAATCATGCAATATCATTCAACTCCGTGGAAAGGAGCAATCAGGTGTTCCTTTATTGAGCCGAACCTTAAATCGGACAAGCAATATGTGTAGTGCGTGCAGTCCACGTTTTTTTTAATTCTTGTGTGCCTTTTTTTTTTTTTTTTTTTTTTTTTTTTCTTATCATTTATCCACATCCCCTCCCTTATTCCCGATTGGATTAGAGAAGATAGAAGCCCAGGTTGATGTGGAGTTTCAATGGAGCATGAACGACTATTATAGTACAGTCGCATGACATGTGAAGGAAATCATGCAAACGCAACTGCATATTTTCATTTAACGACGTTGGGCGAAGTAGAGCAACTGCAAAAGAAGAGGGAGAATGAAAGAAAAGAAAAGAAAAGAAAAGAAAAGAAAAGAAAAAGCCCAGGAGAAAGGGAAAAAACAAGGGGAAGGAGTTGAAAAGTAATGATATCAAGGAACAGAACCGGATGATCAAGGCTTTTTTTTTTTTTTTTTTTTGCATATTGATGGATTAGGAGTGTACGGGATCAAGAAGAAAGTATTTACCATTGTGAATTTTGCTTGTCTGATTTGAGTTTTTTCTTTTTCTTTTTCTTTTTCTTTTTCTTTTTCTTTTTGTTTTGTTTTTTTTTTTTTTTTTTTTATGGAGGAAGAAGAAGAATTTGGGTTTTTGTGCTTCAAGAAAGTTGGAGGTTGGTGAGCGTGTAAATGACAAGGGGAGGGGGTTGGCTGATCAAATATGTAAAAGATTATAAATTGTTATGAAAATAATAATAACATAAATGGGTATAAATGAATAAAATTTAAAAAAGAATGTGATGTGTGAAGTGTAAAATGCAATTGGAAAATAGTGTAACTGTCTGCGCAATAACAAGCAGAAAGAAGTGTATGGACAATTGAATGAAGACAGAATGCAAATGACAAGTGGCAATGAAACGAATAAATGAATGCAAGATGCAAAAAAAAAAAAAAAAAAAAAAAAAAGGGAGGAAAGAAGGAAAGAAAAGAAGAGAAGGAGAGAAAAGAGAAGTAGAGAAGGGTATAAAAGGAAGAAGGTTCGAGAGAGCTGGGATACTCTTGACCCATTGGGCGACAATGTGCAACGGTTAATCTAACGCAAATATTCTTAATGGTCAAATGTATTATAATTGTATGCTGTTACATCCATCGAATGGTACATTGGTATAGAAATATGCAGTACACCCTTGTGTTCAATTCAATCCCCATCTATTCAATTCAATAATCATGATTGTAATACAGCCTCAAAACCAAAACAGAGCAGAATTCAGAGTAGAGCATCTTATGCATGACAATGGAACAAGCGAAAAAAAAAAAAAAAAAAAAAAAAAAAAAAGGAACAAGGGTTAGAAAAAAGACAAGGCAAGACAAGACAAGATGGAGTTATACACACAAGACAGGACAGGACAGACAACAGTAAAGGCGCGTTTTTTTACCTTTTTTTTTTTTTTTTTTTTTTTTTCCTCCTCTCCAAGTTTCTCCTCTACACCGTATTACATTATCAAAGGTCGCACGATCTATCTCGTTTTAGTACAAACATACCCAAGGTGACATGTCCAATGCCTAATGCCTAATGCCTAATGCCTAATGCCCAATGCTCGAGTGCTAACCCTACGAGTGTTACAGTGAGAGCTCGGCCGTCCTGCCTGTCCTGTCTCTCCTGTTCTGTTTCTTGAGTCTTTGTTGCATATCTGAATGGACTAAGTGCTCGTTCCTGGAGCAGAGGCTCAATTCATGCAATTCGTTTTTTTATTTTTTATTTTTTTTTATTCAGCCCTTCATTTGTCTAAATAAATCCCTGGATGTGATTTCCATTCATTCATTTTGGCTAATACAAGTTATGACTGAATTATCATGGAATGTGTTTGCCACCCCTATGTTCTCCTTTTTTTTTTTTTTTTTTTTTTTTTTCCATTCGCCGTTTCCCGAAGAACACCTTGTCACCCCTATTACGACTGTCCACTTTGTTGCTGCTGATGTTGATGTCGTCGATATTTATAATCTCTATTCTGTATTTTGTAGATGAAATAGCATAATTGTAGCCAGCTCGGTGTTTTTTTTTTTTTTTTTTTTTTTTTTTTTAAAAAAAAAACCACATAGCCAACACACCTTAGTTACAGCATTTGTGTGTGTTTTTTTTAGGGTTTCTTCTCATCTCATCTGCATGCTTATCCTACACCAAAGCATATACCTCGGAGACAAATGCTCCAGTTCTTTGCTGAACAAACATCTCTTACTGATTGATTCTGTCTGATAGAATACACATATACATAATATATACTTTGCCACATCGAATATGAACGCAACAGAAGCTTTTCCCCCTTTTCTTTTTCTTTTCTTTTCTAATTTAATAATCTTTTATTTGCAATTGGACATTCTCCTGGTAATCCTTGGCTCTCACATCCAATCCTGTATTGATGCGAACCATCGGTTGCGTTGGGATTGGGTATCTTCAATATGCTCAGCTCCCAACCACACGCACAATATCAACATAATATATTATATATTGTATATGTATACATTATATATACAAACGTTACAAACCATTGATTTGAAAAAATTAAAAACAAAAATAAAAATAAAAATAAAAACATAAACCCTTCTGGATATTTTGTTACAAAGAAATTTATTCACATCATGCATTCGTCCTCATTGTCTCTTATAATCAAATGCTCTTGCTTACAGTAGAATATGGTGGCACAATGTTGACTTTCTTTATTTTCTTACAGCACAAAAACCTCTTTTGTGCTACATGTTTTTTTTTTTTTATTTTATTTTTATGCGACTCTATCTGTCTAGATCCTAGAAAAATAAGTAAACAAATAATGATAACTCGAGGTTGATCAGTTAATGGAAAAAAGAAAGAGGGAAATACGTATATGTATATATGTGTAAATTGGAGTTAATTATCGCACATGGCACGACATGAGAGTAAAAAGCAAAAAGAGTATAAAGCACAAACGTACCTGGCCCACCCTCCCACGCGTTTTCCCCCAGTTGCTCTGCACAGTCTTTCTGTCTCTGTCAGCATAAATTTGTTGAAACTAAAAAAAAGTATTATTACGAGTGATCTTACTCACTGGCAACACCTGTCTATCCTTGAGAGCAAAAATTATACAAAAAAAAAACAATCGATGACAAAATGACAAAACGCAAGGTAGTAAGCTCTAATCGATCTTTTTTTTTTTTTTTTTTTTTTTTTTTTTTCTTTAGTTTTATTTTTCTTTCGCGCTATTTGTTCTTTATGAGAGAGGGGAGCTTCTCGACATGGAGTTAGATTATCAGATTAATTCAATATGTAAGAAATTATAGGGGGGTTTTTTTAAACGCCTTCAAAGAAATCATGGCAGAACAAGCAAGACCATTCGACGACTTTATCATGCAGGCTCTGTTGCGTTCTGACATCCTGCTTGCGCCGCAGTCCTCAGTCATCCGAATCTGTTGGTTCGTTCACGAAATAATGCTTTATAGATGTATCAAATAAAAAAATGTGTATAAAAAAAAGGGGAGGAATACCTGGAAATGGGCGTATCCTTTGTCGCCTTCTCATACTCTCTCTATACCCTGTTCATGTAAACAATTATGTATTTACATGTACAACATGTCTATCCTGTCGTGCCTTCCATGGTGGGACAGGAGGTTTTGGCTCTTCTGATGCTTCACAATAATAATCCCAGAACTGAACAAACTTTGATTCATTGGATAATGGCCTTTTTCCGCGATTGTGTTCCAAGGTGCATTATTGACATGAATATTTTTCGTTCAATAGATTTTTTTTTTTTTTTCTTTTCTACTCTATCTTGATTGCTCTATTGACATTGTATATAATAAAAAAGATGGCTAAAAAATAGATATATTTACTATTCCTTGTTTATACTGATATATATTTACTGATCTTTACCACGATATTGGGAAGTGGTTTTTATTTTTATTTTTATTTTTCTTGTCAATTCTTGTAACATTTACATATTTGTTCATCCTGATTAAAAAAAAGAAAAAAAAAAAAGTTCTCCTAAATCAAAGCGCAACAGACATTACAGAGTAAAATGTAAGGATTCATCAGGTTCAGTTCAATGTATGTACATTTATAATAAATATATGTAACATGTATACAGACAGACATGTTTCGACAAAACGCAAACAGTAATAAAGCGACAGTTCATTTGTCTACAATGAACGTTGTTTTGGGCTCCCAATCGTAAGTGGTTTTGTAATTTAAGCTTTTGGATATTTTAGTGATTGTAAGAAAAAAATATAAAAAAAATATGTATTACACATTCACAGGAGAGGGAAGGAGAGAGCTGATTGAATTTATCAGTTTCGACATGGACCAATCTTTTTGTTTCTATCTAATACATTGAGTCTCAGTGCTCATGGGAAAATCTGCGACTTTCGTAAAATAAAATAAATAATAATAAAATTACATAAAGGCCATTGGAAGGAGGAAGGAAAGCTCGCTGAATAAAACGGCATTAGTTTGGAGTTCAAAATTAATAAATACCTTCCAAAGGGAACTAACAAAAGTGGCTGTACTATATATATCTATATATCTATACGATCTTTTTCTTTTTCTTTTTCCTTTTTATTTATTATTAATTATTGTTATAATTTTCTTTCTTTCATTATAATAATGATGTATAGACATACAATGTTTAAGTCCGACACAAGATCATATTTAATCATCGCGACTGACGCGACGACTTGACTTCTTTTGAGACTGGAATTGCTTATTGAGCTTACGTCTGGCATTTCCTGCACGTTTACTACAATTGAGAAAGGTCGTCCAGAATATAGAAGACATTATGAATTAGGTTATAGTGCATTGCCCTTCTCTTCAGTTAGAGTTGTCTGTTTGCTTTAGTTTGCTCTGATGATGGGTATGCATTTTTTTTTTCTTTTCTTTTTTCTTTTCCTATCATATAACCTAACAAGATATTATATTGAACCACGTGAAAAAGAAAATAATAAAACGATAAAAGTGCCTCTTACATTCTTTCTAGTTTTTCCAACGCTTCGGCATCAGGAAGCTTGGGGAGTTCAGCCATCCTGAGTATGAGCTCATGCAGTTTTTCCATGCAATCATCCAAGTTTGCCATTTGAGTTCTTTTACGATCTGATGTTAAAACGAACTCGCCACTCTTATTGATCTTATTTGATTCCTGTCAAAGAAAAGAGAGGAGAAAAAGAAGTGTACATTTGTACATTTGCAATAAAATAAATACCAGATCAGATTGTTTCACATCAGCACACTCCCTCTCATGTATCGTTTTGACCATGAAATCCTTTTCGTTACCTCAGACTTGAGCCGATCACGAACGTATTCTGGCAGCCATAGTGCTTCATCTACCACAAATCTCATATCCACCTTCGTATTTACTTTTTTTTTTTTTTTTTTTTTTTTTTTTATAAAAAAAAAAATAATAATAGTTTTAGACATTCATATACCTTTTACTTTTTATATTTTATTATAAATATATGCATAGATATATAGTTTTTTTTTTTTTTTTTTTTTTTTTTTATCTTTTTACCTTTGTTAACATTTTGTCCGCCTGGTCCACTAGATCTTACGAAATTCAAGGTCAACAATCCCTTAGGAATTGAATCCTTTGTGAAGTTACGGGCCCACTTTTCAATCTTTTCACGATCTTTCATTGTCATACCATTCTCATCTACAAACTCCTCTTCAGATGAATCTGCGGATGTAACTGTGCTGTCTTCGCGCCTTGATGCGAAATTCCTCTGAAGGTAGAGTGAATTTGTCGGGACAGAAGGATGGGCGACAGCAGTGCTGCGGATTAGTTGAGTCTGGAGGCGCATTGTGGTTGCAGCTGATAGGATTCTAGGCCATACTCCACTAGTAGCAGTATTAATAGTAGAAGTAGCTGTCGTTGTCGTTGTTGTTGTTGCTATGGACTGCCCACGACATAGTCGGTTGGAGAGGTAGCGGACTTGTTTATTCTGCCTGAAAACGTTCGAAAAAGCTAAGTGCACTGAGCCTGCTTTGCTGAAGCCCAATAAATGTCTGGTCGTACACAAAAGTGAATTTGACATGGTCTTTTAATGTAAATGAATGTTGATCGATTTCACCCTGGTCTGATCTGATCTGATCTGATCTGATCTGATTGATCGTTTGGTCAAATAAAAAAAGAAAAAAAATGAAAATGAGGCTCTTCTAATACGTCATCCGCCCAAGTATTTTAAATGCAACTGTCAACTATGGTACTGAGTATTGCTGCTGCCATCACAATCAGGAAGGAGATCATGTAAGAAACGAGAAGGATATAATATTCACTCTTACTCTCGTGTAGAATTAGCCCAAACAAAATTCCTATTCTTGGAATTTTATAAAGTTTGAAAATGCACATTTGCGAATGATAATGTAAGAACAGTTTTAATCATGACAAGACAGAATATAATTGAGGCAATAGCTTGTGTATATTTCACGATAATGTTGAAGTCCGAGGATTTAACTGAAAAACGTCTTTGTATACATATCATGATTATGGATGTCGATCGAATTGTTTATCTCGTTGATTAATAGACAAATGCAACATTTATTTGAAAAAATGAGTGGATAAACTATATCACCGCCAAAGTACCCGAGATGTTAATGCTTTGGATGCTTTAGACCCTGCAGCATGACTCTCTACAAAGAATGAACAAAAAAAAAAAGTATAAAAATATATGTATAACGAATTGACCAAACAATTATTTGTCTATCATGTGTCTTCAACCACCAGAGCGCCATAAATACGCTATTATTCTATTATATACTATGCTAAATTCAATTCAAATAGGCCTATTGTCTTCCTCATCTGCAAGAATCATGAGCAAGCGAGCTCTCGACTTTATGGTGCAGACTGTAATTGATGGGGAATAAAAAGGGAGGAAAAAAAGTGATCTACCGTTGAGGATAGGTTGATTCCATCGCTTCTGTTTTGACCCGTTTGACTTGGTTTAAGTAATCTGCAATGTGAGTCCCCCGAAGAGAACTGTCCTTCTTTATCAAAGCTTATATCCATATATTAGAACCTCTTCCTCCCAAAGGCATGGTGGTCAATGTCATGAACGCTTTAGCTGTTTAATCAAGCCCACCGCAGTACATGCAACTAGTAAAATCTGCCAATGTTCATTCATAACTTTTAACTTTCTGAAGTATAGGCAATAGGAAATTTTGATAGTTTAGTTTTAAGAATGAAGATTAAGTCCAGTCTCCGAAAGCCTGAAGATGCACAAGTCCTTACTTTTATATACTTTCTGCTCAAAGGATTTAGTGTTTTTTCTCATGTTCGGTGTCTATAATCATATAAGCACATCCATTTTCGGAGAAATAATGACCCAGCGATAACTATATGCGTACATGATCTTGGAGGAAAAGAACAAAACAAGTAATTGGAACCCCCTACGCAGGTCACTGTACCTCGCATATTTGGTAAAAATGAATGGAAGGAGAAACAAGGGCAATGGGCGTTGGGTACTTTTGGGTTATTGGACTGACTTATCCATGCGCCAAAAGGAAACATGGGTATAAATGAATCAGAGTCAGATTGTTCCACGAGATTGTTTTCTTTCCATCAAAATGTTCGAGTTTGAGAAGTTCTTTAGTCCAGGGCAGGGGTATGTATGGAGAGACGACCTATACCCTTCTTGAGAAAAAAAAAGAAAAAAAAAAAAAAAAGACGCGGATTTAAGCACTTCCGTGTCCGGCATCAAAAGTCCGTCGGAGGATATCGTCGGTCTGCAAATTATCAGCTCAAGCTCAATGATTTTTTTTTTTTTTTTTTTTTGCTTGATGGGCATTGTGTGTGTAGCAAAGTGTACATGTGTGTTTATCATGTGTCAACTGATCCTATTTCCTTCTTCTTTCCTCCTTTTTTAGACGTAAATGGTAATAGAAATCAATAGTGTTCTTGAAAGTCTTTTCTTCCATGACGGCCATTATGCCTTGTCCTCAAATAAAGTGATACGGTGGGACATAAGAGTTAAGAGAAACTAAAGGGATGAAATGGAGAACAGTTAACATACCACATGCTCTTGCAACGAGAAGCTCAGGAATACTTTTCTACTGCCTGCCAAAAATATAAATGACAAGGTAGACAAGGTAGACAAGGTAGACAAGGAAGAAGAGGCGATGCCATATTTGTGTATCACGTTGTTGCTCTGTGCTGTAAGTGCTAGAGACCAACTCAGAAACGAATCGCAATGAAGTCATGCAGATATACTCAGCGCAGCCTTCTTTTGCAAGAGAGGTTTTTCTTGTCAAAAAAAAAAAAAAAAACACTCTCTTTTCTCTTTGCTTTTCTTCTTTCTCCCTTTTCCTCTATCACTTTTCCTCCCGGTCTTTGTTGCATTCACTGCCATTACTTTTCTCTCTCATTCTACACGCTCATTTTGCCTTGACTTTTTTATTTTTTATTTTTTTTGTACAACTCTGGGCTATTGTTTATCATTGCCCACTCTCATCCACCCAAAACCATGCCTGTCTTCGTTGCCACTGCAGGCGGTGCAACTGCCACAACCATAGCTACATTGGGTCGTTTCCATAGCTCTGCCAAAGGAGATCAGCCCTTCGTTTCAACGGGTCGCCAACGCTCATCCAGTGTTAATAGTAGACTCTCCTCTTCGTCTGCAACCTCAATTCCTGATACTGCTCCTATGCACTCGCTCTCTTCAAAGATCATTGCCATGAGCATTGATACTTTGAACAAAGGCGTATACCAACAAGAACAGACTATCTTTCAACGTGATTTGTCAGCTTCAAAATCAGAGAGCATCAACAGGGCTCAGCAACAATGTTTAGAAGATGGTTTCGATCGGATACTTCATCTTCCAATAGCAATAGACCATAATGGCAATAATAGTAGTAATAACAACGATCTCAGCCATGGTAGTGCCTCACAGCGATGGCTGCCACTGTCATCGCCCACTGACCAGAACTGTGATCTTCCAGCGGAAAATGCGCCAGCAAATGTACCTATGATCTGTACTGGACGAAGCAGGAGCAACACTCTGACAACTACAAGCACAGGCGCAGTGGACGTGACAGCAGCATCCATCTCAAATCAATATGACCACATTATGAGACCTCGCAGGTTATCGCAAGTAAATCGCCCCTTGGGGCAGATCGCTCAGTCCTCACCTGCCATTCCTACTCTGATCTTACCTCAAGTGTCCTCAGATGGATCAGTGACAGCGCCTTCGCATGTACATTCACACTATCCACCAGATTCAATTTTACCACAGTACAATGATATTGAGGCAGCGGCTGCTAGTAGCAATACCAGAACACTATCTAACACTCATTGGAGTAATATCCAACTTGGCTTTTTACCTCGGATTGTGCTATTGATCGGCATCTTCTGTATGTCCTTGGGTGGGCTCTATCTTTTGGCTCAAGTCTTACCTCCAATGTCATTACCGAAATCCATTGACGATGTTAAAGTGGATGCAGCTATCCTTCAGGAGTTCGCAACGGCCACTTACGAGGGTTGGTTAAGAACATTTTGGGTCTTTAGTGCGGTCTATATTTGGAAACAATGTTTTGGGATCCCAGGGAGCGCTTTTCTGGTAATATACAAAACTGCGCTTATGATTGAGGGTTTTTGCGTATTTAAGTTTGACAATGTTCATTATCTAACCACCCGCATATTATTCATAAACAGAATATTCTGGCAGGAGCATTGTATGGACCCTGGTTTGGAACAATTTTGACGTCGCTATTGACGACGCTTGGTTCAGTTTTAGCCTACTTTATGTCTTTCTTCTTAATGGAGCCTATCTTGAACCGGTATGCGTCAAGTCGCCTTGACCAGATGCGTCTTCAGGTCCAGAAAAAGACAAAGCATTCTTCTTCAAAAAAGAAATCAATGACAGGCTCAACGGCCACTTCAACAGCGGTTCAAACTTCAATCAACATTCCATCGTCTTTGTCTTCCGATCCAGAGATTTCAAACAGCCCCCCTACCCAGTCTTCAATTCAACAAGCATCGCTTCGCACTCGATCATCCTCATTCATCCTCCGAAAGACGGACTTGACTACGCAGGATTTATCGTCGTCAACCCATCCTTATCCTGACCTTGCTAACATTGCTACTCGGTATAACAACAATGAGATCCAGGAACACGAAGCTTTACTTAACGAGGGAAAAGAAAACGAGGATTCGATGCTATCTATTGATCATCAGGAACATGTTATCAAAGAGCATGAAACCAATAGTGAAGATGACGAGGATGATTCAGAAGGAACCAGTTTATTCATGCAGCTTCTGTTGATTCGCCTTTTCCCTTTGACGCCCTATTGGTTTATCAATTTGGCCAGTCCCCTTGTCGGCGTACCAGTTATTCCATTTATGACCTCCATGTTCCTCGGAGTCATGCCCTACAATTATATTTGTGCCCAGGCTGGAGCCATTTTGAGTGAAATTCATGAGCTACGTGATATTTATCAACAGCCTTGGATTCTCTTTCAAGTAGTGTTTGTGTTGTTGCTTTGCACCGTGGGGGTTCTAGTGAGCAAGCGTTCAAAGAAGAACCAACAGGAAAAAGAGCAACGAAAGAGCCGCACAAGTGATGAAAGGACTGACGATGAGACAACACATCGTCTTCTTCGACCGGATTTTGATGATGCAGAGCAGCACCGCCACGAACGCAGACGAGACGAAGAGCACATGCAGGACAGCATTTCCATGTCCACTCTGGGACATGGGCGTCTGCATGATCTAGAATCAAAGAGAAACGAGTCTGCTGTTATTGACATGGGTGCCTACCGTTACTAGCGTAGCATTTTGTTTTTTTATTTTTATTTTCGTTTTTAATTTTTAATTATTGTATTGTAGCAATATTCACAGCCCTTGCCTAATGGTGGTAATATACCCTTTTCAATTCTGTCTTTGAGCATTAAATATTGATTGTGTACTGTACTTTTTTTTTTTTTTTTTTTTTTTTTTTAACGAATTGATGAATTGATATCCCATGGTTTTCATTAGTTTATAGTGGTTATCGCTCTTGTTTTAAAACTCTCCTAATCTCTTGCGTTCCTTTAATGGGTGCGTTGAACTAACACTTCTTTATCAAGCTAATCTGTTGGGGATTTTTTTTTTTACAAGAGTCGAGCTATAAGGACAAGCCGTTAGAGCGTGATGAAGGTCGTTCAAAAAAAAAAAAAAAAAAAAAAAAAACTCGTCCAACTCTTATAGGAGGATCGATAAAAGAGGTATGATCTCGTTGAATCCGGAACTGAAACACCCTTATTTGATTGGAAAGTCACTCATTAACACATGTCGACTGTTATTACTGTTATTTGGTGGAGATTCACTCCAAGGGGTCCTGGGTTCAAGAACAACTCTTTAATTCTAGGATTATTTTTAGTCTTGAGATTCTAATATTATTGAGAAAGAAAAGAAGAAAAGTCGTGGCCTTGCAACTGCCACTGCAGCTCGAGTCAAAGGTCAAAAAGGACACGGTGTTAATAAGAGAACTGTCCAAACTGGAACACCATGTCATAATGCAAGTGTAATTTTGCGGCGCAGCAGCACGAAGCTTTTTTTATCTTGTCAAGATTAGACTACGGCTATGCTTAAACAATGAAAGTGACAATCCAGCGCTCCGTGCTCATACTGAATTATGCCTGTGCCACGTAGTTGATTAGACAAAAAAAAAAGCTCTGGAACCCTTTTGCCCAAAAGGGAACCTGATGAACTTGCACATTGTGAAATCTGGTGTGGCATGGACTGCCTTGTGTCTTTCCTGCTGAGTTGACACGTATCACCAAAATGGAGGTCTCGCTCGATATGCTTCACACCCATGCACGAACGTGTGTATAAAAGTCAAAGAGGGCTATTCCTAGTTTGCCTCCTTATCCTTTTCAAGCTCGCGTACCATTCCACTTTCTTTTTTTTTTTTTTTTTTTTTTTTTTTTTTTCAGCCCTCTTCACAACAGTGTTCATTTCTCCAGTCTGTCACCCCAATTATACTCCGTTCCTTACATCCTTTTCAAACTCATGGGTCTGACAATTTCTAAACTGTTCGCTGATCTCTTCCACAAGCGAGAAATGCGCATCTTGATGGTGGGATTGGATGCTGCTGGCAAAACCACCATCTTGTACAAACTCAAGCTCGGAGAGATCGTCACCACCATTCCCACAATCGGTAAGCTTTTTGCGAGTCCTCACTCTCATTTACCTCTTCATTTTGCGCCTTCCATTCCTCGTTTGATGTTTGTTCCTGGGGACTATTTTCACTTAGTCGCGACAGGACCTCAGACACAAAAGTACTTCGCCCTCATTCCTCTTTTGCTTGTGAGCCGCCTTTTTATTTCTCTAATGCCAAGTTGAGTGAGCAGGTCAACGTCTCTCAGAGCCTCTAGTGAGATTTACTACGGCATAAAGTACCTACACATATTTCATCCCCCTTTTTTTTTTTCATTATTGTCAACTGTATTTCCTGTGCCTTTTTGGGCAATTTTATTTCTCTTCCAAATGGCTGTGCCCAAATCCGGCCTGATTATTTTTGTGTGCGGTTCGGAGGACCAACACAGATCTAATAATATCAAATGCCATGATCTTACACTAACTGAAACTCGGTCGGCTGGCTTTCTATAGGATTCAACGTCGAAACTGTCGAGTACAAAAACATCTCCTTTACCGTTTGGGACGTCGGCGGTCAAGACAAGATTCGTCCTCTGTGGCGCCATTGTATGTGAAAATTGTCTTTCTAATTTATACATCCGACCATGTTTATAAAATTATAAAATAGACTCAGGGAGAAAAATGGATTGGATGTCTCTCAATGACCGTCAGCCGTGTCGCATTGAGAGGGTCCTCTTTTTTTTCTTTGCTCACCCGCCCAAGTCTCTTTTATTATCACTATAACTTGGCTGTGTAGAATGATTGTATATGATGTGATCTCTACTGGTTGAATTAACATTAATTTCAAAAATGCCTTCTCTCGTTAATAGACTTCCAAAATACACAAGGTATCATTTTCGTTGTCGACTCCAATGATCGTGACCGTATCAGCGAAGCTCGCGCTGAGCTCTTGCGCATGTTGGACGAGGATGAGATCCGTGATGCTCTCCTTCTCGTCTTCGCCAACAAACAAGATCTTCCTAATGCCATGAACGCTGCTGAGATCACTGATAAACTCGGCCTCCATTCTCTCCGCCAGCGCTCTTGGTATATACAGGCTACCTGTGCCACCTCTGGAGATGGTCTATATGAGGGTCTGGAGTGGCTCTCAAATAACTTGAAGAACTTGAAATGAAGCAGTAAACAGGCATTTGGAAACATATAAAAAAGAGAAATAAAAAAAAAAAATTAAAAAATCTGGAGGCATTCATATGACAACAAAGTAAAACTGAAGTTACGGATAAGGTTCATGTCTTCTGTTTTTTTTTTTTTTTTTTTTTTTACATTTTTTTTGGAGCTCTCTTTGTCTCATATTGATTTGATTGAAACGTGGAAGCTGGTCTGGTCGTTGAGAAACAATCTTACCCTAATTGAAGGCTTAATTAGACTAAACAAAAAGAGCATGTGGTTCATAGGCGCAGCACTTGGATAGAGATTGAAGATACGACGGTCGATGAGACTTGGTGAGGTGCGAGTATGTTGTCTGAGCCATAATTTTGGATGACCATCGCGTCTCTAAGAGGCACTACCTATTGGTTTACGCGATATGTCCATCTCGCCTCAGACATGGAGCGCCATATACCAAAGAGTCGTCAGATCTTAAAACGGCTGCATGTCGAGCAAGTATTAACTCCTTTTGAGCGGGTCTCATCCTGTCAACGCCGACAGTGTTTCTCATACACTCTCGTTAAGAGTGTGGAGCAGCAAAGGCAGCAACGGTCTAAATAACCATAGCAGCCCGCCGCTACTACTTATCTCTGAATAATCACATTGTGCCACGGCTAGATAAAGTTACTGTTATCAATGCTAGAGTACGAGGTACCTTGATGGTAGCACAGCACCCAGGACTCCTGCACGTCCACGACTTGTGGCTCACAGGACTCGAGCATATGTTTGTCGAAGTGATTCTTGTTCAAATACCTTAGCATTGCTCTTTGGCTCTGCCATGGTTCAAGGAGCGTCTTGATGAGGTTCACACTTGTCTCTTTAGCTTTTCATAAAGAGCCTTGTGAAGGTTTGTCATGATCTTTGAACTATAGATATTATCACAGACTTGAGCTGTTTTTGATGTTCGCATTGTTAAGCATAGCCGCTTTCAAGATGCTTGACATAAAACTAATGGTGATCTTGGCCTTGGTTCCCATTCTTCTACTGTACTGTATATCAGTCAGGTCAACCACCCTTTGCCTTGGCTTTACATCCTCACACCTTCAGGACATGCCAAGCACTGTAGAATTAAGTATGGCTGCAAGCTCACTCTTCATAGCCAAGACTCCTGTCTTGCTTTAGTCAGTGATGACAACGTTCGGTTTCAAGTCATATTCTTCGTCAACCGTGGAGAACGAGTACTTTATCCTTTTACGGAGCGCAGTTAGCCACATTGGCAAATATAAGTGTCATGGACTTTTGTCAGGAGAAATGCAGCAGGAATGTCATACGCACTCTTCCTACTTCCAGGGCAAGGTACACGGGCTGATTTGGTGGCTGTCCGATGAGATGAACGCAGTGATGGTAAATGAGACACAAGAGTGTCATCAGTGCTACCCATAAGGGTGCCTGGAATAGAGCCCATATCTGAAAGCGCTGTGAGTGCCGGTCAATACACAACACATCTTCATGGCCATAGGAATGAAAAATCCATAATACAGGCCATTGCTTTACGCGTCCGTGTAATAGAGAAGGTAAACGTGTCCTCTCGATCGAATCCTCCCACATACATTCGAGATGATAACGCCTTGTTGTCGTGCTTTCTCATGGCAGTGGTTGTGATCTTATACCAAACATTGTACATATCGCCGTATGTGACGAAAACATCACAAGAGACTTGCTGACCGTCCCCTTCCATTATTTGAAAAAAAAAAAGATCCCATGCTTCATTGGTAACCTCTGCATCAAATTCTGGATGCTGGGGTCTTGAAGTAGCAGACGCTCGGTGACTACCTTTATAGCAGAAGACATTAGCCTCGACTCAAAGTCAGCAAGGCTCCCTAGCGAATGATTGTGTTGGTAGTGCCGCTCAACATGACATGAAGCATTTCGGTCTGTCCAGCATAGTCATTAGCTTTATCACAGCAAAAGTTTTTCGCTCTACAGCATTGGTTGATCCCAGACGTCCGGTTTCTGGTTTTGCCTGAAATCTCTCTTTGCGCCTTACTCTTTGCTCCCTACTCTCTCTATGTCAAGCGCTTCTCGCCAGAACACTGACAGTGGTATCTGTGACGGCAGATTAAAAGGCGAGACTCTTTGCTATAAAGGGGACTCTACGCTATAAACGAGTACCAGCTTCTCTTTAAGTCTTCCTGAGTTTGGAGCAGCTCCTTCGAGCATCTGGCAAGCTTTTTTTGCCGCTAAAGCTGGGCATGGATTACGACGGCCAAGAGTTTGAGTGCTGATTCTTTTTTTTTTCTTTTTTTTATGCCAACACGACAAACCTACAGCCAATCACGTTACCTTGGCTGCCTACTCTCAAGACCTTGCTTCTTTCGATGTGGAGACGCTTCTATAAAGAGCTTCTGAGTGTCCTGCAGCTTTCAAACTTTGTGAGTAGTCATCATCTTTATTTGTCACTTCTTCCATAGGCACTAAGGATTGAATGTAGATGGTAATGTGATCTACCCTCGGCGCACTATTTGCATCTCCTCTTTTTGAGCGGATTCATCTCGCTGAATCTGACTATACTCTTCATATGCCTTTGTTGCAAATCTGGGACCGCCAAGAGAACAAAAGTATAAATGGTCGCATCAGCTCATCGCTACTGCTTTTCTCTGGAAAAATGTTAACTGCATCAATGATAGAGTGTGAGACACCTGGGTGAAAGCATAGTATTCAGGGCTGATGTAAGTTCGGAAATCTGTCTGTCAAAGTGGTTCTTGTTGATATACGTCCCCTTCATTAATAAGGTGACCTCTTCTCCGTCAATCCTTTCTTTTTCTCTTCCTTTTTCTCTTCTTTTTCTCCGATTGCCATTCTTATTCGCCGCTTCCAGACTTCTCTCCATCTGTTTTGTTCCTATTTTGAAGTTACTCAGTTAAATAAAAAGACGACGAAAGGAAGAGTTGATGTCATCGATAACAGAAGTCACTAAGCGCACAGTCCAGACAGTGTGTATGAAGGATACAAAGTCAGAAATAGGGTCCGTCACTGATGGAGCTACCACCGCGAAAGTCTGTAGTAGTCGCACTGATTTCAGTGATAAGACTACCATTACCAAACATATCGTGGAGATACCCAAGAACATGACCGAGGCCGACTATTCCGTGCTATACGAACCATGGTCTATCTATAACTTTTATAAAAAAGCGGAGTGGGTTCATATATTAACACTGGTGCTCATGCCGATCTATGGGCTCTCTATGGCATTGACATCCGCACCATTTCAGCAAAAGACGGCCATCTTTGCTCTTGGTCATGCTGTCTTCATAGGTCTTGGAATAACTGCAGGTAACTTTCTGTTTAAATATGAAAACAAGCACAGTGCAAGGCATTGGAGCAATAGCTCTTGCCATACTGGCACCAGTAATGACCCAACTCAATATTCTTTGTTTTACTCTAGGATATCATCGCTTATGGTCCCATCGATCCTACATTGCTTCACCTTTGCTTCAAACTATCCTCATGATTGCGGGCACAGGCGCTATGCAGGGCTCCATCCTTTGGTGGTGTCGTAATCATCGTGCACATCACCGATACACTGACACAGACAAGGTATATAGTGTTGATAGTTAAAGGCATAACATCATCTTTCAATCCTCTTGTCTTGTCTTCTCCTATCTGAGTAAGCTTCTGACCACAACTGGTCCTATGCTCATTTAGGATCCTTATGGAGCTCACAAAGGTTTGCTCTGGTCGCATTTTCTATGGATGTTAGTTCGTCAGGATCCTGCTGCTGTGGGGTGGGCAGATATCTCTGACTTGAGAGCCGACAAGTTGGTCATGTTCCAGGACAAATATTTCTATTGGCTTGCCCCAATGGTTTCCTTAGGTGTCCCAACAGTAATTGCTGGGTTAGGATGGGGTGATTACTGGGGTGGATTTATTTATGGTGGCGTCATACGCCAATTCGTAGTCCATCAAAGCACCTACTGTGTCAACTCACTCGCTCATTGGCTTGGCGATAAGCCATTCGATGATCGCCGTACTCCATGCGACCATCTGTTTACAGCATTGCTAACACTGGGTGAAGGCTATCACAACTTTCATCATGAGTTCCCTCAAGATTATAGAAACGCTATCAAGTTCTACCAATTCGACCCTACAAAGTGGCTAATTGCCTTTTGCTCGTTCATTGGCCTTGCTTGGGACTTGAAGCGCTTTCCTTCTAATGAGATCAAGAAAGGTCAACTCAGGATGCAACAAAAGAAGCTCGACAAGATGAAATCGACATTGGTCTGGGGTACACCGATTGACCAACTGCCTGTCTTTTCGTTTGACGAATTCTGTGACATGACTAACAAGGAAGGACGAGCTGTCACTCTGATTGAAGGTGTCATCTATGACATCTCGAGCTTCGTAGACGAGCATCCAGGTGGACGAAGCTTGATCTGCAGTGCCATTGGTAAAGATGCTACAACATCATTCAACGGTGGTGTGTACGATCATTCGAACGCAGCACGACATTTGATGGAGCGGATGCGGATAGGTGTAGTTGCTGGTGGTGGTTATGTAGAGCATCGATGCAAAGATGTAGCTGTTTCTCATTCAATCTATTAATAAAGATGCAAATCTCAGTCGCCATTTTACTACAATTGGCTCAGGGCGCTGTTTATTTATCTTGCTATAAGTTGCATCCCGATATCTCATTCTGCTATTTCGTTCTTTCCTTGGTTCTTTATTTCTCATTCTTCTTGGACAGAAGACAAAAAGCACCCAGCATTATGACCGACCCCCTATCCGCAAGTCCTTTATAAGAGCACTTGCCCTACAAAGGCAGATGCCCATCTCATCTCTCCTCTTGACTATCTACTGACCGCTCTTGTAGCCATTTACAGATTCCGTATCACGCCCTTACCAGCCAAACGTCAGTGAGTAGGAGGAGCAGCTGCCTTCAGTATCACAAGTGTGGCAATTACCCTTTGCCCTATACCCATACTAGCAGCGTGTTCACTAATTGTTTAATCTCTTTGGTTCAAAAAAAAAATACTTGTTCAGTTTGATGACAACCGAATTGCCTGATGGCACAACCTAATATTAAGCTGTTTCAAGCCCTGGTTGAGATGTATGATTGCTTCGCAGAGTTTACCCGTCTTTTATTGCTTAAAGGAGTGATATATTGGCTATAGTAAATACTAAGGTCACTGACTATTCTGTATCCTGACTCCTCGCTAATCTGTTATTCTTCTGTTGTCCAATGTAGTGCTAGACTATACACCAATTCACTATGAGTGTTTTTGTATCCCAATCTTTATTAGCGGCTATCATGTACTGGCTAATTCAATGATCCAACGTATTTTGTTTGCCCTGGGTCCTGGAACTCATTCAAGAGCAAGTATAGACATGATGTCGATCTGTATTTAATGTCAAATAAAGGAGTTAGATTGATTAGTTTGTTTGTGTTTGTCTCCATCGGATACACTATGATCAACTTGATCGGATACAATCCTACATGGTCCTGGCGAGGTATGTGAACGACTCACCACAGGTCAATTATATCGGAGAATACAACTATGGAGAGGTATTAAGATAAATCCCATGTTTGCTTAAACGTGTTTTGTCTTGTACAAATATTAGGATACGATGCCTTCTGGATGGCACGATCAAACTGTGGTTTGTCCATTACTGGCTGATCATGGGGGTTTGTATGATTTGGCCGTCCTGCGGCACTTGATTCCCTTCTCCTACACGGTTGTAGAATACTTCTCGTAGATTCAAAGCATGAGAACATGTTTTTTTTTATTTTTATTTTTATTTTTTTTTTATTTCAGGGCACAGAAACCCCATAAACCAAAGTTCAAGTGCAGTTTCCCTCAAAAAGGCCTCTATTCATTTTAATTCAATTAATAGCTTTAGCGAATTTTTTTTTGACGTGAGCCTTAGCACGGAACGAGAGATTCATCGCCAAAGGAAGGAATATGTTCACGACGCAAATTCCCTTATGCTACTGGCTAGTCAAGCAGTCAGGCGCAAATTCGATCGTAATATGGAATATATGGAAGAGACTTTGATGGAATAGTATGTTGTCAAAAGATATCTAGATCTCGATGTCATCGATAGTCGCCTGCAAAGGATAGTAGTGATAATTTGGACTAAAATAAAGCCCTTCTTTCTTCCAGATCAAGCACCCAAACAGTGCTATTTTTCGAAAGGATGGCTCTATCTCTTTAAAAATAGGAATAGCCTCAAATATTATATTAAGTATGGCGAAAGTGGGTCAGTGGGTCTGAAGGTTATGAAGGATCGCATCGAGGCTATTAAAGCCAAGCTTACCGATTCCAAACTCGATGATATTTATAATTGTGATGAGGCAGATCTTTTCCTCACAGTTATATCCAACAGGACTCATGAAACTGCGCCTATTCGTGGAAAGAAAACTGTTCGGTCAGCTAGAGTCCCAATCCTGCTCTGCTATAATTTAATAGGGCCTGACAAGCGCAAGCCTTTAGTGCTTGTCATGCATTGTCAAAAGGGTCTGGCTAAGAATATTTTTATGGGCACTAAATGCATGTCACACCATATGATAAGAGTACCTTTTAAAGGGGTTGAAATAAAACTGGCGCCAGGAAGCTGGTGCTGGTCCTGAAGCTTAGAAATTCGAGATATTTATTTTTCATTAACTGGCATATCTTGCATTTTTTTGGGGGGAGGGGGTGCCCGGACGGTTGGCGTGATATGAAGGGCTAAAGTTATTTGATTTCATGAGTATTCATGAAGAGTAGGATCCATTGAGTGAAGTGCGTGAAATGGAGGAATAATGGACTGAAGGCGATGAATCATGTAGTGCGTAATGCGCAGCGTGAACCTCATGAACCCCCATTCAGTGTGAAATTGGAGCGCGAATCGAGATCCTTAAGAGAATAGGTCTTCTAGGTAGTTTTTGAAGACAACCTCTTTATTTGCAAATTGAAAAAAATCTGGAACATCGGTGTTCCGGAATCCATCGAAGGGATATAGCAATAATATGCTTGAAGCCGTGGCGCGTGTAAGGGCAGAAATTTTTTTTTTTTTAAAAAAAAAAAAAAAAAAAAAAAAAAAAAAAAAAAGAATTAGCACTAAAACAATAAAACTCTTGGCCATTGTAATCCATGCCCAGCTTTAGCGGCAAAAAAAGCTTGCTAGATGTTCAAAGGGGCTGCTCCAAGCTCTGGAAGGCTTAAAAAGAAGCTAGTATTCGTTTATAGCGTAGAGTCCTCTTTATAGCAAAGGGTCTCGCCCTTTAATCTCTTGCTTCCAATGTAAGATAGTTCATCATACTCTCATACATCATCCCTCTCTATAGCTCGCACTACCAACTGTAGCTGCTACCTCCAGCTACCCTCCAAGATCTGGCTCCACAAAATCAGTTTCATTTTCAGCAACCATCATTTCCTTGAAAACTTGGTGACTTTTGGGTATACGATACTCCTTGTTTATGCGGGACAAACATTCAGAGCATAGTAACGATCCATAATCTCCAAGTTGTTCAGGAATGTTGCCCAGCATGATGCTTTTTAGTGCAATTTATTCATTTAGGCAATAACTTGTGAGATCAATATTATTTTACTAATCTAATACATGAGAAACAGCTACATCTTTGCATCGATGCTCTACATAACCACCACCAGCAACTACACCTATCCGCATCCGCTCCATCAAATGTCGTGCTGCGTTCGAATGATCGTACACACCACCGTTGAATGATGTTGTAGCATCTTTACCAATGGCACTGCAGATCAAGCTTCGTCCACCTGGATGCTCGTCTACGAAGCTCGAGATGTCATAGATGACACCTTCAATCAGAGTGACAGCTCGTCCTTCCTTGTTAGTCATGTCACAGAATTCGTCAAACGAAAAGACAGGCAGTTGGTCAATCGGTGTACCCCAGACCAATGTCGATTTCATCTTGTCGAGCTTCTTTTGTTGCATCCTGAGTTGACCTTTCTTGATCTCATTAGAAGGAAAGCGCTTCAAGTCCCAAGCAAGGCCAATGAACGAGCAAAAGGCAATTAGCCACTTTGTAGGGTCGAATTGGTAGAACTTGATAGCGTTTCTATAATCTTGAGGGAACTCATGATGAAAGTTGTGATAGCCTTCACCCAGTGTTAGCAATGCTGTAAACAGATGGTCGCATGGAGTACGGCGATCATCGAATGGCTTATCGCCAAGCCAATGAGCGAGTGAGTTGACACAGTAGGTGCTTTGATGGACTACGAATTGGCGTATGACGCCACCATAAATAAATCCACCCCAGTAATCACCCCATCCTAACCCAGCAATTACTGTTGGGACACCTAAGGAAACCATTGGGGCAAGCCAATAGAAATATTTGTCCTGGAACATGACCAACTTGTCGGCTCTCAAGTCAGAGATATCTGCCCACCCCACAGCAGCAGGATCCTGACGAACTAACATCCATAGAAAATGCGACCAGAGCAAACCTTTGTGAGCTCCATAAGGATCCTAAATGAGCATAGGACCAGTTGTGGTCAGAAGCTTACTCAGATAGGAGAAGACAAGACAAGAGGATTGAAAGATGATGTTATGCCTTTAACTATCAACACTATATACCTTGTCTGTGTCAGTGTATCGGTGATGTGCACGATGATTACGACACCACCAAAGGATGGAGCCCTGCATAGCGCCTGTGCCCGCAATCATGAGGATAGTTTGAAGCAAAGGTGAAGCAATGTAGGATCGATGGGACCATAAGCGATGATATCCTAGAGTAAAACAAAGAATATTGAGTTGGGTCATTACTGGTGCCAGTATGGCAAGAGCTATTGCTCCAATGCCTTGCACTGTGCTTGTTTTCATATTTAAACAGAAAGTTACCTGCAGTTATTCCAAGACCTATGAAGACAGCATGACCAAGAGCAAAGATGGCCGTCTTTTGCTGAAATGGTGCGGATGTCAATGCCATAGAGAGCCCATAGATCGGCATGAGCACCAGTGTTAATATATGAACCCACTCCGCTTTTTTATAAAAGTTATAGATAGACCATGGTTCGTATAGCACGGAATAGTCGGCCTCGGTCATGTTCTTGGGTATCTCCACGATATGTTTGGTAATGGTAGTCTTATCACTGAAATCAGTGCGACTACTACAGACTTTCGCGGTGGTAGCTCCATCAGTGACGGACCCTATTTCTGACTTTGTATCCTTCATACACACTGTCTGGACTGTGCGCTTAGTGACTTCTGTTATCGATGACATCAACTCTTCCTTTCGTCGTCTTTTTATTTAACTGAGTAACTTCAAAATAGGAACAAAACAGATGGAGAGAAGTCTGGAAGCGGCGAATAAGAATGGCAATCGGAGAAAAAGAAGAGAAAAAGGAAGAGAAAAAGAAAGGATTGACGGAGAAGAGGTCACCTTATTAATGAAGGGGACGTATATCAACAAGAACCACTTTGACAGACAGATTTCCGAACTTACATCAGCCCTGAATACTATGCTTTCACCCAGGTGTCTCACACTCTATCATTGATGCAGTTAACATTTTTCCAGAGAAAAGCAGTAGCGATGAGCTGATGCGACCATTTATACTTTTGTTCTCTTGGCGGTCCCAGATTTGCAACAAAGGCATATGAAGAGTATAGTCAGATTCAGCGAGATGAATCCGCTCAAAAAGAGGAGATGCAAATAGTGCGCCGAGGGTAGATCACATTACCATCTACATTCAATCCTTAGTGCCTATGGAAGAAGTGACAAATAAAGATGATGACTACTCACAAAGTTTGAAAGCTGCAGGACACTCAGAAGCTCTTTATAGAAGCGTCTCCACATCGAAAGAAGCAAGGTCTTGAGAGTAGGCAGCCAAGGTAACGTGATTGGCTGTAGGTTTGTCGTGTTGGCATAAAAAAAAGAAAAAAAAAAGAATCAGCACTCAAACTCTTGGCCGTCGTAATCCATGCCCAGCTTTAGCGGCAAAAAAAGCTTGCCAGATGCTCGAAGGAGCTGCTCCAAACTCAGGAAGACTTAAAGAGAAGCTGGTACTCGTTTATAGCGTAGAGTCCCCTTTATAGCAAAGAGTCTCGCCTTTTAATCTGCCGTCACAGATACCACTGTCAGTGTTCTGGCGAGAAGCGCTTGACATAGAGAGAGTAGGGAGCAAAGAGTAAGGCGCAAAGAGAGATTTCAGGCAAAACCAGAAACCGGACGTCTGGGATCAACCAATGCTGTAGAGCGAAAAACTTTTGCTGTGATAAAGCTAATGACTATGCTGGACAGACCGAAATGCTTCATGTCATGTTGAGCGGCACTACCAACACAATCATTCGCTAGGGAGCCTTGCTGACTTTGAGTCGAGGCTAATGTCTTCTGCTATAAAGGTAGTCACCGAGCGTCTGCTACTTCAAGACCCCAGCATCCAGAATTTGATGCAGAGGTTACCAATGAAGCATGGGATCTTTTTTTTTTTCAAATAATGGAAGGGGACGGTCAGCAAGTCTCTTGTGATGTTTTCGTCACATACGGCGATATGTACAATGTTTGGTATAAGATCACAACCACTGCCATGAGAAAGCACGACAACAAGGCGTTATCATCTCGAATGTATGTGGGAGGATTCGATCGAGAGGACACGTTTACCTTCTCTATTACACGGACGCGTAAAGCAATGGCCTGTATTATGGATTTTTCATTCCTATGGCCATGAAGATGTGTTGTGTATTGACCGGCACTCACAGCGCTTTCAGATATGGGCTCTATTCCAGGCACCCTTATGGGTAGCACTGATGACACTCTTGTGTCTCATTTACCATCACTGCGTTCATCTCATCGGACAGCCACCAAATCAGCCCGTGTACCTTGCCCTGGAAGTAGGAAGAGTGCGTATGACATTCCTGCTGCATTTCTCCTGACAAAAGTCCATGACACTTATATTTGCCAATGTGGCTAACTGCGCTCCGTAAAAGGATAAAGTACTCGTTCTCCACGGTTGACGAAGAATATGACTTGAAACCGAACGTTGTCATCACTGACTAAAGCAAGACAGGAGTCTTGGCTATGAAGAGTGAGCTTGCAGCCATACTTAATTCTACAGTGCTTGGCATGTCCTGAAGGTGTGAGGATGTAAAGCCAAGGCAAAGGGTGGTTGACCTGACTGATATACAGTACAGTAGAAGAATGGGAACCAAGGCCAAGATCACCATTAGTTTTATGTCAAGCATCTTGAAAGCGGCTATGCTTAACAATGCGAACATCAAAAACAGCTCAAGTCTGTGATAATATCTATAGTTCAAAGATCATGACAAACCTTCACAAGGCTCTTTATGAAAAGCTAAAGAGACAAGTGTGAACCTCATCAAGACGCTCCTTGAACCATGGCAGAGCCAAAGAGCAATGCTAAGGTATTTGAACAAGAATCACTTCGACAAACATATGCTCGAGTCCTGTGAGCCACAAGTCGTGGACGTGCAGGAGTCCTGGGTGCTGTGCTACCATCAAGGTACCTCGTACTCTAGCATTGATAACAGTAACTTTATCTAGCCGTGGCACAATGTGATTATTCAGAGATAAGTAGTAGCGGCGGGCTGCTATGGTTATTTAGACCGTTGCTGCCTTTGCTGCTCCACACTCTTAACGAGTGTATGAGAAGCACTGTCGGCGTTGACAGGATGAGACCCGCTCAAAAGGAGTTAGTACCTGCTCGACATACAGCCGTTTTAAGATCTAGTTCTACAATAGTTAAGGGATCATCATTTTTTGGGAAGCTGACGACTCTTGGTATATGGCGCCTCTCTTTGTCTATGGTAAGCACTCAGGTACCATCAGTGGCTCATAACCTACATTTCCAGCTCTTGTTATTCTGGAAGCTTGAACGATTTGAGGATCTATTAGAATTGTTCATTCTCAAGTAGAAACTGTTGCCAAATCGTTGTCTAGGTGCGTCTTCAGTAATACCCTCAGTATAGCGGCCGAATGGTTCCCTAGTCAAGATATGCAGAGTGCTCTAGGCTATGCGATGCCACATTTTTCATCATTCCAAGACTATTTCTTCAAGGAAAATGTTGTGATTCACGTGATGCAAGCCACCAACCATTGTTAAACTCGATACAAAAGCAACAAACAAACAGGAAAATATTTTCTCTTCCTTTTTCACTCATTTCTCAAGATGACTACGTAAGGGCAATATTCAACACTCTTTCCCGGATTTTATGGCAGCTTTAAGACGTGGACTACAGGATAACACACAGAGTTGAACGCCGGCTCTAGTGTTCAGTCTTGTTCTCAAGGTCATGACGATGTGGCATGTAGAAGGGATGGGTTTAATGACATTGACATGTGATTTTGAATCCCATTCAGTCATGTTTTGACCTAGATCTTATTCATGCTGCATCCACTTGGGGTGTTGAGCTTAGGGACATGCTTTGGTGCAATCCCTTTGCTTTAAATAGATTCTGTGACTCGTGTCCTCAACCCACATTGAAGGATTAGGAGATGATTCTATTGATTGACGAATGTCATCATTTGGATTACAATATTTCTTCACAATGCTGGCGCGAGCTGATATTGATGTCGTATTCCAGATCATTTTTTCCTTCACTGGAAACAAATGTATATGGGTTCGTTGTTGTGTGATGAGCACTCGAATCGAAGATCTTCGATCTCGATTTCGAATTTTGTCTGCTGGTCTTTTGTATTTCAAAATACTTTGACCCTTTGTTCGTGATATGTGGCCCAAACAATCTATCATCATGAATAGAACAGCAGCCAAAGCTCAACTCCAATTAAAACAATTCGTCGGATGTCAACTCGCTGTTCTTTCTGGCATTGTTCCATTGAGCATTACAACTGGCAAAATTGGGTTATCATAAGATGAAAGAAACGAGAAAGGCGCCTCTGGTAACCAACTGGACCAGACAATTTGTTCATTTTTATAATTTGTCTGTCTCCTTTTGTTTACATTGCGGTGGTTTTGTTTCTGCCATTATCCTTGAAACCTAATGCCGTAATAGTTGACGTTCTTTGTGAATCAGAATGAATTATGGCAGTCCGACGAGAACATTATTTTAATCCTAATGTCGCCTTCCTCTGCTTATTTTTTATTATCATAAATGCAGCACTACCCCTACTCTTGCGCAAGTTCTCGTCCCTGAGACTCTCTTGAAGAAGAGAAAGACCCAGGAAAAGGCCGCTGCTGAGAAGCGTACCGCCGATGCCGCTGCCCGCAAGGTAAATTATTTTCATAAAATGTGATATCAAAAGCAAAGAAGCAAGTATAGCATTTGGTGGCGAAAAAAATCTTCCTCTTTTCGAGACATTTAGTGATGAAAAGCTTTCACAGCTTTTGTGGCTAGCCATAGGCAATGTTGCTAACATAAATACCATCTTTCGGGACTGATACGATGTCTATACCACCATGCTTGCTTGCTTGCATGTTTGCAGTTTTTCTGAACTGAGGTATTATATTCAATTGAAAGCTGACTTTTTTCTCTTTTAAATACATTGTATGTACAGGCCCGCAAGGCTCAGCGCAAGGTTATTTTCAAGCGCGCTGATCAGTATGTCCGTGAGTACCGCGCCAAGGAGCGCGACGAGATCCGTCTTCGTCGCCAGGCCAAGGCCAGTGGCAGCTTCTACGTTCCTGCCCAGCCCAAGCTTGCCTTCGTCATCCGCATTAAGGGTATCAACCAGATTGCCCCCAAGCCCCGCAAGGTCCTCCAGTTGTTGCGTCTTCTCCAGATCAACAATGGTGTCTTTGTCCGCTTGACCAAGGCCACCACCCAGATGCTTCAGTTGGTCAACCCCTATGTTGCCTATGGTGAGCCCAACCTCAAGTCGGTTCGCGAGCTCATTTACAAGCGTGGATACGGTAAGGTCAACAAGCAGCGTATCCCCTTGACCGATAACTCGATCATCGAGAAGGAGCTCGGTAAATACGGTATTGTCTGCATGGAGGATCTTATTCACGAGATCTACACTGTTGGCCCTCACTTCAAGCAGGCCTCCAACTTCTTGTGGCCTTTCAAGCTCTCCAACGCCACTGGAGGCTTCTCTGCCAAGAAGGTCCTTCACTTCATCGAGGGTGGTGACTCTGGTGACCGTGAGACCAAGATCAACAACTTGATCCGCAAGATGAACTAAGATTGCTTTGCATCCCATTCTTGTGTAGTGTGTACCTTGTTAAAGCATTGTAATAAAAAATAAAAAAATAAAAAAAAAATACTCGCTTTTACTAGCTGTGTTGATTTACAAGCAATTGTTTCTCACGATTTGTTACATTCACTTTTGTAAGAGTGAGAAGTCTAATTCTATCCCATCCTAAAAAGGTCAAAATTCAATTACAGGATGTTGAAGCAAAACTTTTTCTTTGCGCAAACATTTTTATCTCAAGTTGAATTGCCAATTGTGAAAATGGGACTCGGTAGCAACACACAACACTCTATGAAGCTGGGCGAAGAGGTGTCCTAAGAGTTGGACCAAGAGTCATGAGGTCAGTCTTTGTGGTGGAAGAAGGCTTAAGACAATCAAATAAGGCCAGCGTCTTCCACTACAAGAAAGAATAAGATCATTCGAGGCAAGTCTTGTTTGCAAAGACAGGAAAGTATGCCGGCTTACTATATTGACGGGTTTGATACCTCACTCCATCATTTGTCCAGGTCGCTCTTGTAGTGGTGAACGCACGCTCAAGTATGATACAGATCACAAATTAAACCTCAAGGCTGACCTTCAGCGCGACAGGGGCCACAATGCTGGCCAACACACGGCCAATGCAGCATTGAACCGGCTACTTGTCAGCCTTGACATTCAGATAAGAAGCACGATGTGGGATAGGATTAATTATTTTACGTACAAAGGGCTCATTTGTGTTACAATTCAGGTCAGTTGTCAGACAGGCGATATCACAAGAGACATTGAGATTTGGATTCATGCCAGAGACAAATAAAATAAAATTCAACGCGATCAAGGGATACACAAAAAAAAGAAGTGGATTGTGTGGATCTTTTGAAAATTGACTAGGCCAGTCGTTTTTTAACAAAAACCCTTCTTCATCCCCCCTCTTGTCTTTTGAATGAATGAAACCCTTTTTCGCGCCTTTTTCTGAAGTGTCAGCAAACGATTTTATTTTTTTCTTTTCCCCATCTTCCTCATGTATTTGCGCGTTTTTGGTACTCTTTGTTAAACGACGTCGTAGAGGAGCTCGTATCACTATATCAGCAATTTTCTTGTCGAGAAGTAAGTTAGGCATGCAAGTGAGGCATTCCTTGTGTGTGCGTGTTTTTTAAATAAAAATTGTTGAGTAACAACAATCTCTGCAGACATCTTTGTCTTCTTCCAGAGCCCATCTTAATCCGCCTTAACCTTGGTCATCTTCGGACCATTTTGTTGCATGTATACAAGTGTTCATCTGTCATATTGAATAGGATTATTCGTCCCAATCCAACCATTACTTTTTTTTTTTTTTTTTTTTGCTTTGGGGAAGTGGGGGATTAATCCATTCTTGATATCTGTAGCTCTCCTCATTGTCTCCTGGAGTATATATGAATATATCAGGATAGTTTCGCAAAATTACGCTTTAAACCCTTCTTTCCACTTATGCAATGCAGTATCTGGGCTCCGGGTCAGTCTCTTAAGCGAAGCAAAAGTACCCTTTTTTTTTGCATATATTCTTTAAACATTTGTGGTCCCAGACCAAAGGAAGATGGTCAATGCCCTAATGCCAAACAACTAACATTCCAGTTCAATCCTTCGTTCTTTTTTTCTACCTCTTGATCTCTTTACTTTTGTATTCTTACCCATCTATTCGTTCGGCTTGTTGCTTACTCCTTCTTTCACATTCTTGTCCTCCTTCCTGTCCCTGCTCTCCATCTTCCACATCTCGTCCCAATTGCTAGACTCCTAATGGTGCTGGTGGTCGTGATGATAGCTTGGAGATAATTCCCTCGTGTCATTTTGATCACCAAAAGTTGCAATTATTCCCATGAGGCATTGTTTTGAGCTCTGCCGTTTGATGCTGTTAGAGTTGCTTTTTGCTCGCACGAATTCTTTCCCCCTCTCTCCTGAACAACATCCATTCCAACGGAGAAAGCAGGGAGTCATATTAAGATTAATGCAAAAATTGTCCTCAATCATGCAAACGCTCTAAATCCTGATCTGGATTCTAGTTTTCATATTCCTCGTCTCACGCAATACTGTGATTTATCCTATATACTCTTTGACTTTACTACTTTTTTCAGTTACTGGTATTTGTCCATCCATTCTGTTGTTCATCTTCCCCTGCTTTACTTATTTGTACTCCGTTGCTCTGCTTGCATGGATTGTAATGCACGATATGCAATGAATAACTGGACAAGCAACTCACTTACATTACATTGATTTTATCGTACTGACATTGCTGACAATTGTTTTCTTTTTTCTCCTTTTCTCCTTTTCATCAATTGTGTAACCAAATGGTTGTTTCCTGTCAAACTTAAGCCTCAATACTTAATCTTCACCTTCTCTTGCATCTACTCTTCCGTTTGTCCTTATTCTCTATTCTATTGCTTTTCTTCTAGCTTTTACACGGGTAGTATATCCTGGTGCTCCTCGCTCATAGCTCTGTTTACCACTTCATTGTCCCTATTCATCTTCAAGCATTGCAACAACCCTGTCTTTTTAAGAGTTGGTCTTATTTATTGACTTCTTGTAGCATACGTAGCGTGCTCAAGGAAATCAAGCCTGGAAGTCCGTCGAATACAACAAAGTCGCTTATCTGTCCATCTCACTTAAAAAAAAAAAAAAAAATGTCCAGAAACCCATACTTTGCACATCTGCCGACGTGGCGTAATCGACAGGACCTAGCCTACGCGCTCGACAATCTCCCTCGAATACTGGAAACTATGACAGCATCTTCACCGCTTTTGGCAACATATTGTTGCCCGTCCATACCTTCAACCCAAATATCCTCGGGATCTTCATCATCGACTTCGTCTTCATTGTCACCGTCCTCAGCAACAGCATCTACACCATCCCCTTCGTCTCCTTCGCCGTATGGTTTTCTTCTGAACTCCACAGTGTTGCCGTCCGCGGGGCGAGCTAGCCCTTCTACGTTTAGAGAACGATTCATGTTGGATGTCGCCAAAGAGTGTTCACGATCGGATCAAAAATTTTCTGCATGTCCATCTCCAAGCGCAAAATGTGATTCTCGCCGTATCAGTGATAATGTATCCCAATCTCAACGACAGAAGCACCCATATCCCCAAAACAACCAATGTAGCAACAACAGCAGCAATACTATCTACCAGCAACAACACTGCGCTGCTGACTGTTCGCATGATCAATCATCATCCTCTTACTACCCATTGCAGTTTTCGACGCGTGCCAAAGCGATGGCCTTTTTGATCGAGATCTTGCAATCGCTGCAGAAGGAGCCCTGTGGCTGTGATCTGACTAAAGGATGTTATTGCGGGGTGGATGGGGTTGAGGACCATGAGGGCAAATCACCCTGCTATGTCTGTGGTGAATGGTTTCCTGATCGACCAGAAAGTTTACATGGCGATATTACAGCGAACCAGCATGGAAAAGGGCAGCAGAACACAGGTCTATCATCGAGACAGGGACGATCATGGCATGAACAGGGATCATTAAGACATCATGTTGCAGAGTCTAGGGTCAAGAAGTGGCTAGATTCTGTATGGAAGCCACCACTCACGCCAGCAACTACACCTGAACAGGGGAATGTGAAGCAGTTTGGATCCAGGCTTAAATCCCAGGATCAAAATCAGGATAAGGAGAATTGTATTCATCAAGGGCAGCAGTGGCAGCTAGACTATCAACAGGCTGCTCCATTTCAGTTAGCGCCGAGTCATCGTTCTGTAGAAGAACAACAGCAGCATCAGCAGCATATGGACTCTGCTCGACCGTGGAGTTTCCACGATATTGAATATGAGGCACGTTGTAAGAGTCGTAGTCGGCAGAACTCCTTTTCATCTACATCTACGTCATATCATTACGGCAATCCTTCGATGCACCAACAAAAACCGTTATTAGCGCAAGACATTCCTGGATTGGGATACAATCATGAACAATTTGGTTCAGGCTCTAGTACCTGGCGCTTTGTCCCCTCGCCAAAACCCACACGCGTAAATGCTGCAGCCTCACTCCCACTGCACTACCACCACCACCACCACCACCACCACCAATCCTATATAATGCAGCAATCGCTCTACTGTAGCTCCCCTAATTCGGATGATCCGCTTCCATCTACTCCTTCGGCCCTCGCCCGCACACTTACGTCTCGGGTTGAAGTAATTTACCAACCCAGAACTCGAACCCAGAGTTGTTCAGATTCTCAGCAAGGTAATATTCCGTCTGCTTACGTTGCTTTGACTCCACCAGTAGCACGTCCAAATAGTTGCAACAGCAGTCGGAAACCCCGCACTTCAGCGATTGCGACAACACTCCATAATGGCAGTACCACATTTGCTATTCCCCAAGAGATTCTGGACCCTAATTACAAGTCGCCCACATTCAGAATCAAGAGCTGGAATCCACCAGTGCTTTCATCGCCAATAAATGTAGCATCAATGGCCTCACCAACCTCAACTACCTTAAAGGACAGCGCTTGTGAGACCCCAACATTACTTTCATCAGTTAATGATCAGATATTGAAGTCTGCTTCATCGACTGCATCGTCTGATCTGAAATGGTTCTCTTCTGCAAGCGTTGAGAAGCAACAGCAACGGCAACCAAAGCAGACACTTGATGAATGGGTAGCATCTAAAGCGTGTGAGACAGTAACGAAAACCTCACTACTCTGCGCAGATGATAATGAGGACAGTGGCGGTCTAGAAAATTGTCGTCGTCGCAGTCCTTTGGGCGATAATAATGACAATGATGCTCTTGATGATAGGAGCATGATGATGATGATGTCAGCTCCAAAAGGAACCCAACAGGCCAACACACGAGAGCAGATGTCCTTAAGAGATGCAGGACAAAGAGGAAGGGAAGAAGGGGAAAGAGATGAAAAAGAAGTCTGTCAATCAACCAAGAAGACATCAATGCAGTTTAGTTTTACGTCACAGAGATTCAGAGCCGCTGTGCAGGCATCACTCGAAAAGGATGCAGCGGAATCTAAGCGGTCTAAAGCATCAGCATCTTCACACTTTTGCGAGGAAGACCTTGATCATCGCTACATTAGTAAAATCATCGTTTCTTCTCCCGTAAGCAAGGCCAAGAACAAGGAACCCACGACCACGGCAATAACAGCGGCAGTCGGCTCGCATTCCTTTGGAATAGGAGCAACGGTGACTCCTTCAACTTGTGAATTATCGGCATCATCTATGGACAAACTTAAACCGACATCACTACAGCAGCAACAACAGCAGCAACCATTCATGAATGAACTAAATGTGGTTATGATGCAAAAGGAGTATAAGTGCTCTCTTCAGGATGGCAGTGATAGTATAGCCATGCCCGCCATTGAGCCCGTAGCAGCACTGGCGTCCAAGCTTTCAAACATGGATACGAGCCCTCTAGGTCATTATGATCAGTATGATGAAGAAATCCAGAAATCGGAGCTAATTTCGACACCTACACTCCAACCCTCACAGGTACCGACGATAGCAGCAGCCACAAACAATAAGCGACAGCATAATATTAGAACTAAATGGTCCTTATCAGACTCTCTATTGGTCAGTAGTAAGTCTTCCAACCCTGGTAGCACTATGAAAAATACCTCTAGCAACTTCAGATATACAGCAGCGGACAAAGGAATAGATAATACATTTGACTGTGAGCGCCGGACAGCCTTTGAAGGTCTTTCAGGGAATGGAGTAGGAGTAGGCGAAGAAAGTAATAGTATGAGTAAGGTAGCGAGTTGGATATCGTTACAACGATTGATGCGCAAGATATCAAAAACTAATGAAACGATGGTATCTCGCAGTGGAATAATGCACATAGAAAGCTCCTGATACAGAATAGAAAATTACTCTTCCCATCACGTAATACAACATAAACATAATCTTTGAGACCGTTGGCAAAAAAATGGTGACTTTATTTTCCTTGTGGTTGTAACATTCACTGCAGCAAAAGATCTTGAATTCCCTGAGCAATGCTGTCACGCGCCTTTTCGCTAATAGGACTGTCGCTCCGGAGATAACCAAGGAAGAAATTTTCAATGACCCAGCGATTGCGTGTAGTTCCCAAGACCTCATCCTAGAGCATTAGCGAATTACCATGATAGGTTAGCAATTCTAAATAAAATAGAATGATCCGTCCCATAGATATCTTTTAATATATTACTGTAATGTATTTAAAAAAAGAAACATACATCAAGTTGAATTGTCATCGAACCATCAGGAGACTTGCGGAAAATAAGAGCCTGGTTGGTGCTGATCTTGCCTTTGGGGAATAAGTTCTTAAACTGCATAATGCCTTCCATGGCCTCCTGCAATGTTATTATACATCATCATTGATTATGATCAAATCGCATTGGTAAGTAAGAGATAAATGTTGTTTGCATTGTACCACGAAACGCATTCATTTTCTATACCTCATTATCGGGCTCGCTCAATTTTTGGGTTTTAGCAGCCTGAGTCAAGTTTCGAGTGAAGCCGTCTCGAAGATGAGGGCCATTAGTTTCTTTGACGGGAGCGATCCTTAAGATCAGCTCTATAGGTGTTTGGACGATGGCTTTGAAAGCAGTGTCAGCACTCATCTGATCTGTCCGCTGGAATTTTTGGACCTCGGGCATAGCACGGAAGCGACTGTTGTGGTCATCCAGATCTGACTCTTTCATATAGAGTCCCACGACATAGACTTGAACTCTGAGAAACGTGATCTTGCGAACTCCAAGGCCAAGAAGACGTGCAGGAGAGCCATCTTCGGAACGAATGTGCCGAGGGAATGCAGCCTTCGAGTCCGGGTCTTGGAAGATTAAGAGGGAAAAGTTTTAGTAAAATATGATCAGGGAATGAAGTCATCAGGTAACCAGCGAGAAGTGAGAGCTATGGGAACACAACACATATGGAAATGCTCGGGATATGAATGCTGCGCTAAAATCGGTCGCATTTCGGAACGATGACATTTGATTTTGATTTTCTATTTTTTGTTTGTTTCGGCTCTTACCGATAACTGTTTTACTTGTTGTAGGGCTTTCAGCTTCCACAAAGGAATGCCCTAATTGCCAGGAAAGAACTCCCACAGTCGCAGCTGTGGCCATCATCCATGGCTTCCATGCTTCCTGTCAACAAACAACGTGGTGAAAAAATGAAAAAATGAATTAATCAGTGAATCTTGTCAAATTGCGATATGAATGTCAAGGCTGTAATGTTGCTGGAGGGTCGATCTCCACGAAGATCGATCACCTATGGAAGGGAGTCAACCAAGGGCGATTGAAAAGAAGCAATGTAGTTGAGCCTTAGCTCATATTACCTACCCTTGTCTGAATCGTAGTGACGGCTGCTACGCGGCCAAGGTGGCGATGAATAGGAGCACGCATAGAAATTCTAGCCAAAGCAACATTGCATGTAGGTTGCATGGCAAGGAGTGCACGCATACGCGATATTCTTGTAGCTGCAGTCATAATCGAATGTATATTCGTGTTGTTTACAAATGAGAAATGTGAGAAATAAGGGTAATGAGAATTGCAATGGACTTTTTTTTTATCATTTGTTATTACATTAATGGACTTGCCTTTCCATTTTCGATTTTCAATAATTTGTTAGTGCATTATGAATATGACCAAAAAACTGTTTTTAGCCAATACGAACGCGTCATCCCACTCAACCCAATTGATAGGTAGACAGCACAAAATGTTGGCGCTGAAGAGTATGATGTGAGGAAGGTGGCCTATGAAGTTGTGTGGTAAATATATCGCGTGGCATGTTTACACGCTTTTTCCCTTTTTTTTTTTATTGACATTAAAGATCCTAGGCCCCGTCGGATAGAAATAACGTCAATAGACAATGGATCCGTTATCTGCAGCAAGATTCGTACAATCCTGATCCTGCTTAAACCACATCTCATATCTCCATCTATCGGAACGATAAGACGACTCACTTCATATTGATTGCCTGCCTCCTTTCCCATTCCCGGATATGCTTAAAAGCATGCGTTGTGTGCAGGTTGGATGATGACCTTGCGAATGCACTATTTTTGATCAGACGTTGTGCTTTGCGCACTGAAATGTTCTCGTCTATTTCTTGATCCTGCCCATGCCCATACACATCCTCATGTCTTTATCCACACCTCGCTAGACTAAGCTTGCTTACAGTTAAAATAATAACATTAGGCACCTCAAGTGTATCTACGCCTTTTGAGTGTTGCTTCCGAATGCACAAATAAAAAAATAAAAAAAATACGACAAAAGATCAAAATTCTGATCAAAAGGCAAGATCAAAATGAAAACAAGCAAACAAAGCTTTTCTTTCTTTGCCGTCCTCCCTCCCCTTTTTGTTATCCCGTCCCTAAGCATTGCTGTTCTATTGTTCTTACTTGATCAGCCCTGAGTAACTGATTATCTAGCTAGGGTACCTTTTTTTTTTTTTTTTTTTTTTTTTTTTGCACGGTGCGTGGGAGCGTATGCATGGCATCATCACTTCTTCCCTCTTGCTTCGCCTGCTGCTCACTGCCACTCTCCAAGTGAATCTTATTCACTGCCAAATTCATTCTTCTCATTCAAACTCTCATTCTTTTCTTTTCATTCCATTCCTTCATTATACCCTGAAACAGTTATTTTTCCACCTCCATTCTAATTATGAACCCGCTCGACTCTTTAGATATGGCTTCGCCCATCCCCCACATGCACAAAAGGCTCTCATACTTATCCATGTCTTCAATGGATGATGACGCTGTATCAGACACGCACCGACGAACCCATTCTGGGCTTGACTCTCCCCTTTCAGACATCAATGAATGCGAGCCCTCTGGAAACAGCGATCTCTGCCAGGAACACAACCTTTTTAACCCTAGATCACGCCTCAATCAAAGCCTAAAAGTTAATCAGGACTACTACAGTCACCAAGAAGGTGAAGGTGATTTTCTTACTAGCATAAATGGACCTATGAACGCACGGTCTCCCAGGACACTTCCATTGTCGCTCTCAGATAATACAATGAATGGACCTTTCCAGGACGTCGAACGGTTAGTAGTAAAACAAAGTCAGGAAGCTACGGATCCCATTCCTGATCCATCGCCCTCCCATCAGTCCTCCACCTTTGATCTTGAGCAATTGGATGATCCACAAGCGATCATGGCTTGGAATACCACTGATGAGGAAAAAAGGGCTAGGATGTCAGCACTCTTTGCTAGAGCAGCTTCCAATGGAGATTTGGGTAGACTCACTGATATTCTCGACAACTTTCGTGATTGGGTAGATATCAACACCCATGAGGAAGATGGATCGACGCCTCTGATTTATGCATCGTGCTTTGGGCAGACTGCTGCTGTCTCTATGCTCCTCAATGCAGGTACCCAAGTGGATGCATGTGATAAATTCGGCTGGACAGCCCTCGTTTGGGCTACCAACAATAAGCACGAAGGTATTGTTCGACTGCTTCTGGAGCATGGCGCTTCTCCATCAGCTCAAACGGCCAAAGGACGCACTGTTGCTGACTTCTTGAAACACGACCCAAATGATACCACAAAGATTGCTCAGATCTTTCAAGAGCCAGTGTCTCGGACGTCCTTTGCAAGTGACTGCACGTTTATGCGAGCCAATGCGACGCTTCTTGATTATGAACAGTTTTATAACGAGATCAGTGTTCAGAACAGTCGACTATACCCAGATAGATTGGAGAATAACGAAATCCTGTCTGATATCATGATGGGAGGCGACAGAATCTTGTCCGATCAGGTGAGTTTTTTTTAGTGCCTTTGTCAGAAAAACATGTCTGTAGATGTTAGGACGAATTGTCGACAAATTATGCTGCAAGGGGCAACATTTGTGGTTGCATTATGTGTGGTCTGAGGATTTCAAAAGAAAGGGCGACCAAATGAGAGTGTCCCTGCTAGCAACAAAAAAAGGAAGAAGGAAAGAAAAGAAGGAAAGAAAAAAAGAAAAGAAAAAAGAGAAATACGTCCACATATACATAATACTATTTTTTTTTTTTTTTTAGAAAACTAACAATTACTCCTTTTTCTCTAATGACTGCCATAACCACGCGTTGTGTGTCCCAATCTATATTGAATCTTCGGGATCACGGATTGATCAATCTAGGCTGAAGAGGAAGGCGAGTTTGACTGGGAAAATTGTCTACCAGATCAAATGTTTGTGTTTTCGAGCAGCGACATTCCACATATTATTGAGACCATCATCGTTAAGATGGAGCCAGGGCGGTCGAGGTCTTATAAACCTATACCTGCATACGTGATCTTCCTTGCCGCACGGTTTGCACATAATTTTAGTACACCGGAACTATTGGATGAGCTCCTAGATGCTACAGTGACAGCAATTCAATCGACCACGAAGGTACACATGTAGCCACCTATGAGTTTGGTAACTATATGCTCAGTAATTGCAGCTGTAACGTTCCTAACTTTGGTATATCCGTGCATTCAAACGTTACTATTTAGACTGATATGACATTGAATGCATTTTGGATATCCAATACAAGCTCCCTTCTCCACTTCCTTCGTAAGGATTCAAGTCTACGTGTCGCTTCAGGGATATATCAGGCTCAATTAGAAACAGTTTTACAAGACATGGTCCGGATGATCATTTTAGATGCAGAAAAGAGGATTGAGCCGGTCCTAAAGCCAGCGATTTTAGAACACGATACAATTGTGGGTATGAATGAGATTCAGTTTCAGTCAGATTGGGCTTTTAGTTTTTGGCGAGGCATTGCAAGTGGGAATAGGATGAGCAGGGCCAACAAACGTGCAAGTGCACCAGTAGCGGTTTTCAACCAGGACCTAGTTCAAGAACCTATTGGAAGGATGTCTTTACAGATGCAAAGATCGCCTTCACCGGAGCAGAGAGGCATTTCGCCAAAAACAGTGACCACAATGCTGTCTTCACTTTTGTTTGTGATGCAGATCTACGACATCCATCCACAGATCATACAATATGTCGTTGCGCAACTCCTGCATTATATTTCTTGTGAGATCTTCAACTCCATGATCCAAAACCGAAAGTACCTGTCACGAAGCAAAGCTCTCCAGGCTCGACTAAATCTTTCGATTCTTGAGGATTGGCTCTGCAACAATCGACTGCCTTCATTATTGGCATCTCATCTAGCACATGTGGTTCAGCTCTTACAGCTATTGCAGGTCCTATCACAACAGAAGGACTTGGCAATGTGGATTGAAACACGCAGGAAGCTCGATCTATTAAACCCAACGCAGATCAAGCATGTGGTCAGTTCTTACCGTTACGAAGTGGATGAAATACAATTGCCAGCTGAGGTAACCAAGTACGTGCTACAGGTTGTTGCCGATACCGAGAAGGTCAGGCGTCAGAGTATGAGCTCTACGTCTGGATTGAAAGTACCCTTATCCAGGAGAAATAGTATTATACAATGGGTTAGCTCAAGTGCTTCTGATTCGAGTCCAAGTTCGAGTTCGAGTCCTTACACTGATGAAGTGAAAGATGCTGGTGCTGTCCGGCGCAGGTCACGCTCTAGTGCCTCCATTAATGAACCAATTGATAAATACGACGATGAATCTGCCAAGGTCAAGAGCAGCCGGCATTGGTTATACTTTGATGTGCCAGAGAATTTAGGTACCCGCGACGAAAACACAGAAAGGGTGTTTGTGCCTCATATCCCTCAGGAAATCATGTCTCTCCTTGATAAGGACGCGTATTTCTGAAATCTAATTCACGTGAGTTGTCTCAAACAATATTAAAGATTGGCCAATAAAATCCCTAGAAAGACGCGATGGCGCAATCGGTCTATAGATGGCACCATCGGGCTCAGTAAAAATACGTTCTATCAAAATACTCAATATACTTACTATTACTGACTACCAACCTTTCTTCTCTTACCTTTTTCTTAACCCAAGCATCACACAATGCTGCATTCTACATTCATGTCTTCCAACGTCCACTTTTCCTTTCAATTCATCCTCTCATTTGCATACTGCTTGCTCTTCAAAATATTACATAAAAACTCCTAACAACTTACACACGATACACAGACCCAGTGTCCCTTTCCTTATACCTTTGTTCTTGGAGAGTAGACTACTGGAGTTCATTGTCCTCACGTTCTTGCTCTCAATCGCCACTTACACTTTCGCTTGCATTCACACCACCTGCACTCACACTCGCACTCGCAACTCACACTTTAGACAGCAAAACTTTTTTCAGCTGACATTGCATTGCCTATCTGTTAACAGCACAATCTTTGTCGGGATCTAAAGCAAAGTAACGTCACCTTATTTCCAGTAATATCACGTGTGTCTTTTCGGTACTCATCACGTATTTAAATCACTTTGTTTTGTTTTATTTGTACGTGGAAACGTGGAATTTGATGAAAATAGGGGATTGATTAAGGCGTGAGAATAGGCAAAGACGATGTTTATTCTGGGTAGCACAATATTATTCTTTATTGGATATATTGACAGGGCGAATGAAGAAAGGATTTACACTCAGCTTAGTATCTATGACAATAGAAAAATGAAGAGGTTGGGCGCGGAGAAAGCGGGGCCATCGAATATTTTGGAAACAAAGGAAGTTCAGGCGCAGACGAGGAAAAAAAAAAAAGCAGAGTATCAATCTTGAAGGCTCAACGCGGAGAAACTAGTCGACTTCTTTTTACGCCATTTTGCTGTCATCGATCCCTTTCTACTAAACACATGCACAATATCACAGTTCCCACATTCAAATTCACCCACGTACAAACAAACAAACAAACAAAGAGTCTGGAACTTGCAAAACCGACTTTAAGCAATTCCTAAATAGCTCCTTATTTGGTATTTGTCAGGGAGCACTTTAAGTACTCTACAGAAGGACAGGATTCAATCTTTTGACCCCGGGAAGAGTAGAACACACATTTGCCGGATGAGCGGGCCTTGGACGAGCGTTCATTGAACGTCTTGCAAGTCTCGTAAGGTGGAGTGTAAAGGTGGAGGGAGATTGAGCCCTGTGTTTTAAGTGGGTTGGCAACAGCATGTAAGCCCAGCTTGTCGTGCATATATGCGACGGTATCTCTTTGCAGGAATGTCTCTTTCTTGACTTTCATCGCTGTGGTGGCGGATTTCTTATCTTCATCATCACTGTTATCACTACCAACACCAGAGTCTGTGTTGTCTGACTCTTGAATGAGCTTTTCTGGCCAGTGGTAAAGGGTCTCTTTGAGTTCCCCATCAAGGATCTTCATGAGACAGTGGGAGCCAGAGTGATCATGGATGGCACTAGGATACGTAAGGCCATTGCATTTGGTTTTATTTTTTATTTATTTAAATTTTCGGAGAGAGAGGAAATGATAGAAAATACTCAGAAATGTTAGTTCAGAAAGGAACACAGAGAGCATGAAGCGAACACATGGTCTGGCAGAAGGAATGCTTCTTTTTACCTTCCAATAGTCTCTGGCCAGGCAAGGATCATAAGATTAAATTTGCCATTCCCATCATCAACAAGGTTACGTGTGTAGCGACCCTTATCAAAGAGAGCGTACTTGGACCAGTCCTGTTCATTAGACTTGTAGTTGGCCATTAGCTTCTGGATTCTTTCGACATCAACACCATCGCTGTCTAGACCATTATCACCTAACTCGAGGTGCAAAAGGCGAACAAGGTCGTCAAGGTCTTTTGGAACGGGGACATTGGCATCATTTTTAGGATATGGAGTGGCATTTACACCATCTTGTTCGGAGTTGATGGGCATATGATCACTTTCGGGCAGCACGGGAGTAGTAGAAGTACACAATGTACTTGGGGTGAATGAGGAAATTTGAATGGAGTTCATTTTGTAATCAAAGGAGGCAAAGGATGAATGAAGGTGATGGAAGTATGAATGAAAGAGATGAGTCGAAGAGAGAAGTAGAGTTGGTTTTCTGTTTATTCTGTCTCTTTTCTTTTTTTTTTTTTTTTTTTTTTTTTTTTGTTGGGGTAGACGAGGCTTGAAGAGTCAAGGAAAGGACAAGTCTTGTTGTGAACAGGTGAACCTTTATAGAGGTGGCAAGAGAATATGCCACCAGTGCGCTTTCAAGGCTTTGTCTTTTTTCAACCATGAAAGGAAATGAGGTGCATAGTTGTCCCGTGGCACTCTTTGATTTTTGGAGAGCATAAGATGGGGCAGAATGCAGGTATCCAATCGGTACTGGGCAATTTTTTTTTATATTTTTCTTCTATTCATTGCTAGAATAGCATTAAATGACATGACATGATCATAACAACGATTCTAGCTCTCGTTAAGGTTTGAATATTTTTGGTAGTGCATGATATATTCGAGAAGAAAGATCGAAGGAGCGCCCAGATGACTTGGCTTTTTTCCCCCATACCATGTTTTTATTACTATTATTATTATTATTATTATTATTATTATTATTATTATTATTATTATTATTATTATTATATATTAGCTCAATGCGGAGTCGTATATTGGATGATGTAAAGACGCTCTGGAGCTTACTCGTACGCTAGCATCAAAAAATAATATGCATCTGTGTGTTTGTCTGCAGGGAGACCAGGCGGCCAGTAAACATTTAGTGACCAAGCAATTGTAATCAATCGTTTTTTCCCACATCATCTCCTGTTGTTGGGCGAGTGTGTCACTTGTTTCTGAGGATTTAATAGGATTAATAGGGTTTGCTGTAATGTGAATGAAATAAAAGTCTAATCCCCAATGCTTATTGGATGTCGCTAGAAGTAGTGTAGCAGCGCATTGACGCCTGCTATAGCAATGGCAGTAATGGCATAAATGAGGATTTCTAGACCCGTCAGTAAACTATAATTTAGTATTGAGCACTGGAGGCTGGACGCTTTGAACATGGACCCTTCTATTAGTCCCAACAACTGTGTTAACATGGTAAAACTCACTACCTCTATGATATGCCAGTAAAGATTCATCTTCAATCACCTTAAAACTTTATTTTAACTCTACCGCTGAGAAGTTTCTAGTAAAGTAGCAACGATTTGATTTTATTACGCGTCGGGGCGGCGGTCTCACCCATAATGTGCATAGTGTGCAGTGTGTCTTTGCCGAGGCTGCTAACCCCAGATGGTATACTTCTCTTTACTGCTTATTCTGCAGCTTTCGTCAACAGTTACACTCTTGCACTCTTGAAGATCGCCATGCGGGGCCAGATCCTTGAGTTAAACGTGTTGTTTTTTTCCGGATAGAGTGGGTTATTGTAAGAGGCATCAGTCATATGAACCTGTGAGACCCCATTTGGCCTGATCATTTGTCAGCACTGGAAATCTTTCGTAGTTCTCTGATCCTGATCTTTCTTCTCCACAGCCTCTGAAGTCTCTTTGTTTATTTGGTCCTTGGCCGCTCCTGAACATGGCCAAGTTGACCATTTTTATTGTGTTTTCAAACAGCGGCATAATGTTAGAGAAGAACCACTTTGCCTGTCATTGTTTGGATATTATATTGATAAATATTATCTATCCTATTAAATTGTGAAATATCTTAACTTGGCCAAGTAATGGTTTTAGACATCAACACTGTGAGGCAATCTTTTCGACCTTGACAATGTCAAGGAAAGTTTTAAAATTTATGCACATGTGACCGTGAGTTTCAAATTTAGAAACTTTGGCCCCTTGGCATGAAAAAATGCAAAGGATTCTCAGGATCGGCTTTGTAATTGGGAGGCTTCTACAGCAAGTCAGGCAACCGACTACAACCTCTTTTCATTTCCTTTTATCACAATCTCAATCTAGTCATCAATTCAACTTACACAATCAATATCACGTTATCATGTCGAAAAGCAGATTACTTCCGAAGAAAAACTATGGAGGCGAAAAGTGGATATTAAAGGAAGAAGAGGCCCGAATTGGACTCCTGAGGAAGATCAAGTGATCTGCAAAGCTATTCAAGATGGCAAATCCTGTTTTGAGATCATTGATCATTTCCCAGGACGCACCACAGATTCTGTCAACCATCGCCTATGCTCAATTCGAAACGAACAACTCCGTTCATTAGCATTTAATGTACCTGCTAGACCTACTGGAATTCTGACTAAATATGCAAGACGGTGGGATCTAGAAAGCCTAAAGGATATTGCTACCTCGCTGAAAGAGAGTGACGAGGCGAGCAATATCCCTGAAGACTTGATGACGCTGAAGTTACAAGTTAAAGAAAAAATCGGTCCTATTCGAAAACCTCATCTCCAGGTCATAAACGCTAAGCAACCCTGGACGGAGGAGAATGACCAACTGTTAGAATGTCTGGTTAAGAAGTGTCAAAACGAACCATATCTCTGGTGTAGGGTTTCGGGCGGGGTAATCACAGACGAGGATGGCAACGTCTCTGTACTTAACAGAGCTTCGACCTCATGTTGTCGTCGCTGGGCACAACTGAACCGACCAATCTCATGGAGCCCAGGTGCGTGGCATGGAGATGAAGATCGGCGACTGATACAAGCTTTGAAACAACAAATCGGAAACAATTTTCAAATGATCGTGAATGTTCGTGGAACTGATGCCCCTTCTAGGTCAAAAGATGGAAAGTACCCCCCAGCTGCTGCAGCTTCGAGCGAGGATAAAGACAAGCCGTTACTACAGCCAGAATCCAAAGAGCTCAAGTCAGTGGATTGGATTGAGCTAGCCGAGTACGTTGGTGCAAGGGACGAAATCCAGTGTCGGGCTCATTTTCACTCAATTTATCATAATGGAAACTATGGGTGCTTTTCCCAGGATGAGATGAAACGGGCATTAGAGGCATATGAGCAATTTGGACCTCAATGGCTCACCATTGCGGCCCGCGTTGGCACACGAGCGCCCGCACAGGTACTTCGGACTGTTAGATATATTTTACGCAAGAAGAAATCGAGTTCTTCTGTTTGAAACCTCTGCTGAAAAAGACCGAAAATAGCAAGACTATTGTATAAGGCGACAGAAACTTTGTTTTTTCCCTTCTAATATGATGTTCTGATCATTTACCGTGAGATGGGATTGATGTGGCGATTTACTCTTTGATAGACGCGAATTTGTTTAAGTGGGATCCACCATCATTACGGTTCATAAAGAAGGGTATGAAAAGCTGACAGCACGAGAGCACTCCATACGTAAATAATAATAATAATCATAATAAAAGTTGCCCGCAAATCTAACGCTTTTACAATTTAACGTCTTGCTTTTCCCGGATTTTTGGGTATTCAAGAAAGAGCCATTGAAAACTTTATGCCATGGGCAAATAAAACAATACAAATCCCCAACGCCTAATCCTGGTCTCTGTTTTTTTTTATCAAAAAGCACAGGCTAGTTTTTAACATGACAAAGTCAATGCTTCATCATACAATCCGATATGAATGGTTGGTTACAAGTTCTGCGATCTAATGAGTTCAGCTCTGTGGGCTACCCTTATCCACATCTTCTCTTCTCTCTTCTTTCTCACTCTATCTCCTTTGCTTATTCAGTCCCTACTATTTTGTCCCATTCATCCAGCGTGAAGTCATTCTCCTTTACTTTCTTTCTTTTCTTGTCTTTTACTCCCCAGTACGTTCAACGGCTTCCTTACCCTAACAATTGTGGAATAGAATTATTGAGGTCCGCGTACAACTTGGGTGCTTGGAATATAATATAGTAAACTACGGACAAGGACGCTCAGTAACCATGCCAGCTTCTTTAACGCAAGAGTCTTGTTATAGTTGCTCTACCATCTCGTCGAAATTATCATCGCTCTCCATTGCGAATTCTAGCGCTGTCTCCATAAAACCTCAACAGAGCAGTTATAAACTTTCTTGTCATCCACAATCTCTCGTCAATCGATGCCAAATAGTGGAGCATAGCGTTTCTGACTCTGGCTTCAGTAACACTATGGGCACTTGCGTTACTTCTTCTATGCCCGCCACCTCCACGATAAAGACGCGCTTCAAGGGTGTTCTTTTTCGCTTACTGTCTCGAAAGCAAGGTCGAAGAACTCATCGTAGCACAAATGCAGCTACAACTTTAACAACAATAGTATCAGCGACAACTGAACCCGCCTCTAACAGCCGTAGTAGTAGCAGTAACCACAATAGTATACTGTCTCAAAAGCAACAACAACAGCAGCAGCAGCAGCAGCAACAACAACAACGATCACCGAATGCAGATGCCACATTTTTACTTTCTCCGTCAAGCACTTCTACTCAACCGGCTTCTTTCTCTAAATCTGTGCGTTCAGTTTGTTGCCTTTCAGCGCAACAGAAGCAACATCGTCGCTTCCCTCGTATCAGAAGCAGCAATGTAAATACTCATATTAACTCTATTAACACTACATTTGCAGCTGCAGCTGCAGCTAAAGCTACGTCTGTTGCTGTGGTCAAAGAAGTAGACTTGGAAATACCTCTTACGGATGTTACTGCACCGGCTTGTTTCCCCGGAAAGGGACCGAATGACCTAGCTATGAAGCAGAGACAACTGCATCAGTTGCAGCAAAGCTCGAAACGACCCTGCGCGGATTCAACACGACCGAGCATCATCCTCACAGCTGAGAGAAGCATGATCGTGTTATCACAATATCAAAGACCTTTGTCTCAAATGTCGCCAGTAACATCAGCAATATCAAGTACACCAACTCTGCCTCGTTCAACATCAAGCAAAAAGTGCCGGTATTTAATTCCCCATCATCACCATCATGCTAAAGGCTCGGTTTCATCACAGGAAACAAATTGTGGAGGTTTCACGTCTGTGGTGGAAAGTAGTTCCACAAGTCCTACGAGTCCAACCTTGTCCTTTTTCTCCCTTCGGTATTCATCCGGCTCATTCTCTTAATCTCAGCATAAAATGAATCATTCAGTTTCCTTTAAAAGAAGAGGAGCAGAAGGCTATCTTCTTTTTCTGTCTCTGTCGTCATAATTAAAGGCAAGGGAACAAGAGACAATAGTATTTGGTTAATAACACGATTCTTTGAGCACATTTTCCATCATTTGAGTTGGCAAAGTCGTATAAAAGTTAAAAGTAAAAAAAAAAAAAAAAAAAAAAAAAAGAGATCACTTTCAAAGCACTTTGTCAAGGCTACTTTTTTAGTTTTATTAAGATGAAGAAAAATGATGAAGAAAATCCCAAAGGGGGTAATGCGTTATTGAATTGATATGAAGATAATAAAGAGTGATCAGGTCTAGAGACTGGGAATCTAAGGCAACTATAATGACGGTATGAAATACTTATTGCTGCTTGCACTCGGGTGCCTTCTCGTCCTTAGCAGGGACATCATCGTCATCATCGTCATCATCCTCATCCTCATCCTCATCTTCCTCATCTTCATCGTCCTCATAGTCAAAATCGTCATCGTATTGGTCATCGCCTTGGTACTGGAGAGCCTTGCCTGTGAACCAATCAACAGCACGAGGAACCAAGTTATCCTTAAACTCTTCACCCAAACCATAATCGATCTCAAGTTTCTCATCAATATCCTCGTCTTCATCCTCAATCTCCTCCTCATCCTCAGGCGCGACTGGAGGGGTGAAGAAGGAGAAGAAGGTTTCTGCAGGAACAGTCTTCTTGACAACACGGGTCTTATTGGTTCCCTTGTGACGTTGCTTCTTGGTCTCAACGGTGATTGAGAGATCCTTGCCCTCCTTCCACTCGATCTTGGTGCCTTCAGCATGATCGTAGACAAAGTCACCACCATATCCAGGCTCCTCCTGGTAATAATAAGTCTTGCTCAAGATATTGTTGGTGAAATAGTCGTTGGGTGAGAACTCAAAATCCAAACGGAAGCCGGGCTTCTCAAAGTACGACAAACGAATATCGACCAAGTGCTTCAATGCACCCTCGTCTTTCTCTGTGATGAGTTCCGAAAATTGAGGATGCGACTTCAAGGCAGTAAGCCAGAATTCAGGAATACCTGTGGAGTAATTTGATAAAAATTAGACGTATTAATATATTAACAAAAATTAACATTACAAAAAAAAAAAAAAATGAAACATAGATCGAAATTGGAATTTAAACGATTATTAATATTAAGCCGTCTTACCCTCAACCTTCTCGGCAGCAGCCTCGTCATCATCATCGTCTTTATCCTTCTCTTCCTCGTCATCACTTGCACCTTCCTCAACCTCGGCATCAGTGGGCTCCGCCTTTCCGCTGATATACTCAGCACGCTTCTGGTAAAGAGGAGTGTACTTCTCAAGGTACTTCTTCTCCAGAGCCATGATCTCTTTCTGGAATTCAACCTCAAGAGCAGTGTGCTTACGCTGCAAAGATTTCAGGCCTTTAACGCGGCGACGGACCTCGGGGCTAAGATGGTTTGTTGAGGAGACCAATCCGCCGAGACGGCCTTGAAGTAGGGACATAAGTTGAGGGTTGTTGGCAAGAATGGCCTCGCGGGTTCCTGATGTGGACATTTCGGAAAGATATAGTAAAGATATAAGAGAGAAGAGAGAAGAGAGAACGTTAGTTATATTAGGCAAAAGAAGAAGGAGGGGAGTAAAAAGGAGAAAGAGAGAGAAATTGGAATCCAACTTAAAAAAATTTTTTTTGTTGGGGAGATATGATGGCTAAAAGAAAAAGAATCAACTGGCAACCACTTCAGGCACGTAATCTCGGTTTAAAAAGTTTTTTTACGATACCACAGCAGTAGAAGATAACAAAGATAGTGCATAGATTATTATTTGACGGTACTCCCCGTAATGACCAGAAGAGGACGTTGAAAAAATTTAAGACGCTGATTATTGACTATTGACCAAGGACTGTTTTTTTTTTTCTTTTTCTTTTTTTTTTTTACTTGCCTGGAGTCTGAATGGTCTCCATTTCTTCAGAAGAGGAGTTGATAGGAGCAGAAAAAATGGGGGTGTTCTGAGGAGTGGGGGCTTCCTGCTGCTTCTTCTTGATATCGACGTTTGCTATGGACAAGAAAAAAAAAAAAGGTTAGAATGGAGGCATGGTGTAGATTGCGTTATTTTAACCTGCGATAACGTCCTTCTGTTGCAGCTGGCCCCAATACATATTTTTTATTCCTTATTTTTTTGTTAGTAAAGATTTGTGTCATTCCAGATTGTCGAGACTCTATTCAAGATTCTGATCCGATGATAGAATGCGATGACACCGTAGATCGTGCGTCAAACAGAGAGTGCAATCCTGAATGAGCTTATAGCTGCTAGGAATTCAAAAGCGAAGACATGTCTCCTACTTTTGTCTCTTTGCCACGCGAATGCCTACAAGAATGATCGGCAGAGCATTGAGTGTTGTTTTGTTGTTTCTTTATTTACCTGAAGACTGATCCATCGTTTATGAGTAAGAAAGAGTGAGAAAGAGAGCTAAGAGTAAGACGACTGAAAAAAGGAAAAAAAAAAAAAAGTCTTTTTACAACTCAGCGTCCAACAAAAGAAAGTAAAAGGGTCGTGCTCTCGCTGTCCAACAGTGGACAATCGCATGGGCTGCAAGACTATCTAGCCCCACATTCCACACTCATTTTTTTTTTTTTTTTTTTAAATTTAATTTATTGTGGCATTGTACGTTTATAAGCTGCATAGGTTTGTGCAAGTCAATGCCTTGCACATTTTGCTCGCCTTTCTCTTTACTTCACGCTCACAAGCTTGACCTCAAAGACTAAGGTGGCATTACGAGGAATATCTGGAGGAGCACCCTGCGAGCCATATCTATTTGCCACATAAAAAAAAAAAAAAAAAAACAAAGGGTAGTGAGAGTTAATGAGTATGAGTTATTCCACGAATCCATTCTCGACGACAGGCCCAAATATGAAGAAGAAGAAGAAAAAAAAAAAAAGGATCACTTACGCTAGAGCCGGTGGAATAGTCAGACGACGTTCACCACCAAGTTGCATGCCTTGGATACCAATATCCCATCCTTTGATAACCTCGCCGCCTCCTAATTTGAATGTAAAGGGCTTTCCAGTAGTGTTCTTGTCAAAGACTTTGCCATTCGTAAGACGTCCAATATATCGCATGCCAATCTTCTTGCCTGCCTTGGCACGGGCTCCATCTCCGACCTTGACATCTTCAATAATTAGCCCGCTAGGGAGGGTCTTGATGTTGTCCTTCTTAGCCTCCTTCTTCTTGGGCTGCTCTTCCGCCTTCTTTGGTTCCTCTTTTACTTTAATAGGGGCAGCCTTATCCTCAGAAAGCTTTTGCTTCTTTGCCGCCGGTGCATTCACTGATTCCTGTTTCTTAACAACTGGGGCCTTCTCTTGCTTCTTTTCCTCCTCATCCTCCTCTTCATCCTCCTCTTCATCCTCCTCCTCCTCCTCCTCCTCATCTTCCTCGTCTCCCTCATGCTCGTCCTCATCTCCGTCTTCATTATCATTGTCCCCATCCTCATCAGAGTCCTCATCCTCATCATCTTCTGAATCTTCTCCAGTAAAGTCAGGATCGTCTTCTGAGTCCTCATCTTCATCCTCGTTAATATAGTCTGCAATCCGCTTAGTGCCTTTAGTAACGATAACATTGCCGCCGACATCATCATCTTCATCATCATCAATATCATCCATGTCGTCCTCGCTGTAGTCCATACCATCCTCAGGAAGATAATTCCCAGATAAATGAACCGCACTAAAAATTGAAATAAGCATGGCGTTTAAGTATACCCTCCATAGGTTCTTTGGGCTGCAAGCAAAGCCAAGAGTTGATAAACAAAACAAAACATCATTTTGCTTTTAATTCGCTTTGCTTACTTATCGCCGGACACAGAGAAAGTAATATCCTCGCCTTCAGTAAAAACCAAATCCAAGTTCTGCTGCTCAGTCTGGCCAGTGATCAAGGAGCAAAGGACGAATGTCTTCGTATCTACTGTAACGCGGACAGATGTACGTCCTGGCTTTGCTTCTTCATCCAGAGCAGCCTACAAGATAATCCAGCATTTTTTTTTTTTTTTTTTTTTTTTTTTTTTAGAAAAAATATTAATAGTAAATAAATAAGCTTCCAAGAAGAAAAATATAAAACAGATCAATTTATGCAAGATAGTAAAAAAAGGGATCAGACTATTATTATACCATGGACAACTTGAACGAGTCGTCAACACGTTGGGTGTAGGTCTTATTAGGAAAGACGGTCAGTCCTTGAGGTTATATTGGGGTGCAGAGAATACTTTCGTCAGTTCCAGCTTACAGAACCGATGCCAAAAAGCCACAAAGCAGTAAACTTTGGGCAGGAATAAAGTCGAATAAAATTCTTCGTTATGAACATACCCCAGAATCCTAAAATCATTCTACTTTGAAGTTTTGAATTAGAGTGAGTGGTTGAAGAGTAATGGTGCAGCATGCAAGCGAAAAAAAAAAGAAAAGAAAAGAAAAAAGAGGCGAATCAAGGGTAGTCACGAAGTTTAAGCCACAGTTTTATTATTGATCTGCTACACACACAAAGCAGCTTCAAGTTCCAGAATATTTTGTTCAGGTTACTGAAGAATTCATCCGAACTGGAGCTCGAATATGGCAGTTCCCTATTTAATTGCTGCAAAACTTAAAATGAAAATTCCAACGAATTTCGCTTGACTACTATACATAGCATTTGATTTTGCATATAAGTGAGGACGCAGCGGAACTGTGTAATCTCATACTCATATTAATCATACGCATTGTCTACTAAGCTGAGGCTTGGCTAAACAATCAATGATGTGTCAAAGAATATCATGCCAAAGGTCAAATAGATAAGTTGGGCGAAGCGGATCGTGTACCATCTGGGGGTCCCTTTCCCTCTGTGACTGCATCTTGTCAACTTTTCCCCTACGGACAAGCTCTGCAAGCCACAGTGGAAAATGCTGGAACAGCACTGGCCCACATAAAAACGGACTTCACACCCGACCTCCGTTCCTCCACAGTTTAACCCACCGTTACTCATTTTTTTACGCGCAACCACCATGGTAAGGAAGCACATCAAGATTCCTCATTAATACACATTACATTTCAGACTGATGTCTCTGTTTCAGGAGCAACAATTCATTCAGAGGACAGGAAACATCATTGGCCGCTCCATACATTTAGATTACATTGAAAGATAGAGCGAGAGATCAACATGATCGCGATCTTATACTGCTAATCTGACATAATATATATGGATATTGCCACGAGATTGTGCTGTTTCCTTTGCCAACGTCCTTCATTCTTTAGGACGTCCCGAACTACTCCGGTGTTGCACGTTGAACACCACCCTGATTTTCTTTGCTTTCAATTTCTTAATGTGCTATATACCATAGGCCTCCCGTGTCACAAAGTTCTCCAAGACGATCGTCCCTATGATGGATCGCGTCCTTGTTCAACGTATCAAGCCACAGCAGGTATGCTATGCGAAATTGTAGAGATGTATACTCTATGGTTATAGAGGATCTGTTCCTAATCAACTTCTTTTTTTTTAACATCTTGTTTATTTATGCTACAGAAAACCGCATCAGGCATCTTCATTCCCGAGAAAGCTCAGGAGGCTCTGAACGAAGGCCATGTCATTGCTGTTGGCAAGGGAGTGGTCACTCAGGTATGACTTTAATTACCCCTGCTTAAGACATGTTTATACTATGCAAAATAGGTTGCATAGAATCTTTGTTACTAACCCTCTGTCCAAAACCATCATTGGTTTTATAGGAGGGCAAGCTTATTGCTCCTGAACTCAAGGAGGGTGACAAGGTTTTGTTACCTCCCTACGGTGGCAGCGCTGTCAAGGTCGATAATGAGGAGCTCATTCTTTTCCGCGAGTCCGAAATCCTTGCTAAGATTCAATAGATCATTGAGCCCAATCATTTTATTGTTTTTATTCAATATAATCTTTTCATTTTATGCAGAGTGAGATATCCATTATATTTTGTTATTATTAATTGGTTTTTAATGAAAGTGGCACTTGCTGGCCCGCAGCAGATATAAAAATTAGGTTACACTATATTGATCGCGCTATGATCACCATAGTCCCCATGTTCCTCTCGTTCCTGTTACATCGTTCAATTGGGAGGTGATCGGTCAAAGAAATATTAAAAAATCGCTTGAGGATACATGTCAGCAGCAGGAATATAAAAGAAGCTTACCTTTTTCCTTTTCTTCTTCTTGCGATGTTCAGAATCCCCTTCGCCTTCATGATGTGTATGTTCATGGTCATGTTCATGTTTTCTCTTCTTTTTCTGAAAGTATTCAAAGTGTATCTCTCCGTAGTTAGTTGTGAATTAACATGTTTAAGCGCCTTGATGCAAAATATAAATAATCAATAACTCGCACCTTTTTCTTGTGCTTGTGTTCCCGACCTCCTTCTTCTCCACGCTCCAATCGGTCAACATGGGGCGAAGACGTTGATGATTTTGAACCATGATGTCCGTGGCTATGATGGTGATGATGATGGCTATGTGCTGGATGTGCAGGTGAACCGTGCACAGAATTTGGATCAGCATATCCCGTCATGGCATGTCCTGATGTTGTGTCAATATTGCTAGCAGGTTTGAATGGTTCTCCTCTTCCTGCTGGAACCTTTGCTATGTGCTTATAGTCCTCTTCTGTGCCCAGAACAGATGGATCAAACTGTAATTCCATCAACAGAAAAAAAAAAATCAATATATTGTCCAACAACGGTAGTTGAATAATAATAACGAGCCAGCAATTGAGGCGCTGAGCTATTACCCCTGGAACAGGCCCTGGCCTCAAACTAAAGCCATCCCTGAGTGTCGATGAAGAAAAGGTGTGGATTGGTCCATAGCTTTTCTCTGGTGCTTCCAAAAGCGCACGAATGTAGTTTCCTGGCCTTATTACGTTCTTTCCTACAATGTTGGATAGTATGTAAACATCGAGAAATTGGCTCAGTGTATGAATTCTTCTCTCCATGTCGCCTGTCATCTTAAGATTTTGTACCTGGTAAGTCACTAATAAACGGAAAATATGTTGGCTCTATTGGCGGCAGATCTTCATTGTTTTCATTCTTCTGTTTAACATAACGGTTATAGAGTGGTAAAAGGTTGAAGGTTGTCATAAGGTCGTGGCTTCCTGTCAACTGTTGTATCGTTGACTTTGCTACTCCAAAAATAAAAATAAAAAATAAAAATAAAAATAAAAATAATTAGCCTTGCATGATTGAAAACATGATCTCTCTGGCTGAATTGATGCTACGATGTTAGATTCTAGAGGAGTCCGCGTCAGCAAATCCTAGGCAAAGTGTAAAAGCTAAAAGATACCTCGCGTCTCCTTAATAAAGTATAACTTTGGTGAGGTAGATTGCACATTGGCGGAGTCCGGATTGTCCGCCATGGTGTGTCTTTCGCAATGGATTGCAAGGAATGGTTGCTCTATCTTTCTGCCCCTGTTGAAATATTGATGCTTTAAGAGGCTTGAAAAGAAATGAAATTAATCTGGATGATGAGAAAGAGTGTGGATAAAGGTCCAAACTCCAAGGAGACTTTTATAGTGGCTTTGAAAGAGTTAATAATGGATGCATTAAACTATGCCAAGTCATGCATGGTAACTCATCCTTGCATTTTGATGCGGCTCGAGATATGACAACATCCATAAAATCAAATAAAGACAACAAGGGTACCAGGATAAAGACTTTCGCCACTCCTCAACATTAATGGTACTGAGCGCTATTTGGAATCTGGCTTTTGGAGTACATAATCCACCGCCGGATACGCTAGACGACGAACTTATCGATGACAGTCTCAGGAACAGGGATGATGGCCACGATCGCGATTACGATCGACAGAATATTGAGAGAGAAGCCAATACTGCCAAGATTCTTGCTCGGCAGCAAGCGGTAATGGATGCTGAAAGTGATATCCTTGGAACAACTGTGTACTTACCAGCACCCAATATCCGAGATGAAGCAGCCGAGAACAAGAGCGGATTCATCCTAGTCGTTACGTCGTTGACTCTAAACAACATTGGCTGTTACCCATTCTTTGGTATTCGCGACAGACACCAAGTAATATCCCTTAGCAAACTTTTATTCTACAAACAAATCATTGGAAGGTTACACTCTCCTAATAACTTGTAATGATCCAATCTTACAGGTGTTTCCTAAGTTATTTCCAGAAACATCACCCCGATCCTCTATTCAGTATCTTCGACGAGTTTACCGTTCGCAAGGAATTCTAGGGATATGGTACGGCATGCCTTGTAGTATGATATGCCATACCTGTACCATATTTTACGAAGCATTCCTGAACAGTATTATTGGACGACTTCGACATCGTTCAAAAAAGACTCCATCAAAAACCATGATTTATCTATCTACAAGAGTGTAAGTAGCAAAGTTCTCCACTGAACTTCCAACTGCTTTATATCTCCTTCATCTGTATCTCATGCTCCTTAATTTTGGAATACCCTACCCTACCTCAATAGTATTGAATTTATACTATATATACCTCTCTATCCACTTCTCCGGAACTCTCTTCTTCTGCGGATGGACTCCCATGCTGGCCCTTGGCCTACAAATTCTTCGTACTTTCATTTGCTCAAGACTTTTGCTACCGACTATGTCCGTGACCTCATTGGACTCTTTCACAGGCAGGGTCAATCTCCCAGCATACTACCTCTCTACTCAACTGTCTTGCCCTCTTATATCTTAAATCTTCTCTTTGAGATCATTCAAACTTGGATCTTCAGATGGATTAATCCGCAACTAGTGCCAGCCAATTTTTTCACAAGGAAAAAGTCAGCGAAAACAACAGTGCAACATCCTCCGCCAGGACAGCTTTTATCACCAGCGCCACTAGGCACAGCAAATATGGCTTCTGACCATACAGCAGTGCCTACTGTGGCCGCTGGCTCATCATTGGAACGATCACTAGAGTCTGGGGCACGTCGAAATGGCCAACACCCACAAGGTCAGCAACAGCAACAAGGTCAACAACAGCAGCATTCGGGGCCAGACTATAGCGGGGCTATGACAATGGTATCTGCGAACGAAATCTCTGCGACAATCATGGCGGCCATGCCAACAGTCTCATCCAGTTCGTCTGCTTCAACAACCATGGCAGTCAATCGGGCTAGACGTGGACTACGATATCTTTCTACAGTGACCCCACGAAACCCTACACTTCTACAAGAGTTTTATCCCGAGATGGTCAGTGCTATGACCAGTAGTATGATCACTCGAGTGTTACTTTACCCGCTTGATACCGTAGCGGCGCGTGTTTCCGCATATGGTGGTTCTTTTCCCGGTATTGGTATGGCGCCTACTCCATATCGTGGATTTTGGGACTGCTGGATCCAATCCATCCGGCCATCTGGTGGAGGAATCCTTGGTTTGTATTCCGGGGTGATCGACTGCATCCTTATCGAGGCCATGGTACGATGGGTTGTACTTGAAGGAACCTGGTTTGCCCATTTAGTCATTAAGTGGTTACACCGGAGATAGAAAATGATAATAAATCATATCGGTTTCTAGAAACACGTGAGATAATATCTTCTAGGTGGGCTTTGCCCCAATTAAACATTTTAAGTTGATCTCGTTCTCGTTCTCGTTCTTGTCTTTTTTTTTTTTTTTTTTTTTTTTTTGAAGCGTCTTATCCTGATAACCATCTTCTCTACCCTCTTTACTCCCTTCCTTTTGCCTCCATTGTTAACAAAGACCTCATCCATATACTTGCCCAACAAAACTAGACAATCTTCTCTTTCCTCCTAATATGGCACGTGTCTCCAATATCCCATGTTCCGAATGACTTGCAAATAGTTGTCAACTTTACATCTGATATTGAAGCTGCGAACATCCAGAGTATCTACTTACTTTTACACCTACATTAATGTGTTGTTTAAAAAAAAAAAAAAAAAATCCTCCTGGCATGTAGTCAACAGAGACCCATCCTCAAGTAACTATACTGGCGCCTACGCCTCAGCTCAAAGGCATGATGAGCATTATTCGCAACAGGGATACATCAAGAGCAGATTTTATCTTTTATGCTGATCGCATCATCCGAATCCTAATCGAAGAAGGCAATAATCAATAGTGAAGATGATGCTCTATATTGAGTTCTTGAAGAGTCCATGGAGGCATCATAATTGTAATATCACCATTTCTAAAAAAAAGCTCGCATTTGAATTCAAACGTTTAGCACTCAACCATTTACCAGTCGTCGAAAAGTTTATCCTTACTCCAACCGGTAATTTTTGTTCCATGATATCTTTTATTTATTTGTTCAATACTACATACATTTATATATATAAACCAGAAGCGAATATGGAGTAAAATTATGCAACTTGAGAAATGAGGCCACGGCCTCTGCTGCATTTTAGTTTGTCATGCACTTATTGGTGTTTTATTTTTGGTATTAGGCCAAGAATATCAAGGAGTCGAATTCCAAGGCCGGATCTGTGGGGTCTCGATCATGCGAGCAGGCGAATCAAGTACGTATACTTGTATTCAGCTGCACCACGTCCCTTAGAATCAAGGGGCGGCGCACGGTGTCAACTTTTTTTTTTTTTTTGGTTGACGATATCAATTTTTCTCTCATGACCCATTCAAAAATACTTACTCTTCTTTATTCATCTGTTTAATTCACCCTTCTTTTTTCTTTTTTCTTTTTTTACAAATGTTTTCTACTCATTATGGCAGTGGAACAAGGTCTTCGGGATGTTTGTAGGAGTGTCCGAATTGGCAAGATTCTCATCCAGAGAGATGAAGAGACAGCTCTCCCGAAGCTGTATTACGCTAAATTCCCACCAGATATTGCATCTCGCTACTGTCTGTTGTTAGACCCAATGCTTGGTGAGCTGACGTTACATTATTTTTATCTTATGAGTAGGTTCAACGTCTTTCTTTTTACTTATATACTTATATATCTGTATATCTATACTACTACACAGCAACGGGAGGCTCCGCTATGAAGGCCATCGAAGTCTTGATTAGTTATGGAGTGCCAGAAGAGAAAATTATCTTTGTAAACCTCCTCTGTTGCCCAGAGGGTCTTTCGGCAGTATTGAAATCATATCCAAGGATCAAGATCATCACTGCGGAGCTAGATGAACATCTGGACGAGAAGAAATATGTTATCCCTGGATTGGGCGACTTTGGCTGCAGATATTACGGAACAGACAAGTGAACAGATAAAAAAAAAAAATAAAAAAAAAACTAGTTAAATCTTTATATCGAAACAATGTGGAAGACCTAGTAGAGTGAAAGCACTCGTGAGTAGTACTTGAGTAAATTCAAGTGCTAGTTTCCTTTTAAAAAATACCATTTTATTCACATTAACTACTCTGAATGTTGATTTAGATAGGCTTAATCTAAAGTGTTACGAACGAAGGAAAGAAAGAAGGATTTAATAAACATATAAAAAAATCTCACAACAAATAATATGAAGTTACACATATGTAAAGAATGTAAAGCAAACTGCATCCGGCTATACCTTCCAATGCAGAGTGATCAGTGAGAACACTAGACACTTGAGATCTTGAACCAAGTAGTAAAATACGCGCAATCCTTCGGGATCTTCACTTCCTTGAACATCAACAAGTGATCCAATTTTGGCAGTCTACAGATAGGAAAAGGAGAAAGAAAATGTTTAAATCAATGCCATAAAATATCCAAATCTCGTCCTTCAGGACTCCAGGATCCTAGGATAGCTGTTATCTACTCAGAAAACTCGCTCGTCGTCGCAAATCCTTAGATAATCTTGCTGGAGATTTGACTCTTTCATGTTCCAAAAATCAAATGGGTATTTTCCATGAACAGGCTGTCTTGTCAAGCTTGTCTCTGACATAAATGCTATCGTATCCATGACGAACCAAAGCATTTGGCCACAGTTTCTTTCTTTTTTCTTTTCTTTTTTTTTTTTTTTTTGTCTCTCTAGACTCGATTTTTGATTGTCCGTTCTCATATTGCTGAGTCAAGTCCACATGAGATGATTTAGGATTTTGTCCATCTTATTCGTTTTTTATACCTCAAAGGAGACGTGTTCATTGCCAAATCGAATTTCAAGCTCCTGCTTCCCAACAACATTCTTCTTTGGCCATTTTTGATCATCTTCTTTCATAATTTCAGACTCGTCAATGATCCGCTTGAGTTCCTTGATCATCAGGGGACTCACAGTCACTGAAGGATAAAATAAACATTCAAAAATAAAAAAAAGATCGTGATTGATCAATATGCCTGTTTAAAGATTGATGCAACAAAAAAAAAAAAAAGAAAAAAGAAAAAGAAAAGGACATGTCGCTTGGTCCTAAAATCGGTAAAATCCAAAAGTCATAGCGCATACATACTTTCTTTTTTGATCAAAGAGTCATTCCTGTAATTGGAGTTATTGGCATATCTACAACGTCCGTCAGCATGGAACTCAAACTCGATAAACTCATGTCCGTAGCGTCCTTGATGACCGGAGCTAAATATGTGTATATGTTTTTATGCAAATAAGCGTGATGTCGGACAAATAGGCCTTGTCAGGAAATTGTTTATATGATAGTTCATGGACGCTCTTGAGGGTCATTCCTCTCCTCAGCCCTGCAATGCCGATTTCTCTTCCAGGCTTTATCCCCCCCCCAAAAAAGGAAAAAAAAATCTAACAGCTATAGTGCTATAGTTTCCAACGCCTTACTAGTATCGCACATAGAATTCCTCTGCTGGCATGATGGATGTTGGATGGAAAGATCCTCGAATGAAGTCGTTGCTTGAATCAACTCAATAAGCCATAAAGTAAGTTCCCAATGCTATGACGTAGATTGAATTATCGGTCATGTGAATTGACACGGGCTGTGGGAGGGCGAAAGCCCGCAGTTTTTCTGCGGCAGTTACTGTGCCACACGCGTTTGGGATAATCTAAAATGTATATAAATAAGAGCAAGCAAGAAATGTGTTTGATGCCCTATCTCTCTTCCCTTCCGACGCTGGCTTTTATTTTTTTTATTCTCATAACGAGCCATTAATATCAATAATAATGCCCTCGATCCGTCTTACACTCGTCAACAATGCCAAGCAGACCCAGAAGTCTGCTGTCATTCTCAAAATCAGTGATACGCTTGATGGATCCGCGGATCCTATTAACGATATTCTCACCCTTTCAAAGAACAAGTTGCGTCTCAAAAAAGCGAAAACATTGTACCTGAACCATGGAGTTGAACTTAATGACCCAACATGGCTGCTCAATGGCAAAGTTACTCAAGATAGGTAAGGCAATGTTCTTTTCTTTCTTTTTTTTTAGTTTGGTAAAAAGGAAAGAGTTAATTGATCATTCTTATTTCTGTGTGAATATTAGTTTGATTTATGTCTCCTGTGGTGAAGGATACGTTGGACAAACAAAATCAGATACCACAACTACACCAGTAGAGAACCAGAATGATTTGTCAGCTTCTTCCGACAAAGCTGAACCAGATTCTATCGCTGAAAAGCTGAGCACTCTAGAATTGGAACCAGAAATCTCTGCAACAATTACCATTTTGGCCAAAAAGAGCTATATCGATCCTGAAGCAAACGCACAGCTCAACAGGACTGCTATGTTGCCTGGTATGCGTCAGGTCATCGGACAGCCAGATCTTCATCCCGGTAATTCTCTTTTTTAAATAAAAAAATGAACATTAGGAAAAGTGGCAGTAAAGCAGTAAATGAAATGACATGTCACTGACGCATTTTTTTTTTTTTTTTTTTTTTTTTTTTTGGTTTTGAAAATTTTAGGCAACCAGCATCCTATTGGAGCTACATTTATCACGCAAAGTCTGATTTATCCAGCATTGATTGGGAACGATATTGTAAGATGACTTCCCTAGGACTAATACACTCTCCATCAAAAAGTCTTTCAAAAGGAAAAATAAAAGCTAATCAGTCTATACTCTTTGAAAATTGATAATGTTACTAGGGTTGTGGCATGGCTGTATATAAGACGCGATTGCCTTCTAATATAAAGCCTCAGAAAATAGTCGACAAGCTGCATCATTTGGAGGGCCGCTGGACTGAGGGCGATCCACATGGATTTCTGATCTCACAGCTCGGTGAAGAGCATTCGGAAACTGGAAAAGCACATATGGACCAACTCGGTACTGTTGGTGGTGGAAACCACTTTGCAGAATTCGTAGTCGTGGAGCACAGAGTAGACCAGGAGATCTGCGATTCCATCGGGATCACGGACGCAAATGCTTATCTCATCGTTCACTCTGGATCTCGCAGATTCGGGCAGACTGTTCTCGAGACTACCAATAGTATGCAGACGAAGGTTGAGAAGAAACAATTGGGCATTGTTGCAGACTCTGAAGTCGGGAAAAGTTATTTGAAACAACATGATCTGGCCTGTGCCTGGGCGCGAACAAACCGTGAGCTGATTGCGCATCGTGTCCTTACCCGCTTAAACGCTGAAGAAGATGCAGAGAAGATCCTGGACATCTGGCATAACAATGTGGAGCAAAAACTTATCCCAAGTATAGATGCAGAGAGGCCTTGTTGGATCCACCGTAAGGGTGCTGCTCCCAGTGATCGCGGCTTAGTTGTCATCCCAGGCTCACGTGGTCATTTCTCGTACTTGGTGATGCCAAATGGTGAACAGGAAAAAAATGGTTTCTCTTTGGCTCATGGGGCCGGTCGATTACTACCAAGAGCAAAGGCCTTACAGAAACGACCACAGACTTCGAAACAGGCATCAATTTCAGCACTCCAAACTACAGCTCTTGGCTCAAGTGTGATTTGTGAAGATACAGATCTGTTATTTGAGGAACAACCAGAAGCCTACAAGGAAATAACAGATATAATTGATGATCTGGGATCCTTTGTAAAAGTCGTCGCCATCATGCGTCCTATCTGTACATACAAGATGCGCAAAGAGGGTCGAACATAGTTTTGTTGCGCGTTTTTATGTCCATGCATTTTTATACATTTATACAGCCATATTAATAAAGAAACGCAACTAATTAATAGTTTATTGGCTGTGTTGGTATGATACATGGATGATAAAAATGTTCTTGGAGATCCAGCTACAAAATTGCTCTAAGCACGGGTCAACTTTCCGTAAATATGGAGGGCGAAAACCGAAGCGATGAAGGCCAATGACAAGACGAGGACGACAACGGGGTCACTATTATATATCAACATGAGGGTTATGAAATAAGAATATTAATCTCCAAAACATTTGTTATGAGCGTCCCTCGGTGGGATCATAATTCATCCTAGATGAAGGCGTAGGACTGAAAAAAAGGCTTTCTGTGTTCGCTTTGCATTTGATGGTGCCACAGCGATAGTGGTTGTAGATGAGAATTAAGGTGATGCGATCATAAGGAGATGATCGTTGAATAGATAGTGACTTACACACGAAGACCAGGAGAATCATCAGTGTAGATGCGCATCATTCCAGATGTACTAGGGCCCGGAGCGCGAGAAGTCTGAGCCTTGGAGCTAGTAGTGCGTTTCCTAGATAACAAAGAAGGCCCATAATAAGGTGAATGAATACAGTGACATGGCCAGAGTTTGTTAGTTGCATGTTTCCATTGTGTTCATTGCGTCAAACACAAGATCGCGATCAGACCACCATCCTGCCAGAATATAAAAGCATTTCATCCTATTGGTACATTCTCCCAAGGACAAATGCAAATGCTGCACTTTCATGACAAATGATGTATTAACGCACCTTAGAGAAGCAGCACGAGGAGAGGCGCCGGCGGGGTTGGGAGAGGGAGCAGAATCAGACTATAGGTAATATAGTTTGCGCGATCGAATAGAAAGAAACCAATGAGTAGTTGTTTAGTTGTTTGTGAAATCAACAATAGTCGCAGTAGCTCCACAGACTAATCGGTTTTTTCTTATGCATCATTATTGAGAAGAAACCATTGTATTGAATGCTATGCATCTAGCGATTTCAATAAAGGCGCTAAACATACCATGGTGATTAGGATGGTTGAGGAGGAAGGGACAAGAATAAAAGAGATGAGATGGAACAGAGCAAAAATAAAGAAAATCAAATAAAAGTTGTCGTCCAATGAAAAGACGACATCATAACAGGGGCAGCAATGTCCCCCCAATTTGGTTGTTTATTCACTTGTTGCACAGAATTCGAACACGTTTAAAAAAAAAAAAGCTTCATTATTTATATTGGCCCATTCATCTTTCTCTCTTTCATCTCATTCACTCATTCAAATCCTTCTTCTCCGTCCTCTGTTCCATCCGCCTTCTTTCCTTCATTTAAATTCACAAATATGACTGGCCCATCTGACTTTTCTGACCGCACTCATCCTGACACCATCTGTCTGTTCGATGTTGACGGTACTCTTACACCTGCTCGCCTGGTAAAATCTCATTTTTATATCTCTAACCCTCTGAACCGGACAAGTCTTTGAGTCATACGACTAGCCTTCTTATTAAATCAAATGTTTTCCCTGATTTCACCTGTAGGGAATCACCCCCGCCATGGAGCAGACCCTTGCTGAACTGCGTAAGAAGTGTGTAGTTGGCTTTGTTGGAGGATCTGATCTCAGTAAGCAAGTCGAGCAACTCGGACCCAATGGTAAAGGAAGATTATCTTTTTTTTCATGCTATTCCCTTTGAGTCACCAAGCGTTAAGTTCTAGTGAATCAATTGATAATGCACAAGTCTTGGACGGTTATTTGGTTGAAGAAACATGTACCAGCAATGAAGAGAAAAAAAAAAGTCCATCTAGGGACAGCGTTCTGGAATTTGGCCCCTAGATGTTCTCGCCCTAATCTTTTGTTTATGTCCGTGCCTCTGTATTTAGTCCTCCAGAATTTTGACTACTGCTTCTCTGAGAACGGATTGACCGCTTATAAGAAAGGTGTCCAGCTTGCTTCCCAGGTTTGTAATGATCACTGCATTTGATATTATGAATTTATTGATATTAATGACGATTGATCATTCCAACTGACATGCTATCTGCCCTATTACGTCTAATATAGAGCTTCATCGGACATTTGGGTGAGGACCGCTACAAGAAGCTTGTCAACTTTGTTCTCCGCTATATCGCTGACTTGGATATCCCCGTCAAACGGTAAGTTGTATTCACGAAGTGAATGTGAAATGCCCTTTTGATTTAGAGCAGCCGGTCGCTTGATCCAATTCAGTAGTTAGTTTAGTATTAACAGTATTTACGCGATATTATAAAATTAGTGGTACATTCATCGAGTTCCGCAACGGAATGATCAACATCTCACCCATTGGACGCAACTGCAGTCATCCTGAGCGTAACGAGTTTGAGAGATTCGATTTGGTACGTCGGTCTGACATGTTGAACACCACAACGTATATTACTTCTGAGAATGGGATGGGATTGATTATACCAAAGTTCTAATACGAAACCTTCATTCTTTCATTTCCTTGTTTGTCTCGCAATAGGAGCACAAGCTTCGTGAGAAGTTTGTCCTTGCTCTCCAGAATGAATTCCCTGATTATGGCTTGACTTACTCAATTGGCGGTCAGATCTCGTTCGATGTCTTCCCCACTGGTTGGGATAAGACCTACTGCCTTCGTCACATTGAGCATGAGAAGTTCAAGACGATCCACTTCTTTGGCGATAAGACTTTCAAAGGAGGCAATGACTATGAGATCTATTCCGACCCCCGTGTCATCGGTCATTCTGTCACCAGTCCCGTGGACACTGAGAGGATCCTCAGGGAACTTTTTTTCTAAAGAGTAGAATTGTCAAGTAAATCAGACCCGTTAGAACTGTAACTTTTTTTTTTATAATAAAATAAAAAATAGCAATCCACATATGTTTTACACACTTGTTCCTGAATTCTTTTTTTTTATTGTGCATCAATTGTACAACTATGGTCTGGCCATTTACATCAGACTCTTCAAAGGATAAAAATGATTTTGTTTCAATTGCATCATCAGCACGGGATTCTATAGAGCATGCAGGACAGGATGCAAAAGAAATTCTTCAGTCCACAAAGGCATCTCTCGAGGACCTGACTACCTCAATTGAGGAGATGACCTCCACCGCTTCTGCTGCTTCATCGTCAACAGTTGGCATCATCAAATTCGCTTTTTCCAGTATTCCAGATTCTGTATCGCCCTACTTGATTACTTCTCTTATCTTTGGAGTCGGGATTGCAGGCTCCGTCTTCTATAGGAAACGTCTTCGTCGCATCCCTAATGTAGAATACTTGACGCCCAATAGTTTACAAGGAAAGAGAGTTCTGAAGGGCAAAGTCACCAGTGTCGGAGACTCGGACAATTTTAGATTCTACCATACACCTGGGGGTATTTGGGCAGGTTGGGGCTGGCTCCGACATGTTCCCACTGGCAGCAAAGGTAAAAAAAAAAAAAAATGAGAATTGATTTTGATGGTTTTCCATTCTGACCAATAAAAAAAAATTTTTTTTAACGGTTTGTTGAGGATGGATACGATTTGTGGGACTGATTAGAACTAAAGAATCAGACGTTACACATCCGCCTTGCTGGGATTGATGCCCCCGAGGTAGGTGCTGCATATCAAACGATCGGTATATAAGCATCGGATTTAGATTTGTCTAAATGTTCTAACGTTTCTTTTGAATCTTTTGATTTAGGGTGCGCATTTTGGTATGCCGGCGCAACCATTTTCGAAAGAATCATTGGAATGGCTTCGGAAGGAGGTGAATGGAAAGACTGTCTTAGTCAAACCGTATACAAAGGATCGTTATGATCGTGTGGTATGCAAACGAAGAAAAACCAAGGTGGCTCGTCAATGTAACACCATGAATTTGCTCCGCATTCTAAATAATGGTATGAAATATACACCCTTTTCTTTTTTTTTTTTTCTTTTTTTAGGTCTCAATGGCTTGGTATCCAAGATTTTTGCCATTCCTTCCCAAAAAGAATGTCAGTTTGCAACTGCTTAAGGTTGGGTATGCGCAGATTTATCGACAGCATGGGTTCGAATATGGTGATATGCTCGATGAATTTGAACGGATCGAGACGAAAGCAAAGTAAGTCTTTTATTTTATATTTTCTTAAAAGTATCCTACTTTTGCAACACGCATCCTTATCACAATTCTTTTATGTTGCTTTTTTCTTTATTTTTGCTTCATCATTTAGGAGGCGCAAGATTGGAATTTGGTCCCAAGAGAACATGGTCAGCGCGGCAGAGCATAAGAAACAATATCTTCGAAAAAAAGAATAATGGTGGCAATAAGTGTTAAGTGACTTGTAAATTGAGTGGCGATAGTTTAATAAAATTTATTGAAAATGATGCATTACTCATGTTCTTCATTCCCGTAACATTATGTCGTCCTCGGTACCTCTACCAAGTCTTATGGACATTGTCCAGGACCTCTCCATATTACATACGGCATCTATTTCGCTCACGCAACAATCACTGAATACCAAAATGTTAGATGAAGGTATGTTGTGTGAACGTTTTGAAAATAAGAACAAGTCTCAAATTCTCATTAATATTTTTTATTTTTTATTTTATTTAATATTTTAACACTCAAAGATATTACAAAGCCAGCAAAGACAAGTGTACAAAAGTTGGAGCAATTCAAAGCATCGACAGAAAGGAGTCAACGGGAGGAAGGGGTGGTCGAAAGTGGGTTCGAAGTTGCCGCAGATTTCTTAAAAATGCAACAACAACTCTCAGTTTCCAAGCAGGAAATGAATACGCTACAGGAGCGCATTGCAGGGCTAGAGAAGGAATTGACGGAAGTGAGAGAGCTGATCGCATTCAACCCTGTCAAATAAATGTGCAACACAAGCACCATGGAGCCAACATGCAATTATAATTGAATGCTCTTTTTTATTATTTATTTATTGAATTCAAATCTAGGGTAGAGGGCTTACAATCCGAAAGAATCCAATCTATTCTTCTGTACTTTTTTTTTTTTTTTTTTTTTTTTTTTCTCATTAGCTGATCTGTATATTATCAACAGGATTGACTAAGTATTTATAAAAAGTTAATGCCAAGACCAAGCTGCCATCCTCTTGAAATAGCATCCGATTTAGTGGCTATCAGAGGTAGTGCAAAATTGAGCTCGATACGAACTTGTGGATGGCGGTAAACAATACCAGCTCCAACTGAGACACTGGGAATCTTTGTCAAGTCATTTACGGTCTTCATGGCCGACTGACCTGGCTCAACACTGACCAATGTTCCTGCATTAGCAAAGACGTGGGCCTTGAAAGAATCTCGGGTTGTAAGACCAGGGAATGGTGTCAATAAGCTGACACCCGCAGACACGTAGGCGTCACCGCCGAGGGAGTCGTCTATTCAATACCAATTGGTGGCCAAACATTAACGTGTTCACAAAATTAGCAAAAGCTAGCGGCAAAAAGGGAAGATTGTCGCTAAAACCAATTATGAATCGATTGCTTGTACCTCCTTCGCGTGGGCCAAGCCCATTCGACTTGAAACCACGAACAGACATGGGGCCTCCGAGGAAGAAGCGGTCTGAAATCTTTGATTTCTTTCCATTCAAGGAGTGTAGGTATCCTGACTTTACAGTTGCGGACAGAATCTAACAATAATAACAACAATAACAACAATAACAACAACAATAAAGACATTCAATATTAGTATCCGAGCATGGCATTACAGGAGCACTACAGAAAAATGATTACATTTTCCTATGGTCCATACATATCCTGCATCGTTTGAGCGGGCGATTTGAGCCTCGACCTCTTGGCGCAAATGGTTAACATCTCCACCCAATCCAGCATACTCTTGAATTACTCGCACCAAGTGGCCTGTTGAAGGCATCAAGGGCTCGTCTCTCATGTCGTGGATCCACATGTGAGTCAATGCTGATTTCAAACTATGGCCGCATTGTTCACGAATACTACAAAAGGTCGGGTACATCGACGCGTTAAAATTTCGGCATTAAAATAGTGATCAGCCGCTTTCATTCATGGTACTCGCTTTACTATCCATACAAAAAAAAAAAAAAAAAAAAAAAAAAAGATACCTAAGTGACGCCTTTTCAGAAGGTCGACAGACTTCTCGCCAATGGCCTTCGTATGCAAGCTCATGGTAACCGAGAGGACTGATTGTCTACATTAAAAAAGAGAGAGCTATCAGCTATGAAGAAACTGAGAACCATCAATGTAACGTTTCTATGGATCAGCAATTTTGACTTACGGTATATTTCAAAGAGGTGCCCTTCAACTCTTCTTCATACGAACTCCATTGAGTGTTATTTCTAGCCTGACTGAAGAAATTGACTGACAAATTTTTGTCTGGGTCTGCAAGAACAGGAGTGGCAAGCGTAAACTGTATGAAAAGTAGCCATCGATCCAAAGCTGTTAGCAGGAGTAAATTATTATAATTATTTTATCCCAGAGTATTGCAATATTCGTAAAGAAAGTACCTGGAAGGCAGATGATGTACGCGTTCCGAAGGCCATGCTAGTGCTCAAGGTCTCAGCGCCGCCGAAGACGTTTTTGAGGGTCATCGCTCCATACTAGTTACATATAAAAACAAAGGTCATTGCAATAGATATATAAGTCGATAAATTCGCGTCTCCTTAATACCAGCGAGGCGTCTGCTTATTTGATTTGTTTTTCCTATAGATCCAAAAAAACAGTTTGATATGTATTGTTGTTGATGCATTACCATGCTAGCTTCAGCGTTCCCAGCCTCTGTCCCGGTCCTGATCTGAAGTCGGCTGCTTTCCTTAACCCAGATACCTAAATCGACAAGATCCTTACGATCTGCCAGCCAAGGATCATTGGGACTGTCAAGCTGCAATTTTACATCGTCAAAGATCCCGAAACGTTCCATCCTGCGCACAGCCTGTCGACTCAGACCAATGACTTCGTGAAGTGATCGTGCCTCGAATGTGGGTTGGAGAATGCGGTACATGAAGGACTCTCTGGTCTTAGACGCGCCGCGGACAGTGATCTTGTGCAGCGTCATGGGATCATGACGAATGTTATCGATCTATGGTATGCATTGGCACGTTATTAAGTTGACAAAATAATTAGACCATTGAGTATTATATATAAGAATATCGCGTCAATAGTTAAATATTCATCGGCCCATTACTATGGTCTGAATATGACGGGCAGCCTCCTCAAACTCCTGCTGGCGCTTCCGATGAGCGGCCATCTCCTCCTGAGTCGGTTGTTCCTATATAAGAGCAATAAGCAGCATTTTTTTTTTTTACTTGTCAGGTCAAGGTGACTTTGTTCCTCGGAATCGATTTTTTTTTTTAAAAAAAAAATAATAATAATAATAAAACAAGTGCTGCTTGTGAGAGGTTTCATAGTATGCTTGTTGATTTTAAAGCGAGCAAGGATAAGCAGGGTGTATGCCTTACAGCAGCCATAGTTGGAAGCGTTGTGAACAAGTTAATTGTGTTGAGACGGAAGGCCCAGAGGCAGAAATGAACAGAGGGATGGACAAAGAACGATGATCTTTTGTCGTCTTTTGTGCCTAGGAGCAACGGTTTTTCGTCCCTCCATCGGACTGTTTTTTCATATTCCCTCCAATTGCAAGAAAGAAAGAAGCCACTTACCAAATGAAGTCTCGTATTTACATGAGTAAGATAAATTGCAAATTATGAGCCAACTGCTGACCCCGAAATGTCAGCTGCTCGAAGAATAAAACTTTTATTATCTACCGTTTCTCTTTTTCTTTTTCATCAACATCCATTCAGACATCCTAGTTGAATCAAGTGGAAAAGGTAATTTTTGAAACGAATGCTTTCACACCCTGAATAATCCACATTCATTCCACCGTTCATATACACATTGTATTCAAGGCTTGTGGCTGTTGTTCTACCACCTTTTCTCCCTCTCTCTTTCTCTCTATTGTCTGTCTCTCCTTTGTTTTGTTTCATCACATATCCACTCTCTCTTTTTTTAGTTTTATTCTTGAATTACTCTTCATTCCATAATTCACACGCCTCTTAGTAACAACGATTTGTTTATCTCCTGCTTTGGAATCAGATGTCAGGATTGCAATTAACCGATTTCGTCAAACGCCCCGCCACGGGTAAGCTTGGCAGACCTATCACCGTCCGTGCTAACTTCTTCGAAGTTACCAAACTGCCAAATGTTACAGTGTACCACTACGATGTAACTGTGACCCCCGAAGTGCCTCCGCCTGTCAACAGAAAGCTTTACGATCAATTTATCAACACGTACGGCAACACAGACCTTGGTGGCGCTCGTCCCGTTTATGATGGCCGAAAGAGCTTGTTCTCTCCCAAGGACTTGAACTTCGATAGTCGCACTTTCGATGTGAGTATATTGCTATTCTCTTTTTATGGATATCGATTCTATATTAAATATAGTAATTGTTTTTTTTTTTTTTTTTTTTTTTTTTTGCTTTTTTAGGTGACCCTTGCAGGTGATGTTATCCCAAACTCTAAGAGGCAAATCCCTGTTTTCAAGTTCAAGGTTAAGAAGGTTGCGACCATCAATCTTGAGGAGTTGCACCGGTTTCTCCAAAGCAAGTCTGCTATGACCAACAACATTCTTACGGGTATCATGGCCTTGGACGTCCTGATTCGTCACAAGCCATCGCTGCTTTACGCCACTGTTGGCCGTTCTTTTTTCACGCCAGATGGAAAGCAGCCCTTGGCCGGTATATTGGATGTTTGGCGCGGCTTCTACCAGTCGGCCCGACCTACAGCGGGTTAGTAATTTATTGCATGCATGGCTTTAAGTCAAATCATCACGTGCTCATAATAATATTAACACCATCACTATTACTCTAGGCAAGATGATGATTAATTTGGATGTGTCTGCGACGGCATTCTTCCAGTCTGGCTCGCTTATCGAGATCGTTATCAAGGCTTTAAACCTCCGTAGTCCAAGTACGCACAACTGTTTCGCTTTATAGTTTATTTAAGAGACAACATATATTATATTTTGTGGGTGGTAGTACTTACTCTTTATACTTATGCCAATATTCTAGGTGACCTTAATCGCACTTCGCCTCCTCTCAACTGGGCAAAGGTTGAGAAGTTGATCAAAGGACTTCGTGTCACTGTAAACCATCGCGAGCGTTCTAAGCGTTCGTTCAAAATCTTTAAGCTGACACAAACGTCAGCAAGACAAACAAAGTTTACGATTGACTCTGAGGATCCGAACGTCAAGCCCATCGAAACTACCATTGAGAAATATTTCCAACAAACATATGACAAGAGGCTGCAGTACCCAAACTTGCCTTGTGTTCTGGTTGGTAAGACCAGCATGCTGCCCTTGGAAGTATGCTCGGTTGTAGAGGGACAACGGTACATGAAAAAGCTGGATGAGAAGCAGACAGCTGACATGATCAAATTCACCTGCCAGCCTCCCCACGTTCGTGCTAACATCATCAAGGACGGCCTAAGGATCCTCAATTATAACAACAACGAATTCTTGCAAGATTTCGGCATGAAGATCTCATCTGAGATGGTTACAGTCAGAGCTCGTACTCTTCCTGCACCCACTATTTCTTACCATCCCACCTCCCAGGAGGCAAACTTCGTTCCCAGGGACGGTGCCTGGAATCTTCGTGGCAAGAAGGTTGCTAGAGGAACTACCCTTGGTTCCTGGGGTGTTATTGTCTTTGGTTCGGAGCGTGACATTCCTCAACCACAACTAAATGCTTTCATTCGAGAGCTGATCACTACGTGCACAGATACGGGCATGACTATTCCTAACAAAAGCCCCCCAATCCTTTACGCTAATCCCCATGGCAACATTGAGGGTTCCCTCAGACAAGTCTGGCAACGTGCTGGTAACCTTGTCAAGAGTCAGCCCCAACTAATTCTCTGTGTTCTCCCTACGACTGGGGTGCCCCTCTATGCAGAGATCAAGCGCGTCACCGACACTGTTTTGGGCGTCTCTTCGCAGTGTATTCAATCCAAGCACACTCGCGACCCTAAGAAGCAGTACTGCGCAAATGTCTGCCTCAAGATAAACGTCAAGCTTGGTGGCATGAACTCCCATCTTGCCCCCAACATGCTGCCCTTCCTTACTAGCAAACCAACCATCTTGTTTGGTGCAGACGTCTCTCATCCTCCACCAGGTATTGATTTTGATTAGGTTTTTTAAGCTTATTTTATTAGTCTGTCATTGGTGCATATTTTATTAACTGATCCGCTATTCCAACTTCATTAAATAATAGGTGACTCTGTACGTCCCTCTATTGCCTCCCTGGTCGCCTCCATGGATGCCAACGCATCTCGTTATGCTGCATCGGTCCGTGTCCAGAATGCCAGAACAGAGAACATGGTGGATTTGAGTGACATGGCGGTTGAGCTGCTGAAGACTTTCTTCCAGACGTAAGTGTTTATTTGCTTGTTATTGTTGTTATTTAATTAACATGCTCATGCTCGGTTGTTTGATGCGTTTTGTCTCTGTATTTCTGCATCTAGTTGTGGAAGGAAACCAGATCGCATTTTGTTCTACCGTGATGGTGTCTCGGAGGGTCAGTTTGCAGAAGTCTTGAATACCGAGGTGAAGGCCATCAAGACTGCATGCACGCGTCTTGAGGCGACATATAATCCTAAGATTACATTTGTTGTTGTCCAGAAGCGCCATCATGCACGCTTCTTCCCTATGAAGCGTGAGGACGGTGACAGAGGCGGCAACTGCAAACCTGGATTGGTGGTTGACACGGATATTGTACATCCGTTTGAGTTCGACTTTTATCTTCAAAGTCACGCTGGTCTCCTAGGTACCTCGCGTCCTGCTCACTATTGTGTGCTACATGACGATAATAAGTTCACATCAGACGAACTGCAGGACTTTACATACAAGATCTGCCATTTATACGCACGATGCACACGCACTGTATCTATGGTCCCGCCTGCATACTACGCGCATCTTGTTGCAGCACGCGCACGCTTCCATTCTCGTAGTGAACAGTGGAGTGACAATGCCTCGAGCGAGTCTAATGCAGGTGATGCAAGCTCCTATCTTCCTGTCAAACCAGAACTACAGAAGGGTAATTTTTTTTTTTTTTTTTTTTTTTCCTTTGCTTGATGATGAGGCTTCAGTTCTGTAGTCTGTTTTTTTGTGACTAATCCATTTTAATTCATTGTTTCAACTTAGTTATGTGGTTCATGTAAGGCAAGCTTCACCTTAGTGTGCAATCAAAGTCATACATCTATAAAATGAATATTTCCGTCAACAACTCAATGTAGAACAATAGCGGTATTGCAAACACAAAGATTAGCAACAGAAGATATTAATCCAAATGCAAATGCAAATGCAAATGAATAAAGAGAATCTTATTTCAGTAAGTATCAATAAGCGTCAGTAAGCATGAAATGGTTAAAAAAAAAGAAAAAAAAAGTATTGTAAGAACGGGGAAACAAAAGTAAACTTTTCGTAACACAAAGATCTACCCCAATAAAGATGAGTACAGACGGTGTTTTTAAGAGTGCCACTGATGGATAAGATAGTCTATGAAGAAGGATCTGACCCGGCCACGACACCGGCCCAACGGATTAAAAAAATAAGATCGGAGCCTCTTTTTGGAAGCGCGATGTTAGAAAATTAGTGAAGTTTAATCGCAACGATTAGTCACGATCTCTTGTCTGTTTTCGCACGCGATGACTGGGCTGACAGCTGCGCGCACATTCTCGTTATGGTTTAGTTTATGATCGTTATCAGATATTCTCTCTTTCTCCTTTTCTCTTTTCTCTCTTCTCTTTTCTCTTGGTTCTTTTCCTCAGGCTTTTTCTTCGCAACTGTAATAATCGCATCATGTCCTTGCTCGCTTCTACCGCTCGTCGCTCCCTCTCTATCACTAGAGCAGCCACTTTGGTCTCCCTAAACTCACAGGCCACTCGTGCATGCAAGTCTACCCCCAGTTTTATTTTATTTTATCTCTTACAGTCTAAAGTCTGTCTAACAATCATGGATCATCTCAATCCAAACTACAACACCATCTAGACTCCAAGGACTCTCGCATTCAGGTTGCAAATCCTGTGGTGGATTTGGATGGAGATGAAATGACGCGCATTATTTGGCAGTCGATCAAGGAGAAGGTAGACTTGCTACAACAAACAGCAAACAGTAGCACAGCCATTGACGTTGAGGGGACCTCATGGATGAAAATGTCCAAATATCCATTAATGAAAGACGACAACTGACCCTTTTCTATCTTTTCCTATTTTAATTTCCAATTGAGATAGTTGATCCTACCACACGTCAATCTCGATATCAAGTACTATGATCTGGGTATCGAGCACCGTGAGAAGGTAATCTCTTCCTTTGAACAAATCTCTGATTGAATATGGTTATGAATGTTCAAAGTGATGTTGTACTTACCATCATTTATGACCACCATTTTACTCTATTTCTCTATCCTTGCCATCTATTGCAAAACTAGACAAATGACCAGGTGACAATTGATGCTGCAGAGGCGATTTTGAAGTATAATGTCGGTATTAAATGCGCGACCATTACGCCAGACGAGCAGCGTGTCAAGGAATTTAATCTTACCAAGATGTACAAATCGCCTAATGGAACCATCCGCAATATCCTTAATGGAACCGTCTTCAGAGAACCCATCTTGCTCAAGAGTGTACCCAAAATCGTACCAGGCTGGGAGAAGCCCATCATCATTGGACGCCATGCTTTTGGAGATCAGGTAAAGCTGTCACAAATGAGCAGTCAAACCAACTCTTACAAAGTCAATCTGTCTGCATTTGTTCTAAACTTTTTTTGTTTTTTGTGTGTATGTATGTGTTTGTATACCATAGTACAGAGCCACTGACTTTGTTGCAGAAGGTCCTGGCCGCTTCGAAATGACTTTCACGCCTAAAAACGGAGGCGAAGCCAAGAAATGGGTCGTCTACGACTTTGACGGCGCTGGTGTTGGAATGGCCATGTATAATACTGATGAGGTATTTTTTTTTTTTTTTTTTTTTTTTTTTTTTGGATCCGATACGATGCACAAGTATGATCAAGGCAAAATATACCAATTCTCCTTGTTTTTTTTCCTGCTTCCGCTAGTCAATCACTGGATTTGCTCACAGCTGCTTCCAGATGGCATTGTCCAAGAACATGCCTTTGTATCTCAGCACAAAAAACACCATTCTTAAGAAATATGATGGACGCTTCAAGGACATTTTTGAGGCAATCTACCAGAAGTAAGGCACTCTAATCTTATCATTTGGAAAAGCAATCATTAACTTGTATAACACTGATACCCTGCTTTATTAACTTTTATTTATATATTTGTTTATTTATTTGTTAATTTATTGTTATTGTTCATGATCTGGTATATTATCAGGAACTACAAGAAGGAATTTGATGACAAGAAGATTTGGTATGAGCACCGATTGATTGACGATATGGTCGCTCAGGGGCTCAAGTCCTCTGGAGGATTTGTTTGGGCTTGCAAGAACTATGATGGAGATGTTCAGTCCGATATTCTGGCGCAAGGCTTTGGATCTCTTGGATTGATGACCTCGGTCCTAGTGACGCCCGATGGCAAGACTATGGAATCAGAAGCTGCTCATGGAACAGTAACACGTCATTATCGTGAACATCAGAAGGGCCGTGAGACCTCCACCAACCCGATTGCCTCCATCTTTGCCTGGACCCGTGGATTGGCTCACCGTGCTCATTTAGATCAGAACGAGGCTCTTCAGAAGTTCTCGTTGGATCTGGAGAAGGCCTGCATTGATACTGTGGATGTCTCAGGTATCATCACCAAGGATCTTGCATTGGCAATCCATGGCAGCAAGTTGGAAAGGAAACATTATGCTACCACAAGTGAGTTCATGGAGGCCATCACCAAGAATTTTAATAAGGTTCGCGGCCTTTAAGTAGTTGCAGTATATAATAGTTGAACAAATAAAAAAGAAGAAAAAAAAAGTAAAGTAGTATTATATATAAAATGAACTTTTTAGAGTCTTTCTGTTTTTATGTAGAATTGTATTCAATAATCTAGTGATAGCTATCAAAAAATAAAATAAAATAAAATAAAATAAAATAGCAGCGACGTCGTCATTTTTTTTTTTTTCTTGTTTTTTAATCCATTCTCCAGCAGTATCTTTAAGCTTGTCTTCTTCCCTTCTTTTTTCCTCCCGCAGCGGCCGCTGCTGCTGCAACGGCTGCCGGTGATGAAGATGATAAGGATGACGTTGATGGGCCACTGACACTTGTAGCAGCAGCTTTTGCCTTCTTCTGATCCACTAGGATAGAACGGGGGAGCTTTCCATACTTGACCAACAAACGGGTCTCAACATTATTCAGTCCCCACTCATGCTCTGTCAACTCGATGTTTTCCTTCTCACTCAAGAAGATCTTGTGCATATCCTGGGGTTGACCCGTTGGACTCATCTGAGGACCAGCAGCGGGACCCATGCCCATGGTTGACATTGCTTGCATATCACGCATGGCATCCGCAGCTTTTTTTTTTTTTTTTTTTTTTTTTTTGCAGAGTATCAATTGCAAAAGACTCAATCAATATTAGTATTGGATTTCTTTAAAACGGGATACTGACTAGATTAGAAAGTTGGACTTAATGTCTAAACATTAATATATTCACATACCATGTCCACTACCAAGGATAAGAGTAAAGACACTCTGAAGACCGAACAAGTTAAGGAAGTACCAAGAAAGAGATGATACCCAACTGACATCCATATCTTGTGTCTCAATTCCGCGCTGTAACATGCTCTTGAAGCGGATTGTCAGTGGGAACGGCAACTTGACTGTTTAAAAAAAAAAAATGCGCGCAAGGAAAAATGACGGAAAAATAAACTTGTAAGTCTAGAGTTTCTCTTTTTTTTCCTTTTTACTTCATGAATATATATATGTAAGGAAGGAAGGAAGCATACTCAAAACAAATCCTGAAAAGAAAAAGTTGATCCAGCCCATAATCACGGTCTGAGGAACAATGTTCATCATGTTCTTCTTCATGCCATCCATCATAGTCTCAACATAGGCTGGATCCTGCATCACATTGCCCTTGGGTTTGTTTCCTGCTTTTGGATCCTTCAAATATGTGCCCTTCTCGAAGGCCTCTGTCAAGTAAGCCTTACGTGCCTCGAATGCGTACTCGGGCAAGTGATTTCCGTGCGCACGAAGGATACTGCCTCTCTGAAGGCCCTTACTATGAAGAAATACATGAGTATTTAATAAGAAATAAAGTTGTCAACAAAAATGGACAATGATTGAATCATTTCTGAAGCAAAAAAATACAGATCAAAGACTTTACGTTTCACGAGCAGACTTGAGGTCGGCTTTCCTAGGAGGCCCGTTCAAGAGGACGGTGACTTGATGACGAACAACACCAACGAGAACCATCACCAACATAATAGGCAACAAGACCCAGTCCCTAATAGCTGTTTTTTTTTTATTTTTTTATTTTTTTGTATGGCGAATATTACGAAGCATGCCTTTGTTAATTTTGATTTGCGTGTTAAACTTTTGCTGTAATGATCCACGTCAATATATTTTGTTCCAAGAGAAAAGCTTTTTTTTTTTTTTTTTTTTTATAAAAATATTTTTTTATTATTATTATTATTCCTGGTTTGTTTGTTGTAGTTGTAAAAAGTATTGGGGGACTTTACCTGGATCGAGAAGCATTGCTTGCCTATACAAAGAACATTGATTTATTCATTGGAGTACTGTTAGTTGATGTCGTTCCATTGCGAAATCGTGGTCCAACACAGTTTAATATCTGGTATCCTAATCCTGTAGCTCGGAAAGTAATGCCCATACCTCTCCTGGAGAACAGTCCATGCGCCCATTGATAACTGTGTCTGCGTAAAGTTGTCCTTGTGAGAAGAGGATGGTTTGTGAAATAGAATAAAAAAAATAAAAGGATGGTAGAATGACGGTTGTCTACTGTGATGAGAAAGATGAAGCTGAGAGCACTTGGCGATGTGGTCGTTGGTAACGTGACACCAGTTTTTTTTTTTTTTTTTGACGCGCTTCTGCCACAAAGAGAAGACCCTACCTTTGTCGATCGTCTTTGAGTTTCTTTGTGGGTGGGGTCTATTATCTTTGTAACGTTGAAAGATATATCAGTTGTTCCTCAACCCAGAAAATCACGCCAATGTGCATTAGTTAGACAGACACTGGTCTGAAGAAAGATTTTTTCTTTCTTCCTACTCTCCCATACTCTTTAGTGCACCGATATTTAATATTTGCTGTCAAACAATGCTGGCCCTATTCATCCTTCCTACAGATTTGATACTTCCAATCACGACTACGCCATTGCAAGAGGCAGAGCTCCCAACTGCCACACTCCCATTTGTTCCCATTATCACCACAGTAACATCTATTCAGAATCCACGTTGGACATGGACAACGCGTGGCCCTTTTGCACCGTCGTCTTCTATTCTTGCCGGAGCAGGAGGTGGAATTAAGAACTCAACTATTGGAGATTCAAACAAGGAACCTACTCTTGTACTTTACGGTCTTTCAAATACGTTAGCCTTTGTGGTCTGCTTGATGCTCATCCCGTCAGTCTTTGTCTGGTGCTGCATGCGACGTCCAATCTCCAGGTAGAATGTTATTAAAGCTTCTAATAATAAAAAAAGTTATATTCAATTATATTTTTATGTTGGCTGTTATATACAAGTTCAACCGCTCTTTTTTTTTTTTTTTTTTTTTTTTTTTCTTTACTACACTACATGCTACATGGCATTCCGCCTTGACTTTTTTTTTTTTTTTTTTTTTTTTTCTCTCTGCGTTCAAGCAAAGAGGTTTAATTGTCATCCCTCCCCTTTAAGAATTGAGTTGCCAAGTTCCCGATGAGACCCATCGCATCAACATTGCCTCCACCGCCGCCGCCTTTCTTCTCATCGTCATCGTTATCTCCACCGCCCATGAAGGCACCGAGGATAGCTCCAAAACCAGAGCCTCCACCCTCTCCAAGGCCGGTGATCATAGACAACACCTTTGTTTTAATGTAATCAGGAGAGAAAAGCTTGGTACGAAGCTCGCCTTCCAAGGACTTTGTCTATTGATTTGAATGATTACATTAAAAGAAAAGAAACTAGTGTTTAGACTACAGCTTTTTTTTTTTTTTTTTTTTCCAGAATTAAGAAAAGATATCATGACATTTTCCTTACCATCTTGGCCTCAAAATCCTGAAGATAGGGTTGAATAAGGAGCAAGACCTTGGGAGCCAAGATTTTCTGGACCATTTTTTGAATTTTGCCTGTGTGGCCACCAACTTTTTCAACATCCGTTGCGTCTCCACCACCCTCAACAGTTTTCTCGCCTGGACCGTCTTCCTCGCCGCCCATAAACTTGAGAACAAGACCTGCAGCCATGCCCAACAGTCCACTAGAACCACCGTGTTCATCAATCATCTCTTGAATGGCGCCTCCAATGGATGCTGGCAGGTGTGCGCTTTTAACATGATTTGATTGAGGTAAAGAAGGTGAAATGTGATTGTTAAATTTTTTTTTTGTATTCCAATCATCTCCTTCAAACTGTGGGAATTTTAATAACAAACTATCATAGCCCAGTTTTTTTTTTTTTTTTTTTTTTTTTTCTTTTCTTTTCTGTTGGGAAACTTACCTAATCTTATTGCCAATGTTAGTACTGACCTGCTTGATCACAGGCGCAGATGCTGCCATGGTTGTCGAGACCATGCCTTCTTTACCACTCTTCAAAAAGTCAAGATTCAATGAACCCTGACCTTCTTCCTCCGTGGTCTGTGTGAGGACTTTTCGAGCGATACCCATGACACCGTTGGTTAACAACAGGTCCATACCCTCCGAGGCAGCTTCGACTGTGAATTCAGTGACACTCTTGACACGTTCAAAGAGATCGTCGCCCATGACATCGGCTAGTTGCGAAACGATGGGATTGGCTTCGGAGTCCTTGATGTATTCAACCATTGTGTTGGGCATATCCCTCTTGAGCTCGACCTTAGTCTCATCCAGTTCCTCAGTAACTTTTTCCTGAACATGAGGACGGCCGTACTCCTCAAGGAAGTTCATCAATAAAGGTGTAAGCTGCTCCATGACTTTTTTTCGATTTCACCGAAGGACAATTTAGGGCGTGTGTTCGAGAGTTTATAAAATTGAAAGGGTACGTCGAATGAACGAGAAGATATGAAAAGAAAGAATAGAAGAAATAGAAGAAAAAGAAAAAGAAAAAGAAAAAGAAAAAGAGTTCTCTGTCAGAGTGCTAAATATATTTATACTACAAATTGAAGGTGTTTTTTTTTTTTTTTTTTTTTTTTTTTTTTTTTGGAATGGGGCATGGAGAGGATGGAATGAAATGGTCTGAAGTGTTTGGAATCGAGAAACGTGTTAGAGGTATGTGTGGCAGATTGGGCCTTTTTTTTTTTCTTTATCATTTGGACCAATTGCACTTTCGCTACGCGAAGAATAGCGATGTCACAATGGGATGGAAATAAATGCTTCTTTCTTAGGCTTCTTTTTGCTTGCATAATCAATTATTCTCTATTCCAGTTCTACGCTTTACTCCACAGTTTCGTCAATGTTATTCATAGATTGTTATATAATATTCTATACAAATACATGTATAAATGGATCTTATTATTTCATGTACTTTGTTACTTTGTTATTAAAATTTACAATCGGAGATCTCATCCTTTTTTGCCCCCCTGCCTGGGCAGAACCAACGCGTCAAACGCCCAAAGGTCCTACGCCTTCTTTCCCACCCCCAATTCATTTCAATTCGATTCAAAAGCTCTCTTTGTCTCTTTGCTCCAGTTGCACAACAAGGTTACTCAACAGCACAGCACTGTACCTTCTCTCTTGCATGGTTTACATTCAAGGAGAACATTGCTTTTGCACGTGTTACTCCTTTCCACTTTCATCTCTCTTTCTCTGCTTTAATGACCCGGAATGGCATCATCTAGTCATTCAATAAAAGCTGATTCTCTTCATTGATCTCATCTTTTGTCCTTTCTTCATTCTTTTCTTCAATTTAAGCCGACCCGACCACTCTTTCCCGTACTTTCATTAAACCATAGGATAAAGTAGAGTAAAATAAAGCGATGACACTCTCTCCCTCAAAGCTGACTTCTGTTGTTCTGGGGCCTACTGCACAGCACACTGCAACAGTCATCTTTTTGCATGGGTATGGCGATACAGGAGCTGGATGGTGAGTATTAAAATTGTTTTACTTTTTTTCTACGCCAGCCAATATTCTGTTGTTTATTGGACAGTTGGACAATTGGACTATTGGACTTACCCCTGACCTGAATGCCGCGCTTTCTGATTATCTGATTGTCCAGGGCACCTTTTGGAGAGCAAGTAAGTTTTTGTAATAAAATAAAATGCAATAGGAAAACAATTAAGAAAGAAAAGATTGACAATCATTTCTCTCTCTACTTTTTATTAGTGGAGTAAACAACTACCTCACGTCAAGTTCATCTTCCCTACTGCCCCTGCAATCCCAATTACGATCCAAGGGGGAAAGTTAATCCCTGCATGGTTCGATGTCATTGTGGCTACTGCAAGTGGACGTAAGCAGGATGAAGCAGGGCTTATTCGGTCGCAACAAAGTTGTAAGAATTAATCATGAATAACCTCCAAACGAGTCTTGCACCAATACTAAAAAAAAAGTGAAAATGATGACTAAAAGCTCTGTGATTTTTTTTTTTTTTTTTTTTTTTTTACTTGTTATGCTACTTTGTTCAATTTGCTCATTAATTTTGCTCCCGTATAAAGTAATGCAACTCATCCGTGATGAGATTGCACAGACCAATATCCCAGCCGACAGGATCATCGTTGGGGGCTTTTCTCAAGGATGTGTCACTGCAGTTCTGGCCGCATTGACGTTCGAGCACCGACTTGCTGGAATAGTGGCCCTTAGCGGATATATGCCTTTACATGAAAAGGTCATGACCATGGTCAAGGACGCTAATCGTAATACGCCCATCTTTTGGGGCCATGGTGACTCTGACAAGGTATTTTTATTATAGCACAGAAGAAAAAGAAGGAAATGATCTAATGGTCTAGTTGCTGTATTAGACTATCTTCATCTGCTGTTTGCTAAATGTTACAATTGATAATAATAGACGGTGCAATACGATATTGGTGAACAATCTGTGGCTTTCCTTCAAATGTACAACTACAAGGTCGAGTTTCACACGTATGCTGGAATGGGCCATAGCGCATGCACACAGGAGATCTCGGACATGGTCAAGTTCTTCCTAAAGATATTTGAAGAAGTGTCCCCTCTAATGGCCAAGGCTTAAAAGTTTAAAAAAAAATAATAATTAGTTATGAAATGTGTGATCATTTTTGTCTATTTTGAATAAAATTGGACCTTGACTGGTTTTCTATTAGTGCAGAGCCTGGACAGTTTTTTCCAAATCTAATCCCTATGACGCGTCGCAATGCGCAATGGAAGAAGGACACTTTGCTCGAACCTTGCCTATAAGAATATGATCTTTTTGTTGCGAATGAGTATTAGGATTTGTGCAACTCCATAAACGGAGGACTGGGGTAGCCATTGAGATATACATGTATATATATATATACCCTCCCTTTTTTTTTTTTGTTCTGGCCCTTGTTAGAGATATATATTTATATATAAAAGAGAATGCTGAGTAGGAATTTTCTTTCGAGAAGTTAAAAAGGTAAAAGAACCTATTGGTTCATTTTTCTCTGGATCCTGGCGGCCATTAAATTTGCTACTGGTGCCTTTGAGTCATGATTTAATAAAGGTCTGTCAAGAGAAGTTTATCAAAGATTTGGAAGGGAATGGTTTGATGTATGTATAAATATATATATATATAAGATCCGGTTTCTTTGCCTTGTGTGGGGGGGTGGATAGCATGAAATATTTGTATACAAAAGTATAGACGGGAAAGAACATAGTGACGATCTTTTTGCCACTTGTTTTAGTAAGTAAGAGAGATGCAAGAAAGAAACTCAGACATGTAAAAGAGAAAAATGCTCCACATTTTTCCCCCTAACCTTTTACGAAAGGCTTTTTTCCGTTGGATTTGACTCAATACGAATATGTTGTGTCATGCATGCACTACACACGGATGTGTGTTCATTCCAATGGCCCATATTGCATTTATCCAACTGTTTACAGTAAAAGTTTTCTAGCATTCTCTAAAAAACTTCTTCTCCCCTTTTTTTCTCCTCTCCTCTTTTTTTTTTTTTTTTTTTTTTTTTTTTTTTTTTTTTTTTTTTTCATTCTTTTCTCATTGTCTTTCATTCTCTCTACTCATTCTTGTCTGCCCAATGGCTGACAACTCTAGGGACTTTACCGTTCAGGTAGATTCTCCTTCCACCGACAATCCTTCCACTCCTTCCTCCTCAACGCTGTCTTCGATCCAACATGACAACTCCACATCTTTACATCTTTCTCCCACCAATGACACCAATATCTCCACTCTGAACGAACATCTTCCACCTAGAGATAGAGATCGAAATAGAAATCGAATTGATCTACCTACCATTGCATCACCCACCCCTCTGAGACCCAACGCAGGTGCCTCTTCGGGCTTTGCCTTCCCTAGCGCCAATGCTTTCACAACCTCTGCCGAACCAAGGGATCTATTCACTCCTGAAGGCACCCCACAGGAGACTCCCGTTCCTACTCCCCAGGGATCTCCCTCAGCAGGGTACAGAAAACTCAGTCTAGGTGTTGAACGTTTTGCTCGAGCCGTTGAGGATCATGCTCCTATTGGATCCTTCTCAGGAACAGTGCCACTACCCTCACTCTCTCGGAACGATCAACCTGCATCCGGAAGAAGACCTTCACACACACTTTTAGACACTATTTCGTCTGGCAAACCGTCTGCTGACACCACATATACCCGTTCACCATGGGCCAATGCTTCTCAGGCAGAACCACCGAATAAGAACATAGGACTCAACCTAAACTCGATTAAAAGAGCAATTTCAGGCAAGCGTCGTCCGCAAGACTTGACCATGGCCGATCTGGAATACAACAAAACCCATAATGACTACAATAATAGCAATGATAAGGGTAAACCGTCTGATAGCACTGCTGCTAATCATTTGGTCAATGGCATAGCGAATGACCTTCGCGGTCCTACCAACGACGGTACTCCTCAGGCCGCACTATCATTTGCACCCAAGCCCGTTCTGTCACCGGCCATGGATCCTGTTAGGTCCTTGGCAGGCATCAACGAGAGCCAATCCTCTCGAGGCAATGAGGCTAGGCGGCGTTTTGAGTCGAACAATAGTCATTCTTCTGCTATTGCCAGCCCTGTTACTGAAGGGCGAGTGCGTCATAGGAAAATAAAGGGAGGAGTTCTAAGTCAACTCCTCAAGTTGCAAAGGAATGAGGCTGCTGCCGCCACTGCCTCAAGGTCTCCAAGCACAGCCAGTAAATCATCTGGGCCACTTGCTCAACATCCGCAGATTAAAAAGACAAAGAAAGGTTCCTTTTATCGATCATCCTCCAAGAACAACTCACTTGCAGATTTGGCTTCATCCGTTACCACCACACCAAAAGTATCTCCTCGAAACTCTATAATTTTTGAAGGCGATCCATCCTCAACAACGCGTTTGCCTACTCAGCCTTCCTTAACCATAAACAATTCAGGCCCTCTTACAAAACTTGGCCCTCATGAACATATGGAGGAGATGGAGGCACTTCACACCGGTGCAGGTATTGCTACATTGTCCACCAGTTTAGGAATCCAAAGAGATATTGCCGATATCTTGACACGTCAATCTTTCTTGATCATGGTCGCTAAGGCTTTGATCCTATACGGAGCGCCAACACACAGGATCGAGGAGACATGTGCTTTAATGGCGAGGAAGCTGGATATCGATGCATCTTTTGCCCTCCTTCCTGGCTTGATGACCATCTCCTTTAGTGACCCAGCGACGTACACGAGCGACACAAGGCATTTGCGGTGCACACAGGGCATGGATATGAATAAACTCTCAAAGGTTTACACCATCGCATTGGACGTGCTGCATGGCAGGAGTGCTGAAGAAGCGAATAAAGCGCTGGAAAAAGTTACGACTGAACAGGGCTACTACCCTGTTTGGGTCACTGTCGCCTCTTGGATGGTTTCTGCTGCATTTGTAGCACCTTTGGCCTTTAATGGCAGTTGGTTAGATACGGCTTTGGCAGGACTTTGTGGATTGTTGGTTGGTCTATTGGGAGTGGTCGCCGCAAAGTATCCTGTCTATGGAAATGTGTTTGAAGTGACTTCGAGCATTTTGGTCGGCTTTATTGCCAAGGCATTTGGAGACCGAGTATGCTTTTCTGCAGTCGCACTGGCCGGCATTGTAGTCCTTTTACCCGGATTATTATTGACTCAAGCGATCATGGAGCTGGCTTCAAGGAATATTGTCTCTGGCGCAGTCAGAATGTTTTATGCCCTAATGTACGCTTTTTTCTTGGGATTCGGGCTAACACTTGGAGCAGAGATATGGGGTGCTGTAAGTCATTCATGTTTGGTCAGCTTTCACTTCGTCTGGCCGTTGCTGAATGCCATCCATTTGACTAATAGACTTTTTTTTTTTTTTTTTTTTTTTTTGTCCTGATATCTTAGATTGGAGGTGATTCTTCGGTATCTCCTTCATCTTCTGCCTGTGAACATGCTGTGAATCCCTGGTGGCTTTTCCTCATTTTCCCTGTTGTTTCCACGTCAATCAACATTGTCTTCAATGCTCATCCAAGTCAATGGCTTGGTATGACTCTAGTGACGGCTGTCGGGTTCACGATCTCTTATTTTATGCCGGCGAAGCCTCATGTAACACCAGCGGTAGCTGCGTTCGCTGTTGGTATTACAGGGCAAGCCTATGGACGATTGACTGGACAACTTAGTTATGTTCCATTGCTGAGCGGTGTGCTATTATTGGTACCCGGAAGTGTTGGCGTCCGAGGTGTCCTCGCAATCATAGGGAGCAATGCAGATCAAGGTTTCCAGTTTGCCTTGCACATGGTTAATATTTCCGTTAGCATCACTGTAAGTCCAAAAGTCTTTAGTGTTGATGATGCCTTTGAGTATCGGATATTATCAAAAGTTTATGAGATTAATTTTTTTTTTTTTTTTATCAATATAATCTCTTGGTTAATAGCTTGGAGTGTTTTGCTCCTCATTAGTATGGTACCCATTCTGGCGCAAGAGTACATTTATGAATTTCTAAAAGGTCTTAGTTGCTAACCCTTCCATTAGTCATTTCATGGTCACTCCTACTACATTTAATTTGGTCTATTCGCACATGTATACCCCTTCTCATTTCACTCTCCATCATTACACTTAATTTTAAAGCATTTAATCATATAAAATGTATTCATAAAAAATTTGTGCATCTATTTTCTCGATCGTTTTATTACAGTAGTTGGTGTCATGATAAATGAAGAAAAACAGTAGCTGTATGAGTGATAATACAAAGGAAGATCACGATGAATGCGATGTGTTTTTTTTCTCTTTTTCTTTTTCTACTTGCGCATTAATAGGTACAGATTCTCACCCAAGCTAATGTTCTGTAAGTGCCTAAAATCTCCCTCCAAGCACATCAACAGACCTCCATATGAAATATAAACAGAGCTAAATAGAAATAATAATAAAAAAAGTCAAATAAGTGTCGTTATAATTTTTGTAGCAATTTCCTCAATTGCCGTAAAGTCAGCTTCATATCAATAGCTTGATCGACGCATGAGAGTAAGATCTTTATGCAACCATCCAAAAGTGATAAAAAATCAATCCTGTGTTCCTGATCCAATGCCATGCTTTGCCCAAATGGTGAAAAAAAAAAAAAAAAAAAAAAAAAAAAAAAAAAAATTGTTTGCTGATATATATAACATATATTCTGTAAAAAAAAAAAAAAAAAAAAAATCGAAACGAATCAAGTCGGCGGGTTTGTATTCATAACTATAAAAACAAAAAAAAAATAAAAACTTACACTTTACTTCCCTGGCCTTCATCATACTTGTAAACCTTGCCATACATGACATATTCATAATCATCTGCCAAGGTTCTTTCGCCTCCGACCTTCTCACGCCAACTCTCTTGTGTTCCTGTGGTATCATTTCCAACAGCAGTGGTGAGAGATAAAGATGTAGCCAAGACAAGCGAGAATTTTTCGCCAATCTCCAGAGGATAAAGCTCGTTGTTGATATCCAGTGTCAACTCCATTTCATAATTCTCACTACGGGCGTTAATGCGAGAGACTACAATGATATATTGGTAGATCGATACATATGCATATGATAAAGAGGTTTAGTCTATGAAAGGGCACTTCACAATGACTTTCAAGCCATTTTGTAGGTTTTGTAGGTCCATGCGTGTCCTATTATTCGAGTTACAACTGCAAAGTTTAATTTACCCTTGTCGAACTTCCTGCCAGCACCATCAACATCCTTGATGTCAAAGATATCTGAAAAGAGAACATTATCCTTGGCCGCCATTGTAAGTTATGGATGAATGAGAACGGGAGTCGAGAAGGCAAAGAGTCTGTTTTTTGTTTACCAACAGATACACGATATGAAAAAAGCAAGGAATCATCACGTGAATACTGTATAAGTTCCGGACTTGATCACGTGAACACCAAGGCCACCAACCCAGACTTCTAGTCCTCTCCAGAACTTTGATTCTCAATCCTCGTGCGGGATGCGGGGCGCGGAGACTTGATATCACCGACCTTCTATAGTGATATCCCAAAACCCGAGTTAGTCTTGCAGTTTGTGTCCATACTCGGGTAGCTGCCATTTTTTGTATTTTCATACCGTTTTAACTCGGTTAGAAGTTGAGGGTCACCGTTTCAGAGACTGCGAGAGGATTCAATTTGGTATTTTGTTGGACACGGTGATGATGTTATTCGAAGGAAGTTTAAGTTCCCTTTCGATCTGACAATCGAAACAAGAATAGAAGCACCTCATGTTCAAGTATGAGTTTTTTTTTAAAACAATAGGCCTAAACGACACGCAAAACCCCCAAGTAGAAATGTTGCGATCCAAGTAGTACGCTTCGTGGGAATATTCTCTTTTTTCTTTTATTCTCTTTATCATAAAAAAAAAAAGTATTTCCCAAGTCTCGCTGGTTGCTAGTGACAAACAAAAAAAAAAAAAAAAAAAAAAAAAGCATTGCAATTACTGAAATCATCGAGAATGTCTAAAAAGAACACGACTCATTCTTACTCCGCTCTAAGTCCACACGACCCAGACGAGGCCCATGATTCTGACAATATGAATGCTTCTAAAGCTGAGCTACAACATCGTCAGGCAGACCCCAGTCAAGTAAATTTACAAGTCATAACACCGTTATGACATATGAGTAGTTGGTGATGTGTGAACACAAAGACATATTTCAAAAAGAACACTCATTTCCATTGTATCACTATGTTAGACTAGCCAAAGTCAAATGCTGAGCGATCGAGGACGCAGACGCAGTTTGGACCCTACGGATCCCACTGCACCCATGCAACGGCAACAACCACATTGGTCTGATAAGGACAACAGTAGTGAAGACGAGGATGATGAAGTGGAAAACCCTGTTGTTAGCGAGAGCAAACATTTGCATCAATACTGGGTTAGATATCTGATTTTGACAACTGTCCTTGCTGGCTTGGCGGCGCTAGCTATTCTGCTTATTGTCAGAACCTGGAAGAGTAGCTATTGTAAGTTTTTTTTTTTTTTCTTTTTTTTTCTCTTGATGTTTGATGACTATTTTACTAATAGATATCTTTTTTGATCCAGACATGGCCCCTGTCTATAATGAGGCTGTCAAGGCTCTACCAGAAGAACAGCCTGTATGGCCCATTCCCAAATCATTCACTTTTGGAAAGCAGAAAGTCTTGCTTAGCAAAGACTTTTATATCCAGACGACGGTTTTCAATGACCAGCAATTTGGAATAGCACCAATTTTGGAGAAGGCTATTGGACGATTAGAAGAACGTCTACAACTCAAGAGGAACATGACACTTTATAGGATGGACTCAGTTGAGCCTGATTATGGCGATAATATCCCATTGACAAAGTTGGCCATCTTGGTGGACAACGCCCAGGCGGCGCTCGAATATGGAATGATTGAATCGTACACACTCGAGATCCCCGGACGGAAATCCGCAAACAGTGGCAATGGTGATAGTGCTCCTTACGCTTTCCAAGTGCACAGCGCAGTGCTCAGAGCAGCAACACAATGGGGTGTCATCCATGGCTTAGAAACGTTTTCACAACTCGTCCGAGCTCAGCCTATGACAACAACGTCTAAAATTAATGCTGAATCTATATCAGCAACAGCTGAGAACGTACTGGTGATCCCAAATGTTCCTTGGATCATTCGAGATGAACCTCGATACTCGCACCGAGGGATTCTCTTAGACACTTCGCGCAATTATATCCCTGTCAAGGACATCATTAAAACTATTGAAGCAATGTCAATAGTCAAGTTCAATGTCTTCCACTGGCATGTTTTGGATCAGCAATCATACCCACTCGTATCAAAGACTTATCCTGACTTGACGGCTAAAGGTGCTGAGCGACCTGACTACATTTATACATCAGAGGATGTGGCCTATATCGTTCAGTATGGTGAGGAGGTAGGGTATTATTACGCGTTTTTTTTTTTTTTTTTTTTTTTTTTTCCTTGAAAAAAAAAAAAAAAAAAAAAAAAAACGATAACCACTGACTTGTGAACTTGTCACGCGGACATACATTGATGCTCTTTATTAATAGCGGGGTATCCGTGTTCTACCCGAGTTTGACTCTCCAGGGCACGCTGCCAGTTGGGGTCGAGCCTACCCAAACCTCACAGTCTGCCTGGATATGGAGCCTCACAGAAAGTATGCTGCTGAACCACCCGCTGGACAATTAGACCCATTGGAACCATTCACCTATATCCTCCTCGACAATCTCATCCAAGAGTGGGGAGTCCAATTTCCAGATAAGCATGTTCATGTAGGAGGCGACGAGGTCAACTTTGACTGCTGGAAGACTTCAAAGCGCTTGCGGGACTATATAGAGCATGCAGGCAGACGGGGTCAATACGAGGATGCTCTTCTGCCGACTGTAACAAGCCCTTCGAAAGAGAATAAGATGCGCACTACAAGGGCTGGACCTCAATCTGGAGAAGACAAACTGCTAGAGCTTTATCTGGATAAAGTGTTCGGCATGTTTATGGCACAAGGCAAGAGACCGATTGTATGGGAAGAGATAGCATTAGAGCACAAAGTGAAGCTGCCAGATTCAGCCATTGTACAGGTCTGGAAGAATGCAGTCAATGCCAAGAGAGGTCAGCTAATATTACCATTGATATCTATTTTCATCGTTTTTCTTTTTTAAAAGCAACAGATATTGCACCTGAAATCTTAACACCAACTCTCTGTTAATGCTTTAATTGTACTCCATAGTGATTGAGCAAGGATGGCCTGTTATCCTTTCAAGTGCTGAGTACTGGTATTTGGACTGTGGTAGCGGTCAATGGCTCATTGGCTCTCAAGGCCAAAGCTGGTGCAAGTATTCCAATTGGCAGCGTGGTATGTGTATTTACAATTCTTTATTTGCTTGCGCTTGTTTAATTTCTCCATGTCTCTATGTGATATTAAAAGGATAAGAAAAAAAGGAAAACAACTTTACTTATGGCTGTTGGGGTATTTCAGTTTACTCATATAGTCTCACCGACCAGTTGAACACCGAGCAGCAAAAGATGGTTTACGGAGGTGAAATCTGTATGTGGTCCGAGCAGACAGATGCCTCAAACCTTCATTCGAATATCTGGCCACGAGCTGCAGCGGCTGCAGAGGTAAATAACAATAATAATAAAAAAAGAAAATTCATTAGGAATCAGTACTATAACATAGGCCATTTCTTTTCCTTGGCTCGTTCTTTTGGTATAGGTGCTGTGGAGCGGCTCACAAGATGAGAATGGCCAAGACAGGCCATTGATTCATGCCGCGAAGCGATTGACGGCTGTGAGGGACCGCCTAGTCCAGATGGGTGTCGCTGCAGCGCCCATATATCCTTCATGGTGCCGCCATAGTCCTGAGGGGTGTCTTGCTTAGACCCGATAATCATATCTTAAGCTCCATATCTTTCGAACGATATTTCCAAATAAAGAACAGGGATCACCTTCATTTTATTTCTTTTCAAATGCTATTGACATATGGTCGTATGTTTTTTTAAAAATGCAAATCTAAGTTTAGCTGTTGCGTCTCTGACGGACGATATTTCGAATGTCCCACAAGAATGACTTCTCAGCATGGAGGATGCTGGCCATGACCAGTCCAAATGCCGAAACGCCGATGCTTATGTGAACTGCCTTATCAATTAATCGATCCCATCCAACCCATTGTTCACTTGCAGCTGTAATCGCATACGCAGCGCTGAATGTCGCCAAAACAATAGAACTAGGGAGGACATTGCGCCATGGAACGAAAGAAAACATCCTTACGACACTGCTCTCAGCTGTGGTGATCGTCTTTGTAGGAATGTGTCGCCCATAATATCCTGAAAGAAACCACATACTCCATAAGATACGCATCGTTAGATTGACGCAATTTGCTAGTACGATACCCTTGGCACCCAGCCCGAGAGCTCCCATGAGGAATGCACCCGTACTACAAAACACGGCAGAGAACCCCACCATCCAGTAAGAGAGGGCTGTAAGCTCGTTCTCTGAAGCGACTGCTTGAACGACTGCTTCTGTGATGCCATTGAGGCCCATGATAGGAACATACCAGCAATAGAGGCTAAGGACAGCAGGAGCGATTGTTTGACGCGACCAATAGCTTCCAACAACCAAATCAATCAAAGTCGCTGTATAATGAGTTCCGAAGGCGATGAAGACCAAACCTAAAAGGATGTGGAATTTCATGATTGTCAAGAGAAGATCACGAGAGAGGACGAGATTCCTACGTTGTGTGTCTGTTAGAGAGGCTCCATCAAGTTTCTCGTCGTCCTTGGACACGTCAGTAGGACTACTTGCGGTAATGGAGGTAGTAATTGTTGATGATTTGGCAACTGGCCCGATGTCACTCAATAGCCTACTGAATAATGTCCGACTAGTTTCTTCCATAGGCTGAAAGAGAATCCTTGCAACGAGTGAGCCTGTACGAGCATTGCCATGTAAAAGTTAGGTTTTCATACTGCAAATATCTTCTGTCGCATAAAAAAAAAAAAAAAGGATGTGTAATATTACCATAGTTTATAACAAAGGCATAAACACCTTGGTCGGCTTCGGTGGTGAACCCAGCCATCAACATCTTGTCTCCTTCAGTCAAGATATGTTTGAGCAACGACTGTGCAGTCAAAGTCTTGGAAAGCTTTAACAATTCTTTGTCGAAGAAAAAGGTTTCCAACCTATTTATAACGTCGTAGACGGAAATAAATGATACAGAATCAGTTGCGTTGGCTTCAGATAGTGAAAACATTGATAAAAAGAAAGAAAAAAAAAGAAGCGAATGAAACGTACTTTCCATCTTTGCTCTTTCTGATCAATTTGCGGGGCAGTAGAGCCTTCATCGAGATCAAATCCTGTTTCTGATCTGCTTCGGTTTCTGTACTACGAGTGGCATTGTCAACGTCAAACTTTTTCAACGCTGCATGCATGCGGCGCTTCTCGGCTTGGTTCTTTTCTGTACTCTTGCTCCAAAATGCAAGTAAAAACCCACCGAGCGTCAACAGTCCATACACAAACTGTGCGATTGCAAAGGCTAATACCCCCATAGTATTTGCGTTCGATCCCGACCCATTAGTTTTCTCATTGCTCATTACGACTGATTGGCGAGCTCCATAGACAGTCAAAGCACACGTAAGAACACATCGGACAATCACGGCTAGGCCTTCCACAGAGACACGCGTCTTGAACCAAAGCTTATACTGTGCCACCATAAACATGGGTTCCGCCAACAACTCGATCAATGCAGCCAGGCCATACAAAACAATCGATAGCCTGTATCCTGGGAATCGCATCTCACTTGCGTTATCAACATGTGAAAGATAGTATCCGACGGCAGCCAGGGTCATGAAGGCTCCAATAGGAATGGGTGCATAAACCATGTTGATAAGTTTTTGAAGTCGATATTCCTCTGAACCCGGCAGGGGGGGTGATGATGAAATCTGTCGATCTTGATGCTGAGTATAGTTTTTTTGACGACTCTGACTATTGTCACCATTTTTTTTGATCGGATCATTATTATCCTCACCATTATCATCACTGACACGAATTGCAGCACAGCGCACACCCTCGCGTGAGAGGAAAAGGATGGTGTTGAGAAGTAACTCAAGCTGGACAGATGCGATACCCAATGTTTCTGCAGATGTGAAGCGGAGCAGGACCTGGTTTAATGTGAAGGTCAGCATCCTGGAAACAAACTGGAGAAGTACCAAATAGCTTGCACCTTGAACTGAAGATGACAGGATCGAGGAAGCTTCGTCCGTTGTAGAAGTCTTTACTGTCTGCTCATCCCTTTTATTTGGCATTTCATGAGATCGAGATGTAGAGACAGGGACAGACCGCTGCCGAAGCACGGGGTCTATATCGTCCATTAGGAGTTAAAGGAAGAGGAGAGGAGAGGAGGGGAGTACAAAGCTTTTGTTAATGAGAAGAGATGATGTTGCGAATGAACCAACAATGGAACAATGTTGACTATTTTCCATACCATGCTTGTGACTGCATGATGATATCATTGCTGCCTGCCTGGAGAGGCGGTCAGTGCACCCCAACATTTCATCTGAAGTACTTCCTCCTAATTGTTCCTCGCACTATCCTCTTACTACAGCAGAGGGCACAAGTGTCTTTTATGAACAAACATTGTGTCCCAGATCTCACAAAAAACCAACACTGTATTTCTGATTTCAAATGTGTAGATCGATATTTAATTACAATGACAGTTTAATGAAGCTAAACGTGAAAAAGAAAAAGAACAGAAAACAAATAATGACTCGCTTCTCTACAAAATTGCAAATGTGTATGGTGTAGGTAGATGCCTTATGTAAGATTCGGGGGGGGGGGGTTTTTTTTTTACTGCTGTGCGCACTGCACTCCGGGTTGGCCGCCACCTTCCTCATCATCATCATGGCCCAAATGACCTTGCTCAGCCCTTGCCTTCTGGCGAGGATCCATTTCAGTAAGGCTGACCTCTTCGACATGTACACCCTTGGGAAGAGCAGGAAGTTCAGCAGCAGGGGGAAGAATTGTCCGGAGCTGCTCAATCTTGGCAATATCGGTCCAATTAGCAGGAGGGAACTCGATCTCGAATTGGATATATAAATTACCGAAATCATGATGTCTTTCTGTTGGCATTCCTTGATTCATCACAGCCTTGTGCTCGCCTATTGTTCATTGGAAAGATAACAATTTTGTATAATTATTAAGGGTTAGTGTGTGTCACTGGAATCGAATCTCCTAGAAGAATCTCGGATTCTCATTGGTCTTATCGGCTGAAATTTGAATGATGCTTTGCCACATTAAAAAAAAACTTACCAGGTCTGATTACTTCGCCAGGAAGAATCTCAACCAGAAGGACACGATCATCCAGATGAGGAATCTGGATCTTACCGCCAGCAAGAGCAGTGACAAGATCGATCTTGGCATCATAGAAAAGATCATCACCATTGCGCTTGAAGCGTTCGTGCTCACGTTGATCCAGAACAATAACAACATCGCCGGGAACAGTACCAGGAGCCTGGTCACCCTCGCCAGTGAAGACGATCTTTCTACCGTCCTTCATACCGCGGTCAATGTGAACTTCGAGGACCTTGCGAACCTGATTAACCTTGCGACCATTACAGGTCTTGCACTTATCCTTGGGATTAATGATTTCTCCTTCTCCTCGGCACTCACCGCAAGGCTGTTGGATCTGTTGCATCATAGGTCCCATCTGTCTCAGCATCACACGGTAACCTGAACCATTGCAGGTCGTGCAGGTCTTGACCGCACCCTCCTTACCACCCTTGCCGTTACAGGGCTCGCAAATAACATTCTTCTGAAGTGCAAGCTTGGTGGTCTTGCCTTTGTAAAGATCCTCTAAAGTGACCTTCAGTGAATGTGCAACATCCTTGCCACGACGAGGACCTGAAGGGCGGCTGCCACGTCCACCACCACCACCGAAGAAGTGGGAGAACAGATCTTCAGGAGAGAGGCCACCCATTCCTGGGCCACCCTCACCGGAGAGTCCAGCCTCACCGTATTGGTCATAGATTGTACGTTTTTGGGGATCGGAGAGAATATCATATGCATGGCTAATTTCCTGGAACCTTTCAGAGGTAGCGCCTCCAGTCTAGACAGAAAGAGCAAGAAAAAAAAATTAAAATAAAAAAGGAGTACAGTCAGCTAATGAGTCACACTGTTTGCGAGCCGAAATGGTGGGATCCACAATCTGATGAGTTTGAATACTCCACTTCTAAAGCGACTGTCCGATTCCAGAGATGGAGACGATCTCTTTTCCTGAAAATGTTGGTGCAAAGTTATTACCTTATCTGGATGATACTTGAGGGCCAACTTGCGATATGCCTTCTTCAACTCTGAATCAGAGCAGGTAGGGCTGACTTCGAGAGCGTCATAAAACTTGGTTTCTTTGACCATTGTTATTAGAGTTTTATAATGAAGTTGATTGGGGTTCTGTTAGCTTTGTTGAGCTGCTTGTGTTGTATATGGGATGTGAAATAGAGCGGAGAGGGTGGAGGAATGAGATGGCGAGACGAAACAAGAAGGAGAGAGTGATGTAATAGATTTGATGCCTAGTGTGTGTGATGATGAAAGAAAAGAGAAGAAAGGGGGCGATCAAGAACAAAATAGCATTTTATTTAGTAGCCCAGGCACCAGCCAGCTGAAAAATCCAGAAAAAATTGTTTCCATGAGAATCGAAACGAAAAAAGATAGTCAAGTCACGTGTAGATTACCTTGTAAGCAGTCATCATTGTTGTGGTTTTTTTTTTTTTTTTTTTTTTTTGAGCGAAGACAACTGAGCTGGTAGTAGTTGAAGCTCGGTGTTACTTACTTTGAGAAGCTCTTTTACATCGAGTATTCCATTCCAATACTCATCTACATCTATCACTACTTACTTCACCGCCGGCAACTGGAGTCATCATGGCGGACACCGTACAGTTCTACATGGAGGAGATGATCCCCGAGCTGCGAGATCTCGAGCAGAAAGGGATATTCTCTAAGGTTCGTTGAACTTGTTCCTGTGTTAATTTTATCGGCAACAATTTCTGATACCAGATCGAAGCTAACATTGCGTAATGTACTATACCTTAGAAAGAGATTCAGTCAATAATCAAGAAGCGCGAAAAGTTTGAATATGCTTTGAAGCGGAGGATTAGCAAGAAAGCAGACTATTTGCGTTACATTGAATATGAAATGAATCTGGAGGCATTACGAAAGAAACGTCGTGCTCGTATGGTTTCCAACACAAAACAATCGATCTCAGATTATGCTGGACAGCGTCGCATATACTTTATTTACAAGCGCTGCCTTACAAAGTTTAAAGGAGATATCTCGATCTGGCTTCAATATATCAATTATGCAAAAAAAACCGGAGCCAGTAGAACTCTCGGGAAGATCTTCGCACAGGCAATTCAACTCCATCCTACAAACGAAAAGATGTGGATTCTAGCCGCAGCATGGGAATGGGAAGAGAATGCAAATATTGTTGCTGCCAGAGGTTAGTAGGTTATCAATGAGCTATCCGTACAAGATTTAGTATAATCAACATACAGCATATAAAGACTAACGTTCTCTTCGTTTGCAATACAACTCTCATTGCCACTAGTCCTCTTGCAGCGTGCCCTCCGCCTTAACACTACCACAGAGAGTCTTTGGCATGAATATTTCCGCTTAGAACTTGTATACATCGCAAAGATTTTGGCTCGTAGGCAGGTACTAGGGATCGATGTGTCAGAAGAGGAAATCGAGGAGAATTTACTGGAAGATAGGGAGGTGGATACAGACAATATGATCAAGCTTCCCAGCATTACAGGAGAAGAATTTTCTGCCCTAGATCAAGATGAAAAGGGAGTATTGGGGAAAAAACTATCAAAAAAGGGCAAGAAAGAGAAGAAAAAAGCGCCATTGACAGAAGAGAAGGCTGAAGCTTTCAAAACAGAGAAGAATCCTGTCCTTCGGGGTGAGGTAGCGATGGTTGTGTACAGGAATGGAATAAAAAGCATCCCTAATTCATTCTCCTTCCGTAAAGGATTTCTGGATATTGCCAATTCCTTTATCAGGCCGAAGCCGCTGAACGACGACTCGATCCAGTACATCTACGATTCGATCAATGCTGATTTCAAAGACTTGCCAGAAGCACGTGCACTTGTTGCTAGACGTGCTATTGACGCCTATAAAGTAGATGAGGAGGGATATGTCAAGGGTGTTGGAGAAACCGTGAAGGCGTTTTGGCAGCTCTGTGACGACAATGATCCCAGAATGTGGAAGCTTTTTGTGGAGAATATGGAAGCTGAGTACCAAAAAACAGAAGAAGAAAACTTGGTAAGGGCATAGGCTGGCATGATCATATGATGGCAATAGATGAGTTCATGTTCTGACGACGGAAACTTGAATTCTGGTTTGCTTAGAAACTTTACTTCTCGAAAACTATTGACAGGATTTTCTCGTCTGCCGACAAGAAAAATATTCATTCAGAGGACCTTTGCTTGCTCCAAATCAACTGGATTCTATCATCATCGACTCTTTCTGTTGAAAACGTCAACAAGAAGGCACTCACAATCCTCGATCAGGCTATAGCTAAGTACCCTGCCTCAAGAGCGCTTGTCCTACAGCAGATTCGACTATTAAGAACACTCTCGCGTTCGGAACAGACCGCACGTCTTCCAGCAATTTTTGCCCACGCTCTCAAGACTCATACAGAAAGTCTCGATATTTGGCGGGAGTATATTAGTTTCATCAGGACAGCATACCGAGAGGACGATATGAGTAAGCAACAAGTTGAAGAAGCATTCCTAGATGCTGTTCGCACCACCACAGCACTGCTCCCTGACGTTACAGAGGAGAGAGCCGAAGTAGGACAGGTCAAGCACAGCGTCAGTGCTTGGTTCCTTGACTGGATGAATGAAACCGAGGGTATTGAAGGCGTGCGTCGCGTATATCAAACTCTACTGAAGAAGAGTCTACCTGAGCCAGGCTTTTTTATGACGTGCATAAACCTCGAAAAGAAGAATTCGATCAACGAAGAAGCATCGAGAAAAGCAATCTGTATGCTTTATGACAAAGCCATCCACGCTGATGAGAAGAATGAAGGTAAACTCGAGATTGAAATAGGGAAAACTACAATAGGTGATCCCATCCTAAATGAAATAGTATACTAATTGTTTGTGACATCCTGATAGACATATACCTCTCATTCCTCAAGTTCCTAAACGAGACTGGGCAAGTCGAAATGGCTAACAAAGTTCTGTGGAGGGCGGGTAAGGCCGCAGCAGACAGTGACGCATTCTCTCAAAGATATCGCGAGATGCTTGAGGGCAAATGGTCAGAACCAAGCTATTTAGCTGCGGAACTGGACTTGGATATGGAGATGGACTCCCAGCCAAATGAAGAGGCTTTATCCTCTTGAGGATGACTTTTGAGATAGACACATAAAATAAATTCTGCATTCTTGCATATTACTCCTTTATTGTTGACAATGCTGTGCCTATTTGCTACACTCTTCCTCCTTTTACTGTCGTCTTGCCCGCTTTGACCTTGCTTCGTGGAAGAATTTCTTTTTAAACCCCCTTCCATCCTTATTTTTCTTGCTACACTCACCTCCCTTCTACTCTTCGCTCTTCTCTTTCAAAAAGTCTCACCTTAGTTTCTTCTCACTTGAAAGCTTTTCTTCAATTTCGCCAGAAGCATGTCTGCCAGAAAGGTGCTCATGATACCAAGCAGCAATGAAAAAAAAAAAAAAAAAAAAAATTAATATCCATATTCATATCCATATTCATATCCATATTCATATCCATATAAATGTCAATAGGAAAAAAAAAAAAAGTAAGAAAAGGGACATCACTGACACTTTAGCTTCTACTCATATATTTATATGCAACAAAATAGAACAGAGAACCTGCCATGTATACGTTAACAGCAGGGGCCGTAGCAGGAGCTGCTGAGGCCATTATAACCTATCCCACAGAATTCGTTAAAACTCAACTTCAACTTCAGGATTGTGGTGTTGCATCAGCTCGCAACGGTGGAGTAGTATGTATAACGACCTTTTCTTGTTTTTGTTTTTTGGGACTCGTTGCAGTCATACATTTATAAAAAATGATGAATATCCAACCATTTGCATAAACGCGTCATTTGCAATCATGGTTGGAATTACTCGTGGGAAATATCATTGAAGAAGAGACATGTCTTTGCCCATTAGTAAAAAGGGGGTCACACTACAATAGGGAAATCGGAGGAATTGTTGGTAAAAATATACTGAGGCCCCCCTTGCAACCACATGGTGTATATTAGAAATTCAAAGGACCTTTGGATGTTCTGGTGAGGACAGTACAGACTCAAGGCATCACTGGTATCTATCGAGGATTATCTGCATTAGTTATTGGGACAGCAGCGAAGGCTGGTGTTCGTTTCTTTGCATTCGATCAATTCCGAGAGCGGCTCAAGGATTCACAAGGCAGGGTCACAGGAGCACGGTCCGTTCTTGGTAAGCTGACGGAGATCTATTTCATTTTTCATTTCCCAATTTAATCAGTATTAATCAACTTTTATGGCGGGATTTTCCTATTTCTGCTAAACTCTGTTAATCAAACATTTTAACGGCAGCTGGACTCGGCGCAGGAATGACAGAGGCCATTCTGGTAGTTACCCCTACAGAAACGATAAAGTATAAAAAAAAAAAACGTACAAAGATTGAAACGTATAAAGTGGGATCAAACTCAGCCAACGCTAACCTGCCAATCTAACTATCTCTTATCATACATCTATGTATTTATAGGACCAAACTGATCCATGATGGGAACCTTCCTAGTCCTCAATATCGGGGCCTTATTCATGGTAATGTAACTAGAAATATATAGTGCAGATGAACACTAGCAAACGAAGTTAGGAGTCGAACTAACTGCAAAAATTATTAATGATGTTTTAGGTGTCAAATGTATTGTGCGGGCTGAAGGATTTGGAGGAATCTACCGCGGCGTAGTGCCTGTGATGGCACGACAAGGAGCAAATAGTGCAGTGCGCTTCGGTGTGTACTCATATTTGAGCGACCTTGCAAAGACTAGCCTAGGTAATAAGGGACAGCTTCCTACAACGCATGCGTTTGCAATTGGAGCGGTAGCAGGTATTGTTACTGTTTATACAACTATGCCGCTGGATGTGATCAAGACCAAGATGCAAGGTTTGAGGGCGACGGAACTTTACGGTGGTGCATTCGATTGTGCTTGGAAGGTGCTCAAGAACGAAGGCGTCCTAGCGTTCTGGAAAGGTGCTACACCACGATTGGCGCGATTATCAGTAGGTTGAGTTCATTTCATTTTGTAGCGTTGGAAGACAGAGCACAAAGGGATGGTGACCCTGTCAATTCTGCTCTAATCTCAACAAGTGATACAAAAGGATAAAGTATTGGACGGCTCTTTGCTAAAATCTTACGGGAAAGAAAAAGTTTAACAATCCTTTGTTTGATATCATTTTTTTATTTTGCATAGATGTCGGGCGGAATTGTATTCAGTCTTTATGAGAGTACCATGTCGCTGCTACATCGGTTTGATGAGCATGAACCCATCAGCTCTTAAGTAGCGAATTTACAGACAGGCACTCTTTTGTCCGATTTGCAATAGTGCCACAATCCATTAAAGCACATCCTTTGTGTTGACAGTAAATCAAGTTACACACATCCTTCCCCACACCTTTCTGGTTTGCTCTCTCATTCATCTTCGTGTTCATTCCACCCCCTTCCATCCTGATTTGTATTTCTATGTCAGTCTCATTAAACGGAACTAAGATAATATCTATATCTGTTGTCATTGTGTCCATTCTCTTGTTCCTAGAGCAATTTGATCTAGACCTTGTGTCAAAAACGGTAGTGGATCGATCTCAAACTCTTTAGCTTTTTTGTGTCGTGTGGCGGTGAGCCAATAACCTGTCAAAAAACTAAATAAATAAACAATCTTTTTTTTTTTTCCATTATTTTTTTTCTTCTTTCTTCTTCGACAGCTCTCGTTCAACCCAACCCACATCCCATTCGCCCTCTCGGCCCATTGAAAGCCGATCTCCATTACCTCCTCACATTTCACTTGATCCAATCAACTGCAGTACCCTTGGAAGAATTCATTTCGCTCTGTCTTCTTCACTATTTATATTTCAATAAAAAAAAAGTACCTTGTAAAAGCACTCCTGTTGTTGTAAGTCATTCGCTTGAGATCCAACTGTGATCCGTCCTGATCACTCAGTCCATGAGAAAGAAAAAAAAAAGTCATGAAAAGCATCTCTCTTCCCAATGATTATTTCCCTTGATCCTGTTTACTAATTACAGTGATTTGTATTTGTTCGTACTTTCTTCAGGCTTTTCACTCTTTTTTTTTAACAAGTTCAAAAAAAAAGCTGTTCCTTACTGCTCTAAGCAAAAAAAGTTGTCTTTGCCCCGCTTCTTAGCACTTGCTATGCGTCCAGGTCCCAACCCTAACTCTTGCGCTACCGTCCAGTTCACTCCTCAGTTGCCTTTCGTTCCCATCCCTTGCTGCCGATAGCATCCCTATACCCCCATTGGAATTGATATATATTTTTCTTTTGCGTCTTTAACAAAAAAGAAAACTTCATCGCTTTTCTTTCTTAAAAAAAAACACAAAAAAAAACCCCTAAAAAAAAATTATCTTGCTCCCTTTCAACCTTTCTTGGTAATCATTCTTTGTTTTTGGTCTGTGAAGTCGATTAAAAGGTAAGGTCAAAAGCATCCACGCATAATACACATAGAACTCAATTGAAAGCGCGTCAATTGTTCAGTAGAGTACTGGATCGGATTCCTTGATTTTGTCAAGCAATTGGCACTTTTGTTCTTTTGTTTTGAACTCTCCTTTTTTCCTTTTCCCTCTTTACCATACTGTGGTTTGTTCGATGACGCCAAGATCACCCGTCACAGACTTCTTATCTCTAAACAAAGAGAAAGACAATTCAGACGGAACAATCTGTATTCACCCTAAATGTCGATTTTATCATAATATTCTGAATAGGACTTTCACCCGAAAACAACCTGCCCATCATTTCGTCAGAAACACAGCCCCCAACGCCCTTCGTGTTCGTGCATCCTCTGAGAAAGCCACCCTAATCCGTTTTCTTACACACTCGAAAGAACCCCACGTGAATGACCGTTCCTGTTCCTGTCCCATCCTCGGCACAAGCCGCCGTCACTGGCGAGCTCAAGTCCGTTGCCCTTCAACATCTTCATCAATCTATTAATCTTACAACCCCTTTTACTACTACCGCCACCACCACTACCCACCATGATTCCGCTGCTCCTATGAACTCCGATGCCCCTGCTGCCCATGTACACTTACATGACAACGAGGCTGGCTTTAAAAACGACGCTTTCTTGGACACCACTAATGATACTCAGGAAGCTGGTTCGTTTGAAGGTCCAGAGAAGCTTTTGGAGATCTGGTTTTCCCCTGCACCTTTTCCTCTCCAAGGCATCCGCACCATCCCCACAGCGTTACAACCTGCAGATAACGACGAGACCTTTGGAGGATCGGATCGTTATGGTCTTCGTATTGTACCTAAGCCTATTTGGGATGAAATGTTGGCTATTGTCAAGTGTCAAGTCCTAAACTCGATTCAGAACGATTGTATGGATGCGTTTCTTTTGAGCGAGTCCTCTTTTTTTGTCTATCCTCACAAGCTGATCCTGAAAACTTGCGGCACAACCACTCTTCTCATGGCGTTGCCCAAGATTTTAGAAATCGCCCAGAACTATTGTGGTCTCGAAAAGGTTTGGCGTGTCTTTTACTCACGCAAGACTTTTATGTTTCCCGAGCGCCAGTTGCACGTTCATCGCGACTGGAAGGATGAGGTTGCATTCTTAGATCGTCACTTTGGTATGTTTATGCGTTCCATTAATATGACTTGGTTCCTGAAATCACCAGATGTGTTGATTCTTGTACTGAGTCTTACGTTATTACTTGTTTTATTTTATTGATTAACAATAGAACATGGAGCCGCTTATACTGTAGGAAAGGTTAATGGTGATCACTGGTGCCTCTACTTGACTGCACCTCAGGACGATTGTCTCTCGCACATCACTTCTCGCCGTAATAGCACCAACTCTTTGGAAGACGTCAACGTTGTCAACAATGAGAACAACGATGTAATGGTTACTGATGAACAGGGTGAAGGAAAGGTCTCTCTTCCTTTGAGCATTGTAACCGATGGCACCACGACCGCTGGGGTAGCAGGAGAGGATTCTCCCTTGGTCTCACCTGGATCTCCATCATCTTCATCGTCTGTGAGCTCTTCTTCGTCGTCGATCTCTTTTGCCTCCTCAGCTAGCAGTGTCAGCTACCTGTATCCTTCTCATGATCAAACCGTTGAAATTTTGATGACTAATCTCAACCCCGAGGCCATGAAGCGCTTCTATCAGAGACCGGACGATGTTCCTGGCACTGTTGGTGGTGTTCGTGTGGATCAAGAGACTGGTTTAGCAGGACTCTTCCCCCAGGCGCAGCTGGATTCATATTTGTTTACTCCATGCGGATACTCTGCTAACGCCATGCAGGATGGTAACTACTATACGATCCATGTTACTCCCGAGCCTGTTTGTTCATATGCTTCATTTGAGACCAACATTCCTGTGGGTCTTGGTAGCAGGAAGAGGATCAGGGGCTCTTCTGCTTCCGGTGATAGCACCCCTAAGTCTGCTACGTCTGGTAGCGAGAATGGTGACGACAAAGAGGATGATGTGGTCAGCAAAGCGACCTACACAGGCCCTGAAACTTTGACGGAGTTGATCTCGAGGGTAGTCGAGATCTTCCAGCCTGGTACTATGAGCGTGACTCTGTTTTCGTCCCATTTGACTGAGGATGGTCAGATGGAGACAGAACGCCAGATGGAGCGTCGTCAGCGCCGCATGGTCAAAGCAATGGGCCGTATTGCAGGCTTCACTCGTACGGATCGCATCCTGTACGAGTTTGATGGTTGCGACTTGGTCTTTGGACATTTTGTGGCTAAAGCCTAAATTGTTGGATTGGGAAAACAAAAGTAAGGATTAGGAAGGAAAAACATGAGAGATGAAAATCAAGCTACTTCGCGATGAAGGGTAGAGGATGAGATGATGCTTCAAAAAGCTGTCTTTCCTCCGCCTTGAGTAGCTTGCTGAATCTTTTTTGTTATTCTTTGTTTTACTCGATTCTCTCATTTTCCAACATTTTTATTATTGTTTTTTATTATTATTGCTATTATATCACCAATGTCTTTACTTCTTTCAATATCAGAATACTCAGTATGCTTTACTTTCCCCACAAAAAATTACAATAAACACATTGTTTTTTGTATACTTGCTTAAATTTTTTTATTGATGTGAAATAGAGTACAAATGATTTTACATTCTCCAACCCATGTCAATAAGATTAGGTCCGCCGCCACCAGGCATAGGATTTACTCCAATATTTGAAGCGTCGTATGCCTCCATTTCGTTCTGGTAGCGCCTCTTGTCATTCTCTGCCATGTTTCCATATGACTCCTTTTCTGATTCAGACAGCTTTTGCCATTCTTCACCCAGCATTTTTGTGATTTCTGTTGGCTTGAATTCGGGATGTTTCTTCTTGATGTCGTCCCTACATAGATGAAGGAAAAAATATGGGGTTAAATATCATAGTAAATTACTGCCAGTATTGCTTTTTGCTGTACTTGTAAGTGCATGTACAAAAAGGATGTGGTCCTGAAAAACTCTTTTTTTTTTTTTTTTTTTTTTTTTTTACCTTTTCATTAAAGTGAAAAAGATGTACGAGTTCCTAGGACGTTTCGGACAGTTTTTGTCTTTGATAACTGGAGGAATAGACTTTTTGAATTTCTTTTTGGATATTGAACCTATGCCACCATGGTGTATGTTCATATTACTCATGCCTCCAGGCATCCCTGCCATTCCTCCAAATGCACCAAGACCCATGCCACTCATCCCGGGCATCCCCGGCATCCCTGGCATACCATTCATGGGTCCTCCGTTACTACCTGGTCCAACAGGTAATCCAATTCGGCTGCCGGGTGGACCTACTCGGTGCTGCTGTTGTAGTTGTAATTGTTGTTGTTGCTGCTGTTGTTGTAAATGTTGCTGCATTTGTTGTGAATGGGCCTGTTGTAGCCCATGATGAGACTGATGGTGATGATCTGGTGCACCATATGGGCTGGACCCGGCTCCAACCATGCCTCCCCATCCCATCCTCTCATTTCCGCCACCACCACTGCCGTTACCATTCATCGGATTCATACCAGGTAGACCAGAGACCATTCCACCCATAGGACCAATGCCCATTGGACCCATCCCACTCAAGCCATTGGGATCCATGGCTCCAAAGTCTCGACTACGTTTATTGGCGGCAGAACGATTCTGTTGTGAACCCACTCCATGTCGAATCGGACCTCCGCCTCCTCCACCACCACCTCCACTACTAGGTATTGATGTAGCGGTAGATGTGACGTTTCCACCCGACACCATCATATTCTGTGGTACTGATGTCCATGCTAAGTCACTAGAACGAGAATTACTTCTATTCATGACATTCTGGAATGGTGGATCTATATTGTAACGCAAAGGCTGCTGCTGCTGCTGCTGCTGCTGCTGTTGTTGTTGTTGTTGTTGTTGTTGTTGTTGTTGTTGTTGTTGTTGTTGTTGTTGTTGAACTTGTGATGGTTGCTGCTGATTGAGCCTTGGATCATGCCGACTGTCCGTTGTGTACATGTTATTAGAATTAACGCGCATAAGATGTGGTAATGGGCTTTGACTTGGATGAAGCTGATGTTGTTGTTGTTGCTGCGGCTGATTGTGGTGCGATAGTACAGACTGATATGGCGGATGTGTTCCGTGGAATTGCTGCTGTGAAGAATGTATTGGACGTTGTAGCTGGTGTTGCTGTTTTTGGAGTTGCTGCTGTTGTTGCTGTTGTTGTAAGGCTTGATGAGGTTGACTTTGTTGAGGATGTGGTGAGTAAGAATGATGCTGGTACTGCTGTTGCCCTTGTCCTTGTCCCTGTTGTCCCTGCTGCTGTTGACCCTTTTGTAAAGCATCTTCAAGGATCTGTTGCGGGTGAGGGAGCTGGGGCATTCCTGAATTCGATCCTGAGCTTGATATTGTCCTCCTCATGTCTGAATCATCCAGGTTTCTTCTTGAAGAGTCCATCTGTGATCCTCCACCACTTTCCGAGAGGTTTGATGACGAATGCAAGCCTGTTGGTGTCCCTAGTACGGAGGAGTGAAGACTACTTCCATTTCCTCCACTACCACCGCCAGTGGAGCTTGAAGGAGTTGCAGATCCGCCTGAACCAATGTCGCCTTGATATGAAAATTGGAATCCGGACGAGTTGTCATGACTACTCCCGGTACCATTCCCGGCACTGCTGTTCCCATAAGGGTTACTATGGGCAGTATTGTTACTGCTATTACTGTGGCTGTTGCCATTGCTGGAGAGATTATTAGAGTGGAGCGGTGGTAGGACTGGAGGCGTTACAGGGCTGTTCATGGCATAAGGGTGATTACCGGTACTGAAATTCATATTATGGCTCATGGAGCTATAGAGATGTCCATATCCTCCGTAAGAAGAAGGCCCACTTCCCGGCCCACCAAGGGTAGTGTTCTGATTTGTTGCCATCAAGGACGGATCTGATTCGAAGTGTGAAGATGGGTTTGACATTTTAATGGCTACAAAGAAAAATTGGATAGCGGTGCCTTGAGTTGAAGGGAGAATTCGTGTCGTGTCAAAGTTTTTGAATCAATGTTTGTCGTGTTGTCCTTGGGATGAATGTTTATAGTTTCTTGTGTGACAACGAAAATGCTATGCTCGTTTATCAGGAGAGAGAGAAGGGAAGGAGAGTAAGGAAGAAGAGAAGAAGACGAATTTTTTTTTTAAAAACAAAAAGAAAAGAAAAGAGAAAGACGTAAAAAGGATTAAAACAATGCGATGGCAAAGCAAAAAAGCACTGGAATCACTGCCTGTACTCGTGCGCTGTCTGATCCGATTACGGTCATCTTTTCCTTCTTTTCCGCTATTATTTGACATGATCCTTTATTTTTTCCTTTTGCATTCGCAAAAAAAAAAAAAAAAAAAGCACTACATACTTTCAGGCTGTGCACTATTTCAAATGATTTTTTTTTTTGTTTTAGACCATGGAGTATCGCATTTAACAAGCAATTTTTTTTTTGGGGGGAGGGGCGTCATTGGTTGTTCATCATTGCACACTAAGAGTAAGCCTTAAAATGCCTTATAAAATTTTTTTTTTTTTGGAAAAAAAAAAAAAAAAAAAAAAAAAAAAGCGCTACTAAATTGTAGCCATTTCATTTCTCCAGATAATAAACAACGCGCTTAGAATTCTTTATATGCAGATATCAAGTATTTAACCCTTACTATTGCTTAAGCCCAAGAGCATACGGTTAAATGAAGGTGATCCTATTTACTAAACAATCGAGAGAAACATAGGAACAATGTGAACGTTTGACGCTTTTTTTTTTTTTTTTTTTCATCATGTAAGCGTCAACACTAACAGTTTTTTGCAATAGATGATCATGGATGAAGACGCGTAGCATACACACGTAATAATAACAATGGTAATAATAATAAGAATAGAGTAATAACAAATAATCAAATAATAAAATAATAATAATAAAAAAAGTTCAAAAAGCCGAGGCAAAAAGGTTTTAGTTTTTTGTTGTTGTTCCTGTCGTATCTCTCTTACCAACTGCGCCGACGTCAACACACACGCGACACGTAAAACCAAAACGTGGCACAAGGAAATAAAATAAAGTAAAACAAGCATTAGAACGAACTGCATGTAGTCAAAAAGCGACCAAAGCAATGGAAAGAGAGAAGCAAAAAAAAAAAAAAAAAAAAAAAAGGAAAAAAAAAAAAAGGAAAAGAAAAGCAAGTAGAAGAGAGGAGAAAGAGAACCTCGCATTTCGTGTAGAATAGATAATAACATCAAGTGAATACAATGTGTCGGGTATAAATAAATGTCTATACAGGAATGAAGCAAAGAGGGCTATGCAGGACCTTATAAATAAAACAATAACAATAGCAACAATAACGACAAATAACAACGAAGCAGTGGACACATCTGTGTTTCTCCCATTCTAATTAGTCTAACGTTCCATGTCACCTACCAAGGACTCACAGGATACTACAGCAACTGAGAGCCACGAGTAGTAAAAGAATGAATGGAGAAGGTAAAGAAAAAAAAAATAGAAAGAGAAGTTAGAGTTAAATAGTGAGAACAGAGAAGAGAGACAGGAGGGTAAATGATCTCTCGGGAAGGGGAAGGGAGAGAGGAACAGAGGACACAGGTTGAGAGAGAGAGAGAGAGAGAGAGAGAGAGCAGTACGATTTGTCAGACGATGGGATTGAGATCAATACGTGTCAATATACAATAAAAGGGTAAAAGGGAAAGAGGGTGAGCAGATGTATTATTGAAAGGCAGAAGAGACGCAAGGGAATCGCGTAGGAGAAGGAGAGGGGTTGAAGGCAAAAAAGATTGGAAGAGAAGAAGAGAAAGAGAGAACAGAGGGACAAAGAAGGTTTAAACAAAGTGAAGAAAAAAAAAAGAGAGAGACTGAAATGGAGAGAGGTGGTTTTTTTTTTTTTTTTTTTTTTTTTTTTTTGGCATTTGTTATTGTTCTTGACTCTTGACAACATATTTTAAAATACGATTTAAATAGCCTGTGAGGACCATTGGCTATCGATGCATGTCCCTGCGATAGCTCCCTTGTCTTTAATTCCCTTTCCAGGACTTTCGCATTCAATACGTTTGAACATGAAGAATCTTGTGCATTCAATAGTGGTGATTGGGAGTATATATACTAATGATGTTTTTATATTGTTCCTTTCAGTACTTAGAGCTTCGATTAATGCTCATATTGAACAAGCGTGACGAATGTAGTGATCATGAAGACAAAAAAAAAAGAAAAAAAGAAAAAGCACAAACCAGAAAGTATATAGGATTTTGTTGTCTTGGTCAAGGAGGAATCAAACAAGGGGTGTACCATGGAATAAAGGGGAAAGAATGGCACAATGCCTAGCACAATGATCTTGGAAGGAATCAGGAAGTATTCAATGGTATGGAAAGGGTGATCAAGATATGAAAGGGGGGAAAGGGGGCTCGTAAAAAAAAAAAAAGAAAAGAAAAAATTACTTCAAATGAGAAACATCACCCCTCGTTGCTTTCTGCTGAACCAAGTTTTTCCTCGATCCGCTATGCTACTGTGTTACATAGTGAGTGTTCCTCATCCTCAACACACCTCAAATACAACAGTATTAATAATCGATACTATATTAACATGTACAAAAGGCGGCTATCGATAATAGATCAAGAAATTGTGTTTATTTCTTATATGAACGAATCGACACACGCTAATGGCAAAAAACAAAAAAATTGAGGACTGGATGGGCTCAGTAAAACTCTTCAGTCTGTGGGAAAGTTATCCCTCCCTCAGTTCGCCACGGAAATATGACTGTCTTGCCCTATTATTTGTTCCACGCCTTTCTCCGTTGTAACGTTCCTTCCACATGTTCACATGCAAACCTTACTAGAGTAGACAGTAAATATTAATCAATAGTGAACCCTGCATGGACGTGGAAGAGACGCGAAAATAAACTTCACAAAGGTGTGCATTGATCTCTCTTTTTTTTTTTTTTTTTTTTTTTTGATCTGTCTCTTCGAAAAGTGAGATAGGATGACAGAGAGAACTATGTCACCAAAAATCAAGATTGGATAGAGGTTTACTGCTGGTTTGTGCGTCCTTAATCTAACGGAAGCCGTATAGTGTCTAGTATGGATCAACCACTCTAATTATCTGTTGATCTGTACGGTTTTTAAAGTTAGTCCAGAAATTCAAGGGCAAAAGATTAGAGAG